AATAATAGATTATAAACTTTTAAATAAGATATTAAATATTTCTAAAAAATAATAATAAATTAGACTTTATAATTTAATATAATTATTTTAGGGATACTATAGAATTTCTAAATATATTTAAGATATAGATTAGCTACTCCTTTAATATTAATTATTCTAGTATAGGGGAGGAAGTACTTTATCTTTATTAAATAATTAATTATAATTAAAATAATATTATAATTATTATTTAATAATAAATATATAATAAAGTCTATACTTATATCTTATTAGGTATATTTAGGAATTAATAAAGATTTTAATACTCTTTATTTTATTTCTTAGGAAGAAATAATTTAGTAATAAAAGTAATAATTTTAAACTTATTAATTAATATACTTATAAATCCTAAACTAGAAGTATTTATATAATATTAGTTTATATATTTTAATTTTTCTAGAATATTTAGTAATAAGATTTTTATAATAAAATCTTAATATTTTAGTTTTTATCTTATTATAATTAGATATATAAAGTTAGTTTTAATATCTTAAGTATAAATTAATATATTTATAATTAATTAGTATAATATTAAGGTATTTTAATAGATTATTCTTTAGAATATTTAGAATAAACTAGAATTTCTTATCTTATAGATAAGCTTTATTAAATAGTAATTATAATATTAGTAGCAGGGAGATTAATTTATTAGTAGTAGATTATTTAGTAAAGTATATTTAATATTAGTTATTAATATTTAGTCTTAGATTAGTAATAGTCTTAAGTAATAAATTTTTAGATTTTAGAATAATCTAGCTCTAGTAAAGAAATTATTTATTTCCCTTCTTAGATAGATTCTCTAACCTCCTAGTTAATATATTAGGCTTAATATCTAACTTCTTAAGATAGTAATATATTTAGAAGTTAAATCTTAATAGAAATTTAGACTAGTAGGCTTATTAATAATTTAATAGCTTAATTAATATAAAATATTTTAGATTCTAATAATCTATAATAATCTTTATAGATAATAAAGTTCCTTCTAATTTAAGATATTATTTTTTAAAGTAATAAATAATAATTAATAATTCTTTATTATAAATCTTATAATTATATTTTATTATAAAATATTTCTTAAAGAAAAATATAATAGAATATAATATATTTTTATTATTATATTATAATAATATTTTAGTAAATATATAATTAAAGATATTAATTTCTAGAATTATATTTTTTAACTAGTTAAAAGATTTTAATATTAGAGTATTTATAAAAATAATTTTTAATTATTTAAATATTTTTTAATAAATAAGTATCTAGTTAAAATTAATATTCTTCTTAATTAAATTAACTAATAGTTTAATAATTTTTAAAAAATTATAAATAAATTAGTAGTAAAAGTTCCTAAAATTAATAAAGGCTTAAATATTAATTAGATAGGTTAATATTTCTTATTTAATAATTATTTTTACTTTATTAAAATTTATTTAGAAGTTATTTTTATTTATAATTAATTTTAGGAACTTTATCTTATATATAAAGAATTTATATTTACTAAATTTAATATAAAGTTTTATTACTTATAGGTATTTTAATATTTATTAAATATAATAAATATATTTAATATAAATTTAATTATAAATTAGAATATTATCTAGATATATAATATAAAAGATATCTAAATAATTATATAAGACTTTATTAATAAATCTCTAGAATAATATTAGGACTCTAGTAAACTTAAATAATATTATTAAAGATTTAAATAAGTTTAATTAAATTTAGAAAATAATAAAATATTCTTATTCTTTCTTAATCTATAAATTATTAAAAATAAAAATAATATTAATTTTTAAGAAATATCTTATTTTTTTTAGGTTATTTAGTATCTTTTTTATTAGTAATAATAAATAATAATCTTTTATAGTAATTATATTTAGGGCTTAATAATTTATATAGAATTATAGGCCTTCTCTAAGTTTCTTTATAAATAAAATAAGGAATATAATAGGGAAGGAATTAAAATAAATAAAATCTTTTTTTAAATTTTTTTTAATTTATTTCTTTAAAATTTTTAATTTATCTTAAGATATATTATATAAGCTCTTAAAAAATAAGATTTTTTTAAATAGTAATTTAATTTTATAATTATTAAATTAGTAAGATAATAAGTACTTAGCCTTCTTTAGTAAGAATATATTATAGAATTTAGTAAACTTAAGGAATAGTTACTCTTATAATTTAGATTTAATAATAATAATAAGATTTAAAGTAGCTTTAATATTTATAATAATAATAATAAATATTTAATATTTATAGCAGGTATATATAATATAAATAATAATTAAAACTTTAATAATATCTTAGTTCTTTAAAAATTTAGGGTAGAAATTAAGATATTAAGGAGAAGTTTTTAGTAATATATTATATAATATTAAAATTTTTATAAATTTTAAAGATATATTATAGTATTTCTTATAATAAGGGCTTTTAAATAAAATAGTATAATTAGTAAATTTAATCTAGAGATTATAGATCTTTAATTAAGATAAACTAAGAATAATAAAAAAATATATAAGTTAAATTATAAAAAAAATAATATTTTTTTTAATATAATTATAAATTTTTTAAATTAAATAAATAAAATAAATAATATAATTAGACTTTATTAAAGTATTATTAAATTTTTTTAATAAAATAAGATTCTTTAATAATAATATTTTTAATTAATTATTTATAATTTAATTATAATTTATAAAATATTTATTCTTAATTCTAGAGTTAATTATAGTAAAGATTAATAAAGTTTTATTAAGGATTTTTAGATTAATAAATAAAATTATTAATTTAAATTAATAATTTTTCTTTTTTACTATTATTCTAGTTATTACAGCCTTTAATAAGTAGAAAGAGTACTAGAGATATTTCTAATTATAGTTTAAGTTAGGAATATTCTATTTTCTAATTTAGGGGATAGAGAATATTTAGTAGGTAGGATTCTAGTTAATAGAGGGTATAGGTCTAATTTAGTAGTAAATATAGAGATATAGCTAGTTAGTTTTTAGTTAGGTTATAAGTAGCTACCTACTAGATAGTTAGTACTACTATAGTAGTAATATAAATATTAGATTTAATAATTAAAATAATAAGTAGTAGATAAGTTTATTAAGTCTTTAGTAAGAGTAGTAATAATAATAAGATTAATAAAGCTTATAAGAATTTAAGTAATAAAAGTTAGTTTTAAAATAAATTAAAGAGACTAGAAATTCTTTATAAATAAAGATAAAATAATATTTATATAATAATAATAATAATTTTCTAGATTTTATAAATAATTAATAAAATTATAATATTATAATAAGATTTTAAAGTATATTAATATTTCTTAAAAATTTTAACTAATAATTTATTTTAAAATTATAAGTAAGATATTTTTATTTATATTCTTTTTTAATATAAGATATTAAAATTTAATAAAAAAAATATTAAATTTATAATAAATTTATTAAAAATAAAATAAATTAATATAAATATTAATTTTTAAATTTAAATTTTTAAAATTTTTTTTTAAAATTTTTAAAATTTTAATATAATTATTTAATTTATAGATTTTATTTTAAATATATAATAAGATTTAAATATATAAGATTTTTTTAAAATAATTAATTATATAAGTTATTTTATTATTTAAGATTAAAAAATAGTTAAGATTTATAATTATTTTTTAATAAATTTAAGAAATAAAGTATCTTAAATTACTTTATTAATTATTAAACTTATTAAAATTAGGAAGTTATTTAGAGATTTAAATAATAAAAATAAATATAATAAAAGTAATAATAATAATAAAAGAGGTAATAATATTAATATTTTTTTTAAAAAAAAATAATAATTAAAAAAATATATTATTTTAAATAAGTATTTTAAATAATTTTTATTAAATTTTTTTAATTTATATTTTTTAGTACTTAATTATATTATTTTTTTATTAAATATAGTTAAAAAAATTAATAATAATAAAATATAAAATAAATAATTTATAAAATTTTTTTATAATAATAATAAAGAATTAATATATCTTAATAATATATTATTTTAATTTATTAGAGGTATTATATAGGAAAGTTTCTATATTTTTAGGTAGTATAAGTAATAAAATAGGTATAATAGTAATAATTAACTCCTAATAAAGGGGAGCTATATAATATTAGGAGGTAGAGTTAGATTTAAATATTTATTAACTAGAAGCTAACTAGATAGAATAGTAGAATAATAAATATTAGGTAATAGATAAGATATAGCTTAAAGAGCTATAACAGGATTAAGGATAATATAGCTTAAATATAGGAATAAGGGTGGACAGTCAAGGCAGAATCTAACTAGATAGGTACTACAGCTTCGCGCTGTGACATGGATTACCTAATATCCAACATTGCTTAATGGTAATGTTGGTATTCACTGAATCCAGCACTCCAACATAATATAAAGCAGAGGATGATTAGTATTAGTAAAATATTCTTAGCACTGTAAGAGCATGTGATTCCGGGCCCAGGCAATATACTTATACTATTGGACCAAAAGGTTACTATGATCAGACCTGATATCTAATCTGCCTGAATCCTACCTTGAATGCCTAGCAATTAATTGCCTTAGCACCAGTGTACCTAGTACACGGCTACACGCTGCTGTAACAAGCACATGCTTGCTTGGATGCTCCAAGATCATGATTAATCATATCATGACATGCCAAATTACCTAGAAGCATATATTTTAAATTATCGTCTATATATATTTTTATATATTAAAATTTTTGATTTAAAAAAAAAAACTAAATATAGCCTGTAAAATCTGTTTATTGTTCAAGGATAAATGAATAGAGAACTCTGACTAAGCATAGATTAACTTTCCAAATTGACTTAGCTCCTCTTTTCTCTCCCAATTTCTGTCTGGTATTAGAAGCTTGGACTCACCTCCTTTCCTGCCTTGTTTCTTTATGATGGTATATCTCCCCCAAGCCTCCTTACTGACCCTGGTGGACTAAAGTTTATTGGCTATATCACATCTTCAATGTCTCTTACCGAGCCCTCTGAAATGGTAATTGACCTTACTCAGGATTCTGATCCTGAGGACCAGCCCCGGGTAAGTGGTTCTTCTGCTTAACAGACTTGGCTATCCCTCATGGGTGGGACATTTGTCTGGACCTGTTCTATTAGCAATATATCCATGGATCTCCAGCTTTCTCCTCCTAATTATGGATTGATATTCAATATAAACCACCCCATTCCCAGTTGTTTTTGTTGATTTTTCTGTGGCATCTGGAAATCTTCAAATTTTTCTTTTTCTTTCTTTCTTACTTTGTGTTTTGTTTGACCTTGGGTTGTGTCTGCCAATTTACTCCCCACTAAAACACACCCATTGCATCCACCTTTAATACAACTTTCTTGGCTCCTTGCTTGACTATTAACTAACCTACCTTGACCAGACCAACAAACCCTCTTTCTTTTTCCCAAGTCTGGCACATCATACAGTCTCATCTATCCCTCTGAAGAGAAAATCTGATAGAGATTCAGAGACGTTGAACTCTCTTCCTGCAGTCACTCCCCAGGCAACAAACAACCACAATTACATAGTACCGAGGCTTGAGACCCCCCGGAAGGAAGTGATATCATACCAACCACTGAAACAACAACAGCAGCAGCAGCAGCAGCAACAACAACAACACGAACATAAAAAAGACAAATTCCGGCTATTTACTCCCAGTCCAGCCACAGAGGATATCAGCACAGTTAGCGTGGTGATCCCATCTCCATCTGCGCAGTTAAGACGTGAAATAGACTCTGCAGAACTGATCTCAGATCTAGAGCTCACAGGCCTCTCTGAGAAGTACTATCCAACAGATGCACACGAGAAACGTGCTACAAAAGGCACATATCCCGTTGCCAAAAGAGTCAGACGCGCAGATATCCCATTGCGCATCGGACGGCCGGGACCCTTCCTTACAGAGAAGGACAGACGTCCGGTATCCCAACAGCTTTGTGAAACACTTCAACGTAAGCTTAAGTCTATCAATGGCCCTACAGTCTCCGTTGCCCCTGGAGACGAAAAGCAGCTTGCACTCGATACCTCCGATTTCGAGTTCATCAATGAGTATAAGCTGCGGAAGGGAGTGAGCCCCATTGATCGGGAGTTCATGGCTGGTTGTAATTGCATTAATAATTTCTGTGACCCTGCGCGTTGTGGCTGTCTTTCTGTTGAAGAGACCTCCGATGATCTTATCATTCCTTACAAACGGGCAAAGGACGATGCATGTTTCTTGGTGCTTTCTCCTGATTTTATGGCCCGAACATCTATGATCTACGAGTGCAACTCTCTCTGTGGATGTGATGAACGATGCTGGAACCGCGTGGTGCAACGTGGGCGAACTATTCGATTGGAGATATTCCATACTGGGAATCGTGGCTTTGGTACCTCCCCTCCCTCCTCTTCCCCCAACACCAAGGAAAACATGAGAAAGAAAGAACCAAGTAGACTAATAATCCTAGGAATCCGCTCCCCCAACCCCATCCGCGCCGGCCAATTCATAGACAGATACCTCGGCGAAGTAATCACCCGTCAAGCAGCCGACATCCGAGAAGAAATCGCCCACAACACCAAATCTCACTCTTACCTCTTCAGTCTCGACTTCCTAACCAACGATGACGATATCTATGTCGTAGATGGTCAGAACTTTGGAGCTGCCACCCGCTTCATTAACCACTCCTGCAACCCTAATTGCCGGATCTACGCTGTCTCCCGCACCCACGGCGACCAACGACTCTACGATCTAGCGTTCTTTTCGCTGCGCGAGATTCCCCCGAACACAGAGCTAACCTTTGATTATAACCAGAATTGGCAAAAAGAGAAGACCAATGAGGCGGATCCGAGTGCAGTCAAGTGTCTTTGCGGGGAGGAGAATTGCCGTGGTCAGTTATGGCCGAATGAGAGGAAGAAGGCGACGAAAGGATGAAATTTTTTTTTTATATCCTCTTGGTCGCTCTTCTTCTTCTGTCTTTTTCTGTCTTTTTTTCTTTTGTTCCCTTTTCTCCTTTTTCCTTTCTTTTTTTTTTTTTTTTTTTTTTCTTCTTCTCTCAGTCCGGCTCAATTCCCCTTCTTCAAATCGTCCTCTTGGCCCAAGTAAAGGTCAAGTTAATTCATTGCATACGGTTAATGGACTGTGTGGTATGGGAGTTTGGTCTTTCCAGTTGCAGTGGCAGTTGCACTCGTCTTTTCTTATTTCCTTCCTTTCTTTTCTTTCCCTTCTCACCTACAAGCATAGCGTTGTGTTGCGTTCCGTTGCATTGCATTGCAGGGAGTATAGTAGCAGGTAACAAACAGGTTTCTCTTCCCCTCATCTTGTCTCCTTTGACAATGATAAAATGGCATGGCATGACGCGACGCAACGCAACACGACAGACATGTCAGGAGCTCAGATGAGGTAACAACACATGGACATATCATCACACATCCCCCGAGGTACATATGTCATTGCTTTCTTGGCGGGTTCTTTTTTTTCCCTTTGAATACCCCGATCTCGATGTGTATCATCATACATACCCTTTTCCTGTGCCTATCCCTCAACTCTCCGTGGCTATTCCCGTTCATAGATTAGTTCACGCTACGTTCCTCGCTCGCTATTCGGTGGTATCTTGATGGTATTTTGAGCCTGTACTTGGCCCCCCTAATGGAGGATCATTGACCAATGTTTATGTCACAAGGGCTAGATCTGCTAATGGTACTGAAATACCAAGTGAAATTCAATGTGTCTTCTTATCTTCTGTATTTGCATTCATACCAAGTGAAGGAACTCGGTTGATAAAAGACGAATATAATGTTCCTTTGTCCAGTGTCTGTCCGCTAAATAACCCTCCCCCGGGAGAGACTCAAGATGAACGCCATTCCCAAACTCCAAAAATCCCTCAAATCTCTACCTAGAAATACCAAATTCCGAATTCGCTTGGTTATCATTTGCATCCTTGTATTCCCATGACTCAAAAAATTGGAACCGAACGATGTTGTTTTTAAAAAGAAAAAAGAAATAAATAAAGAGGAGAAAAAGATGAAGAAGGAAGAAAATATTGGCAGAAGAGTGAAAAGGTTATGCTCGACCCTCCATAACTTCCACTATTCCACCCATGACGAAGCGCGGTTGCGACACTCTTGACTGGTGACTCTGCGCTGACGACCGATCCCCGGCGATAGAGGAAAAGATATTGGCATTTAGGTCCATAGGTATACCGATCGGATCCACCGGTCGAGGTTCTAGAAGTTCCAGGCCCTGTCGCTCGATTGCATCCTCATAACATCGAGACCGTTCTTCACTTAGAGCGGTGTCGACCTTGGATGGGCGACGACGGAGAATGACAAGAGAGGGGCGCCGGTAGCTAGAGACGGATAATGGAAATGGGCTTTGGCTGCGGCTGCCGGGTTCGCTTGAGTCCGATCGATAATTTGACATAGGGCGATAGATGCGCCGGAATGGAGAAGTTGGCGACGAAGTGGGACTCGTTGCGGTGGAGCTCAGCGGGCTAACCGTGGGACAGTCGCTGCAGGCACGATCATGAGGCGGTGGTTGGAACGAGGTATGTACGCAGAGGCCGGGCATGGAGGGGTGATTTTGCCGCATTTTGGGATAGATGGTTGTGACACAAGAGAGAAGTGAGGATGTGATGTGATGTGTTCTTTGTCAATTTAGAAGATGGTGGGTGGCAGTGTATGATAGATCCAGGCAAAGTGGGTATGAAACTTGGATGCTGTCACAAAAGTTCCCCGCACGAATTTCAAACCCAACCACCAACGTCGGGTGTGCTTGGGAGGATAAGGGAGAAAAGTAGAGGTTGGGGGAGATGTTGTTGAAATAAGGAAAGTATGGATAAAGAAACGGGAACGGTCGTAGAAACGAAATATAGAAGAATGGGTGGTGTACTCCGTAGATTTCGAGAGATAAGATGACGAGGGAGCTAGTGCAGTGAAACTCCCAGTACGGAGGATGTGAAACAAGAGACAGTCTCAGACGAAAGAAAAAAGGGAACCAAAAAAGAGGAAGAACACCCTTGGAGGAGGGGAAACCAGGAACCGGATCAATAATAAAGGGACACTGGCCACGAAGATCGGCGGCTCATTACACGGAAGGTCGGCTAAGAGCTGGGGATGAGGGAGGTACCAAGTAAGTGTGACAGATTGATTGCGACAGGGGAATAAAGTAATCAAGACGAGTACCTAGTAGGAGTCACCCAATGTAAAACGAAGAAAGGATGTAGGTAGAAGGCACCGTAGTAGTATTTAAAGATCCTACTCCTCGCACCTAGATGGGACTAGTAGTCGAGGAGGTCCGAAAGGCACGAACTAAGAGGAAAAAGGACAAAAAAACGAACCCATGAGGGGATTCAATTTCAGCAAGGAACACAGCTAACTAGCAATTCGGCGCCAGGGCAAGGAGGGTTGAGGGGAATTCAGTAGTGAAATTGCCTTTGCCACGACGGATGCAGTAGTAATACAACAAGGCGGAGGTTTGGTTGGCGGGTGGGAATCGAGGACGGGTAGATCGATCCATTGAGGATACCTATGGGTACCTCTTGTTGCAATAAACGCGATGAAGAATGCAATTGAGAGATTAGTTAGGTAGTGTTGCGTGATGGATGAAATCCGCAACCAGCTAAAGTCGGAAGTTGATAGAGATGGAATGGAATGGAGTGGACGAAACCAACCAGTTCCCTGATGATGTCAGCAACTTCCGGTTTGGGCCATTCATCTGTCCTAAATAGGAAGGCATTGTACTGATCAATTCCACTCACTGTTTATTTACTCGTACTTACTACTTACTACTTCAAGTTCTACCCATTAGAACCTAGGAGTTTCCAGGTGGGTGCTCGTACTGCATACACGACAGATAAATTCCATAGGCATCTATACCCGTCGAAATAATGGGATATACTCCGTACTCGTGGAGTCAACTGATGCAGCCGATGACTCCTAGCACGCCGTTGCTATGCATTCTGAAAATCAATATTCGGAACCAAAAAAAAAAAAAACCTCAAGGAAAGCAAAAAGCAAAACGCAAAAAATGAAAAAGGAGATCTTCTAGCGAGTTCTTTTGCAGGTAATTTACAAGAAAAGCAGGTTGAAAAAAAAGAAATCAAGTACGGAACAAAATACATTGAGTACGAGCAAAAAAGAAAAAAAGGCAGGGAAAACAATAAAAGAAGAGAAACGCAAAAAAAGAAAACAGGCAAAAAGGGAAATTCGTATTCATGGGGAATCTTCTTTCGTATCAGTCATCTCTTGACCGACGACGCTGGGTAAAGCTACGTCGGATACTCTCGCCCCAGGCGGAATCTCCCAATGACTGCATAACACCCTGCACGCTCATTGCACTGTTTTGGTGGGGATGATCAGAAGCTCCCAGTGCTTCATCATGCAGATCTGGCCCGTCCCCGTAGGAAGATGTTGCTGTATTTGCTCGCTCCCGGCGAGGTGACAGGGATATACTAATGTTCGACCACTCTGACGGCGAACTAGCTTCGGATCTTTGGCCTGTCAGGTTGGTGTTGATTCGGGGAAGAGGGAATGAACCGGATTGGGTGGGGGAGGTTGGAGATAGCATTGTCTGCTCTCCACTCATGTTGCCACCTTGTAAGCCGCCCCTTGGTGGCTCATCAGACGCTTGTTGTATATGGGGTTCATCATCCACATAGATCTCGGGAACATTGAATTGGGGCACAAAAGTCATTCGAGACGACTTCTTATCCTCGATCTTCTTTCGGAATTCACGAGAGGCAGTGAGAGTGTGGAAGAACCCAATCACTGTGTTGCGGCGGACAGCCTCCTCGACACGTTGTAGCTTGGCACGGCGCCGTAAGAACTCTTCAAGCCTCAAACTCTTGCTGTCGCTGATAACGTTGTAATGTGCTAAAATCATGAGACAAGAGTGGAATGAGATACCGTGCACTGGGTCTGCGGATACCAGAACTTCCTCGTAGAAAGCGTTTAGTTTTTGCCGTCGTTCTCGGACAGTCTTCACAGGGAGTCGCCTAACAATCTGAGCGAGTTTATCCAGATCCACTCCCTCGACTATCCTGCGATGTGGTAGGAGTGAATCACGTTTGTCGACTCTACACTCATCTAGAATGCGTGGGATCATAAATTCGTTCTGGTAAATGCGCACTTCGAATTTTCCCGTAAGCTCCTGCCACTCGTTAGCTTATCTATCTAGCCTCGGGGGGGAGACCTGCGAAAATGAAGTAGACCAAACGTACTCTTAGTAAACGTGGAAATTGCTCCTTGGAGATATACCCTGTACCCTCTGCGTCGTACTCGGCCCACGCTTGCTTGAATCGACGTAGTTCTTCACGACTGATCGCATACAGACCACTACTCCGCTGGTACACGTACGAAAAACTCTCAAAGATAAGAGAAACAAAGAGCGAGACGAAGATATACATGCTGATAATGTTCCAGGAGATAAAGAGCGATCGAGCCCATCCAGGACTTCCGCAGTCATTTGTAAACAACTCTTCGTCCTTGCCTGGTGAGCAGTATGGTGGCACCATCTGTGCAAAATCTTCCATAAGCTGGTTCCATCCCTCACCGCAACTCATCCGAAAGAGCAAAATTAGGGATCTTGGAATATCTCTGAAGTTGAGATTGTTGTTTTCGTTGGCCCCAAATTTGGTCAGACCAAAGGCTTGATTCATAGCAATCGCATAAACAAGGAACAGCACAACCCACGTTGCGAGCAGGTTCCCAATGGCCGTCAGACTAGCCGCGGCGGTCTTGAACAGTTGGTCAAGCTGATTGTTCCGGGGAATCAGAAGCAAGGTGATAGAGACCAGGAACAGTTTGCTCAGCTCCACAATCACCTGGCTACTCGATATGAAATTGAGAATCGACGTTATGAAAGTGCCAGGAACAACAACCAATGAGTACATATCCCAGGAACTGTTGCGGAAACGATGCCAACCCAATCCAGCCAAGCGAAAGATAACATTGGCTAGGTAGAAAAAGTTGAACACGAAGAATAGGGATTCTCGAATCAGGTCCCAGGTATTATTCTCGGGGTAGAACTCCAATACCAACAGCAGGAGGTGGAGCACAAGGATAGCAGTGACAAACCTAGCCCAGCGGCCATGTTTCTTATAGCCAACTCGATAACACCACTGTTTCCATCCTGAACTGCCCTCGCTAGACCTCCGCTTGGAGGGTGATACCTGTCTAAGAAGTTTCCTCAATTCAAGCCAAGACCGTTGCTCGGCAGTAAGGAACGCGACACCGGTTTGTTCTGTGTAGTTTCGCATAAACACAGACACAAACAAGGTCAATACAAAGACTGCACCGAGCAGGTTGAACACGATGAAGAAAAGCCCGTTGGCTGGAGCTGAATAGTCTTGTGGTTGCTGGCCAATCCCTGTGATGCTCATGACACTCTCTTGAACATCTATCCAACCTTCCTGGGAGACAATCTGGAACAGGATGAAGAGAGAGTCTCTGAAATTGTCAAAGTCATAGTAAGGGTTGTCCGCAACTCGGGGGGCAAGAACGTTCCAATTGAAAGGCGAACTCATGAACTCATCTACACACGCGTTCAAGCTCCCCACCACATTACCGTCATTGCATTGAACCAGCTGACCACTAAACAAAGTGACTCCGTATATAGCAAATGGAACTAGGAAACTCATCGAAACGAGAGCAGCCTTCGTAAAAGAAATTAACATTGGAATACTTCAAATCAAGGTGCAAAGGAACTCACAGCAATAACCTTCCATCCTCCAAGAATGATCACAGAATGGAATGTATTTTTGGCACTATCACTGACGTTAAGCAATCTAAGCGCCCTCAGAGCTTTAAAGGCGCCGATGGCTCTAGAAACCGCTCGATTGATGAGAAGAGAGCTGAAAACGTTAATCCAGAGAGTGATCAAGACAACGCCGTCTATAAACCCCCAAGAGCCACGGAAATACGCGTTTGGCGTCCAAAAGAAACCATCAGCAATGACCTTGATAAGTGCCTCGATGCTGAACAAAACTGCAAAGCCCAAGTCCGTATAAGTAAACCAGTCTCGGTCTGTTTGGAAGTTCTTGTTCTGGTAGATTGGTGTAGTGATGCATGCGAGTAAAACCATTGCAACAATAGCTGCATAAATGAATGCGGAGAAGGTATACCAGACGGGCTTATAAGGATCAACCCCTTCAACGCGTTGGATTCCACGCCCAGGGCCAACCATACGCTGACAAAATCTCCGGATCGGATTATCAGGTTTGAATATGAATAGAGACTTGTTATAGTTCGGGTGGCGTATTAGGTACTCTCGCTGGGCTCGCTTCCTTCGCTCTGCCGCTGACACCACCTCTTTAGCCATTTCTCTGGGACCTAATTCTTCATAAGCTCGCGAGATCTTTAGCCTCGAATAAAAGGGATTTGGCTCCTTCCGCATGACCGACGCTGTTAGAGTCGTCCACGCGCGCGAAAACACCCCAGGCGCCGTAACTTCTTCGGCGGTTGCCGTAGTTCTCTCTAGTGTAACATTGCCGTCACGTCGGTTTTCGACCGGAAATTCCTCATCTAAAAACTCCCGTACAACAGCATCTTTCAGTAGCATTTCCAAGGCTGCTGGGCCATAATCCAGCGTATCTTTATAACGATCAGACTCGCGCCCAAATTTGAAAATTCTCGACAATGCCAGGTTTCCTTGCGAAACGGCACCCACTTGCTTCTGTTCTAGGAACGCTCGAACCTGGTGAAGTCGTTTCTCATCCTCTGATACATCAAAGCTCTCCTGAATGACAGCAATGAACATATTCAGAATAATGAAATTAGCCACAACGAACCACATGACAGTGAAGGTCGCTGAAATCCATGCAGTATTGTAGGAGTATGTGTACGATGTTGTATTGTAAAGGATAGTCGTCCAGTTTTCACTGGACAAAATCTGATACATTCCAAGGAATGAGTTGTATATATCGGCGAATGTGATCACAATAAAATTTCCGTCTTCATCTTGTGGAGGAATTTGGCTGCGGAACAGCTGTGTTGCGAAGATGGATGCAATAAACGTGATCAGGAATACGAAGACAATCAGGTTCAGCAAACCCACGGCATTACGGAAGACGACCGTGATGAGGTTTCTGGTGACAGCAAATGCCAACACCACACGATACACGCGAAGAATCTGAAAGAGAGTAAGAACAGAATATAGACGTCCTGAGTTCTTGATCGGGGGTATCTGGATAATGCTGGTAATAACAGCAAGCAGCAAATCGGCCCAGTTCGCGCGCTTCGTGTGGAATTTGCGCCAGTCAGATGCGAATCGTATTATTATTTCAAAGAGGAAAATGAGGGTGATAACGGTTTCAGTTTGTTCAATACCCTTCTCTCGACGAGGGCTCATATCGGAACTTCTCAATCCCTGCACAACAAGGTCCAAGATAATGATGGCAATCCAAAGCCAGCGCGTTTTATCATAAAAACGCTTCAGCGTGCTTATTTTACGAGAGGATAAGACCTCCTCGTCGTTGTCCTCAATTAGCTGAGGTGCGAATGCGCTTCGCTTACTCTCCTCGCGAATGACCTGGAAAGAATGGGTGATAACAGCAACCAACAAGTTCACCATCCATAAACTAAGAATGACAAATCCGCAAGCAAAGAAAAGCGCGGCAACAAGATAATCAGTATCAGTGGTGTAATAGAGAAGGTCGGTGAAGGTGTTGGAGCTCATGATCACAAACACAAGCTCAAGAGAATTGAGAATATTATCGAAGCTAACTGTCCCGTTGTAGGGATTGAGTCCTTCGACACACAAGGAACCTTGAGGACAAATGAAACCCTTCGGGCTCGATGTACTCTTAGTATTGTCACTTCGGATCCAAGTCTGCTCGTGCCCGTTTTCATCAAGATAACCGCCACAAAATTGCAGAGTGCCTGAGGGGTCATTCATAGTGAAGTTGCTCTGGCCATCGGTTCCAAGCCAGACACAGGTCCTCCGGAGACTTGACTTGAAACTCTGGATACCCACAATAGCGAACAAGAGCCAAAAGAATCCTATAAGAAATGCGACGTGAACCAACAAGGGGGCAGCTTTCTTCAAACTCCGGAGGATAACCTTAAATAGATTAGCAAACAAGCTACCCAAGTATGTTCATGATTTGAGCACTCACAGAAGTACCGCTAGTTAAGGCAAGGAGACGCAAGAGGCGCAGACAACTGAGCATCCGGAAGGCGTAGATTTGCTGGCGGGTTTCAACGCCATTTAACGCAAGTAAAAAGGACACCCAGTATGACACCACGGCAACGAAGTCAAGTCGATTAAAGGAGTGCCGGAGAAATGCACGATTGGCAAGCCTTACCCGGCGTTTTTGCAGGGGATCGTCGGCGATTTGCTGTTCCAGCTGATTCAAACCGCCCGTAAAGGTTCGGATGATTGAAGCTTGCTGCTCTGTCGGCTGCGCTGAGGGCTTTTTAGTGGTAGAAAATTGACGCTGCGGTGTGATGAGGTTTCTTCCTTTTTCTGCCAGTGCCTTTCTAAACCCTGCTGATCGGTCTATTGTACTATATTCAGCTGGATTGAAGAAAAATCCTGACACCAGAATTTTGGCGATCAGTTCGAGAGTGTATATGATGAAAATAGCAAAGTAAGGGTAGTCCATTCGATTCGAGCCCCAATGCGATGATCGTGGGTGAGCCCACACGGACTGCGCTGATTCAATTGTAAGGAGAATTGTTTGAATGACAATAATAACCAAGATAAACGGCTCGGTGACAGGGTGGACAAGAACATCGCACAACCATAGCCGGATCACATTATCGGGGCCTAGAATTCCAAGTGATTTCCCCCTCAGAGGATTACTCAAGCCTCGCCATGCTTTCTTTGGCGCTGTCGAAGGTGGGCCGTCTAATGAAGTGGTGGATGGCGCATCGTGAGCATAGTCTGGAAGAGAAGGAAGTGTTGGCGGAGCTTCCATGCGTGCACTTCTCTGGGCTTCATCTCTCAAGATCGATTGTTCGACTACCTCTGGCTCGTTACTCAGGTTGACAACACGCTGGGAGACGGATTTCACCATCGAACTTGCGCGCTGCAATGCTGAACCCGACACCGAGGGAGACAATGATCGACCACCTTCCCTTGATACACTCTCCCCACGCCGTCTTCCACCGCGACCACTCTCAAGGTTGTGAAGCTCATCCCCCAAACGCGACCCCGCCTGTGTATCATCAAACCGCCCCGAAGGCGGGTGGAATCGACTATCTTGCGAACTCCTAGAAAGGCCAGGCGCACCACTGATAGGCTGTATATTCCGGCTATCCGTCAACGGACTGCGGTCGGTGTAAGTTTCGGTCGGAGAGAGATAATTTTCATGCTCTTGTGGTTCGAAGCTGTCGATGCGGACCAGATCTAGGTCGGAATCCGTTTCATCCCGGCTGTTTCGCACTAGGCGAGCGGTACTCCGGGAATTGTAGAACCCCAGACCAACAGAGGAGATCGCTTCAGCGAATGCTCCTGGGTCGTCAACATGGTGTGGGGCGCCAGAAGCCTCAGAGTGCGAACGGGATCTCCCTGCTACAGCTGAGCGATCGACTGGGGAATCCTCCGATAACTTCTCATATGTGCGCCCTCTGTCCGTCAGAGAGCGACCCGAAAAGAGCCTGCTTCCTACCCTACCTACTCCTCGTCTTTCGTTTTCGTGCGGACCAGAGAGATCTTGTAAGGGGATTGAGTGACTAGTCGCGTTATCGTGGTCGCCAGAGCCGTGGTCATCGCTACTCGGAGCCATGATGGGCAAAATCGATTGGCTAACCGAATGTAGACATCGCAGGCTGCGACAGTGGGGGTGGGTTAGGTAGGGATTCGATGCGGTGTTGTTAACAAGACCTTCAAAACGGAGCAGAGACGAAGGCACAAGCTGAAGGCCGGAATAATGCGAGGAGAGGTGGAGGGAGGGATGATGGAGGGTAAGCTGCAGCGCGTTCCTGGAGTAGTATGCAGTGGAAGAAACTGCGAAAGGCACAAGAGAAAAGAAGAGGCCCAATCAACAAACAGAGAAGGATTCGAATAACAAAATCGCTCAAGCTAAGAAGGTGTCAACAGACTCCAGCGAGAAAGAAGGGGGGGGGGGGGGGGGGGGGGGATGCAGGGAACAAATACTATTATTATTATAATAGTCGTGGTGGTGATGGTGGTGGTGGTGGTGGTGGTGGTTAGTAGAGGTAGCACTCCGTATTCATTTTCACAAGCAGCGAGAGGCCGGCTCTCATCTGATTCAACGCCAACGCGGCCAAAACTGGGGCCGCATTAGACTGTTAGCACTTGTGTATGGCTCATTTCCCACTGATTGGCATTTTTAGTCTCTTTTCTTCCGGCGGTTGGTTACGCCAAGTCTGACGGGTTCCGATAATAATTTATTCTGTCTTAGAGAATTCAAGTAGTTCGTCCAGAGCGTTGTATCGAATCGCTTGGGCTATTTCTTAACCACTGTACATTAGCCATCCTGATGGGGGTTTAAATGTTTCGAATAGCCTATTAACTACTAAGTCTTGCCTGTACTATGCAAAACTCCCCGACCCAACAGAACAATAGAAGCAGGTACGGAAGGATGATTATCTCTCTGGTCTTCCACACTGTGCTGCCTGAAGTGGTCCCGCATGATGCCAAAAATAACCCTCGTGGCTCCGTCCTGGCCGTACTGAGTAGTAGTATCATGGATCCCATACTATTTCCTCCGGCTCTAAAAATCTAGAGACTCCGGAAAACACGACGACGCCTTTGAATAATTTCTAAGTTTCTAGAACAATAATGGGGAATGATAGTAGGTACACATATGCTAGAATTGGAGTGCCATCATCATGCTTAAGGTATCAACGAAATTAATCAGTCTCCATCTGGTTTCCTTGAGCCGGGTCCTTGACATGATTCCGAACGCCTTGGATAAACGCTTTTACTGCTTCGCCACCCCCGAGTGGAACGCCGCCTCTACGCATGAATCCCCCGTTGGCAACTGGGATCCTTAATGCTTCACTGATGCTTGGCAATCCACCATCTCGGATGGCCACCGTCAAACTTGCAAGACTCTGGGCGAATTGAGGCGAGTGTAACACTTTCCTGAGAATGTTCTTCTTTTGGGAGAGGCCGAGAACACTCAAGACTTCTTGTGCGGTTTCGGGGTGGGTGTTAATCGTGGATCGATCCTCCATGTGTAGCCCAATCACCAGTAATTCTTGCGGCAAGTATTTCAGCAGATTGTCAATAGCCTCGACATCCGCGGACTCGACGAAAGGCAGAGTATTTGAAGGCGGCAGGAGGTCTTGCAGAGTAGTAAAAGGCTTCTCAGATTCCTGGGATTGGTTCCCTCGCAACGACCTCAGGAAGTCTTGTACCACGGCGGAAGGGTCCGAGGCGGAGGTGGCCCTGTCAAAAAGTGCCAAAGTCAGTCTACAGTCTTCGGATGATCATGGAATGGTAAGAGTGATATTTAGGTGGGCAGGTCTAATCCCACGGCAAGAAGCCCGACCGGAAGACATGGTGCCCATAAAACAAAATATCGAAATATGTACCTACGCTCTTCCACCATCGGCACCGCCTTCTCGTGATTCTTGCCCCTCCTCCCTCACATCGCCGCCAGTTGCATCCGGCCCCGCGCCCCCGCTATTACCACCATGGTTATGATTGGGGTCATGGTCCACGCCTTCAACATCCTCCATTGTCTCATCGTCGTCATTTGACGGGCCTCTAGGGAGATTCGCGATTTCACCCACAACATCCACCTCCTCACCTTGTAGTAGCGTGTTGACAATATCACCCAGCTTGAGATCCCTGGGGCTGAACCAGCTGGGATCACCTCTCTCATGCTGAGTTTTAGACTGGAGCCAGAAGAGGTACCTCTGAGAGCTTGACGAGAACCTTAGGACGAAGATACGACCGTTTGTGGGCCTTTCCTTTCCGGCCGGCCGGTAAGGGGTGAAGGTTCCGTCGGAAGGCACCATGACCAGGTCCAACTCGGGTTCTGTGTGAGAAGCAGATCGAGGGCGCCAGCAGAAATGCACCAGTTCATCTTCGGAGTAGAGGTAGATATAGCCGGGAGTCTGTTTGGGTTTAACCACGGGACTGGAGCCGGATGTCTGCTCATCAGAAAACAGTCGCCGTTAGTGAACATGAAGGAAAGAAGCGGGATTTCCCAAGTCTTGCAATCGCTAATTTAAGATGGGGATTGCTATTATAGCTCTAGGAAGCAGCATCAACTCACATCCAGATCACAGATACCCGCTTTGAATGTGATGATCGGCGATAACGACATGGTCACTGAGCACGGCTGTGGTGTATCGGAAACGAGGTAGATATTGTATTCTGCAATATAAGCTCAGTTCAGGGTTTCACTTATGAAATGAAACCTAGACCAATTCCACTACTATTGAGGGGGAGTAAAAGATAATTGCGGGTAAAGAAGCAGGTTGGGAAAAGGTTGATGAAGATACGTCAGCTTAAGTTAAGGTAACTAGTTAGTTGGTCGAGGTTCCCCAAGACATGTTTAGGTTGGGGAGAGCTTGAATGCACTTGCGGGTATGGTATTTCCCGAGAACCGTATATCCTGCCTCAGGCATTGCTCAGCGCTATCAGGCTATCAGCACCGCCCGAATCGGCACTAGCGTCTTTCGGCTAACTGATAGGGCTCGCGTTCCCACAAACCTCACGACTTCCCGCCCTAGGCCCGGAGTCGTCAGTCACACATCAATTCTAACAACTACACGCCGTCGACAACCACCACCACCCTCCCCTCCTACATTCTTTTCGGATCTTCTTCGTCGCCGGTAGCCAACATGTCGGACGTGACGAAGCAGTTTGGAAAGGGCCAGAGGACTGTGCCGGCTCAGAAGGCCCAGAAATGGTACCCTGTTGATGATGAGTCGCAGCCCAAGAAAGTCAGTACACCCTCAGCAGGATTGCGGAAAAGGAAAAGAAAAAGGAAGAACGAAAAATAAGGAATGCGGTTTCATATGAACGAATGCGACAATTGCGCCTGGTCAATGAACTGTTGACGGTGGTTTTTTGCTGGGATCGCTGTTGACCGAACATGAGTTGATATGGAAACCGCATCCTCCGCACATTCAATATTCACCATTGTGTGTGAACATCTGGGATCAGGATTCTAACATGTATTTTTATTCTACTCAATAGGTCCGCAAGGCTCTTCGTCCCGCCAAGCTCAGGGAGAGCCTCCAGCCCGGTACTATTCTGATCCTCCTCGCCGGCCGCTTCCGTGGCAAGCGTGTCATCCTCCTCAAGCACCTCGACCAGGGTGTCCTCCTCGTTACCGGTCCCTTCAAGATCAACGGTGTCCCTCTCCGACGGGTGAACGCTCGCTATGTGATCGCCACCAGCAAGCGTGTGGACATCAGCGGTGTCGACGCCAAGGTTGTTGAGAAGGTCTCTGCCCCCGGATACTTCACCAAGGAGAAGAGCTCCGAGAAGAAGACCGAGGAGGCTTTCTTCAAGCAGGGAGAGAAGGCTGAGGTAGGTCATTTATTGTCGATTCCATGGGCTCAGGACGTGCGAACGCAGTCGAACATGCGCGAGTCCAGAAGTCTTAGAAACCAAAATTACTAACATCGTGGTCCCCTCAACAGAAGAAGGTTGTTGCCAGCGCCCGTGCTAGCGACCAGAAGGCCATCGATCAGTCCATCTTGGCCAGTGTCAAGAAGGAGAACTTCCTCGGCAGCTACCTCGCCGCTACCTTCAGCCTCCGAAACGGTGACAAGCCCCACGAGATGAAGTGGTAGACGCGGCGGCCGCGGGTTCGGTAGTTTTTGTGGAGGAATTGCGTGAGGGGCGGCTAGATGTGAATTGGCGTTCCCACTCTGGGGGGAAGCGTTCTGCAGCGCTGGAGGAACGGCTCATGAAATATGTACCTCGATTCGAGACCCGTCTTTGCTTGAGTGCGGCCAATTCGGAAATTCGGTTGTTTATGTTTCGCGGACAGTTCTCCCAGCGTGGCTGGTTTGCATAATATCTAATCAGCCGTGTGAGCAGAAAGAAAAGAAAAAAATGATGAATACCTTTCCAGCTGTTACATGCTTCTCAGAGTCGGCTGGGAGTTTTTACGTTCAGTATGATACGTTTTCCAATTTCCAGGTTCAGGTGGAAATCCAAAAATGGGGCAATTAAATTTTGTTAATTTACTTGCGGCTTCTTCGGTATAAGTATTATAATGTTCTCAGCACTTAAACAGGGTTCTCTACAGCCATCACCACCTCCCACAGCCCAGAATGCGACATGACTGCTTGCTCAGTTTATTTTTTTGTTCCACCACCAGGATAAATCATGATCTCGTATATTCATCCAAAGTCATGACCAACATAAACAATCAAAAAAAAAAAATGCATAACGCCATGAAGCATCCATCATTATAATATAACCCCCAGCATCTCATCCCCAAACATTTCCCGCATGAAGGGAAAAAAAAAAAAAAAAAAAAAGACCAAGTCAATAATCAACCCCTCGCTTCTTTCTCAACCGATGCTTCTCCTGCCTCCGCTTCGTAGACTTCTCAACCGCTTTCCTAACCTTCTCCTCCAAACTATCCTCCTCGCCATGTCCATGACCATGATGAGCCCCATTTCGATGCGTCAAGCTCTCAATCACCCTTGTCACATCCGTATCTTCTTCCTCATCGTCCTCATCATCATCAACTCCAGTTCCACTAACCCAATCAAGGATCCCCCAAGGACCGAAATTCCCCTCTCCCCCACTCAACAAATGGACATCCATCCGGCGCGCTATACCCCCCAAGAAGAAACTGGTCGGCATGACAGAGTACCCGGAGTAAGCGAAGGTTTCCTCGATAGAGATGATGATCAGGTAGACGATATAAGTGAGCATATGGAAGCGGAAGAGCATAGCGGGCGCATAGGTAGGGAAGAAATTCGTGAGCAAATAAACGAGTGGATGGTCGTAGTGCGCTGTAAGCGGGAACGGTGCTTGAAGCGAGTGGTACCAGGACTGATGATACTTTGCGAGTCGTGAGTGCTCTGAATGCAGGATGTATCTGTGGATATAGTATGCTAGAATCTGTGTATATAGATTCGTATTCATAGATGGATCAGTTAATTGGATTTATTTTCATGTTTATTTTTGGGCACTCCAAGCCGTGTGTACCTATCTGTACTACTACGTCAAAGATATGCGCTCACTAACCTCTCGAACCAAAACCCCACGAAGCAGATCCTTCGTTATATCCCAAGGCATTGGCAGCCTCATAGAAACCCTTAACGCACTTGGCATCCCTAATTTCCTGGTTCGGATCTCCTCAATTGCAGCCTGCACTGCAAGGCTCAATGCAAGGTTGGCCAACGCCCATCCGGCGACTTTGAATTCCCTTAGTCGAATCCCGGCTCGTTTACTCCCCGTTGGGAGGCCAGTTTCGCCATGTGCCTTAATCACTACTGCAGTGGAAGGGAGAAGAATATCGAAGAGGAAGAAGACGAGTGAAGGAAGTAGGTAGAACAGCAGCCGCACAGCGGCTGTGCCAAACAATTCCACCCGAAGAGGGGGGTGCGAAAGCACGAGGGTCGACCATGTCATGTAAAAGAATATAAGGTTAAGACTCGTTGTATAGGAGGACACCGTAGGGAGGACAAATATCGAGAGTACTGGGAGCGTAAAAAGGGCGTCCATCGTTGCGAAATCCGAGTCGGTGTGCGATTCAGCGTGGCTCAACGGGATAAAGCGTTATGGTCTCAAGTTTGGCAGTTCAGGCCCGTTCCCCATGCTTTGTATCCACGGTGTTTTAAGTATATCAAAAAAAAGGGTTAATGGTTCATGTAAGCTGAATCGAGATCATTCAATTAGAAAATGTGAAACCTGCTTGCGGCGGGCAATTCCACACGTCGACTTACATCACAAAGCCAAGCGTCCGCAGCACGTCAACTGCTGAAAAATGGCCAGACAACATGAATTACTAACATCCCATAATATCCCCATCAGTCTACACTCCTTCTGTTAATTATCATGCGTGTATATGTGACTTGATACGATGAGCGGTTTACATAGACTAGCAACGACAGGGTAGTTCATCATGGGTACCTAATACACTCGTCACATACAAGATCCTTGAAACATAAAAGGCGAATAATCGCTTGTCATTAGCTGTAGGTGAGGGTCTTTAGGAATAAAAAGAAGTTACTGGTAATAATAAACAGAGGAAGGAACTCAGGGGTATCTAAGCCATACAGTGGATAATAAGAAAGGATCTTCAGCGAAACAATGCCTTATTCCGAAGTCGTTGAAGTCGTCGTACCCGTCGAAGTCGTCGTACCCGTCGAAGTCGTCGTACTCGCTGAAGGGACTCCATTCTTCACACCCCAGTTCCATGCCTGCTTTCTAAGGTCGGGAACAACTTGCAGGAAAACCAAATTGCTTATCCAGCTGGTCAAAGTATCGCGGATCCAGGAGTTCCTTGGGCTAGGTCCCAGAGCAGTCCCTTTCATCATGTGGCCGACGAGCATGGTAGTAATGAGATATTCACCTCTTTGAAGTGCTTCGATCGAGATCTTTGCAACTTCTTTTGGTGTCTGTGGTTTGTCCGCAGCTTCGAGTTGCTTGGTGAGGCCTGGCTTCATCATCTGCTCATTGTCGAATCCTGGGCTGAGTATTCCCATGGGGAAGATTGTGTGGATCTTAACCTCGGCAGGAATGGCTCGGGCTCTTTCCTTTGAAAAGCGAGAGCCATTGTAGACCTCGATTTCCTGGCTCAATGTATCTGAGAGGGAACGGATTGCAGCCTTGGCGGGGGAGTAGGGGCCATAGCCGGCAATAGGGACGAAAGCAAGGGTAGAACAAGTGAAAATAAGATGTCGGCGAGGCAAAGGCCTTTGCTGGCTAGGATTAATAGGAGTAAGCCAAGTTTTAAGTATCGCATGTGCTGTGTTGGCAGCAGTCCAGTAAATGGTATCCATTTGGCCTCGGAGGGTTTGAACTGAAGTGTCGACAAAGAACCCGGGAGTGCAGTAGCCAGCGCAGCACCACACAACATCAGGGGGCATGCCATCATTCCACTCAGTGACTTCGGTAATGATCCGCTCGCATTCTTCAGCATTGGTGAGGTCGGCACTGATGTAATGGAACCTCTGCTTGTTGGCGTTTGCGGCAGAACCCTAGTCAAATATGAGCCAGATGCCGCGTCCGAAAGGAGTGAAGTGAACTTACTCTAATAGCCTCTATGCTCTCCTGGAGTTTCTTGACAGTGCGAGCAACGATAACAACATTCGCTCCCATTTCCGAGAGCTGGCAGGCAACTGCCTTACCCATACCCTCCGAGCCACCAGTAATCACAACGGTCTTGAGCAACAACACGTTAGCAACATTGAACCCAAAAGAGTGAGGCTGCGGTCGGTAATTAAACATACCCTGCCCTCAACCACGAACTGATCCTCCGAGCCAAAGCCAAACATTTTGCCGACTGTATAGAAGAATAGGCCACCAAGAATGAGTGAAATTCCCAATGTGGTGGGTGTAAAGTCGTATGAGATAAAGGATAATGATGGAGGCATGAGGGAAAAAGAGAAAGAAAGGGAAACCAGAGGGAAAGGAGATTTGTTGAATAAAATCCAAGGATAAGAGCCGACTGCCTCCTGCGATCGATTGAAGTTGCACCTTCTCCTTTTACTCAGATATCCATGATCAAATCAAGACGAGAAGATCAAGAAGGAACTTCGGGCCAATACAGCCGCAATACGGGTGCAATACCACAGACCCAGCAGGAAGAGACAGGTTCCAATAGGGTTTGGTGGGTTTATTTCTGTAACAATCGTAATCATGTTTCAATGCACGTGAGCCTCCCTGTTTAGGACTAGATCTCGCAAGGCGGTGAGAATCCCGCCCAAAATTTTATCTGAAGTTTATCGGTTTTTTTTTTGGCTCCCCAGCTTGCGCTCAGCCAATTCTCCCATATTTCTTCACCTAGAGCCAGTCATGGGTAAAAAGAGAAAGGTCGGTGGCCGCCCGGCCAAGAAGACCGAAGAGGAGCATCTCTCCAAGTTCGATATCGAGGAGAGATTCGACGACTCCGAAGATGAGTTCCAGGCTGGACGGGATCATATTTTGCTAGAGGAAGAGCCAGACGCAAAGAGGCGGAGGAAGCTGGCTGAAGAAGGTTGGTTTGTGAAAGACATGTCTTGATATACACTAGCTATTGTGGCTGACTGTGCCCTTTTCAGAGGAAATTTTCCAACCTTCCGACGAGGAAATCATGGGTTACGAGTCTGTGGACGATGAAGACCTGGATGACGAAGACGACGTTGATGAAGAGGATTACGACGACGATGAAGATGATCTTGAGAACGTCAAAACAAAGTCGAAAAAGAAGCGGGGTGATAGTCCGGGGTCTGAACTGGAAGATGAGGAGGGCCTTGCAGCCTGGGGTTCTTCCAAGAAGGACTTCTACAATGCGGATCAAATCGAAACAGAGGCCGATGCGCTCGAAGAAGAGGAAGAAGCGAAAAGGCTACAGCAGAAACACCTGCAGGCTATGAACGAAGAGGATTTCGGATTCGATGAGACGGAATGGGTCGAGTCCGCAAAAGGCCCAGGAGATGTCAAAAATGATACCGGTGTGGTGACCGAAGTCTTACCACAGTTGGAAATTACAGAAGATATGAGCACAGAAGAAAAGTTGAAGTTTCTAAAGTCAAGATATCCCGAGTTCGAACCTTTGGCAAAAGATTTCATCGACCTCCAACCGACCTACCACGACCTTGAGAAGGCCACCAGATCTGCAAAGTCGGATGCCGCCGTAGAGACCGACTCCGATCATGCCCCAGTTGCTGTCATCAAGCACCGTGCTTTGTCAGCCTACCTGGGTGCGATCAGCATGTACTTTATGCTCCTCACCTCTGCCCATGAAAACGCCGGCAACCGCACCACATTATCGCCAGCTCAACTACGGACGCACCCAGTTATGAGCTCACTTGTCAATTTCCGAAACCTCTGGGACACTGTCAAGGACATTACTACCCCTGAAGTTGAGGCTTCAGAGGATGAAGTCATGGAAGATATTGAGAGTGACGTTGAAGTTGAAACACCAGAACGCAATGGTAAAGAGGCTAAGGCGACCAAGAAGGAGAAGGTGAAAAAGGTTTCCAAAGCCCAGCGGGCAGCAGAAGCAGCACAGGCAGAGGCAGAAGCGCGGAAAGCAAAGAAACTTGAAGAAACAGAAGCAAACCTTGCCGGTCTCTCGAAACTGATCTCAGAACCTGGGAAGAAACGGGTTATTCAAAAGAAGACTCTGTCGAAGGATGCAGAGGATTCTGATTTCGGTGACGAAGACGCCCTTACCGCCAAAGAGGCTGAAGAGAAGGCTAAGCAGAAGCGCTCCCTCCGCTTCTATACGTCGCAGATCGTTCAGAAATCGAATAAGCGTACTGCGGCTGGTCGTGACGCTGGTGGAGACGCGGATATTCCTTACCGTGAGCGGTTGAGGGACCGTCAGGCCCGCTTGAACGCAGAAGCCGAAAAGCGTGGTAAGCAGAAGCCTAAGGGCTCCGAGCAGCTGGGTGGCGACAGCGACGATGAAGACCGTCGGGTCGCGAACGAACTCCGAGGGGGCCAGTCTGGAACGGACGATGATGAATATTACGATATGATTGCGGCCCGCTCCAAACAACGCAAGGATGACAAGAAGGCCCGCGCAGATGCTTACGCCACTGCAGCTCGCGAAGGTGGTCATGTTCAAGTCCAGGAGGAGGTCGGCCCCGATGGAAAACGTGCCATCACCTATCAAATCGAAAAGAACAAGGGTCTCACACCTAAGCGGAACAAAGATAATCGCAACCCCCGTGTCAAGAAAAGGAAGAGGTTTGAAGAGAAGAAGAAGAAACTCAGCAGTATTCGCCAGGTTTATAAAGGTGGTGAAGGCCCAGGTGGCTACGGTGGTGAACTTACAGGTATTAAGAAGAACCTGGTCAAGAGTGTCAAGCTCTAATCTATTCGTCAATTCTCTTTTCGCTCTTACTTCGGGATACATACCGTTTGGCGTTGAATTAGTGACTAAAAAAGGGAATTTAAGTGTGTATGTATATAGACTTTTGATGATACAACCTTGTGCTCGTCTTCCGTTAATCTTTAACTCTACCTATCTCTCGCAATCATCGTAAAACCCATTTTTCTAATGTCAGAAAAAGTTCCGAGGTCGGACTTGAAACATCTAGTAGTAATCCTTCATTCAGTAGCCTAGACCTGGTTGAGGGTCGAGGAGTCGTCCTCCGAAGATATATATTCTTGCCGCGGAGTTAATTCATCAAGCAACTCCTTCAGTACCAACCCAATATTCTCCCTATCATTGGCCCCCGATAAATCTATTTCCAGGAATCGTCTAGCTAAGGTCTCCTTCAATCAACGTTATTAGCGCCGGAATTGGAAAAAAAAATATATATATATCGCAAGGGGACCATACCGCATTTTGTAACATCTGCATCTCATCCGCTGAAAGCCTTGCACAAGCCGCAATCAAGTTTTCTCCACGAGCAGAAAGAGACGCAAGTTCATTTGCGCGGTCGACAATAGCCTGGTTAATTCCATTCATTGCTGCACATCTGTAGCATACACGTGTTAGAAGCCCTATGATGCTTGATATTGGTTAGGGAAGACATGCACTGTTCCGAAGCTCTTATTACTTTTCCCGAGTCGAAAGCTGTAGGGGGCTGCAATGAGTCTAACGATATGTATATAGCGGGCATAGTCAGGATCATACTTATAAAGGTAGGTAATTTGATCATCTGATTCATGAGCATCTTCGCTGACTCGGACTTCCATATGACCAAGTTGTAATCGTGGCCGGGCGAGTTCTATGAGTTCGTTCTCAAATATCTCATGGAAATGCGTGGCAGCTATAACTTTGGGAGCACTTTCGAGGCTCAGTAAATGCTCGAAAATTCCGCAAGCAAGCCCAATGCCATCTTTATACCCGGGTTAGATAGCTATACGGATTTGTTCACACTGAGTTAATGATTCGTACCGTTTTCGCAGGTTCCTTTTCCGAACTCGTCAATCAGTAAGAGACTTCGAGCTGTGATATGTTTCAAATCAAATGAGATTTGTTGAAGGTCATTCATAAAAGTGCTTTGGATTAGTGACACACTGTCTTGGGAATTGGATTTGACTAGAATCTTATCGACCACGCCAATCTCCGCACTTTCCGCAGGAATGAAGCTGTAGAATGTCAGCACTGTAGTTCTTATTTTCATGCGTGCTAGGCTATTTATTACCTTCCTGTCTGTGCTAGATAAACTATTAAAGCCACCTTTTTCTTGTGAGTTTAATTCTTAATGAGTATATAGGGAACTTACTTGTTTCATATAAACGCTCTTCCCCGAATAATTTGGGCCTGTTAATACTAACATACATGGGCCACTTCTTCTCTTAGTTATTTCCACAGTATTTTGAGTCTGATTCACAGGCTCTTCAAGCCTGCCTCCCACTAAGAAAGTATCGTTTGGCACATATGAAGGAACGACCAATTCTTGTAGAAAATGACTGTAGGTGGTGAGTACTTAACTTTCCTCATCAACTATCGATTCTGACTTACCGGCCCCCATTGATTCTAATGATATTATCCTGCACAATTTTCGGACGTATTAATTTGTAGTAACTCGCTGATTGGACCATAGCAAGAAGACTGCTTATTGTTAGTTCCACTTAACTTGAGCTTGCGACGTTTTACCTATCAAGTTCTCCACAGATATCCGATGCCTCTAAGAGCACTTTCTCATACTGGAGAACTCTCTGGGCTAGATCATACACAATCTCGATTTCTTTCTCTGGTTGATAATAAAGCGTTAATATGTTAATATACCCTAAATCAAAGAAGAAAAGGCAACAAAGGGGGTGAAATCGTAACATACCACATATCAGACTGTATATATCGCCAAGCTTCTCATCCATCTCTTTCATTCTGAAGTCCTTAAAATATGCCCTATTTTCCGTCATAAATATAAGTTCCCAGCCATCTTTGGAGCCGTTGTATGCCGCCTCGCCCGTGTCCTTAAGAGGTATTGCTATATTGAAACCTAGCTGTGGAAAGTATATGACGTTCACGTCGATATCGAGGCTCTCAGGTATGGTCGTCGCAATTTGTATAGCAACCTTCTTGAGCAAGCTATTAAGCCCATCATAGCTGTCTTTCATTCTGTCAAGTTCTCGGTCCAGCCCCGGCTTTACCGTGGTTCTTCCCTGTTCGTCAGAACTATCGATATCAACCTGGAAGTTTCAGCATGTGCTTGACGAAGGAAATAAGAACCTCTTACGATCTCCTGGATCATCCTTCCCACTCTATATAGCTGGGCCGCCTCGAAATTATGCAAAGCCTATGCCTTGTTAATAGCACGGGCCTTGACTTTGCAGTAGCGGCTTACCTTGCGAAGCACAGCTAGGCCATTACCCCCGGATGTTTCCCTGAGAGCATCGTGGATGTCGATGCCGTAGAACGCAAACTGGCCAATTAGCTGTATTTCTGGTTAAAAAGCATTTGTCCCATCACGTACTGCTAACAAAGTAGCCCATACTGTGGCCTTAAAACCGGAAACCTTTCCACTTCCAGTGTTGACTCCTTTCCGGAGGTTGATCATGACAGGGCGGAGGTTTTTGATATACTTCAAGCTTTTCACCATCTTGGTCAAAGAATTGTAATTATCTGCCTGCAGATACACGCTAATAAACCTTTGGCGTTCTTGGATGACATCGAGTTGTACAGAAGGACGCAGGAAAATTTGCCGAAGAGACTGTTTCCCCTGTGGAGTACAGGCGAAGCGTTGGAATAAACCATAAACGGAGAGGCCTTCTTTGGATGAAGATGACTTCCCGCCTGGCCCTTGATTTACCACGCTTGGATGAGACTCAGATTCCATAATCTGAAGCGATGCTAGAGTTCTTGTGGTAACAAACCTGTGATGCTGTTAAGGTCTGCACTTCTGGGGGGGGAGTGGTTAAAGGCTTTCTAGACGTACATAGCCCCAGTCAGAGTGGATATCTCAAAGAGTGCAACATCGTAGACTCTTGAAGTCATGCCTTCAGATAGTGAATCTGAGGATCTGCGTCTTTGGAGATAAGTAAGAATAGCCCCTGCACATCCTATTGTTACTTTATTCTCCAGGTCGATGAAGCTGCTAAGATGTAAGTGTCTACCCTCCTGTAACGTAAAATCGAGATTTTCCGAATCGACTTGATCTGTTTCAGCAAGTCCATTATGGGGGACCAGGAACTTGATACGATCCTCATGTTTCGATGATACCCCTAACGATACCAATTTGTTCATTGCCTTCGAGAAATTGAACTCCTGAGACGGACGCACATCGAGTTGATAGGGGAGGTAGCGTCTGGAACCTGTGAGAGTAGTTGCGATTAGAACGTGAGATGGAAAAACGTATTCTAATTCAACATACCATCCTCCCGGTCTAACTCTTGTCCTTGGCGATTTATATGGTCGATTCGGGTTGAGGTCAGAAGCACGGTAGGTTTGGCTTGGAGGATCACTACAAGCTAATTAGCTTTCGGAGAGCAATAAGGACGGGCTAGCAGCAGACAAGTATCGATTATCTCAGTATTGGAGTATCTGATATCACCATGTAGGTATAATTTTTTCTCCTGGGCTGAATAATAAGAGCAACCAACGGTCCCTGAATCTCGCATGTCAATCGCAGCGATAACTTGATCCAGATCATCATCAACGGAGTCCTCTAGAGAGGCAGCGCCCGGAATTTGGTCGGTGATGTTATTTTGGTGAGGCTGCCTTAGCCTTGGGATTCCCTGCGAATTAGTTTGTGGGATGGATGTAGGCATAGATTCAGCCCCATTGTACATGGTAGGCGAAGGACCTGGGGGTACAGGAGTGTGAATGTGGGTGTAATGAGCTCTGCCCCGTTTCTGACCGGCCAGCTCCATCGAAATCCCTGATAAACGTCGAAAGACAGAATGTGTTCAACAAGTGTTGTGCATGAGTTGATATCTTTTGTCTACTTGGCCGAGCAAATGCTTTGTTAGAAAACTGCCTGGTACCTGAGGTATCAACATGGTCTAATATTCTTCTACAAAACCAAGGGAAATTAGGTAAATGTTGGACCTATACAAATGGGGACGAGGAACGTCAGGTCGTTTCCTTGATTATCCAAAATTCATGGTATTAATAGAAGATGGGAGTGACCTATATAATATAATATATGGTACCTGCGAGTACTATACAACCGAATATTATTATACACAGTAGTGATCCAACCTACAATACATATCAAAAAAAAAAAAGCAACTAAATCCCAAGCCGAACACCAAAAATAGCAAAACAGCCCGAGACGCGATCCCAAAACATTCCTAAATCATCAAGCTGTCTCATTTTCTGTGGCTGTGGCCGTGACTTCAAGCCCATCCTTGTTGGCATTGAATGAAACACGTACAGTTTGCCCTGCCGTGGCTTCACCACGGATGATCTTATCTGCGAGCCTGTTGCCAATTTCTTTCGAGATCAGACGGTTGAGAGGGCGAGCACCAAATTTAGGATCATAACCTCTTTCGCAGAGCCAATCCTTAATTTCGTCATCCACCTGCAAGGTCATCCGTCGATCATCTAGCCTTGATTGGAGCTCTTTGATTCTGATATCAACAATATCTCTTAGGGCTGTCCGCGATAGTCGTTTGAAAACAATAAACTCATCAATACGGTTGAGGAATTCAGGTGGGTAAGCTCCCTGGACAACATCCATAACGGCCTTTTTGACATCTGGAGAAAGTTCCTCATCCCCGAAATTCTTGATGGGATGTAGAGGGTCGGCACCAACGAGAATATCGGCCCCGAGATTTGACGTAAGAACAATGAGAGTATTTCTGAAGTCGACTTTATGGCCCTGTGAATCTGTGAGGAAGCCCTCATCGAGAACTTGGAGAAGGAGAGCAGAAATATCACGATGAGCCTTCTCAAATTCATCGAACAGAAGGACGGCATATGGCTTCCGTCTTACAGCCTCTGTGAGTTGACCAGCATCATCGTAGCCCACATATCCAGCAGGGGAGCCAATTAGACGACTGATGGTATGCTTCTCCTGAAATTCACTCATGTCAAACCTCACCACGGCGGTTTCGGTAGAAAATAAGAACTCAGCCATTTTCTTGCAAAGTTCGGTCTTACCAACACCGGTAGGGCCGAGGAACATAAATGAGGCAAGTGGACGGTTTTCCCCACTCAGCCCGGCTCTTTGCATACGGACTGCATTTGCAACAGCTGAGAGAGCTTCATCCTGTCCACGCACAGATTTCCTGAGGGTATCTTCCATCCGAATCAATTTCTCAACCTCCCCGGCCATAAGCTTGCTCACAGGAATACCGGTGGTCCGAGAAACGACATTCCCAATGTCGTCAGCTGTGACTGAATCATGGATGAGGCTGGTCTGAGCATCGGTTTGTTCTTCGCCATCCTTTGGCAATTTCGCCTCAAGACTTGGGATCTTGGAATATCTCAGCTCACCAGCCTTTGCAAAGTTCCCTTCTCTTTGGGCTTCTTCGAGTTCGAACCGAGCGCGTTCCAGTTCCTCCTTGGTACGTTTGAGATTCTCGATTTCAGCCTTTTCTTTCTCCCAGACTTCTGTCAGTTTGGCGGCTTCTTCTTGTTTAGCTTTTAGGTCTTGCTGAAGTTTGTCACGTCTTTCACGACTGCTGACGTCGGTTTCTTTTCGAAGGGATTCTAGTTCAATTTGGATAGTCGTAATATCACGATCCAACTCCCTGATCACGTCAGGCTTCGACTCCTGTTGAAGTCGTAGGGCGGAAGCCGCCTCATCTACCAGATCGATAGCTTTATCAGGCAGAAATCGGTCGGTAATATAGCGATTGCTGTATGTTGCGGCGGCAACTAACGCGCCATCTGTGATACGGACACCATGATGAACCTCATACTTGTTTTTTATCCCACGCAATATCGAAATCGTCGCAGCGACAGAAGGCTCGCCAACTTGAATAGGTTGAAATCGCCTTGCTAAGGCAACATCTTTCTCGATCAATCGATACTCGTTAAGGGTTGTTGCGCCGCAGCATTGAAGTTCTCCCCGAGACAGGGCTGGCTTTAAAAGGTTGCTTGCATCGATGCTGCCTTCCGCCTTTCCCAGGCCAAGTAAAGTATGGAGTTCGTCAACAAAGAGAATCACGCCCCCTTGTGCTTCTTCAACCTCCTTCAGCACAGATTTTAATCGTTCCTCGAAGTCACCCCTGAACTTAGCACCAGCAATGAGTGAGCCTAGGTCTAGAGAGATGACCCGTTTGTTTTTGATGCTTTCAGGCACATCGCCTTGCACGATCCTCTGTGCTAGACCCTCCAGAACGGCTGTCTTTCCCGTTCCCGCAGCTCCGATAAGAACTGGGTTGTTTTTGGTTCGTCTCGATAGGATTTGAATAGTTCGATGTATCTCTGCGTCTCTGCCAATAACCGGGTCGAGTTTACCGGCCTTGGCTTTAGCAGTGAGGTCAACCCCGTATTGTTCCAACGCCGACTTTTCTGGCTCGCCACCAAGGTTCATGCGATGTGTGCCACCTGGAGGATGCGGCCGGCCATTGGCATAGGTTCGTACGCACAGAATCGGTTGGTGGTGGGCGACACCATTCGTCACGGGCGGGAGTAACCGAGCATGCGGGAGTAGACGTAATGAGGTCGGTGAAGGTCGTAATAAGTGCCGATTTGGTGAAGCTAAAGCTGATGATCGGATGAGTCGAGTGCCACTGAGATGCAGCCTCGACGCCATTGTAGTAGCTATTTGATGTGTATGTATGTGTGTGTGTATCAGAGAGAGAGAGTGAGAATCCTAAAGCCAGGCTTCCTTCTGTAACGTCAGGCAGCCCGAGTCGATGACATACTTAAGTATCCGCGCACCCAAATCATCGCGAGGCTTCTGGAACGCTCCACAGTGATCGCGATGGTGAGTGGCGGAAGCTTCAACCAGAGAACCGACCAAGCTCCGGGACCCCCTCAAATCACGTGAAGCTATGGTCCCAAAAAAATTCATAACTGGGGCCGTCCGTCGAAAAATTACTTCTGGACACCTTTTCCCCTCCTATTTCTTTCTTCCTTCTCTTCTCTTTTTTCTCTCTCTCCAACACCACATTTTCTTCCTCACACACATAATTCTTCACAATGGGTTTCACTGACTTTATCTCTGAGGCTGGCCTTACCCGTATGTTCCTCTTGTTTTTATTTCCTTTCCCCCTTTTCAGTCACTAATCCTACCCCTCAGTTGCCAACACCTACTTTGCTTCTCGGAGCTACGTTGTTGGGTAAGACGCACTTTTTTGTCAATTTCCATCACCTGTTTCCCCTAGCTGTCATTGCACCCTGCTGTAAGATCTTCCTCGTCTATATGATGAAAAAACATTGGTCCGTGTTTATGAGGCGGCTTAAGACCCCGCTGCAAGACTACACAACAATTGCGAGAAATCGCGTTTCTGATCACTTGGAAGATTCTTGTCACTGCTTGTCTTTTATATTTTGAGCTTTTCTTCGTCATGATCCAATCATTTTTCGAATCTGACTAATTCGCTCAAAGCCACGCTCCTTCCCAGGCCGATGTTGTAACCTTCAAGGCTTTCTCCAGCGCCCCTGACGCTGAGAAGTACCCTAACGTTGCTCGCTGGTACAAGCACGTCGCTTCTTACGAGGCCGAGTTCTCCAGCCTCCCTGGTGATGCCTCTAAGGCTTACACTACCTACGGCCCTGAGGCCACTGAGCTCCCTGTCAACCCCAAGCCCGCCGCTGAGGAAGATGACGACATGGATCTCTTCGGCAGTGACGAGGAGGAGGAAGATCCTGAGGTTGTGAAGGCGCGTGAGGCTCGTCTTGCTGAGTACAGGAAGAAGAAGGAGGCTAAGCCCAAGCCTGCTGCTAAGTCCATTGTCACCCTTGAGGTCAAGCCTTGGGGTAAGTTAAAGAAGTTTCGCTTCATATTTTTCCGTTACGAGTCGTGCTAATCCATTTCTAGATGATGAGACCAACCTCCAGGAGATGGAGGCTAACGTCCGTGCCATTGAGAAGGACGGCCTCGTTTGGGGTGCTTCCAAGTTTGTTGCTGTTGGTTTCGGTATTAAGAAGCTCCAGATCAACCTTGTCGTTGAAGATGAGAAGATCTCTCTCGATGAGCTCCAGCAGGAGATTGAGGAGGATGAGGACCACGTCCAGTCCACTGATATCGCTGCTATGCAGAAGCTGTAATTGAGATGTCCTTTTATGAGGTTGACGGTGTGATGGCTTTTTGATGTCAGAAATATAGTGTCATGAACTTAAACCAATGCCCAGGACGCAATCAGGGTTTAACTGGGCGTCTCATGAATATCAAAATCAAAGAACAAAAATACCCCATTTTCGTGTTTTTCAGCAATTGGGTTTTTTTTTTTTCCAGTAGAGACGCAAAATCAAATGTAGTGATGCCCGAGCTTGGTCTGTTGGGCGTAGATGGTGGGGATGATTCGGAACCGGTGCAAGAGGTAGGAGGGGCAGTTTTGCCAAAATGCTCGAAGCCCACCACCAGTCATCACCCACGTCTGTGTGGCCATACTGCTGCAGCTTCAAATTCAATGGTTATAATATTACATTCGCACTTTAATCGGTTCCCCCGTAAATCATCACCTGATGTGCTACCATTAGGTCCTCCCAGCATTCGAGCACGACGACGTGATGGGTCACGTGATATAAATACGTAGTTTAGTCAGCAACGAGATGGCGGGAACTTGGGAGACACGAATGAAGAACGACGCAAAGAAACCCAGCTCGGCTGATAGCTCTGTCGTGCAACATAAACGGAATCTCAAGCCCCGGCGGCTGGCTCTCATATTCAAATCGAACGAACATCTAAATACCCATCATGGGGTTCGTCTCACGCCTAATCACCCTTTTCGGGCTCGTTCTGCTCGCTCATGCGTATGCCAACCCTATCCTAGGCCCGCTCCCTCTCAAGCTGTTGTGATGTTGAACGAGATCTTCCGACGGAACTGTTGGAATTCGGGTGTTGAAGAGAAAATAGGCATTCACTAACGAAAATCAACCATATTTAGGGGATATTCTGCTCACGAGCACACGGTTCTCTATAGCAACGTCCATCTTTCCTCGTCCTCAACTGCTCTGCCACAGGATATCGTGATTGAAGCCCTAGTATCGCTGGTCATTGTATCTACGGGACTTGTTCTAGGCGCGGAGAAATTAAAGCCCGTTAGCTGGAGTGAGTGGGCTGCGGAGGTTCAGAGGGAGGGTGCTTCAAGGAACCCGTATCAACGGTTAGAGGATCGATATAGCTTTTGGGATGTGCGGGTGAGCTTCCCCCTCCCCCCCCCCCCCCCCCCCCCCCCTTTTTTTTTTTTTTATCCTGGTTAGATAAAAGGACTAATACTGTGTGTCTAGGCTAAGCGAAAAGAGTTTGCGGATTGGATGCGGGGTGATATCCCATCAAAGGGCTAATGGAAACTAGTCTGTCTAATTATAAGGCATATTTGGCGGCGTTGCTATTGGCACAACAATGTACAAAATAGAGAGGAGCCTCTGATGCACAATGATATCTATCTTTTTGGCCTGTCTGAAGCCGGCAATCCTTGGTTCTTCCTACCCCTTCGAAGCAAGCTGGTATGGGGAAGGCTGGACTAGTATCATCTGAACAAGAGCTACAATGTGTAGATGGAGGATACTGAGAGGGTGTTTATTCTTGTGACTCTACCACACCTGGAGAAATAATTCTATGTATAAAAATCTCCTGATTCTAATTCTCGGGCTCAAATGGTCCGGTACCCCTAGCAACAGCCACTGGATTATGGGAAGGGAAGACGGTACGGAGTACTCCGTACATACATACACCATACAGAGGACAAAAGCTGAGACACTGGGATGACTTTGGTGCAGCCCACAAAAATAAAACATTTCTTATTATTGGATAAAAACTGCGAAATACGTGGATGGATCATATCCAGGTAGTTATTTGCTAGGTGTGTTTGTAAAACTGACAACACAATATAATGCACACACACTCGCTTTCTCCACCGTAGTCCTGAAGGAATCTAACCCTTGATATTGGCTCTTAGTATTGATAATAAATAATGATGATGGTGATGATGATCGTAATAACACAATAGTGGTCTCAGATGTCAAGGTCTATAATTATCCTACGGCCAAGTGTTTCTTAGACATTGCTATTGCAATAGTATCCCTTGCATACGGCAATAGTAGGGGAGAGTATTACTAGGGACTAACTTTTCTACAATATCCAGCACGGAGTACTCCGTACATCGTTCCCCCTATGCTGTACCTTACAGGAGACGCGTCTGGACTCGGAAAGATGATGTTTTGGATGCATATCAACCTCCTACTACGGAGTAAAGTAGGTATGGATCGGAGATATGTGTTGTCTGTCCAGGGACGGAGTACTCCAAGTTGGCCACTATTTTGGAGATTGATCCCAGGAGCATTTCAAAAAACACCTACCCGGAGTACTAGTAGGTACATCCGGAGCAGATTTTTTTAGCAGATTTTACAAGAGCATGAACCTACAGAGTACGTTTCGCATCATCCTCATAACTTCAATCGCCAGAGACTTACGCCATGCTTGTATTATCCGAGCCAACCATCTGGAAGAGATCATCAGGTGTACTCGTCACTGAAGTTCAACCCCCTTCAGTGCTACCGAGGTTTTCGAGGGGTGAGATTGCCCTGTGCTCCTGGCGAGAGTTTATCCTCCCCGTACTCCGTAGTTATATGCATGGGGCTTGTCAGCGTGAGAGACAAGGTGAAAATAGGCGGCTTACAAAGGGTTCGTCGTCTAGCAGTAAGAAGGAATTTATGGACTGGAGAGAGAGAGAAATGTGTTCGGAGCTACTCCGGTAAAAATGAAATAAGAGGGAGAGTCGAAAAATAATTGCTTGTGTGGAGGTGGTACAGTATAGAATAACTACTCTGTATAGATCAGACAACCTCGGGTGTAGATCGATAGAAATATGAATCTTTATTGGCCTTGTTTGGTGGACACGGCAGATGACGCGAATGACCCCCAAAAATAGAAGAGAGTATACGCAAACCTCCCTCTCTCTTTCTCTTGGGTCCCCAACATGACAACAATCACAACATCCTGCGCCCTTGACTGGGAGGCTTAGGTATGGAGAAAGGATGAGGCTGATGGGTGCCTTTATGTATTCTCGCCTAGCTTACCCATTCTTTCGCTATTCCTGAATTTCCTGACTGCTAAGAATAACAACCCGACCTCGTATCCCACGTTAGTTACGGCTTCATTCGGCAGGGCTTGCGCAGTGTTCCCACTCCTCAAAGTTCGGCCTAGACTCGATTGTGCCTGCTCAAGCCACATAACGACTCACCTGAAGAGGTCAGAAGCGGGTCGTAAATCGTGATGCGACGATGCCTGTTGGCTGAACTTTTGCCCCCCTGTGGATGGTGGATCCTTACGCTTCGAATCGACACTAGGAGGTGCAGACAGGGCTGATGGAAAGAAAGGCATGGTGCTTGTTTTGCGTGCGCTGTCTACCTATTTAAAAAGATTGCTCTGCACCTGTCACTTTGACCTGAGTCGATCCTTGAGTGATATAAAGCGGATCGCCTCCCCCAGACCTCGATTGCGCTCTGGTTCTTCTAATTCCCACACTCGTTGACTAGTACTTTTGTCTCTCGTTCAACGTATCATACTATTCAAAAGGTCTAGATCTCTATTTACCTCCTACTCACACTTTCCCTCAAAATGCGGTACTCTATCCTCCTGGTCACCTTCTCGGCTCTGGCCCTGGCCCAATCCTCAGCTCCGGTGGTAAGCTCTGACTTTTCCATCTGAAGTATACCGTCTAAAATATACCCTGACAACAACCTGCAGGCTACTGCTGTCACATCACAGCCGCTCATCCCAACTGCAGTGGCCCCTTCTGGAGCGGCTAGCACCGTCGTTGCCAGCTCTAGTGGCATTACCACCACTACTAGCTCGAAGCATCACTCAACTACCAGCGCGGACTCCTCCTCTACCACTGACTCTAGCTCGTCGACTTCCTCCAGTAGCAGCAGCAGCAGCAGCAGCAGCACCACGACCTCTTCGACCAATGGTGCTTACCCTCTCGCCACTGGTGGCTCTCTTGGATTGTCCGCCGGTCTGGCTGGCGCTGCTCTCGTCGCTTTCCTCTAAACGGACAGCAGCATAAGCCGGGCCACCCACTCCGGGGGTGGATCTCGGGCTTGGGATAACTGACTATAATCCCTACTGGTTCGACTGCTATATATTGGAGAAGGACTGGATTTATGTAATGAGCAATATGGATATACTGTTGATTCCCTCTTGAGGAATGTGTATTACTTTGGGCACTATTCTTTCATTCTTCTAAATTTTTACTGTTTGGCGCCCAAGATGCGTATCTACAACGCATATGGATTCTATAATATTAATACTGACTATGTGAAACCTCATTTTAAGCAGCAGTTGCTCCAAATGTGAGCTTTTGGCATACTTTACGAACTTTATTTTATGCTTCGGTTAGTAGCTAGCGACCTCTAGTGGCAAATTGTAAAATAGAAATGTTCCACTCGTCTTTCTAAATTAGGCTTATCCATTGAGAAATAATTTATCGTAGGATTGACCAAATTTATATTCATTTTAGCCTCATTAATAAAAAAAAATTTTTTATACAAAAAAAAGTTTCATAGTGAGCAAGCGCTAACCACGTGACCAAACAATTACATTTCCTAAAACGCGTAATGGAACGCGTACGTCACGTGTTGAGATACGCGTCCAGATTGGGCCTGAAGGAGACTAGCGGCTGTTGTTGGGTTCACTTCACATCATCAAAACAAAGCAGAGGTTGGAGGGAGCAACATCCGAAGCAACATCTTGGATCGTCACTAGTAGCTATCTTTTTGGCCTCGGGGCGCGGATACACCATTGGTTCGGTTGATTACAGGCAGGGTTTTCCCAGGAATAGTTCCGAACAACTGAGGTGCCAACCAACATTGCTTAGGTAGCTGGCTATCTTGAACTTCATTGAAGCTATTGACGACACTAGACCAGCATTGCTATTCACGGTCTTCGTTTTGTGTTGTTGTGTTGCTTTACACTTATTACAAGTTATCGCTTAAGTCAGAATGGTAAGGCTTTGTTCCCCTTCCTTTTCTATTTTCTCTCGGCAGCACTGATTCAATGTTTTACCCGGTGGTAGGTCTCCAAGCTGCGGCGTCTCGCAGCGGACCATGCTGCTTTGCATGAAGAACTTCCACCGAACTACCTTTTTCCTCCCGAAGATGCCTCCGACGACTTGACGCAGCTTACAACCTTGCTGGCCGGACCACAGGGTACACCGTACTCCCAAGGACTGTGGCGATTGCACCTAAAAATACCAGAAGACTACCCCACGAGCCCACCTAAGGCGACTTTCAAGACCCGAATATGGCATCCCAATGTGGAGGAGTCCACCGGCGCGGTATGTGTGGACACCTTGAAGCGAGACTGGAAGTCGACTTTGACTCTGAAGGATGTATTGATTGTAAGTGCAATTTGCCCCAGGGCCTCACCTCACATATCTGGGAGGAATTGAGAAAAGATTCCTTTGCTGACGCTTGATGCGCTATTGATCTAGACTATCTCGTGCTTGCTCATCTACCCAAATCCTGACTCCGCTCTTAATTCTACGTCTGGTGCTCTACTCCAAGAAAACTACGATGCATTTGCCCGTCAGGCCAAACTAATGACGTCTATTCACGCCCCCGTCCCTGCAGAGCTAAGAACAGCGGCCCTGGAAGCGAAGATGAGAGGCGAGGAATCTGACACCACGATCCCCGAACAAGAGGAAGCATCGCGATGCTTAAGATCCCGACAGGGAGCTAGAATCCAGTCATTGACCATGAAGAAGAAGACTGGTGCCAACCGGAAAGACACCGGTGGACCATCACAACTCAACGACCATTACGAATCATCAGAACAACATCCCCATCATCAATCCGAACACATCGATTCATCACTCTCAGATGGCGAGAATGACAATGACAACGAGAACGAAAACCCCTCCTGCTCCACAAAAGAAAACGACCCCTCCCTCTCACCCTCCCCAGTTAAACTGGCCCCTCCGAGTCCCCGCAAAAATGCTCATGGGAAACGCCCCTTATCCGTCCTCACCATGTCCATGGACCCCGACCCATTCGCCATGGATACAGAAGACATTGACGCCGACGGCATGACACCCTCAGAACGAAACATCGCCGCAAACATATCACCCATTATTGACCCCCGAGACCGAGACCGCGATTCCTCCCCTCAACGCAAATCCCCCAAACTCTCCCTCCTAAACAGGGGAGGCATTAACGCCTCCGGTCGTATCCGCGAAGACCTAAAGATATACGAAGACATCCCATCAGACCCCTCGCACCCCTTACGCCATTGTACTACGGGACACGGGAAGGAGAATCGCGCCTCGTCCAAAAACCCAGGCTCATTCATGAAAAAGTCCCATCCCCCGCATCTTTCTGCATCTGTTACTTCCTCCGCTGCATCTTCGCTATCGGCTGCCTTGAACTCGACAAGCTCTAGGATTTCGAGACCTAGTGCTAGCACTCGGAAAGTGTCGTCATCGAGTATGAAAAAGGTAAAGCCTCGGATAGGCATTCGGAGACTATGAACTAGAACAACCTTTTTTTTTCTCTTTCTTTTCTTGTGACTGCTTAACTTCTGTAAACTAAGCTGAGCATTCACTTTCTTGAATCATGGTTTGTTTCTTTTGGCGTTCTTATATTGCGCACTGGGTTGAATTGTTCGGCTCTTCTTGGATTTTCAACGTTTCTTTATTAGCATTTGGTTGGGATTGCTTGCCTTGAGGAGTCTTCCTTGCATAGTTGTTTCTGGTGCATTGTTTTCTGCATTCGTCATGGCCCTTTTTGCATTGAGCTGTCATAAAATAAGATGAAACCGCGCAATACTCGCCGGTCTGGTGGAATTTAGGTTCCCCGTTACTCTCTGTAGGTGCCCTGTAGGCACCTGGGCTGCATTAGATTAGGCAAGAACCAACATTGTCCGAAAATACCAAGTTAAAAGAAATAAGCTAAGCTATGCTAATATCTAAGACGAATACAATTTTTCCTAACATCTCGTATCCGAATCGCCTTCCCAGTAATACTGTCAGTAAAGCTACCCGTCTCTTGTATTATCTGCTCCCCTATTTTCTTTCCCCAGTCGGGGAGCTTCAATTAAGCCTCTTTCGAGCCCTCGATATACTTCAAGTGTTTGCTCAGCGGATCGTTGCCATGACTCTCACATTATCCTGAGACTGATACTGAGACAAAACTCAAGACAACCGGCCCACCAGCTTGACCTAGATGGGCACCAACTATTATAAAATAACAAGCATAAACAGGACGCTAGACTGATTAAAGCAATATTACCCAGAGAAGACGGGTCAGCAATAATGTGAGTGTCACTTGGTGCCTGGCGATAGCATAAAATGGCCATGACAGCTATACAAACCGTCAGACGGACCCCCTAAAGTTGCCAAGATGGCTAAAAATTTGTAATATAAACATGGAACACTGGTGAGGGAAAGGGAGTTTCCAGTCCTCTACAAAGCAAAGGGGTTGACCGAGCGAATAGTGAGGCATCTGAATTTCGAAAAGTTAGCTACAATCGCGGAGAAAGACCCAAATACAGCCCCCCCCCCCCCAAAAAAAAAAAAAAAAAAAAAAAAGGGAACGGGGAAGAGAAAACTTACGGTGGACTCTTGGTCAGATCGGTCTTGAGAATGATGGGTACGCGAGTCATCTCGGTAACATCTTGAATATATTCTCCACCTTCCTCTCTAAGCTTGAACAGGCGGAGATACTTCTCCTTATTGGTCAATTTAGCTTCAGGGGCATCCGCAGTGCTCGTGGCAATTTTGGGGTCAGAGCGGGTGCGGTGAGGGCCTTGGGGCATATGGCCGTTGCGGGTAGGGGAAGGTGGCATGCTTTGAGTCGAACGGTCAGCAGAAGAAGTCAACGACACGCCTGCTGCCATCTCTGTGACTTCAGAGACATCGTCATCATCGTCGAAGAGAGCATCAACATCATCAGCAGACATGGTTCTAGTTTCAGTCTGTCTCCTCATAGCTTCCTCCCTCTCCCTAGCACGCTCCCGCGCAGCTTCTGCCTCCCGCGCAGCAGCGGCAGCTTGGGCAGCACGGGAACTAGCGGGCTTAGGGCGTTCGTCCTCAGGGATGTAAGCTGATGAGGGCACACCCTTCTCCCAGTAGAGCTCCAGAACCCGGGTCTCTTTGCGGTATTCGGCCTTCTTAAGAGGGAGTTGATCACAGTGAACTCGCTTCTCGAAACCGTACTCGGGAATAAGAACGTCAAACGCAGACTCGTAGACGCAAATAACGATACCCTCGCTGATCAGATCACCACCGATTTCCTGGCGTATTTTATCCATATTGCGGCACGCCTCGATATGAACACTCTGCTCCTGAGCGTTATGGGCAGAATCCTTCTTGTTGTTACAAAGTTCTGCGGTCTTGCTGAGGGTTTCAATATCGTCGGAAAACTCAATTGCGCCGTCCGATAAGATAGCCTCTAACTGACGATGGACAATTATATCGGAATAACGGCGGGAAGGATTCGTAAAATGAGTGTACACGGGTAGATTGAGGGTGTAGTGCTGACGCTGCTCATCCTGCAGATTGCCAGCAACACAGTATTTCGCGCGTTGCATGGATTTCGTCAAGATTGTTTCCATTCCCTAAAAGTTGTAAGAAAAAGATCCATATTTTTCTGCGCATGAGCGTTTGAAAGGGAAGAGATGAACATACCTTACGCAAGTCGTCATCCTGGACCTTGCAGAGGCTACTCTGCAAGGTTCCACTGCTTGTGGGATCCAAGCCAAACCCGAGGCTGTTCATGCGATCAACGAAAGACTGAAGGCGACGGGGGTTGGGCGGCATTTGACGACGGAGGAAGGCCTTCTCAGGCAAAGCCGCCACCAACTTGCGCGCAACCAGGAAGTTTGCCTTATGGCCTAGCTCCTCCACAAGCTCGCGTACGGCTGAGGAGTCAAAGATGTTGTTCTCCACTGGCACATTCTCATCATCCAGCTGGTGCAGCAGGCGAAGCGGCGGGATGAGGGAAACTCGATTACCCAATCTCACTTCACGGAATTTCGAGGTAATGTTCTAAACCAGTTCATTCTGGGATTAGCCCGAGCACACCCCGATATTGGATTTGGAAAATAGACAAAACGCTTACCTGTAGTTTACGGATGGTATCGACGGTAACACCAGTCACAGAGATATCGGAAGTGCCTTGGATCACAGACTCTACCTCATCATAGCTTAGTTTGCCTGAGCTCTTGATGATACCCTTGCCGATCCATACATCATCGTCGATGGCACCCGTCTCTGGGCTAGCCTTAAAGACGACGCTGACGGTGAAGCGCTCCTCTCCAGGGAGCAAAGCGCACAATTCGGTCGAGATCCGCAGAGGCAACATATTGACAAGCCGGTCCACTAGATAGACGGCAGTTCCACGTTTCTTGGCCTCCCGGTCAACCAGGGAGTTGGCTTTGACGAAATGAGCAATATCACTGATGTGAATACCAATCTCTACTTTTCCGTCAGGGAGGGCCTTGAAGTGATAGGCGCTATCCAGCTCTTTAGTTCCACTGGGATCAATGGTAAAAGTGGCTTCCTGACGGAAATCGCGACGAGATGAAACATCGGCTTCGCTAGAGACCGACCAGTTGTCCCAACCAATGCTCTTTAGGACCGCATCGGAAAACTCGTCAGAGCCAAAGTTATTGTCTCGGAGGAGGGCCTCCGTTTCCACTTTCAGGTCGCCCATTTCTCCTAGTTGCTCAACAAGAGTACCAAATGGATGCAACGAAGTGATCGGCCACCGTTTGATGCATGCAACAAAGATACGATTGGCATATTCTTGGTGTTTCTCGACGAAGTCACGGGGAGCCTGCTCTGTAGGGATCGCGATCAGGGGGACCCGCTTATCGGTCGGCTTGAACCAAACGATCTTGGGCTTCTCCTGCTGGCGGTCTTGCTGGTGGCGGCCGTGAGCACCGTCTCTGGCAATCCTCTCAGCTTCCTGCTTCTCCTTTGTTGCCTGGCTGCTGGGACGAAGGAGGCCAAGGGTACCGGAGAACATTTGTCCGGCGATACGTTCAATGACCGCGACAATGTGACCGGCATACAAGGGCTTCTGCTCGTCACTGATTTCATCTTCCTCGACGAGAAGTAAGCTCTGTCCTTCGACTTCAACGTCATCGTTCTTCTTCTGGGTTGGTCGCTGGCGAAGACTACCGCGGCGGCGGATGCTGCCATCGGGTCCAATCTCCTGACGATCCCCATTGTGACCTGAATCAGAGCGAGACAGCTTGTCAGCCCCAGCGGTACTTCCCGAGCGAGCATCTGTGATGTCCTTGCGCTTCTTCTTTTCCTCTTTTTCTCTTTTCTGGGTCCAGACCTCGTCTACATCGAGAAGCTCAACAGCAACATAGTCGCCCTCGAGAGCGCGATTGCGGTCTTTACTTCCACAGATGAAGATATCGGCGTCCAGGTCCGGGGTAGTGACATACGCATCGGAACGATTTTTCTTGTTCACGCGAAGGATACCCGCAACAAGCTGACCGTTGCTCAAGAGCGCAGGGAGATTTGCCTGGGGAAGGTAGGGGGTGAACAGGGTCTTGCGCTGCTGCTGCTGCTGTTGCTGTTGCTGCTGCTGCTGCTGCTGGACAGACAGCTGAGGAGGAGCATGTTGACTGGCCTGGAGACCAAGACCCTGGCCATTAAGCTGCCCATTCTGCTGCAGAGCCTGGAGCTGTGCAAGTTGAAGGGGGCTAAGCTGCTGGCCACCGCCAAACATCTGGGGTGGAGCCATGACTACCTGGCCCTGCGGGAGTTGGATTAGTTGAGGCTGGCCTGGATACTGGAATTGACCGATCGAGCCAATTGACTGATTCATCGATGCGCGGGCACGATGGCCAGGCTGGAATCCCGATCCCTGTTGCCCAAGACCCTTCTGCTGATCTTGGTTCTGAGCTTGGTTGTTTGGCTGGCGCCAATTGCCGTCAAAATTTCTCGAGGATGTGCGAGCGTGTGCAGGCTGACTTCCACGTCGCTGGTTCTCAGAGCCCATGCCATCGTTCGAAGGGAACTGGAAACCACCTGCACCACGGCCGGACAGAGAACCCCTGTTGCCGCCCACAGCCATGGACTGGCTCCGACCATGACCGCTAGCACGAATATTGCCAGCTCGGTGAAGACCTAGGCCCTGGGGCGGTTGTGCAGAGCCAGGGGTTGATTTGTCCTCCGAAGTCGATGTGTTATCGGATGAATCGCCGGTATTGCCGGGTGCAGGGAACTGGAAACCAGAGGCAGTTCTCTTCTGCTGGGCGAGCTCTGCAGCCTTTTTAGCTTCGGGAAGGGCGAGGGAATGACGGCGCTGGTGGCCACCACCACCGGGGGGCCCTCCCCGTGAACGGCCATGACCACCATTTTCATGCTTCTGATTGTTTCCCTGCTGTTGTTGGTTGTAGTCGGCATAACCCGAAGCTCCCGATGATGGAGCTGGGGGAGGACCCATACCGAGACCTGGGAGAGCGGATTGATTGCGACGATGCGAGTGTTGAGCCGAAGCATTCATGGGGACTCCCAGCTGTTGCTGGCCAACTTGGGGAAACTGGAAAGCGTTGAGTTGAGGGGAAACACCGGCCATGGATGTGCCGCCTCCTTGGAGAGATTGAGAGAAAGCAGGAACCTGGCCCAGTTGCTGTGGTTGCAGCAGGCCCATGTTCACGTATTGTTGGTGTGTGGCGGCGATTTGCTGCTGTTGCTGCTGAAGCAGCTCGATTTGCTGCTGGATAGCCAGTTGTTCCACTATTACCCAGGCTGTTAGTTAAACCGGGGTGGACGTTCTCCAGAGAGAGCAAGCACGATAGCTCTTGAGGTAACACATACTCATGAGGGGAGTGAGCTCAGAGGGACTTCTCCTGTGGGCAATATGAAGCTTTCGCCCAGCTGGTCCGGGAACCCCGGATTGACCTTGTTGATCCATCTTCCGGCGCAAGAAGGGAACGGATTAAGCTGGTATAACGTTCAAAGTTCTGGAGGAAGTGATCCACCCTGAATATGAGGGAGCGTTGCAAGTGGCAGGGTGGCACTTGTCAATATATATTTGCGAAGTACGCCGACCGGGAGGTTACGCTGAAACAACGAGGGAAAGTCCTGGAGTATACTGGATACAGGAGAACGATAGGTTAGTAACTGAGGAGGTAGGAGGAATGAGGAGCGGAGGAGGAGGGTATGGAGAAGCTCTGAAAGTCTCAAAAGGAAAACAAAAGCCAGCGGGAGGTGGCATCGCCAACAAAACGTGAGCTGCGATTACCCCGGGAAGAGAGAAATCGGAATGCAGGCTGGGTATACTGGGAAGGAGCAGAGAAAAAGCGGGATGAAGGAAAGTCAGGCAGGCAGGCAATGGGCAAAAGCTGTGCCAATGACTTGACGCCATCCAACGTACGGAAGGGATAACCCTCCACAGGTAGGGGGGGAAAAAAAGAAAGAAAGACAGACAGACAGAAAGATATGATACTAATTATTAAATGAACATACCTCTTAACGATCGCTGAATGTGAAGGAATTTTGCTGTATGACGTCTGGGTGTCCTCTTTTCGTGGATTGAAACACTTCCCCTATTGCGGATGAGGGAGAAAAAGCGGGCGGCAATGACAGTCGTGGAGAACCCGAGAGCAATTAAAGGGAAAACGAAGAATAAGAAGTAGAAGAAGATATTCACACACAAAAAAACCAGGATGCAGTGTGAGCTCTGCAAGAAGGACGGACTGATTTGAGGGGGGCAAAGCGTTAAGAGGAGGAGAGGGGGAGAAGCAGCACCAAAAGGTAGGTAAGTGGATGGAAGCTGTCGGGTGCCCCAAATGCCATACAAGCGACTTGAATAATGAACCACCACCAAAATCTTTCTGCCGTAACAACAACTGGATGGAATTGTTTACAGCCAATTTTTTTTCTTTTTTGGGAGGGGTTTTTTTTTTCCCGTCTGATTAATTATTCTTTCCCCCTTTTTTTTTTCCTTTTCAGAAACAAAATAAGAGGTAGAAAAAAAAAAACTTGATTCCCGGATGTGGGATTTGCAAAGAGGAATCCGAGTCCCACAAATGGTTGGCCAGAAAGAGGACTAGAAAAAGGGGGGGGGATTAAGGCTGAGACTGAGAGAGAGCAACAGTTACAGCTATTAAGTTGGTGTTCTTTTCTTTCAAAGGTCAAGGGTCAATGTGTGAGAGAGGGAGAGAGAGAGAGAGAGAGAGTGTGTGTGTGTATGTAAGAGAGAGAGAGAAGATACAAAAATATTCTTCTCTCAAGATGATGACTGCCAGCTTTGACAATAGTGGTTATATCTTTCAGTGGATCCAGGAGGAGGATTGAGGCAAAAAAGCAACAATATCTGACCACAGCGAAAGAGAATGACAGGATAAAAATAACAGCAGTTCGATGATGGAACTGAAGGAATGGGATTGGAGGATAGGGATAGATAGTTAGAGGGAGGGAGGGAAATAGAGAGAGGAAAGAAGGAGGGGTAGCTAGATTAAAAGGAGAGGAAAAAAGAAGATGAAAGAAGAAGAAGAAGAAGAAGAAGAACAAGATGAGAGGAAGAGGAGGAGATGAAAAGAAGAAGAGAGGAAGAGAGGAAGAGAAGATGAGGAAAAAGAAAAGAGGATTGAAGAGTTCCCCCAAAATAAAAAAGGATGGCGAGAGAGAGAGAGAGAGAGAGACTTCAGCAGTAGAGCAGTAGGGAATAAGTTACTACTAATTAGGATAGAAACTCCTCATCATCATCATCATTGCCATCGCCATCGCCATCATATACTAGTTACCAAACAAATTATAGAGGATGAATCAATACTCCGTAGTTAGCCAGAATCATACCCAATATCGAGATGTGGGGGAGTGTAAGAGGCAATATAATAATAATAATAATAATAATAATCATAATGTTCTACTAAAAAACCTTGACAAACCTTGACAATTTATTCAAGTTTTCTCCTGGAGATATTTCCTTATTATTATTATTATTATTATTATTATTCTCATTATTATTATTCTGAGATCATAGACAAGACTCTTTCCCCCAAATTGCTCCAAGTAACTGACTGGATGAGGATCTGTCACTAAGGCAAAGTTACCATACTTTGAGCTCCTCAGGGTCTTCTGGGTCGGGCTGTCATCGTCTCCAGTCTGGATTCTTCTATAATTCTGGGCCAACCCATGCATAACGCGAATCTCTGGGCGTCATTTGAAATATGGGATTCTTCCTGTACTTTCTGATCCCAGCTGACGAACTGATGCAGGTCGCGACGTTCAACACTTGCATCAAGGGGTATAAATAGGGAGGTGGGTGTTCGTTCGACTCCATCCAAACCAACCTAGGTTTCACCGTAAGACTAGTAGGATTTCTTCCAGATATGACTCCGTTACCATTCTCATAGTTTATCACTGTACCCTGTACAGGGAAAGGGAGGAAAATCTCCTGATCTCGCAAGTAAGTAAGAGTGAGGTCCCATAAGAAAAGAGGAAGAGTTCTCGAGAGTCCCGGCTGGACCCACCAAAGCTCAGACAGTCACTCAGACTCTCACTCAGCACAACTAATGAGCGGCCCCACCTCCTGACAGAAAAAAAAAAATATAAATCCTTACTTTCTGAGACATTGGAAGAGCTTCATCTCATGGTGTTCATCATGATGATGTAGAGGATGAGGTCGTGGACCAGGGAACAGAAAACGGAAAAGGGTGAATGGTGTTCAGGTGATCGGCGGTATTATGGGTCCGGTACTGATACGGTATCCGTACCGTATTTTAACCCGGCGCCGCTACGGCATTCCACATGGACCACAAGAGCTCTGCTGACTAAGCCCTATAGAGCGACAACAAAAAAGATCGCGTCCCAAAGCTGCCCGTCCGTCTTGTCCTCCAGTCCAGCTCGACATTTCTCCTCCCCCAACATTCTGGGTCTTTTTTCCTTTTTCTTTCTTTTTCTCCCCTTTCGCTCTTTACTCCCCTCGGATTCAGCTTCTTCTATTCAGCCCAATCAGTGGTGTTCCATCCGACCGTTTCTCATTTTGCGCTTCGATTCCGTCATATCGGCGGAGACATGCTCGGCCTTGTCCTCCGGAAAACATTGAATCGGTTTTCCCATATCTTTGTTTGAACTGCCTCCTTTCTTTATTCGGGAAAATCAATTGATCTTTAGCTCTCGTTGTACCTTCATTTCTAACCCGAGACTCGCCCAATCCGAAAGGTGGAACCTCCTAGAGTGCCACAAAGTATGACCTAAACCTCAGATATATTCATCGGTCGAGGATCACTTCAATTTGCAGCAATCAACTCGCATCGGATATCCTTCCAGGAACAATTCAAGGACGACCACCCACCAATTGCCTTCGACAGCACCTGCATGATGGGTCGACTCAGTTACCCCCCGCAGCTAGACAGTCCCTCGAGGCAACTTATGCGCGATTTAACCCGGGACCTCGAGCAGCTGCGGGTCCATAACACCGAGTTAAAAAAGGTTAAAGCTTACGAACGGCGCTCTTTTTACGAGAACCTCGATCGACTTGACAGTGAGCTTGAAGCGCAGCATAATGCAGCTCTCGACAAAGTTGCCGCGCTCCATGACCAAGTGTTGGAGGAGGCGGAGGAAACCCTACGAGCGCATGAGAGGGCGGTGGAGGAGGAGAACCGCCGGAAGCAGGAAGAGGCTCGAAGAGAGGCGGAGCGAAAAGAGCGCGAGAGGCTAGAGAAGCTCCGTCGCGAACAGGAGGAGCAGGCGCGACGAGAGGCCGAGCGCAAGGCTGCCGAAGAAGCTAGACAAAAGGCCGCCGAAGAGGCAGAGAGGAAGAAACGCCTAGAGCTGGAGGAGCGGGAACGAAAGGAACGGGAACGGTTGGAAGAAGAGAATCGGAAGCGTCAAGCGGAGGCTCAAAAGGCAGAACAGGAAGCTGCACGGCTCAAAGCAGAAGCGACCCAAAGAGAGCAAGCAGAGCGACAGAAACGACTGGGCGGGGGTCGCTTGACGGATGAGGAGGTCAAAACTCACCAGCGATATGTTGAGCTGCACCAACATTTGAAGAAATTCCGCCAGTATCTCAAAGACCAGTCGAAAACCGACCCCATTGTCAAGCAAAATATGGGGGAGATGCGGCGAGCAATCAAGAAATGTGTGGGTCAGCTACGGGAAGGCAAGGGCACAAACAAGGGCCAGGTAAGTGTACTTTCTGTTGTGGACGGAAAACATTCAGAGCTAAGAATCTTTCGTCTACAGACTCAGGAAATCCGTGCTACACTCGAGAAGGCCGCTACCATCGCAGAACCGTCTGTGGATATTCGCCAATTTCTCGCCTTTCCACCAGAAGACATTGCCAACTCCGAAGACAGCAAGGTGCCTGCTCTCCTGATTTACGCACTGAACATCTTCTCCAAATGTCTTATTTCATCCCTTCTCACGGAAGCATCAATTAACCCCGGCCATGCGGAGCCCATCGGCATTATCGCAGCCCAAATATTTTCCATGGATGCGTTCATCTATAAAGGCTGCCACATGGTTGATATCCTTTGGGCGAAATACCGGGTGGTATGCCCCGCACTATGGGGATTCTACGGCAATGAGAAGACGGAAGCCGGTAGACGTGCCCTTGGATGGTGGCGTGAAAGTCCAGATGGCCCCTTTGTCAGTGAACAGGGTCATGCAGACCGGATGACTGCACTTGGGGCCGGTTTTGCCGCGCTTAGCCTACGCAACTTCGGCAAGACCGCGCGTAAAAATCCCTTCCCCAACACTCTCTTCTGGTACTCGATGCAGAAAATCCTCAACATCCCTCCAAGCGAAATCCAGGAGACCCACATGACCCTCCTTTCCGCCATGCTGAAGTCCTCCGCGGAAAGGATCGTTGGTTTCTTTGGACACATCGGTGTAGCTCTGATGAGGAAGGCAATAGTCGAACTACCCAACAACTTCACTCGTCAAAGTATGGCGGTAAGCCAGTTGAAACTTCTCCAGGACTTGTATAGGCGGGAGAAGAATATCATCATCTGAGCGATAGCCAAGGGGACCCTTGATCTGGAAGTCGACTTCACTCTCGGTGAATCCAACTTGCAAGCAAACAGTGGACGCCCGTGGAGCAAATCCAAAATTTCTATAGCGAGAGGTCAAGAGTCGCATGAGGCATGCAACGAGCTTGATTGACAATGCTGGACTCTCGGAAGACTAATATGCACGATTGGGTTTCAAATACACACTCAAAGGGTGCGCATTTCAGCTTACTTTGCTTACCGTCGTCCCCGATCTCAGATACTTAGGTGCTTGTCATTGAAAGCAGCCCGTGATTTGGGGTTGTGATCTTTCTCAATTACCGCATCTTGTAAACTCGCGATTGATTTTGATTTTGATTTTGATTTTGATTTTGATTTTTTTTTGCAAGTCTCAGAATTTCGCGTCTAGTGCTTCAAAGCCAAGTGCGGACTGATCTGTTCTCATTTATCATAGTCCCCATCTATCGATGAGCCCTAAAAACGGATTCTTTAGCAGCTGGATGGCGCAAGGGGTGTGTGGCAAGGCTTCATCGCAATGTTCTGATTTCCGCTCAATTGCCCGCCTCGTGTTCTTTTCGATTTTCTTGCAGGAGGGTCTTCGGAACCCCATATGAAAGGCCCTAATGAGGAAGTCAAGTACGGGCTATGTGCTTTGGAGATTCTTCACGTTATCTCCTTCGAGCTCGTCCTCGAGAGCTACGCTGCAGTTCGACTGGCATAATTGTGTACTGTACTTCAAGGCGGAATTTACTAGGACGGCGAAGTCGCATCGCAAAAGGACAATCTCAGCGGGAATTTCCCCAGGGAGTCAGTGCTACCTCGACTCCGCTACTCTAAGCATCGCACTCCATGCAGAGAACCCGACCCATGCGCGATGTATCCTCAGGGGTTTCCGACCCCTGCCCCTGCCGTACCCTGCAACACAGCATCTGCAAGGCCCCTCCATCCGAGAACCCGGTCGATGCTTCACCCAGGGATGCACCAGTCAGTGGATACTGCATTGGCCACGTTGGGCACGGTTCTCCTTCAATCAACCCCTCCCCCCCCGGTTACAATCCATCGCATCTTCCCACCCACGCACATCACAACCCAACCTTCCAACACTCCCAATCCTCGTTCGAATCGAATGGAACTGAATCCAAAATAACAAATACCCCCCTTGCACTTGCTTGCTATATATATATATATATATATATATATAACCATGTGATGTGCCACGAAAATAACTCCCAAATACAAACTTCGGTTGATTATCGAGTCAGAGTAGAATTATAATATAATTAAATTTAATGCTGAATACGCCCACCGGCCTGAACAACCTGGTGGGCTATGTAAATGCACTGCATCAAAGTATGGGGGGGGGGAAGGTAGAGAGAGATCACTGGAGTACAGGGGAGGGAATCAATAAATAGCATAAGACGAGAATCGATCGCTCTAGAGAGAGGTCTGTTCTGGTATAAGCAAATCAACAGGGGACATAGAATAATAAATATGAATAAATAAATCACTATCAAGCATCACATAGGAAAATAGAGTAAGAGAGAAAAAGAAAAGAAAAGAAAAGAAAAGAAAAGAAAAGTATCAAGGGAGTGTGTGACTCGTAGGATTAGGCCAATTATTTAAACAAGCGAAGGGGAGAGAAAGACGAAGAAGCATTGTACAAAAGATTTGCTGCAGATTTTTGCAAAAATCAACTGGGTGGTATCTGGTGTAAAGATAACAAAAGGCAAAGAAAAAAAAAAAATAATATAGGAAAATCACAGGTGGAAAAAAAAAAAAAAAAAAAAGTAGTACCTAGTTAGGCTCTACTGTTATTAAATACAAGAAGCCGTGAAGATGAAAAAAAGCAGAAGATAGAAAGATCAATTCAAGCTAACTTGAGGGGATCAAAGAAGGGGCAAATTCAACAGGAGAACGCCATATATCATTGGAGAAAGAAAAGGGAAAACCTCAGCAGCAATTTTGGAAGGGTGGGTGAACACTGGGGGGGGGGAAGGAAACCGGGTCATTTTATCAGGCAATCTGGGGCCCAAAGGGACCGTCTGTCTCCTTGGGTGATGCTGAGACTAAACCATCCACAGTGCTTTCGATTTCGTCTTCGAGAGAACTCTGGGGGTAATCGGTAGGTTCGGCGTCGTGGTCATAGCTGGACCTTCGCATTAAAGGTGGAGTGGTTGGTGGTTCTCGCATCTTGCCCGCCCGCGAGGAAAGTGGCCTTGGGGTTGTATTATAGCTCTTCAACGGGCGGCTCTCTGATGGTCGTCTCCAACCAGTGGCTGGGGGAGCACTGCTGTTGGAATTGATCTGTCGAGCATTCGAGCTAGGAGGGGTTAAGAGCCCGGAGAGAAAAGAGCTTGCGTTACTTGGCTTGGACGGCGTCTGTTCGGATGCGTTGGAGCTCGAGTTCTCTCTTCCTTTGCGCCAGTTACCCCAGGCGGCTGCTGCTGCAAGAGGAAGTGATCGCGGGGATGCAGTGATTTCAGACAAGGAAGGGAAGCTGGGGAAGCCCTGGCCATTCAGAGCCCTCTCCCTCTCTTGCTGTTGCATTTGAAGATTTGCCTTTAAGCGGATTGCAGCATCGCGGACGGCGTTGTGGTTGAAAGACGGCTGCGAGACAGTCGTGATGATATCCTGAAGATCATTGAGGCGAACTTCAAGGAGTTCCCGCAACCAATTGATTTCGGTGTCCTTTTCCTTGAGCTTAGCAGGGGCATCTTTGTCGATAGCGGCAACCTCTTGTTCGAGCTCTTCGATGCGTGTCTCACGCTGTTGCAGCTGATCCTGTAGAACAAGGATCGACTCCCGCAAAGCTTGTGGCGAGATCTTCTCGGGAACTGATGACCCCGTGCTGAAGGACATTGAAGGGGGGCCTGAGTGCTGAGCTGATTCAACAAGAGTCCCGGCCTTGGCTGACCGGGCAGCCTCAGCGGCGGCTCGAGCAGCGGACTGGGCAATCTCAAGCTTCTCTTCAAGATGTACAACCCGTTCTTGGAAGTGCTTGACCTTGTCATCAGATAAGGCCAGGCGATCCTCAAGATGAGATTCTGCGCGTTGTCTATCCTCAGAAGCGTTATGCAGAGCACGAGCGTGACGCTCCCGAAGGTCATTGAGAGCACGCTCATGCAATTTCCGCTGATCCTCCAGAGCAAGTTCCTTGGCTTCGTTCATTGAAGCCAATGAATTAGCCTTGGTTTCATGTGCTTCCTCAAGCAGCATCTCGTAACGCTCCCGTGAGGTGTCACTATCAAGCTTGACGTTATCCAACTGCGTCTGAAGGCGCAGAATCTGAGATTCCAGTTCGGCGCGAACGAAATTGACTTGGTTATTAGCAGCCTCGAGATCCGTCTCCAGAGACGTTCTGGTACGCTGGATCTCGACTCTGCTACTCTCACGCGCCTCGTTGAACTCGCGTTCAAACCGAGCTGCCTTGATTTCCAGATCGTAGTTTTTCTGTCGGAGGTCATTGACAATTTCCTCGAGTCTTGCATTCTCTTGCTGGGACTGTCCAAAGATAAATTTCAATTTGGTCGCCTCGCGCTCCTGTTCCTCAAGCTTGGTGATATCCTCCTCAAGCTGCTCACGCAATTTAGTCTCTCGGTTGTGGGAGGCGCGCAGTTCGTTATGTCTAGCATTCAGCTCCTCCTCCTTTCGTCGCCAAGAGGCCTGGTTGCGAGTCACGTCTCGGGTCACGGTGGCCATTTCATCCTGGATACGATCAAGCTTCTCGCTAAGGTTTTGTCGAATGTTGAGGCCGTCTTCGATACGTGCCGCCATGGTAGTGATCGTGTTTCGTAAGTGCCTGTTTTCAGCGCTGACCTCATCCAGCTGAGCCTTGTTTTCTTCGCTTTCTCGCTTCCAGTTATCGCTCAAAACACGGTACTCATCCAGAGTGCCCTGCAGTGTAATGTTCTTTGAAGAGAATTCATCGAGGGTGAGTCTGATATTCTCACGCTCTTTCTCGAGAGCATTTGCTTTCTGCTGGATATTCTCAAAATAAGGCATCTTTTCCTCCTGCAGTTGGAGTAGGCGGGCCTCAGCCGATTCAGCGGCAGCGCTGTGACGGGTAGCATCGTCTTCAACCATTTTCAGAAGTCGCTGGAGTTCTGAAACGGTGTCCTGTGCCTCCCTTCGTTTCTTATATTCGCTCTCCGCTCGCTCGTCGGTAGTCCTGAGCATACTCTTCAAGCCTTCAACCTGGAGCATGAGGCTGTCAGCTCCGATCTCCTCGGCTTCGGAGGGACGGCTCCGCTGGCTGGCCATGACCTCTTGCATCATTTCTCGCATGCGAGCGGTATTATCGTCCGACAGCTTTTGTGCCGTCATAGCGTGCAACTCGGCGACGGTTTCGCGAAGCTGTATCAACTCCATGAGCGGGGCAGGTTCTGGCGCGGGCTGGATTTCACGAGTTTCCAGGGCTTCCAAAATCACACTCTTCAGCTTTTCAAGCTTTCGATCTCTGCGGCGGATTGGCGACCTCGCCTTATAAGACGATGCGTCTTCTTCGTATTCTTCATCCTCATCATCAGCATCACTATCCATAACCTCTGCGGAGGTACTCCTCCATCCTAGTGTAGTCAGCGGGGCTGTGTTAATCGCAACAAGAGATTGCTGAATAGAATTGAGTGCACGCTCGAGAGGAGACAGGCGCTTTTCGATAGTAGAGGCAAGAAGCTCGTTAATACGGCGATCAAAGAACCTGCTTCGGTCCGCCAGCTTCACATCTTCACCCGAAGAGATCATGTCGCCCCAGTCACTAACATGCTCATTTCGGCTCATTAGCTGTCTAATAGGTGACTGAATACGGGATATGACACCCTTGGAAGGAGTCGCCGAAAAGTGAGATTGTGCATCGAAATCGAGCTTCGGCACATGCAACGTGTGAGAGACGGGACCCCGTCCAGGACTGGGGCTCGCAGGCTCGCTTCTGTTGTCTGCATGGACATGTTTCTTTTCCTTCGAAGGCCCTAAAACCGAGTCTAGCAGGTGGCTGGCTGGCTGGGGTGTGCTCAATCTCTCGATTCCGAGGTCAGAATCGTCATTAAGTTGTTCCATAATTGCGTTAAGTTGCTCCTCATCCGGAGAATCTTCCACTGCTTGGAAGACGTCATCGAGTACATGAACCTTTGCCTCAAGCTCAGAAGCTGAAACCCCGGGCTCGGGCTCCTGCTCGGACTCGGCGGGCAAACTTGCAACAGCGGAAGTAGAGATCATGAGGCCTTTGTTCTCCATAAAAGTGTCCTTGGGGGGGTCCTTGGGGGGCGGTTGTGGGGGTTCAGTAAACACTGGTACGAATTCTGCGATAGAGGGTTTGAAATGGAACGGCTTTGCTGTGGGTGAAAACACCGGCCCCTTCAGCCCGGTGTTGGCCTCGGTAGGTTCTATACGTTGATCTTGGTCGTCGGGTCTCGGTACCAATGTTTCCGGCTTATTGTCCACAGGAGAGTCAGGAGCCTGGTGATGTATGTGATCTGGCTCGGCTGAATCCTGAGGTGCCATTGCGTCCTGATCTTTGGTTCCCAAAGGAGCCCATGTGGAAGCCTCGCTAACTGGAGTGTCTTTCCGCTCAATGGGGGTATCGTCCTGAACCAACGTCTTTGCATCTGTTGCAAAGTCACCCCGTTCCGGCAAAGCATTCTCTTTGCCCTCAGCAGGCATGTGCGAGACATTCATTGCTTGCAAAGCCTGGTTATTTGTCTCAGTCAAAGCATGCGGCACACTATAGCGGGCCTCCTCATCTGAAGAGCCTGCGGCGCCACCACGGCGAACACGCTTCTTGAGGCGGTCCGAAGTAACTCGCTGGCGATCTCCATTGTCTGCCTCGTCGTCTTCCTCTCTGTCATCTTCCTTGTTATTATCGGGTCGGACAATGGGAATAGCCTTGGACTTCTTAGCAGGCTTCGACATCTCAGAAAAGTTAATGTCTTTGAAAATTTTCGTTGCAGGTGTGGCTTCCTCGGATTCTATGCTGCGAATACTACTACCGGGGTTGAACTCAGCCGCCGCAATATTCAAGGTAGGGCTTGAGAATGAGAATTCATGGGGTCCATCATTATTTTGGCCGTAGCTAGGACCCGCAGCCACCCCACCAGGGGTAAACGAAGGAGCGGCCACATTGAGACCACCCACAGGCCTGTGTTCAGGTACCGATCCGAAAGTGAACATGGAATGTTCCAAGGTCGGGAATCGGACCGATTGCGCAGCTGGCGGTCCCGTTGGGTCAAACTCCTTGGCGTCGACGTTAAGGGTAGATGTCGACAGCTTCGAGCGATGTCCCGCAACATAAGATCCAGTACTTGGTTTCGACTCATGCCAAGGTATATGGTGAAGTGATCCATTCCGTCGAGGTGTTCCGGACAAGGAAGGATTAGTGTCAATGTCCGAACCCTCATGAGCCACATTGCCCGAATAAGCTCCCCCGTAGAATTGATCCATGTGCTGGGGGATATGCTGCACAATATGGTTATTGGCCGCTGGCAATGCCCAGCGGGATTTGAGCAGCTCAGTTGTATCAAAGTTGGGCTGCTGCGTTGGATCAAGGTCGCCTGCGTCGTCAAGTTCTCTTTCAATGGATTCCTCCAAGTGGTAGTCTGGCGCAAACTGGTCAATTCCCTTTTGAAGAGTTTCACTCAGGTTGTGACCACGACTATGGCCGCGAGGAGTAGGTTGAGCTATTTCAACGGTTGAAGCGTGGAAATTATCTGGGTTCGGGGGAGGTGTACGAAGGGGACGCAATATATGAGCGTCTACATACTCGTCGTGCAGCATCTCGTCGTGCGTTCTGTGGACAAGCTGGTCATCGAATCCATCCATTGGTTGGCCATGGTGATCGTTGAATCCAGGATGGAAGGAATTTTGGTCAGCCAAGGGCGAAACAGGTGATAGCATGGATGTCAAGCTCGAGAGAGTCGCCGGTATAGTTGATGCAGGGGCAGCATTTTGACGCAAATTGAAGAAACTCTGCGGGGTGAGGGAGCCATGGGTAGGGGGAGTGGGCTGGAAAGGTAGATATCCGGGCAACATAGTTTGATCGACGCCGAAGAAGGGGGGTGGCCCGCCAAATTGAGACGCAGGAGATGCAATAGAGCCAAGTCCATTGGGAAGATTGGGGGTCTGCTGGTTTAGCGGTGGAGAGAATGGGTGAGCCAAGGAGAGCGGATTGCTTGCGGCTGACGCTGTTGGGATCGGCGGAGACGAGACGAGACCTGGGAAAGGAGTCATCGAGTTCAAAGCAGATGCAGGCGAAACCGACGGCTGCAGCTCATCTTCGCCCAGAGAGACGCCCAGGGCTCGTAGCTTTTCTTCTTGTAGGTAGTTGACATAATCATCCCAGAGAGCCTTATTCGGAAACTTGACCTCATAGCTTTTGTCGCCCACTTCGTCCCGCATCTCAAGAGGATCGGGGTAAAGTGGGCGACTGGCACCTCCTAGGATGGTATTGGAGGCGTCATCGGATGCGCAGATAGTGAATCCACGAGTATCGTACCCTAGTTCTTCCCACTGTTTCAACCCCTGGTTTACATCTTCGGCGGTCAATAGCCGGTATCCAGACTCCTCTGTACCCCTCTTATCATCGGCTGGTAGGTAGATAATGCAGCCTTTACCACGCCATGGTATCTTCTTCCGCTGTCTCAGGGACACAGAGGTATTCGGGTCTATTTGGCCGACTCTGGCTTCCGAGGGGTTCCCTGCTGGTTCCATATTCCGAAACGGTCCCTTTTGATCAACAGGAGGTGGAGGCAAGGGCTTCTCAACTGGGGACGACATTCTAGGCGTGATTTCGGCGGAAGGTTGTGGATCCTTCCCGGTGGACATGCCAATGGATGGGGGATCTTTGTCGTAGGCGAATCCCCAGAAATCCTCTTGTCGGAGAGTATCGGCTCTCTTGTGCAGAGACTCTTTGACTCTGGGACGAGTAGAGCTTCGATCACGGCGACTAGCGCGCGCTCTTCCACTTACAAAGTCGGCTAGGGTTGGAGTCTTCAATAAATCGTCCTCACGCGAATCGTGTTCAAGGCCAAGCCAATCGTCCGATCCGTCGTCAGCAAAATGATTCTGGGCCGTGAAGAACGATGGTGCCTCGCTACCAGAGTCGTCACTCAGCCAGTTGCTCCGTTCCGTCCTCGGTTGACCAGAGAGATACTGATTGATCCAATCTTGGGTGAAATCCCTGATGGATTTTCCGGCCTTTCTGCTGAGTCGCTCGCGCTCGCGCTCTGGCGATCGTTCGAGGGCTTGATTCCTGGGTTCCTGGGCTGGACCGTCCGATGGGAGTCGTAAGATAACGCTGCTATTCGGTTCTAGGCCAAAGTTGATTCCACTGTTGATCGAGGCAGGCGAACTAACTCCGGACTCGCGGTCAATCCCGGCGTCGTGGCTCAATGAGAACGACAGTCTGCGCGGGCTGGGCGCGGCATAGGGCGAACCCCAGGCAGTGGTGTAGTAGATACTGCTCTCCGCCTTCTTATCCTCCGGGGACGAGGTAGATGAGTCCCACACCACGCGGTATTTTGGCAGAGAAGGAAGGGTAGATGGCTGCTGGTTGGGGGCACCGCTGCGGTCCCGGGGAGGGGTTGGCTGGCCGGGGGAACCAGCGGCCGAACGACTCGCCGCAGCTGGAGAATTAAAGGACGACTGCAGAGAAGCCGAGAGATGCGAAGGGTCCCGGATGCTGGAAGGGTTTGTAGAATGCGGCGGAGGGGGAGACAGCGCCGAATTGGCGGAAGATGCGGAGTGATCTAGATCTACAGCCATTTTTATACAATTAGCTCCTGAACCATGGAATCGATGTATGGGGGAGACCATGTGGGATAGCAAAGGTTCCAAAGATTGATGCACCCCATTGTAACACGTTGACGCACCTTCCGTGTCGACTCTTGCAGCAAGCACTTGCTTGCTGCTCTCCTTATTGTCCAGAATGTTGAAGCATGGAACTCAAACCACCAAAACCAAAACCACGTCGCGAATCACGATTTACCTGCACACTCTCCCACTTGTAAAAGACAAGATGCAGGACGATTTGAGGAAGGGGGGGGGGGGGGGGTGTGTGTGGAAACGAGACGAGGTATCACGGTCTGGCGGACAGAGAAACAGCAGTATTGGGGAGCGGCGAGGGGATTCTTCAGGGGAATAGAGGGGGGGAAGAAGATCCCTAAGGGAAAGGAAAAAAAAAAAAAAAAAAAGGCGAGCAAAACGACGAACAACAGATCACAGAAACCTAGGGTATGCGGGAGACTTGAACATGGCGCATACGCGAAGGACAGACAGCTGGATCGAGGTTGAACGATGAAAAGGGAAAAGAAAGAATCGGGACTAGGGAGCACTTTCTGTCTTTTTTTTTTTTTATCGGGGTTGGGCCATGTCAGAACTAGCATTAGCCATCTACCTAGCTAGGGACTTGGGACTCCGTAGTTAAGAGGCAGGCAGTAAAGATGGATGGAGACTAACTACGGATACTCGTTGGCCGTTAGGATTAGCTCAAGAATGGGAGAACAAGTGAGTCTTATTGGTATTTACTCTTATTTACCTGTGCTAAAGTCCAGCCAACTCATCCTGACCGCCATCTAGTCCCTCTCCCCTCTCACAATACTCCGTCCCTTCAAGATAAACAAGTCAGAAGAGAAAGCCTCCAATTATCGTCAAGTGGACAAGTAACCCCTGAATAATCAAACTACCCCATAGTTAGTTAGTTAGTTGAACAAATCCCACTGACGCTGCGGTGTGGTTCGTGTTTTCCGCTCAGGGGTAAAAAAGCGAATCTCATTCTCAGGTCCCGCATAGCCGTTACCATACCATACATACATTCCCAGCATTCTAATATTGCTGCTATATACTAGTAATAGTTAACTAGAGAAAACAAAAGAAGAAAAAAGAGTATTTTATCACGATTGTAAAGAATATATATCCTATGATGCACCAGAACAGATTAAACAACCCAGTTATCCATCCGTCGCAACTCTAGCCAACAGGAAAACGAAAAGACCCCTCCCTCGGTTTACTCGCAAGCAGTGTCAAACTTGGCCTTGCGATCCGCCGTGAAGAGACCCCAGTGCTTCTCATCCATGGCCTTGCCGTTGTCGCCAACGCTGTCGGGCTTCCAGGACTCATCAAAGGCTTCGAAGTAGAACACATCGACGCCCCATGCGAGCATACCGCAGACAGCTCGCTTGTAGTATTCGGCAGCAATCGTGGTGCTGGCCTTGGCAGCGCCATAGTCGGATCCACCATCTACGAGTGGCCAAGTGGTCAGAATCAGAATCCCAAGTTCGCATCGATCTAAGAAAGGGATTAATATCTTACCGGTAGGCCAGCCAGTCTCGCCAGTCCCAAACTGGATGTTCTTCGCATTGTCACCAGCGATCTGCTCGATACGCGCCTTAGCCTGGGCCATGTCGTCAAAGTAAGTCTTGGTGGCGTTATCAATTTGTTGACCCTGCCAGTAAGCGAAGCCGTTGGCCAAACTGGGGAGACATTAGCAAATAGAAAAAAAAAATTTTTTTTTTTTCATCACTTACATGTAGGTAACACCACCCTGGATGATGGGATCCGCAGTGCCATCGGCAAACTTGTTCCAGCTGTCCACGGTACCAACAGTCACGGTGGGGAATTGCTTCTTAACCTGGTTGATTCTGCTCAGGAGCTTGTCAACGGTAATGTCTCCACGGTAGAGACACTCAGAGCCGACAGTGATGGCGTGGATGACATCCTCGTTTCCGGGGACGGACGCCTTCAGGGCAGCGAAATCCTCGTTGAAGGACTGGTCGTAGTCGGGCCTAAACAGAGAGCACCCCCCCCCCCGCGTTAGTAAATTCCACACTTGGACAAGGAGCAATAGGACAAGGAAGAATATTACCAAACCCCCAAAACAACCTTGAAACCCTTTGCCTTGGCAGCAGGAATGATGTTCTTTGCCGTATCGCAGTTGCTCGCGGAGTACGTACGCACAAGTGTGGTCAGGCCCTTGATGGCGTCGAAATCAGCCTCGTAGTCACTAGAGGATTTGCAGCTCTTGTCGGTGTTCTGGTTTCCCAGGGCGAGGCCGAAAGTTCCACGCGCAGCAGCAGCAGCAGCGGGCATGGCTGCCGTCAGGAAGGGGAGGAGAGCGGCGACACGCATTTTGAGATGTTGTTCTCGTGTTGCCGGAAGGATTCTGTCACAGAGGCGATAAAATAAGGAGAGAGGAAGAAATCGAGCCAGGGATCAAGTTCGGTCGTAGAGAATAGAAATGAAGCAGAAACAGGTAGGTACCTCCTGCGCTTCTTTATCTATGTAGGCGGGCAGACGGGAAGCGAAATGAATTGGTTTTCGACAGATCAGGTTGAAACCAAAAATAAACCGACGAGAATAGAATGAATGAATGAGAGAAAGAGAGGCGGTTAGTTGGAACCACAAGTGAGTGAATAAGAAGAAATAACAACAATATTGGTATCTTCTCCTGAAGCCCACACGGAGATTACTCAGGCGGGAACTCTTGAACAGGGTCAAATCCGCAAGCCAATAATGGAGGTCCAGACCGTCTCGAGACCCTCTCGAGACCCTCTCGAGACCCTCTCTGGCTTTACTTGAAATATGCAAAACTGTCTGGCGATCCTTATAACCCTGCACTATTCTTGGATTCATCTCCCCAAGGGTAACAAGGTCTGAAACTGTCTGCACTTCAGGGTCCAATTTTTTTTTAATTATACATCAATATAATGTATATCCTGGACGCAAATAACCCTTCTACCGGCCGATCCCGTTCCCTGAATTCCCGTCTCAAGAATAGATGCGGAATACTCATGCGACCCTAACCATGGTTTTCTCGATTCTTATTTACTCGTCGAGTACATACAAAAGTCAATGATGTCGGATCCTCAACTTCTTCCATCTCAACCCTGGAAATGCAAGAAATGGATACAACCAACGCAAGGGCAAAAAAGCAGAGAGATCTTGGGTCCAGGGTCTCGACCCTTTAATCTGTTCTAAGCCGTTCTCTCCCAGTAAAGCCATTGTTTCCTAGGTGTCAATAACCGACTTTGCTTCATCCGGGGTGATATGACGTCCAGTCATCTCATTGAATCGAGTACTAATGGTTGTCCATCGGTCCTTTCTCCATTCTGAGGCGATTTTGTGGAGAAGTAAAACGTCCTCCAAGGTGAAGGCATCATCGATGTAATACACTCTCTTGATCTTTGGCGGTTGAGAGATATTTTCCTCTTCCTCTTCGTCTTCATCTTCATCTTCGTCCTGGGTCTCTTCCTCTTCCTCGTCCGTCTAACTGAATGTTAGTTCTTGAGAAGAACAGGTGCAACGCTCGAAGCTGGCTAAGCTCACATCTGCCTCGTCAGTGGGTAGCGTCCTGAACGAAACATGGCGCTCTTTCCCTTGGTATTTTGTTCCCCAGGCGTATGGCTGTTCAATGGTTGAATAAAATCCGTCCGCATCTTCCGCAAACGAGTATACTTGGGAGTATCTGGGTTTGCCACTCCGAATACAGTCCCAGCGTCTTTTGAGGTCCCTTATTGGTCTATCGTCTATCACCATCGAGATCTTCCGCCAGGATACCTTTGCGGTCTTTAATTCCCGGAGCAGCCTATCGTCCTCTGCGGTCCACGGAATGGTGCTGATACCAGGATCCTGCGTGGCTCTGGATGACATGCGCGCTGTGCTGTCCCTTTGTTCATCTTTTACCATTGGCCTCGATACACTCTATTTGTTCAACAGGTTCATTCAGCTTTGCGGATCATCCAGGAGAATCTACTGGTTGGAGTGCTCACCTTGCTTGTTCGGTAAAGGAGCTTTCCACATACATTACCCTTGAGGAATGTTCTGAACGGTACCCTGTAACACCTCCCGTCCGATATGAGAACTGGCATGATGCCCACGGAAGCTAAATTTCGGTCCAGAAGCTGTGGTAGTAGGCAGATACTGTAGCATACCAGAGATATAGATATATGCAAACAAAAGCTACCAAGACGAATTGGTTGCAATTACAAACCAATGTTGCTTCCTAAAATAAGAAGTTATTTCCTCAAGTTACTTCCACCAAAGTCTATTTACAGGCAGGAGCGATCCTGCTAGTGTCCAGGCAATACAGGTCCAATGTCTATACCAAGTATTCTCAATTATTATCGAGTCTACAGGGGTGGACACTTAGCAGCTACTCCGTACTAGTAGTTACCCCGTGGATAGTTACAGCAGTAAGAATCACAATATCCAGTTAAGCACATTCCGCAACAGATAAAAAAAAGTAATTATATATATATATATATATATATATCAAAATCGGGTTATTCTTAAATCTTTGTACGTTGAACTACTTGTAGTTATACAAACCAAAGCGGATTAGTTAGTATTTACAAGATGGTCCGAGCGTCTTGAGTTCCCAAAAAGTGAGAGACCACCTTGCGCGTCAAGACTCAATTTGAACCACCACACCTTCACCTTAATCACCAGGGGGGAGCTGATTTTTCTTCTTCTTTTAATCAAGGATAGAGTTGGGAATTGTGCTTGAAGAATATATACACCCACCATGCGCTTCTCCGCCGCCTCCCTCCTGATCGCCTCGCTGAGCTGGATCACCGCCGTGACCGCACACAACATCCAGCTTCGAGCTCACTCGCGAGAATGTTTCCACGAGTCACTACACAAGGATGATAAGATGACCGTGTCTTTCCAGGTTGGCGATAGGGAGTTCGGGGGTAGTGGAAACTTGGAGATTGATTTCTGGGTACGAAATTTGAATCTAGGCTTTACCAGCTAGCCACTGCATCCCCTACCTCTCTCTCTCTACTGGAGAATGATTTTATGATCTTCAATATATACCCAGCAATACTAATTCATTTATTACTGGTTTTTTGGGAGAGTTTCCAGGTCGAGGACCCCATGAAGAATCGCCAGTATTTCAAACAAGCTATCTCCTCCGAGGACTACTCGTTCACCGCTCATGCCGACGGCAAATATGTCTACTGCTTCAGCAATGAGGGCTGGACCTCGAACTCGAAGGAAGTGTCTTTCAATGTGCATGGAATCGTCTACGTCCCGGAATCGGAGATGGCGCAGAACCCGTTGGAGGTTGAAGGTATGGGAGAACAAAACAGCCAGGATCGGTCGCGTGCTCGGGGCTAATGGTTTTGATTACGATTGCAGTTCGCCGACTTCTGGAGGCATTGGCCCAGGTTAAGGATGAGCAGTCTTATATTGTTGTGAGAGAACGGACACACCGCAACACGGCCGAGAGCACAAACGCCCGCGTGAAGTGGTGGAGTATCTTCCAGCTTGCGGTGCTTATTGGAGAAGGTGTTTTCCAGGTGTGGTGGCTAAAGAGATTTTTCGAGGTAAGAGATAATAATATCTCTCTATACTTGGACTGGCAGCGTCGAGTCGTTACTGACATGGTGTTTAGGTTAAGCGAGTTGTCTGACGTCCGTTGGGGGGGCAATATTTAGCATCGGGTTACCCTTGGGCATATTCATTTCCAATTTCGAATGGGAGTATGGTACTTCTTGAATGATGGTATTATTATTGAGATCTCGTAGTCCTCTTCAAAAGAATATATGAGTTAATGTACACAATCACGAACCAAACATCCACTTCCTGGTATTAGATTTGATCTTTACAGTACCTGGTAAATTAAGTTGGTGAGCTGATGATACCCAAGTACTACGAGGGATTTGAGACAGCCCTCCATCATTCATTCATTCCTCTCATCTACCGTTATCTTCAGTACTCTTAATTAAACCATACCATCTGACTCTCAAATTAGTTAACCTTCTTCTACGGAGTATCTCTCGCACGAAGAAAAAAAGGGAAAAAAAAAAAAAAACCCCAAGGCAACAACACAACACACGACTACGGAGTATCCGTACTCCGCCTTGGAAAGAATGGACACCAATACGTCATCCCCAACAGACGTCAGCGCCAGCGCCAGCGCCAGCGATGCACTCTTCTTCGCATGCTGGCGGCTACAATCCTGCGATTTATGTTTACGGGGAGATCTACCCTGCAGCTGGTGTGCAATAGTACGCTCTCCCCCCCTCTTCTTTCTATATACTTCCTTCGCATCTTCCATCGATGACTTCCCCCCCCATCCCCCAGCAAGATTTAATTTTAAACACGACCAAGGAAAAATAACTCTCTCCGGAAATTCTAGTCCTCTACATGCGTCCCAAACCCCACCCGGTTTCCTATCCTGGCTCCCCTCCACGCTGCCGATATCTGTCCCCTCGGGTGGAGAGAACGATGGGAGCTGCGCGCTGTTCCGTTTGGGTGTCGCGTGAGCACGATCACGTTCTTGACCGCGACGGGCTCGATCGTGGGTACGTTGTTGGTTATGGGGTTGGGGATGTTTCTTGTCTGGGCTGTGAAGAGGCTGTGTGTGTTGTGGCGCGGGGGGAAGAATGGGTTCTTTGCGACTCGTGGTGGATTTGGGGGGGGGCTTTTCACGAGGGGGTTTCGGTGGTGGGGTTTGGGAGGGGGGCAGCGGTGGCAGCGGCAGCAGCAGCAGGGGGAGGAAGAGGAGGGATATGTGGGTGTGGATGCGGAGAGGAGGCCATTGCTTATGTAGGTGGTAAGATTATGGATGGAGTGGTTGACAGTGAGTGAGTGAGTGAGTGAGTGAGTGAGTGGTATTTAGTTGTCTTCTTTCAAGTATGAATGACCTTTCCAACTCTGTATTCCACCACAATAGGCTTTCCCTTCACGGCGTTGAACCGTCCCTGGCCGACATAGACCTTGTTCTCGAGTTCCTTGTAGCGAGCGTCGCCGGTCTAGAGAGATATATATATATAGCGGTTAGGGTTACATATCAGGGTACTGAGCGAGGTTATCTCACCTCAAAGGTAATGTGCACGACTGGAGATTTCTAATCAGCCACAACGCTCTTAAATCGAGGGTAAAGTGCCCAGCGGGTGAGGTGAACTTACAAGAGTTTCCAAACGGAGTCGACAGATCCTCTGCTGCACCAGACAAGACCGCACGCTCGTGGTCGCCGAATTTAACCACGCCAGTGTAGTTCACGTAGATAAGCTAGTAAGCACTCAATCAGTCTCTCTTCGATACCCATAGCCCCAAAAAGTCAATTAACGTACAGCGGGCTCGCTATCTTTAGTCCTATTGTCCACCCAAATTAGAACCGATAATCAAATAAGGTATATTTGCCGTGGGGGAGGGGGGGAGGGAGGATACTTGACAACTCCATGTGCATTCAATCGAAGATGACCACCATCAGGATCAGCATGGATGTAGTCGTTACCGACACCGACAAACTCCGCATCAAGGGCTGGAGAGAAGCTTCCTTCGCTCTTGATAGAGCCCCCGGTCATGGGCTTTTCTCGGAAATTAAATATCAGATTCTACTCTCCGCAGGCTGGAGCTGGGGAGGTCCGGCTTGGATACGTACCACGACCTGGAGACTGGCGCCGCGAGAGGCGCTGCCTTTATAGGGTTAACGTTAACCTCGGGATATAATTTACATCATATCATGGTTATAAAATCCTCCACGGTTGCGGGTAAGAGACAAAACTCACCAACTACATGAGGGGCGTCAATTTCCACCTACATAGAGCAGATGCCGTTAGCCACAAGATAACGGATTGAAGCGTGATCCGCTTCGGCGCTTTTGCCCGAGAAAGCCCAGGTTTCTTTACTCACCAGCATGGTAAATGCAGGCTCGAGAGCAGGGAATCCAGCCATGATGATGGATGTCGATGTTACGGGGTAAAAAAAGAGAAAGACGAATTAATGAATATAAGGAATAATAATACTAGAGAAAGGGATGTGGGATGATTGAGTCTTGGGGGTCTACATGGGATATTTGTAATGGTAGCAGGAGAGGAACCCCGCAGCCGGAGGGGTCAGGATGAATCATTCCATGTGCACACCGTACGCCGTGCAGAGTAGGAGGTAATTTGAAGCAAAGAGAAAGAGAGCTCCGGAGTAGAAATTACTTACAAACCCTCCGATCAAGTCTCCGGGATGGCGCATAGGTAAGCTGTATGACTTAGCTTAAAGCATACCTAGGTACTCTATAATAGTAAAATAGCATTCAGGATGAATCGGATTGTTCAGGCCTCCATCAAGAGGGTTCGCTGCCTGAGGACACGACACTAAGCCCAACATGGAAACCAACTCCGTTTTCCTTTCTGGTCTATCCTGCAATCCGTACTTGACATCCTCAAACAACAGTACTGGTGATGTAGAAGCATATCCATCTATTCCTTCCATCATACTTTTAGTCGTGTCAAGAAATGTTCCCACAAGGTCCCTTCACCCAAAGTTATCTTATCGGCTGACCAACGAGCAATCAGCAGGTTCTCCCAGGCTGGACAAACCAGTCCGCCAGCGGGTGCACGTGGGTGTGCTGGCCACAAGGACAGGCTGTTGTGCCTTGCATGAGCAGTGATAGTGGTCCTATCTGCCATTTCACTGGACAACAGATGGATGCAGTATGCACTCGCCTGACCAACAGTGTACGGCAAGCTAATACCGCCACTCCGCAACAATCAAAATTCTCACTAAGACCTTTGACCGCTACAACAACCGCCTGCTAGATTCATATATTTAATATTGTACAAGATATATCTTATATTATATAAGATCATAAGACCTAGTAAGTTCTTCAAGTCTTCATATATTCTCACTAATATTTTTGCAATATGGGTCGAAAAGCTGTTGATCTTGAGCCATACAAGGGCAATATTATTTCACTATACCAAGCCCAGTCATCTGTTGATTCTATCCGCGAGTTCCTTATTAATAAGAATGTCAAAGTCAGCAAGCGTACATTGGAGGCACGCCTCCAGGAATGGGGTATCTAAAGGCACGACCGTACTATTACAACAAATCCCTAATTACACGCCCGCATCAAGGTCTTATTTTTTCAGGTTAGACTAGAAGATAAAGAGCTTCTAGATGTTCTTTATAAGGAAGGATTTTAGATTTCACATTGAATACTTCAACGCCTTCGTACAAGCCTTGGGCTATATTGTCGTATACGGGATCCTATTTAAATACAGCTTCAAACTGATACTATTCTTCGCGCCCTTCTAGAAGAAGCAGAAAAAGGTGTTATTCAAGGATATGGCAAGGAAATGTTGCATCGTTATATGTGTAGTCAAGGTCATATTCTTGCACGGTATTATTATTTTTACCCTTATCTTGCTTAAATATTTACTAATTTTTGAATTTCTTATAGTGACTGTCTATTCTCTACCTATCGAATGGCCTTTCCTGAGGCTATTGAGCGCCGTTGATATGATCTACAATGAAACCGTGGAGAATATATTATTCCTGGTCCAAATTTTATATGGTCTGTGGATGGATATCTTAAGCTTGAGCCATATGGAATTGAGATATATGCAGCTATGGATGCATATTCACGATATATCATATGGATTTATTGTGGGATTTCAGCCTGAATAGCTGTTAGTGTGCTATCCCAGTATCTCAATACTCTTGATCTTGTGAAAAAACAGCCTCTACGAATCCGGTCAGATTGTGGCTCAGAGATAGGTCTCTTTAAGCAGGCACATATCCAACTCCGGCAGTTATCTACCCCAAATATACAACCAAATGACTGTTGGATATTAGGACGGAGTACAGAAAATCAATGAATTGAGGCCTGGTGGGGAGAGCTCTCAAAATCAACAGTCTTTAAATGGAGGCATTACTTTTGAATACTAACAGAGGAAGGCCACTTTACCAAAAGCTCTTTAAGCAACTAGATTGCTTTATTTAGCATTTATATGCCAGTAATTCGTGCACAGGTTTCTCAATTTATTCATACTTGGAATATCCACCGAATTCGAGCGCAGAAAAACCGACCAAATTCAGTTGCAGGCAAGCCATATCTACTTTATCATTATCCAGATGATGGAGTATTAGATTATGGTAGTTTTATACAGAGTGAAGCGCTGGAAACTCTTAAAAGAGAGGTTGAAGAGTTTGGTAAGTTATTTACTATAGTATAACTATTTTATGAGTCTATCTAATATAATAATTATTTTTCAAGATCTTGATGAATATCTACCCCCGAATACTCTTCAATTCTGCAAATAAAAACTACTGGGGATTGGATTTGACCCTGAAAACCTACCACTGGTTCAACCTGATGAGGAGGCTACCCCCTATCATGCAGTTTACCTACAGCTCCGTGATATTATTGAAGATTATATTCAGCTTGAAATCGAGCCATTCCTTGGGCTAGTTCCCCGGCCAATCGGGGCACTAAATTGGGAGCCAAATACTGCATAAAAAGAACAACATTTCAATATAGTAAGATATTTGCCTGGTAAGGTGGTACAGGTAGGTAAGCCTTGTACAACTTTATAATTATTATACAGGCAATCTTTATATTTCTTTTTTTAAGTACTTTTTCTATTTTTCTATATTTACTTACTAGTTTGGAGTATATTTAAATTAAGCATGTATTCTTATTCTATTCTATAATTTCTTTATCTTTACTTTCTTCTATACCATTCCCTGCCTACTATACCCTCTATCTTATATTTTTACTTCTAATATCGCTAATATGTCTTCTATGTCATGATATTGTCCAGAAACTGGCCTACCACATTGCGAAAACCGCGAGTGTTTTGACTGCGGAGCTATTCCACGTACAGTGGTTGATTTAACAGAATTGCCTCCTTCTTATCCAATACGGTCCTTGCCTATATCCTCTATACCACCTGCATTATCCATATCACAATGGTTTTCGTCCTTTCCTCGCAATCGGCAGCCCTCGTATTGTCAAATACGTAACCGGGATCGACTTCAGGCACCTGAACGACCAAGTTTTTATAGAGCTATTGTGTCCTTCTATCTTTATATAACTGATTGAAGTATTGATCGAAGGCCTATAATATCTTTAGACTCTCTTGGTATCCTTTCTCTTGATTTATTTTTATTAAGTAGAATACTAACTAGATATAGAAAAAGTACAGGTTCAACTCAATTCTCGTACTATTTTATCCTTCAATGATTTTATTACCCAAGACCTCCTTCCTCTCCTGAATCCGAATGGCCATTATATACAAGAATCCGGTGATAGCCTTCAGTTAGCAACGAGTATCAACAAAAAGTCTCCGATATTTATTAGTCCTCAGGCAAATAAGGCACAGGCACTTGATGATCTTCTTAAATATTGGTTTAGTAGTCATAAAAGTAGTACTGGAGAAAAGCTATATCATATATATGTGATTATTGAACGAACCATATTTGATGATAAGAGAGAGATCAAGGAAGAGGCAGAAGATATCTTTATTAAGTAGGAGAAGAAGGATAAAGGCAAGAAAAAAAGAAAAATAGGGCAAAATAGTCTTTTCATTAGATCAGAATTGTCTATACAGCCTTCAAGTCCTCTAAAGGATTCAACTCCATTATAGGACCAAGATATATCCTTATATTCCTCTTCTTTTTCTACACTTCCTGATCCTGCTAATATTCTGGAATCTATATTACCTCCTTAAAAGAGACCCTCTAGTCCTCTTTCCTCTGGATCATCCTATCGCACGAGAAGAACCCATACCCTTGATGATGAAGATAGAGAGCGAATTGCTGAATATGGTCCCTTTATTAAGAGGAAGTAATATTAGTGTTAGGATCTCTTCTTATATGCTTTATTCCTGTATTTATTACTTTTATAGTTATAATTTATTTAAAAATCTTTATTTCCTCTTTAGATTTAGTATGTCTTCTTTGCTTTACCCACAAATAATCTAGTTGGCTAACTACGGAGTAGTTACTACTACCACTTAAATATTTATCTAAGACCTCCGAATCGACCTCCTAAGACCTTCAAATCGACCTCCAAATCGACCTCCGAATCGGCCTCCTAAGACCTCCGAATCGACCTCCAAATCGACCTCCAAATCGACCTCCAAATCGACCTCCAAATCGACCTCCAAATCGACCTCCGAATCGGCCTCCTAAGACCTTCAAATCGACCTTCGAATCGACCTCCGAATCGACCTCCGAATCGGCCTCCTAAGACCTTCAAATCGACCTTCGAATCGACCTCCGAATCGACCTCCGAATCGGCCTCCTAAGACCTTCAAATCGACCTTCGAATCGACCTCCGAATCGGCCTCCGAATCGGCCTCCTAAGACCTTCAAATCGACCTCCTAAGACCTCCAAAAAAAGAATTTTGACAAGGGCAGGGGTCGAACCCAGGGCCTCCTGGTTTTAGAATTGGGGGTGATAACTAGGCCTGTTCTAATAGACTTAAAAATACGTGCCCTTTCCTACATAATAGAGGTATCAGATCAACAGCCGTGTCATACTAAGTAATCACGTGATCATATTACTGGATTTAATCATCATGTGCCTCTACCGCTAGGCCAACGGGTCACGTGAGTTAAATTATATTAGAAAATAGTAGAATATATATTAGCATGTGACTTCCATATAGAGTATAGTATATAATAACAATATTATGTAAGTTATCTCTACTCCCAACTAGTCCTAATTGGGAATTCTGCCCGCAAAAAAATCGAAAAATTTATTGTTGCGGAGTGGCGGTATTAGCTTGCCGTAAACAGTGGGAGGATCATGATCTACCTCCGATCGTGTTGTATCCAAGTCCAAATGCTGCTTCTCAAGGTATATAATGAAGGTAAAATCTGCATCATTTCGCTTGTCTTGGTTGGTTTCCGTGAATTTGACGAAACCAACCGGACGCTTTTCCTCATCGGGCGCACATTCAGGATCTGCATTTTGCAAAAGTTAAAGTAGTGACGTTTGCCTGTTACTATTTTTTTTTTTTTGAATCCTTCATTCAAGTCGCGTGCCCACTTCTCTTTATGATAATCAACGGCAATTCTCTATATCAACTGCCTGCCTTCATGGGGCTTCTCCTGCCTGTAAAAAAGTCCCAATGATTCCAAAATTGTTGCTTTCGAGTCTTTGCAGTCTTGTTGTCTGCGCGTCGGCCATTCCTATCACAGATCAACAAGTCTTGGACAGTAATACGTTACCTGTGAATGTCGACGTCTACTCTCCAAGTGACAGGGGAGAGTCTTCCAGACAGCTCTCGGGGCGATTTCTTCATATTACAGGTACTGCTTACCCTATCTCGGAACCACACCCCTCCCTTCCCCCCCCCCCCTCTCTTTTTTCCAAAAAAAAAAAAAAAAAGAGCCGGGAAGAGTTTGCGGTTTGGGAATGTACCTGAGCTAACCTCCGCCCAGATTTCCACTTAGATCTACACTATAAAGCTAAGACCTCGGATAAGCAAGTATGCCACCGAGGAAAAGGTCCAGCAGGACCTTTCGGTGAGCCCGGGACTGAATGTGACTCCCCCCGCGCTCTGGTGGACGAAACGTTTCGCTGGATAGAAAAGAACCTGAAGGGAAAGATTGATTTTGTGGTCTGGACTGGGGATTCTGCCCGACATGATAATGACGAAAAAATTCCGCGAACGGCCGATGAGATAGCAGACTTAAACGAGATCCTTGCGGACAAATTCATCAATCTTTTCCAAGACAAGAGTGCCGCCCGTGGCCTTTCTATTCCAATCATTCCCACAATCGGCAACAACGATATTATGCCGCACAACATCTTCAAAGACGGCCCAAATCGCTGGACAAGGAGGCTTGGCGAAATTTGGGGGAAATTTATCCCCGAGCACGAGCGGCATACTTTTGAAGAAGGGGGGTGGTTCACAGCAGATGTGATTCCAAACAAGCTGGCCGCCATCAGCCTGAACACCATGTATTTCTTCGAATCCAACTCCGCGGTGGACGGGTGTGAGGCAAAGTCGGAGCCCGGTTTCGAGCACATGGAGTGGCTCCGTATACAGCTTGAATTGCTACGAGCCCGTAAAATGAAGGCGATCCTTATCGGGCATGTCCCCCCCGCGCGAGCCGGGTCTAAACGGAGCTGGGATGAAACCTGCTGGCAGAAATATACACTGTGGCTCGACCGGTTTAGAGACGTTGTCGTTGGCAGTGTTTACGGGCATATGAACGTCGATCATTTCATGCTACAGGACAGCCAAAAAGTCAACCTCGTCGAGGACGGTGATTCTGTGACTCTTGAGATCGATGACACCCCAGGAAACTTCTCTATACAGTCTCGTTCGAGCTACTTGTCTAACCTGAGGAAGGATTGGGCCAAATTGCCGTCACCGCCAGATATGTCGTCCGACGCAATAGACGAGCTGCTTTCGGGAGACCTTTTCGCAGCTAGTGATTCTGATGACATTCCTCGGGTGCTGGGAAAGAAAGAACGGCGATTTTTGAAGGAAGTTGGTGGTCCCTGGGCTGAGCGATATAGTATCTCGCTTGTGTCACCCAGTGTCGTGCCAAACTACTTTCCCACATTAAGGGTCATTGAATACAACGTTACTGGCCTAGAAGCTGTGACGACATGGGCTGATACCCCTTACAGCGATGTTTCTTTTGAATCCGTTGCTCCTGATGTCTCATTAGACGATGCTGAGCAATTGAAGCAGAAAAAGAAGGGCAAGAAGGACAAGAAGAAAAAGAAGAAGAAGAAGAAGAAGACACCACACTTTAAGATCCCTGACCACCCATCGCCAACTGCCCCACCAGGCCCAGCGTACTCCAACCAGGCGCTGACGTGGCTAAGCTACACTCAGTACTTTGCCAACCTGACTCAGATCTACGATGAGGCGGCGACCATATCTGGTCACCCAGATTTATACAGGATCGAGTATGACACTAAAGATGATATGATTTACAAGATGGACGACCTTACCGTGCGCAGTTATTTCAAACTGGCGACGCGAATTGCAGAGAAGAACCCGAACAAAGAAGACCTGTTGGTCACCGATACCAATATATCTGATACGAGTGATGATGGATCTTCCGAAGCGGCGAAGAAAAAGAAGCATAAGAACCGAGTCTGGAGGACATTTTTATACCGCGCTTTTGTTGGGTTTCTGGGAGACGACGACCTTGACGATACTCAAGAATGATTTGCATTGATTTCCATTTGTTGGTTTTGGTTTAGCGTTTTAGGTATATTTTCCTATGTGTTAGACGCTGTATTATTATTATTCTTCTTCTTCTTGTTATTATAGAAGGCTGATTTGCCCTTATCCTCAGACATTGGTGCGGCTGTACATATTATATTGGCTGCCATTTGAGGAGGACTAGAACACCATGACCAGTTTATATTTAGACGAATTTTGAACTGAAATTTTGCCCTTGAAAAGAGATCCATTCTCTGTCAAAGAATAAGATTAATCGTGTTATATTATTATTATTATTATTATTATTATCGTATCATATTTTTAGGAGCTTCAGTCCCACGTCCAGAAGCAACTAAAACCTGTGTATGTATGTACTCCGCATCGCCCCCCATCCCATCCTCTTCCTGTCCAACAACCTGGTTCTGTTTGTGAGTCAACCAACCCCCCGGGATGGCATCCTCTTTTTAATTAGACCACGGGGTCCAGGATGTCTTCCTGTTTATTCCTGGGTTAATATCGTCGTGGTTTGATTTGCTCTCCTTTCTCGCGAAGACCCCGATGCCACGCTGGCAAATGGCGGCATGGCCTGCCAACTGTCACTCTTGCGTTCGCCCGAGTCCATTCCTGCCGCCAATTCTAAGCTAAGAAGCGCGCGGGCGCTGAGCTTCTCCAACACTTGCATGCTAGTGGACCGAACCGTCGCAGACTGGCACATTCAGGCACAAGCGATACAGAGGGATCTCGTCGCTGTCCGGAGGATTCTCCCTCCTGCAATGCGGTCTGGCCTGCAAGGTTTTTACTTCATGAGGCTACTGCTCGTGCTAGAACGTGAGGTGATCCACTTAGATGGTCCTATCGCATCTTCTGGCTGGGTTAGCAGGCTGCAAGGTCTAATGAAAGCCCGCAGTTGGGCTCTGACACGTATCGAACTAAATGGTTGATGCGCTGTCCGTATCCCGTCTTGTCGGCATGGCTGGGGGAGGGAGGGGGGGGTTGCCACTTTACTTCGCGGTCAAGCCCGTAATAATTCTGATCATGATGATGATTTCGAATTTAAGAGCATGGTGGTTACCTTCTATTCATGCCCGATCCCTCCGGCCGTCGCCTCCCAAAGGTCAACACGAGAAGGCGAGGCAAGTGAGAGAGCCCTGGGGGAAAGACTCGGTGAAAGTATGAACTCACTCATAAACAGCGAAGAATTCCTTTGATCTACCAAGGCGAATTCAGACAACGTCACTGTGTGGACTTGAGTTGAGGACTTGACTCGCCTCGCCGTCACCAAGAACATCCCTCCGGAATAGATAATTTTTCTCTTGCATCATTGTTCTTGCTCTTTCCTTGTTGCACGCGGTTTACCAACCGCAGCATAATCCACTTTGCATCAGTTGTGGCTGATATCTGGTTATTTTATTTCGGGGGCTAACTCGGGCCTTTACCGACCAGTCACTCGGCTGTTTGACATTTTGACCCCGTCGTGTTTTCCCCAGGCTTGATAATAATAATAATACTCCTAATCACCGCTATCATTGCTGGCTAGCAATTCCATGCTCAATTGCCAGCTCACTGCTGGCAAAGCAGCATAGGCGACTTATTCCCGCCCGGCCGCCCTCAAGTTGCACACTATGAAGCAACGTTGTCTCCTGCTTTACAACCACGAGCTGCCTGCCTTGAATTTCTGACCGTGAACTGCTCCTTACTGTATTATTTGCGTTGTCAGCTCGCTTATCTCTTCCATTTTACTTGTCGTCCCCTCGGTTTCTTTGGTTCACTGTGCGAACTGACTGATTTGATGCCCTGAATACTTTCGAACCCAATTTCCCAAGTTGACACACTGTCTAAGGCTGCTCGTTGAGAAGCATTGACCATTTTTCCAAGAAAATTCTTGTTATTATTTCCCGTCAGGATTCCCTAAGCTGCCAGTCGCCCTAGCTTTTTTTCTTTCTTTTTTTTTTCTCTCCCCTAGAGTCCTACCCTGTTCACCGAAGTGTTCTTTCTCGGTGGTTCCATTGAGAGGCTCCGTTGCGGACTCGGTCTTATATATATGTAACATAACCTGTTCATCTGCTTGAAATTGGTAGGGTTTTCTCTGGTTTAGGATTCTCTCTGAAGGTCCATTATCGATTTCTGGATTGTTTCAACATCATACTTCGACAAGCGCGAGTGAAAAGCAAACAAACAAGACGACGACAATATACCAGCATGCAAAAGTGACTTCTTCTTCTTATTCACGGAGCATTATCCTGGGCGCCAGGCACAAGCAAATCAAAGCGCGACTTATTTCGCTTCTAAGCGCTGGTCTCGAGTATGGAAAGCTATATCGGTTGAAAAAGGGCTGATCTTGTTCTATTTTCTGTTTGCGCGCGCTTCCGAGGTAAGCTCATGCACTTTTTGGCGCTGAATTTTGTTTCACATTTATCCCGGTTTACCTTGAATGTCATTTGGGGGGGGGGGTTCTCGTCGCAATTGTGGCATTTATAGTTTGAATACCTTTGCCTGGCTGGCAAGTTCGATATTGTTCTGAATTCGTGGGCTCACACTTGATCAACTCTCTTCCCTATTCCTCTACTAATTTATCAATGACAACGTCTCAATTGACCATGGACAATGCTAATGTTTACAGCAAATTTCTTGCGATCATAGACTCAGAGTCGTCTCTAGTCTTGTGGATGGCTTCGGCCGAGGTGGACCAGAAGGCCTTGGGCAACTTTGCCGCCATAACAAGCCTGGAAAATCCGTTCTTGTCTGCTATGCTATACAAGATTCTAGGTCTCTCGGTGATGCTATCGAAGAAACTCCTTCGCGCGCGACGGCTACGGCGACTAGACCCTTCTCGCGAAACCAAGTCGCTCCAGCTGTACCACCATATTATATGGCTCTCACGGGAGGGCCTGCTGATTCTTGAAGAATTCGTTCTACCCATGGTAGACGCCCATGTTGAGTTAAAAATTCTAGCCTACAAGCTCAGAGCTTCGTTCTACCATATATTTGTCTTGTTCCATAATCAACCCGCCATCCACTCACCGGGGATTCTCAGCCTTTCCAGCAACGCAACTGTGTCCGGCGAACCATCTGAGCCGGACACACCAACCAGGGAGCAAAAATCGCGATTCTCATTCAGGTCGAAAGCAGATGTCATTTCAGTACCGGAACGGTCACCAGACTCTTCGAACCACACATCTCGAGTCAAGATCCCCCCGGTCCAAGTTCCTCCTGGTTTAGCGCCGGTTCAACCTCCGCAGACGACGTCCTCCTTTTTGTTACCGGCTCTCGATTATACCCCGACGGCTACCGCCTGCTTCAATCACGCGGCTCTTTTGGCAGAGCAATTTCTTCCAGGGTCTCACCCTCTGCGCTTATCCATCAAGCTCGAATACGCCGCCTATCTCTACGATTGTCTGCAGGACTCTAATGCCTGTCGGAAGTTAGCGAAGCAAGCCATCGCAGATGTCTACAATGCCCAGGAGGGGATGGACGATGAAAGTTTCGAGGATGCCGCAGAGATCGTCGGAATTCTGGGTAAGATGGTGAAGCGCGGGGCTAAGAAGAGCAGCCATGGAGGTAGCACGACACGTAGCCTGACCCCGAAAGGCGAAAGTTCACGAAGTGACGAAAATCGAACTCCGCCATCCAAGAAGACTGCATCCCGTCTCGTCAAGACCACGACACCACCGACCACGACGATCACAACGCCCAGGACCCCCAAGACACCCAAGTCGGCCCAGAATGAATTACCCCCCGCTGTTCCTCGTCCGAATATGATAAACCCTATTTGATACCCGATACCCCATCCATGAATAATAGTGTATAGGTTTGACGAGAGTTGCAGCGATATGTTTATGGTGTGATGGGTCGTCGGTAACTAGTTTTGGATTTTTTCCTCCTATGTATCTTCTAACATTCTTGTATTTTGTTCTGTCTACATTCTGAGGACGTCTGACTGCTGATATTCTTTTGTATTTTTTTTTTTTTTTGGTTATCGTTGTTGAATTGTCTCGGATATCATCTGTTTCTATTTATGCATAGTTTCTATATTTGGCGGTGTCTGTGTTCACCAAATGCATTGTACCTATACCATAGACCATTGGTGGAATTTCTGGGTGCTAAAACTATCATAGGCAAATGCACTCCCTGAGTCCTAGTAAACTTATCTACCTAGGATGGTGTACGAGATGGCACTCTTGTTGGTGACTGCGCCTTGCACCCGGAGGATGAGGCTGATTGTGATGCCTGAGGCAACTTTATCCAGGAGAAAAACCCAGTTGGGGGCCTTAAGGCTTAGGCTCCCAGTTACTGGCTGCGGAAGTTGTGCTCCGGCCCAAAATATCCAAGAAAAAAAAAAAAAAAAAAAAAAAACCGACACGCCAAAAATAACCACAGCCGCATTGCTCTGCTTGTTTTAGGGTCTACAATATACCCGGCTGGATGAATACAATCGAGTCCTGCGAATTATTCCACTTGATGTCTACCTAGGCACGGGGACTACTAGGTGTTCATCATTTTTCCCTGTTTTATAATCCTCCCCCTATTACCCCCATTGCTGAGCTTATCGTTCGGTTGCACACTCGAGTTACGTTACGACGACTCGTCTTTTACGTCATCTACACCTCTTCGACTCGCGATCTCTGCAACCCCTCCTCCATCTGGTTCTGGAGAGAGACTTATGGAGTAGATGATTCTTTTCCCTGCATCACTCCCCCACTATCTTATATGAAACCATCCGTTGCTGGGGCGCGACCGACCGACCGACCGACCGATTGTTGGCTTAGCCTTATCTGCCTCGAACTAACCATTGCCAATAACCCGACGGAGAGTGGAGGCGCCGCGAACTGGCATCGGGGGAAAATTCCAAAAAAGAAAAGAGACAGGGGGGAAATAATCTACTGGACAAGCGACAGGTAGCTGGCAAGGCCCAACGTGCAGCAACAACAACAACAACAACAACAACAGACTTGCATACGACCCTTATCTCGATCATCTCCTCTCTCTGTGTGTGTGATTTTGCTTTTCACGGCAATGAATTGGGTCTTTTTGGAAGCCTCCCCAGCAAATAAGAATCCTACCGGTTGTCGTGTTGAGAATTGGACCTTCGCGGCCAGTTGTTGAACGTGGATCATGCGGTCGGGGTTACAAAAACCTGGCGCTATCCCGTTCCTTGCCCTCATTGTCTTCTCCCTGCTTAGTTTGGTGCCTTCTCTTGCGAAGGAATGGGAGATTTACACCTTCCATCTCGGGTATATCGGTTCCTCACGACATGACGACCGACGTATGTGCCTGGTCCCTTTCCCTTGCTTCCGAGGCTTATGCACGCGCGCTCAACTAACCTGCATACTACAGAACCGTTTCCCCGCGTCAAGAATAGCTCGACTGATATCCGATCGCGGTTACGTCTGAACGGTGGCCACTCTAAGTTCTCGCTGTTTGATGGCTTTTACCCGTCGTCATATCTCGATCGCACACCTTCCAAACCGCAGTCCGTGATAAAAGCGCCGCCACGCAGCACATTTGAAGTGGCTCCTGTCTTAGACGACGAACTTATTCCCTATTCGGTCTCAGAGTCTTCGAGTCTCACACGAGGAGTTAGCGCTTTTAAAGCATTCGTCATCAAGCAATGGGACGACCAACAAATATTACAATCTTTTTCGACTGAAACGGAACCATTCCCGGACCCGATCGCAATCTCTCCTACACTTACCCTTACCAACTCTTCCGTTACATTGACACCTATCGATGAAGAGGTCCCCGCAGTGTCGCCTAGTAACCTGGATTCAATTCCTCCAAAGCAACAAGCACCGATGGATCCATTCTCACGCCGATTGCGCTTGCAGTTTCGTGATTCCTGGCAGCAGGTCTGCCGCGTTGGAGGCTGTTTCGGGGGCGCTTTTGCCTCTTATTTTGAACTTCTTCGCCATAATAGATTTCTAATCTCGGGCCCTTCGGATTCTACTCTGGGCACTGGCGAGCAGCTTGACCCGGAGGATTCAGTGGTCGAGGAACTACCACAGTTGGATAAAGACTTGGCGAACGGGCAACTGTCGAATAACAGCAGCGCTGCCCAGTCGAATTTGCCCCCAGAAACAAGAAATTTGCTTCCCACGCCAACACAGCCAACACAGCCAACAGCCCTTCTCCCGACTACTGCTGGACAGTCCAAAGTTGGTGGGTTTGGGTCAAATTCGGAGCATATGCGTGGGAGCTCTATGGCTATTGTGATAGGTCTAGTGGCCGGAATCATGTGGTTTTAATCGGTGATCCTGCCACTGCAGACAATATTTTATTCGCATCATGATATATGACGAATCACGAGCTATATTAATTGCATGTCAATAATCGGATATTGGCAGCCACTCCCTCCGGCAGCGCCCCAACGGACCCCCAACAGGGAACTTACTTCCTTTTCTACCCTTGCTCATCAATAAATAGATAGAGAATCCTTGTTTCAACGGCATCATCCGAAGCGGGGGCCTCAACAGTACCCCGAATAAAATGGACGGCACCACGCGACTCCCGATGTGAATCTAGGTTCCTATTATCTGTTCTTGCCGAATATGGTTCTCCCCTGTCGACCAGTATGGACGGGGCTGGCTTTGGATTCTTCCCGCAATATTGATTATTGGCTCCTCCGCCGCAGATGATTGGGTTTGTTCTTGTATATGGCTTGTGGAGAGAGCCGCACTGTACTTAATGCGTCCACGAAGGTTGGATTGATGGATATAATATTACACAGGGGCTTGATGCACCCTTTTAACGCTGTCATATTCTTTCTCCTTTTCTCCTCTGGGACTATTGGATAGCCGTAGGTATACGTCGGTGCTTCGGGTAAGCAGTGTGTTTCGTGGTACTCTGACTTATTAACCAAACAGCTTTCCACCGCTGCCGCGAATGCCGTTGAAGTTGCCTATGATCGGCATATTGAGAGACATGTGTGGCCATCTAGGGGTAGACTAACTCTCATGTATTTTAGATGCGTGTGTTAGGGAATTACAATCATCGCTCTGGTTTCTTTTTCCAGCAGGTTCATTCCGAGTCCACGTGCCGAATTATTCTTGATAGTATCTTTCTAATACAGGGGGGGAGCAGATTGGTGTCTTGCATATGGGGACTCAAAAAGCTGCCCTACAGACCGCTTTGATTGTTCTGTTCGTATCTTTTCTACAGAACAGTCAGACAGCCATGGAGAATCGAATAAGAAGCATTGAAACCAGGCTAGAACAGCAGAGCAGAAGCCAACAGTCGGACCACAGAAGGCGCCAAAGGGACAGGGACACAGACCTTGACCCGGAAGCCGCACGTGCGACGACCGCGCGGTGACTGTGGACAATACCAATTATACAGGATCCTGGCGGACAGAAGAAATCGGCTATTTTCTGGCCAGGTATGACAAGAGGACGTCGCCGTTAAACAGATTACTAACGCCACTTACTATAAAGATGTTAATGTGTCTTCATTGACCGGATTCGTGATCTCATCTCCTATAAAGGCGAGGAAATGGTTAAAGCGAATATACAAGCCTGTCTTCGGGGAGCTGCCCTAAATTAGTTCAATCCCTTTCAACAGATAACGAGGATCAAAACCTAACTCCAGTCACGGAAGCTAGAAAGCCAGGTACTACTGGCTGCTGTTCAAGACACTCGAAAAGAGTTGCAAAGGATAAACAGCTCTGTGTTTGGGCTTATTAACCGACCCAGAGTATCGATTTGTCTGGCTTGATGAGAACCGGAATCCTTTTGTGTCGGAAACTTATTCGTGCGTGACGAAGAAGATCAAAGTTATTCAATGGATTGAATGAATTCCCCAGCTTGACTTGAGCTGCACAGATAAGGCAACCAGGTTTGCAGTGCCTCGGACAAACTACCTTTCTCAACTTGCTTCTGTGGATCTACTGAAGATTTTACTTTTATCTGGGTGTAGATTCTTTACATGTATGTATGTAGATAAGGTTAACTATTGATCAGATAAGATATGTAATATCACGTGATGCTACCAAGTTACTGGAAGAAGGGGGGGGGAGTGCAAATTTTTTCCTCCTCACATAAAAGAATTCCCACTCCTCTGGTCTTCAATTTGGTTGTCATCGATTTTTCCATCTCTCAAAATGGAGGATAGCCATTTCCGCCACAGTCCCTCGCACCATCCCTTCCAATCCGCTCATCTCCACGCCCGAGACCACTCCGTCTCCGAGGGCACTACTACCGCTCTTGAGCCCCAGACGACGCAGCACCGGTCCAGCAGCCATGATTCAGAAGGCCAACCTCCACCCCGCTATACTCAAGACAACGATCCGTACCAGCTAGCATCAAAGCTCAAGACGGATGAAGAGATTCGGGAGATTCACCCGCAGGCCAACACGTCACGGAAACGCAATGGACATCCATCGGCAGCGATCTCACGGACGGCGAGCGCGTCTTCTTCTAATTCAGGGGGCTCCAACATTCGCCGGTTTCTGAACTCGTCTGCGAGGAAAGAGCTGCAGGGATTCTATAAGACGCAGAATGAAAACATCGAACGCATGCTGAAGCCTGTCGAGGAGCACGTTCGCGACGCGCGCGAGCTCAACACCAACAACCAGCTAAAGTACAAGATCGCCATTTACGGCAGTTTCGCTGCCAACATTTGTCTTTCTGTTCTACAGCTCTATGGTGCTATTTCGTCTGGCTCGCTCTCGCTGATAACGACTATGGCTGACTCGGTCTTCGACCCCATGTCCAACTTGACTCTTCTCCTCTGCAACAAGGCCGTCCAACGTGTGGACCCTCGCAAATTCCCCGCTGGGAAAGCTCGCATTGAAACTGCCGGAAATATCTGCTTCTGTTTCCTCATGACGGGTGTCTCTATCCTCCTGATCGCCTTCTCCATCCGTGACCTCGTGAGCGGCTCCGAATCCGCAACCGGGGATTTCCATCTGCCATCCGTTATTGCTGTTGTTGTTGCATTTTGCACCAAGTTTGCGCTGTTCCTGTACTGCTTTGCCCTTCGCCACCAGGTCTCGCAGATCCGTATTCTCTGGGAAGACCACCGAAACGATCTTTTCATCAATGGCTTCGGTATTCTTACCTCCGTGGGCGGTAGTAAGCTCCGCTGGTGGATTGATCCCATGGGTGCCATCCTGCTATCCACTCTCATCAGTGTTCTTTGGCTTTATACTGCGTACCATGAGTTCCAGCTTTTGATTGGGATCACAGCCGATACTAAAATGCAGCAACTCATTACCTATATCGGTATTTCTCCCTTGTTTTCTTCTTTCTAGATCCGAGTACTAATCAGGAGCGAATAGCAATGACCCACTCTCCCTTGATTACAGCTATTGACACTGTTCGCGCCTATACCTCTGGTCCTCGTCTCGTCGTTGAAGTCGACATCGTCATGGACCCCTCTGATTCCCTTCGTGCCACCCACGACATCGCTGAGGAGCTGCAGATGAAACTCGAGTCGCTACCTGATGTCGAGCGTGCCTATGTCCATGTCGATTACGAAACCACCCATAAACCCGAGCATTTCCTCAAGAAGGAACTTTGAAAAAGTAACCCCAGAACTTACCCTTGCGATCGGTTATCGCTCATGATCTTCTTCGTATCACCTTTTTTTCATATATATATAATATATTTCATTCTGCTTTAACCCGAAACCTAAATTCCAATCAGGATGCGTCTTATGTTTATAGGAAAGTGTATAAATCGACTGGAATGGCTTTCTTAAGGAACACGCAATCGACTCATCTTGATTACCTATGCATGGAAAACCGGTTTCGCCAGCTTCAATAGCAATTCCATCATAGTTACTTTGCCTTAGCTTAGCAGGAACGTGCCCTATATACTTTGCCTGACTTAATTGGGTAGTAAAACCATGGGGCCGAATGTGTTCACACATGAAATGAGAGAGTCCTTGTTGAAATGTGGTGCTATGTTGATATTGTTGGGTAGTATCCAGACTCGGGACTCATACGATTTAGTAGCACGAACCAACAGAGAAACCCGGAATGAATGGGCCCAATGGTTACAAGAAACCAATAATACGCCTATTGGCTTGTGCAAGCGTATCATCATCTATCCTTTGAAACTCCTCCAAGTTTCTATTTCACATGTCCACCCGTCAGTGGATTTAGGTCGATTCTAGCCCTCGTCCGCATGTAGGGTTTGCTCGGGCTGATTGCCAGAATCAAGCGGCTGCAGCCTGACTGAGGGAGCTGTTCATGCATGACAATCGCGATGCAACCGTTGCGGGTGGGTAAGTGGCAGAACAGTAGGCTTGATCTCGTAACAAGACAGAGTAGTCCCATCTGGGAGTAATAGCATGATTAGCATCCATCTACTCTGTAGTAGATAGCTGTGTATATAGGTCCCGATCCGATGTGCATCTTGAAAGCTATTGTTGGGCCGGGAGGGTCGAGGTGGTTTTCCGCTACGAGCGGAGGAATTTCCTGCAGCAGTCCGTAAGTAAGCCTTCCGAATGTCCACTGTTGGAAATTTTACCTGGAATTCCCACCCGAACATGTGTCTAAAACTCCATCTGCACAGGGGGCAGCGCGTTGAAAGTCATGTAAATTGAATGTTTAGCGTGGGGGAAACTTGCGATCTGGATCACCTGACACCAGGTGGTTTCTAAAACGCCTGCCTAAAGAAGAGGACAGACATACCAGACTTGTAAGCTGACAACATTCACCATCTCTCAGCTGGAGCCTTGTTCTATCGCTCAGCGTCTGTCTTTTGCTTGCGAATATCGTTCGTTCATCGCTCGACGATATGTAACAGGTTTTCTGCTTCCCCTTCGATGCAACAATGGTGCTTTCGTTATCCGTTCCTAGCTTCTCTAGATCCGCCACAAAATCCCCCCCGCTCCGATCCCGGGATACCAATCCCTCCGCCACCTTAAATGAGGCTCTTCGCAATAACCCGTTCGGAACCACATCGCAGTCTCGCTCGAGGACGCCGCTGACCTCCCATGTTGATGTTGAGGAGCAGACGCGAGAACAGGAGGAACTGAACCAAGCCCTTGAAACCCTCGTTCGGATTTTCCCGGACGTGAAGATCGAGGTGTTTCGTGAACTGCTTATACGATTTGATGGGAACAGCCGACTTCATGTTTGCGTGGAACAGCTTCTGCGTCACAAGGAAAAATGGGTAGCAGGGCGATGGAACGTACCAGCTGGAGCTGCGGGGAGCGAAGGAGGGGATGCAGTGGCCACCTCTCCTTCCAGCCAGAGCGACGGCGGGGCTCCGGTACCCCGAGACGAATTATTCCGGACGAATGAATATAAGAGTTCTGTGAAAGGACTTCTTACGAAGGAGTTCAATGGGATGAGCAGGAGCACGGTGGACGCGGTGCTAGCGGAGGGGAATTTCAGCTATATACGGGCCCGGCCGATCCTACAAGACCTTTCACGGAAGACATGGAGAGCGACCTTCAATAGCATTCTCCCATCCTTTAAGCGCAAGAAATGTAAAGATGACCATCCCCTCATAGCCTGGCAACGCCGTGTAGATGGGGATCTAGTCCCCCGATTGAAGGAGACGGGATGCCGCGAGTTGGACATAGAGCTGCACGAGGCGTTGGTTGCGCCACTACTTCGAGCGCGAAATGAGGAACGGGAACGGGGAGATTTGAAACTCGCAGAGGAGTTAAACGAACAGGAAGCCGAGGCGGCTGGCGCATTGTATGAGTGCGAATGTTGCTTCACAGATGTCACATTCGAACAGATCTCGACCTGTTCAGACAACATGCATATAATCTGCTTCAACTGTATCCGCCACACTGTTCATCAAGCACTCTTTGGCCAGGGTTGGAATACCTCTGTGGATGTCGAGAGGTCCACGCTGAAATGTTTGGCACCATCTTCCCATGAGCAATGCCAAGGTGTCTTGAACGCCCAGATCGTCAAACGGGCCATCCTTCTGGACAAGGCAGGGCTTGAAACCTTTTCCAAATTCGAAGCCAGACTTGCCTCCGATGCACTTCTGAAGTCGCAGTACAAGCTTATCCGATGTCCGTTCTGCTCGTACGCCGAAGTTGACCCCGTTTACCATCCTTCTGCCAATGGCATTATCTGGCATTTCCGTCGGGACGGATTATTTCCTACCCTCTTTATGATGATAATCGTACTGGACACAGTGCCCTTCCTTCTCGTCTTTATGGCTATTTTCTACATTCTAGATCCTACTGTGGTCCCTAATTTTTTGAACAACGCCCTAATCAATTTATGTCTCAAGGGACGGATGAAGCGGTTTACTTGTGCAAACCTAAGCTGTCGACAGGTTAGTTGCATAACCTGTCAGAAACCTTGGCGTGACCCCCATGTCTGTCACGAACCTTTACTACTTGACCTTCGAGCCACTGTTGAGGCTGCTCGAACGGCTGCCGTGAAGCGCACTTGCCCACGCTGTGGCCTATCCTTTGTCAAGTCCTCCGGGTGCAACAAACTAACCTGCACCTGCGGCTATTCCATGTGTTATTTATGTCGCAAGGCTCTTGGGCCGCCATTGAACGCTGGCGATCGTGGTCGTGCCCGCCAACAAGAGAATATTAATCCATTAGGCAGGGCGGCTTTAGGCCTGAGAATGGGGGACGAGGAGGAAGAGGAGGAAGAGGAACACGAGGGATATAGACATTTCTGTGAACATTTCCGCATCAACCCGGGGTCTCGCTGCACTGCATGCAACAAATGCGAGCTCTATCAAGATGAAGACGAAGAAGCGGTGGCACGCCGTGCAGGTGAGAAGGCAGAACACGAATGGCGAATGCGCCACCAGATGGCCGGAGTAGGGCTCGGGTCCACTAATGTCAACAATGATCTCTCAATCACTCGGAATAAGAAACAGACGAGCCTCTTCCCCCGTGGCCAGGGTAAGAGCTGGGCCTACTGGTTCGACGAAATGTGGCAGTCTGGACAATGGAAGATGGAGGGACAATTACTGGCAGATTGGATCGTGGAGCGAATTATTGTTGTCCAGGAATCTTGACTGCGAGGGAAGAATATGGCACCCAAATTGGATGAGACAAGCCGGCGTCTAGATTGGTTAAACAAGAAAGGGAGGAGGAGGAGGGCTTATATGATGTTATGAAGATACGACTACACTCCTCATTTATTACACTTGAGAATCTCCTCTGATCTGGTAACTCACATTGGGAATTGGGATCTTTTGCCATAGAATGCAATCTGCCTAATCCATAACAGAAGCGAAGTCTTGATCGCTTGGGATGGTTCTACTTCTTCTAAAGTACTAGTAGTGGAGAGAGGAAAGAGTGACCTCGTAAGTCGATATTATCTACATTTCAGTCCTAATGCACCCAGGAGAATAAAGTTAATCAGCCTCAATGACCAATTTCTTTGCCGAAAACACCCCGTTTTTTTAAGAATATCCAACGCTTCCTGGATTCCCTCTAGCCCCCTCCTCGGCACAACCTCCGGCAGCGGAGCAACCTAATCTGATCTGAACAACCCTTTCCCTCATGCCTCAACCAAGAACCCATCGAAGATAAAACGGCGTAATCTCCGCTAAACCATCGACGCCCGACATACCAAAGGTCATCTTGGCTTCCAACTCCTTCTGGCACATTTGCAGACTGACTGGATTGGCGAGGCAACGAGGAGCTTCTGCTTAGCTTTAACAACCTCCTAGATCGGTAGTTAGCTACGCCAGCCAGATATTTCGGAATTGGGAGACTTATAAAAAAAAAAAGGGGGGGGGGCCGTTTCCTTAGAATAAAAAAAATAAGGAAACGGCAGTTCACGAACAGAGCCACTCGACAAACATCCAGCACTGTATCCGGGGCCTCTGGCAAATCCACTTTCTTGAATACCTATCCCGAGTCTTGCAATGAGTAGTATCGGCGAATAAGCGAAGCAGACAAGCCTAGGCTTTGATCCTCACGCGAGAGAGGCCCCGTCACTCATCACTGGATACATAGGGAACCCGAAAGATCAAGAAGAGAAGAACGCCGTTGGACCAAAAAAGACAGATGTTGAACCGCCAGGACGATGGCTGAAGTTCGGTGAACCCAACACTCAGCACTAAGCCACCTCGCAACATTCATGAAAACGAAAGAAGTAAAGTGTCTATTTTTTCGTAGGCCAATAGTCTGGCTGCTTGACCTGCCCTCATGACCAAATAGACTCGAGCCCTCTCAACGAACACTCCCGGGCACCGAGAATGTTTGGTCTAGCCTCCTGTGTGTGATACAGTACCTCTCGGGACACGTTTTTGTTTCCTCTCCGCGCGAGACGGGCTTGGAGGGCAAAAGTTGAAACGGACAAAGAACATCCACAAAAACCGCTTCTTAAGAAAGAGTCGGGGCCCATCGATCAATTTGCAATCTACATTGCAAAGAGATGGTTGACACAGTGGATCGGGACCTTCGATTGAAGCAAATCGTTGGCTGATGCCATGATTTGGGTTCTTCTAGCATCGAATAGTATAATGCATACTTGAAACGGGGCGGGTGAAACAGATCGAGTCCGGAACGTGACAACAGGCCAAGGGTCTTGGAGAAGCTTGTCGGCCATCCAAAAATCATACTCTGCAGCGAAGCAATAAAAAAAAAAAAAAAAAAAAGGCTTGCTACAATCAAACCAGTTGACCATGAATTGGTCGTTCGATTTGATTGATTCCGACAAGTGACCTTTTTTTTTTTTTTTTTTTTTTTTTAATTAGGCATGCCGACTCTATGAACGTGTGTAGGCAAGTCAAAAAAGACATCTGTTGTGTTCAAAAATGATCCATTGGCAATATGCAATGGTTCACACCGATTTTCAGATGTTCCGCATCGATAAAGACCAATAGGTTTCAACCTCATGTTACAGAGGCGCTCGAAAAAAGTTCACCCTTCATCCCCAGCTCGTGGTCGATGTGGCATAGCACAACCATCCCAGTTGATCCGCATAGGTTGCCCAGCATTGGAAAACCGACGCGTTTCCAGTTTGGAATTGAACGCATAGTAAGCCGTCTTTAGTTGCCTGGTGGCTCTGGACAACTGCCTTTCGTCTTTACGACTGGATGGCAGCTCCTATGCTTCACTGTGAAGCGTTTAAACCGACAAAGGTACATTAGGGTTAGATTCCCAACTTCCACCAGACTCCCAAGAATCTCCAGACGAACAGACTTGAGAATGATTGATGGAAGTTAGGGAAGTGTGAAGAGGTAAAAAGCTGTATAATCCGATGCCATTACGGCAAAGGAGGCGCGACCAAACGACCGAGTTCGGAGATGAGAAGCTGGCTTTGGCATGGACAGGGCGTCTGCAGGTCAAGTATCCGAAGTGACTAAAGTCTTGAAGAGCGACACTCTAATTCCGCTTCATAAATTTGGCCGAGTTGGATGGATACTGAGGCTGTCGTGGTGGGATTAGGGAAACAACACAAGACGAGGCTGGGAACCTTGATATTCAGGAGAACGCGACGCGGTGTCACATGACATTACGCGGTGTCGGAAATATGATATTCCTGTAGCACCAGCACCTGTTTCTATCGCCAACCCCCAGGAACCCCCGTATAGTGTATACACCCTAAGGGCCTAAAGTAAGTCAAACTGCGGAGGGTATCATCATATATTTGTGAGCTCCTGATAGACTTCCCCATGTTCTACGCTCCTAGATAGTACTAGTGTGGGGTAGGTTTTCTCTCGCATAGCTAGTTTGTACAACAGCTCTGCCCATTCTTCTACTCCCCACCGGTGATGATGAACTCTCTAGCAGAAGTAGTGATGCAGTGTGTCTTTAGGATACATTCTAGCAGTCGAATCCTACCCAGACAGAGGCCCTAGATAAACCCTAGAATGCAAACTAATAAGCGCTCAACGATATCCCGGATTTTCTTAATCCACCAGCCGGCAATTTCTTCATCCGCCCGTTGCGGGGGGCCTTTTGGATTACTGCCTCAGGCACAACTCCGGTTCGCTGCCGTTCATGACTGCCGTTCATGACAATATTCTTGACTTCTTTTTTGATTGTCTCTCTAATATTCGGGGGGGATTTGAATTTATCTTCTTTTCAATTCCTCTTGAGCTATCCATTTCCCCGCAAAACGGCAATATGAAGCATCATCTGATGGTGGGCACCTGGACCCGTCCAGGGCGCATCTATACCGTTGCCTTTGACGATGAGGCATTGACTCTTGACTTGGTTAAGAAGACTGAAATCCCTACAGACGAGCCAATTTCCTGGATGACCTTCTCCGTAAGTCTTGCTCTGAGGTGTCTTTCGTGGAACCTATTTGCTTACTTTATCTCTCACAATGTAGCATGACAAAAAAACCATCTATGGAGCCGCCATGAAGAGGTGGAACAGTTTCGCGGTGCACAGTCCCACAGACATTGTTCACCAGATATCACATCCTGTGGCAGGTCATGGTAACGTCTTTCTCGGTGTATATTCAAGGCGGATTTGTGGCAGTTCGAACTAACATTTCTTATGCAGCCCTGGCCGCCAGCGAAGAAACCAACACCCGGGCCATTTTTGTCCTGGCAGCCCACCAGCCTCCGTACAATGTGTACGGAAACCCCTTCTACAAGTACGCTGGCTACGGCAATGTCTTCTCCGTAGAATCCGACGGTCGCCTTGCCAAGAACATCCAGAACTACGAGTATCAGGAAAACACCGGTATCCATGGCATGGTTTTCGACCCTACCGAAACCTACCTGTACTCGGCCGACCTGCAGGCCAACAAAATCTGGACTCATACCAAGGATGCCACAACCGGGGAATTGACTCTTGTTGATTGCCTGGAGGCCCCCGCTCCTGGTGACCATCCTCGCTGGGTCGAGATGCACAAGAGCGGCAAGTACCTCTATGCGCTGATGGAGGCCGGGAACCGTCTGGCAGTTTATGTTATTGACGAGCGCACCCACAAGCCTGTCTTCACCCACATCGCCTATCCTCTTCTCCCCCCTGGTACGTTGTGTGTCCACCAGTTTTTTTTTTTTTTTTCCTCCAACAACTCAACTTGCGCATCCGCAGTTCCCAATTCTAACCCTTTCCCCCACCATAGGTCTCCCTACCCGCAATAAGTACCGCGGAGACGTCACCTTCACCACCCGCAGCGGCGAATATCTCTTCGCAACCACCCGCAGCAACCACTTCGATGTCACGGGATACATCACAGCGTTCAAGCTGGGTCCCAACGGCAACATCGAGCGCCAGCTCTGGATCCACCCCACCTCCACCAGCGGCGGACATTCCAACGCCGTGAGCCCCTGCGATTTCAGCGACGAGTGGCTGGCCCTCTGCGACGACCAGCTGGGGTTCGTCGAGATCTACCGGTTCCAAGACGAGAACCTGGCCCGTGTTGCGCGGGTGGATATCCCCGAGATGGGATTCGGCATGAATGCCATCTGGTACGACTAAGAGAAGCGATATACAGGGGGGGGGGGGGGAAACATATGTTAAATAGAACCAATAAAGATAAAAAATATTATTATAGTCCTATATCCTACTGGTCTTGAATCTTACTACCAAAGGTACAGCGGTGTATACAGTACGTACGTACACGAGCAAGTATAAGTCAAGAGGATAGCACGATCTGAATCTCGAGTGGATCTAACTATAGATTGAGCCGACTGTATTCATGATGGAGTAGAAAGTGCGGCCCACCTAAGTTCCATTCCATGCAGCCGATCCCCAGAATCGGCACCCAAGGAATGCACAACTTGCCGATGGAAACCACCTTGCTCTCTCAACTAAAGATGTAGCAGGCATCTAAATTGTAGGAATAGTTCTTCTATCTATCTACCTTCTTGTAAGACCTGGTTGGGGCTAAGTCGGTTTAAGGAAAGAAGGAAAGGGACTTGTGGATATTTGCTGTTGGTGGTTTTGGTGCTATTTACAACCTACTGGTCTATCCAAATTGAAAAGAAGAAGAAGAAGAAGAAGAAGAATCCTGCTTTTCTCTATAATCTACACGTTAACAACCCCTTTGAAAACTATAAACAAACGAACCAAAAAAAAAAAAAAAGAAAAAGAAGAAAGGCTAACTTAAGTGGTATATGAACATCTCTCGTACGTATCTAGAATAACCAACGTAAAATCGGCATCATCATATACCGTAGCGAAATCGAATTCAAGAGGCAGGTTATGCCTTGGTGGCGACAGCCTCAATAGACTGCTCCAGGATCTTCAGGGCAGTCTTGAGCTGCTCCTCGGTGATGGTCAGAGGAGGGACAAACCGGATGCATCCCTCACCGGCACTGATAATGAGCATGCCCCGTTCGCGGGCCGCAGTGATGATGTCGGATACCTTGGGGGAGAACTCTGCGGACAGTTGAAGGCCGAGGATTAGGCCACGCCCGCGGACCTCAGAAATAACGCCGGGGAACTTCTTCTCCAGGTCCTTGAAGCCGGATACCAGGAGGTCGGACTTGGCTTTGACGGACTTCTGGAGCTCGGGGTCGGCGAGGCGCTGGATGATGTGGTGTGCAACCCGGCACGCGAGAGGGTTTCCACCAAAGGTGGTACCGTGGTCTCCGGCCTTGATGTGTCCGGCCACAGTCTTGCCAGAGACGACGGTAGCACCGACGGGGATACCGTTACCAAGGGCTTTGGCGGAGGTCAGGATATCGGGGTGTGCAGCTTCCCCAGATGCGGGAGCAAGAGAAGGGTGAGCATGGGCCCAGAAGGTGCCGGCGCGGGAGAGACCGCACTGGATTTCGTCAAAGATCAGGACAGCGCCCACTTCGTCACAACGCTTGCGGAGAGCAACGAGGAACTCGGGAGTAGCAACGTTGACTCCACCTTCTCCCTGGATAGGCTCCACAATCACACCGCAGGTCTTGTCTGTAATCAGGGTCTGGAGTTGCTCGACGTCATTGTACTTGCCGTACTTGAAGCCCGGGAGCATGGGGGCGAAAGGAGCCTGGTATTTGGGGTTGGGAGTGGCGGATAGAGCACCCATGGTGCGGCCGTGGAAGGAGTTGTGGAAGGAGACAATTTCATGCTTTGCTCCGGAGGGGTCATGCGACTTGCCGACTTTGCGAGCAAACTTGATGGCCGCTTCGTTTGCTTCGGCACCGGAGTTGGAAATGAAGACCTGGGAAGCATCACGCATAGCACCAGACTCGCGGGTCAGGGCGATCAGGTCCTTGCTAAGCGCGCCAACCCAAGCATTGTGGTAGAGGTTCGAGGCATGAAGAAGTGTATCAGCCTGTCGTACACAATATCCATTAGCAAAAGAACGAGCGCCGAACTAGACAACTGACGGAGGTGATATATACCTGCTCCGCGATGATCTTGGTAATCTCGGGGTCACAGTGACCCAAAGAGTTAACAGCAATACCAGCGGTAAGATCAAGATATCGTCTGTTCTCCATATCCCACAGATAGCTTCCTTTTCCTTTCACCATGATAGGGCTTGGTCGAACGTAGGTAGGGACTAGGTAAGGCGCTCGGTCTTGGACGAAAGCGACGGAGACGGAATCGGCCGCAGGATCGGGGGTTGGGCGCGAGGCATCTTTCTGCTGTGTGTTAAATTGAAAAAAATACACTCCACGTAGGAAGAGAAACTCAAGGGACTCACTTTTCCTTGCACAGGTTGAGCTGTCGCAGAGGCATATCGGCGCTGTAGAGGTGACTCAACTGCAGAGACCACCAACCTTTGGGCCAGCGGCAGCCGGCGTGACGCTATACGGACGAACGACATCCCAAATAGAAATGAATCGACTCAATCAAAAGAGGTAGCAGAAAGTGGAGGGAGCAATTGAGTCGACAGGGGGGAAAGTTGTCGAGGAAGCTGGCGCGGGGAAGAGTATAAGAGCAGAGAACAAAATCCCGCAGCGATGAAATGGAATTCCACCCAAAATGCCGCAATCGCGCCTTTTATTTCCGCCACTCCGCATTCTGCCTCATTTTCCTCTTCTCTGTGACTCAACACCAAAATCATCTTTTTTTTTTTTTTAAGTGCTCCACAGCTCGATCTTCATTTGCAAAATTAATCTATTTAGCTATGGCTATTTCCACTGTATCTCGTCGTGCATTGACTCACGCCAACCGGGCTCTCCTCGGACGTGCGTTTTTCTCAAGCCGCTCGGCACGACTCAGCGACGATAAATCGGCCTTTCCGTTCCGACAGGGCCCTGCACCACTCAGGCTTCCCAAGGAAGAACAAGAAATCTTCGAGCAGCTTCAGAGACAATCTACTGGCGCCTTTAGCACCCCTCAAGAACCCCCAAAGATCAACCAGTCCCCCGATTCTGAACTCGAGACTCAGGCAGGTGGCGAGGGAGAAGAGGGACTTCATCGGGACCTGCGATCTGGACTTCAACCCGAATTTGAAGGCGAGAAGAATCCTAAGACTGGAGAAGTCGGAGGACCCAAGAACGAACCCCTGCGATGGGGTTCTGCGGGTGACTGGAGCTATGGAGGTCGTGTTACCGATTTCTAAACCAGGTCACACCGTTTCTTTTTTCCGAACGGGAACGGCACGAAGAGGCGGGGGTATTCCTATTAGCTGGCGTTGGATTGCGCTTGATATCTTCTTATTGTTCTTGCATGCATTTTGGGCGGCCCCGATTCGAATCCCAGCTACGCGCCGGGCCTTTTTCCCGCATTCTGTGTATTATATTAAAGAGAAAAGGGAGTTTTTATGTGATGAAGCTTTCATGACGAGTGTAATTGTCTTGAATAGAGGAACTGGCCTAGATATGGCTTTGGTCGACAATGTAACCATGCGCTGTTATGCAGCCTGATGTGTACTTGTGTCATTGAAGCTGTATATACCAGCCGATTCGATGCAATGCCACCCAACCAGATCTTCACTCTTGTTGTCAGCTCTCTCCCCCTCGGTTGTCAATTCATGCAGCGTTTCACTCCCCGGGCAAGCCACACATGGATAGTTGAACTTTTTGGTTACTATTCTTTACTTGCTATTCTTTTACTTTTTTTTCAGCCGGTATTCCAAATGAGCGTGGACTCAAGTTAGGTATCCCTTGCTAGAGGTAAATGTGCCATTCCCTGAAGATTGGGTACAGCTTGTATACACTGAATAACCTGGGTTTATGGTAGTCAGATGAACGTACTCCAGTGACTGTCCCTTCGAAGTATGTCGATACCCCGAGCGTGGAGGAAGTGCAAAACAAAACAATCGCCGACTGCTAACGAAAAGGACAGATTAGGACTATTCGGGTCGAAGTTTAGACCCGGACTTATTTTGCATTATGGGGAGTTATTACTTTATTTTTGTTCATGGTTTTCTTTATTCACCAACTTGGACTACTTACTCTTTGTGACTCACTCGTCTCATCTCCAAGGGCACATCATATCCAGCTTCCAATCGAACTATCGAAAGGGTATCCATATCCTGAAGAAGCTCAGATCCCTTCGAGCGCCGCCTGAGTTTCTCTTCCCGCATCATTCGCAGTGACTCGTTCCTGGACGAGGAGAAACAGAACGAGCTTGTATCTATTCTCCAGGGAATCCCCACGACAGGAAGAGCAAGCTGCAGATGGACAGTGAAACTCGGCCGCATGATTATCCTCTCGCGACAGTAGTATCCCGGTGCAACTACTGACCCGGTCTTGGTTCGAGATATTTGGGGAAAGACCTCACCTCACAAATATTATGGATCCGCTGCGTGAGTTTACGCCAGATGCAGGGGTTTATCGAAATACGGTCATTCTGGGGAAATGAGAACTATGCGCGATTGCTCCAGATTAAGTGGGGATTTGATCCAATATTCATGATAGGGTCTGTTGGGATGAGCCCGAGGAAAGATGTCGCTGCTACCCTAGTGTGAGATGGGGATTTTACTATCGTTCTAGGATGGATTCGTCGTTTAGTACGGATAGATAGCATGTTGAGTGGTTGCTTGCGAGCTGCTTGGGACTGGAAATGAACCTGATATAAGTACGGCCGGCCAATCTTTCCCTTCTTCATTTAAATCTAGATGTTCTAGAGCAAGCACACACTCGTTATTAGACACCCTGGTTATGAAAAAGGACGATTTGTTCCCCGAGTATAACAACTGCGAACATTCATAAGGCTCGCAAGCAATGATAGGTAAGTATTAGCTCGCCGATCAAGTAGTAACGATTAAGCTAACCCGGTCGTCGATTTAAGCATGAGTCGAGGTAATCAGTGTAAAGTGACAGTCTGGCGAGTACGGGCAGAAAGGGGTGTATCATCATACAATTGGCTATTTAACCCCCAAGAAGCTGCCTTGAGTATGGTCATCTGAGATATCGATTCCATTGGTGCGCAGATCATCTTTATAAATCGTCTGGTCTGATTCTGAACTAGATGTGTGGCTTGTGCTTCGGTACTAACCATTCCGGATTCATCACTAAGCTGGTTTACGATTGGATTTCCGTCTAGCCTGAGAAAGGCAGGACTGCCTGGATCCGGTGGAATGGTAATGGACAAGTCGTTGCTAGGGTTACAGCCACAGAAGTGAATTCGATGATATGAGTATATGCGAGTGTGGGGTAGATGGTTGAAAGAGTATACCTAGGTACGTGATTGTCCAACCAAACAGGGTCCTTGCTTAGCTGTTGTCCATTTTACATGACGTTCGAGGCTATTAGACATGCTAAATTCCTTTTTATCGCTGGAGAGAACCTTGGTGGTCTAGTTGGAGTGGTTCAACGGGTGGGGGATATTTCGTCAGAGCACGCAGCAGTGGAAAACCCGCTGCTCATCGGCCTAGAATTCGTGGCCAAGAATTTCTTGAGGGTAAATTGGTCCACTCAGTTCCGGATGCTTCCCCGCATTCCTTTCGAATGAATAATTGAGGCGATGGCGTGCACTAGGGCCCGATGCCATGGTAATCATACAGCACACTATAGGCGGGCACCAAGAGTTGGATTGGCATGTAGCCACTTAGGATACACAACATCAGACTACCAACTCGTAGCATGGAATATATATGACTCCATCATAAGAGACGCAGACTCCAGCATTTTGATTGGGAAGTAGCGGAGTAGTTGTACAAGCGGGACTAAGACTGTGCCTTTTCTGCATCACCAACGAGTGATTCAACCTCCTGCTCCGTAAACCGATGGAACAGTTTTTTTGGATCGGACAGCTCGCCAGCTGCATTCTTGGCGAACTGTACATGCAGAACGGGAACATCAAACTCGTAAACATCCTTCCATTCCTTATTATTGGGGACCATGATATCCACCTCCGCGTAGTTGAAAGGCCGTCGCTTACGGACTTGGGTCACATTGTATTTGGCGGTATCGCAGAGCCCACAGCCAGCACGAGTGAAGAGCGTGACGCGTGCAGCTTGGAATAAACGAGCGGTTGGGAGCATAACGGCGACAAAAATGAGAAGAATTGATTGTAAAATTATATGGGTTTTGGTTCCGAGGAGGATAAAGTCCAGATACGCAAAACACACAAACCCTGGAGATTCCGAGATGATGGAACCTTCGAGCTTCCCCGGACTAAACCCATTCTGGGCAGTCCAGCAACATCTTTTAGAGGAACACTCCCCCTCCGTCATCTCCCCCCACTTCTTCCGCTACTTTCTTTCTTTCGTTGGGAATAAAAGAAGAAAAACCCATTGGCCGCGATATTTAGGTCATATCCTATTGTGTGACTGATCACCATGGCATCCAAGTGTGTTCACAAAGGTTGTGGAAAGGAATTCACCGACTCCGAGGAGCCTTGCATTTACCATCCCGGTCCACCAGTTTTCCACGAAGGACAGAAAGGTAAGTAAAGATGCTTTCGCCTGGGGTAGACTTGGATTGCTTTTTCGGTGTTTCTTTGTTTGATTTCTGGTTGTCTCCAGCAAGTACCCTCCGAAGTTATTATCCTAACCACCTGTGCGGCTAACATCGCTTTCTTGGATCCTAGGCTGGAAATGCTGCAAACCACGCGTTCTCACCTTTGAGGAGTTCATGACGATTCCTCCCTGTACGACAGGGAAACACTCCATAGTAGATGACACCCCAAAGGTGGACGAGAAGCCAAAGCCAGCAGAAGACCTGCCTACCCCCCCAGCCGCGGCTATCGTGGATAGCGGGGTGCCACGGGGCGCAATTTCGCCTGCGATCCCTCCTCCCTCTAATCCCCCTACGCCGGTTTCAGAAGAGCCAGAATCGGACGATCCATCTCTCGCAATCCCAGCCAATGCCACTTGCCGCCGAAAAGGCTGCAATAATTCCTACAATCCCGACGTCTCGCGGGAGGACGAAGAGTGCGTCCACCACCCAGGACATCCGATTTTCCACGAGGGAAGCAAGGGCTGGTCTTGTTGTAAGAAGAGAGTGCTAGAGTTTGATGAATTCCTGAAGATCCAAGGTTGTACGGCGAAGAAGAGGCATCTTTTTGTCGGGAAGGGCAAGCCTCCCGGCGAAGAGAAAGTAGACAGTGTCAGGTAGGCCATCATCACTCTTCCTAGCTTTTTACTTTGGTGTTTCTTTTTTACGGGAATTAGGTCCAAATGGGAGCTACAACTAATGACCAATAGAAATGACTTCTATCAAACTGCACACTCTGTGAATGTCTCACTCTATCTGAAGAAGATCGATAAGGCCCATGCCAAGGTTGAATTCACCTCCACATCGATCGATCTGGATCTCCCGACTACCGACAACAAGCGCTACCAAGACAGTTACGAGCTCTTTGCGCCTATTGACCCCAACAAGTCACAGTTCCGCGTGCTGGGAACAAAACTGGAGTTGACGCTCGTCAAGGGCGACGGAACGAGCTGGCCTGTGTTGCGGAAAGATGATCGATGGACTGGAGAAAGGATTCAAATTGGAAATGCAGGAAGGGTTTAGATCTGAGACAAAAGATACGCGACTTCTATATCGAGTTCTGTGGAGTAAGTACCTAAATGAGACCTTTGCATGAAACCTTTCGGTTGTTCTTCATCTCTCCTCTTTTTCCTTTGGGATTGATCAAATTGCCCGGCGACTACATGTGGTAAGAGAAGGGTTGGCAGTGTAGCATATCAGTTCTCAACCGATATTCAGAACCAGTCCAAACTGGGTGGAGGATTTAGTCCCGAAAACTTGGTTCGGGCGAACTACCACCACCTAGCGCATCTTTGGGCAATGTCATTAAACCGTATGAGGATGGCGTGATACGATCTGGATTTTTTTTTTCCGCACAATATACCTGGGTAATTCTGTGCATTGTACGGAGTGCCGGTGTTCTTTCCCTCCCCTAGTCAGGAGAGTAACACGGCTTCTTACAAGAAACTACAACAACCCCAACACCGGCGGGCAGTATGATCCCACAACCCAAAATTGATAGAAAAAAAAAAAGCATGTAGCGCCCCCTCCACAGCTAAAGCGCATGGGGATCTTTTCTTGCGAAGAGAAACCCTAGCCCAGCCATAGATTGTAAAGGGAAAAAGGAGGACGCAATTGCTCTCCAGAGCCGGGAACGGAAGGAAATCCACAGAGAAAAATCCCAAAGAGAATAACCCTCAGCAAGCCGCCTTAGCGGAGCTCCGGTAATGATTTACATGGTATGTAAACCTCTACTGATGATGAGGAAAGAAAGAAAAAAAAAAAGTCACAAAAGCTGGGAGGGACGAGGTTTTTGTAGGTGAGCCGGCAGCGAGGTGCTAGTACACAATAGGACTAGCGTGGACTAGTGTCTTTTCATATTTACGTAATGCACTAGGGCTAGGGCTAGTCTGGATCAAGTGAGCGGTGAACGGGGTGAAAAAATCACATGCAAATGGTTGGGGCATGAGGACAGATATGGTTAGATTAATACAGGTACAGATTCCCTGGCGGGGACTTGGTAACTTTGTGTAATATTACTGACTTTCAGGGCGGAGGATTTAGACGAACTGGATGTTTTTGGCATGTTTTTGGCCAGGGACAATGCAGGCACACAGGCTGATAGTCTTAATCAGTCCCTGGTTTATGCTGATGAGATTTCAATCCTACCAGCTTAAATTAAGTTCTGACCCGCAGTATCTGTTCTGTTCTTCGTGGACAAGTAACAAACTTTAGGTACCAAGAGTAACTTCAACAGACCAGAATTCGTAGGAAAAAAAAAAAAGAGGGGCCTCAGGATCCGCGGGTTTTGCTCCAATCATAAACAAGGTGGCACGAGACCTCCATAGTCGACATGGACAGCATCCTCTCTTCTCCTTTTGATCGTTGTCTCCTCCTTCCAGACCATTCTTTTCTTCTCCATTTCTGCCCCTTTTTCCCCTTCTTATCACTTGGCTCCTACCAAGTTTTGTCCGAGTGTCAATTGCCGGTCGATTTGTGCTCGTTCTGTTATTCTGGTGCCTACCTCTTTTGTACCTAAGGCAGCCCGCTTGGTTACGATACCCACGCCTTCTTTATACTATACTAGGTATGTTCTGTCGTTGTCGCTGGTCTAGTTGGTTCTTGACTAGATCTATGTTTTTGTAAGGGGTATTTCTCATAGCTGACTGTTTCATGTCGCTCCAGTGCTTTGACCGCTTCTTTATATAATATATATAATATATATATATATACCCACGACACCTTTTGTTTCGCCCACTTCCCTCTCCCTGACGCGCATCTACAGACAAAATGGAAGCAGTACACAAGTCCGCTGCTATCGCTGTTTCTCCCCCTCGTTATATTGCCAAATCCTATAACCATGCGGACTCGCACGCTTCAGCGCTGCGGCTTGTGCTCACGTTGAACCCGCACTGGGAGGGCCCTGAGAACAAGATTGAGTTTGTGCGATTCACGGACGGAATCACTAATACTGTGTGTGAAGATTAAAACTGACCCTGCGTAAGCGACTAAGGTAGACTAACGTGGCTCGGTAGCTTTTCAAAGCCATTAATCGCAAACCCGGCTTGACTGAGGATCAGATAGACAACGAAGCAGTCCTCATGAGGGCGTACGGTAATCATACAGAGATTCTCATAGACCGTGAAAGTATGCGATACCAGGATTTTCCCTCCTTGATACTCTCTACACACTGCCCAGCGCGACATTTTGCTAAGTAAATTTGGTCCCTCTATAGGAGAAACGAACTCGCACGCTCTTCTAGCTGGATTTGGCCTGGCTCCGCCCCTCCTGGCGCGCTTCAAGAACGGTCTCCTCTACCGGTTCATTCGAGGCCGTCCTGCCTCCCACGAGGACCTGGTGACTGAAAGCGTTTGGCGCGGGGTGGCCCGCAGACTTGCTCAGTGGCATGCTACTCTTCCCACTTCCAGCACCACTACCCCTCCCGCATCTACCAAGGAGCTGTCGGTTTTGGACGCCGTAGATGTGAGTGCGGATGTCCAGCCGCTGGAGCCGGAGGACGACCTGAAGCAGATCCAATTTAAGCAGCCTAGTCCCAATATCTGGACCGTCATCCAGAAATGGATTGTCGCTATGCCCACCAGTACCGACGCTCAACGGGAGAGGAGACGCGATTTGCAGCAGGAGCTCGAGCGGGTTGTAAGCGAATTCGACGGCGGAGGCTGTATAGGGGAAAATGGGGTATGTTGCACAACAACCGTCTGGGATATAGATGCGTACCCCTTGTGTGAGCTGAGTCTTAACCATAATTGCTTAGTTGGTATTTGGACACTGCGACCTTCTCTGCGCCAACGTGATCATCCTACCCCCTGAGGAACAGACCTCCGATGACGGAACACAGAAGGTGAACTTTATAGATTACGAGTACGCTACGCCTGCTCCGGCCGCCTTCGACATTGCGAACCACTTCGCCGAATGGGGCGGTTACGACTGCGATTACGGCATGATGCCGACCCAGACGGTGCGACGCCAGTTTCTGACCGAGTACGTGCGCAGCTACGCACAGCACCGAGGAATTCCCGAAGCATCACAACCGGACATTGTGAACCGACTGTACGAGGAGGTGGATCAGTACCGAGGATTGCCTGGACTGTATTGGTATGTACTATGATCACATTTACGGGAGTGGATTTCTTTTCTGACACTCCATCTAGGGGTATTTGGGCTCTGATCCAAGCTCAGATCTCACAGATTGACTTCGACTACGCGTCGTACGCGGAGCTGCGACTGGGAGAATACTACGCATGGCGAGCTGAGACGGACGGAAGCCGAAGCGGAGGGGAAGAGATGCCGCTGCGAGAGCGACGATGGGCACAGGAAGCGTAATATGAAGGAGGGGGGGGGGGGGGTAGATATCCAGAGACACAGAAGATTTGATTTATTCAACAAAATCCGTGATGTAAAACGGGATGCATGAGCGGCGTTGTATTCTTTCTACCTTGTATTCTACAAAGGTGACATTTATACATGTATGTTAATCACAACCGGCTCTAGATCAGATACAAGGGTGTCTCTCTCAATTACAAGCGATGGTGCACCACAGCACCATCTGTGTCCACAGGCAGCTGCATGGTCCTCTCCCCCGCAAGAGGCGTAGGCACCTCGACATCCAACTCCAAGGCCTGGACGACCTTCCTCCAGGACTCCATCCCCCGCTGGGCATGCAACGCGGGCGTGATGGGGTCGGGATCGGCGCAAGTCCTCGAGAACAGCTCCAGCGACACCCACCCCTCAAAGCCTAGATCGAAGAACTCCCGGGCGACCTTCAAAACGGGCAAATACCCGCCGCGGTCCTCTTCGCACGGGAACAGCCGCGCGTTGCGCGACCAGTTCATGCGCGCGGGCTGCCCGGCCACATAGAACGGATGCTTGTCGTCCAGCGGCGCCGCGAGCCGCTCCCCATCGACGAGCTGGATGTAGAAGATTTTCGTGCGGTCCAGGTCGCCCGACGCGGCGGCGTGGCGGAAGCGCGCCAACGAGGCGTCGAGCTCGGCCGCGGCGTTCGGAGTTTCGCCCGACGCCGCGGCCGGGTCCGCATACACCCTGCCGGCGAGGTTGAACGTGTCCAGACACAGGCCGAAGTTGTCGCGGTCGACGGCCCGGACGACCCTCCAGGCGGCTTCCCAGGTATCGATGTGGCTGGACCAGCAGAGGGCCTCGTAGACGAAGCGGAAGGGCGGGGCCTGCGCGGCGCCGAGGTCCGCGATGGCTGCCAGGTCGGCGACAATCAGGTCGAAGTCGGCGGATGTGCGGGGCGCGCCCGTCGCCGGGTCCGCGGGGAGGAAGTTGGCGGGGATCTGGATGAGGTCTGTATTCAGGATTCGCGCGAGCTCGAACCAGCGCGGGAGCTTGTGCGTGAGCAGGTGCGCGGTTTGCGTGCGGTCCAGCAGACCCTCGTAGAAGCCAAACGGCTGGATGCAGATCACGGTGAGGTTTAGCGACGTGCATACGTGGGAGATGTGCTGGGCGGCTTGTTGCGAGGAGCCGTGGAACTGGGTGTTGGCGAGATGGTCCAGGTCGTCCATGAAGAGCTCGATGCCTTCGAAGCCGTATTGCGCGGCCTGGTGGAGTTTGTCATCGAGGCTGTGAAGACCAGGACGGCCGAGGGACATTGTTGGGATCCCGATTTTCATGTTCTTCATTTTGTCTTTTCTTCTTCTTCTTCTTCTTCTTCTTCTTCTTCTTCTTTCTATTTTACTTCTTTTTTGCCTTCAGGGGTTGAAGTCGGAAGAGAGACAGAGACAGAGACAGAGACAGAGACAGAGAGAGAGAGATGAGTCGCGGAAATGAGACGTCAGATTCTTCGCAATTAGATCAATCTAACTTAGTCCGATTAATTCAACCAACGATCAAATAAGATCTCTCTTTAGATCCCCAGCTGGTAACAAATAGAGAGAGATACTCCGTAACATGCGCAGAGTCCCGAGTCCATGTTGTATACTTCACCGGCTAAACGCTTCCCGGCAGAGCCTTTTTCCCCTACTCCGGATAACTAATTGCACTCCGCATTCCTCCACATTCCCCGGAAGTATTTGTATAGAACCCGAAAAGAAAAAGAAAAGAATGATTTGCAGTTGAGACATATTAATTACGAGTAAAAACATTAGTATACTAAAAAAAAAATTATTTCGGAACCACCTCGACATGCTCTCCCGGCATTCCAGTCCGCTTCAGCTCAGACTCCTCGATTTCGTCACGGAATCGCTCCTCGTCCTCGCGGAGCTCCTTCAACAGCTGCTCGTGCGCACGCCACACTGGCTTCTTCTCGAACAGAGACTCCATGCTCTCCAGCGGGATACCCTTGGTCTCCGGGATCAGGAAGAACACAAAGATAATCGAGAGCAGCATCATCGTGGCGAAGAAGAAGTACACGCCCCAGTTCATGCCGGCGAACATTTGCGGCGTGAATCGCGAGATGAGGAAGTTCCAGAGCCAGTTAGAGGCAGCGGCGCAAGCCTGAGCAAGGGATCGGACATCGGGATCAAACATTTCCTAGTATTGAGTTGTTAGTTGTTTTTCAGAGATCGTAGGTTGTAAGGAGGAAAAGCAGAAACATACAGAGTTGATGACCCATGGGGTCCCGTTGTAAGAAGGCGTATAGAATATAGTCCAGAGGTAGAAGAAAAACATGGCAGCAATACCCCCGCCGCTAAGCTTGGTGCCGGGCGGATTGTTCTCAGGTTTGGCGATCTTGATGTACGCACCGACTACCCACAGGCAGACAGAGCCACCGGCCGCCCCGATCAGGAGAAGGGGCCGACGTCCAACACGGTCAATCAAGTACAGGAGCCAGATGATGGTGACCACGGCCTTGACGACACCAAAGATACCAGTGGTGAGGAGACTGGTGTTGCTGCCCGTGACACCAATGCTCTTGAAGATAGTAGGGCTGTAGTAGTTGATGGCGTTGATCCCCGATCCGTTCTGCCACAAGAAAAGCATGCTACCCAAAAAGAGGCGGTACAGGATTCGGGGGTTGGCCCAGGCAGCACGGAAGGGGTTCCAGAACCCCAGGCCAATGGTCGAGCGCTGGTGCTCCAATGCCTGGTCGATCATGCTCACCTCTTCCATCATGTAGACATGATCTGCAGGGATCCCCCGGATCCAGGCCAGGGTCTCGATACCCTTCTCACGATGGCCACGCAGGAAGAGCCAACGGGGAGATTCACGGACAAAAAGCGCACCGATGATGAGCAGACCAGCGGGGATGAGTTGCACCGCGAAGGGGATCAACCATTGCTTGTGGCTGGAAGGGAGGGTCTCGTCCACACCGTACTAAGCTTCACATTTAGTTGCACACGACACCAGTGAGAGACAGACAGAAGAAAAAAAAAAAAGAAAGGGAAAATACATTGATCCAAAAGCCAACAACACCACCAATCTGCCAGCCCATTTCATAAACACCGACCAGACGACCACGAATTGCAGGCGGTGCCATCTCGGCGATATAGATCGGGGTGATATTGGAGCCTACACCAACGCCTACACCAGCCAGGACACGTCCAGCGTAGATTAGACCGAGTCCACGGGCGCCATTCGCCCCAAGCATCAGACCAGCCCCCAGGAAGAAAACCACAGCAGAAAGCATGAGACCCCATCGACGGCCCCAAAAGTGACCGGCCGGGTAAGCGACAAGAGCGCCAAAAAAGGCACCAGCCTGGTAGAGCGACACGATGTTTGCGCTGACCAGATCCTGCCTGGACTTGCTCATGTCTGACCAGTGAAACTCATCCTTGAACGACTGGAGACTGAGAGTGGTGCCAATAAAGGCGCTGTCATACCCGATCATACATGAGGTAAAAGAGGCGACGGCGGCCAGGAGATAAACGCGCCAGTTGTAAATTTCCTTGGGGGTTGGTCGGTCCTCGATGAGGGCGAGAAGGGACATTTTATTTCTATCACTTATATATATATGTATAAAAAAAAAAAAAAAAAGGTAATATTAGAGAGGTAAAGGGAAGAAGATGGGGGGAAAAGATGGAAGACCAGACAGGGGAAGACAGGGTCCGATATAAATATGCAGTGAAAGAATTTTACCTCCATTCTCTTATCCCCCAGTTATAAGTTTGTGGGGGAAAGCTTTTGGGTTGTGCTTTCTGGGGTTAATGAACTAATGGTATTATTTCCTGTGCAGAATCTACATTTCCCCATGGGGATTGCAAATAAGCGATGGCAAATCCAGATCCCACACAGTCCAGGGAAAGTATTCTCCCGCGGCTAAACGTTCCCCGCCCTCATATATTCTGGTCTCCCAACACAGGAAACATCTTTCTCTTCTTCAAACTCAGACTAAAAAGAAAGAAAGAAAATGGAACCAATTACTATCCCCGAGGAGAGAGACGGTGTCGCCTATCTCTATGGTCATCCGCTGCGCAACTCCCTCTCTCCCTCCCTCCACCAGACCATCTACAACACACTCGGCCTCAACTGGACCCAGATCCCCCTTTCCAGTACCAATGGCGCCTCGTTCACGCAATCTCCCGAAATCTCTACCTTCCTGACTTCCATCCGCTCCAACCCAAAGTTCGTTGGCTCGTCCGTCACCATGCCCTGGAAGGTCGCGATCATGCCGCATCTGGACGACCTCACCGAGGACGCGCGACAAGCCGGTGCCTGCAACACCATCTTCCTGCGCAAGGATTCCCCCGGAGACGACACCTCCAAGACCTCCTACGTCGGCACCAACACAGACTGCATCGGGATCCGCGAAGCCCTCCTGCAGAACGCCCCCACAGGCCCCGACCACTTCCGCGGGAAGCCCGCCCTCATTGTCGGCGGCGGCGGGACCGCCCGCACCGCCATCTACGTGCTGCGTTGCTGGCTCGGCGCCACCAAGATCTATATTGTGAACCGGGACGCCGCTGAGGTCGAGGCCATCCTGGCCGAAGACAAGCAGCGCAACCCTACCCCGTCGGCGGATTTTGCGCCCCTCATCCACGTCACGGACCCCGTGATGGCGTCTACATTGGAAGCTCCCGTAGCGATTGTCTCGGGGATCCCCAACTACCCCCCCAAAACGGAGGAGGAGCTGCGCGCGCGCGAATGCCTCCGGGTTCTTCTGGACCGCCAGACGCACGAGAAGAACCAGGGTGTCATCCTGGAGATGTGCTACCACCCGCTGCCCTGGACGGAGATCGCACAGCTGGCTTCTGATGCGCGTTGGAAGGTGATTCTCGGCTCGGAGGCGCTGATCTGGCAGGGTCTCGAGCAGGCGCGACTCTGGACGGGCACAGATATCATTGCGGTGCCGGGTCTAGTGGATCGGGTGAAGGCCGTGGTGGCACAATCTATCGCTGAACGGTCGAAGACATCATCGAACCTTTGAAAACTGGCTTCTTTCCCAGATGATAATGATAAGAGGACATTTTTTTTTTTTTTTCAAAACATATTATATGTTTATGATGTCATCTTTCCTGTATATATATATATATATATATATATGTCTGATATCCATTACATAGATTCTACGAGTTTATCGGACATAATCTAGCTGTCGCACCCTCCGCCAGACTTCACGTGCCGTACGTTCCTGGGACTCTCGTCCTGTTTCTGTTTCCGAGGGACCAGCCGGTCTACATGATTAGTATCAGCTGTGGAAATCAAGGTCTATTAAAGAAGACCTACCGAATAGCCAAATACAGTCGACTTCCTAGTCGCACTGGTTCAATCGGTGCGTTGATATCCTCGGGCGGATTCGCCGTCGTGACCAACCCTCCAGCTTCTAGCAAAATCGCAATTCCAGCCGCCACATCCCTATCCCAAGTTAGCTTCTTTTGAAACTAAACATTAAAGAAAGAAAAGAAACTTACCACTCCCAACACCCCCCTTCCCACCAAATATCCACCGATCCCATAGCCGTATACGCCAAATCCATTGTCGCACTCCCTAAGCTTCTCATGCCATGGACCATGCCGCCCTTACCACCCCGCCCGCTGCGCTCCGCAGCCATATTTACAAAGCTCTCAATCTTCCTGTGCATGTTGCCATCGGGGATATCGCGACGGTCTTTGCCCCACTCGCACGCGAAAATGCACTGGGACGGTGCATTGGACGGCATGGGAGGGATGGACGGGTTGCGGATGAGCGGGAGCTGGCGTTTTTCATTGAGCCAGGCGCCACGATGGAGACAGGATGAGAACAATTGATCAAGGAGGGGCGCATAAACAACGCCGATGACCGGGTACTGGTTTACGACGAACCCGATGGAGACGCAAAACATAGGGAAAGCGTGGGTGAAGTTGACGGTTCCTGGGTTTAGTTAATCACAATAACAATAATAATAATAATAATAAAAAAGCAGGAAGAAAAGGCGTACCATCCAACGGATCAACACACCATGTTGGCTGTTCATCGATTAAATATTGTCGGGACTCGCCTTTGGCGTAGCTTTCTTCCCCGAGGAATTTGTGAGAGGGGTATTTCTTTTGAACGGCGGTTTTGATAAGGGCCTCCACATCTGTTTTTTTTTCAACAAAAAGTTAGATTAGATGGAACTTGAAGGGGCAAGGCGTCTATTCTATACCTTCGTCGGTCTGTGTGACTAGATCAACTGCATTCTCTTTCTCGCTGTAAGTTGGTTCGGCGTTGCGCTCGTCAATACGCTCTAGAAGCAGTGCACCGGCTTTGCGGGCGAGATCGATAGCAAAGCTGTAGATCTCGTCGAGCTGGTCTTGGGGGATGGGACAGTGTGTCATGGTGATCAATCAAGAAATGTGCAAATGTTGTACTGGTGAGTATATTCCTGGGGGTTTGGAAGTGAGTCAGTCGGAGACAAGAAAGAAAGAAAGAGGCTGAAGTGGAGATGGATATTCAGCCGTCAATAACCGAGTCGGACTTCTGATATGCATTGATAATAACTGTAACATAGTTAGTTAGTTAATGCATTAATGTGATAAGATCCACTGGAGAACGGGAACCGGAATGTTACCTAGGTATGGAGTAGTGCCTGGAGAAATTTCCGCTCCATCGTGGCTTCATATTCAGGGTGCGGCTGAGCCTTCTCCCCCGGCTAACTGTTTTACCCGCTCCCACTTCCCCAGTCAAATACAACATGCAAGCAATAGGTATTATTAGGTATATAAGAATGTTATAACCTCACACCCCTCTTTGACAAACCAAAAAAAAAAAAAAAAATCTACACAATGGCCAAATCAATCCTCCTCATCAACGGCCCCAACCTCAACCTCCTGGGCACCCGCGAACCTCACATTTATGGCTCAACCACCTTAGCCGACGTCGAGGCCTCCTCCAAATCCCACGCGGCGGCACTCGGCGCTACCCTCGAAACCTTCCAGTCTAATCATGAAGGTGCCATCGTGGACCGTATCCAGGCTGCCCGGGGCAACGTCGACGGCATTATCATCAACCCCGGCGCTTACACACATACATCGGTTGCTATCCGGGACGCTCTACTGGGCGTGGACATCCCGTTTATCGAATTGCACGTGAGTAACGTCCATGCGCGTGAGCCGTGGAGACATCACAGTTACTTTAGCGACAAGGCATCCGGGATTATTGTTGGTCTGGGGGTGTATGGGTACAAGGTAGCGGTGGAACATGTGGCTATGAACTTTAAGCCGTTGGAGAAAAGGGCAACTTTGTAAATAAGTCGGTTAGGTATTCTTCATTTCACTCTGGGTTGTGTTGGCGTTGAGATGTGGAGTGTAATTAATATATACAAGAAGAAGAATCATAATAATAAAAGTCCCCCCGCCTTTCACATTGGTACATATGTGTTGCAAAAAAAAAAAAAAAAAAAAAAAAGAAATAATAATATATATAATTCATCATCTCTTCGCATTTAGGTTAGCCTCGCTGGTGACTTGGGATTCGTGCCGGACGGAGCTTGCACCAGGAGATGTCAATGACTGTGTTGAGGGTAGCAGGAATGACTCCGTTTGCGTGGTCGTGTAGGGATAGAGGTCTGGGATTCCGGCCTCGGGAACGAATCCTAAATTCTGCATGAACTCGGGTTGATTGTCCATTCTTCATCACCGTTGGTTAGTAATATTTCAGTCTAGACGTGGGGGGGAGGGGGGAAAGGAACCCAACCTGTCTGTGCCATCAAGAGAAGCCAGTTCGTCGAATAGGGCATCAAGGTCGGGAGCGATGCGTGGTCGACGTATAGACCCGTAGCCATCCATGTCGACTAAAGAGTTAAGCGGCAAGTTCGGATCACTATAGGTAGGTTGGTATGGTGCTCCAGGGGCAGAAAATGGTGTGGTCAATTCGGATAGCATTGGGCCTTTGGCGGGCCTTGAAAGTGAAGAGCGGGGTTGATGGTTTGGCATGGATTCTTTGAGCTGCGAGGTTGCATTAGACGCCTCCATTCCCGGTGCCATATTTAGGGATGACGGGGGTGTCGGCAAGGACAAAGCAGCGTTGTCATCCATGCTTGCGGATGTTCTCATCCAAGCCGGCGAGAAGAATGAGTCGGGGACCGAGAGGCTGCCGGGGCGAACTTCACTGGCCATGCCCAGAGGCCGCGGGGTGCTTACAGCGCCATTTAGAGAATTTGGAGGCAAAGAACTACTGTACGCGATCCTTTGCGGCATATCTACAGGCACTGAAGTAGCAGCAGGTTCAGATCTAGCGGGACGGGTGGTATGATTCGTCGACCAGATAGGTGCAAGATGCGACGAAAAGGATTGAAGCTTGCTCTTTAGGCCAGGATCGGTCTCAAAAGGCAACGGGGTATTATTCATTTTTAGGCCGGCATATGGCATGCACATGGTTAAGATCATCCCAAACGTCGGGCACGTTGCTGAAATACTATAGGCATCCATGTACGACCGAAGCAATGACAGAAGACGCATCGAGCTGTCGGCCGCACGGTTGAGCCCATTTGGATCGCCCCGTTGCGCTGAAAGTTGGATCGTGATAACTGTTGCGACGCCCTCGTACATCATCTCAAGTCCGAAGATGTGGGGTGAAGGACACTTGGTGGGAAGGCTTTGCAGGTCGATACGATAGCTCTTTGGAAGTGCTGCGACCCAAAGCTGCAGTTGCCGCTCAAGGGCTTCTAGATGTGAAAGGGAACTTGTCGAGGTTTGTCTCCAACAACAGAGGTCGTTCAAAATGCACATCAAGGAGACCAGCCGATTGAAAGTGCTCAGGGCGTGCAGCGGCCCGCGGTGAAAGAAAGCGCGGGACGATTCTACGGGACGAAAACCAGTCTGGTCCTCCCAAGGATGCCATTCTTCCAAGCCATCCTCATCAACAGGGCCGACCTTGGTCAGATCACCCTTGCGCAGTGAGGGTACCTGACCTGTTTGCGCCGCTACCAACGTTTCGAGGATGAAGCACCCGAGGAACACATGTTTGGACCGCCCTGCAGCCTTACTCTCTTCTGTCGAGCTCGCGGGTATGGCGAGAGCTTTCAGTCCTAAGCTTTGAGCGATTCGGACGGCCTGCCCCACGAGTATCCACGCGGCTACCCAGTCCTGCTGGCCTAGCTTGATGAGAGCTAAGATTAGAAGTGCCTGAATATGGCCGACTTCGTAAACGCCGTCTTCTTCTGGAATCAGGCTTTTCGCTCTTGCGTACAACTGGGTCGGGTCGGGTTGGTCACCCGGCAACTCTTGCAACTGGCGTGTAGCAGAGGTCGACGCTTGTTGGGCGGATGCCAGGGCTAGAGCCGCCCACAGCGCAGCGTAGTCTCCTGAACCAGGCGAGGAAGGAGATATGCGGCGATCATCTTCCGAGTGGCGGAAAGCCGTTCGAAGGATATCATGCTTTTCGAGTATTGGGAACCAACATTGGGTGTAAGAAAAGTAAATATCGAGTAGTGGCCATGGGTTGGACGGAAGTTGGGGGTATCGGTCAGGGGCTGTGGAAGGAAAATTGGGGCGGCGTTGTAATGCTAGTTGGTCAAAGAGGAGGCCGTCTGGATTCCCAGGTTGATTTCCCTCGGGAACAGTTTGTGTACCGGAGTCTTTGGTAGTGCGAGTTGAAAGTTGTCGGTGCGTCGACGGCGTGGCTGTAGGTGTTTTCACCAGTGACGGTCCTACGGTCAACGAACTCTCGCGCCCGTCCCCAAGGAGATCCGGACACTGCCACTCTAGGTTCTCAGCTGAAAGTACGCTACTACCTTCAGCATCTTGCGGAGAATCTACGTCCCCCGGGGCTCTGCCTCCTCTGTCCTGCTGTTCCTCGTCAGGCTGCTCGATGAAGGTCAAGAGTCGCTCAATTTCTTTGAGAACAATGCTATTTTTCCATGACGAGAGCAAAGTATCGGATCCCTCAGCCTCCTTGCCCATCGTAGCCAGATGGCTAGGCATATTGGCTGTCCTCAACAAGGCCCGAACCACTTCCTCACTGCCCTGTATCTTGGTAAACACAAGTCCCCATAGCACCTCGAGAGTACGGATGTACCCGGTCGGCAGGCCACGCTTCTTGGGGTTGGCCTTGTAGGTACAGGGCCGTGACAGTGAGGCGCAGGTGGAACATATAGGCTGCGCTCCATCGCACTTGTCCTTCTTCGATCTGCAGCTATCGCAGGCACGCGACACTCGCTGGCGTTTCGGATTCGCCGTCGAGTCGTCCGTTGCTGTAGAGTTCGGCCGACTATCTTTCTCGATAATATCTGTCAATCGCCGTTTGGACCTCGCATTCCCGCCAGAGGTTTGGCGCGTATCACCGCTCATGATTGTCTATACAACGAACCACTAGACCGCGCTGAACGCAAGCTCATCTTCAACACGGTGCAGGTGAGATGAACGCTTTGCCGGAAAGGCAGGCTCTATGAGATCGATCTCCCTCCCCCCACTTGGTCCTAGCAAGGATGGTAGATAATTCTCAAATTAACAGCCCTTCCAGCCACAGATGATCCAACCAGATCCAATCGAACGGGAGAAAAATGGTCGAGGATGCAATGCAAGGGTGGAAGGTCCAAAAAGCGGAGAAAGGGAAAAGTTCAGGCCTTCAACAAAACTTCGAAGACAAAAACAAAAAGTTGGGGAAAACCCGGGTGGGATCGCTTAGCCGGTGCCAACCCCCCGAGTAGATCTCAGATTCTGCGTCAAAAGTCTGGGAAGAAAAACTTCCTTGAAGGCAATATGAATCAGGTGAGCAAATTGGTATTAGTCTAGTTTTAATTCTGGGAAGACGAACGGACATTACTCCCGAGGTCGTCTCCTGAGGCTCCCAGGCCGGACATTCCCCGCGGGGTAGTTCTACCAATAAACTCGCCGGTGTCAACCTTGTGTCTTTCAAATGATTTCTTCTGACTGGCGGATCGGGAATATGGCTTTTCCCTGGTCTCCGGCTGAGCGCTTAGCCGCTGCTTTCCCCAGGCTGCAAGGCACCCACCCATCCACCCCAAATCTCGTTTTCCCCCGCGAGGTTGAATCCCTCCACAGTCCACACTCTCTCGCGTCTGACGGTCTGACTCGAATGAATGCTTTGGCGGACGAGCTAAATTAATTTCTGGGGTTTCGTTTTAGACGCTAACTGAGTCTCCCATCTCTCCTTCTATTTCTGTCTTTCTCCCTCTCTTCCTCCTCCTCCTCCTCCTCCTCCTCTTCCCTCGAACCCTTCTGCGCCCTCTCCGGTAATGTCGGGCTGAAGACGCCCTGATCCTTATGACTATACATCCCAAAAAAAGTATTCCTACGTCTGTCTCGTCATGTCGATTCTAGCGCGACCGCTTAAGCGAAGGTTGGACGATCTCGAAGGGCTTACCGATCAGCAACCCCCTCCTCTTTCACGCGGGTTTCGTCAGGGGACAGCCCATCATCCATCGGAGGATTCTATCTATTGTGGAATCGACTATTCCCACTCCAATGAACGCCCAAATACATCAGGAACTGCCTCGCGTTTTGCCTCCCCGTTTAGGGACTGCAACTCTGGCCGGGCATCACCCACACGCTTCGAAGAGCCTTTCCAAACGCAAAGGAAATTCTCGCAGAATGCGTCGATTGTCTTGATTGGTGTTCGTGGTACGGGCAAGTCGAGTTTTGCCGTTATGCTGGCGGCGACTTTTGGGCGGCGTGTAATCGAAGCCGATCGATATTTCCGAGAAGTGACGGGACGCTCTCGGGCTGCTTATAAAAAGGAGCATAACCTCGCGGAGTACCGGCAACGGGAGATGATGGTGATGGAATCCATGCTTACGGAACATCGGGAAGACTGTGTTATAGTCTGTGGTCCAGGAGATGTTGAGCGCAACGGTCAAATCCTGCTCAGAGAGTATGCGAAAACCCACCCGGTCATTCACATCGTGCGAGACCCCAAAAGTATCCAGTCCTATCTCAAAGCTTGGGATACCCATAAAGTTCGTCGTTTGCTTGAGCTCTCCGGTCCCGTTTATCGCGCCTGCTCGAATTTCGAATTCTTCAACGTCTCTGAGATGGCTAGAGGAGGAGACCATACCCTTGGCAACAAGGAGGGCCAAAACTACAGCCAGTGGGACGCCGAAGTAGATCAACGAGCACAGACCTCCACTCCATTCCTTATGCTAAAGCGACTACAGCGTGATTTCCTCCGATTTGTCACCTTTGCTACGGGGGATATCGCCGAATTGCAGAACCAGCTTCCACTTTTTCCGCTCTCCTTGCAACCGATCGAGTCCCGCCAGTTTACCTACGCGGCGACGGTGCCGATCTCGTCACTCTTAGAACGCGACCTAGATATCGAAGAGCTAGAATCTACTGCGGACGCTTTTGAGCTGAAGATTGATGTTTCTGCGCCTCCTTCTGCCCATCTCGGTCTAGACTCGAATCTCGCAGGTGGGATTAGTCAAATGGTGGCGAGAATTCGACGCAATATTATCGTGCCCCTGATCTACCACGTCGAGAATACCATCCGGCCGGCTTCCCAATATACGGAACCCTTACGGCGCTCTGATTCGTCATACCTGGAACTATTGCAGCACGGGTTACGCTTAGCTCCTGAGTTTGTGACTGTGGATCTGTCGTTTGATGATAGTCTTCTATCTCAAATAGTGACTGCCAAAGGATCAACCAAAGTGATTGGGCATTATTCAGTCCCTCAGGCCCTTCCCAAGGGCTGGGATAGCCCCGAATGTTTAGGCCTGTACGAAAGGGCCAAGCGACTTGGGTGTGACATGGTTCGATTGACACAGCCTGCAGCCTCGATGGACGATAACTTGGCCGTGCAACGCTTCCGTCATCAAATCAAAACCATGCCAGGACCGCAGCTCCCTATAATCGCATATAATTCTGGCGCCTTGGGTCGACAGTCCTGCTGTTTTAACCCAATCTTGACTCCTGTGACTCCTCGACTTTTAATCTCTGAAGCCTCAGCAAAAGGCCTGCCCATGATCACCTTGCAAGAAGCGCTGGACGCACTTTACACCTCCTTCGTTCTGGATCCCATGCAATTTTTTCTTTTCGGTGCCAATGTCACCTACAGTTTGTCTCCCGCGATGCACAACGCGGCCTTTAAGATGTGTGGAATGCCCCATTTTTATGCTATCCACCAAGCACCGACACTACGAGGCATCAAAGAGCTGGTAGAAGCCCCGAACTTTGGGGGAACCAGTGTCAGCTTACCATACAAAACAGAATCTATACCCCTCGTTCATTCTATGTCTCCGCATGCACGCGCAATAGGCGCTGTTAATACTTTAATCCCCATTCGCAAGCTCGAAGAGAGTTCAGATAACTCCTTGGATATGGAGAAAAGCCGTGCAGGTCCAATTAAGGGCTTACATGGAGATAATACCGATTGGATCGGAATCTGCAACTGTATTCGACGGGGCCTGTCACCCGCGAATGTCATACGTCCTACTACCACCGCACTGGTTATTGGAGCTGGCGGAATGGCCAGAGCTGCTATATACGCTATGATTTATCTAGGGGTACAGAATATTTTCATCTGGAACCGCACACTCAGCAACTCCGAAAAGCTCGCGTACCACTATAACCGGCAGAATTTGCACGCTCCAGGGAAAAGTGGACCGGATTATCGTCCTCATATCCAGATCTTGAGGTCGTTACACGACAACTGGCCAGCCAGCTATAAGCAGCCAACCATCATCTGCTCATGTATTCCAGCGCATCGGATAGGTGATCAACCCGCACCAAACTTTCAACTTCCTCCTCAATGGATTGAGTCACCAACTGGTGGAGTGGTTGTGGATGTAAGTACCAAAAAATCTAAAGAATCTATATCCCCAATGCGTACTAACCAAAACAAAAAAAAAAAAAAAAAAAAAAAGCTTGCATACAAACCCCTTAACACCCCACTAATGAGACAAATACGATCTCTCTCCCACCGCGGCTGGGTAGCTCTTGACGGTCTCGATTTCCTCCCCGAGCAAGGTTTCGCCCAATTCGAGCTTTTCACTGGACGTCGTGCTCCGCGACGTCTCATGCGCACGATCGTCTTGCAAGAATACAAGGCGGAAGAAGAGCAAGAAGAGCAGTATGATCATAGCGCTATGCGAACCCGACTTGAGAATCTAGATGGGCAGCCTACATGAAGTTTTTGATCTGCTAGGGATATGGGAAAACGAATAATATATGGCATATCATATAATGCTTCTCCTAGGGATCATTGGCGTTTTCGATCCTCCCCCGTTCCGAACTCGAACAATCAAGTATCTATTACCCTGAGGGTGCTCGTGGGGTGGGAATGAGTCTCACCGTTACATCCCGTTGTCACACGTCGTCTAGGTTTAATCTCCGAAACAGATGATATTTTCAAACTACTGATGACTTAGATGATTGTTGTCGAAGCGCCTCAGATTGGGGCCGCTGCATATAGCAATAATGTGGCGCTCAGCAGGACAGCAGCGCCCTACAGAGCCCGGCGCTGCTGATTCCGGAGTCAAAAACTTTCATCCTGCTTCCTACCTTAAGAGCAACTAAGCCTTTTTTTTTTTTTTTTTTTTTTACGACTATACCTGCATAATGAAATGAAAATCCCACGATGTTAAATCTGGTGTTCTTCGTTGTCTACCTGTATCGGGTAAACACGATATGATGATTCCTTAAAACAAGTTCTATGTCTTTTCTTTCCATATACCAAATGGAAACCGCATACAAACATAAATATGATACAACCAACAGGGCGATATATGCTTGCCCATCACTTACCTCCGGCCAACTCCTCAAAGTTGCCACAAGCCAGTCTCGATCCATTCGGCGAATGAACCACCAAGGAAAGGTCGCCAAAGTACGCTGGCTGGCCGGGAGTGTTTGAAATGAAATAATCTATGTATGATTCCTGGAAGACTTCGTTCGGAGGAGCAAAAGCCGGCCCGTGTTTACCGCTCAGGTCGCCAACTTGGCAAGTTTGAGGCGCGGTAATAACGCAGGGAGTTGCGTCTCCACGACCATAGGGGTCGAGATGGCCGCCTGTTGAGTAGCAGTTGCCATCTTCGGGGACTGGGTGCTCGTGGATATGGTATGCTATTTGGTAAGGTTAGTAATAATAATAAAAGATATAAATTTATGTGAGAGACTGCAAGAAGAAGAGGATGGGTGACTTACTAAGGTATTCACCTTCTGGGATTCCTCCGAAGAAGGTGACTACACGGAGTCCCGTGGAGTCGGAGGCAGGTATGATTGTGACGCCACCAAACACGGTTGTGTTGTCCTTGGGGGACAGCGATGCTTGAAAGAATGAGTCGCGCTGGTTATCGGTTACGACAGGAGCATCGGTGTCGGTGCCCTGGACGAATGCTGAGAGCGCTAGGCCTAGAAAGGCTCCCGTGAGCAGCTTAGAATGCATAGTTAAGTCGATGGTAGTAGGTAGTCAGTCTTGTCGACAGGGTTGTGGGTGAGATTGTAGACCGAGAGAGGACCAGGTTAAAGAGAAAAGAAAAAGGCAGTTAGGAAATGAATGTAAGGGGGCAAGGGAGCGAGCGGTTGTTTGCGTCGCGCCGTGGAAAGCTTACAATGTAAACAAAAGGATCTTGAGGTCTCGTGAAGGAAGAGAGTTGTCAGAGAGCACCACAACAGTCAACTGCTTATATATCAAAACATAGCCTACATGGGGTTTCCTTGTCTGTGAAACCCTGGGATAAAATTAGGGGCAGATTCTCGGGGCGATCATAAAGAAAGCCATGATCCTTCGAACTGGCGAACAACAATAAGCATTTAGCGCTGGATGAATCCTCGGAATATTGTCCCCTTATTGGGTTTTCAAGGGCCCAGCGGGGTCCCTAGAATGATGAATATACTGTAGGAACCAAGTGCTGGCTGTGCATGATGCTTGTGAAGGAATATTGGCTGGCACTGCCACTGATTTTTGGTTTTAGCTGGTCTCAAATTTGGTAAATAACAGTGCTCACATAATGTGATAGAGCCAGGAAGACCTATAATAATAGCCAAGCAAGTCTCTTGTAAAAAATAGAATAACTTAGCTAACTGGCACTCGACAATGAACTGGACACTACTACTCACTTAGTCTTGTACTCGATCTCGTCTTCTGCCCATGTGAGATTGATGACAGCAGTTCTTGCAGCTCGTATAGGTGCGGAGCTGTCTGCTGCAATCTAAGGCATTAATCAGGGAAAACGGAGAGATGGAAGAGAGATGGAAGAGAGATGGAAGAGAGAGAGAAGAGAGAGAGAGAGAGAGAGAGAGAGAAAGAGAATAAAAGGAGAGAAGAGATATGCCTACTGGGATTTGAAGATGAAAAGAGGAACTGGAGCCAAGCACTACCCAAACAGGAAATCCATCCTGCCAACCTCCACCTTCTTCTCTCACCCAAATGAAGGAGCTCAGTCGAGTATATTGAGTGCATTCCAAGCGCGGGAAAGTAAACAGCTCAGAATCACTACGTTATCCAGCAGTGACCCCCTCCATGCCCTAGGCCCCGAGCAATCGCCCAGCAAGGGATTACAAATTTGGAGGCTCTGCTCAAGACAAACGACTTCGCGAGGTCCACAATAGCAAATAATATGTATTACCTGAAGAAGGAATTGAATATCCAATGCAGTTGATTCTCTCTAACCATCAAGGTTCATCATCATATACACACAAACATGAAGAATCAAAAGTACAGCTCCAGTCGCTGTTTATTCAAACGCCCTGTTCGCCATCAATCCACATAAACATCACCAATGTACATATAGAATTAAGTCGTTACAATCTTGAAAACTCCCTTTAAATGTCCAGTCGTTAGTCCCGTAAACAGCAAGAGATCAAGAGATCAGGAGGATGAAACCTCTCGCAGGCGTTCAAAAATGCAGTTACTCCTCAGAACTCTCCTCTTCATCGTCAACCCCGTCATCGATGATCATATCCACCTCTTTCACAGGGTGGAGGAGCATTGGTGGTAAACACATGCGTCCTTCACCAGCAAGTTCCTCTTGCTCCCCACCATCATTATCAACTTTGTAGCCCAGCCAACGCCTCCAGAGATTTGGCGAAAAGCCCGCGGAGTAGAACCACGTTGTGCCACGGAAGTTGTGTTCACGGTCTCCAAAGACGGACGTCCGTGCTCCTCCTGATGCACCATTGCGTCCAGCGTTGAAAACAGATTCGAGATACTCGATAGGCCATCGGCGATCGATATAAACTGAATGAGGTACATACACTGCCTTGAAGCCGTGATGTAAAGCGGTGGTGGCTGGCCACATTTCTGAGAACATGGTATGACGTTTGAAGAGTGTCTCCTTGTGCATGGTGTCCAACAATTTTCGCGAGAGCCGGGAAGCCGTAATGATTGCCGTTCGTCGTGGCGGCATTCCGTTCTCCTTGTTATAACCAGTAACATCATCTCGAAGTAGCCAGGTTGTGCTGTCAGGATCATATAGAGGGTTGAACACAATCAGGTCAGCTTCTTCATCGACTCCCCATTCGTACCGATCCTTGTCTATCGTCGTTTTCGGGATCCCTTCTCCTTCGACCTCTAGAATGTCTTGCTCATCGGGACGCAGTGGTCCCCAAATAGGCTTATCACCTAGACGGCGGAGGGCACTCTTGTCACCGCGAGAGAAGTCTCCGGGTGACCCTGCACTCCACATGTTGTTGGGGGTGTTGGTACCAATTTCGGTTTGCACGCGAACCATTTGCCTAAAATCTTCCCAGGATCCATGGACAGACGGAACGTAGAAACGAGCGTTTCTCTCCCAGAGCCCCTTTCGGGGCTGTTGTCGTGCCCAGCCAACTACCTTGTCAAAAAAATGGTACCAGTGGCCGGAGTATCTAGTATCCATCTCCCAATTCCAATAATAATCATATTCTGGGTGTCGGTATGCAAAGTACTGCATGGGCATGTAGGTGCTGCGATATACGCCATGAACAGACAACCCACGAGCCAACGTTTCCTCCAACCCCGGGTAGAAGAGCGCCATTTGCTTTTCTGACCAAAGGATACCCATCCCACGGAATTCTTCAGGAAGAGCATCCCTGAGCACCCGATCGTATGTTTTGTCGTCCGCCCATATCTGGAGATTTTCATCCTTCACATGAACCAGGAAATGAATCGTGTACTCTCCGCCGGACAGGAGTGAGAGCTCGGAGATCAATGATCGCAGGTATAAGATATCCTCCGAAGTATATTGGAAATTATGCCATGTTCTGATCACGACTGCTGTTCGAGGTAGGCGCTGCTTTCTCCCTTGGGGTTGTTCAATCTCATTCACAAGGGTCTCGTCCGGTTGTTTGTCTCGATTTTCAATCCCGACAGGCATGGCGTAAAAGCGGTTAAGCTGCGGCTTAGGGAGATCCTGGAATCGATGGCTATTGATAGACGCGCACCGATTCTGGGCAGCCGCCCAGTTTACTCGGCGGAAATCCACTGGGGGGAAATCGTCCCAGATACGCTCCGAGCCTTCGCGATGACCTTCTAGGCCCGCGCCAATGCCACCTTTTCGTACACTGTACCCCAAGCCATAAGGACCAAGGCGTCCAAAACGATCGAAGCAAATGTCGTCCTGAATTCCTAAAATCTCATTTGAGCCCATCACAGCATCTGGGAAACCTTTTGGGACTCCAGGATAATAGTGAACCCAAGGGATTCGGAGTGTGTCATCATCGTCCAAGAAGCACTCATATTTTTTACCATACTTTTCAACATATTCCTCGGAGGCATAGTCGGGGTAAGGATTAAAAGCTGAGCTAGTGAATGGCAAGATCTGGTCCCGAGATTGAATGTTTGTGGCATTTACATTAACTTCAATGTCAGAGATCATGCCTTCAGGGTCGTCGTTGGGATACTCCGGAACCTGTCCTTTGCGGGGAACTAGTGTCCGAATACCACCATGATAGCGCTTCAGGAAGGGGAAACTCTCCCACTGGGGTGCTTTCTGGGGAACTTTAGGCAGTTCGAGCGGGGCTGGTGCGACGTGCGATTTGATGGTAAAGCGGAAAAGAGTGAGGATAAAGATGAGGAGGGCAGAAAATAGAGCGAGACAGAGCCATCTCATAATTCGGTGGGGGACACGATAAAAGCCGATCCTGGTCCGAGTCCGTCTCGCGGTAGCAGGGGTATTCAACATTGGATAGGAGGAAGCTGCAGAGGAGGAGGAGGAGGATCTGACAGAGTCATCGCCGCTGTCGCAGTCTAATGAAGTGTGACTGTCGTGGCGGTAATGATAGTTTTTGCGGGCAAATTGTTTCTCGATATCAATCCCATCATCGTGCGTGTCTGGTGGGCTAGATAGCGCATTGTAAGAGGGCGAACGCCTCCTTTTCTGGAACCTCATGATGTGGTTTCGACGATAATTCGCATAAACTGGAGGAGAAGGCGGCAACGAAGTCACCTAGGAATCGCACGATAATCCACAGAAAGACATCAACGCGTCGCCAGTGGTAGATCAATAGGAACTGCAACGGCAATGGCTGTTAAGAGGGCGAAAAACCATAGTATATTAGTGAGAGGCTGAATACCTAAGTTATTCTAATTGCAGACAGCAGTGATATGCGGCACCGTCAGGTAATAGTATCAAACCCGCCGAAAGCGATACCCAGACGCATACAAAAGCAGGTAGAGATGGAATGAGGGAACAATGTTCACCTCGAAAGGTGTGGTCAATCACTAACAAATGACCGTTCAAGAAGCTGGAAGAAATCTCCAGATATTCGTCTATGATAATGAGAATTATGGTGAAGACGGAGGAATCGGCAGGCCTTGTACTCGCCAACATCAACAAAAGAGGACCACAGTAACGGCAACTATAGAGCTGGTGTTTGTAGATTGGGTTGCCCAAGGGATATCCAGACGCTTACGCACCAAAGCGGGCCTGCCGCCTTGGTTTGGCCAATTGGCGGCTGCAAAACAATCGAAGTAGTAGTTCTGAAGGCTAATGAGCATGGATACAGCAATAGGATAAAGAAAGAACTTACACATTGATTCATGATGAGACGGCCAGTTCTAAATACTCATTAAAGACATGCAAGAGAAAGAATGATGAATGAGGAAAGAGGAGAGAAGGAAAGAATGTGGACTATTACTGCATTCGGTAGGAACCCCGTGACGTTCCTGATTAGGCTTAGGTCCTCGGTAAATATACACTAACCCATTTAGTCTGCTTCAACCCAGATAGGAAATTGAGGGCGAGAGCGTTGGTCAACGACGTACTCTGTTTCTCCAATGTCAAGACGAATATTTCATAATGCAGATCAACTCAGAACCTATAGGATTCCGCCACAAGTAGTATGGTACTTGGCATACGTTTTCAAAATTCCTGGGAAAAGGACAATGCAGGAACCTAGAAAGCTTATTGGTACAGTAGGGTCTTCTTTTCCCTTTTCTCTGCACAGGAAGACTTCCCCGGCTCCCATGACTCTTAAAGCCCTTGCTCTAGACTACCAGTGGACCAAGTCCAGGTCCAGGTCATGCGTAGGCACAAGGAGCGGAAAACTCACTATTGTGACCTCAGCTTGCCTGAATGGGCATTTACCTCGCATTCCAAAAACCCTCGGGGGCGTTACTCACAGCTGCTAGATTATAGGATCCCAGGTTCAGGAGAAGCCCTGCCCAGTGAGGTCATATTGTGTGATATAAGAGACAACCTATCTTGAAAAGATCTTTGAAGCTGGGCTTCTCTACAAGTCTACATCATACTGACACCTGGGGAGCGGTACCGTGGTTCCCAACGATGCCATCCCCAGACAATAGCATGCTTCTCACTGGACCACACGGCGGATTTGCGGTGTGATGTAACTGCATCAAGCATAATTTTTCCAGCTGTCTCAGTTTAGCCTCTTTTCCCCATCACCTGTGTCGCCAGGGTTTTCTATAAAGAGCCGTGGGAGAATAACCATGGGCCTCAAGTTCTGTCTGAGCTGGAAAGGGTAGTGCAAGACCCAAATTCATAAGTCTTCTATCAAACTCAATTGCTCTAACATGGTGTGTTCATTCACTTTATATATCCCTAAGAAGAATAATAAAAAACTAACAATTGGTCTCAATTAAGGAAAACGAGACCCTCCTTGAGCTCTCCTCCCCGGCCCAAGCGGACTTCACCTCCCCCACACTTTTCTCCGCTTTCCACCCCGAGCTAGCTCTCCTCTTTATCCTCCCTCTGACTCTCTTCCTCGCCCACTCTATCCGGAAAGACTACCATGCCTTCCTCGCCCTGGGACCAGGCGGCACTCCCTCAACTCCAGCAGGGTACCTCCGCATATGCCTCCTCCGTCTCGTGACCATCCGCGACCCGTTCGCCCCACCGTCTCTACCCTCAGTCCTCCACCCCCAACAGGGCTTCCTGCAACGCAATGCCCTCTCTATCCGCCGTGGCCCCCGCCCAAAAGTCGTTGGCATCGCGCCCCAGCGCCAAGTTACCCAGAAACCCGGCGCAGCCATGTACGACGCTCTCTCCGCAGAAATCCATCGGCTCGCCCGGCAACACCCAGAAGCATTATACACCGCAACCTCGTGCTTCGAGAAACACAGCACGGGGATCTTCTGCCGCCTCAGTAACCCAACCATGTCCACAAACCCGTGCAACAGCGAGACCTGCAAACAACCTCGTCCCTCCCAAAACTTGAACCTCCGAGTCACCTGCAACGGCGAAGTCTGCCACTCGCACCCCAGCGACGGAAGCCTCCATCTTACCCTCCACCCGGCAGACGTGAAACTTGTTCTCGAGCGTGGCTGGGCCCAGCGACACCCTCTCGCACGGGAAAGCTGGTGGTGGCGGAGAATCGTCCCGACTGGGTTTGTGATGATCTATGCTCCCCGCGACGCGGAAGAACTGAAATGCGTGGTCGAGATAATCCGTGCCGCTGCGTGGTGGGTTAGCGGGAAGGAGTTACAGTAAACTACCCACCCGCCTTGCCTCCGAGCACCTTGAACTGCTAACTACACTCTCTGTGTCCTGCATACTCTCCTAAGTGGAGAACTAACTCGACAGGAAGTTTTGTTAATACTGACTGACTGACAAACCATCCAACGATCCAACCATCCAACCAACCAACAAGCAGACAAGCAAGCAAACAAAAGTGCCCTGTTAAATTCAAGTCATAGTGATTTATCTTGGAAGTATGCAGGCCAGAGTGTGTAGGTCCCCGTCCCCTATTCCGAATCTAACCCGATGGGCCGACGAAACCAAAAACATCATGATATCACGATATACCGATATACCGATAATTTGACATACAAAAACAAGAGAAAGACGACAAGACAGCATGCGCTGCTACAATAACCCAGATCGCAAAGGCTATATATATACTCCCCCGTTTTCTTCCATTATCGCTTCCTCTGGTTTTCATTTTAGGAGTTTGCTTTCTTTTGATTAATAACACTGCTATCAAATAACACAGCTATATGAATACAGTTTAAAAGTACCTGTGCACAATCTACACTCTTGCAGGAACAAAAAAAAAAAAAACGCATGATTTGAAAAAAATCAACGTACATCTGCCGTGGTTTCTTTCTCTCCGTGTCTCTCTTTATCGGCGGCAGTTTTAAGGTTGAGTCGAGTTGAGTTTTGAGTTGATGGGGGGAAAAAAAAAAAAAAGAAATATAAATTAAAAAAAAACATCAAGCATAAAAAATTGGGGGGAGCAGGGAGAGAGAGAGAGAGAAATGATATGAAGAAAGAAAAAAAAAGAGAGATATAGGAAAGGTGGACGATTTGAAAAGGAAAAGATTTTAAGCACAAAGGACAATCGTTGGGATCGACGCGGGGATTAAAGAGAAAAATGAAAGCTAATAGCATAGAGGAAATAAAGAGCCGTTAGAGAACATACAAGCACCACCTAGTAGCATATATCCCTTCCCTACACGAGGTGTCTGTCGGCCCCCCAGTTCCCCATCCATCATCCCCAACTCCCAGTCAAAACTTCCAGGTATCTATCCACACTCATCACAATCGGTTACCGTTTAATCGCGGCCAGTCTTCCGCAGTGTCTCAGCAAGCCATTCAAGACCTTCGTACAGACCATCACCGGTGGTAGCGCAGGTGGATTGGATGTACTAAAGAGAGATCAGTACAGAACGGGGCCAACACGAAGCACGTGATAAGCAACTTACCCAGGGACGGCGAGTGAGAGATTGCAGACCAAGCTGCTGGGTGATTTCGGCAGGGCTCATGGCATTCTAGAAGACAAGAGTGATTAATATCTATCATGAACCGCATTATCGACTCATGCAATGGGAAGGAGAGAGAGAGGAGAGAGAGGAGGGGTTGCTGCATACAGGCAAATCTTGCTTGTTGGCGAAAACAAGAAGAAGAGCATCACGGAGTTCATCCTCGTTCAACATGCGCTGCAACTCTTCCCGGGCCTCGACGATACGGTCGCGATCGTTGCTGTCGACGACGAAGATGATACCCTGGGTGTTCTGGAAGTAGTGTCTCCAAAGAGGACGGATCTTGTCCTGACCACCGACATCCCACACGGTAAACTGAATGTTCTTGTACTCAACAGTCTCGACGTTGAATCCTGTAGACAAGTAGACACCGGGGTCAGTACTTTTATCTCATGTAAAATCCCATGCGCGAGCGACCACAATCCAAGCAACGGAGCCGACCGAGGTTGGGGAAAGTCGGCCCCAGAAAGGGGAAAAGGACTGACCGATTGTGGGAATGGTGGTGACGATTTCACCGAGCTTAAGCTTGTACAGGATGGTGGTCTTTCCGGCAGCATCGAGACCGACCATCAGAATTCGCATCTCCTTCTTACCCCATAGTCGATCGAACAGTTTCGAGACGGTGAGACCCATGTTGGCGGCGAAAGGGAGTTGTTCGTCAAGGTCTAGGGAAAGATGCGAGTTAGACAACACAGATGATCAGTAGACACGAAGAGGACGGAATCAGTGGAAGCCGTTGATGGAACAAGGAATGATATTCAGGTAGGAGGGTCGTGGTCAGATGGGGAAGAATTAATGATGGGGGATGATGGAAAGGCGGACGAGGGGCGTTAGGTGGTCACGCCGGGAAAACACCGTGTGCGAATCAGGGGTGAACTGATACCATCCACCACTCAAGGATTGGGAGGTGGCAAGACAAGAAGAGACTGGACTGCTGCAAAGAAAATGGACCGACTAGAGGAGAAAACTTACCAGAGGAAACAAAGAAATGGCGGGGAGAGAAAGAGAGAGAGGACGTGGGTATGAAGAAGAGGGAAGAGGAGGGAAGATAGTTAACAACCACACAGTTCAGCAACAGTAATGAGTGTGTCTGTTTTTGTCAAAGTGTGGGATTTTTGGGTGCCAAAAATGCCAGGTCGAGAAATTCAGCCGGTGGCGTAGCTTCCGTCACTAATGAACCACCACCAGAAAGAATTAATGATACAACCTCGTGGGATTTGTTTCTTATTTAACTTAAAAGGTGGATGATTCCTTTCTTCTTCTTCCTGTTCCTGTCTGGTTAAAATCACTCTTGTAATACCTCCTCTCCTCCGTGCTTCTCTTCTCTTCTCAATCTCTCTGCCTACCAGGAAAAGGACACGGTGTTTCCCGTCTCATGGGCGCGCTGACCACACTATTGAGACCATTCCCTTTTATTCCACGTTCTTAATAGATTATCATACCCACGGAGGACTTAGTGTCTAGTAATCACTGGGAAGAACACCGACTACAAAGGTTCTCTCTGATAGGCCCCAATTCTGCCCTCGAAGTTTCCCCTACCTATGTACATAGGTACCTAGGTACCTATCTAAGGTACTACGGACACAGTGGTGGCTGCTCTTCATACTGTTATAATACTTCTAGTAGCTGCTCTGTATGGATATTGAATCAGACATCAGCTCAATTTCACTCTTTAATTTAAGGTGTATAGATTGCATTAACGCTGAGAACCCCAGGGGACCGGAACACACTGCGCCTTTCACAGTCAGAAACCGTCTGTCAATAGTGTCAAATTTCAAGGTCACCAAATAAGCCTCCTCGTACTCCGTATTGTCCGAAGGCAGCAGTGAAAGTGGGCCGGCCTCGATCCCGAAAAGGTCCACCAAAGAATGCATATCTTGATCCCAAACTGAACGTGGTCGGTCAACATCGCATCCTGCGCGGAAGGACATCTGTTCAATTTGAGCTCTGATGATTGAAACATGGCTCTTTCCGCTTGTATGGAATAATGACTCATTTATCTAGGTTCAATCTTCAAAAAAAAAAAAAAAAAAGGTTGCCTAATTCTGCGGTTATTTCCCAAGAGCTCACAGCTCAAGCTCCTGAATTCGACTGTTAGCCCTGGTCTAGATATAAAAATAAAAATAAAAATAAAAAAGCCACAACAATCCGTTGTCTATTACCCTACATGTGGCCTTAACGATTCCGATGAGACTCAGATCGAATGTGTCTTTCCATTCACGTCTCCAGCCCATATTGGGAAATCTTGTATCACTTTTCAGATAGAGCTGTTGAATTCGCCACAGCTTCCCCCCGACGAGAGAAGAGTTGACTCTTAGAGTTGCGGAAAAATGTCCTGAACATCGATCGATAAATGGTCTTTCCTTCCATGGTATCACTGACATACCCGAAAAGCGCGAGCAATAAAATGGACACAAACATGATCACCGCAAAGCTCACCCAGTACTGGGCTTCCGTATACACTCCTTTCACTCCTGCGAGCTCAGTCGAAAAGTATGCAGTCATCAAGCTGACGGGAAGAAATACAATAGTGATCTTGGCGAGTAAGATCGTAATTCGTGTTAGTTTCTCAACAGCTTGCGAGTCCTTGAGGGCGATCAAGTTGAAATTCTATTATCCATCCGTCAGAACGCATACCTGAGATGATCAAAGAGGGGAAGGGGAGCATACAAGAAATGTGAGGGATTCTTTCTCGGTCAGACAGCTTTCAATCTCCGATAAGCAGTAGAGCTTTATACGGTCCAGCAACCTTTCGAAGCGAGCCACCGCCGCAGCACTCAGTTGCACGCCGACAGAAGTATCCAAGGTCGTTGCAACACTCGTACCGCTTTGTACCGTCATTTGTCGGCGGTCGAGCATTTCAGTTTCAGAAAATGGTTGCCCAAACGGAACTTTGGGGTGATTCGAACGGGCTTCATCGCGAAGAACTCGTTGTCTTTGAAGGATTCGTGTCATGATAAGTTCGTAGCTTTGGTAGAGGCGCCTAAGAACTGCAAGCTGCCTTCCTAGCCAATGTAGCTCGTCGATTAAGTCGACTACAGGTTTGTTCAACATGTTTACTCTCTGCGTAACACGTTAGCTGACCAAACCATAATTTTTTTTTTCTTCTTTCTCTTCAACAGGGTGGTGAATACCAAATTATCAAGTACTACCCCGTATTTATGTTCCCGTCTTGCGACGAGAGCGTAACTTGAAACCCAGTCGTCAAAAATATAAAAGAAGAGCAGGCTTGGCCCGTCATCTTGTTTGATATTTGCGGGGTCGGAGCCAGCATCATGGAAAGGTCGCACTCTGGTCGTGACCAAAGAATCGCTTTCGGAAGATGCAGAATGCTGCTTAGAGACTGCAGCAAAAATCAAGTGTATGTTTCTGCGAGCCACGGCGTTGACAGATTTCAAAACCCCTTCTGATGGAGCAGATTGACCTGGATATGGATTCTCCTGGATAGAAACGACGGTTCCTAGGAATCTTAGCAGAGAAACACCATAAAAGCCTTGGTGCATATACCATCATCAAAGAGAATCAGCCAAGACCATAGCCGTCTTCCATCCGGGAGCCCGGTTCCATTGGACATATCAAGATTCGGGACCACGTACAGGGAATTATACCCAATACACGTATCTAGTTTTGAATATTAGCCAAATTACTTTCGAAAGTTAAGAAGGAACTGTACATCTAGGTCCATAATCAACAGAGCAAAAGTGCCATATTTGATCAACTACATGACCAAAAGTGAGGCCCCTGAAAGAGGCAACAGTCTGGATTTCTTCCAGGCTTGCTAGATTCTTCACCATGTGCCCTTCTTCAATATCACCATCAATATAGCTTCGAGTCTGTCTACTGCTGTTTTTTGATTGAAAGCTCTTTCTTGGAGGCTGAGTCTGTTTTGGCGGCAGCGTGCGCGTTACTGGATCAGTGCACATCATCCCCTGAAGCCGTTCTGAGACGCCATAGTAAGTAGTGATGGCCTGTGGGCGTCAATCAATAGAATTCCAGCATAGACAGGAATTCAAAAACCTTGATTAAGTCTTTCTGTTCTTCTGGGGCCCAGATATTTCTAGGGTCAAGTCAGTATAGTATCTTCAACGAACAAACCGAATAAAGCAACTGACATCCATCGAGTTCCGATACATTTTGGTTTCTAAGCCCTATCAGTCTCAATTCTCTAATCAGAGCATTAAACTAGTTAACTAGTTACCTACGTTATGACTGAGCAGCGTAGTAAGGTCTTCCCGTTCAAGATTCACCGCGCACCAGGCGTCTTCATTGCCAAAATCCAAGACAAAGTTACCTGTCTGGGTATCTCGGAGCAACTTCAAACAGTTTCGAAAATTTGGCTCTTCATCAATATCCTTAAATTTCTCTGGGATATTGGAATTGTTCGGAAAACTAGAGTAGTACTCCTGGGGCGTCATCAAGCTCCGAACTTGTGGAACCTCCACCATCTTATTATTACTCTTGGGACTCGAACATGAGAAGCCCCAATATTCGCGAAAATACTAGGCAGCACTCAAAATAATACCAGAGAGAAGGTGGAGGAAGAATCAGAAAGATGAGATGAGAGAAAGAGCCAAAGCTGAAAGATGGCGGTTCTCATTCTGCACGCGATCATCCTCCTAAAGCGAATGACCAGCGTTATTTGAGCGCCTTCTACACCCTCCATCAACTGTCATGCTTCACTTGATTTCTCGATGATCAAGCTTAAACTGGGAAATATTAGGGGCCAACTTAATTGTCAGTTCTGTCAGATTCGGTAATCTTTTATTTGCTGCAAAATGAGGTTTTTTTCAGGGTTATAAATCACTTGACTTAATGTGAGAATCATGCAGCCTTGTACATATACTCCGGTCTGGACATTCTTTCCGCTCACAAGTGCCTTGATAGATGTGGGGAAACATGTATTCCAGTGGCTAGTGTGAATAACGGATCAATAGAGTTTTTATCTCCCATCTTGATAATTCATTGTCGCCCGGTAGATGGGATCGAGACTTCGGGCAGATATTCTGCTCAGCGCAGTCACGTGTGAGAGTGGCTTTTCGGGCGGGGGGGATGATGTCGAGAGACACGCACTCGGATACATCTTCATCTTTGATGCAGGAGGCCCTGATGTGGCACCGCCTGTTTCCCACATATCTGCCGTAATGGTTGATCGTACAGCGGCTGTGAAGGCGTCTGTTCGTCTGGCCCCAGCGTGTACTGAGTGTCAGCGCCGGAAGCAGAAGGCAAGTAAAATCAGCCAAGGTGTGAACTAAATTCAGCTGAATAGTAGCACAATCTGACCAGTTTTTTTTTGAGCAGTGCAGTCGTGAATGGCCTTGTAATCACTGTCAAGCCAGAAGAATTGCCCATCTTTGTAAATTTACTCCCAAGAAAGTCCTCCGGACAGCAAAGACAGCAGCCGACGATCCAAGGTCCGTGATGGGTTGCCTCCAAGCATAGGGTAACTACCTACTCTGTATTGACCAATGGAACTACAGGGAACCAGAGGCACCTAAGGAACTGGATATAACAGATCATGAACCTCTACAAAATATTGACCTAACAAGTGTCTCCAATTATGACGATTTCCGGGCCTTGGGGTATCTGCCTGACTTCCAAGGCGCGCCAGATGACATTTCTACGGCTGACGTAAAGTGTCTCTACAATCCGTCCAGTTGTGTTGAATTGCTAATAGGCATATGCAGAAATCCCCCGTAATTCCACCAAATCTCCCAGGCACTCGGTCCAGCGAGGTGGAAAATGCTCTGCGCGTCCTTCCCCCCAAACCATACATAGGTATAGTTCCTTGCTGTAAGATCGTTAAGTGTAACTTTGCTTACTTTTGTTCTAGATATCTTAATCCAACACTTCCTCAATAATACAAATTATCACTACTGTGCTCTCTACCCGCCAGCATTTTTGTCCGACTACTCCACCTGGTGGTCGAGAAAATCAAATGGGCAGCCAATCACTTCAGAGTTTACATGCTTGTTACTACGTGTATGCGCATGCTCTGCCCCTTATCTTGACGATGAACTGCGGGAGAAACTAGAATCGGAACTAGGGGAGAGCATAGAGCATCAATCAAGGCTCTACCATAATGCAGCCAAGCAAATAAGCAGTACCATCGCGCCAGGCAAAGGTGGCTTAATACAAGTGCAACAATTGTTTCTAACAGCACAATGGCTCAAGACAGAGTCTTTGTTTGTCGAGTCATGGCACGCCTTAGGTGTTGCTATTCACGAGGCACAAGAACAAGGCATGCATAAAAGTTCTTCCAATCCAAAAATACCAGAATTCGACCGAGAGATGAGAAAGCGAGTGTGGTGCATACTATACACCTGGGATTGGCAAATGTCCCTGCTACTATCCCGCCCATTTATAATCAACAGCAGTTACTGCGCGTTTGAACTGCCCAACTTGCGGTTAGAGTCTGTTGACTCAGAGCCAGAGTGCCCATCACCAGTTGCCCACATGGTTCTTGAGTGTCAGCTTGGCCTAGCAATTTCCAAGATACCCGGGGTAATGGGTGGGGTGCTGTCTCCGATGCAAGCAATGTCTATCCACCAGGAAGTCGAAAATTGGAGCGATTCTTTCCCTCCTCCTTATGCGGTTCCACATCCAGATACAAAATGGGATGATTCTCACCAGTTTATAAAGCTACAGCGCCATACACTGAACCTCATAGGGCATATGGTGAAGCTGATGCCATTGAAGCAATGTCTCACGAAGTATATTGACCCAAATAGCCCTAGCATAGAAAGGAGCCTCCGGGAAAATGCCGTTGAGTGTGCAATGAAACTTATCAGAACTTGCGCCGAGATGCTTGAGTACTTGTCTCCTTTTAATGCGAAGTTCCACTTTGCTCCGTTCCTCATTTTCGACACAGCCGCTTTGCTCTGTTCCGCCATCGTGCATGACAAAAGTCGGACTCTTCCACAACACGAAAGCATTATCGAGACGATTGACATCGCCCTTGATCAGCTAGATCGGATTTCCCGGGTTTCCGGGATTGTTAAAACCGGGAGTATATGTTACTCTGTTCTTAACAAGCTGGTGGCTAAACTTCCCATATCAAGAGAAGCGGCCCCTGTATCCTCTAAGTCTCCACAAAGCTCAATCGATGCGCCTCAGACCCTTCCCAATATGCATATCCCAAATACAGACCCTTCATTTTGCTTCCCCACGACGGTGCCACCACTTGATACACTCGATCCCGAACTGATCACACCTACGGGACCAGATCTCTTTCCTTCAGAACCAATGATCAACAATCTCGATGGATTTTCTGATATTTTGCAAGTAGATTTAGGCGAACTGGGACAAATTTGGGACTGGGAAAATCTTGACCTTAACCTCCAGAACACAACATTTATTTAGATCTTCGCTCGTTTGTCAACGGGATAGCATGCAGTAAAATAGATTCATGTGTGTTATTCTGGGAAGACTTAGCGGCGTGTTTATTTTGCCAGGGATTTAAGATGAAGAATTGTCACAAATCGTTATTGAACACAGGAACTACTCCGTACAGGGTAGGTCACTCTAACCGTAGTCCACTAGTATACATTAGAGCCTTGGGCATTTGAAAGCCATCACCTCTGTAGGGGAAATTGCAAACAGGCCCCATAGTTAATATATGCTTTGATGCAAAATCACATACCTCAAATTAATTAATTATACATAGCCGACCTTAGACCTGGTTAATTCTTGCGATGACTTGGTACACAGAACAACAAGCTTGAGGGGCTTATCCGATTAGTCATCCAACGTCGATTAGGGCACAACTATTCCTGATTAGGCTAGTTCGGACGAGCACCCACAAGCGGAGAGACTCAGATTTTGTCGAGACCGCCCAAGGCTTCATATTTCTTCTTGACCACCAACATTCAGCGCAGAGCCACACCATAAGAATTTTGAAAGAGGTTCTTTTGGAAGACTATCCCCAAAATGTCTAAGATCTCAGTCGGTATGTTAGGAGACCCCTTGAAATCTTCCCGGATCTTCGTCTGTTCCATCGACTAACGACTCTTTTTTTTCGCCTTGGTATAGCCGGAGTGCGCCAGAATGTTGAGCAGCTGCTCGAATACTCTCACAATGAGAAGAAGAGGAACTTCCTCGAGACCGTCGAGCTCCAGATCGGTCTGAAGAACTACGATCCCCAGCGTGACAAGCGTTTCTCTGGCACCATCAAGCTGCCTACCGTCCCTCGCCCTAACATGAGCCTCTGGTATGTCTCGACCTCTGTTTGGTTTCGCCCTCTCGGATACATGTGGATAGAGAGACAAGAGGATAGTTTGGGTGTTTGGGTGTTTGGAAGAGGATAAAACCGACTATGCATTAAAGATCAGAGAAGCTGACGGATTCCGATAAATACAGTGTTCTCGGTGACCAGCACGATCTTGACCGTGCTAAGCACCACGGCGTTGACGCCATGTCCGCCGATGACCTCAAGAAGCTGAACAAGAACAAGAAGCTCATCAAGAAGCTTGCCCGCAAGTACGATGCCTTCCTTGCTTCCGAGAGTCTCATCAAGCAGATTCCCCGTCTCTTGGGTCCCGGTCTCTCCAAGGGTACGTAACACTTTCTTTCTTTCTTTCTTTCTTTCCCCTTCTAATAATTATATTCCTTTGATTTTTTTTTCTAACGAATAAATTCCTACAGCTGGTAAATTCCCTACCCCCGTCTCCCACAACGATGATATGGCCGCCAAGGTCACCGATGTCAAGTCCACCATCAAGTTCCAGCTTAAGAAGGTTCTCTGCCTTGGTGTTGCCGTTGGCAACGTTGGCATGACCCAGGAAGAGCTTGTTGCTAACATTATGCTTGCCATCAACTACCTGGTCTCTCTGCTCAAGAAGGGCTGGCAGAACGTTGGCAGCCTTGTCATCAAGGCTACCATGTCTCCTCCTAAGCGTCTTTACTAGATTCTTTTTTTTTCGCTAGGGGAAAAAGTTCTGTCTTTTTTTTTTTTTTTTTTTTTTTTTTCCTTGGGAGCTTGAAAGTGGGATTATGTATGCTATAGCTAGCTGAAATGTGACCACGAATTAGTGTTCTCAATCTTGATTCTCTTTTGTAGACAGACTTGGAAAATCAGTGTCAGTACCCAAGTAAATCCGATCTCTACTCGAGTGACGTTTTATATACAGGATATCACTGTGAACAAGAATAATATATAATAGTGTACACGGAGAGATACTCTAGAATACAAGATCGCCTACTGCATTCCCTCCATTAGATCCGTCTTGTCCAAAACCATACCTCGCATACCAATAAACTCTCGCAGGTTCTCCCATTCTTCTCCTTCTTCCTCGCCCCGCATGTTAACATCCTTGAACCCCCAAGCAAGCGCAACCCTATCCAAAGCAGCCCGCTCTTCCTCGTGGAGCCAACGATGCCGCAAAGGAACTCCAGGAAGCCATACGACCCGCTCCATGTGATCGTTTGCCGTAATAATAGCCAAAAGACCCACGGATGATGTGCCCCCAACATACGCCATGGTCGCAGCGAACGCGATCGCAGTCGCAGTGCCGGGGTCCATGGTATTTTGCAAAGTCGCGGCCCAAGATGCCGCAACATAACATGCGGCCGGGGTTGCCGCAAGACCCCCCAGAGGGATAGCAGCCTTCTTGAAGAACTTGGCTCGTAGAAACGCCGGGGTGCAGAATGTATTGTCGATAATGGCAAGGACAAGCGCGAGGTTCCGCTGTTCGATGGCGACATCCAGGGCCATGTTGGCTATTTCGGATGGCACGGCACTGTTGATGCTCTTGGGGCTTGCGGGGAGGTATTTAATGGGAGAGCTGTTCTCTTCCGGAATGGGCTTATTGGCGTATAGGTGGAAGATTTCCGGAAATCGGTCGGGTCGTTTGAGCAGTGTGTGGATCTTAACATAGCCGGATAGTGCCTCGGGTGATAGGAAGATCTTCTCGTCTGTTAGGAGGTCGTGGATGATCCGACAGAGAGCATCGGCTGACGGTTGCTGTTGTTGCACATTTCGTGGGCGTTTTGGCGGTTTGCCAGTGCTGTTCTTCTCCTCGAGGTTTAGAAGAGAGGAGATTTCGTTATCCTCCACCCTGGATGTCGAGGAGTTCTTGGCGGTGCTATACTCTGGCTGTGAAATCACCTCTGCAATAGCAAGGCATCTCTGTAAAACTTGCACAACTGCATCGTTGGAGGGCACCGTTTGTGAGTTTCGGAGCTCATTGGCGGCTTCTGAAATCTCATTCAGGGCGGCGCTGAGGTCCACAGAAGTCGTCGGCTCAGTCGCATGAGATGCATATCGCCTTGTAGCAATCCAAGAATTTGTCCAAGGTGTTTTCAATGCCTTTTTCGAAGGGAGTTGTCCGAGGTTGGACTTGCGGCTGACTCGGGGGGGGGACACATAGGATCGGGAGGATTGAAGGTAATGACGAGGCGTTGGTGATACAGACAGCTGGCATAATTGGCAGATTAGCGCTTCAGGTTTTGAAGCCCTTTGGCCCCTCAATGTAAGGCTTCTCATTGCAGTGGTGCGAGGAATACTAGTCGCAAGGAATTCCAGAGGGAAGAAACTGAACGCAACAATCTTGAGAATGGGCAACAAGGCGGAATATTACTGCCGCCTACATATAGCACCGCCACCCTCATACTCCTTAAGAGTCCCTCCCGGCTTGTCTGGATCCCGTTCCTCACATCATCATCATCATCACTAACTTGTTGTCAACTGAATCTTCTGCAATATTCCCCTTTTTTTGCTCTTCTCTTGGTTGTTTTAAGAGCTGTTCTACATTCAAGGCAACCCCTGCAAATGGTGTGCCTGTTTGCACATCATTGATTTTTTCATGAGCGCCTCTCTCCTGTGACGTTCTTAAGCTTCTACCTTACCTTCATCCTCGTCGCTTCGTGATAACAGAATGCCTCCTCCTCCCCCACCACCTCCCCCTGGCGGGATGGGAGGCCCCCCTCCGCCTCCTCCTCCAGGAAATCTACCGGGTAGACCGTCAAAGGGAGAAGTCAAGGACCGAGTAAGTCTTCATGAAGTGTCTAGAACACTGTCCATATATCCAGCTACTGATGCCTAGACAGGGCGCCTTACTTTCAGATATTAGTAAAGGCGCGCGATTGAGGAAGACCGTGACCAATGATAGATCGGCCCCGGTTCTTGCAGGTGGTGGAGCGAAGTCCTCAGGTCCCCCGTTAGGAGCTGCACCGCCGGTTCCTGGCATGTCAAAACCTCCAGGTGGGCTAGCACCTCCTGTTCCGCCCGCAGCGAACAGACTCCGCAGTAACAGTGACACGGGTCCTGGGGCGGACTCCGGCTCAGCGGTGCCATCTGCACCTCAGCTTGGAGGTCTTTTTGCAGGGGGAATGCCGAAGTTGCGCAGTCGGGGAGGCGTTAATACTGGCGCCAACAAGGAATCATCCCCATACCTATCAGACTCGGAGACCTCGCGCGCACCTAGGCCACCCGTTGCCTCCGCTCCGAAGATTCCGGGAATTCGTCCTCCACCTCCACCTTCTACAGAATCACCGCCGGCTCCGCCTGTGAATCCGTTAGTTGCAAATCTACGGAAACCCCCTCCTCGACCAGGATCGAGGCCGTCGTCAACGATCTCGAATTTATCAACTAAGTCAGCGCCTGAGGCCCCTCCGCCCCGTGCCCCTCCACCACTACCAGGTTCATCCAAGCCTCCAGTATCCCTACGCAAACCTTCAGCCCCTCCATCGACTAGCCCAGCTGCACCTCCCCCTCCTCCGCCTGCGGCGGCCGCTCCTCGACTACCACCAGCTCCTCCCGGGCCGACTCGATCTACCCCCGCACCTCTTCCTCCGAATGGAGCTTCTCCCGCATCTCTAGCTGTCCAAGCCGCCAGGAACGCCCTTGGACATAGCCACCAGACCCCATCAGCGCCACCACCACCACCTCCTCCTCCTCCACCGCCAGCTGCTGCTGCAGCTCCCTCGGCCCCACCGCCGCCTCCTCCATCAGCGCCCCACTCCCTTCCTTTATCTGCTCCTCCTAGCGAGCCACCATCACGACCTTACTCTTACGACTCTAATGCCAGCCATGTACCAGACCGTTCCGCTCTAGATCCGAGCGCTTATACTCTCTCCAATGGCGGGCCGTCACCGGGATCAAGCTCTCATGGGCTAGGCTCACACGGCTCAGCGCGGATAGAAGATAATCGGTTCAAATTCCAAAGCGAAGGACTCTTACCTAAGCCGCGGCCGTTTGTGGGAGGTGTAAAGCGCTACCGAGCCGGAAGAGGAAGTAGTGTGCCATTGGATCTGAGTGTACTAGGAGGTTAGGTGTCCATGTACTTTGAATCCTCTATTGTTATAGTGGAGTTTTAAGCCCAGGGCTTCAGGAACGAGGTTGAGCATTTTCAAGCGTAAAAATTTTCCAGCCGATTGTAAAGAATAGGCAAGTAACAGGATCCGCTGAAGGAGATCTGTTTGTAGGGTAGATTAGTCCAAGCTATCACGTGATGGGACGGAGCTCTTTTGGCGGAGGATGAGAGATACAGGACTCTTCAGAAGAATCAACATCAACAGCGCCCTCTTTTGTATTGCGACCACAGACAGTGAACTGGTGCCATCGACTTTTTGATACCCCTTTTGAAATCAAAATCTTTACCATCATTTTACCTGCACAAGAACCCATCATTCCTACACGTCAGTGCAAACACCTTCAAATCCATCGTCCGAGGAGGGTTTCGTCGCAAATCAGAAGAGTGATATTGGGACCTCACCAGTACAAGTATCAACCCTGCTCTACTTACGGCTGAGATTTTTATTTTTATTTTTATTTATTTATTTCCCCCCCCCCCCCTTTTGCCAGAGAAACGAAAAAAAAAACCGTTACTCTTGTTGTACAATTCTTCGGTTTTCTTTCTTTCCAGTATCTGATACCCTTTCTTAATTCTACAAACTCAGAATGTCTATCAATTCCTACATTAATAGTAAGTCCTTTTTTTTTTCACCTTAAATCAAATGATCTATGCATAGTTCTGTTAAGAAAGAAAGAAAGAAAGAAAAAAAAAATCACTAACGCAAGTGGTTTCACTCTCAGAAAAAGTCCTAATTTTGACGGTCGACGGTCGAACTCTCCTCGGAACTCTTCTCTCCACCGATCAACTCACAAATCTCGTACTCTTGGATACGATCGAGCGAATTATCCGGACGCCTGATGACCCCGAGCCAAGTTCTCAGATCGAACACGGACTCTATCTAATCCGTGGAGATAATGTCGTGCTGTGTGGGGAGGTAGACGAGGCGATTGATCGAGATATCGACTGGGCCAAGGTAAAAGGCGAGGTAGTGCGGGGAACCAAGAATGCATGAGCACGGATTTTCCAGAGACCGAGTTTACACGAATCGCTTGGGAGATATTATCGATGTCGGTCCATCTGTATACCAGTGACATGATTTGGCTCTCCTTCGGGTAGATACGATACTCTGCATGTTTCGCTGGAAGAGAGGGCTGTCCGGGGGAGAGAGTCGGCGCACTGGTTTGCCCACTTAAGTTAACGTTCAAAAATAGCCAACCGGACAGCTAATATTTTGTTTTGGCTGGAGAAGGATCCAGCTGGGGGCTTTCATTCTATATATTACGATCGCATCCTCCCCCCTCTCTCTCTCTCTCTCTCTCTCTCTCTCTCTCTGGAAGACTGCCTGTTCAGAACAGCAACTTTGAAACCATCCAGACTCGAATTACCCTGTGAGGTCTTGCTGATGAATGAGATGTATTGACGTATTTTCTAATTACTACGCGTGGTCCAGTGTTGGGTTTGTTAAGCGGCAGAGTGAATTGACCTATACAGACATACCTACATAGGTAACCCCGAGTAAAAAGTGCAATAATAGCTGACTAGAGCCTATTCTTTTCCACGCAATCACTGTCTCTAATTCACATTTCAGTTCATTCTGCTTCTGATGATGTGTTGTCGCTGCATCTCACCACATCTAGTCTTCCAAGCCATGGGATGGCGCATATGTAGTAATATAATATCATAGCAAGGGATCTGTATCGGTCAAATCAACAACAAAAGCCATAATTATAGATAGTCTCGAGGAAGAATACAGAAAGAAATACTCCTGATCGACAGAAAGTCACAGTAATAACCGCCTCCTCCCTCTTCTTCCCTTTGACGCTAACCAACCGCCCGGAAACGTAAACCAGCCCAACGTCCCGTCTTGGTTTCCCCTGACCTGCTTCGTTCTCCTTTCTCTTTCTCTCTTTCGCTCTTTTCTCTTTCTTGTTCTTGCTTCTTCTTCTTCTTCCCTCCTTCCTCTTAATTGATTACTTCTCCCCCTTTTCATCCTCTTCCAGATTCCCGCAAGGTCGCTGGGCGATCGATCTCCATTTCTTACTTCCTCAGCCACCCCATAGAACTTAACCCCCTCGTCTGAGAGAGACTCCCCCCCCCTGGGACTATCCACTTTCCCAAAATAGATGCCCTTCATGTGGTGCGATTTCGCCTTGACTACACATCTCTGGCTCTACTTCTCGGTACTCCTGGGTCAATCCCATTTGGTCAGTGCCAGTTAAGCCACCCTAATCGCCGCCGCCGCCGTTACTGCTGTCGTTGTTTATCGCGTCAACTGCGTCGTTTGCCTCTGCTCGAATTTTTGAGTAAGGGGAGTTCACACAATGTGGCTCTACCGAGGCGCTCAATCGGCCGTGTTCTACTACGCCACTTGCACCCCCTGTGCCAATTCCCTCGACCGTCGAAAGCGCAAGAAGGAAGCCGCCCGCTCGCAACGAGAGAAAGAAAAGAGCGAGGCCATCGTGACAGACCAACCCCGACCGTTTGCCCAACCGACTCCCTTCAGTACCAATCAAGGATGGATGGAAGAAATTGCGCTAGGACCGGGCCCGCCGAAGAGGAGGGGCGGCCATCGCTCGAATCACTGTCGGACGGATAGTCGGGATACAGATGGGCTTTCCGCCGGCTCGTCTCACGATTTAGATTACGATGGGGATCATTCTTCGAAGCGGGATAGAGTGGGTGCCAGGCATCTCAGTGAACGCTGGAATCGCATGCTCCGGGATCAACGCGAAGACGAACCGTTATGGGGAGAAGAAGTCGAGGTCAAGGGATCCTCAATTGGGCTTTCAGGCCGAGGCAGGATAGACGCTGAATCACAGAGCAAATACTATATCGCCCGGGTCCCTCCTGTGAATGACCTTCATCCTCCCATCGTCAGTGGCCCCAAAAGCAGAGCCGAGACACGATGGATGCTACAACCTCCCCCCAGTGCTAGAGTCATGGCAGGAAAGGAACGCAGTCCAGCTACTGCTCGCCCCCCTGATTATGCCAGTCGTCGACTCGACAGCGAAAAGAGCAATTCTCGAAGCACCGCACAAACCCGTCAACTCCCTCCTTTAACTACTCAACCTTCCGACAAAAAATCTAACCCTATACCTCCAGCAAGCTTGCGTTCTCCGAAAACACCAGAACCAAATACCAATATGTCGCAACCTCCACGCCAGCTATCATCGTCATTCTTAGCTTACGGCAAGGATGAATCCAACTTCGTCATCTCACCATCTGTTCATTCACCGTCCGACTCCTGTTCAACATTATCTTCTCTGTGTGATACAGAGATGGAATCTCCCTGCATGTCATTACAGTCTCCTGACACTCCTATCTCACGGCCTGTTTCTAAAGCAACCAACGATAATCTCCAAACTCCACGCCCTACTCTATCGAAAGCTCTCACTACGGTACATCGGGACAATAAGAAGATCCACTTGCTGCAGTTAGAGCTCCCCGGTTCGCACGATGATATCGAATTGGGCCAGCTTGATCGGATACGACCGTGGCGATGGAGTATGGATATTTGAAGTCAGAGAAATGACATTTGCCTTTTATGCTACATTCTCCTCTACAATACTATAATGTGACAGGAAATTGCTTTTGGATTTGCCCCCCTTGGGTAGCAGAATACCACAATTGGAAATCCGGATATTTTGACACCAAGCAAAAATCGTCATCATTCTCTCTTACATTTCATTTTCGTTCTTGTTCTTGTTTTTGTTTCTTTTTTTTTTTTTTTTTTTTTTCTTTCTTTTTTGTTCATCGTGCCCTAAATTCCGAAGTTTTCATATGCATTAGCGCAGCGCACAGGCAGTCCCGTTCGAGAATCAGATTATGTATATGGCAGGTCCAACATAAATCGAGCGGGAAAAAAAAGCAAGCGAGTGAAACCTAGATTGCCTCCTTGTTCTTGTTTCCTATTCCTTTTTTCCCTGCTGAATAAACCGTGCAGAGTACACCGTCTACGCTATCAATAACCAAGCCTACCTTCCTTCCTTTCCTTGACACGTCGCGCAGTTCCAGTCCAATCCTTTACTTTGCCATTTCTCTTCCTTTCTCGCTTCTCCTTAAGTCCGTCGTTTTTTTTTTTTTTTTTTTTTTATTACTCTTACTAGCTCGATATCTGTATATCACTCTATTTAATACTTCCTTCCTTCCATCCGTATGTACCGCCTACTCTCCATAATATTCATTCACCATTACCTGGTAGGTAGACAGATGAGATGGGTAAATAAACGTGGAAAGCGGTTGCTTGATCACCATACATATATATATACTTTTCTATAGTTGCACTTGGGCGACTACTTTAGGCGAAGCGGTAGACAGGCGCAGGGATAGTTCCAGACTAGTGCTAATCCTGACCGGCAGTACTGCGCGTAAGAAACATCTCATTTTTGCCATATAAATTACAATCTTGTACTATGTCTGCCCAAGCCCCCTAGAAGAACAATCAATCCCGGTCATTGGGGAGATGGACCATGGACTGCGTATGTATACATTGATCAAAGAATGCCGGAACACCAGCCACACCCCAAAAAAAACCCCCCGAAGAAACAGCATATAATATAAAGAAAAGGATACGATAAGGTAGGTCAAGAAGAAGGAAGAGATGAGCCAGATAAGTTGAATTGGGTTGATTTCATTTTGTTGTGCTTTTGGCCTTTTCTGTACGCATTTATGTGCTCCTGTGGAATTCAAGGTTGTAATGTCAACCACAGAAAAAGAAGATATGAAAGGAGCCATCAATCAGGGAGGGGGGGGGGGGTGGATATGCTTTTAATAACTTCAAGGAAAATCGAATTTCCAAAACTTCGTAATAAAATGCCTTCATATAGTCAGGGTGAATTCAGTTCGTTAAGAACCAAAATAGTGCATCAACTCATGGGAGCTTTCATTTCCCCTGCTCCCAGCTGCGCCCCCTCTTAGTACACTTTCTTCTTCTCATCCATGCTCAGCTGGCCAGGGCCCATGTTCACCAGAAGCAGTAATCCTCCACTATCATAAAGAGTTAGCCAGCTGTCCAAACAAAACTAGTTCGAGTGCGACATACACAATAGACAGAATCTGGAAGAAGTCGTACTTGGCGAAATCCTTGTGAGGATGGTGAGGGTGGAGCTATTCAATGGTCAGAGATCATCTCAAGACGGATGGAGCTAAGGGGTGTATAACATACCGTCCAGAAGTTATTTACCAGGATATTGAACACGCTCAGCAGGACGACCAGAATGATAGCGCTCCACTTCGCCTTGAAGCCAACAATGACCATGACACAAGCAACGAATCCAAACAGGCTGACCAGCACCCTCCACAAGCTCCACTGGCCTGAAAAGACGAAGCCAATGAAGAGGAAAATGAGCAGGACACGACCAGCGAATTGAACGTACATCTTGCGGTCTTTCTCATCCAACTGGGGCAATCCGGCGGGGACAAACTTCTTGCGGACCCAGGAGTCCGACAGAACCATGAGGAGACCACCAACCACAGAGAGATTGCGGAGGAAGAAGTTAAGATCGAAAATCAGTCCATATCCGAACCCTTGGACAACAACAACGCTCAGGAGGCCAGCGACAGCGATCTCAGCGTGTTTTCGGGCAATGACCAGGAAAGAACAGATAAACATGGTGATGACGTTGATGAGAAGGAAGGTATGCGTGATACCCCATGGGACTGCCAAAAAAAAAAGAGTATATAGTTAGCAATGTCACTTTTCCTCTCGGGCCCTTTTACAGCCCCTCATTCAGGGAAGAGCAGGACGGTGACGGAGGGGTGAAGCAAGTAAGCTTACTTTTGCGATAATCGCGCAAGTACAGAAGCTGGTCGTTCCATTGTGTAATAATCCGCAGGCTGTCCTCAAGAAAAGTAACCACGATCAGGAAACGACCGACAGCGGGGAGATACCTGAGGGAAAAGACACGTTGTCAGCAGGGTTGCTGTATGTATACTTGGGGTTGGGAACAGCCGAAACTAGCGAGCAACTCCAAAGAAAAGGGTCAATAAATTGGTAACTTACGGCTTGATAGGATCTGCGATGGTATCCAGCCAATCCTCAATCTTGCTTGTCTGCTCCCGGATCGCATCCAAGGGGCTTGGATCATTTGTTGCAGCAGCGGTACCAGGAGTCCCAAAGGGATTTTGGTGGCCAAGGTTATAACCAGCAGTGCCACGGATTTGCGCCATGGCTGTGAAATTTGGGTGAGGTGTATGTATGAGTGAGGGTGAGGTGAGTGTATGTGTGTGTGTGTGTGTGCAGAGAAAAGACTCAATGAAGGGAGACTTTGAAAGAGGGTAAAGTAAGGTAGGGTAGAATCGAGGGGATCACGGCAGGCGGGACGAGTAAAAACAAACAAGGAAATTGGAATGACAATGACAATGACAATGACAACCTTGGGATTTCCCCGAGCGAGGCGAGGACAACAGTAGTAGAGAAGGATACTAGCCTGGAGAAGCAGAAGAAAGGAAGGAAGAAAGGAAGAAATGCAAGTATAACTCGATGATAATAGTAGCAACTTGTCTCTTTCCTGCCCGCCGACTCCGCCTCTGGGGCCCGTGACTTTCCTTCCTGAGGCTTTCACCAGTTCAGGCCACGATGACCGCAACTGGGCACTAGTCCGGATAAGGCTTAGCCCAAGCCCGAATTCCCCAGTGACGCCATTCAGTAATTTCTCTCTCTCTCTCTCTCTCTCCTCCTGTACGGATCGACAGGAGAACTCACTATTAATGCCTTGAATACTCGAAGTAAGGTACATTCTATGATCTTCTCTCCCGAATCCGGTTGTTCTGCCCTAGCTGAACAATTTCATTTGAAAGGAGAAGAATAGAAACAAGATGAGAAAGAAGGGACTCAACAACTGGAGGAGAATATGAATCACTTTCCACTTTCTCAAGGTGAATAGATAGATTGAGCACTAGAAAATGGTCTTATGCCCATCATTCAAGCACTTCTTAAGGGTTAAGATATTAGAATAGAGTATAAGCGTGTCATTTATAAAATGGGGGCTCAAGTAACTAACTATCAAAACTCTGTTTGCATATGAGGCAAACATGCACGTGTCTCAAAGACCCTGTCTGATGAGGCTATAACATCTTCACTCTATGAAATATTTCGCTACACTCGGGTCAATAATATAAATCCTTTTCAGTAATTTAGCCAGTAGTGATCACTCCTTGAGTGTTGGGTAGAATAAGATACAGGTGATGGCCAGAAAAAAGACATATCGATCTCAGAAAAAAGTATGTGAGAACAACAAAAAAAAAGAGAAAAGGGACCGGAACAAAAACATGGAAAAATACAGGATTCGAATTTTGTGTCTCTTTTCTTTCTTTTTTTTTTTTTTATTATTTGGGGTTGCTTCTGAATTTGGGTTTTGGGTTTTCTCTCTCTCTCTCTCTCTCTCTCTTTCATAATCATCTCCAATAGCGGTGTGCCCTTTTTGGTATATTGATTAACATCAGAACGCCGGTGCCAAAAGGTTAATAAGTACAGGTCGGGTGTGAGTACTCCAGATGGGTGGGGAGTTGCTGTCCCTGGATATATCAAGGTTACATGTTGTGGGGAGAAATGTGGGGGGGGGGGGAGGGGCTCAAGCAGCCCAGTCGGAGTCAAGAGGATGACCCTTCTCTTTGGATTGAAGAATATCAGGGAGATAGGTGGGTGTGACCTTCACCTTAGGCTCAACCGGAGCGGGAGCAGAAGTAGAAATAGGAGCGGGGATAGGAGCTGGCTGGCTTTCAGACGCGCTGACCTCACTTTCGTCCTTGCCACCCTTCTTCTTGGTCTTCTTGCTGGACACCGTAGTCCAGGCATCATCGGTGGCGCCAAGAATGCGCATTTGCTCTTCCTCAGAAGGAAGTCCGGGCTCAAAGGTGTCCAGAAGCTCCACCTTGGCGGTCTGAGGAGCCCGGGTGCTCTGAGCGGCCTCGGGCGTACCATTGACGGCCTGGGGAGTCTCCTGAACTTGCCAGGCATTGGTCTGGGGAGCTGGAGTAGACTTGGCAGCCTCACGGCGTTCCGACTCGCGGGCAGTGTGTAGCTGCTTCTCAAGAAGCTTGCGTCGCTGCTCCTCGGCCTCCTGGACCTGCTGCTTACGAGCCTCGTTCTTCAAGCGTTGCTGGCGCTGCTTCTTGGTTTCTACCGGCTTAAAGGACTGGTTTTTGGCCTTCTTCTTCTGAGAATCCGAGTCCATAGAGCCGGTAACGCGGAGGACAGATGCGCCAGGGGCGGCAGGGGCTTCGAGCATGTCGGAGACGTAGCCGGTAGAGGAGACGGTAGGGTTCACCTGGGGGGAACCAGCGGGGGAGAGGTCATCATCAGCGTCCGCGCCAGTGGTGGAGGAAGTTCTAGTAGAAACACGGGAGGCAGAGCGCTCGTTGTTGCTGGCTTCGGGCTGGGGGGGAACGGCCGCGGCCTTGGTCGTCTTCTTCTTCTTCTTCTGGGACTTGCTTTCACCGTCGGCAAACTGAGAAGAAGTGCCATTCTTCACAGCGGCAAAGCGCTTTGCCATCTCCTTGCGATCAATTTCCTCATCCTGCGTATCGACCTCCGGAGCCTTGAACTCAAAGGTGGGTTTTTCACTGGATGGGGCGGGCGCAGGCGAAGGTTCGGGAGATTTCTTGACCTTTCGTTTTTGTTTCTTCGCGCTGGGTGCGCTCTCTGTCTTCTCTGCGAGGGGCTTTACAGGGGTCTTGCCCTTGGCATTGGTGTCATTGTAGTACCATCCTAGGCCCCCGGCGACGACCAGGACAATTGCCCAGCTCAGATAAGGATTCATCATCGTAAAAGCTAGAACGAGAGCCAGGGGAGTAAGTAACCTTTAGTACATTGGCGCTCAGGTGTGGGTACCAGGAACTCACGTTTCTTGAAGTGATCTCAAGTCAACGTAACAGGATCGTGGCAGGGTTCGGGATGGATGCTGTGCGGCCGGAGTGGGATAGCTCGCGGCGACAGCTCAGTAGCTAGGGGGGGGGGGGAAAGAAAAGAAAAGGTTCAGATCGGTAGAAGCGATCTCTCGCAAGGATCCCAATTCAGTTTTCAGTCATCGGGTTGCCGAGAGTTAGTTAGTTAAGAGAAAGGGAAGTGAGTTGTTGTTGAAGACAAAGGGGGTAAAAAGGCGGCCAACTGCGCTGAAAGGCCAGATTGCCACACGGACGCCGAAGACCGAACTCAACAATCGCTCCTTTTCTGTTAGAAGAACGGCACAACTGAGGATAGAATCACAACGGTTGTTATCCTCAGCTCCGGGGATTTCAATTCTCTTGGGGGAAAGTTCTAGACAACACGTTGTGGTGGTTTTTTTGAAAAAAAAAAAAAGGGGGATGGGCGCAGGAAACACAACCGGGAGGAGGATCGACCAGTAAGTATCGTGGTATACAGAGAAAAGATAATACTATTTGGTAGAGAGAAAGAAAGAAAGACAGAATAGAATTAAAGTGCCTCTGTTAACACAAGAATATTACCTAGGTAGATAGACTCTGATAGAGAACCATTGTCAAGACACATCGCATCCCACCTTTCCTTTCATCTTCCATCCAACTACATAAGAAACGAACCCCAAAATCATCAATCATAACTATGCCCAAGAAGAAGATTATCATCGATACCGATCCTGTAAGTCTCCCCCAAAAACCATCATATAAACTGCTCTAATTGAACAAGGGTATCGATGACATCCTCGCTCTCCTCCTGGCTCTATCTGCAACGTCAGAAGAGGTCGAGGTCTTACTGATTTCATTAACGTTCGGTAATATCGAAGTCAAGAGGTGAGTCTGGAGTCTCTCAACCGTTGCATCCATATCGCACGTGTGACATCCTGATGAATACAGCTGCCTGCGAAATGTTGTTTCAATGTTCCATATCCTTGAAAAGGAGATGCAGTGGCGTCTCGAGAAAGGCCGCCCCCAAGGCTTCGAGGCGTTGCGAGCCCACCCTCCGATTGTTGCCGTCGGAGCAGAGGATCCTCTCGAGGACCAAAAGATGCTAGCAGACTACTTTCGTGAAATCCCCTCGCGCTCGGCTCTCTTCTTCCCTGGTCACTAATTCAATGTAGATGGAACGGATGGTCTAGGCGGAATCCATGCCAGCGTAAGCATAACAAAGCCTCCCTCTTTCGGGACGACTGAGCTCACACGGATCCAGCACCCTCACTTTACTCCCACGGAAGCCTGGGAGCATCTCTTCGACCCAACTTCCGAGCCTACTGAGATCGATCCTGTCCCCACAGGCGGTGCCCACCAGCAGTCCTTCATCCCTTCAAAGCGCCGTGCGCACGAAGAGATCCTCCGTGTCCTGCGGGAGAACGACCCGGACACGGTCTCCATCGTTGCCGTGGGCCCTCTCACCAACCTGGCCTTGGCTTCAGCTGCAGACCCAGAGACATTCCTCCGTGCAAAGGAAGTCGTAGTCATGGGAGGAGCCATTTCCGAACCTGGAAACGTGAGAATTTTTTTTTTTTTTTACCACCTCTATCTCCCCATCAGCGCTCATGCTAAAAGGCAGAACGAAAAAAAAAAAAAAAAAAAAAACAGGTCACCCCAGTAGCGGAGTTCAACTCCTACGCGGACGCATTCGCCGCAGCTCGGGTGTATGCTCTTACCTCGCCCTCGCCCCGGAGCACCATCCCCCCGGGAACGAGTCTACCAGTGTACCCAGCCAGTCTCGGCAAACAGCTCACCGTGCGACTGTTCCCTCTCGACATCACGCTCCGCCATAATCTGACCCGCGGCCAATTCCGGTCAACAATCACGCCGCTGCTAGAGGCGGGGTCGCCTCTCGCGACCTGGGTCTCGGCGTTTATGGCCCACACCTTCGCCACGCTGGAGAGGCTCCACCCCAAGCAGAACGGAGACAGCGCGGAGCTGAGTCTCCACGACCCGGTCTGTGTCTGGTATGCCATCACGGCAGAGGACGGGGGATGGAAGCCCTCCGCGACGTCGCCGGAGGATATCCGGGTGGAAACAACGGGCCAGTGGACGCGGGGCTTGTGTGTGGTCGACCGACGGGACCGACATCCTATCGAAGGAGACGAGGAAAGCTCGAGCGATCATGGGCTTTGGTTAAGCGCGCGCGCCGGGAATCGGGTGTGGAGAATGGATCAGTCTCCTGTGGAAACCACCTTTGGGGGGATTCTTATGGACAGAATCTTTTCCTAGGTGTTGGGTTGTTCTTTTTTTTTCTCTTGCTTTGGGATCTATCATGTAATATCAATACAGTAAGTAAGTAGTAAAAATCATTATCATCGACTCAAAAGGAAAATGAAAGGTATATTCATTCATTCCAAGCTCGAGCGAAGTCCATCACCTCTCATATACCGTCTTGCTTCGCTCCACTCCTCCTCCTCCTCCTCCTCCACCACCTCCCGGGTTCTGCAACACAGCATGTTCCCACGACGAGATAGCAACCCCGTTCAGATGAAAGCTATACTCGTGCAGATCCCCGCATGACCCAGGTGGACGGACATCCCTCGTGCGAACTATCAAATCCCCCCGTCCATGCGGACCCGTGGAGTCCAGCTCCGCGGGCAGAATCCTCAGCTCGTGCACCGGTTCTGGGGCTTCGTTCGGCGATCGGGTGGGGTCGGGGGCCCAGATGAGAATCTGGGCGCCGTTTCCTGGGATCGAGGTGTCCTCGTAGAGCCGCCAGGTGGACTGTGTGGCTTGGGTATCGCTGTCGGGGTCGGATCCGGTCTCCTTGTAGACGTACTCCCTTTCGTACCCTGGACTCGATGGGTATCGAGGTTGGAACGTTGCCTGTCCGGAGACTTGGTCCCCCCGTTCAGCGTCCGCCACTTGGCTTGAGCTGCTGCTGCTGCTGCTCGCGGCTCTCGTGAACTTCCATTGGCCGTGTAAGGCGCGGAAAATCGCCATGGCGGTTCCCGTGCCCGTGCAAGGTAAGCTCGAGTCAGGCCCGGAACCCGGTAGCAGCACCTGTCGTAGGTTCTGGATTTCGTCGTGGGTGGACTGGGCGCCGTGGCAGTCAGATCTTGCCGCGTACCGAACAGGAGCTACAGGGCCCGGTTGTCCCGCAAGCCCGGGGATCGGGATACGCGGTTTACTCAGTTCCGTCGCAAACGACTCCATGAGCCCTACGTAGTCTGCCATGGGGAACTGGCCGCGGGAGACGGTGGGATCGGCGTTTCGGAACGCACGCACCTGTTGTCTCTCTCTGGTCCGGTCGTTGAGTTCACCTGCTTGGAGGGAACTCTCGCTGTTTTGGTCCCTGCGGGCCCATTGCTCGGCTAAGCGTTGGGCCTGCATCTCCATAGGACCCCAGAATGCGCCTCTGTAGAACCCGACGAAGCCTAGGTCTGGGATGTCGGCGTGCGAACTTCCTTTGCCGTCCAGGATCAGCGGGAGGAACTGGTCGTTGTGCGAGAACTCGAGGAGGGATAGTACGTCTTCTGGCAGGAAGGAGAGAGACTCGAACGGCGTAAACCCCGTGGCCATTACTATGGCCGCTACATTTTCAAGCGAGCCCGTTCGTCCATCAGAGAGCTGGATGTCGATTGTCGCCCGGCCTGACGGAGAAGAATGCACGGTGCAGGCTCGGCCCGTGGTGATTTTGATCGCCCCCGATCGAACGTACTCTGCGTAGTCGTCTCCGATCGTTACCCAGGCAGGTCTGGGATCTCCAGCGGCGGTGCCAATTCCGCCAATCCGGCTATACTCGTTCCCGAGCAGGGACGTGAAATACTGGTTTCCGCTAGAGACTTGGTCTGGTGATGTCGGACCGAGTGCAAACTCCACGGCTCCCGGGGCGCGTCGACCTAGATCATACAGGACCAGGTCGAGCGGTAAGAAGGGCATTGTGTGTGCTTGACGCTCATCGCGCGAGGATCGCCGAGGCAAATAGGTCGGGAGAACCCAGTAGGGCCGCGTGCAGATGTGATGCACCTCGGGGTTCGCGGCTCCTTCGTTTCGCTCTGGAGAGCCTGGTCGGGAATCCAACCGGGATGACGAGACGTGCAGAGCAAGTGCAGAAGCAGCCTCGGTGCCAGACATACTCCCGCCAACGACGACGAGCTTTCCCGGGCTTCCCCCAGGTTTTGACGGGGACTTTGACTTTTCAAGCAGGCGTTGTGCATCTGCTGCACTTTGGAGCTCTGAGCTATGGATGACATTCTCCATGAAGTCGTTCATCCCAGGGATATCCGGGATATACGGGGTTCGGAAATGCCCAGAGGCTACGACAAGGAAATCAAATCGTTCCGATTCGACCTCCTCCTTCCTGTAACAAGGTATGAGCTACCAATCACTATTCGACAAAACCCATGCATCATCATTACCTGTGTGAATTCCACTCCACCCTCCACCGCCCATCCCCAGGCCTCTGCTCCCGCACAGTCCGAATCACCCTACACCCCACCCGCAGCACATCCGCAGCCAGATACCGCTCTGCATACTTCTCCAGGTACAACCCTACCTGCCCAGCCCGAGGAAACATCGGAACCCGCTCCCCCTGGAGAACAGAGCCCCACGCCAGATCCGAGAACGCAACAGTGAACCGACTCAGATTGGTCCGCATCAATGGATCCACGAGTCCTCCTCGTTTCGGCGGGGGGGAATCTGTCCCGCCACCACCAGAGGGGAAATCAACAGACCATAGACCGCCAACCTTGGAATGCTGTTCGAATACAGTGGGGGAGAAGGTTCCTTCTGGGAAGTTATGTAGAAGGGTCTTGGCCATGACTAGGCCAGAGGGGCCTGCGCCTGGAGTTCGTTAGTGGGAGAGAGAGGATATGTAGGCAAGGTAGCCGTTATGTACTTCTACTAACCTATAATAGCGACCTTTTGGGGTTTCAGCATGTCAGGATTGGTCCACGGTATATCTATCTACTTGTTTGTTGTTCTTGTGGTCGAGAAGAGGGGAATATGTTGGGGTTGATTGAGATTAATTACCCCTCTCGGCTACCAGAATGTATGTATGTAGGTAGGTAGATATGTATATATATATATATATTAATTCTGTTATAACAAGAGAGGTAGCTAATTGGATTTATTTATCATGCATGGGTTTATTACGATAAAAATAATATAAAATATATACAATGTCGGAAACGAGTGCCTCTAAAACTAGGTTGTGTGGTGTGTATACTAACTAACTACCATACCAGCAAAATATATCTAACAGCTGAAGCACTAACCAACCAAAACTGACATGCACTCCGTACATGTTCCAAACAATGGGTATCCCAACTCCTACCCAAAAGAATAACCAAAAATAAAAACGGTGTCTTGGCCCGAGCCGCGGATCGAACGCGGGACCTCTCGCAGATATGCTTGGGTTAAATCCCTAAGCGAGAATCATACCACTAGACCACCCGGGCCTTGATCGATGGATGACAAATCATAACAGTGATTCTTACCCGGCGCTCAACCAGAGGGAGCTTGCTTTTCTTTTCTTTTCTTTTCGTGAGCGGCAATGGCGGGCCGGATGGCATCGACTTGCATAATAACTTGGCAACTGCGCTAGAGCAATGACGTTCGCGCCAAGGCAGGATGCGCAAGCGGATGATGTGCCAGACTGCATGGACACGAGGGGCAGGCAGGCATGATTAAACTCGAGTCCAGTAAGGTTAGAGGATCAAATGACCCTGGGACTTGACAGCCTTGGGGTGTGGTATCGATTGCCACGGTCGGGTCGAGCGGAGTCGATGCAGGGAGACAGTAAGACCGACCTCGACTGGGGCGGAGGGAGCGGGCAATGCAAGGAGTGTTTATTCAGGAGGATAGTCGATCCAGCCAAGCGGCTATATGCAACTCGTTCGTGTGTTGGTCTGGATAACGGGCATCGGTGAACTCCTGCTCCGTCACAAATGTATCCATGTTCCGTTCCGTCAAGGGGATCTTGTATCGGTTCTTTTGCCGGAGGAGTTCTCGTTCGGCACGCGCAGAGGGGGATAGTTTAGAGAGCGTATTGCGGATTCGTCGGATACCACTTCCGGGGAAGTAATGGGTTGTGATGCGAGGTGGTCCAAAGGGGGTGTCGACCTTCCAGGGGTCTTCTGAAGCAATAGACCTTGCACTCTTCTTTCGTTGATGAGAGCGAAACCTAGCCATGATGGAGTCTGCTTAGGGTTAGAAATAGAAGATAAGAGGGAAGGGAGAGATATATAGAGAGAGAGAGAGAGAGAGAGAGAGAGAGAGAGAGTCTTGACTTACATCGCTTGGGAGGGGGATCTCTGATCCTATTCGTAATCAGATTACTATCGGTAATATGGACGACGCCAATGGAGTCTGCCTTTCCATTTCGGGCACTCGCAACGTAGCGGGCCGAGAAAGGCTTCAGGAAAGAAGAAACAGAGAGAGACGGATGATGGGTGGCTAACTTCATCAATGATAGCCTAGAAGAGGTTACACTATGCGCTTGGCATGATGATCGGGAGAAGAGAAAGGAGAGGAGCGGACAGGAGAGGGAAGGAGATGATTGCAGTCTTCTTTCTCGTACGGAAAGAAAGGAAAGAAAGGAACCCATTTATACACATTTCCTCCGTGCACTGTCTGACATCATTAGATGGCCAGAGTTCCCGTCATTCATCTTTCCACGAATGACTCGGGAATTCTTTAATTTTTTTTTATTTTATTTTTTTTATCTTTCTATCTAAATCGGATGAAAAAGAGTCGAGTATTTTGAATTGGGATTCCGATCACATCAATAGAGTCTGGACCCTGCTCCGTCTCTCCCTGCATCCAGACAAGATAAGAGGGAATTCCTCGTGCCTGGGGGTTTCCAGTCTGCTACACGAAACTCAATAGACCGCGCGTACAGCGTGCACTAATCAAGTTCTACTATGCATGGATGATTTCTACGTCACGAATGCAGATTACGATTCCATGATCGTCCCTAGTCTGGATATGGGCTTTCCTTAGCGAAGTCTTGTTCGGTTGCGGCATCAGAACGCAATCGCAGACTTTGGCTTGCCCACGTTCCCGATGGAAAAAGTCTAATAATCGTGATTCGGGTTGGATTGCATTCTTTACTTCGTAACGGAGTACTTTGGAGTACTGGACTGGAGCAAACTACATCCATACTCCCTCGTGCGGGGCACTCTGTTGTACATAGCCAACCACCTCCCTGGATCACCAGAAAACCCGCGAGCGAACAGAGCCTTTCTAAACAGATAGTGTTCTTTGAACTCGCTCACATCAGAGGATCATGCGACAGTCACCAGGGTAAGGGCACTAGTTAAAAAAAAAAAAAAAAAAAAAAAAAAAAAGACCTTCCCCCCTCCTCTATCTAGTATCAACCGCTAGTTGGAGGAATGCAACGGATATTTGGTCCGTATAGCTGACGAGCCTGATATATGTATGTACCGGATGACTTCAACCTGTCCCGACCACGGGCGACTTTATACCCGATGCAATTACAATCCCAGGGAACTCTGTGTTGCAAATCCCCTGCATGGTGATCATTACATTGCATATATACTGTGTAGCTTGCACATCCATCATGATGGGGGAAGCCCTTTATGAGTATGTAAAGGGAGATAACAATAGTTATTCCTCTATGATGAATTTGGAACGCATGTGATAACACAGCGCATTAGTAGAGAGTCCTTGTGTCTATTCGCTAGTTGAAAAAGCAGCGCGCCCTAGATGCGAACCTAAGACTTCTACCTCTAGAGCCTATCTTCTTTACTTGTAACTATCAGCTAAGTTAGTAGTTAACTTGGTTACTACTTTGGTCATGTATGTTAATAATTTGCCTCATTAAGCTATCTAGACTAAAGTCTTGGCGGCGGGGCAGCAAAATAAGTCTGCATAACTATAGAGTATTATATGTGTAATTGTGTATGGGTGATGATTTCAAGGATGGCTGTATTGTACTACACTATACTACTTGTTGATAATGTAGTGTAGTAGTAAATATTCATGTCCAGCATATAATTTATATAAATCAGAAAATGTACACAACCGCTCCACTTAACCTCCTTAAAACCCTAACACCAAACACCAATCAACCAACCACATTTCACTCCTTTTGGAAATAATATTGCCCCCCCCCCCAAAATCTAAGACAACAAATCCTTCACGCTCATTCCCTTTTTCCTCTGCGTTTCCAGCAGTTGGAACTTGTTCTCGTCTCGCAGGATAGATGGGGAGCTTACAGACCCCTCATGGCCAGAGTCAATAGATCCCCGACAGTCCCTGTTTAGCATGAGCAGAGCAGCAGAGGCCTCGTGGTCCATGTCGGCAGAAGAGGCGTTGGAGAACCGCGGTTGGATCGCGGGAGAGGTTCTGGAAGATGATGGCAAGGCCCATGAGCTCTGGGCCGAGCTCATCGTACGCTCGGAAGCGTAGATGGGTCCTAGGGCGGGACTGGGAAGAACGGACGTTGGGATTTCTGTCGCTGTACTGATCGATGGAATGCGACTTCGGGGGGAATACATAGGCGAAGTGCCGTGAGTTGTAATGCCATCTGCAGGCAATTCCGGTGACACCGAAGCTGAATATGTATGGCCCTTAATCTCCCCTAGAACTTCGGGAGATATGGGTGATAACGGGGCATGTGGCATGGTCTGGTGGATGGGTTGCTTGTGGTCACCTCCGGTTTTGAGGTCTTGGATACACTTCTCGAGGTAGTTGACGTAGTCAATGCTGGCCTGAAAACGAGCTAAGTCAGAAAAAGAACTCCCCCCCCCAAAAAAAAAAAAAAAAAAAAAGGAAGCAGAACTGCGCTAGCAAGTGACGAACCTGAAGGATAGCGAGTTTGTGCATATCCTGGCCTCGGCAGGCTGGAATCATGTTCTTCAAGGTTGCAAACTCCTCGTTCATCTTCGACCTTCGTCGTCGTTCAATCAAGCTGTGAGCGGTTTTTCTAGCGATTTTCCGACCAGCAGCACTCGTGGCACTTGGCTGCTTTTTCTTGTTGGCAGCTGGTGTAGCACCGTTGGAAGGTGCTTTTGCATTTCCTTTGGCGGCAGGTTTGCTGGACGCCGTGGCAGGCTTAGGGGAGCTCTGTGTTTTAGGTTTCATCTGGATGATTTTGCGGGTGCGAGTTGGAGGTGGCGGGAGGTCAAGATCCTCCAGGGGCCTCTTGAAACCAGCCTGGGGAGGAGGGTTCGCATTGCGGCCCGGGTCTAGGCGTGGTGAGGTGGGAGATGCGGGAAAATACAGCGAGGGATCTGACTTGGAGGAGCGTCGACTAGTGGTATTCATCTTCGACGGACTTAGAGCAGCCGGAGGAAGGGCAAATGTATCTGACCCATCGACCGTTGTCTGTTCCTTGATGATAAGCTCTCCAGACATGGCGGGCGTAGGAGGGAAGCGGGAACGTGACATGGTTTGAAGAGGAAAACAAGGGACGGAACAATGCTCAGAACTAGTATTAAACGAGGAGAAAGAGACAGAGAGAGGGGGGAGAGATAAGGAAAAGAGGGAGGGATCGCTGAAACAATGTAGGACAAGAACCGCCTGGTTGAATTCCAGTCCTTTTTTTTTTTTTTTTTGCCTGGGCTTGGAAGGAAATATAACCAGCGCGTGGAGAGTTGAGGTATCCGATGACGGGATCGGTGACGATAGAAGTACTCGTTGGAATCTTCCTCTCTATACTTCAGGCAACAGTAGCAACATACTAGAAGTGGCAACAGAGAGAGAAGGGGGGGAAAGTGGAAGAGCCATGGTACACGGTCGGAAAGAGTCGTGGGATTGCGATGCAGCAGCAGTCTGCAGAGGACGGGAAATGGGCGATCGACGGGGGGGATGAGTTTATAGTGGGTGGTACATGGTGGGTTTCAAGTGTCGAGGAAGCTTTACCAAAAGTCCTTCAGGTGTAGTTGGTGTCGCGTGCTTGGGAGAGCCCACGCGGTAGAAGATGGGGTTTTCATTGGTTGAACGCCACAAGCACGAGACCCGTTGCCTGGGGCCAACTCGTCCAGAGAATTGGGGCTCGTGCTCCAGTTCCCGGCTCTGAAAGGTTGTGTCGAGCGTTGTCCCTTGCTTGGAATATAGCCTTCTCAATGCCGCGGGGTATGTTACCGAGATGTCCGCTCAATGGGACCATGTTCACTCGGTGTAGACGTTGATTGGCAACTCTCAATTGATCCATGTGAATTTCTTGGACGGAGGATGGTGGACTACATACAAGTTGGTATTATTGCCCAATAAAACTTACGAATTGTCCCTGTCCTGACTGTCTTTTTTAGGGAATCACGAGAGCACGCAACCTCTGACCTTGCCCCTTATTGGACTGTCATGCTGACACGGGGATTTATCATTGGAGTTAACCGTCTGAGGCCTTATCGTGGTTAACCTGGTTTGGGGAAAGTCCCGCAGTGTCTCGTGTGAGAGTTTTCCTCCCTGGGCACAGAGTCTTCCTTCTTTTTCTGATGAATTGGGTTACCTTTCGTGGGCCGGATACCACAGAAATATGAGACACGAGAGGGACACCACAACCCCAAGTCATCCCTAGACTAACTCCATACCGGTGCTTCCATCAACTCCTATACGCCATTGAAAGGGCAATTCCCGTCACCACATATACCGGGATGCCCAGGACCCCTGCCCAGATGTCAGTCAGTCCAACCTAATTGTTTGAGGATAGCTGGCGTAACGAACGACACGGCATATCCAGTCTGACGATACCGAAGTCCATCATGAGCTATTAGCCGTGATTGTAATATTATCCTGGCCAGTCTGTAGCGAGGCCTTCTAGAATAAATATCCAGCGCCATGAGGCGTACCCCGCAATCTCAATTTATCGACATTCCTATTCCTACTCTAATTCAATAAGCAAGTTCTTTCAAGCTAAAGAAACGAACACTCACCTAGCATAAAGTGTCCAGAACCCCAATCAATACACAATAAATAACTAGCCCAGAAAAGCTTTTGTACGCCCTGGCAGACAGTAATTCCTGAACTATTATTATGTGCCATGGCGTCTTTACTCTATGACCAGTGTTTCCCCCCCCTTTCTAATCCCACTTGGCCACAAAGACGATGTTTAGAATACCTAGGTAATACTAATACTTGGGACCCCCAAATAGGATATCAGGAGTAAACAACACCAACGAGCAAATATTGGAGAACTTCAAGGATCGAAACAACATAAAAGATCACATTTCCGAATCCCTCTTTTCAAGTTCTCAATTCATCGGGATGTTTGCTTCTCGAGATCCCTAGATTGATATCCTCTGTTGCCTCCCGGTGGACTTCTTTTTCTTCTTCTTTTCTGAAGTCCAGTAAACAAGGCGATAGAGCCTGTCTTATGTCTGTACCTAAAGCCCTCCTCCGTACCTCAGTATCATGAGAAACACGAAACACTCGTCCTGATTCCGCAGTATAGCTGAGTTCCGCACTGACAATCACATAACCCAAGATCAGCTTTGCTGGGTAGGCTAGAGAACGCCGAATCCTATAAAGGAGCATGCGGCTTTCTTGAGTTGTCTATTTATTCCAAATGAGATGGATTGTTCATGCCAATGGCTTTCTTGGGATTGTTGTTAGGTGGAGATCAGTACAATAAGAAAGCGAAAAGAAAAGAAAACCCCTTTACTTAATCTTGCCCCGGGAGAAGTTCTCCTCTATATCATCAACGTGCGAGGATTGGGAGCTTTCGTGGTGAAAACTATACAGACTGGAAGGGGATAAATGTGTAATATGTCAGATATTAGCAATTATTTTGATGTCTGAGGGTGTATACTAGTATAACCCCGGATTTTACCCATGTAGTGCGGAGCAATTCCATTGTGGATACGCGATGAGATTTAAGCCTATACAGGACTAGTTTGGGATGCTTTTTGATCAACATCTTTCGCGATAAAATCCCAAATACCTGAACAAATGAATAATAGACTTTTAGATCATTAATTCCAAGATCGCTGCTGCCATGGACCATAGCAACCGGTCATCCTTTCGGCCGTCGTTGCGTTGAGATTCAAAGTCACGCTAACCTGGGGAGAAAAGAGTCATACCATTGAAGATTAGTATCCTTGTCTGAGGCGCTTCTCCACTCGATCTCATTCTTCTTCAAGGGGCATCAGAGTGCTCTGTGAGCTAATATAGGACCCCTAGTAGCGAGGCCTATGTGACAAGTTTGGTTCTAGGGTTGCTGTGGCATTATAATGCTTATTTCTTCACTGGTAGTGGCTTCGTGGACGGATTGATAGTGGTTGGTTGGAGACCATCGGGCCGAGCGCGAAGTGTACCTAACTAATCTTTCCGGCTTTCGTCTGACGACACGGGTGGGAGAGTCTTTAAGAGAATGCATTCTCTGGGCCTTAATGCGATTCTTCAGGTCCCCACCATTTTGCCTCTTCTGAGTGCAAAATTAAATTTTGTCAAGTGCAATCGGCACTCGCTAGTCATGTGGTCGACTACCTCCACAGCGATATCCGCTTCATTCGCAATAAATCCCTGAGACTGCTTGTGGAGTGAGTCGAGCTGCGAGGGTGTAAATAGAAATGAAGAGTAATGATTGGTCCCCACATCTTCCCCAGACTCTGGATTAGTTCCCCAGCGGTTCGATCTGGGGAAATCACCCAATTTTCTTTCCGCGCGATATTCTTTCGATCCTGGTCAAGAGAAGCCTGCCCCAAAAATTGAGCTTGGATTTGAGATCATGCGAGTGTGCGTGCGCCCGCCGTGGAGTCATGCTCCCTATGAGCCTAAGCTAAAATAGCTTCTTTTACCCTGGCTGGGGTTTCCCCGTGACTCCTCCGTCGGCATCTAAACCCACGATGAATCCTCCTCCAATTCTCTCTCTGTCTCTCCATTGCCATTCGCAACTTTCCAAACTTAGAATCCTTATTGCTGGTCATTTTTCCCCCGGATGTTTTCCCCGCCGAAGAATTCAATTGGTGGACTCTGCAATATTCACACCGGTTCTCCCCATCGCTGATTCGTGGAAATACGAGCGGGACGCAATGATTTCGGCGGAGAATTTCCTCGAATGTGAACCCCGGATTTCCCCAGGGACCGGACCAGACCCCCCTGGCGAACTTCATTTCCAGCTCGGATTTGGACAGTCTTCGGATAGCCCACCACTTAGAAACTGCAGAGGCCCTGATCTGGCTTGATCCAGGCTTACAGGGAGGATACTAGTCCCACCGGGAGAGTTTCCCCATGGGACTCGAATCGACTTGTTATTGTCCTCTGGGGATGCACTTGACTATACTGGGGAGGCGCCAGACAATTAATATAATAATGGCTGAATCCTCCTCGCTGGGTTTCGTCCTATTTATACCTGCAAGGGATCGCAAAAATATTAAAAGTCCAGTTGCTGTGTGCACCCTTTGACCTCCCTGGCTGGCCTGGGTAATAGTCAAGCAAGCAGCCACACTTTTTCTGATCATCCGCTGTAATAACAAGCATCAATCCCAATGGCAATTAAGTTCCCTGGCTCGAAGAGGGCCTTCAACTGGTAAGTGACAGAAGGCTTCACTTGAAAAGGGCCGAGGCTGATTGAGTATCTTTTAGGTACATTTCTCTCGTGGCGGCAGCATGCATGGTGCTTTATGGTTATGATGCTTCCGTATATAATTCCGTTCAAGGCTCAAAAAATTGGGTCGCCCACTTTAATCATCCAGATAATAACATGATCGGAGCTGTCAATACCGCCTACACAGTCGGCGCCATTTTCGGTGGTTTCTTTCTAGGTGGTCCTACTGCCGACTTCTTGGGCCGGAAAGTTGGTATGGGCATTGGTTGTGCCTTTGTCATTGTCGCCACATTCATGCAGGCTTGGGCACCGCGTCATAATATCGCTTGCTTCCTCGCTGGACGATGCATCATTGGTATTGGCCAGGGTATTGCGTTGAGTAAGTGATCCAGTTGCGTTTGTTGTCTTGTTTGACACACGCTGATAAGCTCCTCCTTCAACAGCCTCCGGTCCGATCTACATTGGCGAACTGGCGCCCCCTGAGATCCGTGGAAAGATCATGACTTTCTGGCAAATGTTTTACTCAGTTGGATCCTTCATCTGCTTCTGGGTGAATTATGCCTGCACCAAACATACGAAAAAGCTGGGCGAGTGGGACTGGAAGATGGTCGTGATCTTCCAGCTCCTTGTTCCAGTCCTCATCCTCATCTTGCTGCCAACTATTCCTGGCAGCCCTCGATGGTGAGAAGCCTTGACACCAAAAGGAAACCCCTACCCGGCTAACACGTAAATAGGTATATCCAGCGCGGCAACAACATCGACCAGGCTCGTGCAGCACTTCAGAAAGTCCGTGAGACCGAGGAGGAGGTCGAAGACGAGCTGTTGAGGATTCGGGAAGCCATTGAATATGAGAAGGAAGCGATCTCTGGAAACTATTCGGCGCTCTGGAAGGACAAATCCCTCCGCAAGCGTATGGCTCTTGCCCTCGTCATCAACGCTGGTCAGCAAATCACTGGACAAGGTAGCTTGAACTCGTACTCGACCAAGATTTACCAGAAGGTGTTCACCCAGGCCTCCCAAATTGCTCTTATCAATGCCCTCAACGCCACTTTCGGCATTCTATTCACGCTTAACGCTGTGTGGATCATCGACCGATTTGGACGCAAATTCCTTCTTATTGTCGGTGCCATCGGCATGGGACTCTGCATGATCATCGTCGCCGCAGTCGAGACCGAAACACCATCATCACCTGGAGGCGCGAAGACACAGCCTGTTGGTATATCCATTGTGTTCTTACTCTTCCTATTCATATTCTTCTGTGAGTCTCCGCCTATATACTATTCTATAAGGATCTCTCCATCACGGCCCGCGCTAATTTCCATCACAGACAAACCTTCCTGGGGCGCGACGGTGTGGATCTGGACGTCGGAGATTTTCTCCATGAACGTTCGAGCCCAGGCCGTCGGCATGGCTTCGCAGACCCAGAACGTCGCCAACACCATCTTCCAGCAGTTCTTCCCTACCTTCCTCGACAACTGTGGGTTCTACGCATTCTACATGTTCGCCGGCATCAACTTCCTCCTCGCCGTGTTTGTGTACTTCTTCATTCCCGAAACCAAGCAGGTTCCCCTGGAAGAAATCGATGCTCTGTTCGGCGGCGCCAACCACGTCACCCATGGAGAGGATCTCATTACCTCTGAGAAGCAGCAGGTGACTCACAAGGAGTAAGCGGCTGGAGCTGACCCGGCGGATTTATGCATGGCCGCGCCTTAGCAGCGCTACGAAGATAAGAGATAGTTAATGTGTGTGTGTATGTATGTTTGGTCAGTGGTCTTATATAACTATGGACGGGCGATGCCAGTTATGATTATTAACCTAAAGCTATTTGCATAATATGTTTCATCCTGGCTCTTTTCAAGATAAAATGTAATGTGTCGGTCTGTTACGTTAAACCCTTTTAAAGCCGTAGTAGATCAGTCAGTCACCACCACACCCCCCCAACTCAGAACATCTATTGTTGCAGTCTCCTTTTTGTATCTGGATGCTAGTATGGGTTGTCCCTGCTGGCCCTGATGATGATGACTGGGAAGGGTTTATATTCTCATGTTCCATCATTCGACCTTAAGAGCTACTCATGGATATCCTCGAGTAATTGTCCTTGATGTTGCTATATTGGCTGTGATGACAAGTAGATGGAATTGAGTAGGGAAACTTTTCTTTTTTATTCACGGCTCTTTCCCTAGAGCACTAAATACCAAAGTAGCAGAAATAAAGAAATGAGACGGGGGTATCGAGCGAATTGCGCCAAATATATTCCTCCAAAGGAAGAACCAAAAAAAAAAAAAAAAAAAAAAAAAAATTAAAATAACGTGCAAAATAAACAGCGAAGTTGGGGGCATGTCGATGTACTATCAATGGGGTAAACCGATGTACATCCCGGGACCGAGGGATGAGACTTGGTTATAAACCAAACAGGTAGTGCGGTTTGAATACTTAAATGCTGAAAGGGAAAATATCTGTAGCTCTGGGGTCAATTACCATCTGCTGGGATCAGGCTGCCTGTGATAAAAGTTAGTCAGGACACCACTAGTATAATACTTGAGTTGCGTCAGTACACGGCCTACCGTTAACTCCCTGGCGGTTCTCAAATTAATATGAAAGTCGCGCCATAACTTCTTGATTTCCCCCCTCTTCACCATCTTCTCAACAGCCTTTATGGCATGTTTTGTCCTCTTTTTCTGGCTGAGGTGGCTTCGTTCAACGGTTTTCGCATCCGACATATAGCCCGTGACACGTAGGTGTTCGATGACCCATTCATTGAGATGAAAGCGCCAATGAGTTAGCGTATGCGCCATTTGCGCGTTTTTCATACAGTGTCTGGTAAAAGAAAAGGTCAGAGGGGAACAGATTAGAAGAAAACACCACACTTAGGAAATAAAGAACAAACCTTCCTAGATAGAATCGAGTATCGTCATCTGGGAGGCTATAACCATCACGGTCTTTCTCTCGGCAGTTTGCTTCATCAACTGAGTCGTCATCATCACTGTCCGCATCTGATAGTGGCTCGAGAGTCTCCAGAGAGTATGCTTTTCCGGAGAGTTTGACGTCGGACGATGCAGGATGGCCAGACCGATTGCACGCATCGCAGGGATGGCAGGCTTCAGTTGGGTACGACGTAATTTCAATCTGGGGCCGTGCTAGAAGAGCCCTGCGAAAATCGGCGTTCCAAACTGACGAGACTAGTTGCGACCCGGTCCTTCCTCTAACTTCAGCTTCCAGTTTGCCAAAAGCAACCTGGTACATGGGATGGGAACGAGGAAATGCTGGATTGAGTTGGTTGTACACCATCCACTCCACTGCGTCCTTGAAGTAGTCTTTCAACTGCTTGTATGAGTGTCGAGAAAACTCGATAGGCATATCTTCAAGGCCATTGGGGACACCAAGCTTATCGTCTTCATCTTCTATAACAAAATCTTCTTCATATTTATCCAGGTCTTCGTTCTTGCCTATCGAAGATTCGACATCACTGCTCCCGCTTTCACCCGCCCATCCCCGAAACTGGGGCTGTTTGATCGAACGCTCTTCGCCGTCGCCCTCACTTTGCGGTTCTGACAGCCTTGATTCAGGAGATTGCTGATCGTCCCCGTTATCATCATCCCTTTTGCCGACCCTTCGGCGACGCAAGGCTTCGAGGTGCTGTTGCCTCTGGACCCTGGCGGAATTTGCGATATTCCCTCTAGTTCGCGACTCCCTTACGACTTTGGCCAAATGTCAGATAGAGGTTAAAATAAAAATAATAATCCAGGCTGATGCATACCTGAGTCCTGTAGTGCTTCGAGGTCCTCCTCCAAGTCAATTCTATCCTGGGTCTGGTCGCGGAGTGGCGTGCGCGGGGCATTAGAAAGAACTTCTTCGGCTGAAACCAAGTCCGAAGAACCATCATCAAGTACAATAGGTTGCTGAGCTGCACCTCGCCTCAACTTGCGACGAGGCCGAGAAACTGTTTCTTCCGCATCACTCTCCTCCGACGCATGGGACTTTTCAGATTCAAGACTGTCGGTAGACCTCTTCCGTTTCAGATTTTTGGCCCTCGTGCTTTTGCGCGCACTACGTAAGACCTCTATGTCGCTTTCGCTGTCTGAATCGGCGGGTGGGGGGAGAGGAGAAGGAGGGGTAGAGCGAGGTGATGGCGAGCCTGCTCATTTGATCAAAAACGTCAGAAAATGAGACTAAGCGATATTAGATAAGATGAGAGAACCTTTTCGTTTCCTTCGAGAACGTTTTTGAGAAGACTTTTCCGGCCCAGGGCGCGAGCTTTCCTCTGGTACAGGATCGATTTTCACAAGCGGCGTAGGAGCATTCTTGCCTGCAGCTGAACGGCCGCGTCGTAGAGTCGACATCGAAGGATGGGAGTATCGAAGTCTCGCATGGCGGTTACCGTCATCATCGTGATCTTCTGGGGGGAAAGCTGCTGGTACGAAAGAAAGCCGCGTCTGCTTCGCTTTTCCTTGGGATTTACCGTAGGTGCGGGGCATCGGTAGCGGGGTATTTAGGGATCAATAGGTATTAATTCTCCTGTGATCTTGGAACGAGCACGGATATCCAGGCCGAATCGACTTTGAAACCTTCAACCTATAGATGATGGAGGAAATGAGCCACAACGAATTGCTTTCTTGAAGCTTAAGCACGAACCGCGTCGGGATAGTTCTGTCGGAATTATGATGTTCCTGTAGGTAATTTTCGGCCCAGAGATTAATTAATGAACCTATCTTTGGATCAGGAATAATACAACTTGGGGGATAGTAATTAATTATATCGAGGTTAAAGTATATCCATAAATATAGGGAAGCATCATAATACAAGAGTTGCCGGGTGATGGACTTTCTGAAATAGTTAGAGGAAGATGAAATTTCTAATCCTGCTCCTCGAAAACAGCAACTAATCTTTAACTAGCTTAAATTTACAAAGATAATCTATTAGAATAAATTATATTTAGAGATAAGTATAGAGTTACTTTTGAATGAATATATAAAAATCATCTGTAATAGATTAGCACTAGAATTTCAGGTACCTAATAGACAAGATACCTTCAGGCTTGTGAACAGTATTTTACATCATGTCATGCTTCAGAATCCATGTGCATGACAGAATCAAACACTATCTTCAGATTTTTTTTGTCCTATACACTCAATTACAAACAAGAGCCTAAAGTCATTCACGTTCCATTATCTAGAAACATAGGTCGATAAGACAGACAAGAATAAACACAGGTACCACATGAGAGATAAAAAAAAATGAAAATAGACAAAAAGTTTGGTTATACAAATACACGAGTTTCCCAAAGTCAAAAGGCGCTTTAGGAAACAATGCAGAGGGAAGAAGAGGTATATGAACCAAAGACTCCGAAAGTAGCAGGTAGGCAGAAGGAACCAGAAACCGCGTCCAACCCAATGCTTGAGATTTGTTGCGCCAATCCAGCCGGTGGTAGAGAGAGGAACTGGATATTGTTTGTCCATCGCAGTAAACAAGATATCCGCTTGTCCACATCTTTCATTCCCAACACAGGATTTTTTTTTCCATTGTACAACCACTAATCAAGGGCAAGTTCATATTTTTTTTTTTTTATTCGTGGATTTTCGCGTGGAAAAGGGAAGGGGTTTTCAAGTCCGTATTGTATGCAGTACCTCCGTTCTCACGTCAGTGAACCCACTGCCCCAGGCAGAGCGGATAACTTTGCGTCAAAACCGGAGGTTGTGGCAACAACAGGTGTTGGACATCAACTGTAATTATTGGCAATTGATAGGCTATGGATGGCTCCTTTATCGCTTGTCCGTACCCGCTGCGGTCTTCATCTTCGGGAGAGATAGTGAATTTACAGGGAAGGCTGAGCCTCCTTCTGCTCCGCCGAGGGAAGGCCAGGGGCGAGCATCTATAAGAAACGAGCACAGTCAGTGTCTGTGCGTATCTGATCGTAATCCAACCATTGTCATGGAAAATCATGCTGTTTTTAGGTTCTTGGCAAGGCTGACGCGACAGAGAAAAGAGTTTTCACGACTCGTCCGAACCGTCGGAAACCACCAAAAACACAAGGAAAACAACATAATAAAATCGAAATTTGGAGATTTCAGTCTCCAAATTTCGGGGAAGTGAAAGAAGCGATTGGTTTACGTACCTCATTGGCACCCTTGATCATGCCCTGCTCGCGCTCCATCTGGATGTATTGCTCCTCTTCAGCGTAGGCAAGAGCCCATGGAACACCAAGGAGGAAAGCACTGGTGCTGATAATCCACAGCGCCTTGCCGCTGAAGGAAATGCTAGACTTTGTGAAAGAGGTGACGTAGGAAACAGAGTTGGTGATTTGACGGCGGGCGGAAGGAGGAATCACATCTTTCAAAGCGACCAAACGTTCGTACAGAGTCTCACTGTCGAGTTCAAGATCGGACTCGGTAGAGATTTCGGATTCTGTAATCAATCAGAGTCAGATAAATATTAGTTCTGAGTCTGTGAAGGCAAAAGAGTGACCAACTGACCGGTATCGGTGTAGTCGTCCTCGTCATCCGAGGCCAGAAGGACGTTGTTCTTGCTAGCCTGGGGCTTCTCCTGGGCGAAGTGCTCGTCCTCGACTTCGGTGAGCTTGACCATTGTGACGGTAGGAAATTAATATATAATTCGAAGGGTCCTAATAAGGAATGGGGGTTGAAAGGTAGAGCGCGAGATTGATGAGATGATGAAGCGGAAAGGGTTGACGAGGACTGAATTGATGGAAGATCAGATCGCCCGTTCCAACTTTTTTTCCCGACCAAAAAAATTACGGCGAACCTAAAAGCGGCAAAGAGCTCCTAGCCTCGGAAGTACAACGACATCCACGAAATATGATATTTCCTAACTCTACTGGTACAAGCCTTATACTTTAAAGGTCCTTCTCGCATAGCAAATGGCTTGATATATTATACAGGGTGCGTAAACAGCTATCTAAATACACAGACCGAAGAACTTGGAGATATGCCTCCCTCTATACAAGATATCGACAGGTTCCGTTTCTCTCAAGGGGCTTATCCGGATTACCTCCTGCCCAACTTCCATCTAGCAATGCGCTCCTGGATTTCACCCCAGGGGAAAGGACGAAGCTTGTGTCCCTCCAGCTCACCTTCTTGCAACACCACAGTAGGCTTACCGGTACCTTGTCCCTTGTTCTGGACAAGCCCACCGAAGACCTTCCGTGCAACGCGTCGCAAGTCTTCTACTGTTAGAGATTCGATATGCTTGCACATTTCCTTCACTCCAATTTTACGGCCATGGACCTGGACCTGACGCCCGAGATCCTCCAGTTCAACCATACGGGACTCCAAGTTCATCAAAAGAGATGACCGCAGTTGGTTCTTGGCACGGTTGACCTCCTGTGGCTGCAGTGCCGTATATCCAGTGTCGAGTGTCAGGGCTTGGAGCTCCCGACACATAACTTCCAGCATCTCTGTTGTTCGAGTGGGGCTACACGACGCGGAGATGCCAAAAACACCACTGTCAGTATAGCTATGGTTGAAAGCGATGCAGCTCTCAACCCACCCATGCTGGTTGAGGACATTGGTGTAAAGTCGAGAATACATCCCCTTTCCTGGGCCACCTGCAGAGAAGGATCCGCCACCTCCGAGAAGTGTTTGAAGAGTCGCAAGGGCGTAAATGTCAGGGTCAGAAATAGGAAGAGCCTCGAAGGCAAGGTGAATGTAGCTCAGCCGGGGGAGCATAGGGTTCGCTGGTGGAGGAATGGGAGGAAGAGAGAGGAATCCACCAGTGTAGTGAGAAGGTCGAGTCAAATCCAGAGTCGACGAGTCCAGACGAGTAGCGGAGCCATTGTGTGGCCCGAGGTTCTTCAAAAAGGGGAGTTTCGAGAAAAGCCCAGATTCTGGGGACGCAGCGGATGATGTAGTTGATGTTGAGGTAAACTGAGGGGTGGTCGGCAGTTCCCCACTGCTAGCCTTCATATCACCGAAGAGCTGCTCCGTGAGTTTCACTGCCGCATCGTGCGGCACGCCCGCGAAAGCAACCACCATCCTATCGGGGTTGAAGAATGTCTCTCGGTATTTCTCTACAACCGCCTTGTTAATCTCGCCTAACCTCTCGCGCGGGCAGAGCAAGGGATTTCCGAGTGTATTGTCCTTATAGGCCGCCATATGTACCAACTCCGGTAAAATAAGCTCTGGTTTGGCCCAAATCTCGTTTACCTCGTACTCAGCAGTGGCCAGCTGCTGAAGTACCTCTTCTTCAGTAATAAGCGGATCACGGATAGTTTCGGCAAGCAATCCGAGGGTCGTCGGAACGGCCGAGTTGAAGCTGGCGGACTGGTACATGAGAGATTCACGGGACGAAGCACATTGAATGTTTCCTCCTAGGCTCTCGAGGGTCTCGATCATCTCATCACTAGTACGTGTTTTTGTGGACTTGAAAGCCAGGCGATCCATGATATGGCTGACACCTCGCAAGCTTGCATCCTCATAGCGAGATCCAGCGTCGACATAGACTCCGACACCAGCGAAGGGGCCGGGAAGGGACTCAGTTGCGACGCGGATACCATTCGGCAGTGTAGTGATCTGGTCTAGCTCTACAGGATCCTGTAATCAGAGAACAGAAAGTTAAATGTTAGCTTAAGACCTCGATCCGGTTAATTATAGAAGAGGCTGCATTGGTTGGCTGTTACCTTGGATCCGGCGTCATTGGCAGTGCTGAAGCCTCTGGATACCACACGAGGCACGGGGGCAAATGGTCTAGAGGACTCAACAGCCCGTAGTACTGAGCGACGCATTCTGGAATATAATCGTGCCCTTAACAAGGTCAAAAGATCCTCAATGAAATGGCTCTGTCTCTCCCTGTTTGCATGAAAAAGGTGCTTCTCGGAGAAGATCTCGCCGGCCGGAGGATTTCGATGCGCATCAAAAATCGGCTTATATAAGCAGGCACCTCCGGTCAAGGACTCCAGACAGGCAGAAACGAGACACTCAAGTTGTATTATCAAGTGAGTGAAAAAAAAAAGGTTCGTGCATTATTTATTCTAACACGATTGTAATTATACATGGATTAAACAACGTGCAAATTAGGGATGTTCAGCAGCCCACAAACGATACCAATCCAGACACGAGGCATTGGCGACACTGGCACCGATTTTGATATTAAGGCCGCATAGGATCTGTTTTACGGCATTCTCAACTTTTTTACCATTGGAGGTCACCGGAATTTCTGGACAGGCATCGACAATACCGGGAACATGGCGAGGGCTGAGTTCTTTGCGAATCATGGCCTGGATGCGCGCAGCAAGGCCGGGGGGCATGGTTGTCCGAGACTCGCCCCGGGCAGCAAGTTTCACAAAGAGAACAACGGTTTCATCTGTATCAATCCCCTCTCTCCTGCGTCCAATGCATAGAGAATCCTCAACTTCGTCTGAAAAATGGGTTAAAAGAATGTTATAGATTTCTGCACTGCCAAACCTCACTCCCGCCGGCTTCAGAACGCCATCACTCCGCCCTAGCATGACCACTCCACCAGTTCGAGGTTCTACTCGCACGAAGTCTCCATGATGCCAAATGGACGGCCCAAAAACGTCGAAATAACTTTTGCGGTATTTCTCTGCCCCGACCGGTCCAGGAGGCCAGAACATAACAGGTTGTGCGGGGAAAGGCCGGGTGCAGACAAGATCACCTGGTTCTCCGGTGTTACTGATATCATTTCCAGCATAGTCATAGACAGATACAGCCATTGCCAAGCAGCGGCACTGAATTTCGCCCTTGTAGACAGGGAGAATAGGGCAAGAGCCGCAAAACAAGGAAAGAATATCAGTACCACCTGTGATTGAGCCTAGCATAATATCCGAATGAATCGAGGAATACACGTAGTCAAACGTAGAGGGAGCAAGAGGAGATCCTGTGCTAAAGATGGCCTTCAGCGTTTGTAGGCTAACGGGACGATGGGGATGTTCCCTAGGGTTTAGGCCAGCCTGTTCCAACATTGAGAGATATTTGGCTGAAGTACCAAAGTGTGTGATTTGTAGTTCATCGATTAGGCGTGGCATAGCCATTTCTCCGTTGCCCCCTTCCAGATCCAAAGGCCGGAAGGGCGATCCGTCGTACAGCACAATAGTAGCGCCGCTGGCAAGCCCGGAGACTAGCCAGTGCCACATCATCCAAGTAGTTGTCGTAAAATAGAACAAGCGGTCACCTGGACGAATATCACAGTGAAGTACATGTTCTTTTTTATGTTGTAGCAAAGTTCCCAGGGAGCCGTGCACAATAGGCTTGGGAGCACCCGTCGTACCTGAAGAGTAAAGAATGTAAACAGGATGCCCAGGCGCTAGGCTTGCAAAGTTAAGAGGGGCTGGTGGGTTGCTCGCTGTGGAAAGAAATTCGTCGTACTTATATGCTTTCCCTCCAAGGAGAGAAATCTCTCCAAGGTTGAACTCGTGAGACTTGATTGTTTGGAATATGACAAGCCGTTCTAGCTTTGGCAGTTCAGGGACGATCTGACTTATTTTGGTGTTTGTGCCATGCACCTTGCCATTATAAAGGGAGGCGTTATCAGCAAATAGAATCTTAGGCTCAATCTGCTTGAGGCGTTCAAGAACACCATGCACTCCTGTATCAGGAGATATGCCAGTCCAAAAGGCACCAATGGAGGTGGTGGCCAGCATTGCAACAATGGTGTTCGCATGGTTCCCCAAGAAACCCGCAACCCTGTCACCTTCCTGCAGGCCCGCTTCTTTCAGAGAATTGGCGCATTGTCGAACACGATCCCGCAATTCCTTCCACGAGATATATTCTCGTTCCTGTTCTGTGACGCCAATCACCGCTACAGCGTTTTCATCGGGCGAGCAGGCGGGATAGAGAAGATTCTCAGCAAAATTTAACCTCGCACCCGCAAAGAATTGAGGTCGAGGAAATAAGAGATTATCAGAGCCTAAAACCTGTAGTAAAGTTAGGATTTTCGATTTAATTGCGAATAAAATAGGGAGTGTTTGGAGTTCTTTCCCCCACATCCAGGAAAGGAATTCGGGGTTCTCACCTGGTTGTATGGCTTATGCGCATTGATTTCCGTATACTGCCATATCTCCTCCCAGAATTTGGCGGGTTCTGCTATACTCCATTCCCAGAGACTGCCGTAGTCATTGAAGATAATTCCATGTTTTTCGGACGTTTTTTTCATGAAATCGTGTATTTGCGTGGACTCCGGGGAAGAGTGCCTCCATAGCTCTTGGGGACTCGACAAAGACCCGTTTACAGCCATTGCTCACTGAAATTTACTTGTATAGCCCTGCGAGTATGATGTTCGACTGAAGCTACACGCGGAAAACCTGGAATGCAGCAGTTGCGGCGAGGAATGGAAATATCTGGGGTGATATACCGCCATGCTCATACATACTGGGTCCTCTCCATACTGACCATTCCATTTCTGTTGGGTTGACTAATCTGATTCTGCCCACCTTCCCCAGCAACTTAAAAAAAAGCCCGCCGGACTCCGAAAACAGTTGTTCGAATTCAATGCACCGATTTACTTTGACATGGGGGGGGTGACTAACTTTTGACATATAGTTAACTATGCAATATCTATTTGTTACTTGATCAATCTCGTCTGCCTTCCTGTTGGGACACACACACCTCCATAATCAAGCGCTTGAATTGGCTCTACCCTTACCGCGGCAGAGGGGACTTTGAGCGGCCCGCCATGGCCCGCAGCCCGCCGTTTAGCTCCTCGAGTTTGAGTCACCGAGGGGACTGTGTTGAGCATCGGAACTATGAAGTGGCTCTGAATTCCCTTAATTCAGCAACCTATCATGATAAGACGACGTGATTGACCCTTTGAGCGATTAATTGAAGCGCTATCAACCCAAAGACTCGGTGATATTATACGGGTTGGTCAGACAGGCACTAGCCTCACTAGTTAGAGCCTCTCGATATTACGAATACGATAATATGTGGTTTCTGGGAAGTAATTAATTCTCGCAAGATATTATCCCGCCATTGACCTGTTTCCTGTCATTTTTGCCAATTGAATAACTAAGATGTAGCCGTCGCTTCCCATGTTCGAACTGAACAAGTCGAGAGGTATCCCATGCCAATTATATGCGTCTCTGTCAACTGCAGCCCACATGGAAGAGATATAGTCCTCAAAAAAGACCAACAAGTCACTTCTCCCGTTATAAGCGTAGCCCCAGATAGTTTCCCAGTACGACCACCCAGTCCAATAAGAGAGCAACATACACTGTGGATAGCCAATGGCTGGAACAATAGTGCAATATGCAATCATTTCCCGTATGTTGGATACGGGAGATAGCTCTTCTGTAGCTAATATGGAAGCTTGCAGACCGCAATTGTACCAGACGAAATTGTTTTCAAACCCCTATCTATTCGACATATCCAGAGTGTCATATCATTCTTGAACGACAGCTTGGAGGAAAGGGCTTGGAGGAAAGGGCTCACGAAATGTTTCTAGATTCCTCTTTATCATGAGCCAAAATGTACTGGTAGAGAAATATATCAACACACCAAGCTATTTGGTTCAATGCATCGAGTGATGACAGCCGTACAGCCAGGCGACTGGAGTGTTGGGTTTGAACTTTTTGATGAAGAATCTCGTGCTCTGCCTTCAGACCCTGCCAAACGCTCGGAGAGAGCATTCCTGGTGGGACGTGGGAGGCAAACATGGTCATCAGTGTGTTCTGGTCGGAGACGTTGACGAAACTGATTTGCTGGATAATAATATACCCTAGCAAGCAGCATAGATAGACCTTATTGTGATAGTCTTGCTCCGCGGGCAAGGGCAAGGAAGGTTACGTACGGATCGGGCATATTCATACCTACAATCAGGCAACATATCATTCTGTTATTGTGCTGGGAAGTAGAGGACCTACAGCCTTACAATCCAGACAGGGAAGCTTGAACTTTGGATTCTATATATGGATGCCTACCCTTAAACACGGCCAGCATATAATGCTCCGGGTAGACAAGTTCGCTAGTACCACAGCACGTCTTGAAATCAATAGATACTTCACTCCGCTCTACCAATGAGTATCGATCGTGTGCCTGTAGTATTTAATTCTCAAGAAAGAAAAGAAGAAAAGATGCAGTCTAGAATGATAGAATCTGGAGGTCGCTCATGTGCCTGACTGAGGCAGCAACATCAGGTCAGGCCTGTTAAAACTTCGAGCCACCTAACAACAGCGTCAGAACCTCAATAGTCGGGTTAAACAGCAAGAAACAGAGCAAGCATACGAGAAGTTGCATGAGCATCTCAGGCAAGACAACCAATCAAGTATAATAACAGTGGGGATTTGTTGGAAGATTTGGGGTCCTTCAAATTTACTATTCCTGCCTTGCAGCGCCCCTTTCTTTTCGAAAACCAAGCCGTTCCAGGGGCTGGTATTGTAACTGTCACAATACCCGGAAATCACTCCCCACCCATCAGAAAAGCAGAGTGTGATTCCTAAAAAATACCGTACAGTACCATGGTTCCTAATCTCCACCTCAATGGGGGCTTTTTTTTTCTCTCATTTCTTTTCTTTGCGCCTCAAAAGCTCTCCTAATAATAATAATCATAATAATAATCATTATAATAATCATTATAATAATCATAAATAATCACTATACTAAACCTAGTAAGAAGTGATGGAGTATTCAGGGGACTGAATAATAATTTATGAACATTTATTCATCCACTGGTGGCAGAACAGATGATCTCTCTCCGGTCTGACTATTTTTCCTTCGTCCAGGCTTCCACCTTTTACCTCAACCCATCCCCCCCCAAAACTTCTCTTTCTCTTCTAATCTACATCCCCCAGCCAATTCTTTTCCTATCTACTGATGTCTAATTAACCATCTCATCGTCCATTTGGGTTTTGACATCTCAGAAATCATCTTCATACGCAGCTGCTAGTAGAGCCCTTGGTGCTCTCTGCCCCTGCACGTGCCAAGGTACGTGACTGATTCAGCGCTCCGGCTCGCTCGGAGTCAGTGGTCTCTTTTGTTAGCATCAATTTCACTTCTTCCATCGATCCCATCCATCCATTTCCAAGAGCCATTTGGAGCGACCTCCCGTTGACTGACCTGTCTTTTAATGTGCTTCAAGACGATTTTTCTCTGATCTGTCGTCATTTGCTTTTCTTGACCCGCAGCCCATACGGAGCTTCCATTGTTGAGTGTGGCCTCAGTCGTGCTTGTTTCCACTAGCAGATTGGAAAGCGCGACAGACAACTTCCTGCTGTGCACACCTCGTTTGTTTCTACCTAGCCGCTACCTTGCGATGCCGCGTCGATCTGCCAGCACTTCTTCCGCCAACGACCCCTCCAACACCTCGTCCTACTCCTCTACCTCTGGAAAGGGTGGCGTCGCCATCAAGGCGTCATCGAAGCCCAATCGTCTGAGCCAGCTATTCTCGACCTCTCCCAAGTCTAAGGCCGAACCTCAGACTGCACTGGCCGCTCTTCAAATCGCCAGCGGAACTCCTCACCCTAGCACCACCGCCCCTCCGATCAGCTCCGCCTCCCTATCCTTACCGACTATCTCACTTTCAACGGCGACCGCAGACAATCCCAACATGAACGAACCGCCCACTACACTCTTCCAGCCTCTCTCACCTGAGGAGGCCCGTCGTCTTGCAAAGCAACATGCCCAGTTCGGTCCCATCGGTCACCCTAGCCATCGTTACTCTAGCCGCCATCCTGGTGGTCCCTTTCCCGAGCCGATTATGGACGAGCCCCCCTATTATTATCTCCTCACCACCTATATTAGTTATCTAATTCTTATCGCTTTTGGTCATGTTCGTGATTTCTTTGGAAAACGCTTCCGCGAGGAAAACTATCGTCACCTGAAACCCCGCAACGGTTATGGTGCGCTCAACAGCGATTTCGATAACTTCTATGTTCGCCGTCTTAAGCTCCGCATCAACGACTGCTTTGAACGACCTGTCACTGGCGTCCCCGGAAGATATATCACTTTGGTCAATCGTGCAACCGATGACCACAACAAGAGTTTTTACTTGACTGGGACTACCACCGATACCTTGAACTTGAGCTCTTACAACTATCTTGGCTTCGCCCAGTCTGAAGGTCCCTGCGCGGATATCGCTGAGGAGTCTATTCGCAAGTATGGTATCACCCCCGTTAGCAGTCGTGCAGAGGTTGGAACTCAAGATCTCCATGTGGAAGTCGAGGAACTGGTTGCAAACTTTGTTGGAAAGGAAGCCTCCATGGTTTTCTCGATGGGATTTGGTACCAACGCAAATATCTTCCCCGCCCTGGTTGGCAAGGGCTGTCTAATCATATCCGATGAGCTCAACCATGCATCGATCCGTTTCGGCGCGCGTCTCTCCGGAGCATCCATCACCATGTTCAAACATAATGACATGCGGGAACTAGAATTGAAATTGCGAGAGGCCATCAGCCAGGGTCAGCCACGCACCCACCGGCCTTGGAAGAAAATCCTGGTTGTTGTGGAGGGTCTGTACTCCATGGAGGGTTCAATGTGCAATCTCCCCGGTATTATTGCCTTGAAGCGCCGCTACAAGTTCCACCTCTTTATTGACGAAGCCCACTCGATCGGAGCTATTGGCCCCAGGGGACGCGGTGTTTGTGACTATTTTGGTATTGATACAGATGAAGTGGATATTCTAATGGGTACTCTGACGAAATCATTCGGTGCCAACGGAGGCTACATCGCCGCAGACAAGGTGATGATTGACAAACTCAGAGCAACCAACTCCGGTGTTGTCTATGGTGAATCGCCCTCTCCAGTGGTTTTGGCCCAGATCATGTCCGCGTTGCGACTCATCAGCGGTGGAATCATCCCCGGCCAGGGCGAGGAGCGGCTACAACGTTTGGCTTTCAACTCTCGATACCTTCGTTTGGGACTGAAGCGTCTTGGCTTTATAGTGTATGGCCATGACGATTCGCCAATTATCCCAATTCTTCTCTTCAATCCTGCTAAAATGCCCGCTTTCTCTCACGAGATGTTGAAACGAAAGATCTCTGTGGTCGTTGTCGGTTACCCAGCTACTCCTCTTGTCTCTTCCCGTGCTCGCTTCTGCGTCTCCGCTGCGCACACTAAGGAAGATCTTGACCGCATCCTGGCTGCCTGTGATGAGATTGGCAATATTCTTCAGCTCAAGTTTTCTACTGGTGTCGCCGGTGGTGCTGTGCCCACGAGCGATGATATGGCCCCGCCTCCCGAGAAGGAAGCAGAATGGCGTCAAAAGCGAAACCCCAGGATAGTCCCTCCCAGATGGCGCATTGAAGACGTTATCAGACGTGGTGTTCAGGATGTCAAGTCACCACTCTACTAAACTCCTTTACCCACTGCCTGATCAAATGCCGAACGGCCAACTTGGATTCACGAACCCCTCCTTTTTTTGCTATGCCGATTCATGCCCTCGAAAAATCAACCCGGCGCTACCGTACATAGGTCTGGGCAGGAAGTATTCAGAGACATTCCTGACGCACTCGGTTGATGCTGGTCATGCCGCGTCGTTGATTACTTGATGCCGATGCCTTGCTTTGCCCCCCCCTACATTCGCTGTTATTTATAGAAACCTCTTCGCTCGTTCAATGCACCACCTTCCAAGTGCTGGAGGACTGGGGTGAGAGCAAGCTGCTTACTTGTTTAAATATGGGGCTCCTAAACTTGTACCTTAATGAGATGATGAGAGAGACAGAGCGAGCAGGTCGGAGTATTGTAGGTGGGCCTGGACGAAAATGCTGGACTCGCCTTTTTTAAAGTGATTAGTATTATTTTAATAATAACATTAATAATCTTCTTCCATTACAGTGCAGATGATTTATTGTCGATAGCTATTGTGTTGCATGCATGTACAGTACGGAGTACATACATACGTATCATACACTAGTCCAAAATGCAGAAATCTCATCTCTAAATGCACCCGAGAAACACAGGCAATCCAGGACCGTACATGAGAAACACAAAAGGAAACCAGGATGCATGAAATCAAAATAAACAACGCCGGTGTAATGATGTGTTAATCTGTATGTATCAAGTGTGTGTGTGTGTGTGTGTGTAAGTTGGTAGTGGTGTAATAATAATCATAATAAACCATCTATAGATACCTGACGCGCGCTCTGTGGTCACCCCTTGTGATTGCGATTGCCAATTCAATGCGAATAATCCCGAAATCAATTCCCAAGACGATGAACCCAAAAGAGTAGAACAAACAAACAATGGAGGAGCCGAGACGTACTCACGGCTCATGAATAAAGCTTTCCTAGCTCTAATGAATGAGCAGAAGAGTAAAAATAAGAAGAGTCATCATCAAGTCGTAATAATATAGCATGTCTGATGTTTATGCCGAGTTATCCTGCAGGAAAAAAAAAAAAAAAAAAAAAAAAAAAGGAAAGAGTATAAGTCAAACTGCACCATATCTTTCACGCTCCTCAGTCAACAGTGATTGGTTCTCTGGGATGGCATTATGCGCTGGTGTTCGCGGAGGGGAGACAGAGGGGATCCAGCCCCTCATCCAGCCGCGAACTCGAGTCCAGCGGCTGCGTCCACCTTTAGGGTCTTCGACTTCGATAATAGATTCGTCGTCCCGCGAGCCATACATCAGGAACTGCACGCCCATGAAACCATCTAGAAAGAGGACACCAAAAGCTCCTAGGAAGAAAGGAATTGCGCGTCCCACCCATTCTAGTCGGTTATTACCGTCTGCATCTGCCCAGCCGCCGCCGCCGTATGGAACAAAGTCGTACCAGGCGTTGGGATTGGTTACCAGTGAAGCAGAGTAGAAGAAGTTTCCGCTGAATGCAGCCATGAACAGCAGTGGTGATAAGCCAGATGTACTCTTGCGGCAATAGTTCTTGTAGAGTTGAGGCGGGCGCGAACCAAGGTAAAGTATAGTAGACATCCAGGAGAAAATGCGGCCAAGGAGTTCAAAAGTTAGTTGTGAAGATGGAGGGTTCGGATCAACTTCCGTCGGGGCTGCATTGGCGACAACAGCACAGAGCATGGATGCCACCAACACAGTGCGGGCCGATGCATTCGGTACACGTAGCCCACTGCCAGATCTCACAATGGATCGTTGTGAAGAGCTCCGTTTCTCGTTGGAATAGGACGGAGACTGGGTGTTTACAGCACCGGCAGCTGACCTTTTAATGTCTTTGACGTCCCCAGCATCGGGCTTGGGGGCTACCTGTGGTGACGGAGAGTTGGCTACCGACGTGTTTTCTGAAACAGAAACACCGACCAGGAGGTTCTCAGGTTCATTGTCCTCATCTAGGTCAGAGAGACTGCTATAGTCATCCTGCGGCTGTCCCTTGTAGTGGGTGTACCAGAAGAACTGAAGTACGAGGGTCGCATCGACGCAAACGTAGTAGGCCGCAACGATGACCTGCCAACCCGCCTGTCGGGTCAGAAGCGCCCCGAAAAGATTGCCCATATCTCCGAGGCACCACTCGACAAGAAAAAACAACGATAACCCGGATGTTGACTGCAGCTGATAGTTCTTGTATATTTGTGGCATTTGGGCAAATAACCAAGAAATGATGCTCAGGGTTCCCAGTACAGAGGAGATCAGGGCAAGTGGTGTGGGGAGGCAGATGTGGAAATAGGAAGATAGGGAAGCGAGGAACGGAGATATCGGTTCGCAGTGTTGTGGTAAGGTAGCCTGCGTGACATATTGTAATAGAGGAGGAGACATGTTTATGGTGTGTATCGATTCCAAATCAGATCCTGTAGGACTGACTGGACAGGTCTATTCGTGGTTGAGAGAAGGGCGATAAAGCGGAAGGGAGATCAGCTGAACGACGACAGCGAGCGATAGGGATGGGAAGTTTGGGGATTGAGGGAGAGTATGAGGGAGAGAAAGAAAGGATAAGAGGGAAGAAAAAGAGAAAGAGGGAGAGGGAGAGGAAGGCCTAACTATTTAGACGAAGGAAGAGTCATCCTTCATTCCCCCCCGCAGGTCACGAGAGTCACTCCAGGTTGGATTTCCAGATAAGGTGGACCGTTGCAGCCACAGAGAGCGATAAGAAGGTGAGATGATCGGTATCGCACTATCAGGAGCTTCTGATTGGTTGACTAGCCATGTCTGATTCGAACTAGGCATTCCAGTTTATCGGATGCCTTAGTCACCCGATTACTCTTAGTTAACTAACTAACTAACTATATTAAGTTATTAACATCATCATCCATCTTCTCACGCATCTATAGCCCAAGGAACCATGTGTAAAGCGTCACAAATCTTCTCACGCGTCTTCAGCAACATATCCTATTGGCTTCTAGGAATGGTACGCGACAAAGTGGATTTTCGCGATTGTTTCGACATCTAGGGTTGTTTACGGGCCCTGATTGGCTTCTTGGTGAAGGAAATGGTCCAGGCAGTTCTTTGGAGGACTAGGAACATGGAAACCAAACTTCTGTGAGCGAGTTTTCCATGGGTGCTGATTGGTTGGTTCCAATGAGGTGGTTTTGATATCATTTACTGATCCAACAGATTACCAGGTACCAAGGGAACATGATATCTATGCGATCTTATTTCTACAGGTACTAAGGAAGGAGAAAATATCTTAGGCTCTATCACAAGCTGTCAGAGGACAAAATATCTCAGGGGCTCGAACTATGACGACTGTGGTGATGGTGATGGTGGCGGTGGTGGTGGTGGTGGTGATGATGATGATGATGATGAGGACCGTCGTCCTCTTTTCGACCATCTTCATGCTCTACGATTTTGTTTTCGAGGAAATTCCCCAACAAAGCACCACCCACGGCCCCCAACAGACCATGCCCCTTCTTATGTCCCAAATAAAACCCAGAGGCCCCGCCCACAAGCGCGCCTCCCAAGCCGCGCTCGCCTTCTCCGTCACCAGCCTTGTCCTCCCGCTCTTGACATCTATAAGACCCACCGCTCCGACTAGAAGACCGGGAGCGCTCATTCAAATCCGACTGAGAGCTGCCAGAGAAAAAAAAAAAAAAAAAAAAAAAAAAAACCAACCCAGTTAGAGACGCAGAACAATAATAAACCTGTCGACAAAAAGGGTCAGGGAAACTTACTAATACTCGGCGTTGCTCCCTTCACCATAGGCCTCGTAGCAAGGGCATAGCCGGCCACTTCCATATCCATTGTCTCCGGCTCCGGCCGGAGCAGGACTTGGATACTCATTCTGCGTCGGCGTATTCTGAGATTGAAATGCCCTTGGAATCTGAGGCTGGCTTTGGTTTGCATCGTATTGCGGTGCTGGCGGCCCGTACACGTACCCTTGTTCCTGGGGCGGAGCCTGGGGATTATACAGCTGATGTACCTCGTAGTTGTACGGAGGGGTTTGATACGGGCTCTCCGCAGGCGCACAATAGGTAGCGCCACCGTCGCCAGGAGCAGAGGAAGTATGCAGGTACTGTGGCTGCTGCTGGGGGTAATACGGATCAGCCATGTTTGTTTCCGAGGTAGGTGGTTGTTCCTTTATTTCGACAGCGTCAAACACGGCAAGTTAGGAATCAGCGCGGAAAGATAAGAAGCAAGAAGGTCGCGGCTGGATTTTAATTGAAAAAAGGAACAAGGCTAGTTTATATTCTCCTCTATAGTGTTTCCGACTGGTCCCAGATCCACTGGCTGTCCAGTCACAGGATGGATGACAACATCAGCAGGAGCACCACCAACACCAGCAGCTGATGACCTTGCGAAACACCCGCGTATGTCATTCCTCCATTTACCACTTAAATACTACCTACCTAGGTATATGAGCGAGATGATGCGCTTTCAGCCCTCCAAACCATGTGATGGCAGAGGTCAATCTACACACTATAGGTGAGCAACCCCGCAAGGAAGCCTTCGCTTGGAAGAAATTGTATTCGTTAAGCCTCAAAGAAAAGAAGAAAAAGTAGGAGAGAAAAAAGATTTGGGGGTATTCCAGTGCTGTAAAACTCAGTGATAATAAAGAAGTAAAAGAAGACTGACTTGTCCCGTCCCTCTTAAGTCAGTCGTCAACAACCACCACCGCCGAGTAACAAAGAAAACAAAAGGAAATCTGGTCTGGGTGAGTGTCTATGCGGTACCAAAAATGACAGATGCATCGTTATCCTTGGGTAAATAGGGAACAGAAATGGTAAAGAGAGGAGGAAAAGTGGGAAAGAAGGAGCAAAAATAATTGACAAGAAGAGATAGATATAGTCCAATCGAAAATGCATGCGTCCAGCACATTATTAGCTCCTGGCCAATAATCAAGAGACAAAACACCGGATCTGTAGAGATACTACCTAAGCCTGTGTGAAAGCGGTCTGAGACAAAAAAAAAAAAAAAAAGCCAAAATTCATCGGCTCGAGTTTCGCACTCTATGGTTCACCCAGTCAGATAACATAGCATCCAGCTGGCCAGTCATCTCCTTCAACCGCTTGCTTTCCTCCTTGAAGAGGCTGCCCGTGATTGGGTGATCGGGGCCAGCTGGGGGAATGTTGGAATTGTCGTGGACAATGATAAACAGGTCTCGGATATCGTTGTCGTCATCCAAATATGCGCGCAAGCTAGAATCACTCCAAGTAGTACTTGTCTCTGTGCGTTTACTGTCAGGAGTGGCAACCGTCGGAAATAGAGGAGAATCGGGGGAAGCAGAATGATCTCCAGAAGGGGAGACGTCGGTCGTGAGTGCAGGAATGCTCGGAGAGCTCTGGCATTCTAGCGGCGAAACGTCGACAGGAGAATCAAACATTCGGGTTTGACACTCTTCCGTCGGCTTTGGTTGGAACTTTTGGGGTGGTGAAGTCACAGAGTGCTGCGAGGATGTCAACTGGTCCGCCATATCTTGCATATCATTCTGTCCTTCAGTCGGTGACATTGGCTTCTTGGAGGGACTCGGAACACGAGCAGAATTCGACATCGTCTGATGATCAGCTTCATAAGCCCTAGAACGTGAAGATCCGGCAATCTCCTCCACTTCTTCGAGCACCACTTGTCGAATTGTCTGATCTGGTCTGTGCTCTTCCCGGGGTGCGGATTGCTTCTCCTCAACTGGGGCCACTGTCTTAGACCCTTGATGCATTTCCCGAGTTGCAAGGGCCATTGTTTCAGTCGGTTGTTTCTGTAGCTTACTAGACTGTCTTGGTGGTTTAGTTTGCTTAGCGGTTTGAGACTCAGGAGAAGATATGGACTCCAAAGATGTCTTTGGTGTCGGCGATGATCGCGATAAGTCGCTTGAATGCTTCTCAAGCTCTTCAATTTCGTCATCGATTGTCTTCGATTTCTTGTCTTTTCTCTTGAAAAGCCCACTGAGCATCCCAGACTTCTTGTCCTTTCGCTTTTTGTCGTCTTTGTTTTTCTCATTTGAACTGACTGTATCGATGGTCTCTAAGCTGACACGACCCTGTAGATACTCAAGTGTTAGCGTTTGAACGATAAAAGCCCCCAGTTGTTCATGAAAAAGGGTGGAACATACCTCCTTAGCCTCACTTGACGTAAGACCAACCTCGTCACGAAGGAGGTTTGGGGTAAGAGAGATTTTCTTGGTTTCAACGGTGTCGTCTCTAAAGAAAGAATCTGTATTCCTGACAGTGCCATTTCTGGACCTGCTTACATTGACTTCGGCTGCGGATACCATTAGTAGGGTTGTATTACTATAATGGGTAGAAATCTCACAATCTTGCTCAAAAATCTCCTGGCTTGACCGCTGCTTGTCGGGGCTCGTCATTTCGGATTCTTCTACATCTTGTGTGCTCTGCACCTCTTCGGTGTCTTTATCCCGTTGCGATTTCGGCCTTAGCGGCTCAACGACGATATCTTCATTCTGTTCCTCTCGGAGGTCATCCTCATCTCTAGATGCGTAGTCGTCGTTAAAAGAGGCATCGTCATCTAGCTCTTCTTCTGTGGAATATTCGATATCAGAAGCTTCGATATAAGTTGGGCTGGTGAAAGTAACGGTCTTCGCATTTCGCCGCCGCATTGCCTTCTTCAGAGGGTTCTTGGACTTCTCTGAATTGTCTCCAAGCATCGTTGCGGAAAGCTATATTTATTAGTGCCGGATAACAAGCTTCAAATAACCTGAAAAGGAAAGCCTACATCCACATTTCTGTGTTTGTTTAAACGTGCTAGTCTTTCAGTGGGAGTCTCGATATGTTCGGCAGGTAAATATCCTATATGTTGTTAGAACTGATCCTGCAGAGTCAAGGTGCTTGCACTCACCAATACTACCATCCTTGACAATTCGAACAAGCCACCAATAGCTGTTGCTATCATCCAGGAGAACCATAGTGTCACCTTTTGACGCATTGGCCTGTCCGTCCACGGTTGCAACAAAATTATGTAGGGCGTAAACGAATTCGAAATCGATATCTTCTACTCGCGGTTAGTGACCAATAATATTATACCACTTGCCCAGTAATGAAGTAGAGGCTCGCTATTATGCTATGCTAGTAAGGGGAATACACACCATCATCGATTGAAGGAGAGCTGGATATTTTGTCCATTAAATCGTCGTCGAGCAAATCGTCGGCTTCCCCGTCTGTGAGATCGGCTTCTTCACCTCCTGAACCACTATCACCCTCGCGTGCGTGGACGCCCAGGTCGCTATTTATGTCATATGTATCATCACAGTATCCATCGGTGTCCAGGTGGGTTTCATGGCTATCTGGCCCCACCTCAGCTTTTGGATCGTGGTCCGCATGGCGAAGAGGCTGCTCTTGATGGGGGGCTATGCCATTGTCCATATTTGTGTGGACAGTGCTTTTTGAATGGTCCTTTGCTGACGGAGCATGCTGGTCTTGAAGGTCAAGGGTATCTACCATTCCCAAGTCAGTGACCAGAAATCCCTACACTTCACTTATCACTTGCGTGGCACAGCTTACCGGCTCGCAAGATCCGTGGCCTCGTCATTGTTGCCAGTCAAATTAACGTGTTGCTGATCAAAATGTAATATGTCTGAATTCCCCGCGAGAGACAGAATCAGAAGTTCAGGGACATTGGATTCAAAGAGCGGAGGTCGGCACTGTCCAACGTCTTGGAGAATCACCGCAAGGAAGGGAAGAGTGAAAACTCGGAAGATAAAGGAATGGAATTTGCAAGTATCAAGTTAAGCTAGTAGGGAAACCCCAAACAATAGATAAAATGCCACGACCAGCAACGGCGGGGAGGAGGGGGGGGGGGGGGGGGTGAACAGGGAACTTCGAGCCACAGGACGAAGGCAATACTCTCAGGATAAGCAAAGGGCGAATGAAATGGAAGAAAGGATAAAAGACGAATTTAAGAGGCAAGGGGGTCCAAGAAAAGAGAAAAGAAGAGAAAAGACGGCACTCAGAATCGTGAGAGAGAAACCGAAGGTCCAATGAGTTCCCCGGACTTTCGAAACATTCAAAGAAAGGAGAGGAGGTCCACGTCTCTCGGAGTCTCCAAAACAGGCGCCCCTTGCGCGCGCTTATCTGTACCTTTCCTAAAACACCCCGTGCCTGGCCAATTGGTGGAGAAGTCTTGGGTGTCTAACCGGAATAGGACTAGTCGCGAGTGAAAATACCTACATTTAGGGTTCAGGGTTTAGTTCAGGAACAACGGCAAAGACAAAACTGAAATCGGAGTATATTTCCATCGGAGGAATTAGACCAGGCCATGTTATTGTCCTTATCATGCTGGTGGTGTGCTATTGAAGATGCCAACATGTTTTTTCTGGATATGCGAGACAAATCAAGGGACGAGTAAACCCTCAACTACGGCGGAGTGTACGAGCTGTACGCCACCGTAATTTTATCTCGAACCATCCACCTCTGTTCCGGACAGAATCACTTAGGTGGGGTGAGCATGCAAGGAGGAGAGAGAATCAACCCAATTAAAAGTCCCTAGAATATTCAAGGACTATCATGAAATCAGAAAAAAACCAAAGTCAGTACATAAGCTCCGGGTTTGAGAAAGATAAGTAATTTTGGGAGGGGTTACTAGTAGGTTCCTTGCCACTCGCATTCTTAAGAATCATCGTTTTCCAATACGACTTGTCAGAATGAATAATCTCAGCTATCAGATGCAGGAAGGATTTAATGTCTTCTACCTACAAATTCTCATTGGCGTCTGCGCAGATACCCTTACCTCAGTCTAGTCAGCCTCATTAATTGATTTCACTGGAATTTTCCAAGAACTACGGAGCAATTTATATCAAGGCTGGACAGCAACAGGGTCTCGGACCATAATGGTCAAAGGATACAACCCCTTACCTCCAAAATGACCGAGATTAATCATCGACTGGTCGATGTCTCGCCATCCATATTTCGTATACAATCTGTGAGCCTGAGGGGACGACTCGAGAAATATTTTTGCACCACTGGCGTCTGCTTGCTGGATACCCCAATTCAGGATTACAGAAACACAGCCACGACCTTGATGAGTATAGAGTAGTAGTAGTAGTAGTAGTATTGTTTAACGCCGCGGGGGAGCAGAGTTGGTTTTTCCTCTTTTCCCAGACCTCCCTTCGGGTATAGGGGCGTGCTATGCTAGGATAAATACAAATTCAGTGTGACTTCATAACCACCATTAGCTATGTCGACGATTGCCACAATGATTGTCTCCTTATACCAGTCTCATAATTCTGAAAAAAACGACAGCTTCGCTTTGCTGATCTGTTGGGGTGACGGTACACAGCACCGAGCCAGAGTAACCTCCCGCGCTCTCAACATCATCCTTAGACCGCCGCAGCATCGCAACAGCCTGATCACTCGCTTCACGGTCCCAAAGATATTCACTTCCTAGCCGTACCGCATTCGCCACTGTGTGCGTTACCTTGGCCCCTTCAACCACTCTCCAGTTTTGTGTGTGAGCATTGAGGGCCACAGCATCAGCGGCGCCTCCGCAAGAACTTTTTCGTACGGGACCCATGCGGAGATGGTAGAATACCCACGAGGGCTCACAACCTCAGGTAGAGCTTCTCCTTCGATATAAGAGACGACATGCCGGTACCCGACCGGAAACGGGAGTATAGAGCTCGGGTTGTCGAAGCAGGTGAAAAGGGAAAGAAAGTGAGATATGTCGGGCTTTTATAGATGCAACAGACGAGTTGAGGCGGCGGAGCAGTTTCCGGCGCCCCGCTAACCGACAGATTCTATACCAGATTTACTTAATTATCTACTGGATCGTCCGATTATTAAATCTCTAGTTGAAGATCTATAACTAGTTATTTATTTTGTGATAGTTACCTAATTATTGGTGGTCCCAATCGAGTTCCGATTTCTCCCGATTCTTCCACTTTCTTTGATTGACGTCATCATGAGCACTGGATATATGGATATTCTCTAAAGGGTAAGCGGTCTGAGAGAAGACAATTCCCCCATTATTATTACGGAGTACTCCATAGTTACTCCATACTCCGTACAACTGTCTTTAACTAAATGTATCAGGATTCAGATGTAGTATCTATATATGGATTGAGTACGGAACAGAGTCCTCCTTCCCCGCTGCAGCTCTTTTGCTGACTCACCCCGTTCCCTCCCGAGAATCCCCTTCTTTCAACTCCACTTGGGTCTGACGACGTCTCATATTCTAATTCAACCCTTCTTCTTTTTCTTTTTCTTTTTTTTTTTTAATTCCTTGAAGGAGAGATTTGCATCTTCTGCTGACCCCCTTCGAACCTACTTATATAGCTGCGTTATTCCGTCAGATCCTTCTGAGTCCATCTACCGTTTGGGCTTAGTTCCTCTTTATCGACCACCTCCGATAGTCGATAAGATTCTCCCACCCTCTGGTTTCTTTGTCTCCTCCCTCTTTCTCTCTTCAATTACCCCCCCCCTCCCCCTCCATAATCCTTCCTTCGCAACACTATCAACCTACGTTAAATTTATTCCTTTTGAGCTTTATGCCCCCTCTTCAATCATTTTATCGTTCACTGTGCTCTCCGTGAGGGCATGGCAGCAACCGAGAGAAGCGTCAAGTCCGTTGGATTGAAGATCGAGACGTCCTTTCATCATGGACATAGAACTCGTTGGCGGGGTGAAAGGGGAGGACGAGAGGGAGCAGATGACGGACGTGGTAACGAGGGCGACCGTACCAACATCTTTCACGATTATGACACCCGCCGTTGCGGTACTGATGAGGACCACAGTGTATTAAGTAGCCTGTACTCCTCGACTCCTCCTATCTCAGTCCCGCGTCATGACGATCACTTGAGACAAGATGTCGATTATCCTCACAAACCTAAGGACATTAAAGCCTCTCCCCTCGACTCCTTTCTTCAAGAGGACCGATCGTCTCTTGACCTTGACCCTCCCATCACCCTTACCCCCGGAAGACAGCACTCTGTGGAAGAGGAATTTTCAGAAAGCGAAAGAATGGCTCGAGTGCAGAGGTTTCAGCCGAAAAGCTCGAGCCTGCGGAATACACTTCCGCGGGATGACAAGGTCGCCAGCGGTATGAACCAGTTAGGCCCCAGCCCTAGCCCAAGAAGATACCGCGTACAAAAAGGCGTTTCTACACAGTATTCCCGCGACAGCTTCTCAGAGAGTTCGAATGAGGCTGTTATCGATCGACCTACTTCTCTTACATCCGTCTCGACTGCCTCCGCCGTGACAGAGGAACTACAAACTCCTCCTGAAACTTCTCGCAGCATGTTGCTGTCACCCATCTGCATGTTATCTCCCGAACAAACCTATGGGTCGCCTGAAGATCGCAGCAACTCTTGGTCCGGAGTATCTGCCACACCTTTTGGTCGCAAGTCCCGAGGTTATCGAAGCTATAATCGCCAGCAATCCCGCCGATCGACTATGTCGAGTGGGAAATCACCTGCAAGCGCGTTTCTCTCGATGTGGAGCGCACGGGAGGAGCCGGCACCGAAACCAGACGATGAAGGACAGATGGTCGGGACCGAATATGTCCTGGGGAAAGTTATTGGCTATGGAGGCTTTAGTACCGTAAAGGAAGCCTATAAAGTCGAAGGAACTGGAGGAACCAAACGGCTGGCTGTCAAAATTGTGAAGAAACAGGTCCCCGATAAAACCGAAAAGGAAAACGATGAGGTCCAGGCTGAGTTTGACCACGAAGTTCGCGTTTGGCGGTATCTTAGCCACCCTAACGTCCTAGCGCTTGATTCCGTTTACGAAACCGACTACGCTACATTCTGTTTCACAAAGCTGGCGATTGGCGGCACACTCTTTGATCTTATCCGCCAGAATCGTAGTGGCCTTGATCTGAAACTGGCTAAAAAGTACACCTACCAACTTGCCTGCGCCCTGCGATACTTGCACGAAGATGCTCGAGTAGTGCACCGGGATATCAAGTTAGAAAACTGCCTTTTGGACCCCTTTGATATGCCAGATGGCACAAAGGCATCGACCCTCGTGTTATGTGACTTTGGCATGGCAGAATGGATAAACTCCGACAATGAAGATGCTTCATCCAACCCTTACGACAACGCAGGAGACCGCCCACCTCCGAAGAACATTGGCCCCTCTGAATCTAGTACTAGTGTTGCAGGTAGCCTAGAATACGCATCCCCAGAATTACTCGACTCTAAAAAAGGAATTATCGACCCCTCAGTCGACATCTGGGCTTTCGGTGTTATCGTCTTCAGTGTTATTGTTGGGTCCCGACCATTCCAAGACGCATTTCAACCTCGCTTGATCTCGAATATCCGTCATGGAAAGTGGAGCCAGAAAGCAGTACTTGATAACGGAAGCGATTCCGAGGTACGCCGGGACGCGCTGGAACTTATTGCAGGATGCTTGGAGATGGACTATCGCCGAAGATGGACCATTCGAGATGTGCTATCCTCTCGTTGGCTACGAGAGTTCGCCGACGATATGGATGATGGCTCAGACTCCGTGTGGAAGCTTTAAGCGCACGCAACCCGATGAGATCATTCTCTCCTCACTCACCCCCCCCTCCTTTTTTTTTTACGAAACGGAGTAAAATGATTTACGATTGACTGATCATAGCTGGCGTTATGATCTGACTTTACAACATGAACAAGCAATGGTGTTGGGATTACCGGTCTTCTATGATACCCTATCTTCTCTTCTTTTCCCCTTCTCTTTGTTTTTTTTTTTATGGTTGTTTCGATATCTCTCCTCGTTCAGTTTTTTAGGGCTTGCTTGAATTTGATAGGCTGTCCTGTGGTGATAAAGCAAGGCGTTTTGTTTGGCTGTTTTCGGTCTGTTAGTGTTATGTCATGTACCAATGGTGTACTTATATACCTGGGTGTTCATGCGCCCGTGGTTTTTTTTTTTTTTTTTTTTTTTTTTTAATTCTCCCTTTGGTTTCTTGTTATGTATGTTTCTGCAACTGTTTGAAACGCGACTTAAAGCCTGTTTGGCGGGGAGCCCATATCAATTTTTTATGTCTAAATTGTATCCTGAAAAGCTTTGTATCTGGTTGTCGCTTTCTAGAGTTGACGGTATCAAATGAAATTACTCTACGCTCCTGTCTAGGTAGCTCTATAGCAACGTCATCTGGCACGAACGGTTTCTATAGAAAAAAAAAATAAAAATAAACAGATACAAATGTACGTACCAGAGAGGTCTGAGATGAAAATACAAGAATGAATATGTAACCTAACACTATTTATACACGTAGTTATCATAAGAAAAGTAAAACTCGCACATATGGAATACACAAATACAGCCCACACCTACACCTGCACCTGCACCTACCAAAGTCTGTTCTCCGGCAGCACCTTCTCCTTCTTGACACCAGCCGCCGACTTCCTCTCCACGGGCGAGCGGAAGAACAAACTGGGGCCCTCCATCGGCTTCAGCAAATGACTCAAGTACCCCCTATGCGCAGGATCACGATAATACTCGATATCCCTACGCTTGGTGGGATCAGGAAGTCTATACTTGAAGCCCATCTCCTGCATGACTTTCGCCTCGGTCAAAGCCGTTCCTTCGAGAGAAGCTACAGGGGCAGCAGCAGCAGCAGCAGAATCAGCAGCAGAATCAGCAACAATGTCCACTCCGTCCTGTGCCGCCCCCAGAATCGCCTGCTGCAGGGCCTCGCTGCCACTCTCCGTAGCCCAAGCCATGGACACAAACGGGTGCATCTCGCGCTTCATGATCCGCGCAATGGCAGACTTGGTGTAGAACCGAGTCGTCACGGAGCCGCCGGCGGCTTCGACGGCCGCGATCGCACTGGCAGACGCACGCGAGACAACGATGTGGATGGGTTGTTTGAGGCTAGAGCCGCCGCCGCCGCCGCCGCCGCCGCCGCCACGGGCGAGCAGTTTCACGCCTTCCTTGGTCTGGTGGATGCAGCGGGATTGAGCGAGTTCGCGGACTGTGATGGGGCGGGTTGGGTCGATGCGGCCTTGGTCAATCCATTCTTGGATTCGGTCGAGGTTGGCCGGGGCGAGGTCGATGGAGAAGCTATCAATCACATCATGCACTGTTAGTATTGCTTTGCTTCACGCATTTGTCTTATAATATAATAAGGAGAAAACATACACATTATTAAATCCCCTCTCTCCATGAACAATAATCTCGGGTGTCTGTCCACCATTAAATCCCGCAGGAACCTTGCCATGCTGCTTCTGACCCTTATGACCTCTTCCGGAAGTCTTGCCCTTGCCTGAAGCAGGTCCACGACCTCTCCTGATCCGCTTATTGTATGCCCCTGGGGTATCGGAGAGCGAGGCTAAAATGTGAGCGTTGCGGGTGCTTTGCTGCTGCTGCTGCTGCTGTAATTGCGGGAGAAGGAAGGAGAATGGCGAAGGGCTGATCGGGGTAGGTCGGACGAGAGTCCTCTGCAACTGCAGAGGAAGGATTTGGAGCCTGGCGGGCATGATGGGGCGTGACGTGAAGCAGGGCCCCTTGGTGATGATGGTGTTGATGGCCGCGCTGGTGTTGCTGCAAAGATCTTTCGCGGGTAATCGGACTAGGGTAGTCGGATAAATGTCGGGCCGGCGTTTGGGATTGAAACTTGGTCTGAGCAACTTCTCGAGTGTCTACTTGGACTCGACATCTGCTTGCCAGTCTCTTGGAGAAATCAATTTATTAAATCCCTCGGATTTCATCTTGTCGCTCTATCCAAGAACGTAACTGGAACTCTCCCCGCCAGAGTCCTTTGAATCGGACGCCTCAGGCATAACAAACTACTCGGCATGCGACTCAGATTACAAGAACCAAGTGCAAAAAAACTACGAGGAAATCATTTTGTACATGAGAGTAAGTGACTCTCGTGTGGTCTGTCATATATCACTATGTAATGTGGCCTTTTCGGCCTCTCCTTCCTATCATGCAAATGCAGGTAAAGCCTCAACCATGTATGGAAAAATATGAGGACTCAAAATAAACAACGCCATAACCATGCTTTAGTAAGGAAAATAAGACAAACATCCCCCCAAGTCTCAAAAATAAAATGCATCGGTTGTTTCCAGCCGGGTAACCATCTATGATGTCAAAACGCCATAATCAATGCCAGGTCGTTAAAAAGAGAAAAGTGTAAACTGTACAATATACAGGGTGAAAGAATGGTGAGTATGGATCGAGGGAAAGAGATGGTGCGATGGCTTTTCGTATGAAGTGTCGTGGGTAAATTGTGCCATTTTCAATTTCAACCAGAATAATTCGGTGTTGGATGGAAGGGGGGGTAATGGAAGCCTCCCTGGGGCCAGGCCTCTTGGTGAAGGTAAGGCAACAGGCCAGTTTTGCGCTCCGCGGCGGTCTTGCCGAGCGGTTGGTAGTGCATGTGGTCGAAGGGGATAGTTCGTTGGTGCTGAAGAGAGGCGGATGGCGGAGGGATCAAAAGGGTGTTGACTGTACGAACAGGACGGTAAGGGGAATTCCTATTCGCCAAGAAAAACGACGGGGATAGATGAGTCTGAGGAGTGTGGGCAGAGTAGACAGACACTGCTGGGGAAACAGTCGCCGAAGTCACCGCAAAGGGGCTGTTATGATGTCTGGCAGGGTCAGGCAGGGAAATTGCCGGATTCAACAGGCCATTTGCCAGAGACTGAACTGCTGTTGGTGTTGGAATCGGTGCAGCCCAGCTCGCGGGGTTGTACACGGGAGGAATCGTCGAACGCCCCACCGTAGGTGGGAACTGAGGGACGGAGGCGGGAACACTTGGAGCTAACGTGTTAGAGGAAGGAGGAAGAGTAGGAAGAGGTAGTCGTGAGACAGCAGATGGAACGGTCTGCTGAGACGGAGCAGCAGTGGGTGCCAACATAGGAGGTAAAGCTGGGATAGTTGAGAGAATCGAAGTAGGCAGCGATGAGACCGGGATAGGAATGGTGTTAGGCATGACGACTTTCTTCGCCGGATGCTCTCCAGCCGAGTCATCACGAGCCCGCTTCCGAGAAGTGACTTGTGGCACATCACTCACAAGCTGGGGAACGTTGGTGTATGATGAGCCATTGAGTGGTAGGTTCCAGTGTTGTGCCCGAAGGGATTCAGCAGCAGCAGGAGGTGAAGGTAACTTCGACAACGAAGTTGGCGACAACTTGTTTCGTGCCGTTGGTCCCATAATTGGTGAAATATGAAGCATCGGAGGTGCTGGAGGTGCTTCATGTTTCTCTAAAGCCAGGGGTGCGTTGTTGAAGAAGTCGGCGAAAAGACCCAGTTTCGCATGCCACTTAGCCCATTCGCTCTCGGATGCGTAGAGATTGTATCGAAGATTGCTCAAAAACTCAACCTCCATGACATGGATTTCCTGAACCGAGATACCCGACACTTCAGCCCATGTCTTATTTGTATAGGTGTTATCATCGAGAACTGCACAAGATCAGTACACCACCCGAAACTAAAACAGATTTCAATCAGGGGAAACTAACATTTATTACCCAGCATCAAAGCAATAGTCATAAGTCTATACTCGCTGCCCTTCTTTCCTCGTACACCGGGGTTGAACTTTTTCAATCGGTAGACAAAAAGCAATGCCAGCAAGATGACATTCTGGCTAACTTGGGTTGTCGACAGAATGTTGGACACCCATTTCTGGAATCCAAGTGAGGGAATCGCTTCGGGAGCGATAGAAGTACCGGAACTTGCACGATCCTCAATCGCTGTTAACTTCGAGGTGCTTTCAAACCAGAACAAGCAAGTCATCTAGCCAAATGTCAGCCTCTTGTATTCCCAACAGACCAGTTATCCTTCCATACCTGAGCAGCAAACTCCGCCAAACTACCCTTGGTGTTATTGATCGATGACGGGATCTGGAGATATGAAACGGAGGAATTGTTCTTGTCCTTTCCCCGGGTCTCTGGCTCCTCCTTGATCAACGGCTGCTGGCTCTGCGGCTTGGGATGCTGTACGATTCCATTAAAGAAGTTGGGGTTCGTTCGCGAGTATGAGGGAACTTTGTTGTACGGTGGAAGGGTCATCCCGTCCAGCTTAGCCCCATAGGCGGACGGGAGACTGTTGTAAGCGACGCTATTCATATCGTTGGGGGGGGTTGGCAGACCGTCCCGAAAGGGAGCGGTCCAGTGGAGATCAGGGACCTCCGAGATACTCTGAAGGTGTTGCTTCGTCGCACACGTTGAACCTCCTATCCGCGACTCGTGAGGGATTGTTGGAGTAATTGGAGGTGGAACGGCGAGATACGGATTCGTAGCAGGGACCGGTAGAGACATGCGGCACCATATAATCCAAGGCCCGGACGAACCTTCCTGGGGGTGAAGAGGATAAATAAGAGATGTTAGAGAATCTCAGTTGTCATGTAAGTCCCATTGAGCAAGTGTGTGTGTTGAATAGGTTGCGCTATTCAAGATACCACTTCCATTCGTTGGTGACCACAACACCCAGGAAGAACAATACAGAGGAAATTCAGATAGTGTTGGGACGATGAATGTTTATATCAGAAATTCAGGAAGTGCTGAAGACAACTAGAGCATGTGTTCGAGGCAGGTTTGTGAATATCAAGAAAGATGCGGAGGCGTTATGGTAGGATAGCAACGATAAGCGGATCCAGTGAATGTTGACCATGCCTTGTCAATGGAATGAAGGCACACAGAAGGGGGGGAGGAAAAATCAAGCTAGACCCAGGCAGAGAGATCACATAGCAATATAAGTGGCAGTCAAGCCATAGTTATAGAAGCAGGTAATGACAAGAAGAATATGGAAGGTGAAGTTTGGTACTGGTCTGCAACAATCAAAGTTGCAAGTACATCCAGTTATAGTCAAGCAAGCGAAGACTATATGGAATGGAAGATGGAAAGGGCAAGGTGAGATAATAATAATAATAATAATAATAATCAAAATTAATAAAATAATCAAACAGCAAATAAAAAAATAATATTCATTTAATATAGAAGAGAAATCTACGGGAGTAGTAGTAGGTAACTATAGAGAATGAATTTAAAATTGAAGATGAGGGTTAAAAAAAAAATAAAAGAAAGTAAAAAAAAAAAAAAAAAAAAATGATGAGAAAAGAAAAAATAATAAGTAATAAATTAAAATTAAAATAAGAATTAATCTGGGAAAAAACCCCCCCCCCCCAAAAACCTATATATTTAAAATGAAAAAAAAAACAAGCGTAAAAGGAATATAATGGGTAATGAATAATAATAATACTAAAACGAATACAGGAAGATGAGATCAAGACATCATCTCTCTCTCTCTCTCTCTCTCTCTCTCTCTCTCTCAGCCCAGCAAATTACTGTTCTGCTTCCAAAGCTCCGCTTCAAGGGCCAGGGTAGGTTTAGTATGTTACCAATTCTCTCATCCGGAAAAAGTGCTGAGTCCATACATAACCGACAGAGTTTGAACCGGACGCAGGTCCAGAGGGTTGATCCTCCTTTCTGGACTGGACTGGCTTAGTTCGGTTCCGGGTTGGTCATCAATCCAGGTTTGATTTGTCTCTGTTATGTCTTGGAGAGTGCGGAATAGAAGGCAACGTGAGAAATACTGATTGATGTCAGAGCCAGTGAGCCACGGGGGAGAGGAGAGAGTGGATGCAAGGGTAACAAGGTCAGCAGCCTGGCACTAGAGTCTTTGTACCTACCAGGGAGAGACTTAGAGGAGGGTGGAATCGTATGTGCCTACTCTACTGACTCCGTAAGGACCCATATCAGATCCAATAATAAGTCCGCGTTGAGCGTCACATTGCAACCATCGTGTGTGGTCACTGTGGTGTGCCGCCCGAGGTTTTTTTTTTTTTTTTTCTTTTGTTTTTATTGATTTTTCTTTGATTTTTCTTTTTAGGTTTTCTATTTGATTTGAAGGGGGGAAGGGAAAATTGCACACCAAGGGGGCATTGCTCAGCAGCATCGGGAGGAGTGAGTGGATGAAGGGTTTGTGCAGAGGAGAGAAGTGGTGTGGTTGATCGCCAGTTCTAGTTCAGCCAGGCGGAAGGCAAAAGGAATGGAGATACATACTTTTCCTCGACTCCGTACAGACTCAAAGCTATAACTAGAGACTTGTCGTACGGAAAACTTACGGAATCATACAAGGTTTGATAGTCTCACCTTGCAAAGCGTGCCAGTCAAAAGTTGAGGAAGGGGGGGGAATGAATGAAGCTGGGGGTGTAGTACGCGTATTGTCATGGTAATGAATCAGTAAACCAGTCCAATACATGTGTGGTAAGGCAAGGCAAGTCAGGAGTGGTACAAAGCCAGCAAGGTGGTACTTTGATGGGTGATGGCAAGGGTAAGACGGCATGGATCGGAGTGCATGTATTGTAAACTATGTATCTGTGCGGTAACTATGTACCAGTGATGGCATTGCTCTAAGAATACTCTGTATTATTGTATCCAGTATGCTGACCGGTACTGCCAGGCGTGGTGGCAGAAAATTTGGCGGTTGGACAAGAAGGAATCAACAAGGTGGAGTTAGGCCAAAGAGAGGTATTGAATCAAGGAAAGTTCTCCGTACTTTGAAGGGAACATTGGAAGCCTTCTCTTCGCCTGCTCTCCACTCACCATCACCTTGTGAGACCGAGGAGAGAAGGGGTCATGGCATGAAGTTGTGTCTAGCCTGCTGTGTATGTAAGGTATGCGTGTACGGAGATGGGATAGTTTACCAGTTTACCAACCCTTTCGCATGCGTAAGCGAATGGATGGCTCCAGCAACAGACAACCCAATGGCTGCGTTCAACCCTCATCCATCTTTGGATTTTCATTTCTGGTCTTTGGGCCCGTCTCTCTAGGCAAGTAGCGGATCACCCCCCCGCCTAGTTACCCTCTAAGCACCCCCATAAGCGCTCTTAAAATAATGAGGGAATATTATTCGGGGGAAGGAAAAGAGGCGACAGGATGAAAGATGATGATGCTGAATACCTTCTCTCCCTAGACTTCTCTCAACCCCCCCCCCCCGCCGACGAGACCAACCAGGACTCAACTCTGGCCTGTCCTTATCCACACCCAACCAAAACTCAGAATACCACATCCACACTCCTGTCCGCGCGCGCACCCTTTCTTCCAAGAGACCGTCATACGCCCAGTCGTATCCGTGTATCATCCGAACCGCCAAAAGGTAAGATGCTTCGGAACAATCTCATCCTTCCAAATCCCGCCACCACACAACAGTCCATAGCCATACATGGACTGGCGTGACCCAGTTTTGGGGTGAAAAGATGGATGCCCGCGGCCATTATTATTAATAATTAACACTGCCATCTCAGCGACTCAACGGATGGGAAGGTGACCCTTGTTGAGGGCACGCAGAACCCTCGATTGGAAACAGAGTTGGGTTTCGCTTTCTCTGTCTGGACAACCGCCAGCATGTCAGCTGCTCATAACGGACTATCAAGTCTTATATTGTCTGTATTATCATTTCGGCTTTAGAAGGGAAGTTCCCTTTTCCATTATGGATGTTGTCCGGGGCCACTACTCTTTGATTATGCAATATACAGACCTCCGCCGTACTGCTGCTCCGGCGCCCCAGCATTTCTCACGATGGGGTCTCTCTCCCCTAGCATGGATATTAACTTGTCCAGGCGCCAAAGACTCAGATAATGGACATACCTAAGAAGTTAACCTTTATTACCATACTACTAGCACTCGAACAAGAAAAGTGTGTTTCGGAAAAGCAAAAAAAAAAAAAAAAAAAAAAAAAAAAAAGGCTGCCTACTTGTGTATGTGCATCAGACTCATCATGCTGATGGGTTGCCGAATTTTTGCCAATAATGGTTTTCCTGGTGTTGAGGTATATCATATGCTCCAGGAAATGCTGGTACTATGTCCAACTACAGCGTATAGAAAATGTAGGGAAAATGTGTACTTCATAGGGAATACTAGTACTACTAGTAGGTTGCAGTGTTTTGTATTTTTTTTTTTATCCGTATTACCATTGTAATGATATGGGAACATTTCCGGCTGCATCACATCACGTTTCTGCATTCGGTATCAGGAGCCAGCCAGTCTGGAAAGTTTGATCAACATCGACAATCATTATTCGGAAACACAACAAAACACCACTATGGAGTACCAGTCCTCTAGGTAGTGAACATCGACCGCAAGTACCAATATCCGCTAGCGACCTTTCCCTTTCTTGACATCAATCCGAGAGCTGAACGGAGGTGTCCTGGTCATTCTGGCCGCTGGTGTGGTCCTTCATAGTCTCCTCCATGGAACGACCATCCTGCAGCTGTAATCGGCCAACTAAGTTCAGGGGATATCCAAATCTGATAGTCCAGGTATATTGATTTCTGACTGTTCAATTAAATACCGATGGAGTCGATCTAGGTATACCTATTCTATGCACTCAAAGACGGCACCTCGATACGACCTCTCATTCGCTTTGGCTATCCAACAGCGGCTAGCGACAAGTTCAACCCCCGCCCTTTGAAATTATTGGGACAATCAAAAAAGAAAAGTTTGCAAGGAGGGAAAATCTTTGAAGCAAAGAAACAAAAAGAAAAAGAAAAATCCAGGATCCAAGCACAATCCTGCCACTGTGACGGCACTCCGTAGTCCGTACAGACTTGTCTACGGAGGACTCTGTACATTCTCTCCTTCCTTTGGCTTTGTATTTTTTGGAGTCTGAAACCTTCCAGCCAGAATGGGTAACGCCTTGAGGCTTTCCCAATCTCCTCCCCTCTCCAAGTGTACCACTTCTTTTGGCGGCCTCCTGATGAACCTTGTGCGCTCGGAGACGAGGAGGGCGAGCTACCGCCGACATGGCTGGCAGGATGATCGGAAGCCTGACATTCAATGATTTCGTCAAGGCAGGTTAAATCATCGGGACAAATCCGTGTTGAGTCTGGATGCATGATGGGCATTCATGAGGGTACTTTCATTGTGGCTTCGACCCCCATCTACTGTCGGCTGCGATGTTTCCATATTAGTTTTCCTGGTCATGATGCATACCTATCTTGTACTTTTGAGTTCCCAGTTCGAGTAGCCTCATTATTCAGAATCATCAATCAAATCCACTCGCGTCCCTACTTCGCCGGGGAAGCCGCGCCATAAACCTATCAGCAGACAACTACAAAGAAGTACAGGTCGTCGTCTCCTGAGACCATGCCAACCAGGGATTCAAAGGCTGTGTCTTCCTTCTCTTCCTTCCACCTTTCTCCGAACGTCCCGGGCGGTTTTGCTCGGTTTCCTTTTAGTTGGCTTACTCTCCTTTCATCACCACTTAGTTACAAGTCTGGCAAAACAGACGGTCTCCTAACTTCCTTGGCACTTGAAAACCACCATCCCTCTCTTGTCTGTGGGTGGGTATCTTAATCCGCTCCGGCTATCAGGAAGTGCGAGCTATCAAGGCTAGGCATGATCAAGGGCTTTCGTCTATATAGAGCTTAACAAATCAAAAGGCAACCTTTTTCTCTTTAGTGGTACCTAGTTAACTCCATAATTGTGGTCAGCTCTGGGCAGCGGATCAGAACCTGTGTAACAATTTAACAAATGAGAGACCAGGTGGATTCCTGGCGTTCCAGAACCTTAGAAAGAAACGTCTTTTCAAGAGTGGAGCTGTGTAAAGAGACAGAAGGAGAAGTCTTACGGGAGTATATTATTATTATTATCATCATCATCGTCATCGTCATCGCCATCGTCATCGTCATATTAGTTAACTATCTTCCTTCCGTCCCATCGCTTACTTTTATGGAATCGCCCGGGTCTTCAAGGATGGATGAGAACAACCTTTGGGTCGTTCGTTTGCCATCCTCAGCCCCCGGGACTGGAAGTACAAGAAGAGAAGTCTAGTGACGATCCAAGCTGCGCTTGACCGAACCAATACCTTTCAATGGTAGTATACATACATTATTGCCTCCAGTTCTTGCAATATTCAATTAGGTTATCTGGTACTTTTTCGTTCATCTATCTGAAAGTCAAACCTGGTTCAACGCCCGTGTCCAATCGATCGAGAGACGATCTCGATACCCATCGGTTATTTTAAGATTAATATTCCCAAGTCCCCTGTACGGAGTACGGAGTAGTGATGACGCCTTTGACTTTTTCATATGAATGGAGCTTTGCGTGATCACATCCGAGTATATCCCGTTAATTTGCCCGAAATGGATGCAATTGCATTACCCTAGGTAGAGGATTAAAAAGACTCTTTAAAATTCACCAACGACCGCCACAATCCAATCCTCTTCCCAGGCCCAGTCACCGCCAATATGAAATACTTGACTTACCGAGGAAATACAATCACAATACAATGGGATTCTACTAACCTACACTATACAATGGCCAATATCCCATCACAAGCACTCTCTCATCCTGCAACCACCAACCACTGACTAGTTAGGATTCCAAGGTATTATTATTATTATTATTATTATCACCTGCAGACAAGGGTTGTCAACTCCCCCGACCGCCCCAGATCGTATTTGCTTTGCAGCGTGCTGGCTGGCTGTCCTTTTCCTGTGATAAGTTTCAATAACTAACAACTACTAGTCGTACGGAATCATAGCTATTCCAAATTTCCACATACCTCGCAATATCATCTTGAAAATCATTCAACACTTCTTCCTTTCTGGCTTTTTTTTTTTTTTTTTTTTTTGGTTTCTCGTTTTGGTCCTGACCGAGAACAACTACAAGACGGTGAGGATTGGTGGATGGGAATCCCAGCCTTCTTGTCTCAATCCCCCGAAGCCTGGTGCCCGACCATTGGGTGGGTGAGTGGTTGTAGATGCATCATCTTTGGCTTCGTGCGCAGGTAGGCCGATCGACATTCTCCCATCTATCAATTAGCTCATCAACAATCAAATTTAATGTCGCACCCATGAGCAGAGGTAGGCAGTCACCACATTATAGCGTAGTTGAATATTCTCCTTTTGCAATCATCACTATTATTATTACTTCCAGAGTAGTCCGTAGTCCGTACAGTGCGTATGGAACTAATTCATGTTGGCCGTCATGGCTCACACTGCATTGACCCGCAAAGCCTACAGTGCACTACGTACTTCCTCCGCTGGTACCTGTATTGATGGTCGGGTCGTTCGTGTCGGAGAATTATCCTATCACGACCTGGGTCTCGATTCTTGTCTTTCCTGTACTGCGCGTGGGTTGTCACGACGCCTACCTACCTACCTAGCTCACAGGCAGGGGCACCGTCGTCCGTATCGTGGCCCTTGATTCGCGTCACCAGGCAACATAAAGAATTAAAGGGGCGTCTTGAAGACAATCAGATTCAAATCTCTATCCATCCCTCGTCGTTCCCACCTTGCTGCTTGCTACCTTTCGCAGCTCCTTGCATTTGCATTTCGAGTACGAAGTTGTGTTGTGAACTTGTACCGAGAATGCAATCAACAAGAGTGATCCATCATCATCATCATCATCATACTCATAGCCTAGTACTAGTAGTTTAATCCTGTCTTGTCAGGTAGACTACTCCGTACTCCGTAGGTAGGTACCGTCTATTAAGGCCAGGGTCACCCGTTGAAACAGTGAAACCCTCGTCGCAGCCTTGCTTGCCTGCCTTCACGTATAAAAAAACACTGTACTGTATTCGAGATCCGGGTTTCTTCTCTACTACCTAAGTTGAGAATGCCAGTCAGGGATATACTCGTAGCGTCCAGGGTTAACCCTCCGCAGGCAAGGATAAGTATGGGCTCTGTGAGCCGCGCTCAACGACCACCGAGAGATACAGGGATATGCGGTGTTTCCCAGGAGATGGTTACCTACAAGGGGGCTGCTTGACCGTAGCTAGGCCTCCGGGGAGGAACGTTACGGAGTACTCCGTAACGCTTCAGGGCCATCTCTCACGTTCAGTTCAGGTTGACAAGAAAGTTACGCCGTAGATCGATCTCTTTTGCCGCAAGGAAAACAGGGGGGGGGTTACGGGTATCATGGTTCCTATTGGAACCCCTCCCTCGTGAGCAGAAGAATAGAATTCAAAAGGCAGGCAAGCTAGTTGTTGTAATTGGTTGCCTTTGTACAGATAGAGTATGGAGTACTTCTTTCACACGCTTGGATGTATAGATATATATATATATGCAGACGTCAACCCTTATTTTCGTTATTTTTTGTTTTCGCTCCCCTCTTTCAGCTCTGGAAAAGCCGCGCTTCCATGAAGCGATCGGACCTCCCCCACCTTAGACTTGCATCGTAGATTTTTGTCACCAATGATATGTACAGAGTACATCTCTCTCTCTCTCTCTCTCCGTCCAGAAAAAGAAGGTTAAAGACTGAAATATCCTTACAATTTCCCGGGTGGCCGTGTCTCACCATCCCGACCTACCTGAACCCCATAATGGGGGCCGTTATATTTATTTATTCCCCCCTTCGTTTACCCAGCATGGTGCAGGTCTTTGGTCTTTGTATTGAAAATAATTCTCGACCGGAGGTGTTTCAGACCAACCTGGCACGGGAGGGGGGGGGAGTTCAAGCGCTGAAGTGACCACCACCACGCACTGACTAGCTAGTAAGAATCTCGTCCCCGCTCGCTTCAACATTGACCTAGGTAGTTATTTATTTTCTTAAACTTCCTGGTCTGATCTCCTCGTAATTCGAATGAGGAGCGACAGTAGTAGCCCTGTCTCAAAGAGTCCCAGTCCCAGGGCAGCAGGGCAGAGTCCAGACGGCACTCTGCACCGTCCGTGTCCTCTTCACTTTCGTCTAGACGCTGATACATACTACTAAGTTATTATTATTATACTTACGGCCCCCTTTCTGCCTCGTCACACCTATGCGACCGTGTTGTTCCGCGTATTTGTCTAATGATAATAACTAGTTACTACCTATCCCACGGAGTAAGTAACTTAGTAGCTAGGCCACCACCACAAAGGATCTCGAAATGGACAACCAGGATTCTTTTTCAGACCAATTGCCAAGATATTAGCGCGGGTAGAGATTATTGAGCGCGACGCTGTAACTTGTAGTTAAGGCCTGGCCTGGTGTAACTACTCCGTAAGTATTGGCCTTAACGCAATGTCACATATCCAGGAAGTTATCACCTGTAAAATAAAATAAAATACACATCTCTCTGAGTGATGGCAACTTCAACCGATTTACTGAGTCCCATGTAATCCAGGTTTGATCAGGACTTATTCCGAATCCCCTAGAATGCAGTATGTCGGGATTTGCTTGGGAGGATGTTGAGTTGGCGAGAAAAGGTATGGTAAAAATACCCATATTAGTTTCAAGGCGCGATTTGATAATATCAAGTTTTATGACTGAGTCGCCGTGACCCTCGAGGGTCTGCAGGCAGGCGCCGCTGCTGGCATTCCATAGTTATCTTGATGGTCTTGTTGTCAGAAGTAGAGGCCAGTAGCTTGGAGTTATGCGAGAAGACTACAGAGTTGACCCAGTCATCATGACCTATAAGGGTCTGCAGGCACGCACTCCAGTGTTCTTCTACATGTTTCCCAGTTATCCATCCTAAGTCATTAAGCTCAAATTGATGCCTTGTGATACTGCTCTGTGGGCTGAAAAAAATATTGCAGAAATATAAACTTGAAGTGGATAATCCTCTATCATCACTCGGTGGCATATAATAAAACCGGTATGCATCTTGAACTCTAGAGATCAATTCTATATCTCTTATCCTTGCCTAGAATTATGTTAGATTATAACTTGATCAGTACTTAATTAGTTATAGGAATAACCCTTTAATAATTCTTCAAGCTTTAGCATGGATTTAGCTCCTGCTAGCAAGTCTCTGATCAAGCTAAGAGCTTCAAGCCTGTGGAGTAGGTCCTCGCGAAGAAAAGCATCAAGAAGCTTAGTAGCCTGAATCTGTTTACTCGTCTCTTTTCCGCGAAGGTAGTCATTGAGATGATCTGCCCAGTGCACACTGCATACATGCATAGCGAATCCAGGCCAGCGGATCTGGGTCTGGTTGCTGGACTTCACTCATAGAAAGTGTATCATCTTCGAGGTTGTATATATCCCGTTTCAAAGACTTTGAGAAGATAGAGTAATGCATCACTTGTATCCCATTAGGATAGAGCTTTTCAGATGCCTGTTGTAGGAGAAAGTCTTGTGCGGACTGATGAATTAAGGTAACTGTGCGAGTTTGCAGAGTAAGAAAAGATCCACAGAGTTTTACAATCTCTTGAAGTTCATCGCTGGTGAGTTCGTCCTGTGATTTAAGATATGATGATAACTCATCCAATGTATAAACAGTTGTAACGATTCCGCGGTGTCATCCAAACCCTGGATATTGCTGAACATTCGACGGTAAACTTCATCAAGCCCAGGAGGAAAATCCTTAAGTTTTTTCTGTAGATGTCTTGCTGGGACATCTTTCAGTTGCTTGCAAACCAAGACCACCCAGAGAAAGGTTCCATTTGCATTCAGTAACATGTGACTCTCAAGAATCTCTCTCTTTCTCAATTCATATTTGTTTCTCTTTGATAACTCCTCTACTTTATGCTTGATAAATAAGTCAACAGCAGCAGCTAGATTGTCTTTGTTCAGCTCAAGCTGAAGTCTGATTCCTGTTGTATTGTCGAGATATTTCTCAATGCTCGGCCAGTTTCGACTCGATACAATCCATTTCACATGTGAATGAGCTGATGAATTCTCTTCAAGAAATTCGAGAAGCCTACTTAAATCTGTTGTACACTCATCTAGTGCATCCAACGAACCCATGCATTTTCATTGTCAAAAGTGCCGTCGCTAATATGATTGATAAGTGAGGATTGTTGCTTCACAAGCATATGAATAAGTCCTCTCAAGACTGCCGTTGCATTATTGATGCGGCTGTTACTTGCTTGATAAAAAAAAGTATGCGATATTTGTAGGATCATTAGCCTCCTTGGAGAGCTCATCAATAATTCCGCACATTAGCATTGTCTTGCCTTTTCCAGGATCACCCATAACCCACAGGAGCTGAGGGCAATCGTTATACCTCCACCTTTTAAACTCATCATGATCGAATACCCAGTGATATGAGTCTTTAGGGAGGCCACCCTTCTCGTCCTTAATTCGCTTGTTATCGTCCTCTGGATCAGTGGCGCGGAGACTCTCTAGACAGCGTCGGTCCTCAGCATCGCATAAGCGCTCCTCATTCTTTTGAGCGATACTAACAAGCTCCTGCATCTGCTTTTGGATATCGCGGAGAATATAGTCCAGCCTTTTCCGTAATTCTTTTGCTTCTGTGGCTAGCTTCTTCAGTTGCTCGACACTTGTGCCGGATAATACCGTTTTAAACTGCTTGTCAAGTTCTGCCTCTTGTGTTTGAAGTTGTCCCAATTGACCATCCCAGCTGTCATAATTGATGACATCTCTGAAATAGCTTTTAGTTCTGCTGCGATAAAACCTGAGGACACTCCGCAACTGAAAGTTGATGATGGCCTTGTAAAGGCCTATCACACGCTCAGAAAGATCATTCCTCAAGCTAGGCTTCAGGTCTTGAGGCAAGAGAAGTGAGTCCATCTCGACATAGTAGCGCATTTGTGATGTGACATACGTAAGTCCTTCTTTGTTTGCAGCTTCGACAGTGGCTGGGTTTTTCAGAAGTGGAAGGATCAGTGAGATGCCTGCCATCACAGCCGGTGCAAATGGCACATCTCTAATTGCATCCTTCACACAATCTTAAGCCCCTTCCACAGCCTTGCCAACTTCGCCCACCCCATCTTGTAGAATGATTTCATGTTGACAGCTCATTATGCTTTGAAGTAACTGATGAAGTATTGTGGCTTAATAATCAGAGTTCATAAACGGATAACTAGTTAGTTAATCCAGATAGCGGTTGACTGAAGCCAGATGGAGAGGAGTGGGTTGTCTGAAGTTAGATAAGATCCAAGTCATAGCCCCGTTTTAAACTACTATAGGTTTTGAAGGGATGCTAGTTCAATGCATGGCATTTGGAAACAATAGTGATATATTTATTGGTCAAGCCAATTTCAAGATTTACTGTACCACTATGCTACTAATATTACTAGTAGTAGTAGTAGACTTACTTTCCTCTTGTGCTGCACAGTATTATCAAAATTGCAACCAATCTTTGATCACTGATAAGTGATGATCACCTAGGTAACTGAGACTGGATTTAAGAGGACACTGATATGTCAAGATCCATGAATCCTCCGTCCTGTCTATTGTACTCCTTGATTCCAGAGAATACTTGAAAGCTGAATAAGTGGAGTTTTTCTGCGTATGATATTAGTAGAATTTGACCAGGGTGGAGAGAGAAAGAGAAAGACAAGAAAAAGAGAAGGATAGGGGGTTGTTCACTCTAGTCTCCTAACTAACAAATAACTATCCCTAACTATCTGTAACTATTCAGATTTGATTTCAGACTAAAAAAAGAAAGCAAAATGAATTAGATTAGATTTAACCAAGTGACTAGTTATTTCTAGAGTGAACGGGTTCCTAGAGTTCTAATTACTAGACTAGTCATGGCCCAGGTAATCTATAATAAACACCGAAGACTTGGGGAGTTTTTTTAGTCTTCTAGTGGGTTTTCCCACTCTTTTCTCCTTTTTGTTACTTTGCTTTTTTGAAGGAAAAAAGAGTGCTTTGATTTGAATTTACAGAGTACAACTTGTATAGTTAGTTATACCTAGTATAGTACCCATACTATCTGTAACCACTACTCTAGTCTGCAGCAAACAAAAGGATTTTAATATGAAAGAAAAGGGGGATTACACTATATCAGAATAGTACATCCGCAATAAAGGGACAATATACTCATATACTGCTCCATGCCTACTATTATCAATATTGTCTAGGTAAATATTGGCTTCGAGTTAACGGTGTATACTGTATAGTAAATATCATGAAAGGGACGAATCCTTTGTACACTTCCAGGGTTACCTACTCGGTAGGCACCCAGGTATTTCCAGAGGAATATCAGGCTGAGCGCGGGGAGAAAGATTCCCATGGCCCCCAAGTTCATTCTAGGTTCAATAGTAGATGATAGTGCTATACCCGTCACTAAGGAATCATCCACAAAATTATTCGCACTTCTGTTATAAAACTCTTTCGAGAGTGTGCACAGAACAATACTAGTGCTGGGATTATAATGCCTACTGGCGGTTGAAATACAGATGTTGACCGGCCACTGGTATAAAATATAACATTTCGAATTGGTATTCAACCCGCTACATTCTTCTATGTTATAATTGAAAGGAGGGACTTGTTTACTCTACCATCCCCTACAACTGAAGGAAGACCCTTTAAAAGCTCCCTTTCCCAAGTTGATCCATCTAACGAATACAGGTAATTCCTCTACATGACATCTGTACATACCTCGAGATGCAACTTTTATGTCTACTGGCCAAAGACCATTCCCTTACCCAGGTACTCTACCAGGCTATAGATCGTGGCCCAATATTCACCTGTTAGAGAGCTGGGTTCATTCAACCTCTCAGATACTGCCTTCGAAACCGGTCTCTATACCCATGCTTCTGTTATTGTCATGGCATTTCTCCCTCAGTTCAGTTGACCGCAACTCCCGCAACCAAATAAGCAAACCACCGCCCGACTTCCAAACCTCCGGCCGGTTTAAAATCTTCCCCTCCTATGATCTTTATGCACAGAACAGAGACACAGACAACAGGCCCCAGTCCCGAGCCGAGCCGCCGCGAATCGATACGGTAAGGTAACTCCGGGTTAACCCGGTCAACTTCACGCCGGATACTCCCATTCAACCCAGGAGATCGCCTATACTGCAGGGTGGGATCGAGTTCGACCTGCTCTTCCGTACAATTCTGAAAAGAGTACTACTGCATTTGGCTCTCGTGGTTGTCTCTGTTTGCTGTCGCGTGGGTGTTTCAGTAACTGAGTCGGAGATCTGAGCTTAGATATCCGAGAGTCCCTAGGCTACTACATACATATAAATAGGTGGTCTATATTAGGTAGGTAGTTCTTGGAAGGCTGAGTATGAAGCAGGCTCTAACGCAAGTGTCCCCGAGTCCAAATTAAAGGGGAGGGGGGCAAATACTGGGGTTGGCCGAGAGAGCAGAGTATGGCACATTCATCCCAACCTGTATATAGCTACATGCATGTGTCTACTTCTTTCTTTGTCAACAGGCTAGAAGCTAACTAACTAGCGATAGTTATCTACATTATACATTATATTATATTATAAATAAACCCCCTGTCTCACATGCAAATATGCTAGGTGCAAAAAAGTGTGATGATGACACAGTCTGCCTTGCCCGACCTTCTTATGTGCACAGTACAAGTATTTGACGTACCGTACCTAGGTAGATACTGACATACATCTGTACCTGTGTCTAGGTAGTTCAATTCTGCTTAGAGAGAGACTGGGTAGAAAACAGCTTAGGAAACTTTTTATCCAGCATGCCCGATGTATATACTACCGTGTACTCCGTATGCGTGCATCTTATAGCGCAACGTACCCACTGTTTGTGTTTTGCTTATTACTGCATGGATACATGTTTCATATTGTATGTACGGAGTAACTATCTGCCTTTGGTATACATGCTGTACTACTTGTAGTGTTGACTTGCTTATCTACTACCTAGGTCGTGAGAATCCATTGCTCATATAGGTGGTTCGGGACTGAGTCTAATATGTAAATAATCGTGGACAACACAGTAAAATAGGCAAGTGAGTAGAATTGCTATTAGCCCGGTTGTAGGTGGCGAGTAGTGGGATGTATAAGGGTATACAGATATAACGATAAATGACACTCTGGTGTTGTTCATAGCTATGATTGAAATATTCCTGCAGCTTGATCTACCAGGGGGCGTATTGTATGATGCTTACAGCAGACCCGAATTGAGGTCATAGTAGACAGAGTATAGATGGTCTCTCTGAGTATGATGGCACAAGTATAAGCCAAGTAATGAGATGAAATTTAATGGGCTAGAAGAGATAGCAGGCTACTAAAGTGCTCATGAATCTGCTCTTGTTGCTCCCCTTCTGTTAACCCCCTTTCGCTAGGTGGTTTTGTATGCATCATCCGCGGAAAAGCAATATCAGAGCTGTCAAGTATCATACCGGAAATGGAAATTGGCCATGCAAGATATTTCCTTTTCTTTGCTCATCCTTATCCTTTCCCCCTTTTCTCGAATCTGAGTTGCCTAGGTTTCTTCAAAAAGCAGGCAACGAACTCGAAATGGGGTTTGGTGGTAGATCATGTCGCACAGGCATTTCGTGAACAGTACTTCCTGATATGGAATATGCAAAATAATGACTGACAAAACGGCAATAGAATCTGGCAATGGATCTGGTCTTGGTAACATAAAATGACAGATCATGTCTGACGCGATATCATCTCAGTTGTAAGAGCGAACCCGCGTTCCATCCCAATTCCTCGCTCGTCTTGCAGCACTATTACATATTATTAGGTGCACGCCTCCCTATGTATTGACTGGCCCGGCGAGCGGCACTACAAACACAATCTGTAGAGTAATGCGCCATTCTTATCCATGAGCTTCGGGAAGGTTAGTGTCATGGTGCCAAATCATCTCCTCCAACTAACCGGTAGGTAGCACCCCTTGCTCCTGAGACAGACTGAACAGTCTCTGTGGCGGGATTCGGACACCAGCATGGGAAGGATACGGATCGGTAGAGAGACCGGGTGGATCTGGAAGGGTTCCCCGGATTCTGATCGTGATTCCTCTCGCAAAGTGAGAAACTGTCGCGAACTGAGTTGAATGCGGGAGATCCCGGCGGGGTTTCGGGAAGGACCGTAGGGAATGGAGTGAGTCAGCGAGTTTTGGACAGGGCCAGACTTGTAGTTATATGGAATAATTATATACTTACTAGATACTGGACTCCACCACATAAAGCGCTACAAGATAACTGTTCTTGAGCCAGGGTCAATTCCAAGCATATAAACAAAGATATTTTATCAAGGCCAAACAATTATCAATATCCCCTCATCTGAACGCAGGAAGGGCTTATTTTCTCCTCGACTCAGAAAATTTGCCTCCATCCCCAATTCCCGCTGGATTTTGCCTGAGAAAACGGGCAGACACATTCCACGGAAAAAGTCCTCACGATCGAAAAAGGGAAAATTCCGTTATTTCACTCGATTTACACCGACGGACCCGAAATAGTTCGCTTTTTCTCTTTTTTTTTTTCGCTTCCCAGTCCCCAGCCATCAATCAAGCTTGGGTTTTTATCTCGGATCATCACGAAATTACTTTTCTTCCTTCCTATCTCTCTTTCCTTCTTCCCTTCCTCCCTTCTCCCTCTTCTCATCCCATCGTCCTCGATATCTCTCCCTTCGTAACTACCACCTAACCATGGTCGGAAGTACGATGGCCATCCGGTCGAAAATGGCCTCCCCGGCTGCCATCCAGTTTTCGTCGCTGTCGCGCAGGTCGCTCTCGACGCGATCGCAGTTCCAGGCTCTTCGCTCTACACAATCCCTGAGATCTAGCGGACTCTCCCAGCGACCTGCACGCCGTGCCTACTCTGACGTTGCCCCGGCCCCTGCCCCGGCCCCGGCCCCGAAACCACGAAAACGGTTTAGATTCTTGCGCTGGACCTGGCGTCTGACCCTCCTGGCTAGTGTTGGCATGGTCGGTACTTTGGCTTACAGCATCTACGATTCGCGTCATCCTATCGAACAAATCGAGCCTGACCCGACCAAGAAAACCCTGGTGATCTTGGGTATGTCTGTTTGTTGTTTGGTTTCAACGTTTTATGTTTCTTGTCGCGCGCGTTTTGCTTTATGAGCGCGACCCGTCGTCACCTGGCGCTTGAACTAACCTGAATCCCTGCTTCCAGGTACTGGATGGGGTTCCGTTTCTCTGCTCAAGAAACTCGACACGGAAAACTATAATGTGGTCGTCATCTCCCCCCGAAACTACTTCCTTTTCACTCCGCTGCTTCCCTCTTGCACAACCGGTCTGGTGGAGCATCGCTCCATCATGGAGCCCATCCGCAACATTCTTCGTCTGAAGAAAGCTCACGTGAAGTTCTACGAAGCGGAAGCTACCAAGATCGACTACGAGAAGCGGGTTGTGTACATCAGCGATGACTCCGAAATCAAGGGTGACATCTCCCACACCGAGGTGCCTTTCGACATGCTGGTTGTTGGTGTTGGTGCTGAAAACGCTACTTTCGGTAGGGTTTTAAATAATTGATCTCGTCAGCATGGTCTGGTAACTGATAGTGAATTCTAGGTATCAAGGGTGTCAAGGAGCACTCCTGCTTCCTGAAGGAGGTGGGCGATGCCCAGAAGATTCGCAAGCGCATCATGGACTGTGTTGAGACCGCTATGTTTAAGGATCAAACCCCCGATGAGGTTAAGCGTCTCTTGCACATGGTTGTCGTCGGTGGTGGCCCTACTGGTGTCGAGTTCGCTGGTGAGCTGCAGGACTTCTTCGAGGACGACCTCAAGAAGTGGATTCCCGAAATTCAGGAAAACTTCCACGTCACCCTGGTCGAAGCTCTCCCCAACGTGCTCCCCATGTTCTCCAAACAACTGATTGATTATACCGAATCGACCTTCAAGGAGGAAGCTATCACTATCCGCACTAAGACCATGGTCAAGAATGTTACCGACAAGTATATCGAGGCCGAAATAACAAAACCCGATGGATCCAAGGAAACCGAAATCATCCCCTATGGTTTGTTGGTCTGGGCTACTGGTAACGCTGTTCGCCCCGTTGTCCGTGATCTGATGGGCCAGATCTCTGCTCAGAAGAACTCTCGCCGTGGTCTTGCTGTCAACGAATACCTTGTCGTCAATGGTACTGAAAACGTCTGGGCTGTTGGTGACTGTGCTGTGACAAACTATGCTCCTACTGCCCAGGTTGCCGGTCAGGAGGGTGCCTTCCTTGCCCGTCTTTTCAACACCATGGCCGAGACCGATGCTATCGAGAAGGAGCTGGAGCGATTGTCTGTAGCTCAAGCGGAGGCCAAGAACGAGGAGGATCGCAACCAGATTTTCGATAAGATCCGCGAACATCAGAAGCAATTGCGCAGGACCAAGCAGATCGGTCCCTTCCAGTACTCCCACCAGGGAAGCTTGGCATATATCGGAAAGGAGCGTGCGGTTGCAGATATCAGCTGGCTGAGCGGCAACATCGCAAGTGGTGGAACCATGACCTACCTGTTTTGGCGCAGTGCTTATCTGAGCATGTGCTTTAGCTGTAAGCATTCCGTGTACCCTCCAGATTTTGGACATTTTTTTTTATATATTGGTACTAATGCTTCCTCCCAGCCCGGAACCGTGTTTTGGTCGCTGTCGACTGGGTCAAGGCCAAGCTGTTCGGCCGTGATGTGTCTCGCGAGTAAATTGTTCCTTCCATGGATCAGTTTTTCCCCCCCCCCCATCCGTGTACAACAATGGATACGTATACCTATGAGCTTCGACGAGGGACTGTTTCCCTCCTTGTTTGATGTTAACTTCTACCTCGTTTTTTTTTTTCTTTTTGTCCCACCTGATGCCGTTCACATGACCATTATCCTTTGTATGGATATTTCCTCCCCCTTTTTTTCCCCTCAAGCGGAGCATTCCACGTTGTGTTGGTGATCACAATCATCGCCATCCATCGCTCATCCTATCTATTCTCCATTTCCATTTCTACCGCCTTAATGTTCAAATATCTCCAAGCTGTTTTCTCTGGTCGAACCCGCCTTGCTCAAAAACCCCTCGAGCCCGAGGAGACAGTATTAATTGGAACCTTGTACTTCTTTTCATATTCCTTCTTGATCGACTTCGTTTCTTCTCTATGTATGATTGGATAGACTGGTTGTGGGTTTGTGTTGTGGGTTTCTGTATAGACATATTAGAGTTGGGTGTTCTAATTTTATTTATATCCTTTTGTCTTCCCCCCCCTCGCGCCCCAAAAAGACATTTTCCTCCTTCCTTTTCCAATTCTATTTATTTACCGTGCCATGCGTGTATTATTTCTATTGTTCATTCTTGTATTGTATTTCATTCAATATGATTCGTTCGAGTTCTTTATAAAGTCATATAACCTGACCTGATGGAGTGAGCGTCTAGCAGTATATATATATAGGGATATATATAAATAGTGAATAGATTCTTACGAACCGGGTCCGGGAGTAATGAATGGGTGCTGCAGCTCTCAGGACATGGATGGGAGTTGGGCAGAGCTACATACATATCTAGATACGGGTATTATCTACATGTAGAGAAATTAAGTTGTCTTAAGCTATACGAACCACGACGAGATATACGGCTATAGCAATCTTGCGAGGCAGGTTGCCATACTATACTTTCTACAGATCTGACACGAAATCCCAAAAATGTTATCTTGATAGTTGGTTTGTATATAACCCCTGTTCATTCATCTCGATATCTATACTAACATAAACAAACCCCAGTAATGATAAAAACGGGAGGAGAGAAAAGATTACCACACGCTGTACTAACGCCATCCCTGGGGGTTTGCGGAGGAGGGCTATAAACAATGTATTCTCAGATCCGGGATGTCGTATACAGAGAGGGGAACAGAGCAGAAGGGGGGAATATAGGTAAATCGAAAACAAGAGAAGAAAAAAAAAAAAGAAGTGCAATAAAGGATAGTGTAGTGAGAAAAGAAGAGGAAAATTGGGGATGAGGATAGTATAATTAGAATATGTTCCAAGCACGACTTCTCTGCTCCTTTATCGGTCGGTCATGCCGCTTGCCACGACCATCCAGTTGCCGGATGCTCTCAATCTTCTGGAGAGCGAGTTCCAGAAGCTCCTTCTTCTTGATGACGTCGAGATGCCTGCGGATGCGGGGATCTTCACGCGCGAATCGTTCGACTTCTGCGTCAGAAAGGTGGCGGCCAAGGCGCATATCCAGCTCGCGCGGGAAGTTGTAATAGAATTCGGAGAGCAGCTCAACATTAAGGAAAAGCACGGCAGTTGAGGTGAGTTTGTCCGCGACGACATCGAGAAAGACTTCGGGGCAGTAGTATTTGTTTTTCTTGGAGGCACACTGTTTCGAGCGAACGGCTAGGAGTCTCATCTTGATGATATCGGCGCGGTCGCGGAGGAAGGCGCTCTCTCGGCCTACATTTATAGGGATATCATGTCAGCTGCGATTAGAATAGTTGTGGGGAATGGACAAACCTTTCGCCAGCAGAGCGGCACTGAATCCGCCTGCACCTCCGGTACCGTCTCCTTCCAAAACGACTTCTCCCTTGCGGACTTTGTCGATAAATGACATAACATCCCGGAGCTTCCTCTTTCCAACACTATCCTCTGCACGCTTGAGGGCCGCTTCACATGCTTTGAGCTCATCCTTCAGAACCCGGCTAACGTTCTCACGCCCCTTGACCCACTCAGAATCCTCGACTTCAATCTCAAACTTGTAGGGTTTGATACAGTTCTCGACCTGATCGCTGGTACTGAAGAACCGATCATTTAGAATGCTTGTACACGCATCAACAATCTGCTTTTGAGCGTAGGGGTGAGAGGCAAAAGTTGAATTGGTTAGTAACCGGTCGACATGGTTTTGTATTGCGTTTGCAACAACTGTTGTGGCCAGCCTGCCAATTCCCAATTTTGTGAGGGAGGAAGTGGAAGCATCAAGCTTCCGATGCCAGTACAGAGACTCAGGGTCAGCTTTGGGGAGGTCACTGAGCGGATCCAATTCTGCCATTGGGGGATTAAGGTCATCAATCGGCCGGTTCCAAAATCTCTGTGCCAAAATATCCAATACGCGCTGATCCAATTCACTCTTGAGCATTTCACGGACCTGCGGTCGACCAAAGCCTTCCGCAAACGCTTTAAAAGAATGTTTGAAGCTATCAAGACTTTCGGCGAGATATGACTCCGCACTGAGAGGTCGATCGTTGTATTGAACCTTGAACTCGTACGTCGCTTCTTCCAGTTCTTGGCTGATAGAGTCCCTAGTACCGGCTAGGCTCGACGCCATGGTTTGCTCAAGAACCTGCATCAGCTTCTTCTGCAGAACCCCAACACCAACTGAAACGCCTGATTCGGGGCCAAATTCGGATGGATGAGCTGAGAAATAGGCGTGTTCGTTCTTCAGAATTGAGCTTGTGATATTACCACTACCGCGAGAAAACAATGCCGTCGTTTGGGGAATGCGAGAAACGACACCCACGTAACCAAGACGAAGAGGGTATTTCTTGTCTGAGAGAATGCCATAGCCCCTCTCTGGATCGACAAGGTCCAGCTTTGTAATGACGCCTATTGTCCTTTCGCCTCTGGGATCGACCCTGCGGCTTGCGCGTAGAGCGGTTGAGTTGGCCAGATCGACGTCGGCTGCGGAAATGGCAAGAATGACATTTGGTGCTTGAATATACTTGTCGCAAAGGTCGGATATTTTCTGCTTCAACTCGGGGGGTTGATCATGACCGGCAATCTGGATATAGCCTGGAAGATCAATGAGGGAGAGGTCGGGGACGTTGGGTGAGTAAATAGATAGCTGAATCGGGTCATCAGAGACGCAGTCCTTCTCGGGGACTGCCAGGTTAAGGTCCGTCAGTGTCCGTTGAATTTGGGAGAAATCAGTGATTTTCCCTAGGCCAAGCGCCGGGAATTCTCCGTATTCTGCTTGGGCGTTGGGTGTGTTAACAAGGGTGAGTTCAATTGGGCGTCGGGTGACCATATTAGAGCCTTTTGGTAAAAATTCATGTCCAACAATAGCCTCAAGAACAGAGCTTTTACCAGATGACTGCGAGCCAATGACCACAATGGAAGGTAGAGTCAGCGTGTTGGACTGCCCGACTGACTGAAGGATGTTTCGGATCTCGATCATCTTGCGAGTGAGAACCATCATCTGGTCGTTCTCGGCGCCATCTCGGCCAGCATCTTCCTCCAACTGATCATATCCGTAGGCGGATCCGACGGCAGCACCAGTAGCAGCAGTAGTGCCTGCTCGACTCTCCTTGGGGGCCTGTCCTCCACCAGAAGATCCATCGCCCTGGGAATCTTGGTCGAATCGTAGTATTTTCTGCAACCATTCTGGAATTTCCACATCCCCCGTCGTCCTCTGCCAGCCTCGCTGTGTTTGATCGGCCACGTTCTGAATTTCCTGGAATAAACTCGAGGCGGCACCGCTTGCAGTTTCCCCCGCACGCTTCAAAACATCCATCGCATAATTTCCCGCCTCTGTAACAAGAAAAAAAAAAAACCAATGATTAGCTTATAGGAACTTCACATTAAGATTTTCCCTCACATACGTGTAGCTTGATACTGGAAATATGCCAGGGCCGCCACCATAGCCCCCCCAAACATTGCGGGTACTCTGATGAGCTTCAAGGCAAGTTTAGGGAGTATGCGGGCAAAGGATATCGCCCGCACGGCGGGAACGTTATTATGGATGGCATTCGCCCCTACAGGCCATGCCCGACCACGTAGCGCAGTGCCGCTTTCCGCTCGTAGGAGCCCACCAGTTCTCGCACCAGCGTTGTGAACATGGCGGGCCAAAAGACCCGTCCGCAATAGCGGAACAAGACGATGGGAGAGAATTCTCCCGCTCATGGTGTCTTATATCTCATACGCATCCAGCAGACTGGGAAGAGCAAGACGCTGTCATCTCCGGGCTACCCGCCACAGTTTGCAAGTCGTTGAGTGAGATTGTTGCTGATTTAGAAAGGCGACGCAGAGGGGGGTGAACGTCATTCTGGTTGGTGTTTGGGAAAAGCAAGTCGGTCCGACTTTCAGGGCGGAGATCCCGTGACCTGCGCGACTGGCCGCTTCACCGTCCGTATTAAATGGGTAATGAGTCACGTGGGGTCCCTGACTGTGATTAATATCACCAGTTAAAAGGAAACAGAGGGGGATTTTTTTTCTGGATATATATTCTAGAATTTTTGATCCTCTAACTCGTCAATTGAGTATTATAAAGGCTTAGTTGTTTTGAATCTGGCTTTGATATCGCTTGGTGGAGGAGGAAAGAACTTATATTCCTCCTCTTTACCGTCACCGCCACACCTGGCCCAATAACTAGAGCAACGGAGCAACGGAGCAACAACTTGCTTTTCAGCTCAACATACATTTCGGCTTGTTTGAGTTGGCTTTCTTTGCCATCTTTCCTTTAGAGACCAACTGTATAGACCATGTGTCGATTTCTAGTAAGTAAAAGCTGTCTTTGGCATTGCCCACCGACCAACAATCTAATCTCATTTCCAGGTGTACAAGGGCAGACATGAGATTCGTCTCAGCAAGTTAGTCACAGAGCCCAGCCATTCCATACTTACTCAGTCCTACGACTCTCGACTCCGACTGGTACGTCTAGCTCTTAATCTTCTACCCCAGGCTGTTTCACCTACCTACCTACCTACCTGGACCCCCTTCCCAACTAACAAATACCAGGACAACCGCCGTCCCGTTAACGGCGACGGCTTCGGAGTCGGATTCTACACGGACCCTAAGCTAGGACCCGAGCCGTGTATTTTCACATCCACGCTCCCAGCCTGGAACTGCGAGAACCTCGAGCGTCTCGCATCCAAGACGTGCTCGAATCTGATCTTCGCGCATGTCCGCGCAACCACGGAGGGTACGCTCTCCGATACCAACTGCCACCCGTTCCAGCATCAAACGCTGATGTGGATGCACAACGGCAATATCGGCGGATGGCAGTATATCAAACGGACGCTGGGCGACTCGCTCGCGGACAAGTGGTATCTTGGCGTAAAGGGCGGGACGGATAGCGAGTGGGCGTTCGCTTTGTTTCTCGATCTCCTGGAGAAGGAAGGGGTGGATCCGAGTTCGGATCCCGGCCCGGAGGGGTTTGGACAGGCGCTCCTGCGTCGGGTCATGGTGAAGACCATCGCGAAGATCAATGAATTCATCCGGGACATTCCGAAACGGCATAACGTCCGGGATGTCGAGACGCGCAGTCTGCTGAATTTCGCCGTCACGGATGGACACACTGTAGTCTGCACGCGGTATATCAGTAGTAAAACCGATGAGCCGGCGAGCTTGTACTTTTCTTCGGGGACGAAGTGGAAGGAAGGCAAAGTCAAGGGACACTTCAAGATGGAGCGGCATGACAAGGGTGCGGATATTGTGTTGGTGGCTAGCGAGCCCATCACTTTCGAGAGACGTATGATGATTCCTTTACTTCTGGGGTTCAGTAAGAAACAAAAAAAAAAAAAAAAAAAAAAAGCTAATTTCTATTGCAGATAACTGGGTCTCCGTTCCCGCCAACTCAATCGTCACAATCCACAAACAGACTGTCCTTTTGCATCCAATCCTGGACGAGTTCTACAGCGAAGACCTGAACCAGGATCGGTCCTCGTGCTATGCTGTCTCCAAGGGTCTTGTCAGCACTGCCCCCGGAACGACCGTACAACCGCAGAACGCGAATGGATTGGCAAGAGGAACAACCAAGACGGACATCAAAGTCACTGGGCCCGGGCTCGACCTGGACGAGGTTGATGGGGGAATACCCAAGAATCAGTTGGAGATTGCAAATCAGTGTGCACTGTCACATTAACCGAGTTCCTTTTGCTTCTGCGCGGCGCGGTTGAAGAGCAGGCAGGACTTGCAGTGTTCTAAATTGGAGTCAATTGGGTTCTGGGTTTGGCTATTGGAGCAAGCGTTATCAGTTCTGATACTTTTGATTTGACTTTGCGGATATCTTATGTTTTGAGTAGAACGTTTTAAGGCCTCTTCGAGATTGTTGATTTGATTATAGAATTATGAGTATTGGATCTTGAAATAATATCTATTCGTTAAAATTAAAGTACAGTAGAAACCCCCCCCCCCCTTTCTCGCATAAAACTCATATATCATCCCCCGTTATATTAGCATGCTTGAAGTACTTCATACCCACCCACGCAACCACAACCCACACCCACGACATGACTGCCGTCAAGATAATGAGAGCGGGATAATACCCAACGATGGGGAGAGTAGGATCGTCTTCCAACTCTGGCGGCGCATAGGGAGTCTCGCCGACATCCCAAGCCCAGCTCCAAACACCAAAGCAGCTCCCCATCCCTACGACAAAAACCAACCAGGTAACAATGAGAATGATCCACCCCCACCACTCCGTCTCCGAATAATCCCAGCCCATTTCTTGGCTTACTGTAATGTCAGCCGGGTGCGTTGCGAGAGGGGATTTTGCCCGATGAGGGGATCGGTACTCCTGGTCCGTTTGCAACGCGTAATAGGAATCCATGCTTGAAGACGGAGTGGGGATACGCAAGCCTGCACCGGCGCCGCTATTACTCGACGTCGAAGAGCTGTGGAAAGCGCCCGAAACAGCCGCGGTGCTTTTCCGAGGAGGAAAGGACACGATAATGTCCTCGTCATCTGTGGTGATGACATCCTCCCCGAGTATGTTCTCCTTTGATCGACTCGACGTATACTGCGGCGCAGAAGCAGCGCTCCGAACCCGTTGTGGTACATCCATCATCAGAGTCCAGTCATTATTATCCCTCCGATCCCGACGGCCGCCCTCAAACCCACTATTCCGCAGCGAGACGGGGTCCGCGAAAGATCGCATTCGCGCGTGGGAAGCCGGCGGCAGACGAGATAGACCAGGCTGACTCCGAGGCCGTAGCTGTAGCTGGCCCTGCTCGAGCTGACCACCACCACCACCACCACCGCCACCGGCCTCCCCCCGAACCGCATCCGCCGCGGCCCTGCTCGTCTTTTTATCCCGGTAATCGAATCTCGTCCCCAGTAGAGCCGTTTTCCTCAACGAGCCTCGCCTCCTGCGCGTCTTTCGATGCTGCAACGCCGTCGACATCGCCGCCCGTCCGCTTTTCAAGCCGCCGCCCGAGCCGAAATCGTCGCGGTCGTCGTCGGCCTCGAGGCCCGCGTGTTCGCTCTCCGCCGGGTGCTGGGTTGCTTGCATCATGCGCAGAAACGAGAGTCTCGATAGTAGTGATCCGGAGGAACTGCGCTTGTGTCCGCTGCTTGCGCTGCCCGAGCGCGCCCGCCCCAGGAGCTGGACATTGTTGTCAAGGGACACTGCGGCAGTCTTGTTGTCACTTGCATCTTCCATTGACCGGCTGGCCTTGACGAGCGGGCCGTTAGCCCATTCACATTCAAAGATTGGTTCGTCCGAGGTGTGTTCGGCATGCAGAGCGAGGGGATGGGATTGAGATGGAAAAGAAGTGGTCGCGGAGGAGTAGATTAGATAGGAGTAAGTTAGGCGGTCGCAAATCGGGACTTTCCGCATATTAAACAAATCAATCAATCCCCATGCAAAATAACACCAATAAGGGGCAAGGTCTGGATTGTTGTTGTTGTTGTTGTTGTTTTTTTTCACGAATATAATAATAAGTTCCACCGAGAACTGGCAATGTATAGAGACAGCTTGGGAAATTGACTTTGCCTTGACATCTCCCAAGGCGCCACACCAATGAATATTCTGGTTTATTTACTACAGGACAGCTAAAATGTAACAAGGTATCCCAGGAACCCCAAAGCAAAAAGGTATATCATCCGGAACGCCTGGGAATAAGATCATGAGCTAGATGGAAGGGAAAGAGTCTAGGAATTGGTGTCATCATAAATAGAGAAGAAGAAAAAAGATACTAAAGGGAGTATAAGGAGGCGAACAACCATCAGGAGGGGGAATCTTAAGCTCGTTAGTAGATGAAGGAAGAAAGAAAAAAGGTGCGCTATCAAACACAAGATGCTTGGAGCGACGGGCAATAATAGGCCTCATACATACGAAAGAAATACGATACAAAGTCAAAAGACAATTTAATCAAATATAAGGGTCCAAAACGGGCTCAACCATGGAATGGAACGCAAAGGAGTACTTTTAGTTTATTCCGCAGAACGCTTGAATCCGAAGCCCAAGAAGCTTAGCTCTCGATCGAAATAGTGCAGATTCGTTCAAAGAAAAGAGCAGAAGAAAATTTGGCTCAACAAGGTGGACTTGGGGTATTGGGTGCACGAGAACACACAAATTTCATTTCAAAAAAAAAGGAGAATTTGGGAAATGCGCTCAGAAATCCACTTGGTAGGGCAATCATCAAGAAGCACGAACATAAGGTAGAAAATGACAAAAAAATAAGGTGGTTGACAGAAGGGGGGGAAAAAAAAAAAAAAAGATCGGGAGATTAAAAAAAGTGAGCGAAGGAGGTAAAAAGAAAGGAGCCTCTGCAAATCACGAGAGATGCCGCAAGGGGCCGTTCTTGTTCCTCACGATTGATTGAGTCAAGTTTAGTCGATAGCTAGTATTTGTGGCGATATGCTACGCTTGGTAGCCCCCAAAGCCGTTTCCAAAATTGGCGTTGTTTGGCTGGTTCCAGCCGGAGTTAGGCGTGGCTTGTCCACGGCCATAACCAGCATTTCCTGGCACCTGACCGTAGCCTTGTCCAGTCATTTGAGGCTGGTCCCAGCCTCTGCCAGCAGGGTTCGGGCCTAGATCAATTAGATAGCTTAGCCTATAAGTTAAGACCTGTATGCAACTCGAGGGGGAAGGAGAATTTACCTTGAGGAGTCATGGGTCCCCCAGGGCCACTGTATTGAGGGAAATAGGGGGCTTGGTTGTTGTTAAAGGGCGAGTTGCCCTGTTGGCCGGAGAAGTTGTCAAACTGACCGGTAGGAGGACGATCCTTACCCCACTGCCAACTGTTAGTCAAGAGGTTAGTGATATTTGGACGAGGATGAACGACATACGCTGCACTTCAAGGGGCGGCCGTTGACGTTGTAGCCGTTCAACTGGCAGATGGCCATGGCGGCATTCTCGTGGGTGTCCATCTTAATAAAGGCGAATCCTCGATCCGCTTGCAGGCGTGTCTCAATAACATAACCGAAGTTTTGAAAGAGGGGGACAAGATCGTTCTGCGTGGTGTAAGGGGTGAGGTTACCCACATAGCATGTGGTCTGCCACTGCGGGGTTTGTTGGACCACCATATCGTAGCTCTGGATGCCGTGAGTGGGGAAGTGGTGGTGACCAAAAGGTGTTGTTGGTGTCATGCCCATGGCAGCCATGGCTTGCTGCTGGGAAATCGATGGCTGACCCTTCTGGTTCGCCCAGTTGCAGCGGATAGCACGAGAACCAAGCCATTCGCCATCCATCGAGTTGAGAGCTTTGTCGGCATCTGAGCGTTCGCGGAACGCGACAAAGCCATAGCCACGAGAACGACCGGTTTTCATGTCCCACATCACGCGTGCCTCAGAAACGGACCCGAACGCGGAGAACGCCTGCAACAGGACTTCATCGTTCACTTCGTTGCTCAAATCACCGACGAAAATGTGGAAGTGGTTGGAAGTGTCCTCTTTGCTGGTCGTGTTCGACTGGTAGGCCCAGTTTACGCGAATCTCCTAAATAAAAAAAAAAAAATAAAAAAAATCAGAACCAATCAGGGGGGGGGGGGGGGGGGGGGGGGGGGTTCTTTCGTCGCATACCGACTGATGGATTCGGCGCCCGTTGAGAGTCTGCATGGCTCTTTCAGCCGCACCAGGGTCATCAAATTCGACAAACCCGTAGTTGTTTCCTTTGCTGCTGAACTGTGACTATTAGTACGCCAACCCCCCCCCGTAAGCGAATGCCATAAACGTAGGCGCTAGAGGTGCGCTCGGAGATGGAAAACTCACGTTCTTGTCAGGAATAATCTTAACGCTGACAACATGACCAGTGGTCTCAAAGATTTGTTTCAGGATATCTTCTGTCACCCGCGGGTCGAGGCCTCCAACGTAGAGGGCTCTCTTGTTCGGCTCAGGGGCTGCACGACGCACATATCCACCAGCGCTGGTCGGGGACACCATATTTCCAGACATCGGAGAGGTAATAGCAGTCGGAATTGGGTTGGTATTCTGGGGGATCACCACAGGTGGGCGAGGAGGCGGTGGCATGTGAGAAGGATTGGTTTGGCCATTGCCCTGAGATGCATCGTACTGTTGGTTCGAAGCAGCCGTCGAAGCTTGTGGAGGCGGGAGAGTCGAAGAAGTCGGGGCAGACACGTTATCGGCCATTGTTTATGGGCAAGTTCACAGGTTGCAATATACAAGGGGGAGTCAGATTTAACAGAATGAATGCACAGGCAAGGAGGCGATAGCAGCGTTTGACCAGGTAATGGAGGGTGATATGACAATCACTTGGGACGGGACGATGCAGGGTGTTACGCAGTCACAGAGAATTGGTGGTAGTCTCGAAGGCGGGAAAAGTGACGCGGGGATGGAGGCGCCAAAGGAGAGAGAGAGGAGCGAGGAGGCGGCAAAAACGAAAAAGAAAATCGAGAAAAGGGTTGACGGAGCAAAAAGATGAGATGAGAAAAAGGGAAAAAAAAAAAAAGAAAAAAAAAGGAAGAAAGAAGAAAACGCTAGATCATACAATGAAACAACAATCAGTCGTTGAAAAGAAAAGAAGAAAAAAAAAGACGGTGACAAGTCCAGGGAAAGGTGAAAAGGCTTTGTGATGGATTACAAAAGCGCTATGTGGGATCCTGGCAATTCCAGCACCGCTTTCTCAACAGGAAGCAAACTGTGCCTCTGCAGCTGGTAAAGTTGGATGAGAAGACAGGAAGCTTCAGCTCTGGAACACGCACAAAGTAAGATCAAGAGGGAGAGAGAGAGAGGAGAGAGAAAGGGGAATCCAGTTCACTACGGAGTACCTAAGGTACTGTACTGTAGGCGCTTTCTTTAGTGGTCAAGAGCCGCTTTCAGTGGGGAGAACCCCTAGACCGCTTGCCGTTAGTGTTAAACCTCTGGATTTTCAGCCTTTAGCTCTATCAATAGCCTGTCAAACGCGTGCGCTCTCTCATGTTCCCCATCGACGCGAATCGCTTGTGGACGCATCTATCTCCTTCCTTCCTCTCGACCTGTCCAGAACCGGCCAATCGTCAGCCATGGCAACCGCCAACAGCGCGAACCCTGAATCCCTCGAGGTCCTGACCTCGATGTTAAACCAGACAGTAAGCTCCCCGTCACATTCTCTGCCTACTGAGGAAGATAGAGGGAAATTATCCAAGCGCTAACTAGGAGGTAGCTGATTGAGACTGGTCGGTTTTTTCGATCCGGGGGCTCCTTGCAGTCGAGGGCCCAGCTGAAGCGTGCTATCCCTGCAGCACATGAACAGTTTCAATGTGCTCTGGATAATCTCTCGGAACAGATAGTATGTGGAGCGGCGGGACGCATTAACTCATGTCTTGAAGACGCTGTCGACCACTGACAGGCCATAGTTTATCGCGAAGGCATTTCTGGAACGAGATTACGAGGTAATCAAAGCTAAAAAGGCTGCATCTCGCCATGTCGAGGATGTCGTCATGGAGGAGGCAGAGACTAAAGTCCCCGAAACTGTTGCTGCACCGGAGCAGGCAACTGAGGCAGTGCCTAGTGAGAGCCAGCAACGGCAGGTTGATAACAGCAATGCCCTGCCCCAGCAACCTGCGGCGAACCAAAACCGGCAGGAAAACTTTAGTGTTCCTGTGAAAGAAGAGAACCCTCCAGATGAAACCGGTGCCCACCCTCAAGCAGTTATGGGGACAGAGGAGATCAACTTTGACTCAATGCTGAATACTCAGGGAGCCAATGAGTTTGATCTGAACCTCGACTTCGGGGACAACACCGATACTGGGAACGAGAACTTTTTGTCCGGATCGAATTTCGGCAACCTCGGCACTGGCGCTGGCATGGAGGGAGAAAACATGGCGGAGAACGCTGCATCTGGTCAAAATATGCAGACAGGAGGGGATGCCTTTGACTTGGAACTGCAGAAAGCGGAGGTGTTTTCTGCTAACCCAGACGGACAGTTTGGGGCCAACATGGAGGATATCATGCCGGGGGAGTCTAGTTTTGACGACCTGTTCATGGAGAACGAGAATATGGGGGGAGATGGTGTCTTGGATGGGGATGGACTGATGCAGATTAACGAGCTTGACGACAACTGGTTTACTTGAGCTCTTGCCAGGAAAAGATTTCTAGACTTTTGACATATCAGACGGGAAAGACTGAGATTCTCTGCCTTTTGAAACGAAGAATTTAGTTGAACTTGTAGTCAGACATCACTTAGCTATAGCTATACGCCGTACACCGAGGTGGCTGCCCGTGAAGTAATCATAAGCTTTCAAACCCAGGGACTCGCTCGGATTTAATATCAATCATGGCAACAAATTATTTTGCCTGCCTTGGGAGAGGAGAGTATATATACATACTAGGGAGAAATTATTTTTGACTCTAGGTACCTTATTATTCGGGAGTTGCCTGTTTAAAATTCCGCATAGCGTCATCCAGTGCATCTACTAACAAACAACCATACCATATCGCACCCTACCAATAACACACTTATAGAATACTAGTATAGCGCCAGATTCTAACTACCTACTAGTAGATACCGGAACTTCTTTCTTAGTACTAGTATCATTTTCTATACTTCAGTCTGTCCAGTGTAGTAAGTACCCAAGGGTATATATATATATACGGAACGGTTATTTTCCTCGACTAGATGAATTCCATCATCCCGCACACCACCAATAGTCACTAAGCAGTTAGTTAGTCTCAGTCAACAAATAGGGAACAGATAGGGTATAAAGTAAGTGGTGGGAATCGTTCGAGATCTCCACGATGGAAGAAACCCCGGTGATGCATCCTAGGTAGGTAGGCAGTACTCGGCTAGATGAGATAGACTCTAGTGTCTAGTGGGAGTGGCATGATCCTCGCAGATAGAAAGCTTATTTGGCGCGAGACCTGGCTGAGATTCTTTGGGGGAGCATCGAATACAGGGTTCAAGGTTCTCGACTCTACTTCTTCTTCTTCTTCTTGTAGTGTACTATAAACAGCAAAGGAATTCTAGTTCTGACTGACAGAATGCGGAGACTCAGATTCACCAGGCCTAGTGATTAGGTAGTAGGAGGTCCTCTCCACAGTTCACAATGGTGCAGAGCTAATCTAGTATACCACTTCAGGGTGGATTGATTACATTTGAACTCTAATTTATTTAGATTAGCCATTTCCTTTCTCCTCTTTCTGGGGTAGAGAGAGAGAGGCTATGCTATGGAGGAAAGTTATTCCCAATCGGGGTCTGTCTCCTTGTGATTGATCGAGGAATCAGCGTTCGAACTTGAGTTCTCGTTATACCTAGGTCGGTAGGAGGGAATTTCCGGATCGGACGGCGTAAACTCTGTATGGGGTGTTATATGCCTCAGCTGGTAGGTATCGTGCTGTTGGCATTCGATATCATTTAGTATGGTACGTCAGTCAATTCAACGGCTGGACTACTAGCGGCAGATAAATTTCATATTTGCTGACTACCACGACGGCAAGATTTTGTCATGCTTAATTGATAACTAGTTAATTGAGTCCGGCATAAACCGGCGCCCCGGGCACTTACCAGGCTATACCGATCGCTGAGAGACCGAGTAAATACCGAGTGGTCCAGACTAGGGATAGGACGAAAAGGAGAAAAGGTAGAGGCTAGTGGTCTGAGCGAGGACGAATCGACGTTCTAGAAGCGAGCATTGTATGTCTATGTAGGGCAAATAGTTTTAAAGAGGTACTCCAGTCATGTAATGTAGGACTAAGATAGTACAAGAATATCCTGTATAAAGACTGAAGAATCATGATGTCACCACCAACTCTACCCAGTCGAGACATATAACCATTTCTGCACATCCAATTAATTCCCCCGCATTGACAAGCTCATGCCATCCAAGAATTGGCTGTGGCTCTGAATATCCTATCTTGTAGTCTAAAGACTCTAAACGAGGGATAAAAACATTGGTGAGTGGAGAGCGGGAAAAAAACAGTCTGCCGGCACACCCGCATCATAGCCTGGATGGGGCACCTGAATAATTACTACTAACAGTAGATCCGACGTCACTTTTCTCTTGCCGAGACTAGTCGGAGTGGCTAGATTGTATATGGCAATTCTTCTTCAATTTAGATTTTAGAATGATCAATGCTTGGGCCTAGAGGATAGAAACCTGGATCCAACATCACATGGGCCGCGTTAAAACCTTTTGAAACCTTTTGAAACCTTTCCTGGAGGATCTAGAGATGACCCTAATGCATGCTAGTCAACCATCATATCAGGATTATTCAGAAATTGACAGAAACCAGTAATTCCTATTCTGGTCCTGTAGAGGAAGATGTCGGATCATCGGATATCATGGAGGAACTTAACTACTCCCCAATTTTCCCTCCGCGTTCATCATCCATGAACCCTTCGTTTTTTTTTTTTTTTTTTTTTTTTTCTCTCCCGTCCAGCGTCTTATTACTCTCTGTACTCCGTACCACGGACTCCTACTAAACTCTGACTCTTGTCGTGTGCTGTGTTGTCATCATCACCATCCATCGTCTATTGATCACATCTTCTCTGCTCTCTCTTTTCTCTCTAGACTCCACATGATCGGCCCTTCTGGCCTTTGTCCTATCAGCTACATTCAGTGATCTCTTTATCTTCTCTCTCTCTCTCTCTCTCTCTCTCTCTCAATCTTATTCTTCTGTCACTGTAGCACTGTTACCACAACTTTTCACTTGCACTCTCACTGGTGTACAGCTGCTCCTTGCATTGTCGATCATCCATCCTATTCGACCAAAAGGAACCCAAAAAATAAAACAAATTGGCTGCACGACTCCCTTTTCTACATTGGGATTGTGTGTAATAGTACTCCGTACCTCCATAACAATTGAAGCTAATAATCACCCTATTAGCTGCAAATCGCTTTTGCTCTTGCAGAGTACGGGGTAAGTCTTTCTTGTCTTATTATATTTTCTGTTTTATTATGATTGCTGTTCCCTGCACTTTCTCTCCTATCCTTACTTTTTTTTTTATTTTCTTGTTTCGGCCTTTTTTCCTTTTCATTTCATTTTGGTTCTTCCTGCTATACATACAACTACACATCACATTCCCCTTTAATCTTCTGTCCCCGTCGAAAATTCTTCTCTTCTCTCTCTCTCTCTCTCTCTCTCTCGCCCATGCCCAAATCATGACCTTGAATTGGCTTTCTTCACGATGACAGCCGCTCATACTTCTCAGGATCTTCCGGGATCGGCCGCCACCACAACTCCCCCCTACAATTCGCTCGAACCTGCTCCTCTTCTCGCCCGCCGTCTCAGCTCTCGCTTGAATCGCCGCTCATTAGGTCGTCCGACTAGTATTCTGGACGCCAATTTCGCAACAACCGAACAATTTCCCAAGCAGTCGGGTCATCATCGTCGTGGATCGTCGATTTTCAGAAAGCTGGCGGGTCCCCGGGAAAACGCAAAGCGCTTTCTCCGCCTAGGAACCACTCAATCTCCGCCATCGCCACAGGATCGCCCTATGGCTGCCATGGCCCAAGTACGTCGTCATCGCCCGCTTTCTGAGATCATCCTCTCTCCTGAGGATGCACATATGCTGGCTGCTGCTGCTGCTGCTACTACTCTAGAGCCGGGCAGAATGCGCTCCCATTCCTCTTCCAACGCTTCCGTTACTCAACGCTCCCCGGGCTTGGCGAGCCCCGCGGTTTTAACTCCAGACGCCACGACGCCATTCCCTTTATTGCGTAATGAAAAGGTCGTCGCGACAGGGAGCGGAATCGCAGTGGGCATCGCTCTCACTGAACCTGTCCTCTACCTCCAGGGTTATGACCATAACGACCCGACAACCAAGAAGTCTGCCATCCTGCGAGGCCAGCTACACTTGAAGGTTACAAAAAGTGTCAAAATCAAGAAGATCTCAATCTGTTTCAAGGGCCGTGCGCAGACCGATTGGCCTGATGGTGCGTCGTCATTTTTCTCACTTTGAAACAGGGTTGACTCATATTCTAACCTACCTTTTTTTTTTTTTTTTTTTTTGGTTTGTGACACTAGGCATCCCACCGAAGAAGATCCACTTCCACGATAAGAAAGACCTCGTTACCCATGGTGTGGTGTATTTCAATCATGGCGATACTGGACTCATGCAAAATGATTACGGCGCCCATTATTATCAACATGCGAAACCAATAACCTCGCTAGCAGGAAAGGATGGTTCGACCACCGTCACTCGCGAACTCTTAAACAAGAGCGGGTCTTCCACCTCGTTACACAACGGCCAATCTGCAAAGGAGCTTAAGCGCCTCTCCCTACAGTCCAACAACTCGCGGAGTTTTGGCAAGGGCGATACGCCGCCAGGGCCCCCTCAGCCCCAACGCAATTATCGCCTCTTCCCGGTCGGCAATTACCTCTATAGCTTCGAATTCCCAATCGACGGGTCTCTGCCGGAAACGATCAAAACCAACCTGGGGTTTGTGAAGTATGATCTGGAAGCCATCGTGGAACGTGCAGGAGCGTTCCGGCCCAATCTCCTAGGCACACTGGATGTGCCTGTCATTCGAACCCCGGCTGAAGGCTCGCTGGAGCAAGTCGAGCCCATCGCCATTTCTCGGAACTGGGAGGACCAGTTACACTATGACATTGTGATTTCGGGGAAATCCTTCCCGCTCGGGTCGCAAATTCCAATTGCCTTCAAACTGACGCCTCTGGCCAAGGTGGAGTGTCATCGAATCAAAGTCTATGTGACGGAAAATATCCAGCACTGGACCGCGGATAAGAGCGTCCATCGATTCCAACCCGCGAAAAAGGTGTTACTGTTTGAAAAGCGAGCCGACTCTGCCAGTACGAGCACCTATCCGGGTAGCTCTATGCGAATTACCGCTGGTGGCGGCATTGACTGGGATCAACGTGCGGCTGCCGCGAGGGGTGAGGAAATTGTCGACCGCAGTCGAACGAACCTGCTCGGAAACCTCAGCAGCGAGTCAGGAGTTGGTCCCACCGAAATGGAATTCAACGTCCAGCTCCCTAGCTGCCAGGATATGAAGAATCGGGATGAGTCACAGCGTCTTCACTTTGACACCACGTATGAGAACATCCAGATCAATCATTGGATCAAGGTATGTTACATCAGTTAAGTCGATTTTCCGTGGATCCAAACTAACAAAAAAAAAAAAAAAAAAACAATAGATTGTACTCCGTCTCTCCAAAGTCGACGAAAATAATCCCGGAAAGCGCAGACACTTTGAGATCTCCATCGATTCCCCGTTCCACCTCCTTTCTTGCAAGGCAACACAAGCCAACATCTACCTTCCCGCATATACGACTCCCGACTCAGGGCCAGTGGCGCCTGCACAAGAGTATGAATGCGGGTGTCCGGGAGCACCTGCGCTACGTAGGAACCCGTCCACTCCTCCTTCAACCTCTGATCGAGACGAGCCACCCCCCGCTCCTTCGAGAAGCTTTACCAACTGTTCTGGCGGTTTGGCTCGACCACCGGTGGCACACCTGGCTTCTGAAGTGAGCGAACGAGACCGACCACCGGCCCCTCGACCTATGCATCTTCTTCGCGCACCGTCTTTCGCGCCGCCTGCATTTGAGGACGTTCCTCCGCCACCTCCTCTTGTGACTCCCCCACCAGAGTATACTTCCATTGTGGGCGATAATGATCGTGAGGCGGTTTTGGAGGACTATTTCTCGCGTTTATCATGCTATGAGGACCATGCCGACAACGAACGCGGCCTCGGTCGGGTTGATGTGCCGCTAACGCCTGGGGCGCGTGTCAACCGCAGTATGGACGTTCCGCGCGAGTGGGTACGGTTAGAAGAGTCGGCTGTTTAGCCCTAACTTGACCACTGAATATACACCAAGCCAATAACAATTACGAAGTTATGATTTCCACCCTGTCATGTTTGTATGGAGAGGGAAAGCTGGAGTTTTGCGATTAAATCCCGATAAAGTACGGCATGCTTTGCAGACCGCCGTTGATATATATATATTCTTGTCCTTTAGTGGATTGGGTACAGGCGCAAAGAGGCCAGGGGATTTTTTTTTTTTTTTTTTTTTTTTTTTACTGAGCATATGAGCGAGCGCTATTTGTTTTATAATGTTATCACCTCTGGGCGGGCGTTTTCGCATAAGGTCCTTCCCTCAGTAGTGGTGACTTTAGACATGAATCTTTGATGACCCCTACTCTGCTCTGAAGGTACTCTTTAGTTATCCAGATCATGGTGTTGAAGTGAGTTGTTGATTGGGTCACTATCCATGTAAAGGTTTCTTCCAGCTCATCATGAGTAGAATCCGACGTGTATTCTGGTATAATATAGTAGAACAGTAGAATCTCGAGTTAATTTGACTTTCTTAGGAGATGCAAGGTATTATTATCTATGTTCTCCAGACAATCACGGTGAGTAGCACTATACATCACCGACGATGCTGCTTCATATAATGGGATCCCTCGTGCAAAAAGCCTTGCCAGGTTGTGACTCCAGCTATAAGATTCCAAAGGACTCAAGTGCTCTACGTGGAGGGAACATCCATTCAAGTTTACCGTCTCCCGCGAAGGAGAGCAATCTTCTATGGTATCGTGGTACTGTATGGCAAGCCAATACTTTCTCGGGCCTTGTTTTCCCGCCTTCAATGACCCGGATGAAGAAAATCTATGGTCCGGGCGATGGAGACATCCTGGGCCTTTACTATGATGCGACTCCCGGTATACATACCTAGCTTCACGAGCTTGGGAACAATCTGCCAACAGCCACTGGAGTCCTCCGTGGAATTGAAACGCGATCATCTTCCACCACAAATGAGACCGGATTTCCCCCGGTTGCGAATCTCCTGCGAACCTCTGTATTCCTTCAATTAAAGCCTGCTATGTGACTTCTCGCTGTACGGGGATACTTCTCGATTACAACGATCGTACAAGATGCATCCTCGGTCGATGGTACGATGATACACGTGTGCCGCTGGTTCTTCAGCCAAGTCTTGTTCGGGGTGAAAGCGCTGCCACGGACTGCTCCGCCTGAAAGAGATATATCATGTTTGTTGAGATCGAGTATGGGGTGAGTAGACACTTTCACATTGTTTTGGAACCTGGCTCATATCCGGAGTATACATACTGCAGGATGAAATGGGATGGGTATTTTCAGACGATTCCGATCTTATTTTTTGTGATCTCGGTTGATTCCTTGGATCTATACTATACTATAATAATTAAAAACTATGAAGGTAAAAATTCTTATCAGCTAATCTATAAAATATAAATTTATCTAAATATCTAGAGGAACTCTTTAGTTATGTTAGATGAACTACATAACTAATTCTTCAAACCCGACCCGCCGCATCTCGTAGAGGATCCATGAACTTCGTCCGGTACCCGATTGTCACCCTGCGCGACGCCAGTTAGCAAAAGAGAGAGAGAGAGAGAGAGAGAGAGCAAGAAAAACGCACCCTGATCGAGTCTCATCAGCGAAATTCCGCTGATCCGGCTTCACCGCACGACGGAACTCCGGGTCTTCCCAGAGATGCTTGAAGTCCTCGATGTCGTTCATGACAAACTGCACGACGTAATCGTAGTCGGCGATTTTCTTGGACATCTGCAGAGCCTCCGCGTACGGGCGACACGCGGCGAAGTTGTCCACCTATATTGCTCTCTCGCGTTAGGAAATGATGCATGTAAAAAAAAAGCGAAGCCAGGCATAATAATAACTATACCAGATTATACTCCTGGATGCCGTACTTGGCTAGAAATGGGATTGCCAGCGGGGAATGATGCTGGACGATATAGTCGTGGAACTCTTGCTCGCTCATGCCGGGCTTTCGGATTCCGGTAATAGTGATACAGATCTGAGATTGGGCTGACATGTTGAGTCGATTGGTAACTATTAAGTATATGTGAGGGTGTGGAATTGTGAAGGGTCTCTCTCCTGACCTCTGGCAAGAGTCAATGAATTGAGACGGGGCGTTAACTATATATCTTCTACTATATAAAGGAGATTTTCGCTGTGATCCATTAATGACCCGAACTCGGGAATGTAACCCTCCCCACGGGTACATCTGGGATATCCATGTAATATCTTCAATGGATAGTTATCAGGACCTGGCATGCGTCATGGACTATACGGATCGGGTCTGGTTAGGTGTCATTAGACTTACTGGAGGCAGCCCTAACGAAGAGTCCGGAGAACATTCAATATCAACCTGTAACTATCTAAAGGAACCTAGGCTTACTTTTTTAAGGAGTTGGATTTCAAGAGCACGAGATCTGCAACCGAGGTCCCGAGTACATACATAGCCAATACCCTAGCCATTTCCGGTTGTTGGGAAGAAAAGACCTTTGTACAGTCTGATTCAAAGCTTGCCCCTGCATACATATATATATATATATATATATATACAAGTAGTAGGGGTCTATATATATCTATATATATATCCAAATTATGCCTCCCACTCCTCAATTAGTCGGACATCTAAATTGTAGAATCCATCAAGTACCCGCATCCCGCGCAGACGCTCCTCCTCGATCCGCTCCCACGTCCACTCCCTCTCGTCCCACAACCCGGCGTTCGCGTTCTTCTCCGCTTCCAGCGTCGTCGACTCGGGAATATCCCCATCCTGGAGCTTCAGCACCTCCCGCACAAGCGACCCATCCACGCCAGCCGCCGCCGCCGCCGCCGCCGCCGTGATTCCGGCCGGGGTCCCTGTTCCAGAAGCTTCCGTAGAGGAATCCACCATGGGCGAAGAAGTAGAAGCAGGAGCAGGCTCTACCCCCTCCGGCCGGGGTGGCAAGAACCCACTCTTCCTCAACACCTTTTCCGGGGGAATCGTCAATCGACCTTTCTTCACCACGTACTTGCTCACGGCGGTTGCGTAGAGCTTACGCTTCCCGCCCTTTTGGTCCGCAGGCTTCAAAAAGAAACTCTGAATGTACATCCATTTCTGGTCCCACGCGAGAACCTTGGACTCGATCTCGTACAGCGCAAACGGCTTGATCTCCCGCTTAAACGTGCAGAACACGGACCCGAGCGCAACGTAGATAGACTTCCGCGGCGGCGGGGCTTTGCCCTCCCTGCGGGCGGTTTCGGCGAACTCCGCATCGAGCTCTTTGCCGATCATCCCCGCGCCGGGACTGTAGAGACGGGTGACGAGGGCCGTACGCGAGATGTCCAAGTCGCTGAAGTAGGTGCTGTTGGACTTGTGGAGGTTGTAGTCTGTTTCTAGCAGAGGAGCGCGCGACGTGATCCCGTAGGGAACGAAGACAGGGTGTGTCGGGTTGCCGGTGTGGCTGGCGATGGCTTTGCCTTTGGGGAAGAAGGGGGCCTTGGGGTGCGAGCGGATGTTGGTGACGAAATGTCGTAGGATTCGGACCTAGGGCCATCGACTGTTAATATGAGGAGGCCCATTCGGGAGGCCCTTGGAGGGATTGACTTACGTGCCAGGCCAACGGGAGATTTTTGAGATTGATGATCGCGAGCAGCAGGGCAAGAGTCCGCCACGATACGATCAAGGAGAGCAACGCGCGGATGCCCTCAATATGAGGGATGATTGAAGTCATCTCCTTCTTTATCCACTGACGGAAGCGCGAAAAAAAAAAAAAAAGAAAAGAAAAGAAAAGAAAAGGAGAGACAAGAATAGGGAAATGTGGATAGATGCGATTCTATTAAGGGTAATGAGTGAATGAGTGCAAGAAGGATTCCGCTGCTGCTGCGGTGCGGAGTTTTGGAGTAACGCAGCAGCCGCTCTGGTGGGAGATCCGAATATTCACAGAACAAGAAGCAAGTTCAGCGAAGGAGTGGAGTAGTTAATTCTGAAAGATGCAAATATGATTGGGACAAAATGGCTCTCCACAAGCTCAATCTGCAGGCGCGAAGTTGTTGGATGAACCGCGAGTCCGGAGTAATTGTTCGGGTTACGGAGTACTCCGCACAGTAACTATAGTGATTTCTGGACTCTGACCATCCCCAGGAATATAGGCGAGCTAATTATAATATATGTAGAGTCTAATATTGCTATAGGTAATACTAATGAACCCACAGGCTGGTGGTTAGAAAGTCTTTGGCGATTTCTGACCATCATTACACTGATTTTGACCGAGCACATGGATAGATGAATTTCAAGAAGAAGAAGAAGAAGAAGAAGAAGAAGAAGAATTCAAAAAATGGCCATACAGTTCGGAGGACTCGATACACCCTGTGCACAATTCAACGGGCTGCTCGATACAAAGAACGTCCAACGCCCCAGCTTCTGGCATATCTCGGCCAGCGCATCCAAATCAAACATCTCGCCGATGGGCACTCCCCAACCAGCAAGCATATAATGATGCAGATCAAACTCCGGCTGCAGCGGTGGAAACACCTCAAAGCTGACCGCATCGGATGCCACAGCCGCAAAATGGTTGTCCCAGAAGAATCGCAGTACCCGCTCGCTTTGTTCGATACCAGCATGTTTGGGTGCTGCCTGTTGACTATAGACTTTTCTTTGCTCTTCATTCATGGACTGCCATGTCTGCGGCAGGCCAACCCGGAGGAAGAAGATATCTCCGCGCTGGAACTCAATCTGACTTTCGCGGGCAATCTCCAGCACCACATCCAGGGATACCTCGTGTTGAGTCAACGCGTTGACTGCGACCCCACGCTTCTCGGCCCAGGAAAGGTAATCTATAAGGACGCCCCGCCCCGCGATGCCCTTCTTCGCCCAGTGTCCGATTCCAATACGGGAGCTTTCCGGGTCCAGGATTTCCTCCGCTGTGGTACCGCCATAGAATAGCCGGCGGTTGGGATCTTCAGCGGTAGGAGCAGGTCCGTTATGGTGACGGAGTCCGTCCCATTGCGATGACTGTTGTGGGTTGAAATGGTACTCATCGTCAAAGGCAACGCCCTCAGCGACCCATTTCACTAGGTGTTCAAACGGTTTCCGCCCGAATCCTGCCAACCCCCGTGAACATGAATTCCTTAGCTATACAGTCCGTTGGAGGCTACGTACCTGGGGGGTTCAGATTCTGGATGTCCCAGTTCAGACATACCCGCTCTCCGGTTTGGATCTGTGTCCGTGCTGCGTTGGCCACGATCTCTGGCGTCAAGAGGCGCAGCATGCCTAGGCCCTCTTCTGACGATCCGGGTGCTGCAGGCCAGAATCGACGTTTGTCGGGGAGGTCATCATATTTCTCAGGGAGATCAAATGCAGCCATGTTGAAGGAGGGTTGCCAGTGGAGAGGAGAAGAAAGAGGGGAAAGGTTAGGTACCTTATTTATTCAGTAGGCGGGGGAAGCAAGAGAAAGAAAGCCCTCGGACCAGGTCCGTGCTACCAAAGTGGAGGACCTCGGGAGGTGACTTGGCCTGCCTAATCTAGTCAAATGCGACTGTTTTCTTCGATGCAATAATGTATATATTCAGAACCAGAAACAAACAATGGCAGTGTGCATATTACGTAGAGTACACATTAACCCCGTTAACCCATTCAAAGGTCATCCAAGTCTTCGTCATCCGCCGCAGCTTTGCCCTCTTTCGTGAGGCGGGACATCTCATGCTGCTCCCCCAATCCCCTGGAGCCAGAGGTGGACATGGCAATTGCCTGTCGTCCAGTATCCGATGACTCGAGAAACTCGCGCAGACGGCGCTTGCCTTCGATCAGTGCCTGATTTGAAGCTGCCTCGGACATCTTCAGAATTGGTCCCCAAAGGTTAAGCTGATACGTCACATACGCTGCAACAGCGCACACAAAGAGCAAGAAGAAGTAGGCGGGGTTGCGAAGAACTACGTTGGATATGTTAAAATATAATTCATGATTTCGTCAAGAGAGGGGGAGGGGGAAAACTCACCGGCAAGGATTTCGTTCCACCCCAGAGCAAGGAGGATACCGTAAAAGTAGAGCGGAACCTGGGTCATGCCTCCGATAGCACTCCGTTTGGCTTCGACATAAACGCCATCCGCTGCCTTCTTGAATCGTACTGTGAGCTCCTGGCGCTTTGCATCGCCAATGATAGTCATTTCTTCTTCCAGGCTCTTGCCTTCTTCTTCGTCCACGCCTCCGATGGGTGGCAGGTCTTCTTCATCAGCCGGGGTAGCGGAGCTAGGCGTGTGCCCTACCCATCGGTCCAACGGTGGTGGAGCAGAGGTTTCGGCAAGTCGAAACTTGGACAGCAGGGGAATCACAGTCAAGGTTGACTCGCGAGCGCGTGTATAGATCCCCTCAATGTCATCAGTTGGTCGCCAGATCCTTGGGACACCAGCATCATCGTAGCGGAACTTGTCTTCGAAGTTTTCACGTAACTTGAGTAGCAGGTTACCCTCCATCATTTCTTCCTCAATCTTAGCGCGCAAGACACCCCAAGACTTCCTTCGCAGCCGCCAGAGACCAACATCCACTTCCTCCAGACTGGCATCGAAGCTACTGGCACGATCCGTGAATCTCCTCTCAGCATCAAGGACTGTCTCTACAAAGACATTCCACACACGATCCCAGAATTTCTTTTCAGATGGCTTCTCGCCCGATTCTGGTGCAACACCACCGGCGCGCCCAGATCCAAGGGCGTTAAACTCCAGGCCAACAGATTCACCCAGGCGCGATTGAACCCATCGCTCAACCCGGGTGGCTAGGCGCCTCATTTCATCCCTTCTTAGCCTACCGCTGACTTCTGCCAGCTCTTTCTCGTACAATGCCAACTCTTGCTGATAGTCGCTCCAGCCAGTCCCCTCTACCACAGTAGTACGGGCAACTTCTTCAAACTTCTCCACGGCCTTCTTCACCTCATCGTTGACAATTTCGGCAAAATCGTAACCCGTGCCCTTTTTCTGGCCAGCTTTTACGGCACTCGTAACCGCCTCGCTGAATTCAGTAATACCAGACTTGTGTGATGCGTTCAGCTGGCCCTGGAAAAGAGCCTTCAAACGAGTATCAATTTTGTTTTCGAGCTCCCCACGCTTCCGCTGATAGACACCCTTGTGGTAACGGCTGGCCTCGACCTCGAAATTTTTCGTCGCCTTGATACGCGCCGATCGCATCGCCGCTCCCAATCCCCCGAGGACCTCGGGTTCTCCGAGGCGGGAAGCTTGAGATTGTTTATCTTCAAATGGAGTAATAGTTTCGTCAAAACCGATCATCACTTCCCTCAGAATCTCATCGCAGCGGAATTGTGCAAGCAGTTCCTGCTGGGTTGGCAAATCCAGGTCTTTGTTGTTGACAATCTGGTCCCAGATGCCTTCCGCATACACGGAGAATCCATCCGCGGGGATACGTCGATGGTACTCTGGGAGGAAAACGCCCCCTTCCGAGAACTCGCCGTTAAGTGGATCGAGTTTAGGGTTTCTCTGCGCTTCGCGGAAACGTAGGCTGAGGTTCTTTGTCTCTTCTACGAACTTCTCCGGTTGATAGCTCTTGTGTGGCAGTCCGTAAAACTGGAAGTCGAAGTAATCATGCACAGTCGACCGTTCCAAACCAGCAGGTTTAGAGATCGAGTCCCACAGCCGGGACATGTCTTCCATCAATGTTTTCTGCAGGGCTTGGAGGGGAGTTGTGCCAATGAAATCACGGATCACGAAGAAGAGAAGAGATCGGTGGGTAGTACTAGAGAGAGACCCAAGTCAACAGGTGCCTGGAGAACAAAATAGACGTCGCATACACATACCTCTTATCCTTTAAGAACAACTGCGAGTTGACCTCAAAGACAGTTTTTAGCAAACCCATGTTGGCACCCTGGTACAAGCCAACCTGGTGTTCCCAGATATTCACAATCAGAACCTCACTTGTTGCGAGCGCAAAGAGAGCACTCTTGCGCTCAAAGTCCTGATCCTCTCCTCTCTCTCGGCCATCTGTACCCTCAACATCCATTACCAAGATATTGTCGGCCATTGATTGGCCATCGCCATTCTTATTCTTGGACAGCCAGATACCTTTCGTGGTCTGACGTCTTTCAGCTTCGGACATGACGGAGAAATGGGTGCCGAACAGGTGGTTTAGGAGGGTCGACTTTCCGGTGGATTGGGAGCCGAAGACAGAGATGAGATGGTAGTCAAATCCTGAAGGTGTGACATTTTCGAAGCTCAGGTATTTCGACAAGTTCGAACTGTCGCATTGTCATTAGCCCTCGTGGGAATATATAACCCCTCTAACTCCCGTAAAGGAGGGAGGGGGGGGGGGGGATAATCAATAAAGCAACGCATCCAACGTCCACAGCACACGGCGAATTAACAGAAAGACATGGAGGAAGCCTTACTTGAATTCCTTGTTCTCGTCTATTACCTGGACGCCGTGCTCATATGTCATCTTATCGCTGCTGTTGCTGCCAATTGAGGCAAAGTGGCCATTGGTTGCCATGGTGAAGAGACACCGCTGGGATTCTACCCAACGTCCAAAGTAGCTGTTACTTGGAGAAATATTCTGTGTCGTTCCGATATTTGAGCGTGTGGATTAAAAGGGATGAAAGTGGTTCGGGACTCAAAAAGTGGATGACGGCGAGTATGCAGAGCTGGTGCAGGTGGTGGCAAGGTCTAAAGCACAAACAATGCAGCAGTCTGGCATCGGATGCAAGGAGGAGCGGACGGTTTCATGTGCTGTGAAGAAAGAAAACGGGTTCTAAAGGCAGCGAGCGACAATCACAAGACTCTCCCATGCACACAGAGACACCGTACCAAAGAGGTCTTGTGGTGCGCCCGAGGTTGACTGGAAAGTAAAGTTGGTCGCTTCGTTGATCTTTAGTGAGAGCGCCAGGAGGCATCTGGGGGGGGGAGCGGCTTTGTAGCCTGAGGTTCCAGGCCACTTCCGCCGCTGCTCGAAGCAGATGAGCGATTCTTCTTTGGGACTAGCCCCGATAATGGTCTGATGGTGTTTTTGAATTATTGAAACTTATGCCAATCGAGAATCATTCAGTTCATATTCAATGACATGCCTAGAAGTAAGAAGAGAGGAGAAGCGGTAATAAAAAAAAAAGTCTACATGTTTAATAAAATACAGATATGTGAATATGACTCAAGAACTCCGGGAAACCACAGCCACCGTCCTGGTGCACCAATATTCCGGATCCCTTCGCGAATTCCTGCACTGCAAGCTGTAAACACCAAGGAACCCAGATCAACACTTTTCGTTTAGTACAAAGTAGTCATTTATTCCTCCATGACACGAGTGATCAGACCAGTGGCAACAGTGCGGCCACCCTCACGGATGTTGAAACGCTGGCCCGCCTCCGCAGCAACGGGACGGTTGAGGGCCAGGACCATCTCGACGTTGTCACCAGGCATGACACGGCGGTCGGTGGATCCATCGGGGAAAGTGAGATCAGCAGCCTCATCTATAGTCTTCGTTAGAGAGTTGTTCACGGTTTAGGGTTGTTGTCGATAAAGCTAGACTTACCGCTAGTGCGAATGTAGGCTTGGGGACGGTAGTTGACACCGAAGCCGTTGCGACGGCCACCCTCAGCTTCAGTCAAGACATACATGGACACCAGGAACTTCTTGTTGGCCTTGGAAGTGCCAGGGGCGGCAATAACCATACCACGGCGAACGTCTTCACGGCGGATACCACGGAGGAGAAGTCCGGAGTTGTCACCAGCGCGAGATTCGTCACAAGACTTCTTGAAAGTCTCAATATCGGTGACCTTGGTCTTGATGGCGTCACCAGAACCTCCAACGATTTCAACTTCGCTATCCTTCTTGAGAACACCACGCTCAACGCGGCCGGAAGCGACAGTTCCACGACCAGGGATAGAGAACACTTCCTCAACAGACATCAAGAAGGGCTTGTCAAGGTCACGCTCGGGGGTAGGGATCCAAGTGTCGACAGCCTCCATGAGCTGCTCGATGCGCTCAGCACCGATGTCGGGACGGCGATCTTCCAGGGCGCACAGAGCAGAACCGAAGATAATGGGGGTTTCCTCACCCTCGAAGCCGTAGCTGCTGAGGAGCTCGCGCATTTCCAGCTCGACAAGCTCCAACATCTCAGGGTCATCGATGGCATCGACCTTGTTAACGAACACGACGATCTTCTGGACACCGACCTGGCGGGCAAGCAACAAGTGCTCACGAGTCTGGGGCCTGTACACGACGGGGTGTTGTCAGCAGGTTCGTTCTAGCATGATAATTTCATTTTCAACATACATCTGACCATCGGAAGCAGCAACGACAACGATGGCGCCATCCATGTTGGCGGCACCAGTAATCATGTTCTTAATGTAATCAGCGTGACCGGGGCAGTCGACGTGGGCATAGTGCCTGGAGTCGGTGGAGAATTCGATGTGGGCGGTCGAGATGGTGATACCACGCTTGCGCTCCTCAGGAGCCTTGTCAATGGAACCATAATCGAGGAAGGTAGCAAGACCCTTTCCGGCCTGGTGCTTGGTGATGGCAGCGGTCAAAGTGGTCTAAGAGAAACGTGTGAGCAGGCCTCTCATACAATGTTGCGGAACACGGGTGGAGGAAGGGGGACAGAAATCTGACCTTGCCGTGATCGACGTGGCCAATGGTACCTTTGATCGATTAGTTAGCCAGTACGATGCAAGAAATCAGGGGGAAAATGCGTCTTACCAATGTTCACATGGGGCTTGGTACGCTCGAACGCAGTCGCCATAGCACGGACGGTCTGCCTGTCCTTAGAGAGCGCATAGTGAACGGGGTTCACACCACGAGGGCGGAGGAGGGACGCCCGGGTGGTGCGGAAGAGGAGGTTGGCAGTTCTGGTGATGCCCGACATGATGACTGCTCCGCAAAAAAAAAGGACAAACAGGAAACAAGAGACGCAAAACGGGATGGGATTGAAGGAATCACTTGAGGCGACAGGATGAGCTTTGTAGCAGCAGCAGCAGCAGGCCCGAAAAATTTAGGGGAGCTGCTTAGTCATAATACAGCCAATCGGACAGAGAATCGCGGATGTGCCGGGTTTTACTTGTGTGGACTGCGATTACATGGGGGACAACTATATTACTATATTTTCTCATTGTCTACGCGAGGCTAATTATGTCTCTATGAGCGTAGATATGGAGGACGAATGTGCGGAGTTGATAAAACTCTGTAATAACCCTTGTATGAGTGACCACGCCGTTTTCTTCTATTTCCAACTCTACCTACTTAGGTAGTTATGAATATGTCCCATGTAGGCCTGGCGAGACCCTTGAATGCGAAATCGAGTTTGAAATAAAAGTGGCCGATAAATGGTGCTTGACTGGGTCAAATCACCGTAGAGGTGAAACCCTTATAGCGGTTTTGCTTATTTTGTTTGCTCATAATATACATTCCGAAGAGCATGGTACCGCTCTCACGAGTCCCGTTTTTTCACGAAAAGGATAACGTGCTTGCCTGGCTCTCCCTCCATGGGTTTAACCTGCATGGCATTTGCATCTTTGGTCACTTGTAAAACCTTGTCCATCACATTTTTAACCTCCTCTATCGTAGGTGCGCGCTTGCCCTTCTTCCTTGTCAGGATAATCTCGACTTTCCGGCCCTTGTCTAGAAAGGTTGTCAATTGTTTTAGCCGATGCGACAAATCATGGGGATCGATAGCCCAATTCAGCTCAATTTGCTTGACTGCCATTTTCGCAGTGTGTGCGGCCTTGGCTTTGGCACGCTCATGTTCGCGCATCGCGAGACGATTCACGATCTTGCAGACGGCTGGTTGGTCGCGAGTACCTGGCGACACTTGGAGGAGGAAGTTCTCGGTGCGGTCGAAAGAGCGTAAGGCATGGCTCAGTCTCATAGGGGGGTCTAGGCTGTTATTCTCGTTCACGATCTGGACGTATTCCGCCCGAATATCTTCATCTCTCGCTTGGCCGGGTGTTTCAGCGGGTTTTGCATACGGTCGAAGCCGGGAGCTCGTCGAGTGCAGAAGTCGGTTTTGTAGAGGAGACTGCTTAGGAGAGTAGCGGGCAAAAGGAACCCGGGATATCGATTGAGGAACGAGGAAGATACGGCGAAGCGCTTGGGTGGTGGATATGAGTCCGCGCATGTGCGTCATTTTGGGTGGGATCCGGGGTGGAATCCGGGGGAAATGCCAGAAAGAAAGAAAAAATTCGGATGTACCCAAAGTATCAATGCAAAAGCATAGTGGGGTTCCTGACAAGAAGGAATCAAGGTCTAGAGTGGGATTCTGTCGTTTAATCTGCGATGGAGCTGCTTTTAATTTGACGCATGCGGTTGGCGGAACAGCCACATCTCGACGACATCCATTGAGATGTGCCAACGCCACAGCGGCCGGCGGATCCAATTTCTCTCAGTCCGATCCCTTTTCCTGTTCTTATCCTTTTTTTCTCTCCCCCTATTTTACCGTCTATAATTCTTGTTTGGATTGGTCCGGAGGTCCCTGCAGACTCTATGATTTTGCCTCATTTCGATCGCTAGACTTGCTTTCTTTTAGCTCGGGCGCATCTAAAGATCATCGTCCGGGACGTGGCTACAACCCTTTCGCTCTTTTTCTTGCTCATATGTCGACTGGAGTTGACAATCGACATCTCCAGTCTATACCAGCCTTTTCACACCCGGGTCCAAGACCGAACAGACGTTCTCTTTCGCGGGCCTCTGTATCCGCGAGCGCTCCTTTGAACTTGCCAAACGGATTGTTAGATAAACCGCCAGCTGTTATCATGGCTCAGAGTCAGAGGTCGCGATACATAAAAACGGGGGCCATTGTGGCTGCCTTGTTGCTGATGCTGCTTTGGATTTCGCCCTCAAGACGGCCAGCGACCAGTTTTGGAGGCAGTAAGCCACACACCAACGTTCCCACTATCCCTGTAGGCAACTAACTCACCTCTCCCAGATCATCCTGCTTCCAACGGCGCGGCTCCTCTCACTGAAAAATGCTCGAAGCCACACGATCCCTCCAAGCCTTTAATTCAGTATGCTCTTATGATTGATGCTGGTAGCCAAGGCTCTCGCATCCACGTCTACCGGTTCAATAACTGCGGACCCACCCCCGAACTGGAGCACGAGGAGTTCGAACAAACCGAGAAGCGACAAGGTGGTTCGGGGCTTAGCTCCTATAAGGACGATGCTGAGGGTGCAGCTAAGAGTCTGGACCCTCTTATGGCTGTGGCTATGAGGACTGTTCCCGATGAATACAAGTCTTGCTCTCCAGTTGCCGTAAAGGCCACCGCTGGCCTGCGCATGCTTGGAGCCGAGATGAGTCAAAAGATTTTGGAAGCAGTGAGAACCCGCCTGGAGACCGTGTATCCTTTCCCCGTTGTCTCGCGAGAGAAGAATGGTGTTGAGATTATGAATGGCTCTGATGAGGGTGTTTATGCCTGGATTACAACCAACTACCTTCTTGGAAAGATTGGTGGACCTGATGAGACTCCTACGGCTGCAGTGTTCGATCTCGGTGGTGGTTCAACCCAGATTGTCTTCCAGCCTACCTTCGAGAAAAGCCCATCAGGCGGCATGCCGGAACGCTTGGCTGAAGGTGATCACAAGTACGACCTTCAGTTTGGTGGACGCCACTTTGAGTTATATCAGCACTCCCATCTTGGATACGGCCTCATGGCTGCACGTACGGCGGTGCATAAGGCTATCGTGGATGCGAAGCTAGCGATGAACCCCAAGGATCTAGCTTGGGTTAAGATGCCCATCTCCAATCCCTGCATCGGGCCCGGAATGGAGCGTGAAGTGAAGCTTACATACCCGGCCGAGCATCCCCTGGGCCCAGAGGTTGTGGTCAAGATGGTTGGCCCGCACGAAGGAGCCGTGTCCGCCGCTGTTCAGTGCCGTGGTCTAACCGAGAAGATCCTCAATAAAGGTGCCGAGTGTGCGTTGGCACCATGCTCTTTCAACGGCGTCCATCAACCGTCTTTGGAGAAGACATTTGCTAGGGAGGATGTGTACATCTTCTCCTACTTCTTCGACCGCACCAAGCCCCTGGGCATGCCGGATTCGTTTACCCTTAACGAGCTTCATGATCTCACAGCTACGGTCTGCGGCGGCGAACCGGAATGGACGATCTTCGAGGGCGTTGAAGATGCTTTGCCCCAGTTGCGCGACCGCCCTGAGTGGTGCTTGGACCTGAATTTCATGCTTGGTCTCCTGCATACCGGCTACGAAATGCCCTTGTCGCGTGAAGTCAAGATTGCCAAGAAGATTAAGAACAACGAGCTGGGATGGTGTCTCGGTGCAAGGTGAGAATAATGCTCATATAAATTTAATCCCATTCAGGTTCTCATAACTAACGAATTGCTTCTAGTTTGCCCCTCTTGAGCCAGGAATCGGGCTGGACCTGCCGAGTCAAGGAAATTTCATAGATGATGGCAATGGCGATATGGTAATGACTTGGATTATCACTTTTTTTAATTACTGCACAGTTGTATACAACTTCCTTCTTTCATGTCAACATTATAGACCGCAGGGACTTTAAAATACAAAATACAAAGTATTATCCGCAACGGACCGGACACTGTCAATAGACCTCTTTCTGAGCAGCATTGGGTACTGTCAACTGTCTCAGCGACCGGCTTTTCCACTATTTAGTAGCTAACTCGTGTAGATATATAGGTTCGAATCTGGTGAGAAGACCAAGCACCTGCAGATGCAAGACAGTGATCTGTCTGTCAAACCACCCTGCCCCAAAAAAAGAGAAAGAAAGATGTCTGTCAGAGGTTTCTGTACTCATTTAAATTGCATTGATACACTTGAGAGATGTCTAACGGATCAAGATGTATTCTAGCATTCCAAAACTATCATTAATACCCATAATTAGAGCCATTATCGGTAATATTCCAACGTGATATATTATAACATATAAATTGGCCAAAAAAAAAAAAAAAAAAAAAAAAAAAACAACAACTTTTATCATAGACCTAAGAAGCCTGACAACCTAATATGCCTGAAGTAACGCCATTTATATGCAAGTTGAGATCCAAGATTTATATGCAAATGAAGATCAACCGGTCATCTCCTGAATGGAGGGCTTGTCTTTGTCTGAGGAATCGGTCGTCTTCCCCATCAGTCGATCCAAAAGGTTCGTTTCTTGAGACGAATTGGCATCTTCCAGCTCTTGGTCGCTCGGGGGGTGCTCGTCGTCGGAACGTTTCTCTTCCAACACGCCTAGCCCTAGGTTCTATAGGATGTTTCATGAGCGACTGTTATGCTAGCTGCCAGCGGCCAGATTGGGATACGAACCATTTCAATGTATTGACCCTCGTGGTGTTCCTCATCCTCATTATCCAGCCTTATATCCTTCTCGCGCCCGGCTGCTATCTCTTGCTGTAAATGTTCATTTGCGCTTTTCATCTGGGGCAGGAAAGCGGACAGTTTAGAGAGGAGGGTAGGCTGTTTGGCCATTTTTCGAATGTTCGGTTTTCGCCGCGCAGGGAGTGCAGCCATCTGCTCTGAATCTCCATCCCCAATGCTTTTCGCGCGCTGGCTGTCTTCTCCCCCATTGTCGCTTTCATCGTCATCGGAGGAGGAGGATAATGAAGAGCCAGATGAGGAGGTGTAATCATCGTCATCGTCATCGGATACGGAGATGGAGATGGAGTTGGCCGCTTTCCAGGCGGTTCTCGTGGGAAGTGAAATTTCGCGCCGGCCGGCAACGGTGGTGAAATGCTTGGACGTATCGCTGGGGGATCGCTTAGAAGGAGACATCGAGTCCAGAGCAGGAGATTGGAGCCCGTCGGGTTGTGGGCGCTTCTGTGTTAACTCGTCCATTCTTGCGCTGCCAATGATGGGGATGGGTTGAAACTACCGCCGATGTTTTTTTGCGCGGCAACGAGGTGGGGAGACAGCCTCAATTTATTGGATATGCAGGTGAAATGAACTTTGGCTGAAGAAAAATCCCCCCTCCTTCGGAAAACCGACCAATGTTTGAAGATTTATTGGATCATCCGATAGGACGATGGGATCTCAAACCAACCAACCGTACGTTCATGGTTTTCTGCAGGTTATATCACCAACGGTGGCATCGCACTTGATTCCTCCACTTTGATTGGGGTTTCGTTTGGTGTCTGCTGGTAATAGTTAGTGAATTAAAATTGCTTATGTACATATATACGTATCTATAAGAAGAATCCCGTCCAGTTCAATTTACGCTGTCCTTTTTCTCCTTGGATTTCTGGCGGGGCATGTCATCATCTCCAAACACGGGGATTTCGACTCGACGACATTCGTTTACCTACGATTCTCAACTACGCATCAGCATAGTCTGGCTACTTCTTGCAGTGCACTCAGTCGCTACTTTGACGCTGGATGTCCCTTTCAACCCGACTGGCAGGTCTATCCAATCTTATATACTCCAACCACCCTATCCTATGCCTACTAACCGAGAAACTAGATAGAAAGATCAGAGACCTGGAATGACTGTTTGAGATTCCCTTCACTACCTGGGGATACCTTCAACCGTGACCTCTAGCACAAGAGCCAAGAACCATCCAGAATGAATGCGCCCCAGCTCCGAGTCAACGATAAAGCATCCTCCCCCGACGACCCAACCGATGCCGTAGACAACAACAACAACAACAACAACAACAACAACAACCAGCCCATCACAGCAAGGAGGAAGTCGCTGCACCAGAATATACTGGGGAAGCTCCGTCCCCTTCCCTTCCAATACCACTGGACTTTCTGGTACGACAAGCACTCCGAGAACTCGAACTACGAGGACAGACTGTACCTGCTCTATGAGGACGTCGCGGACATCGCTACCTTCTATCGCGTCTATAACAATTATCCATGGGAGAAGATTCCGCAGCGCGACACGGTGCATATCTTCCGCAAGGGAGTCCGGCCTGTGTGGGAAGACCCCGAGAATCGAAGCGGAGGATGCTGGAGATTCCGTGTTCCCAAAAGAAAAGCCCAAGCTTTCTTCCACGAAATTGCCATTCTCTGCATGGCGAATGAGTTCCAGGCTGTTCTGGAAAAAGGTACGATTGATCGATCCTCTCTGTCTCGCCTGATACCTTTTTGATCGTCACCCCTCCCCCCTCCCTAATACTCACATAGAACACGATCATGTCCTCGGGGTTTCCACCTCTGTCCGGTTTAATACGCATCTGATATCTGTGTGGAATAAACTTGGTTCGAATGAACGCTCTATCAAGCTCCTAGAGCAGACTATCATCGACAGATTGTCTCCGGCCTTGCGCCCTACTGATCCCGGCCCTAATTCGTATTTCTATAAACGACATGATGAAAATGAAGGATACAAGGAAGCAGTTGGAACGTCGGGGAGCTTCGAAGTGATATGACAGTGTTGCGAGATTAATCACTACTTATCCGCTGGAGTAGAGGCTTATTTCCAATGAATACACGTGCTGGGCATGATTTAGAGGAAATGCACGGAGAATAATCATTCGTCCATCTAAAAATATAAGTGATGTCGACCATAGATAGGCTCTCTCTCTCCCCTCTCGACTACTTGTGAGTGACACTTGTGAGGGAGGAGGCAGCATCAAAGGGATCAATCAGATAAGTTATTGCCGGGGAAATCTTTCCTGGAGGGCTAGGTTTAGGAAGGATTGAGTGTAGTCTATAACTGACAGGCTGTCTAGCGAGCAAATCGTCATGGAGGGATGATTTCATGACCATTGATTATATTAACTTCGACGCTGTGTCTTAACTGGGTAGGTACCTGGGTAATGTATATGATAGTAGTAATAGTGGTAGTAGGGGTACATGGGAGAAGCGGGCATGCATTATCCAAATCACGACGACTGAACTGCCTTCTCCCTAGGCAATGGCTTCTCTTCCGCATCGCCTGGTCGCCAACTCTGCGCCTTCGGGTCTCGCTCTCTTTCTCTATCCCGCTCTCGATCACCGCCAGGTATGTATCGATCAATCTCTACAAACGCCCGGGACCGTTCATCAGGGTGTTCAGGGGAGCGCACGCGTCGGCGAGGAGACCGGCTGCGATGACTGGTTGGCGGCACGTAACGGTCGATATCGAGGAGACTGGGAGAGCGTCGTCGGGAGCGGGAACGACGACGAGAGCGAGACCTTCGGCGGGGTGACGCAGAGACTCTTCGTTCTCGGACACGGTCCCGTTCTCTATCCCTCTCTCTATCTCTGTCCCGTTCTCTCTCTCGATCCTTATCCCGTTCTTTCTCCGAGGGTCTGTCTCGATCTCTCTCCCTGTCCCGCTCCCTATCCTTCTCTCTCTCTCTTTCCTTTTCCTTTTCTTTTTCCTTTCCATTATCTTTATCTTTTTCCTTCTCCTTTTCCTTGTCTCCCTCTCGGTCTCGGTCCCGGTCCCTTGACCTTTCCCGCTCTCTAGGGCGAGCCTTGTCTCGTTCCCTATCACGGTCTCGATCCCGGTTGGGTGAGCGAGGACGTGAACGAGATCGAGAGTAGTGGCTACCTCGTCGACGGTAGTCACCGCGATCTCGGCTGCGGTCCCGGCGATACTCGTGGTCTTTATCACGTTCATCTCGAGCACGATCTCTCTCACGGTCTGACCTTCGATCCCTGTCCCTGTCCCTATCTCTATCTCTGTCACGGTCACGGTCACGATCTCGGTCACGATCTCGGTCTCTATCCCTATCATATGCCCGAGTGGCAGATCTGCTCCTGCTACGACGGCTTGGTCGATAACTCCGATCACCATATCGATCCTCCCGGAAGTCCCGAATTGCAAGTCTGTCATCCGGATCTCGATCACGCGTCCGGTCAGATACCTCGCGCGAACGGCCATTCCGATTATCGTCATATCGAGACCCGCGCCTCCTTGAACGGCTGCGACTGTCATCACGTCGTCGATTCCGGTCATCGGTCATCGTTGATCCGTGTCGCCGGTTGCGATCTGGCTCACCGGAAGGGCTTCCGGATTTGGTGGGGGTGTTTGAGTGCTTGGACTCAGAAACGCCCTTAGGTCGAGTAGTCGGCGGTTTGAGTCCGTTCTCTATTGCCTCGGCTTCTTCGAAGTCGAACTCAGGCTTCTGTCGGGCTTTGGCTGCCAGCTCCTCGCCTTCCTTTAAGAGGAGTTGTAGCGCAGTCTCTTCCAAAGCCTTTTCGTCCACGGGGGCAGGAGCAGGTGGCGGTGTAGGTTCTTTTGAAGGGGGGGATTTATCTCTTCTTGATTCACGATGACGGGGTGACAAGCCACGATCAGAGCGATAGCCTGGGGAGCGGTCCCGGTAGCGATAGTCTCGATCCCTATCCCTGTCGCGATCTCTTTCCAGGTCTCTGTCTCTAGACCGACTGCGATCTCGGTCACGATAACCCCAATCTCGATATCTTTCGCGCTCTTCTCGTCTCCGCCGCTCGTATCGCTCCTGGCGCTCCTTTTCTCTTTGTTCATCCAATAACCGCTGCTCTGCGCGCCGTTGCTCCTCACGCTCCCTCCTTCTAGCCCTCTCTTCTTCATCCTTCTGGCGCTGAATCTCACGTTTTTTGCGATCCTCTTCGGCTTTTCGACGGGCGTCTTCTTCGTCGAGTTCTTTCTGTTTCCGTTGTTCCTCCTGCCACACCTTCTCACGTTCATCTCGTTTGGCCTTCACAAAAATGGCGTACTCCTCGTCTGTTTTATTCCCCGCCTGTTCCTCCTGGGCGGCCGCTTTCCCCCCAACATCTTGGCGGCGAATCTCTCTGATGGACTCTAGTATAGATGCGAGCTGATTTGCGGCCAGCGCATCCAAAGCTCTCTCCACAGTCTTGTAGACATCGCTACGGTCCACAGCGCCCTCAATCAAGGTCGCAGCCTTACCCTGCTCACGGGAGAGAAGCTGGGGTTCGCGCTCAATCTCGGAATCGGCAAGGTCAACTATTAGTTTTGTGAATTCAACTTTCCCTTCCTATCGTGTGTAGTTAGTTAGCGGCCGCCCCCAAAAAAATAGAGCAAAAATTGTTAAAAATGATCTTACTCCATCTTGAAATTCGGACCAAATTTTCTTCCGAATACTATCAAATCCTCCCTTTTTCTTAAAACTGTGAAGGAGGTTCTCAATAGCACCGTGTTGTCCAGCAGTCAAAGGAAGCTCCTCCGTCTTGAACTTCTTCCGCTGCAAACTCTCGACATCCAACGACGGCCGCTTCACGCCATTATCCTTGGGGTCTTGCGGTTTTTCCAAACTGTCCATTATGAGAACCGGGTTAGCAAGATAAACACCCCGGATCCCGAGGTCAGTGGGCGACAAGTAAAAAAAAATGACAGCCAGCAGATCACGACAAGTCGCGCGACATCCAAAGTTCCTGGCGCGCTGCGGGCGGCGGGATATCGGGGAAACCATTCCTCCGGAGCAGATTGGGAACTACCACCCCGTGATTCGACCGGACTTGTGGGAGCACAACCTCATCCCGATCAGAACTAACTGTGACTTTGTGCCAGAACAAGCTCCATTACGTCGCTGGTTCGATCCCTCATCGCGAAGTGACTGCTTGTTCCTGATTGCAACCGTCCCGGATACCTTTCATTCCCGCATTATCCGCGCAATCCGCGATCTCATCCTCAAAAATGGTTCACAAAGTGCTCTTCTGGGGCGGCTTCGGTACGTGCGGCGGTTGGTTTTTTTTTTTTTTTTTGGTTTATGGCCTGGGAGCAATTGTCAATCGACGATACGGCTTGAATGGGCTGTTTTTGCTCACCTGTTATTTCCTCCAAATTTCTTGTATGCTGACCCCATTCCTTGTGTATAGGCATCGCCGTCCGACTCTGGCAACTCGGCATCGAAATGCGTCCTATCCTCGCTAAGGAATCCCTTTGGGTGTACCCCCTCTTCGCCGGTGTTGGCGGCAGCTTCGGATACTGGCTCCAGGGCGTTGAAGACCGACAACTTAAGATCCTCGCACAGCGCCGGAAAGATGTCCTGGAGAAGCGCCGCAGACGAGACGAGGGAACATTGAGCAAGGTGGAAGAGGCTGGAACATTGGCTGCGACATCGTGAGATTTGTACATTGCTGTTTGTCTTTTTTATCAACTTTTATCTGTCTTCAGAGTCGCAGGTGGAGGGTTGAACGGCATATTCTTCTTACCAGGCTAGACGGAGAATGAACCCCCCGCCATACTTGTACCAAAAATGCAAAATGGTTAATACTCGACAAAGGCTCCCGGTTTGTAAGAGTAGATAATTGCTGCCTCAGGGAGAATTCTCCTCAATTTCCAAGTCGATGTAATAACAACAGGACGGGTCGAATTCCCACAAGTACTATAGAATCCGAAGGAAATATGCAACCTCGAAATCATCTTTGGTGGTCATAACCAGATATCTATACAGGCGTATTTTCCGGGAAATAAGCACCACACACAAAGGAATGCCTCTGCTGGGGTTGGAGATTCGACTTTCTTATCTTTTGAGTAGATCTGCCATATTGCATCTCTGTTGCCGGATGTTGCCGTGTAGCTATAAAAGTAATGGATTGGGGTTGGATTACTATCTGCATCCATTGTCTGCCATAGAGAGTCCAGTTTAGGGGCGTTTCTCGCCATGAGAAGGATGCTAAGGTCTAGATATTGAATCGATAAACCCTTTATAAATTGAATGTAGAAGATATCTATAATCCGCGCCATACCACGCATGCCGCTAGACCTGCCCGGTATGATGCTTTGTCCTGGAAAGCCCGTAAAGAGCCCACGAAGAAGTAGTTAAGGGGAGTTTTTAGAAAGATAGTTCCATTGAAATGGCATGTATGCCACACACGTAATGGTTGCTTGCGGTTCATAATGTACAAGTATGGTATTATATTAGAGACGAACGAAATCCAGCTCAAGTTCTCTCTATCGTAAACTGCAGAGAAATTTCCCACTTCTGACCACCACCGGCTCCTCCATATCCTCCCCCTAGTCGATTCCGGATCAAGCTAGAGATTCGTTCGCGGAGTCGCGCGAGGTTTTCTTCCGAGCCTGAAACACGAAGCTTCAAGTTTGCCATACATAAGCCGTAGTGTACCTGCCAAAATCTAGCATCGTCGACGCCAAACACACATGGATCGGCTTCAATATCTCGGACAACATCGGAGACACCTTGGTCTGAATAGGACATGAGGAGCATGGAACCTAGGGTCTTCACTAATCGCACCCCGATTACACACATGGAGATTGCGATCGTGCTGGATAACATGACATCAAGCCAGGTATATAAACGAATCGAAACCAATGGGAGCAACAAGAGCAGAGTAGAACAGGAGAGAGTGAGGAAATGAGATGGGTTACTAAGAACTGAGGGCAAGGAATCAATGTAACCAAATCGCATTGCCTTGCCGATGCGCCCATGGTTCCTCAAGCCAATTGCAGAAACCAGCGTCGATGATATCGCCAGGAGGGCGGTGAAGTCTACACTTCCAGGGGACACGCGTTCATGGACATGCGCGTGGTGTGGCTCATGACCAGAAGACTCAAGAAAGTGCTGAAGATTATGGGAAATGAGGTCCATTCCCATGAACAAAAGCAAAACGCACATAGCGAAGCCGGCCAGGACCTCTGCGCGTTCCAGCCCAAAAGGATGTCGAATGCTGGACCTCTTCCAAACCTCGAAATTCCCCAACACATCGACGGCAACGCAAAGCAAAGCTCCGAGTGAGTCGAACAATATCAAATGCGATAGAGCCGTCATAGCCAGAGAGCCGTGCGCGCTCCACAACGTATATGCGGCTACAAACATGTGGCATACACTCCACCAGAGCCGCCTTTTCTGGTCCACAGACATGCTAGCTCGACATTCTTTCAATGTCGGTATAGGTAACGAGTTAGGTAGAGCTAGAGGCGCCCTTGGGGGAGGTTCGAGGAAGATCTGGTGTGAAATACTACTGTGCTTGTACTTGTGACCACGTCGCTGGCCGATGTTCTAGGATCAATTTTACAACCGTTAGCCCGAATCCATCAAGCGGTGTATTTGACGGTGAAAAAAACTTACAGATTTCACGACCGGGCTTTTGGCCATAGTTGTTGTTTGGAAATTAAATGGCCCGGGGGAAACATCATCATTCTGGCCATTTTGTTGTACTATGTCCGTGGAGTTACTGGTATTGAAAGACGCTCTGGTAGGACTCAACCGATTGCGGTCTTCTGGATCTACTGGGCCCCGCTGCAATGGAAAGGAATCTACCATAGGCGACAAGGAATTGCGATCAAAATGATGGGATAAGTGACCAGAGACGCTGGGAGGATCGTCGGGAGGCGGCGTGGGAGTTCGTGGAGGCACAGGGAGAGGAAGGTTTGACGCCATTGCACCGAGTCGGGGGATGGAAGATCGGTGCGATTGTGCAAATGGAGCAGTGTTACACCCGTCCGATTCACAGGGAGGAGATGGGGGAATGACAACCTCGTTTCACCGAAGGGATGTCGGAATATGAATGTGGTGAGGTTTTCTATCGGGATCAGGAGGCGGGGAGGGAGCCATCGGAGAGACGCGGCCTTAGGCCTCGACTCACTCATCGCATCATCGACTCGTCTCGTCAATCAATATTTCATCCTTCTCTCTCTTCTTACCTCACCATCAGTTGTTTTTTTTTTATTCTTCTGGTTTTAAAGAGTGATTCTATTTCTTCATCTACTTTGTCTGGCAATGCGATACCCATCGACTATTCAAGAGGTTGTTTGATTTGAGGCGACATCCATCGGGCGCTGGCGTCTCTGTAGCATCCATGGATCATCGCGGTTCCTTTGTCTTCTGGTTCTTGCTCGTTTTTTATCTTCTTCTTAGCTCGCAGTCTCACTCTCCACTAATATACCAGGATCGCGAACATCAGCTTGAGCTTGAAAGGGAAAGATATGCGCTCCGCTTGTTAAACGAGTCCAGATATGGGGACTTTGACCCACGAGCTGATAAATGGCTCCCATTCTTGGGGGCCCGGAAGAATGATAGTTATCACTGGGGTCTCCTTGCAGATGTACAGGATAGAGCTCAGTACCAGCTACGGTCAATTATCTCAGATGCGGGGTTGGCGCTACCGAGGGCGCTCGAAGACAACGAAGCGTCATCTCCCTCATTTAACCTCTCCCAGCTTCTTCTTCCTGTTTACCGCAACTCGACAGGTAAACTACGGGGAGACTGGGTGCGCCGCAAGTTGGACACAGCTCACCCTAACCTTAACTCGACTGCTGTCGTCCTCGAAAATGAGTATTCCACGCCGGCATCCAGCGATAATATAACCGGTAATAGTGGAACATTTTACTTGGATCTACGTGAGGGAGGTGGAGAAGAGCTAAAGCTACCTCAAGGCCATGTTCGAGAGATCAGAGCAACTTTGGCCGTAGAACCTGGTGATTTCTGGGGCATTACGTGGTATATTTCTCTATATGGTATTCATTTCCCCGAGACGGGCGGCACCATTCTCACCACGACGAGCGAAAAGTTTGGCGGCGTATTTACTTTGCCTCATCTGACGCTGTCTACGGAGTCGTTTGACCTCTCGCACCAACTTCTTTTGAAATCTTTGTCCGATACCTTATCGGAGAAGCAATCTCGGCCTCCGACACTTTTCCCTTGGTCTTCAGTTGTAGGGACAGAGCAGGTGGAATTTCCTGCTCCTAGATGCGAACATATTGTCTACCTCCAGCAGCATCCAGTTACTATTCGGAACTATCTTGCGGACAATGCGGTTATTGATCGGATAGAGCAGGAACTGAGATACCCCATGGGGGCGCCAATACCTTCCCCTCCACCAATGGTCATGTCAGCGGTAGTTTTTTCACCAGACTGTGGATATGTCCTGGAAACAAAGGGAGCTCCCGAGTACCCTCCGGCAGAAGGACTTTACGTTTCCGGGCCTAAGCTGGAAGAACTCCGCAAATATTCCACTCGCATCATCTTCTTCCTATCTGCTATGTTTGCCGGGCAGATTACATTACTTTTGCGACAAATTAAAGATGCTTCGACTCCATCCACGCGCAGCCGGATCAGTTTCTATACGATCGTTATGATGTCTTTCGGGGATTCCTTTGTGCTCGTTTTTATTCTCATGCAACTCTATCCAGCGGTTTCATTCCTAATCATGGCAACTGCATCATTTCTCACTTTCATCTCTGTCAGCTGCATTGGGATGCAATTTATGATTGAAATTTGGGCGGTCCAGGCTCCAGAGCGGAGAGATCAGACTCGCCGGTCCACTCCCACAACAACCACCCGGCCAGGCGAGCTACCTCTTCCAGCCACAACAGCTCGAATCAGCGACTCCGGTGCGACCCCAATTATCCTGACGCCTGATCAAGACCCTCCTGTGGAGGAGGAGGAGGAGGAGGAGGAAACTACTCCAAACCGTTCCACCACGCGGACTGTGCGAGAGGCTCGTTTTGATATTGGCGCTATGTACGCACGTTTCTATTTTATCTTGTTCGTGATGCTTATCGTGTCTATATGGGCATATCTTTGGCCTAATCGACTAGGAACGTTGTATGCGCGAACCTTGACTTTCGTATATTTGTCATTCTGGGTCCCTCAGATCTATCGCAATGTCATACGCAATTGTCGCAAAGCCCTGCGATGGGATTTTGTAGCAGGCCAAAGCTTCCTCCGCCTACTCCCATTCTTATACTTCCTCACTATCCGTGGGAATGTGTTATTTATTCGTTCCGATCTAACCACCGCACTTTCACTTGCCGGCTGGGTCTGGGTTCAAGTGTGGATCCTAGCAAGCCAGGATATTCTGGGGCCACGCTTCTTTGTTCCCCGAGGGTGGGCACCGCCTGCCTATGACTATCATCCAATTCTCCGACATGCTGCCGACTCTGGTCTTGATCTTGAATCCGGCGGTGTCCTACCGATTGGAGCGCTCAGGGCTGACGGACGAGACTTCTCAAGCGATGCAAAAGACGACGATCGCCAACGCCAGAAGGATCGCAAGAGGGCGATTTTTGACTGCGCAATCTGTATGCAGGACATCGATGTACCTGTTCTCGCAGCCCCTGGAGCCGCTGGCGGTAGTAGTGTTGCAGACGGGGCAGCGACCCTCTTCACTCGTCGTACATATATGATTACTCCTTGCCGGCATATTTTCCATAGCACCTGCCTTGAGAGCTGGATGCGACTTCGGCTACAATGCCCTATCTGCCGCGAATCTATTCCGCCAGTATAACGGTTTTTTTTTTTTTTTTTTTGTCTTTCCATGGGATTTAGGCGCATAGATTGGTGTTTACGGAATAGGATCATCTCGTTTCTTTTTATGACCAACATGTACACTACCTAGGTGCTAAATGACACACACACACACATATATATATATATATATATCAAGCTCATGATGCTAAGGAGCGTCTACGTAGTGTCAAATGGCATGGAGTACAACTTATAAAATAGTAATCAGTCGCCTTTGTTGTTGAACTTATAAAAGGCACGCAGCCGATGAGGGCTGAACGCAAGTCTAAACGAAAAAAAATATATATATTTACTCCCCCAAATGGACAACACAATCATCTAGGATTTTCCAACCAGAAAACATGAAACAGCACAAGAACACAAGAAGTAAAAAAAAAAAAAAAAGCAGAATCGCTCTCCCGTTAGTTTTAAACTAGACTCATTCAGCTCATACTCCGGTGAATCAATCAATGGTCCTCGTCAATGGTATCCTTGTAGGCGGCGGCATCTAGCAGGCCGTCCAGCTCAGCTGGGTCGCTGACCTCGATCTCAGCGATCCAGGCCTCTCCCTCGGGGCTCTCGTTGATGAACTTGGCCTTGTCCTCAAGGACGGCGTTACCCTGGATAACCTTTCCGGAGACAGGGGAGAGGACATCGGAAGCCGACTTGACGGACTCCACGGCGCCAACGGGCTCACCAGCGCTGACCTCAAGGTCGGCGGCGGGGAGCTCAACGTATACAACGTCACCGAGGGAGTGAGCAGCGTACTCTGTGATTCCGATCTTGGCTATTCAAGGGGAGCGAGTTAGCAATCGTTAATTGCGATTCTCCTTGGGCTCGGTGTAGCAAACGCACCAGTCTTGCCGTCGGCGGAGAGCTCGATCCACTCATGGGACTCGGTATACCTCTTCTCTTGGACTGAACCATTGGAGGTCACGGTTAGTATACGATTTGAATAAAGGTAGGCGACCATCCCCCATGGCCTTTTTCGGGCTGTATTCTGGGTGCGATCTTACAGAATGTGCTCTGCGAAAAGCTTCGGATGCTTCCCCGCGGGAAACTCGTGGCGGGCGAAACCCTGCGGAGGCCAGAGCTCAGAGGGAGCTTCTGGGAGAGGGTGCGGGTGGCGAAGGGGCGAATGGCTCTGGCGACGGCAGACATGGTGAGAGGAGTTCTAGGGGGGAAACTAGGGGAAGAAAACTTGAAAGCAATGAAGAAATTGGACGGGGAGTGAAGTGGGAAGAAAGGGAAAGAGAAGTTGAGAATGGATGATGTCGGAGCGAGAAGTAGATAAATTGCCAAGACTAACTGATAAGCGCGTCATGTTCGGGAAAATCTTCACTCCTGTGGCTTTTGTTGCTCATTCAACTCTTCTCCGACCCGACACACTAGAGACTGAACCCCACTCTACACCTTTTTTCCTTCTTCTTTACCTGTAGCCATCATGCTGTACGAATTGATTGCCATTGTATGTTGGTGGTTTGGGATGAGTTGAGCCTGGTTTTGGATCCTGGTTGCTGATTTTTCATTAGGTCCGTCCGGGCAGCTTGCACGAGGTTCGAGAGTGAGTACCCCTTTGCTCCTAGCTAATATCGCCTGATTACCCTGTTTTCTGCTCAAGTCTATACGGATCCAATATGAACTGCAATTCTCAATGCGCAAAAGAATGGTTGTTGGATGGAATTGACCGTGAAACAGAATCGCCCGTAATGCTGGCATCCAAGTCCTGCGGTCCGGCGGCGTAATCCGTGGATACACAAATTGGGGCGTCTTCCGTCTTCCCAAGCCTACTACAAAGCATCAAGCCCGGTATACCGATGGACATCACTTTATCATGCGCTTCGATGCCTCCGGGCCCGTCCAGATGGCCGTCCGCCGAACCCTAGGCCTCGACCCTCGGATGATTCGCTTCTCGGTGGTGAAACTAGGTGACAAACTGGAGGAGGTTAAAGATGTCGATGGACACATCAAATGGAACAACACTCGCAACCTTTCAGACTCGATCTAAGAAAGACTTCGACCGGGTCATTGGAGGAGTTGGAAGTCACGAAAGCCTACTGGTCTGGGACTTGGGGGTTTCAATTGTGTTCAGGTTCGGATAGGAGATATCACTCTGTACAGTATTATCAGCATGACTGGCGTATATTTGTTTTCTTATTTGTTATTACTATTCCCTTTTTTTTTTTTTTTTCTTTCTCGAAGACTCTGTGGTGCCTGCCATTACCGTGTGACTATATATGCATTCCGATGGGAAAATGACTATATCAACTTACGAGAAGCAAAGCCCATACAAATTGCGATATTCTAACTTGAGTTTAAGTGAGTTATAGAGACTTCGGCCATACCGGTGAACACGGCCATATATATTCGAGTGCTTTGACCAATCAAATTAGTGACAATCAAGATCAAGTTAAGCCAAGGAAGCCGAGGTTCATCGTCCCTCTTTCGTGTCAAAGCACCGAAAGAACAGATATAATAACAGAGGCAGATAGATAACTCAACCAAGACAGATTCTACGACACAACGGACTAACAAGACTGCACACTGCAGCTTTTGAATATTAGGCGCCGTTCAGCTCACCTCCCCGCACACCCCCAGCGATACTTATCATGGTTGAACCCTCAACCCAGGGGATTCTAAAGAAGTCACCCATTTCCTTTGTGGAGTTGATGGCCCTGAAGCCTCTGGGTACACAAACATCCATCATAAATCCCGATGAGCCGGAAAAGGTGGACCGATTCGAGTCTATTACCCCTTCATACGCCCCAGGTCCAGGCACCCGGGCATTCGGCGGCCATGTATATGCCCAATCAGCCTATGCAGCCTCCAAAACCGTAGCAAAGGGCTTTGTGGTACATGTAAACACTCTACACCTGCATTACCCCTAACATGCATGGGTTATATATACAACGCTAATCCGGATTCTAGGATATGACGGGCACATTCATTCTACCGGGCCGGACCGACATCCCCTACATCTACAGGGTGCGACATCTCCGTGACGGCGCTATGTACTGTACCCGCGCGGTAGATGCCCGACAAGATGGGCAGATTTGCTTTTCCTGTATCTGCTGCTTTAAGCGGGACGAGAAGCAGGAGACATTCAGCCACCAGGCAGTCCCCGCACAGGAGCGCTTCAAGTCTATCCTGGCGGGGGAAAGGCCCGAGGAGCACCAGATTAGTCCAAGTGTCGATGCAGATTGGTGGATTAGCCAGGTTGCATCGGGCGCATTCAAGGAAAAAGAGTTTCCGGGGCTAGACGTCCGAAAGGTGGATATGAAGCACTACAATACTACTCTCGAAGTCAAACAGAGCCCGGAAAAGTATCGCCAGTTGACCCTTTATTCGCTAAAGGGGTCTCCGGGCGGGTTTGGCGAGGGTCTGAACCGGGACGGACTTCGGGGACGAGAGGAATCGGGAGAGTTTGATAACCTGTATGCCTGTGCACATATGTACTCCAGCGACAAGAATTCGTTGCTGCTTATTCCGCGGGCTCTGGGTATTACGACTTGGAGTTCGATGGCGAGCTTGACGCTCACGGTTGTGTTCCATCAACATGGGGAGGCATTACGAATGGTTGATTGGGGGGCAACATCGGATAAACAAGGGGAAGAGCCATCCAAGAAGTGGTTTATTCAGGAGGGATGGACCCCGCGGTCAGGAGAGAACAGAGCGATTCATGAGAGTTGGTTGTGGAGTCCGGATGGTAAACTGATAGCGACGAGCTACCAGGACAGCATGCTTCGGCTGAATGGTCTTAATGAAGGGAAGCTATAAAGACCAAGGCAACAACTAATAGATATCTAGACCATAGACAGACACCACGGATTATAATACTATATCTAACTCTTGCATCTTCTTTCTACCTAAAAATGTCCACTAAAGGACGAGTATCAAGAGACGGTACCAAGGAAAGCCCAGCTAGCAAGGCTTCTAAAGCTTCGACCTCCCCTCAACACCGGCTAAGAACGAAGCCCTCCTAATATCCGGCTTTTGCGCGAGAAGAGGCCCGATTGCCCTTCCGAACTGCTTGAAAGCCGCGGTAGAGGCGTGAGCTTTCAGGTTGTCCGCATCAGTGTACCTAGGACAGTTAGTTTGTTTTTCTCTCTCTTTCAATTGGAATTTCCCTTAGACGATCAATTTATATCCGATGGGAAGAACAGAAGCAACTCACTTCTCAACAAGAACAAGTTCCTCACTTCCCTGGGGCTGAAGGGCGAAGTAGATCTGAGTCTTCGGTTCGTGCTCCTCGATGAACTTGGAGAGGACTTTGAATGCTTCAACAACCTATATATATTCTATTCGTTAGTTCCCAGTATATCCAAAGAGAAAGTATGCCTATCAAGTAAATTTATCTATTACGAAATGCATATAACCTGTGAGAGTGCTTACTTCGTTGAATTTGCCCGGCTTCGGGACGAGCTTGACAACGTTATAGATTTCTCCTGGCATGTTGGCTGAGTCGTCTCACTATTTCCCAATTCCTGATAATCCGAGTAAATTGACGTGAAGACAGATACAGAATCGAAGAAAATTGTATCTGAGAATAGCTAGAGATTCTCGGGTCTCCAAGGTGGAGGCGGCGAGATGCCGAGGATGATCAGTAGTAGAGGAGGAGCAGCAGCAGCAGCAGAGGTATAGCCGCACTGGAATGGATCACATAATCTTGTCCACCAGTGTGAGGCGTATATTATTATTCTAGTTCTGAGTTCATATGAAAATCATCAATATTCTTTTTCTCTTTAAATTATGGCTAATTTTATATACTCAAACTAGTGGTTCCGTTCTCCGGAATGATGCATTTATCTGCGGAGGCTTCAGCCTACCTGGTATAGTTATAGGCCATAGGTAGTCAAACTAGCAACATTGTTTATTATCGCAGGATTTGTACTTGATGAATTAAAATTGCCAAGTATAGTGACGAGATCATAGCAGCTTTTTCTGCAGTTATATATATCATGGAGCTCTCGTATGTCGACAGAAATATATGTTGGGGCGTTGGGACCTTCTGGAAGCCTGCCTTAGGTATACGGGATGCCATCACATTCACTCCCACCATCACCATGAAAACGCTTAGCGACCCGTAGGCCACAGTATTTATTTCGTCAATTTGTTCTACAACTTCGTGTATCTTAAGCAACCCATTCCTTTACTTTTCCATTAGTTTGATACTAAATTGAATCTATTTCGGCATCAATTTGACATCCATCAATATATAGTTGGCCATCACGTGTTGACAGCAGATGACGTAACCCATCCCAAAGTGGAGGTGCCAGGCACGACAACCAAGTGGGCATCAATATTCCAGAAAGACAGCTCAACCATAGACATATCTCTGAAAATGAAGAAGACTCTACTACTGGTATTCATTCACGGCTTCAAGGTACATTCTCTTCAACTGACCTCCCGCACGTCTCGTTACTTATCTACCCGTGGCTAATGCTTTCAACACACAGGGCGGCGACGATACATTTGGCAACTTCCCAGAGCACATGCGGATGCTCCTTAGCCGCGCACTCCCTGCCGTAAGTATTGCTACCGCTGTATACCCCAAGTATGAGACTCGTGGGAGTTTGCAAGAATGTGTGAGTGCGTTCCGGGAATGGTATGTGGCGGCTTTTTTTTTTTTTTTTCTGGATTCTGGAGTTGAATCATGAGATCCCGAAGCGCTAATACGTTGTATATAGGCTACAGAATAGGGTTATCGACCTGGAGGTTTCGAACCGCACACCCTCTCCTACTGTTGACCCTTCTGTACATGTCTTTCTCGTTGGCCACTCGATGGGTGGGATCGTTGCAGCAGAAACGCTCTTACTACTAGCCTCTGAGCAGCCAATTGCAGGGGCATCATCATCATCATATACAGCACAAAGTCAGTCTGATATAAGTCCTACGGAAACCTCAGTGAATACAGGCAGTTCAAGTTTCCTAGAACCGAGTTCTTTTATGTTTCCTCATATACAAGGCGTGTTTGCATTTGACACCCCTTATCTCGGCATCGCTCCAGGAGTAGTGTCGTACGGTGCTGAGGAGCAGTACAAAAATGTCACATCTACGTACAGTGCGATCTCTGAAGTAGCCGGCTTGTTCGGGTTCGGGGCAAGTAGCAGTTCTGCTTCGTCGAACAAAGACGCACCTCCTCAGAAAGAGCTTAAGAAGGCGCTTCCACCTGCGTCGGATGATGACGCTGCAGCGACACCGTCCTGGCAACGATGGGGACGGTATGCCATGTTCGCCGGCGCCGCAGGTGCAGTAGCTGCGGGCGGTGCGGCGGCAATGTATTCCCAACGCCAACGCTTGACTGACGGTTGGGGGTGGGTCTCATCACATCTTGCATTTGTCGGATGTCTAGCACGTCCTGCAGAACTTCGTCAGCGACTGTCACGGTTGGCCCAGGTGGAAATGGACCGAGGAATCAGATGCATGAACTTTTATACATGTTTGGGCCAGAATGTGCCACCAAGGGTGGACAATAGTACCAGCAATACTCACGAGGAAGACCGAATGTCGTTCAGTTCCAAAATTATCCGGTCGAAATACCGTACTTTCTGCTCTCTTCCTGCTGAAGAGGAAGGCCAAGAACAGCCAAGCACGCTGGCCCCAGGACTTGCGTGGATCAGGGCTGTGAATGATGGCGCCACAGATGAGATTAAGGCTCATACTTGCATGTTCCTACCGAAGGAGAATCCGGGTTTCGATGAGCTTATGAATAATTCCTGTACGGCGATGGCCAGGTCTGTGGACAAGGGCTGGTACGCAACAGCGACTGGAATTGACGAAGATATTACCAAGCCACAGGCCAAAAAGGGCCAAACCCAGAATCAGCCTGGGTGTCGGTCTACAGATTTAGAAGACGATGTTGTGGTTTTGGACTAAGGGGGTTGGTTTCTTTGCATTTGTTTTATTATTAAAAATGCTGCCTTTGGAACCAGGGGAGACAGAAATGAAATCAGCATTTTTACAGGGTTGGAAGTATAATTCCCAGAGACGAATGTCTTATGCTTCTGGTGGTCGAAAGGTAAGTTTATAGACTTTTATAATTACCCTATCTCTACTATGGACTGACTCTATCCTAAGCATATATTTAAGCAGGCAAAGAGCTGGTTTCCTCTTTCTCTTTTTTTTTTCATTACCTTCTTTCGCCTTCATCGCGTCACCGAATAGAGCGTCAGAGGGATGAATAGGGTGTTCTCCCGCGTCCCTTGCCCCTATTTTCACTGCGTGACTGGCTTGCTGATAATTGTCCTCTTCTTCCCTTGACTCTCAATAATCACGCTTTCTATGATTCTGCGAAGTGCGTCAAGGTGAAGGGGAGGAGTTACAGAATTAGGTGTGATAGAGTTTGGTTTTTTTTTTTCTCTCAGAATATCATTCCAAGAAAAAAATCAATATACTAAAATCACATGCCTCTCAAAAAAATCCATTTTTTCTTGGAATATAGCTCCTCCCCTTCAACTTGACGCACTTCGCAGAATCATAGAAAGCATGACTGAGCTTCATTTGGGAGCCAAGCCCAGAACAATTATCGACGAGCCAGTCGCAGTAGAAAGGGGGCCAAGGGACGGGGGAGAACCGTACCTGGCGAAACGAGGCCCTAGGCCTGGCACTTCGGACCCGGGATCCCTATACCTACGGAAACATCCCAAGGCAAGAAGAGAACAATTAGCGGCAAGCCAGTCGCAGTAAAAAGGGGGGCGAGGCACATGTGGAGTTTGACAGGAACATACAGCCTAAAACTCTTTAATTATTAGATATCACAACTATAATGATAAATGCACCTATATGTTACGTATAGGTATTGAGCTTAGTGCTAGTTAACTAAAGAATAACTAACTAATCATCCTTGGACATGATTACTTTCTAGGTTTATCTGATAAGAAGTAGACTATAAATAATAATTTACCATGAAGACCCTAAATCCTTCTTGAGCTCATATTTATCGTTAGGGGGGTTTCCCCCCCCCCTCGTTACCTTGTCCAAGTGCAAATTTATGAAGGAAAGCTAGGAGGAAACTGGTTCCACAATGAAACTCGGAATACAGGGGGAAAAATCAACACTATCAAGAAGAATCGCTAATAAAAAGGAATAACTAGTGCAATATGGATATATCACAATCCGAAAGCGGCAAGGGGGCAGCTAGCCAAGCACCCTCGCAACATAAAGTAGCGCCATATATATTAAATATAAACCCAAAAAAATAAGGCAAAATCACATCACTAAAAGTTCCACAGTCATTACGCTTCGGTGAGTTCAAAATCACGTGTTAATATGTAGATAGAAAGTAAACAAGAGGCTTAGAGGCGTCCGAGGTTCCCTGTTTTTGCCCCAGCAGGAAACGGCGCAAGAATTAATAGTTATGGCCATTATAAGTCGACTGCCGAGGATGATACGTGCTCCCGGCATACTCCGAATTTGTATCTTGATAGACTGTTGCTCGACGGTCTTCTTCGGGAAGGAGTTCCTTCACTTCCCAGGTATTAGGCTTGATTCCCACGGAGAACTCCAAATCCTCCTTTGTAATGTAGTCCCAGAACTGAAGGAAGGATATTAGACCATTTCTGCTATGAGAATGGGAACCAGTGCCGAAACGTACCTTGTAAACCATCATGACGGCTAAGAGGTTGCAGATTGTGGCAAAGAAAAGGCCGTCCAAGTAATGTTGAACACGACTACAGATGGTGTCACCAAAGGCATAAAGAAGCACTTGTCCACAGATGAAAACCACCAGGCCAAAGGCAATGTGACCCAGTGGCCAGCGGTCCTCCAGTGTGTTCATTACAAGCAGAAGCTGCATAATTAGATATACGGCGATGCAGATCGCGTTGAGGATGTATAAGACCACAAACAGGCCAATGGTGTTTGTTGGGCTAAGGCCGCCCCAAGACTCGAAAGTCAGGATGGAGATAAGAAAGGAAACGGCAAACATTGCAACGGACGTGAGTCGTAGCAGCCAGACTGATAGAGCAGTGCCGTCCTCATAGAGTTGGAACCCCACAAACCCATTGACCAGCAAGCTGGTACATAGCGCAGAGGCTAACCCATTCTGAACTGCAACGAACCATGGGAAAGGACCACTTCTTGGGGGAACAACCCCAGCATCGATAACCAACGAACATACAGTAAGGGCCAAGAAGATGTAGAAGAAGGTGATGATTTCCTTTCGGCCTAAACCAATACCATGTGTTATGAGCGGGTTATTGCGCAAGGGCAAATGTATATATCTGGGGTAATATGGAAACCATACCAACGGCGGTGAACTTTGACCGAATATGCAGTATCATGATCATCGTCATACCCAGCGCAATAATATGTACAAAAGATGCAGCGCCTTCAAAAATGATTGTATTGGCCAGCTCGATATTCCGGGCATAGCAGTTCGGAATAACTCCAGTGGCACCTGATATCGAGGACGGAGGGCCAACTAAGGAACAAAGGGGCAGCGCTGCCTTTCGGCAGATGGAATCGAAGTCCCCAAACCCCATGTTGAAGAAGTACGAAGCCGAAACTCGATTTGATCGACTGGTTTGTATGTGATGGAAATGGGGTTGAGGGTGTCAAACAACCCCGGATCTGGTCTTTCGGGGATCGATTAAGATAGGGGGGATTGTAAAACGAGGGACTTGAGGGATAGCAAACAAAGCAAAAGTAATCACTAGTGTCAACGAAAGGACATCAACTGTGACAAAAAACTTGGGCGGCAACGGTCGCCTCAGCGATGGCTGGAAGAGGGGGAGGCTGGTTCTGGGAAAATAATCCCTAGTGTGAGGCTGTTTGGATCGAGGATCACGGGATGCGCTAGTTCTAGATCAGGACTAGTCACGCGTTGCTATTTTTGGAATAGCGCGTCTCCCCAGGAACCTCTCCAACTTTGTTGCGCTAAACTGAATTTGGCATTTTGTTTATTCGGCCGACACTAACTCCATAGAGTTAGTCTGTATACAACTCTGTACGGAGTACTTCGTACTGTAGAGTCGTAGACAGACAGTGGGACCATCGTGCATCGCTTGTCGGATCGACAACTCCACGGCACCTGTTCCTGGAGACAAATTTCTTCTTGATAGGGGACCACGTGTCTCCTTCCTCGGACGGAAACCCCTTCCGTTCTTCAGAATTAGCGTTTCAGGCGCACAATAATAATAAATCCGTGGTATCCTTTCCCTTCCTTCTAGGGCCTTATTTCCGCACGATCCATTTCAATGTCACAGATGAATTGCCTGTTTCTTTCCTTTATCCGATTGACCGTTGTAACCGTTGCCCAGGAAGCCTGGTAGGTTTTCTCGGGACACGCCGAGCCTGACGGATACCTACAAGACTAGCCCTAGGTATCGGTGAAACCTGGTACTTAGGCACCCTCATACGCTCCGTATAACTACTCTGTACATTAATGACATGAACCTTATCAGTATCCTTGAGCCTGCATAATGCATCCATACTTCAGGATAGTGACTTCTTAATATAAGGTCTCATGTTACTGTTGTAATTTCCTGTTCAAGATTCTGTAAACAAGAGTGATGCACTGCTATCCCCCCCCCCCCCCCCCCCCTTTCTCATTTACTAGGTTCAGTTGAACGGCAATTACCCGAAACTTTCCTGGGGATGGTGCCATTTGAGTGGACACGTCACACGTTTTGATGGTTATGTGCACGATGGTTTATTGCTATATGGTCCATGCTCTTTATAAACACTGACAATAATATAATGATATGAATACATGATGATGATGATGATAATAAGGAAGAAATAGGGACTGTCCACAGCACAATAAATCTATCTAAAAATACCAGCTGCTACTGGCTTCTGACAGAATCTTAGGGTTAACTTAGTCGTCCCAAAATTGACGATTTCTCCATAGAAAGAAAGCGGAGAGGGAGAAAGATTCCGGATGAGAGAGAATTCTCATTTTATCATCTAGTCGGAGTGGATTTCCCTCACAGCCACTTTGACTTTGGCTTCTTTGTCTTAGTCGAAGTCCCTAATTTTCCCAGAAAAAAAATTTTAATTGCAATGATGATAGTAATCTCCAGTCCCTCCGGGATCTTCAAAGGAACCAATAGTAAGCGAAGATAGCGGCATTTCGTCGAATTACTCGGGACGAGGATTCTTAGTACGGAGGACAGAAAAAGTTTTATCTTCCACTAGGTTCTTTTGTATTATCTCTCCCAAGAAGGTAGACCAAGAGAAGAAATAACATTGCTCGATATACAAAGAATCAATATAGTGTTGGCCAGCGTCCGTCCCTGCAAAAGCTATTCCGGGCGTGGGGCCACTGCAGGCACCACCAACAAATATGAGTCCCTTTAGCCAATAACAAGGCAGAGGAAGTGAGAAACTTGCGAATTTCCCCATACTCTGTTGACCCGGCTTGTCCAAATCGATTGAGATCCTGTGCATGAGCCCAAGTCCTAAGAGACTCTTCAGCCCAGGAACGCCGTAACCGGACCCGCTCCATACTACGAACTCTTGAAAAAAAAAACCACCTTAAACATTTGCTCCTATCTAGTCATATCAACTTCGTCCAGTATCAACTTGGGCGTGCATGAAGATCCTAGCTAGCGCCACGTGCAGTTGAAGCATCAACGGTTTTTGAAGGGACCGCGTCGATCTCCCATTATGTATCCCGATCAGTCCGAAACAGACCTCACCTCACGACTTGGACCACGTTAGGTGGGACTATTTCCACTTGCTCCCTTCACTGATTTTGCAACCATGGCATAGGTTCCTTAGTTGACATGGTTCCGAAACATGTTGTTCCATCGTGCTGGGGCTTTGTCCTGTTCCTATTCCTTGTTTTTATTTGACGAGGAAGAGATGTTAGTTCATGCAGCATATTACCCTGGTTTAATATAGGAAATAATAATAAAAAAAAGCAATCCAAATAATAATAACCATAACCATAACCATTATTATAATAATAATAACTCATCTATAATAATAAAATAAAATAAAATTTGTTTCTTCTCCCCTGTCCCGTACCTTTAGTTACCTTCCTTACGGCAACTCCTGGCTTGTGATGACCCATCCTGGATACTGGCAACTCGCAGGTTTGACCATCATGGGTAGGAGGAGCTTTCCTACTATATATTATTCTTCCTCTGGTTCACCGTGGAGTATGAACCTGAACCTGTTTTAAGATCCGCATTCTCCAACTCTGAACCAACTTCCCCAACCACAACCTCCTTTTTCCTTAATCTTTCGGACTATTTTACCCATCAACAGCCTACCTACCTACCCGTCATGTGCAATTACTTCAAAAACTACTATATCTACAGCACCTGTAGCCAGCCCAGCTCCCATATTATCCGCACCTCCGTCGATGGATCCAAGGAAAGCCGTTGCTCCGACTCCCCACATGATCGATTCATTGTGGTCGTGGGGAAATGCCTTCTTTGCCACTGATGAATCTTTTGCAATTGTCGGCCATGCCCATGGTCCCTTACACCGGCAGAATTTCAGCCCGGGTTACTGCGGCCGGTGCCGGTGGCTCCTGCAGAGGGGTTATCCGAAGCCCTTTTCCACTACCTCTTGATATCACGATTTTTCACGACAATCCGTTGCAAACACACAACACGAACTTTTGCAAACAGTTTCTTTTTTCTTCTTTTCTTTTTCCCTCCCTCGCTTGTCTATTTGCTTATTTTTTCGAGGTTATTGTCTCCTTTCTCTTTGCGGGCTCATTCTTGGTTGTGTTATCAACATCAAAAGGCAAAAATCTATGTATTTGTCGATTTGATTTGGGCAGCATCATGTACACATGGCGTCTACACATGGCGTCTGGGGGAAAAAAAAAAAGGAGTTCACAGAAGATTGGGCATATCTAGATTTGTTTGGATAATTTTTTTTTTTTTCTGTCAATTCAACAAACGAATGCATCAGTGTGGTGTATCAGCCATCCCCTGTCTCGACTTGTTCCGACATACTCCAAGCTCAAGTCACCAGCATCGCCAGCATCACATGTTTGGTCCAGCGCAGCAGCAGCAGCAGCAGTTTTTTTTTTTTTTTTTTTTTTTTTTTTTTTCTGAATTTTTTTCTTTTTAATCTTATTTTTACCTTGCTTGATTCTATTATCTTTTTCTGGGATAGGAACGGAGAGCGGACAGACAACGGGATTTACTGGCAGTAGTAGCGGGGAATCAGACATATGCAGCATCCAGCAGCTCCTTTTACTTAACCGAAATGTGGCGCCTTGACCCTTTGTCAAGCGTACCCTTACGGAGTACCCTACCGTAGGATTAGATGTCCAAGGACAGTAACTACAGCAGCCAAATTTCATGCGGAAAACCTGTGCCTCCCCGCTCCGCCAGAGTTGGCTCTTTTTCCCCCCTCTTCAAAGTTCAACCCCATGTGGCCCAAGTGGAGCTAATAGGACCACATAGTTAGTTAACTATCCATTTGCGACAAGCCGCGGTTACATATCCACCAGGGTGCATAGGTACTGGACGCTAATCAGGGATGGGGCAAGAACATGGAAAGGAACTACATAAGTAGATAGATACTCGTAACTCTGTATAATTCAGTGACAGGAAATTACACTCCAAGTGGGTTAGCATGCTATTTCGGGTTTAGCGCTTCCCTACATGTTATAACTAAAGTCTCCAAGCCGCCTCTAACTAAGCGCACTATTTCTCTATGACCCATCGCGGTGTAATGTTGTTAACTGGCCCCTGGTTCAACGAATCACACCCTAAATGGAAGAAACACTGCCTTGACAGAGACAACCGGGGGGTTGGTCGCGCCTCTGTCATATTGTGGTAGATGATTTGACCACCGGAGAATACTCGACCCTCCACGTGCCTTGGTTATTAACGAGCTGCCTTAGGAAGATCGTCTCTCTGTAGTTGCTGAGAAACCCATACACACAGCCTAGCTTCTGCATGTACTTGATTGGCTGAGCGAGTATTTTCCTTAGGTCGTCGTCGTCGTCGAGCGTATTTTCAAGGCAGTGCTCGCGAACCCACGGCACCTTGAGCTCCCCCCACGACCTTCAAAACGTGATTATCATCCTTCAAAAAAATCACATCAGGCGTGCCAGTGAAGGTAGACTGGACGCATTTGAAATCTGCAAAGCGGATTCCCTTTGCCTGCGATGCGAAGATGGAGTTAAAGCACGTCGCCAAAGTACTTATGGAAACGGCCTTGGGACACCGTGTTCATCCCCAACCTCGGTGTTACCGTAGGTATAGGGATCCCGGGTCCGAAGTGCCAGGCCCAGGACCTCGTTTCGCCAGGTCTGGTTCTCGTGTGTTTCGACTTGCAGAACACTTCTGACGGAGAGCAGCAATTTAAACTCAATCTGATGCTCACTGACTGTAACGTTGCTGACCTTTTCATAACTCCCATTTCTCCGGGTGAGAACGCCAGTCCGTTTCGTCGGGTCGATTAGCCAGCCCGTACGCGACATAACGGGTGTCTGACCATTGAATTTTATCCAGGATTGGCCATCCCCTTCGGAGCCCCGAAATGCGACTGAACTCATTAGTAAATATTCCCAATATATGTAGTAGAATCCTTGACGTACACAGTGCCAGTGGACTGATCATAGATGATCTTCGAGATTCTAGACAGCTGTGGTTTTACACCGCAACGCAGCATCTCTCTGTTAATGATATTAGCTTTCTTTTTCCTGTCTACCATTCTTGGGTTTGGCGTAAACTGACTCGTAGGCAGCACGAAACTTGGCACGGATATCCTCTCGTACAAGGGGATCCAAGCTCCAGAAAAATTCCTCGGTAAGAGGCAACCCAGGCACCTTTTCCCATACAAGGTATTTGATATAGCCACCAGGAACGAGATCATGTTCCTCTTGCTTTTTTTTCGCTGTAACCCAGGAACCGTGGAACAGAGCTACAGCCTTGACTCATCAGTTGCTTATATGCCTCTAGTTCCCCACACACCTCAGGAGGTTGGATTTGCTGCGCCAGTGTAGCCAGATCAGCGTCCTCCGTCCCAGTGGTGGGAATCTGATAATATATTCGCATGAACGCTATCTGCCCCGGGTCCTCCTCGAGGTGGCACAGAAATTTGCCAACTGTCATAGGAGTCCCAACGCCCATGTCGACATCGTCCTGTGCGAGATGAACAGCCCTCTCCCCGAGCTTTTCCGTGATGATCCACGAGCGGGCGATTCCTGGGGTGGGCGAACCAGAGAAGGAAGTTGTAGGGGCCGTAGCGGAGGAGGCCGTAGTAAGCGAAGCCGGAGGAGGCGAGGCTGCAGGAGGGGAGACCCCAGGAGGGTGGGCCGCAGAGGGAGAGATGGCAGACGTGGAGGAAGAGGCAGATGGCTGTTGCGGGGGGTCGAAGTTAGAAAAGGTAGTGTGACCTTAGTCCCTACCAGGCGGCGGATCAATCGGGCATCGAAGTCAGTCGGTCTGGAACGAAATTCCATGATGATTCTTGCGAGCAGGTATCTCTAGTGATAGGTGGATGAAGGTATAACAGGGCAGCTTGAAAGTATGGGCAGTTTCAGCCAACGAGTTCAACTTAGGTAGGAGGAGGCGGAAGGGAGAGGAATGAGCAACGAATGACTACCTATATACATACTAATTTCACGTGAGCGGAGCACCAAGCTTTACAAAGTGGGGTGATTTACAGAGGCTAGTCCGGATTAAGTATAGAACCCCTTTTCAACCCCACAACCCCACAAACTAACCTGTCACAGCAAGCTATAATAGTATTGGCTAGTCAGGCAGTATCTTGATGATGAATTGGTTCTATCTTGAATTCAAAAGAGATAAATCCAGGGTAATCTGTGTGTAGCAACACTAGCTAAATAATAAGGAGACCTAGTATAATATGTGAAGCATGCAGGGGCGGCTGATTAAGCTTTGATGCTATTTGTAGATCTAGATTGCAATCCTAGGTCAGATTTAGTTATTTCATGTCGGGATGCTAGATTCACCTGGAAGGTTCTTATTCACTTTAACAAAGACTTTAACCACCACTTCCACCATCACCACAGAGAAGAGTTTTAGCAACACATAACATGTGGTTATTAGCATAGTATTTCATAGTATCTGGTTTACTGATTATAGATAGATCTAAAATATAAGTATCTTTGGTTATAATTATTCCTTTTATGTTTGTGCCTTAGCATTGTTCAGACAAGATTATTATTAAATACCACTATAAATATACACACCTCACTAGGGAGAGTACAGCGAGTGCTCCAAGAATGATATTTCCTCTCGAACTAAGAGCTTCCTCAGACTTGTCATAGTCCGGCTACCTAGTACTTATAAGCTGACTTGCACAGTATCTAGTAGTTACCCCTAGTACTTTCTAGCGGGCTGTATCTTCTACGAAGACCAGAGAATTGACAAGGAACTGATCCTGCACAAGCGACATTAGTTTACATTATAGTAATACTAGTCCAGTCCCTGGAAGTAAGATAATACATTAACAAGGAAAAGTCCAGCTCCTTAACCTGAGAGGTATCTAACCATGAAACATAACCTGCAACTTGAAAACATTGAACAAAATATCCCCCTGCGAAGTGCCCTTCTCCAAAAATGCATGCATCCAAGCTTACGCCATAATAACTCCTGTATGCACCTCGACTGCGAGATCCGTGCTGAAAATTAACCCGTATCCTTTGTCATCGTGGAACGTGGAATTCTTTCTGATTTTCTAGGAGAGAGCGGAGTAAGGCAAGACTTAATCAGACCCTCATAGAGAACAGATGTTGTTACGTTCCTTTTTTTTTTTTTTTTTCCCCTTCAGGGGCTGAGGTGCACAACTGCCGGGATCAATTGTCCTAAAATCCCCGTGCGTAGAATTGAGGAATGTTAGGTGGGGAGGGGAGAATCAACACCTGGTCCTCCGATAGAGTATCCGCAACAGGTACATCCTCCGATGCGTATGGCTCGAACCCCCATGGGAAAGTTGCTGAAGAACGAGTAGTTGTGGTCAGACGACTGGGGGATGGACTCGCTGGCGGTTCTAGCCGGGTCGGGGTCAGAGGCCGTGACGGGCGCAGGGGGGGAAGCGATAACGGCGGTGGAAGTAACGGGGAATGTGGTTTGATTGATTCATATCCTTGAGTGGACGCTGTGTCTTGCTGCTGTTGCTGCACCACCGGCACAAGAACGAGTGGACGGCGTGATGTGGTCTGATCCAATGTGCAGGTGGAGGTGCATGCTGAATATGCGAGGGATGCTTGTTGGTGGTGGCCGATTGGCGGAGAGACGTTTCTTGGGTCGACGAGCTCTTTGTCAACTGGCTGGATTACGTTCCTTGGTGTCATCGCCGTGGCGGTGCCTCTTGGTCGACTGCCATACGTCGTTACTGTTGATGTGGGAGCGGGGTGTTCGTACGCGGGTCCTGTTTCGGCTGTTGGGGTCGGCCATGGCTTAGTGAGTTTTCTACCTTTCCTCGAGCGGCGGGAGAAAAGGGATTGAAGGGTAAAGTATTTCATGCGCATGATGATGGTGAAGAACAGGCACGCGATCAATAGGACCCCCACTATTCAAGGTTGAAAAGTCAGCATGAAAGACCTCTCTATGGTATCGGATTCGATGTACCTACATATGATGCCGATTGCTAATCCTGTTTTTGCAAGCGAGGGGAGACAATTGTTCTCTGTTTCCTCCTTGTTGGTCTTTCTCTGGCTAGATTGAGTTGTCGCGTCGGGGATTTGATCCCTTTGAGTTGATCGCGGCAGGGTTGCAGCCTGGACGACAGTAAATGTGAATTCGGCTGATAGAAGGACTCCTAGCTGGTTCATGGATCCTTATTTTCCTTATTCAGGTCTTTTGGAGAGAAGTCGGAAGAAAAAAGAAAAGAAAAAAAAAATCATGCAGACCGAGCTGGTGCGAATAAGTCTCGACGGAGATGGATGGATGATCCAACAAAGCTTCTCCGGAGATCTAACTTATATACAAACTACTCTCCATAAAAGGACACGAAGACGAGATCTCCCCCCCCCCCTCCCCCCCAAATTTAGCACCGATTCAGGGCCCTTGAACCAGAACTCCGGGTTCTTTTCGACATGTCTCTCTAAGCAGTGATACATCCATACACCACGCGGTCAGAAGGACAACCAAAGCACTTGATGCCCCCAAATGGTCAGAGGCAATGAAACAGTGATCGACAAAGTGACAGGCACAGATTTTCGAGGTGCAGCCAATCAAACGAACGCGATTGATCGCATTGCACGCCATCTTGGATGTATCAACTGTCAAACGACTTTGGGTCTCAGCCACCGGGGGCGCGCCAGCTCTCCGCATGTCAGCAGGATAACTAAGGGGGGGCCAAAATAACGGCCTGAGATATTAAACTGTGGGACCATGATGACCCTGGAGTCTTCGTGCATGAAGGTGTTAACTCTCAGCAAACTCGTCAAGTCAAGTCAAAACAAAGACCGATCTCCCCGAAGGACTTGCTGCTGAAACTTGTTCCAAGCACTAGGAGTGTCATCAGGATTTTCTTGATCATGTACCGATTGCCTTACATTCTGATGAAGGCTCGGATCCGATTCGAGGATCCTCGATCTGAAAACTTACGAGTCACCATGCAATCCTGGTCGAGGCCTTAGATTACAAAAGTACGGATTATGCATTATGCGCCGTTGTGATTTATCAGATAACACCACGGAGTACTGCTGGATACTTTTGCAAGAGAGACCACCCAAGATAAGAAACGTCATCTTGCATCCTGCATTAACTCAGGGGACCCTTGTTTCCGAAGCCCAACCTGGGAGAATAAAACAAGCTTGAGAGGTAAGACACGGGAATCATCTCCGCGCTGGGAATCCGTGCGTGAATCTGGTAGATCTTATGAACCTGAGCACTTGCCACTGTACTGATCTGTACTGACGAGGGTATTTCTTAGTTTCTGATTGAGTCGAGGGATAGAACATGGGGAGGGTGATAGGAGTATACAGTACTCTTTGACGGACCTGAGTATATTTATTTCTTGAACTCTTATCCTTGCCGAGTTGCAGCATATACATGTATAGAATCACATATATAATCACATGTTGTTTGTTTCTCTGTAGAGACCGGGGTTGACCCTCTTGGTGTTGTTCATCGTTTCCATATGTAGCTACGATTGAAATATTCCTGCAGTGAGGTACGTTATATATAGCTCGTTTGCGATGTATAATACAGAGTAGAGAGACATGGGAATATCCGGGATTAAATATATATAGCAATACATTCTAGCTACTATGCAGGTATTCTGGTTAGCTGCTGTTGAAGTTGTGACTGGTAACGACTTTACTTACGGATACCAACCCCCTACATATACTACTCAATCTAAAGTTAATCAGGAAGTAATTCATTCTGGTTCTGAACAAGGTGAATAAACGGAGCTTTGATGAGCCTCATGAGCCAAGTATACTGTAGTTAACTAGTTATATCTGGAGTAAGCAAGTCGGGATTCGGGTATGTAACACAGATTAAAATCCAACAAAGAAACAATTCGTATTAAAGTTCGGACCGAACTAAATCCTTCTTAAATCCTCATTCTTGCACTCCTCTTCTTCTTCTTCCTCCTCCTCCTCCTCCTCCTCCTCCTCCTCTTCCACCTGTTCTTTCTTACCGAAGCACGATCGATCGACCCCTGATTCCGATCCAGTCTACGCAAAACCATGTCCAAAACAGTCCTGATCACCGGTGCCACGGGCCAACAAGGCGGCAGTGTAATCGACCATCTTCTGGGCCAAGATGACGACTTGGAAATCCTCGCGCTCACCCGTGACGTCACGTCTCCTGGGGCCCAGAGACTCGCGGCGAAGTCTCCCAAGATTAAGCTGGTGCAGGGGAACCTCGACCAACCGGAAGATATCTTTGTCAACTGGCAGAAAGTGACGTCTCAGTCCATTTGGGGGGTGTTTAGTGTACAGGTATGTTAATGTATTTGTAAATGTAGATAGGTCTGTTTGATTGGTTTCTCAAAAAAAAAAAAAAAAAAAAAAAAAAAGGACAGAAAAGAATAATAATGATATAGGTTCCTGCATTCGGTGGATCAAGAGATATCGAAGAACGACAGGGAAAAGGCCTTGTTGACGCCGCACTCAAGAACCACGTCAAGCTCTTTGTGCATACATCCGTTGACCGCGGTGGGGATGCCTCCCTCGAGAATCCAACGAACATCCCACATTTCATCAGCAAGCATAACATCGAGCAACACCTGATCGACTCCTCAAAGAATACAGAAATGGCCTGGACACTTCTTCGTCCGGTCGCCTTTATGGATAACCTGACGCCCGATTTCGTAGGCAAGGTGTTCACTACGACCTGGAAGGTCGCCCTGAAGGGGAAGCCGCTGCAGCTGATTGCCGTGACGGATATTGGGTTCTTTGGTGCGCAGGCGTTCTTGCACCCAGCCGAGTACAAGGGGAAGTGTATCTCCTTGGCGGGGGACGACCTCACCTTTGATGATATGGCGAAGATCTTCAAGAGTAAGACGGGCAAAGATGTGCCGTTGACGTTTGATTTCGTGGTTCGTCTGTTCATGTGGCTGGTCAATGATTTCGGATATATGTTCCGGTGGTTCCACGATGAAGGGTACAAGGCTGATATTGCAGCATTGAGGAAGGTTCATCCGGGCTTGAAGGATTTGAGTACTTGGTTGGAAACGGAGAGTGTTTTTATTGATAACAAGTGATCTTTACCATGCCTTCTTTCTTGCTTTCTATTTCTTGTATATTTTGTATTTCCCAGTTTTGTCTTTATTACTTGCACAGTGCATGAGGACTTGAACAGTCTATTTCACTATTCATATGGAATCTTCGATCATTTGCATGGTATAAATAAAGACCCCCAAGTCGGGGGGAAATAGAGCCGTAATGAGGCTTTTGATGACCAATTCAAGTATCTGTGTGCTAGGAATCTATTGGGTTGCCATATATTCTGCCTGAACCTCCTCCTGTTGAAGCCATATAATGTGTTACTCCTCCTGCCTCTGCTTGCAGTGGTTTTCGACTAGGTGAGTCATTCCGATAGGCTTCAATATTTCGACGATCGTTGAAATAGGTTGGATTCGATCGATTCGGTAGGTTCGGTGGTTGAAATCCATGGGTTTTGGAGTTTGCTTCGGGGTAGGCAGTGTTTATGGTTCTGCCGTTGGGGATGAAGGTCTAAAAATTGAAATAGGGAACAGGGGTAAAAATGGTCTAACTATACATAAGTAGTTAGATTGCTAGTTAGCGGTATCCAAAGTTTGACACCTTATTTGATTGAAAAGCCAGGCTAACTGGATTAGGTCTGGTTATCGCTACGATAACTAACTACATTAGCTCATATATCCTCTCCTATCCATGCCAAATATTGAATCAAGATAGTTATACAGAGCATGTACTCGGTCGATTACGCCGTTCTCTCGGGATCTCGCTGTGTGTCGCGGCCCAGGTAATCAGACGCCTCGAGTTCGTTCAGTTCGTCTTCCTGCTCGTCCAGGTCGGAATGTGTGATCCAAAACAGATTCCCAGCTACGAACGCCAGGACGGCCACGAATCCGTAATTCCAGATGAGGAGAGGGTCGGTCGACAGCCCAGTCAGACCCTGCTGGATGGCCGACGAGATGGCGTTCATGAAAAGGTAGATTGATTGAACTAGATCGGGATAGGGTCAGTATTGAAAATCTTTTTTTTTTTTTTTTTCATTCAATGGATGGAGCGTACCCAAACTCTTCATGTTCCTAGGTGCCTTGGTGTACGCGTACTCGTACCCGGTGATCGAGGTGAAGATCTCAGAAAAGGCAATCAGAACATAAGGGAGCGTCTGCACCCAGACGTTGATTGGCGCTGGTTCGTCGCATGAACTAGCCTGGTTTCCGCATGGACTCATCTTGTAGATGTAGTACTGAGTGACTGCCGCTGCTATCATCGATGCACTTGCCAACATGTAGCCGACGTAGATCTTCTTGAGTGGGGTGAAATTGTATCCCATCCTGTGAATCCCAGGGTAGACAAATTGGTCCATAACTGGGATGAAAATGATCAGGGCAAGAGGATCAAGGTTGTTGATGATATCGTTAGGCACACCGTGCAGTTGCATTGTGGCTGCTTGCGAGATCAAATTGCCAGTTACCTGCCCGTATGCCAACCCTAAAAAGCGTTAGTTAGACATTACCTTTCCCCAGGGACATTCAAGTTGGAGAACATACAGTAAATAGGATACCAGAGGAACACTGCACAAGCTTTGACTGCTCTGCGCACTTCATCGACCCACAGGTCATCGAAAGTCATCCAGGCGGGTTTTTTCTCTACTCTACTTGGCTTCACATCCTCCCAAAATCCAGGTCTGCGGCAGTTTTTCACGCTGCAGGGATTAGCAAGTTTCCCCAAGATCGAAGCCATATCGAAGCACTTACAAGGTGATAGGGTTCCAGGACCAGCAAGGCTTCAGGGCGAACGACCAAAGCTTGAACGCCTTGGCAGCAACGGATCCAGTAGGAGGAGTAACCTGGTACTTGTGACGGCAAAAGAATAGTACCATCGGGCAGAGGGCAAAGAGGGCAGTAGGGATCAGGAAGGAGAGCCAGAATCCAACATATTTCTCGGCGTACACCATGACAATGGCGCCGATCAACGCGCCCACGTTGATCACAAGGTAGAAGTAGAGGAAAATGCGGGTGATTGTTTGTATTCGGTCGACAATGACGCGCTCCCCGGTCTTCGGGTCAATCTTGATGTACATCTTGGTCTCTTTGTGCTGTTCTGCGATCAAAGGAGCAATGTTCGACTTGAACCCTCCAACGCCAACGCCAAAGATCACGAGACCGACTGCGAAACATCCTAAGGCTCTGTCTGGATGTGCAATCACGGGAGGCAGCGCAGAGATGATCAGAATGATATGTCCCACCATGGCAAAGGCGATTGACACCTGGATTGTTTTGAGTCGGCCCCAGAACTCATCCGCCAACCAGGCTCCAAAAATGGGCATCAAATAACACCAAAACTGACTGACTAAGGTATATATGTCAGTAGATGAATTCGTTCGGAGAGGGGATAAGAAGATAAAATATGATGATGGAGGGACATAGGGCGAAGGAGGTAATTCGTAACAGAACATACATAGTTGCAGTCCAGTGGAGGCTCGTTGGCCCTGGCCTAGAGCACCAGACTGTCCACTGAAACCGGCACCGGCGCTGGAGTGATCAGGAAGCGGCTGTTGGATGAAATTCGTAACTGTATAAGTTAGCATCAATGTTTTCAACCAGGACCGTATGAGCAACAGTGACACATACACACAGCTGTGGTTCCATAATAAGAAAAGCGTTCGCACAACTCCACAAAGGCAACGGTATATGCAGTCCAGTGAACGTTGCCAGCGACTCGACGCAGCGTATGGATCTCTTCCTCCGTTGGGTACTCGCGTCCATCACAATTGAGCAGCCGAGGAGCTGCGCAGACCACTGTTGTTTCTTTCTCCTCGAGAGGAGCCTCAATGGGGTTCTGTTTGTGATCGTATTGAACCATATCTGAGTCTAGGGTAGCAACCATGATGATGCTAGATTCGGGTCAACAGGTATTTTCTTAGATGAAGAGATGAAAATGAAGGAACACAAGGCAAAATAAAGGAAAAAGAGATGAGGGGAAGTCTAGAAGTAGAGAGGTGGGAGTGAAGGAGCCAGGGAAAACAAGAAAAGTGAATGCAAGTGAGTGCAGTGAATGTTGACCTGTTAGTGCGTCTTTTATCTTCACTGAAACGCCCCAATACTGACTTGACTCCCATATCACACAATGCCCTAATTAACCCTTACTTCAATTGGAAATTTACTCCTTCAATCGTATGGATTGCGGAGTATTTTGTCTCCAGCCATTAACATACAACCAGCCGAGGACGAGGCCGCCAAAGTCCATCTTCGGAGCGAGACGATGGATCCTGCAGGTTAGCTAGGTTACATGGCACACCTATTCCCCAATCTGTTTTTATGTTCTTTCTAATCGATGCCTGTGTGAGGACGAGTCTGACGCTAGCTAGAACTTGATACGCTACCTTGGAATTTCCAGAAGGCAGATTCCTACAACGAGAGGGCCCTGCATATCGGCGGACTGGGCTATCAACAGCGTAAACCGCTATGAACCGCACCCACTGTCTCGGCCTGGGCTGGGCCCAAAGATGCCATAGGCGTGATATGACACATTTGCAGGGGAAAAGATCTGTGTCTCGTGAGTTGGGTTTGTCTAGACCATGGCGTCGAAAATGCAGGTCCCCCACGATTCACACCAACCTCAGAAACCCGGCATAAATCAAAAAAAAAAAAAATTCAGACCTAAGGCTTGCTCCTTCTACGGTATCACAACGTGCCAAGGCTTGCACACGTCGACTCGGGAAACTCCGAGAGACCCCATTCGGGCAAGAGAATACTTTCGTCCACGCACCATGGCATTGGAATGGGGGCAGATGCAGCAAACCGGTTTGACAGCCATGCTCGAAGATAGCGCGCTCATATACTACGTACATCGAGAACGCCAAGGAGAGACGGCAAGTTTGACGTCAATCGCGCCTCGGGAGATGGAGGGAGGCTAAATCAAGGCCTTCGCCCAGGCTTTTTAGCGCACTTTGGTGGAACATGGGGTAGGGATTAGTGCAGTTTAGTGCACCTATGCCTATGGTCCTATGGCCCTTAGCGCTAGTGGATAAGGAGATATGGGGTGTTCTTGATATTGAAAGGAGACAGTGTTCATTGGATTGGAGTTGCCCAGCAATGTTGTATCAGCACTTTGCAAAGTGGTTTGATATTTATTTATTCACTATAGTAGCTCTGTTACCTACTTCCAGTCTCTTTGTCTTGTATTCATGAGTCATTCACCTGTATAAATCCACCGGTATGTACCCTTATATCCAAACATACTTGCTTAGAAGTACCAACCTTACTGTATATTTTAATGCTGCATCACTTTCCTTCTTGAACCATTCTATAATACTTTAAAAATGAAGCTCTCAAGGTCAAGGGGCAAAAACTATATAAATCTGGATACTGTGAGGGATAGTTCTTTTGGAATTTTTGCCACGTGTAGCCTATATATCATCCATATCAAAATACACCATGCAGTTAGGGCTTTGTTAATTAAACAGCCGGGATATAGGCCCAGTTCATGATGAAAACTTTGGTAGTCCATGTAGTGTATCCTCCGTGGAGTTATAGAACTAATATTACATGTTTAATCCCGGGGGACCAGCGTAGGACCAGTACTCCGTACTCCCCCTACATCCAACCAAGTTAAGTGTCTATACTTTAGTTTGTCTTGCTGTACACCGTATGACAGTAGTCAAGCAGCACACGCGATACATGAACACCAGTAGGCAGGTTAAACATGAGAATAGTCATAATGGAATTAAGAGAAGGGAGTGTACAAGAAACTAGTAAAACAGAGACCAAACGTGGTACATCAAGAGCCTGCCCGACCACGCAAATGCTAGACAACCGATTCTATTCTCTCCTCCCCTCCCTAATCATTTGAAAAAACAATGCAAAGTTAGCACACCTTTTGCCATTCCTACTCCTTCTCCTCCCCTGAACTTGTCTTCTCCACAGGAGCAGGAGCAGGAGCAGGAGCTTCGACCTCAGCCTGTTTCTTGGCATGCGATTTTGAATGCGAGTGCGAATGTGACTCATAAAGCGATTGATGTTTCTTCTTCAACCTCTCCTCCTCAGCCGCCACCATCTCCTTCCACAGATCCCCCTCTTCCTCGTGGCCCGGATCCACACTCAGCTTCGAACCAGCCGCATCCCCACCAGCGCCGCCGGCCGCTGCACGCGCCTCAAGCTCCCTCCGGACCCTCTTACTCTCTGAAATCTCAAACGCCGCCGACGCAACCAACACGGCCAGCGTCAATCCCTGCGCATACACCCTGGCCTGCACGATCTTCTGCTGCGCGGTCAGATACGGGTTCCGCCCGACCAGCGCAAACGACCCAACCATGCTCGCGAGCCAGGTGACTCCGACGATGGTGTACCGCTCACGCCGTGCCCAGGCCATCGCGCGGTCCGAGAAGCTCATTTGTGCCAGTTCCTCGCGGCGGAGACGCTCCTCGCGGTTCTCGTACCACTGCAGGTCCTGGTTTCGGGATGCTTCGAAGGCCCGCGAGGCGTTATCGGCGGAGACGATTCCAACAAATGTGCCGCTCGATGTGACGAGGAAGGTTTTCATGGGGAGGGTCAGGGTGCGGATTGTGTGGTAGCGGCGGGACGCGAGCATTACACCTGCGGCGCCGCCGACTAGACCGAGGATTCCGCCGATTGTGCCGCCTTTCACCACAGAGCTAGAGGGAGGGAACGATCATGTTAGTTGATTCTGTTTTTTTTTTTTTTTTTTTTTCCCTCTCCCCTCCTCCCGCCCCTTATCTTTGGCGATGTGTGGCACTTACCTGTAGTGGGCATCCTCTTCTTCTTTGGTGAGGAGCTTCATGATGAGCAATTAATGATGGATGTGGGGTTGGAAAATGCAGAAGAACGACAATAGAATAATCACGGTGATTAAGCAGTCAGGCAGCTTGAAGTGAGAGACAAATTTTGGCAAATATATAGCAAAGTGGCTTGTGACAGGAAAGAATTTTCTGAGGGCGAGCAAAGGATGGATCTTGGATAGGAGCAAAGCCCGGTTGGTGACGTCTTCGCCTCAGGCCGGGATCTGTCGGTACAAACTCGGGGTTTGTTCGAGCCGTCCCGATCGAGTCATACGACCGCCCAGCAAACACCGTTTTTCGTTAAGGAGAACGCTGACCTCATGCTAACTACAGCTGCTTTGTGGAGGTGAGACATGTCTGACAAAATGCTTATGCTTTCATGACAATTTACTACAAGTTTATGGAATGTCCTAACCCGGGCGCCCGAACCAACGGCGCAGAATCCGAAAAAGAATAGCGCAGCAGAGATTAAAGCAATAAAGTGATAACACATGATAACACAGAGAATGAAAAAATAAAAGAAAAAAAAAAAAAAAACACTATCGTCGCGATCCCTTCGACGCTGCGATTTGTCGCGCGCGCATTCTACGGAATCGATCTTCACCGCTGGCTCCTAGGGGGCGCGCAAACTTGCTTTCCTGCACCATAGTCGGTCGGGGAACCACAGTGTAGCTGGTATGGGTGATTTCAGCGCGCGCACGGTTGGCAAGACGGGGAGGAAGAAGTTCACGAGCACGTGTTTCAGCAGCTGTAGCTTGTACTGATTGAGTACGTGCCGTGAGTTTTCTAGAGACTTTGGTGAGTGGGAATGTACATCAGGATAGAGCAAAGGAGAAAGGGGGACCATACGTAGGATCGAACTCCGCTTCTTGATATACCCTCTTGGAGTAGTCGTCGCTTCGCTGGAGGATTGGGCGCGTCCACTCCGCCAGCAGTCGCTCAGCCATGCGCTTGATTCCTGGTTCCGGGCGCTTGCTGCGCGTGTAAAACACAACAACCTTGCCGATTCCACTCGCAATCAGGGTCTCCTTATTGATCGGGAGCTTTCCCAGCGCAGTCAACAGGTCGCGCTGGATATTGTAGGCTGGCAGGGATCCATCATCCAACGGTTCCAGGAAGAATTTGACAGCCTCCAGGAGGTTGATTTCTGGGTCAACCAAGCTGTTCACGTATTGATTGCGGTTGAGAAGCGACACCACCTCCGGAAGCATCTTCAGTTTGTGCATGGCGGGTTTGCCCTCCCGTCGGTTGATAGCATCCATCTGCGCAGCGTGGGTCATGCGCTTGCGCATATCTTCGATCTCCGCATCTGCCATTTGTTCCAAGTCCTATTCAATTAGCCAACGACCACATAACGGTACCATCCAAGAACATACGATGCCATCCGCCTTGCGAAACCTTCTCTTCGTCGGCTTCTTCATAGCTTCGTCCATCGCACGATCAAGAGCTCTCCTTCGACCTGCACCAGCACCGGATTAGCAATCCCATCCATCCCCGATCCCAGAAACACCGGTATAAGCTCAGGAATGCACATACGAGTGGCGGGGTCCAACAACTCATCATCATTGACGACATCCTCCTTCTTCTTCGTCCTCCTCCTACCAGCCGACGACTCCCCTCCCCCTCACTCCCGCCGTCCTCCAACTCCCTCATCCGTCGACTCTTCTTCTCTCTGCGCCCCTCTCTCTTCCGCTGCGACAGCGCGCCCTCCTCATCGCCTGTCCTCTTGCGCTTATGCCGGCCAATCAGTTTTAGGTTGTCTTCGTCGATAGCTAGCTGCGGGCGGTCCTCGATATCAACATTCTCAGGATCAAAGTCTTCGAACTGCGCTTCGTCGACTTCCGAAAGGATGGACTCATCGTCGGAGTCGCCGGCTACATCTTTGTCTTCATTGTCGTTATCGGAGTTGCCTGCATCGGGGGTGGGCGGCTGCACGGTGTCCTGGGGGTCGGCTTCGATGTTGGGTGTTGTTGCGGTAGGAGAGGAAGCGGACATCTTGTCGTTCCTGTGCGGGTTGGGTTTATCTCCTTGATTTGTATTTCTATGGGTTCGTTCAGTTCAGTTGGGTTCGGTTTCTAGAGAACGAAACAGCCAGGCAGGACCAGCCTCCGTGATTTATTTGTTTTTTCGTGGTTCGAACCAGGTAAGTGCTGAACAAAAAAAAAAAAAAAGAGCGAAACAGAATCAAGAACTGATGAATTAGATAGGTAAAGTCAAGACAAAATACGATCACAGAGCAGTCAAGTACCGTAATCGAAAACCGAGAGAAGAGTCAAAAGAATAGCAGTTCTGTTGAAGTGAATGAACTAAGAGAAAGGCGGTAAGGTCTAGCAGAACCCACCTTGCAGCTCGACTTGACTTTTTTCACCTCCGATAATCGTCACTTCGAGACAGACCTCGTTCTTCCTCCTCTCTTCTCTACTTACCTACCTACAATCCGATTCCCCAGTTATCAACCAACTGATCACAATGTTTGCCCCAGGTACGCATTCTCTTCCACCCCCTAACTTCAGCAACAACAAGAACTCCTCCTCCTCCTCCTCCTCCTCAAGCGCAACTTCACAACCCAACCCGAATACCCTAACTAACGATATTATCTACAACGCTACCTAGGCCAGGAACAGCTCTCCCGCGAGGAAATCAAGGCTGGTGAGGCTCAGGCCAACCAGACCATCCAGATGGCTATCACCAGTGGAATCCTCCTTTACCTTTGTATGTCTTCTTCTTCGCTGCTTCGTTTCCGCCGCTATTCTACTCTGCACACTCTACGCTCTTACCGGACAGACACCCAACTAACAAGTTCCACAGCGCCCTTTGCTATTGACTTCGTCAAGAGGTTCCTGTAATCGGCTCGTTTCCTATACATCGAACGAGCGAGCGAGTCGAGTCGAGCCAGCCCCATCGCCGAAGCAGGAAGAGAAACAGAAAGAAGATAAGAAGGATCGAAATGGGATGCATTATGGCGCATACGCTTGAAGCTTGAGTTATATGTTCTTATCTTGTTTGGGTTTGTTTTGTTTATTCACGTGTTTTTACTGGCCAGTCGGGTTCAGGGCTGATGTATTATTATCATCATTATTGTACGATGTCTTTCTTTTCGTCTGTTCTTTCGGCGCTTAGTGAAGATGAGGATGGAAGTAGAGTGAGTACTGGTTGGTTATTTCTCTTTTGTTGGCAATAGAATTCGGTAGATAAAGGTACCCATACACCAGTACTACTACTACTACTACTACTACTACTACTACTACTAGTGAAATCATAGGAAAAGAAAGAAAAGAACTCCATACTCCGATCAGTCAGGCATCATCCCGTAAACCAACCAAAGCTACGTAATCAATCACCACAGACGAAATACCGGTACATCAACGAACTATTAGATGGATCTATCCGTTGAACGTCTGGGATTCTTCAAAATCCCTTTTCACCGACTCTAGTTCCTTCTGCAGGTGATGAATCTGAGCATGATAGTCGTCCAGAATCTGAAAAGCGAGTTAGAACCATAATCCAAAGAACTCAGAGGGGAAAAAAAAAAAAAAAAAAAAAAAAAAAAAAAGGATGAATACCTTCTTCGCCATCTTCATTGTGTTCTCGTCCAGCTCGTCATCCGCCTGGGCGACAGTTGTTGAACCGGCCCTTTCCATCTCAAGTTGTAGTCGTTTCGAGTGCTCGCGGATAGCCAACATGCGGGCCCAGATCTCCTCGCCGCGGCCGTTCAGCGATGGGTCGAATACGGACCGTTCCAGCTGCGCCAGCTTCTTCTTCAGCTCTTCCTCTGCGTCGTCCATGGCATATCCCCTGTTCCGCAGAACTTGGGTCTTGGCCGCGAGCGCTAGACACCGCTTGCTCAGCACGAGGTGTTTACGGCGACAGTCGGCAATCTTGACCGAAAGGTTGAGATCATGCCTCGAGAGCAAATCCGACAGACAGTTGTTGATCTCGTGGAGACGCGTCTGCATCATGGTCAGGAAGTCCTTCTGTCTCTGTGCTCGCTTGCCTAGCTCCCAGAACCCCTTCACCAGCACAGGCACATAGCCAGGACCCGGTCTCTTCCGGAGCGCTTCCTCCCACTTGGTCTCGTCGTCCTCCGGTCCAGGCTGGTAGAACGGCGCGGCGTCCTCTCCGACATTATTATACAGGTAAGCTCGGAATGGAGACGCACGGTTCAGCAGATCCCACTTGTCCTTGACGATCTGCACCTGCATCGGCACGGTGCGGTGGACACCCGTCACCGCGCGCCCGGGTGACCACAGACTCGATCCCTGGGGCTGCGCTATCGACTGGCCCAGCTGCGGCTGTTGGGTTTGTCCCTGGGCCTGCTGCTGTCCTTGCTGCTGTCCACCTAGTAAAGATCCCCCAAACAGACTCTGCTGTTGCTGTTGAGGCTGTTGCGGCGTCTGGCCAATGCCTCCGAAGAACCCACTGCCCTGTTGCTGCTGTGGCTGCTGTGGCTGCTGCCCAAATCCTCCTCCAAATAAGCTCCCCTGTGGTTTCTGCTGTTGCTGTTGTCCCCCTACCGGTCCCCCAAACAAACCTCCTCCCGTCTGTTGCGGCTGCTGCTGCTGCTGCTGGTTCGGTGTCTGACCCATTCCTCCAAAAAATCCCCCAGTAGTCTGTGGCTTCGGTTGAGTCGCAGCTCCAAAAAATCCCCCGGTTTGTTGCGGCTGCGGCTGCGGCTGAGTCTGTGTTGTAGAGCCGAAAAGCCCACCACCCGTTGCAGCTCCCGTCCCCATCGCCGGTGTCCCTGTCGTTGCTCCTGCGGCACCAAACAAACTCGGTTTATTCGCGGTAGCCGAACCAAAGAGCCCACCGGCCGTCGTGGCGGCAGGCTGGGGTTGTCCTCCAAAGAGTGACATGTCGAAAATATATTGCACGGGCTGACCGAAAAGGTCGAGGGAAAAGCGAATTGGGAGCGCTTTTTCTTGTTTTTCTCTCTCTCTTCTTATCTGGATAGTTCCACGGAAACCAATAGCATGTAGGCGAGAGAGGGAGTGAGGAAAGTTCAATCAGCAATGAGACTGACAGAATAAAGAAAACAAGGTCAGCGCAAAAGCATCCACCCACCAGCTCACGTCAAGTGAACAGGACTAGGAATTTAAAAAAAAAAAAAAAAAAAAAAAAAAAAAAGGAGGAAAGAGAGCAAGAAATCAAAAGCGAAAAAAGACCAAGATCACCAGACAAATCGTAATTTCCCCAATGTTCTTCTTGTCTCCTCTCAGCGCTCGCTGCATCCTGCAAAGGAAAGCTTTCCGACGATGTTTGTGTTTTGGCACATGTCACGTGAAACGCACGAAAATCTGAAGCTCCCAGCAACGGCGCGACACCTGAGGCATCCAATGCTCCCGCCCGGCCCTCTTACATAATCATCCTTCATAGGTGCCTTGTTCCAGCCAATCACAATCCTGTAAAAAGCGACAAGAACCCCCCAGCTTCGATTCGCTCCGAACCCGTTACCTTACCTGCTGCTGTCTCGTTATAACCTACCAGGTGCTCTACCCGCCAACCGTGTGTTCATTGAAGTATCTGGGCCGAGCTAAGGAACGAAATCAGTCACAATGGCGCGCAGAGAACCTCAGTATGTGTTTTTTTTTTTTTTTCTTTCTTTTTTTTTCCCTTGCAATTCCCCAAGTGCCCGCCCGGGGAGTCGGAGACCCTCGGGACGACGATGAGATGAAACGAGTGTGGCTGATGGGGATACAGATTCAACCAGCAGGTCCTCGTGGACACGACCCCGATGCCCGATGGTATTCCCAAAGTGGCCGAGATTGGAGCGACGTCTGCGCCGTTGACCAGCGCCGCCTACTTCATCGGGGACCGGTGCAAGGCATTCAACGATGACTTTATGAAGTGCAAGGCGGAGGCGAATGGACGGGGAGAACTGGAGTGTTTGAAGGAGGGGAGAAAGGTGACCCGTTGTGCGGCTAGTGTGTATGTTTTTGAATTTCCTTTTTTTTTTTTTATATATATTTTTTCTCCCCCTCTGCTTGTGTTTGTTCGGGAGGATTGCAGGTAGGTGATGCTAATAAAATTGCAGAATCAAGGATATCAACACCCACTGCTTGAAGCAGTTCAATACCCACTGGGAATGCTTGGAGAATAACAACCATCACCTGTGGGAATGCCGTAAGCCAGAGATGGAACTGAATAACTGTGTTTTCGAGAAACTGGTGAGTTCCCTTCTCCCCTTCTCTTCTTCTTCTCCTATATAAATAATCTACCACTCCACAAGTCAGGCATGATTACGATAGCAACTAACGAAACCAGGGCCTCAAGAAAACTATCCCCGGAGCCCCCGAGAAGGAAGTCCCTGTGCACCTTCGACCTAAGCAATTGTACGCCCAATTCCCCGGACCTCAATATTAGTCTAGTCGCCATAGCTTGCTAGGCTGCGCTACACTACGTGTTTTTTTTTTTTTTTTTAAGAAAAGAATCCGTGCTCCCGGATCTGTCTGTTTAGGGTATTCTTATCATGGGTCGATTTGATTTTTGGTGGTTTGATCGATCCCCTGTTTGTGTATATATTAGCATCAATGTCATGTCTTTCTATTTTCGATTTTCGATTTTATATTATCAATTCAAGCTGAAGAAAATGGGAAAAAAAAAAAAACGAGAAAGAAAACGAGAGAGAGAGAGAGGGAGGGAGAGAAAACATAGTTAATCAGGCTTAAGATTTCATATGCATGGCTTCATCTATACTAGAATACATATCCCTCTATCCAACACCTCTGACAAGAAAGCAGAACCAGAGTATCTTTGAACATCTAATAGATTCTCCTGCGCGTTCAAATGCATGGTTATAGAACCAGACAGACCGGAAAACAGTTGAAACGACAGAAACTGCAGAAAGAAAAGAGAGACGGGAACCGTAGGGTTTAATATGTACTTGAATGGAATACACTTACACCAAGGAAATACCAAGTAGGATGGGTAGGTTAGAGTTAGTGTAAAAAAAAGTTGATAAAACAAAAGAAACAGAGAAGGAAGGGGAGGCGGAAGAATTTCAAGGAGATACATGGACTGTGTGAGCCCGACGAAGAGCCTTTAAACTCAACAATCGGGCCTTCACGACTGACCAGCCGGCCCTGAGCTTCTCCTCGAGCCGTGGATCGCGACGCAGTCGCATCCAGATCAGTAGCATCCCGAGGACAGCCAGGTCCCAGACGATCTGCCGGAGCGTCACCCAGACCAGCCATCGTAGCCAAGCCCAGACACCGGAGCGGCGGCGGTGGGCGAGTGCGCGGGCTTCCATCTGTTCGCGGGCAGCGGCAATCTCGGCGGTCATCTTGGTCAAGGCCTGCTCCACTCTGCGGCGCCATCGCCGGCTATCGACGTCGTCTTTTGTCTGCTGCATTAGCATGCCTCCTCCATAGGTATAATTGGTGGGTAGAAGAGCCCTAGAATCTTCCTCTGCGGGGTATGGGTCTAGGTCTGGATTGTGGTGGTCATTACCGTAGTGGTTGCGGTTGCGGTTGCGTTTCCGACTGCTGTGGTGTGAGATATGGTGTGTGTGCTCGTGCTCGGTGTCGTCGTCGTCGAGGACGCCGCCCCCATCACCACCCGCATTAGGGTCGTCGTAGGGGTCGTGCTCCTCGTGCTCCTCGTCTTCATAGAGATTCGCCTGGGCCTCAGCGTACTCTTCGTCTTCTTCGTCTTCGTCGATTTCCAGGTTGTCCTCTTCGTCATGATCCACATCGTCATCGCCATCGTCATCGTCATCATCAACAACAACAACAACAACACCATCATCCGGGTGCCGGTCTATCCCTTGTGCGCGCTCGTAGTCCATCCGCGCCGCGCGTCGCTGGTAGATGTCATCTGGTTGGCTAACAGGGCTCAGAACACGAAGGCGCGAATCCCCCCTCGGAGACAAAGCAGTATGCTGGTACTCCGGATGCTGCGCGCTTTGCACGCCGATACTCCCGTACGACGGCAGCGATTGCGGCAGCAGAGGAAACCCCGTTGACCGGGCAGGGCTGCGCGCAGAGGCGGCGGACGATGGCGATGACGACGACATGTTAGATCTAACTTGGTCCCAGACGAACTCGAGTTCAGAGACGAGCTCGCGGGCCTCGGCAGTTTGCGAGGCGTAATTGTGCATGGTCTCGATTAGGGTCGAGATGTAGCGACGTTTGGCTTCTGTGCGGGATAGACCGCGTTGTGCGAACCAAGCATCCCTACTAGTATTAACATGGACATGCTCTTCAAGATTCTCAGGAAACTTTAGGACAAGGAAAGAGGAGAGGAGGAGTACCATTTCTCACACTCCATATAAACATCGGCGGTATTCCCTACCGGCCGATCCATGACCCCTTCGACATCACCCTCTGCCATTCTGTCAGTTACAGGCCTCTCCACAGAACGACATGCACAATACCCATGCTCTGTTTATATAATCCATAGAGTTTCAGCCGTTCCGAGGCAGGCGGGCGCACGGTGCCGGTTCGAGGGATGCGTTTGACGGTGTTGAGGGCATGGACAAAGACTCGATCTGGAGATATACCTCTCGGGTTATTGGGTGTTCTTCAAAGCGAGTATCTAGGAACGATCCTGGCGGTGATGGTGGGGGGTACGTACCCACAGAGTCCGACATGGTGTAAAATTAGCAAGGCTCAAGGGTGGGTGAGCGTGTGCCTCATCAGAGCAGGATTGCGCCTCGACCTGAGCGCAACACCCTCATGGAGATTCCCAGGGGAAGAGGCCACCAGAGGAATTGAAAGAGAACGAAAGGGAAAGAAATGAATAATCGCTCAAAGAAACAGACAGAACCAGGGATGGTCAATGAGGCGTGTTCACCAGCTTCCCCAGACTTTCAGCTGTGGTTCCGGGGCCGACGGAGAGACCAGAGAGAGGGGGAATCAATCGGTCCGCGAATATCGAGGGTCAGCCGGTACAGGTGGAAGTTTAAGCGAGAGATGATGCTCAAGATGGATTGAGAGGAGATGAACAAAACAGAGGTGATTGATAGGTAGAGAGGGGGGGGGAAGGAAGTTGTTGATTGAAGATCATCCGATCAGCTGAACCGCGGCTCTCGGAGACACTTTGACTCGTCTCTCCCGCTGCGAGATTATCAACAAGATTTCATCGTGCTTACTTTAATTATTTTCTCCGTTACGGTCAAGTCAAGTCAAGTCATTTATTCATTCCAATCGCGCCTATCATTTCCAACATACATTATTACGCAAATTGTCACTCCCGACAAACGATGAGTGACGGCTGCCACATCCACTGACGGTCCATGTCCCGAACAAAACGGTGCGAACCCCTTTGTCCGTTCGACCATGGCCAAGGATGAGCGCCAAAAGGGAAAGAGATTGAGAGAGAGAGAAAAGGGAGGAAGAGTCACAGGAGGACGACGGGGAGACCTGACTGGCCACCAGCCAAGTAGCATAAGAAAAAAGGAAGGGGGAGCGGAGGGAGGGATGGACAAGAAAAAGACATGGGGAACTCGGGGGGTATCAAAAAAAAGGGGGGGGGGGGGGATGGCAAAACAAGCCACAGCAGACAAGTGTAATCCTTCCTCTAGAACCAGAGAAAACAAAACCGCTTCTTTTTTTTTCCTTTCGTCTCGGCTTTTGCTTCTTGGGTTGTTCTTTTTTTTTTTTTCCCTCTCCTTTCGGTGGGGGGAAGAACGGGACAAAAGGGGGGTTGGGTGCGAGTGGGAGAGTCGAGAAGAGACGGCGAAAGTAGGCCCAGCATCTCTTTCCAAAGTTCTCTTCTTGTGGAAAGGTCCAAGAAACTCTTGGAAGGAGGGGGAACAGGGTGAAAAGGGTTGAAACACAGCACAACGCACGGTGAGGTGTCCAAAGGCCAGCATCCAGAAGGAAAGTATTGCGGCCACTTTTGGGCGACGTTGCTTGCTCCCACCGCCACTTGCTGCCCAGTTCTGATCTTTCGCCCTGGGATCCTTTTTAAAAGTCGAAAAACATCAGACAATCACCAGAAAAGAAATAGTTACAACAAGTCCTTGCGCTGAGTCATAACCAGCCAGCTAACTAGCGTCAACTCCGTCGTCATATATCAACATGACTCAAAAAGGGGGAGATGCGAGAGTCCCCGTGGGAATAAATGATGAACATACAAATCAAGGCAAAAAAAAACGAAACAAAAACAGAAAAGAAAGAGAAAAATACAAACGCCCATCATGCAGTCGTCAATCCTGATAAATCGTTACATGAGGATGCAGTTACAGCAGCATGCAAATACATGAGATCTTTTGAAAGGCCTTCACTTCAGCCTTGCAGTCAAGGGCTGAGTACGGTGCAGAGGTCGTCAGGGTTGTCAAGGCCAAAGCCTGCCATATCAACAGAGTGCAAGGAGCCTGGTCCTCGCCCCAGAGAGATGTCGGATGAAGCATAATCGTGCTTGAGCCGTTCGTGAGGTCCGAAGAATGGCCGACTCTCTTCGTTGGGGGTATTCCCATCACCAACCGCCCAAGGACCATGTTGCCAGAATCGTGTGTTGGCTTGTTGATCGCCAAAAAGGTCGTGGTGATCATGGTGGACTTCAACTCCGTGGCTAGTAAAGTCATTCGGCGATTGGAATCGCAGATGCGACCGACTAAAATTCGAGCACGGTGAATCGGCGTGTAAGGGGAAGTCCAAGCCTGATAAGGGCAGGTCCTCGACCGTGGTGATGTCAATGGTCGGATTTTCTGTCTGTTGGGCCAACGCCGAAGCCAGTCGCAGGTTGGAGGCCGAGGAACTTTGGCGACTGTGAGTAACCGACCGCTCCATGGCCCGCTGCACAAAGCTGCCACATGTCTTGAGGATCTTCTCCTGGTCCTCCGGTGAGAGACTGGCGAAGTAATCATTAGCCAGTGACGGTTTCGGTAGTTCCGGCTCATGACGAGTCAGGCCAAATGTTGTCCGGGCGTATTCAGTGAACCCTGATGGCATATCATAAGGGGACTGATAAACCGACGGAGCCTGCTCACGCTGCTGCTCGAGAAAGGCATACTTGCGAGGCAGCTTGGGGGTCGCAGCGGTACTCTTGTTTGCCATCTCTTGTTTCACATTTTCCGATTCCTTCTTCTGGAGCACATCCAACCGGTCGCGGTGACTGATAAGGGAGAACCGGAGCATTTGTAATAAGCGGGTGACTTCTTCGGATCGCATATTCAGGGGCTGCATCGGCAGAAGGGTTCCATCGGGGGCACGAGGCTGGACACGCTGTTGGGCCATGGCCAGTTCGAGTTTCTCCAAGCCATTGGATGGCGGTACAGAGCCCATGGGACCCAGGAGAGTTTCTACAACCAACTCGGGCCCGACAAGGGTATAGCCCGCGAAGACATTGGCATGGTCGGTAATCTGGGCCAGTCGACGACGGGCAATGAGCTCACGCACATTGGCAAAATTATTTGCAGGTAGGTGGTTATGACTGGCGGTAGTGGTGGTGGCGGTGGTGTGGTTGCTGCTGCTGCTGTTGTTGTTGTTGTTGTTGTTGTTGACGATAATGTTATTGTTGTTATTATGGCTGCTGCTGGTGTTCTGCTGCTGCTGCTGGTGATGATTGTGCTGCTGATAGGAGGTGTGAGATTTGGTAATTTGAGGGTAGGGAGCATGACGGGCAGATTGAGTCGGTACAGATCGATAGGCTGACGGCATCGCAGAAGCAGCAACAGCAGCAGCAGAAGTAGCGACGGGAGAAGAACGAGGAGGAGGGGCAAAAGGAGGGCGCTGCGGCAGCGAAGGGCGGGAGGCGGCAGCAGCAGCAGCAGCAGCAGTCACAGCGATGGCGGAGGCGGTGGTGTTGGCGGCGGCAGAAGAAAAATGGTGAGGAGGAGGAGGAGGGGCAGCAGAGCCAGCAACAACAAAAGGTGGCAGGCGATGGTGGGGGTAAGAAGAGGGGAGTCGGGCCATCACGGCGCCAAGGGACTTCACACTATCCAGGAAATTCGAGCGCGGGTTGTGGACGGGCATGCTAGGGTTGTGTGTATATTGAGCCCTACACTCGGTCGATGACTGGCCCAAATAATACCAGATCTGTTCCCCTTTGTCCAGGTTGACCTGCACTGCAGGTGGGGCAGTAGGATGCCTAGTGCTGTCCACCGTCTCAAACTCGGCCCACTGATATGGAGATCGCCCATCGCCAAAAGGATTTCCTGCCACTGGCATTGCGGATTCCACTTCTCTCCGGGCCTCGGGCTTTCGGGCGAGATGTGCAGGAAGTGGCTTGATGCCCGCGGCCAGGGGAAAGAAATTGCTCCTCCGTACGACCAGCATCCACCGGTATGGTAACTCGATTACATCCCTGAACAATCACACCAGTCAGCTTCATGGATTCCCAGATAGGAAAAAGGCAAACAAATCTCAAGCCCCCACTACTGGTATTGTGTGGTCCGTGGCGGCAAGAGTACCATGGGATGGATGGATGGATGGATGGATGGGAAACTGTTGTAACTTACCCTCGTGGGAGCACCTTGACCAGCAGGGTGCGTTCCTCCGGTCGGTTCTGGAGCACAACTGCGCCGTTGATTTCCTTGTCGGCTTGGAATTGCACCAGATCGCCAATGACGAGACGTCGGGCGGCTTCGATCAGTTTTCGATCGTATTCGGGTGACTCTGTGCTGGCCAACCAAGTAGGTTTCTTCTGACGATGATATTTGCACTTCAGGTCGACGCTGGGGACGGAATACTGGTTGCCATCGTCTGCAACAACGGCAACCAAACCCTGCTCCACTTGCACACCTGCCAGGAGCGCACAAGTCGCATGGTATGACCGGGTACACTTGCCGAAGTTGCATTGGAAGCAAGCGCCACGGACCTCACGGCAGAAAAGGCACTTGAGTCCCATGCGAGCCTTGGGGATCTTATCAACGTCACAAACCACTTCCTTGCCAGATTCATCGCGGAGGACGCTGGTTTCTTCCGTATACAATGCACAGCGTCGGTGGGCGTGAGTTTTCCCGTCCTCTGTAGGTAATAAATCCTCATAGTCCAGATTGTTGGGGCACAGGACGCAGAGATTTTTCCTCGGAATATCGACGCTGACTCTCATTCGCTTGGTCTTAATCGTGTCGCCGCCGTCCAGCTTGCGTTTACGACCACGGTTGGACGTCTTCTCGGGGACACTGCGTGGAGGCGTTAAGAGGTCTGAAGCGCCCTCCAGTCCATCGAGATCACTCTCAAAATCACCATAGTACTCGGGTGTCGATTCGCCGCGAAGCTTGCGGTCGATATCTTCCACGTCGATCCAGACACTGTCAGCTTCGCAGTTGCACTTCTTGGCGACCCGACCGTAATCCAACCATTTCTCAGTTGCGAAATTGACGGATTCGGCACAGTTATACCCTAGATTATATCCGGAATGGTATCCATAAGGGTAGGTGATGACAAACTCCCCTTCATAGTGGACCATTTTGTTCACGGTAATTCCGTATTGAGATTTAAGGAGATTCGGCGAGACCAGGTAGGTTTTGTGGCGAAGGAACTGGTCGCAATTCTTCGCATCACTAGGCCAGATGCCTAAAATTCGTAGACAGTTAGAATCGTCATCCTGTTCCAGGGCCCAACTAAACCATTGTTTTAACAACCAACTTACTTTTCATTGCTTGCTCAAAACGAGGCGCATCTTCTTGGGAGATGCTATACCACTGCTTGGGCGCCCCAAAGTGAATATAGTTGATACTGTAGAGGTCTACATCCTCCAAGTGCCAAGCGAAGGTCGCCTTCCACATACCCAAGTACAAGTATGCCGTATTAACTCCAGGCACTTTCTGGCCGATAACATCCAGCAGATTCGGTAGCTTGGCGACATTCCATGAGGTTGTACGGTCATCAAAGAGCGAGCCTGGCATATCCGCACCATACATGGGGTTGTTGAACATCAGGGACTTCCAGTAGGCGGTCTCCAGCTCTTCGCATCTTTCATAAGTGTACTCTTCGCTGTCGTGGATCCGGTAGTCGAAATCCTTGAAGGCCTCTTCGTCCACATAGTCGATTGTATCGCCCTTGTTCTGCTTTCTGCGTGCGGTGACGGACTTGGGCTGTCGTCCCCTTGGTTTTGGTGGGGGTAAAGACTCGCCATCGCTCAATTCTTCCGATTTTGTTTCGACAGGGTTTGATTCGGGGGAAACGGGCGTGGGAGGGCCTTCGGGCTTGGTCCTCTCGAGGCTCTCTTCCGTGGGCTCCTCCTTGATTTTAATGGGTTCTTCTTTGATTTTGGCCTGGTTGGATCGCTTAGGCGGACGGCCAGGTCCTCGTTTTGGGGTATCCGACCGGGCCGTTTGGGGCTTAGGGGCCGGAGGAGCACGAGGAGCACGCTCCTGGTTCCTCCGCCTCTCGCCTCTCCTAGCAGGCGGTTGGTGGCTGCTCTCCTCACCCAGGGCCTTCCATTGGGGGAGGTTATATGATCTCTGTCTCTCAATGTTCGCCTGAGTATAGGTTCCGTGGGAGCCATGGAATTCCTGCATGATTGGGTTCTTCACACGGATCTTCTTTATAGCTTCGTCAAGCTGGGGGAGAGAGTCACTCCTAGAGACAACATCTAATCAGCTACCTTCCGGATGCGTATTGGAGATCCCTTGAAAAACGTACCACTCCCTAGGAGGAATCACTTTGACGATCCCCGATCGCATGCCATATTTATCGATTCTATTGATAAAGGCTTGGAAATCGCGGAATTGGTCCATGGTCTAAAGGGTATTCAGTCAGCCGATAGCGCCACCACCGGCTCCTTGATGCAGCGAAATCACTCACCGGTTTGAACACGGGGACCTTGCCACCGCCATAGTAATGATCTGGTTCTATTTCCTCCTCTTCGCCTTCTATCGATGGAGCTTCCTGGGCGGCAGCGGCATTGGCATCGAGCTCGAGGTCGGAGAGCTCGGAAGGAACACCGTCCGGGGTCTCCTTCATGCCGTTGATGCTGTGAGGGGGGGTGATGGAAGCTGCATCGGTCGCAGGAGCAGCCGCGATCGATTCGAAAGGGGGGCGATCGAGCATTGCGGCCATCGCCTCAAGATAGAGGGATTGAGAATTGAAACTGGTTGGGTGTGGATGCGGATGCCGTCGTCGAAATATGCGACCGCTGATCGACGGCAGGTGAGGGATTCCCAGCGGTCGGGGAAGAAGGCGTTAGAGAATAAGGACGGACGGACGGACGGACGACTGCTTTCGTGCGTATCTGTAAGGTTGATAAGACTCGCGCAAAGGATATCTTCTTCTGTTCTTTAGTTTTATTTTCTTTTTCTTCTCTCGCTGTTCTTCTCTTCCGCTACTGGTGGCTTCAAGACGCAGACAAACAAGAGAGGACAATCAAAAGGAGGGAGAATAAAAAGAAGGTGTAGTGTAGCAATGGTCCGTGAAGGCTTCCTTGATGCGAATGGCTAAGATAGGTCGTCTATCATGAGTCGGCGAAAGGGGGGGGGGGAAGGGGGGAAAAAAGGGAAGACGGCGAAAGCGCAGGAAATAGAGATAAGGGTCGGATAGACGGGTCGAAGGAGTGATTAGCAGGTGGATGGACGATGGGATGAGATCGGTGCTCCAGCGGAGAGACAGTTCAAACTTCAAACTATCAAGCAGCGCAAAGCAAGCCCCTCCTCCAGTATGAGGGATTGGAGTGAGGAGATTTGATGTGATGCAGGAGCAGCAAGACTAGAAGCAGAATAGTATTCTCTCCAGACTAGTTCAGTGACTGTGCAGGGTGGAAGAACGGATGGGACGCTAACAGGCAGGAGGAAGCCCCAAAGGCCAATCAGTGTCACGTTAGAAAGTGTCGAAAGGAAAGAGAGAGAGAGAGAGAGAGAGAGAGAGAGAGAGAGAGAGGTGGAACCAGATGCTCAGAGCACGATGGGCTGACTGTCAAATTATTGGCAAGAAAAGTGGACATGTTTTTCGTTTTTGGGGGGGGTTGGGAGACCTCATTCTACTAATTTACCAAGCTACTTCTACTTTCATCTTACTCTAGTACTAGTAAGAGGTACTCTATAACTACAGAGAAAGATTGAAATAGTACTCCATTAACGACATTCTGAGAATCTGAAGATACCAGACAGATGAACATCCTGGGCGCCTGAGTAAGGCAGGGAATATACGGAGTCACGGGAGGTATGTAGCTGAGCCTCTCAACTTTGTTACTTTGGAGATATTGTGGATGGCATAGAAGGATGAAAAACAGACATCTTAAACAGAAATGACTTAATACAGTCAATCATCCGACCTCAAGAGTCTTCTGGCATTGATTCCCAGCTGGAAGAGTAACTACAGAGTACGACTCCGTATGTATTTAGTAAGTGGCCTGTTAATGGGACAAGGAGTACTACCGGTGGTAGACCGCAGCACGGGAAAGGCTACGATTCTATTCTCTCTTCCGTCAATTCATCATGATTGACTAGATGAATTCCAGAATTTCACCCTTAAAATACCTTTCAATAAAACACAATATCATACCTGTAGGAAGAGTCGGAACTGTAGACTGATTAGGTAAGAAACGGTGGCACTCGTATGATCTCATCATGGAAAGCCGGTGTAAAGCGGCAACCAGACCTACATAATATAATCATAAGATTTTACTAGCAATTAATTTATGTATAGTAGTTATACTCCATAGTTAGATACATGGTTATAGAATATTATAAAAGGAAAAAAATCAACCTGAAGGGTTCGTCTATTGATGTAACACTGCAGGGAAACACTTTCTTCGTACTGTACCTAGCATGCACGAACCACATGTACTTAAGTACTTATACTACTTATGTAGTAAATAATATGTCATAGTGTACATATCTATCATTCTAAATAACATCCCTCCTTCCTACTTTTAATTCGAACTGAATCAGCTCTTCATACTATGTGTACCTAGGTATACTATAAGGCATACGTACACTGATACTGCTAGTAGGTACGGAGTAGAGTAGGTACTGAGGTAAGTGCCTAAAGCAAGCCAAATTGGCCCATTTCCTTAATAGATCTTGTGCATGCATATGCCTAGACCTACATACACTCTGCAACTTCTCAAGGACCGATGCAGGGTGGGTTGCGTGGCGATATAAGGCTAGGATGTGTCATATCTACTTTTTTCTTACCTTTCTTCTACTCCATCGCTACTAAGTAAAACCTTTAAGGATGAGGTCGTTGGGCATGCGTGTGGCGTTGGTTATCTTGTGCCCTTCTTTCTTTTTACGTGAACTTCACTTGAGGGTTTTATTCACTGTATAGATAACTACTTTGCTTACCTAGGATTGGAGGTTGTAGTAGTGTAGATGATACTGTTCGTTAAGCGCCAGGTTCAAATCCCAATGTGATGAAAGGTGTATACCTATGTATCTCATATATATATATATACATATATACATTGGAAAAATATCCTAATGTACTTTCCATGTACTAAATAAACCCCCTAGACGCTGAAATACAACCAACTACACACCCCTACATGACCACCACAAGACATGCCCTGCTAGCTCAGCTCAGCTAAGCTCAATATTCATTTAACCGCAGTTTCTTGCCCACGAATCGCCGTCTCTCGGGTTTGTCCCCGGCTCGGTCTCGGTCCACATTTAGTCCCTTCAGGGCATGGAGAAGCATCCCTGCGTCGAAGAATCCGTCTAGTTCGATATTAGTATACTGTGTTTTCACTACTGGAAAGTATGCGCGGCTGTGGAGAGAATAAGAGGGGGGAAGCACTTACATCCGCCCATACCATCATCATCCAATTCCCCACTATCTGTCGTCGGTGTCTCCATACCCCGGATATGGCCCGTGTCACTTCGCACGATCCGACCCCGCCGAGGATCACGCTGGAACCGCTCCGCGATCATGTCCATTTCTCGAGCACGGCGGGTCCGCGGGCTGGTTGGCTGGCGGTTGGTTGCGCGCAGCAGCTTCCGGATCTCCAGCAGGTAAGACTCCAGCGTATGCATGAGGCGCGCTGTTTGGCGGTGCTTGGACGATGCACAGAACGAAATCGATTCGTCCTTGATAATGTAGCCGATTCCGAACCCGTCTGCGGACGTCGGGCCGAAGCCAAAGTGTCGCAGCGACGGGTTGCCGCAATTTGAGGTCGACAGGATGGTATTGTTAATCTTGTCCCAGCCGGGATCACTAAAAATGGCTGGGGTTGGGGGCATGGTGCGCATCCCGCGCAGTCCGTAGCTGCTTGTGGAGGAAAGCCCGTCCTCAGATAATGTGGTAAAGGATCTGGGAGACCCGACGGACCCGTTCTCGCCAGGGCTGGTGTAGCCGTTCGACCCTTCGCCTACGCTGTTGTCCCCAGAAATCGGGACCTCGTCGAAGGACCGCTGCCACAAAGTATAGAGTGCGTACAAATGACGGTCCTGCCCGTGTCCCTTGGAGCATTCCTTGGTTGTCGCCGTGTGTTTCTCGGTGGCTATTCGAAGAGAGTTCACTTTTTCTTCGGCCGGATTATCGCCCCAGAAGGTCTTGACAAACTCGACGGATTCGTTAGTGACGGTTCGGATTGCTTCAGTCCGGCCGTGAAGGAAGGCCTTGGTCATCGCGGGTTCATAGGTGTTCACCACATGTCCATAGAGGCCGTAGTAAGCTGCCTGGAACGCCATTTGGACGAAAGCATCGGGCGAAAATCCCATAGATGTGATGAAGGTTTTGCCATAACCTCGAAAGTCAAGCACTTGGAATTCGTGCTGTTGGAGGAGATCGGAAAGGTGTGATTCCGCGAAACGGATCGCAATGCTCAACTCAGGTGCCATATCCCACTCAAGTTTCCGGGGCGTTGGGCTTACGTTGCCAAAGCTGCGTGGGTCTCGTTTGGATGGATCTGGGCTACTGGTTTTCCAGAGACTTGGAGCTTGACCGTTAATAGTTCGCGCGAAACGAAGAATGGTGTCCGTGTACACATCACTGGCGAATCGAAGCACTGTATGTCCATCCACGCCAGTATGTTCGAAGTTGATTCCCGCGCTACCGTTCTTACACACGATGATCTGAAGCTTGTCGTACCACCGGTTTGTGCAGGTACCCACCTGCACGCCTTTGATCACCTCGCTGGTTCCGCACAGCATATTTGCACAGAGCTTAGATGTGTTGCTTGGCTCGGTGCCGTCCAGGCATAGAACAAACAAAGCAGTATCGACGATATTAAGGCATTCCGCATTGTTGGAATTCTCGTCTTTGGTCAAAATATCCCTCAATCCTGACCAGACCTTACGGTTTTCGGTACTGAGAACGCCGAGAGCGCCTTTTGCGGCATCGTGAATTGGAGTTTGCTCTGCATCCGCAATGATCACTTCAAGATTCATTGCTATGTCTTTCTCTGTCATGATGTGATCGTGATTTTCATCGAGTACATCAAACCAATAGAACTGACCACGGCACATGACAGCTATATGCTTCGCGTTAGGATCCTGGCTGATGACACATCCGTTATCTGTCGGTACACGTGCGGTTCCGAATAGTCGAGAGTATTGGTACATGCATAGTGGCGTTCCGCGGACAGTATCCGGGGGTAACTCCTCACGTCTGACCGCACGCACGAATGACAAGGCCGAGACGGCAAGCGAGGCTGCCCTTGTCACTTGGTTGTTCCTTGCAGGAGTTGGGTCATCTTCCAACAAGAAAAAGGGGTTGAGGTTGAGGACCACGGCTGTTCAACCGATTAATTCGGGTATTTGGGATCGGGGCGTTATCGGGAATACTCACGGCTATCATAGTTCAAGTAAGAGTCATACCCTAGAGCTGTCAGTAATGTAAGTGGAATTTTATTATATCGAGGGGGAACCTACAAAACTGCTCGATGTAACTTGTTTTGGATGATGCGTACTTTTGAAGCCTCTCTTGAAGTATAGGACCATCGGTTTTGAGGAAGTCACGTACGGAGGCCCTTGTTTCTTCTTGCTCGCGCATTGTCTGTAGCGGAGAGAGAGCATCGAGATACTTCTGACATGTGTTTTCAAGGTCCGGAATAGGAAGCTTGGGTAGAGAATCCTGGTTCGCAAAGGTCAACCCGTCCTTTTTAGAAATGTTTTCAGCCAACCCTCCATCTATAGATGTGGGCTTGATCTTGGCTTCAACAGCGGGCTGCGAACGAGGAGAATCCATGGTAAAACCCAACGGCTTTGGAGCCGTGAAGTATCGCACTGCGACAGACGAGTAAGTCATCGTGTTAGCTAACAAGGCACGTTTCCAGGAAGACGGATCAGGCGTAACGACAAGCGAGGAAGGTAGGGATGGAGAGAAGACGTAAAGCGCTTCGATAGAAATAGTGGCAGTCTTGTAAACAATATGAGGGCATGGATATTATCTCATGACTACTCTAGTTCACGGGAATGATACAAGGGCCAACTTTCAACAAGCACCACAAAAATTGGAAGGGAGAAGATAGGAAGACACAATACAGGAGGGGTATATGTCTACGCAGAAGGAGAAACAGGCGAGATGTCTGTTTATGTAACCGTGCGCGGAAGATATAGAACCACCACCAAGGTTGGGTTATCCGGGGAGCGACAGCCGGGGGTGGAGCCAGGAAAAGACTCGGAACAACGGGTGAAATAGCGTGCTAGGACGGAGGAAGGGACGCTTACCAGAGCCTAAGCAGGTAGCAACAACCTACAGCTGCAACTAGATATGTTAAACCGCGGTGGATCGCCTCCGTCGGCATAAGGGCCCCGGTCAGTCCAGTTCCCAGAGCGTATCGGCGGAACGGATGAGGTCAAGTTTGGCGGGATGTATATTATAGAAAATGCCTGATTGCGAAAGAGATATATGCATAGGTCTTTAGAACAAAAGACACACATGCAGTGATAACTTGTTAAAAAGTAATGATGACCTTAATGGTAGAAGTGGTCCAAGGTATAGAAATTTGACTCGCTCATACCGGACGAGAGAGAGAGAGAGAGAGAGGAAGCGGGGTGCAAATGACGACAGGTGACCAGACTGGCAAGTGGGATGTCACGCCGGCAGTATCATGCACGGAAGAATGGAATAGTAAACCGGGAGATATTGCTTTAGTCCAGGCGTTAAAAATAGAGCAACCTTAAAGGATGTGGTGGATGATACCAGATCACTTGCCGCTGTACGTGAAGAATTAGCTTAAAAATGGTCTATCGAGCCCGAAGACGTCCATTATTTAGTTATAGCTCGAACTTAGGAGAAGCAGTTGCAATACTGGGCTAGGACAGGGACCAAAGGGTCCGCAGAAATGACGAGTTACCGACTGGCCTTTCTGAGACAGCAGTTCGGGCGAAGGGAGACAAGAGTAGTCTGGAATATGTACTCCGTAGTAGTACTCCGTAGTTATATCTCTGGATGCGGGGAGATTTTCCAGCTCCGGTGTAGTCACGTGGATTGCAGGGGCGTGCATAGCCGATTTAGGAAACTATATTGCTTGTGACAACATCAGAAGAATATGATGATTTACAGAGTACAAGCCTATAAGGGATGGTTAGAAAGAGAACTGGATTGTATTTATTGGATGACATCTTTAACAACAGGTTAACTCTCTGGGTGTAAGGACCCTAGACCCAGTTGCATGAGCCCTGAACACACTGGGGACGAAGGGACCTTGTAGTTCAAGCATAATATAAAAGCTTCACCTTTATGAATCAATCAAGGAATTGCAAACCATAATCATCAAGCTTAACCAGGTAGCTTAAGGAAAACACAGTCTATGCACAATTGCCCTGCCTACTATAAGGCTACAACCAAACCCTCAGCTAAAACCACTAGTCTATATTTGGCTAGGAGGTATTTGGTAATGTGATCCTGTAACATGATGAAAGGTCGTCAAATTATGATATTGAAATGTTGACCAAATCAAATTGAATTCAGGTCTAAGCAATAAGCAGAAGAATAATTAAGTTAGTGGATACACACAAGAGTCAAGACGAAAAGAATTAGTTAAGGGGACTGTTAACGCCACACCCTGTATTGATCCAACCACACCCCCTAACCTGATAATGCCATACCTATTTATTACATGATTTTTTTTCTTGCTATATATGGTTTAGTATTAGGGTAATTTTATAGGGTATTACTATTATTACACATGTTATAGTATCAATATTAACTGCACCAAATGCATGTAGACCACGCAGACCACCAAAATGCCGCCCAATCTTGTTGGATACGAGAGCTCAGACGATGGCGAGGATGCTGGCAAGGTCAGGCCTTAGCTGCTTCCTCCACCAATCAACCAGACCTTTCTATCCTGACTAGCATGTCAGGGTGCAGGGTCGGACTCAGGTATTCATTAACTAGGAGCTAACCAGATAGAATAGGCAGAACAGCAGGTACCAGGTAATAGACAGGACATAGCTCGAAGAGCTATAACAGGATCAGGAATAGTATGGCTTAAAATACAGGAGTAGAGGCAGATAGTTAGTTAGGGCAGAATCTTAATAAATAGGTACTATAGCTTCATACCATGACAGTACCTAAGTGAATCTTGGTATTGTATTAACTCTATATGTACTAGCGCTCTCAGCCTAGGGTTCGGGAACAATCTGTAAGAAGTCTGGGGTAGGCATGGCAGTTGTGCAAGTCACTGTACATCTACGCTTCAGCTCAGGTCTCATGGAACATTCGTTATTCAGCTTTTTGCTAATCCAGAACATACACTATCCAGGGCGCCATGCACAAAGTCAAAAGAAAAATATGCAGCAAAAGCGGAGAGAAAAATGCAATAGCTTCGAATTGTTGTTCAATGACAAGGTCGAAGAAAGGTAAAATAAATATTCACAGTTGAAGAAAAAAAAAAAAAGTGAAGAAAACGTCAAGTACAAGTGAATGTGGTTTTTGGTTCCGATGGGCGCATTCTGCGGGGATAACTTCCCCAGAGAAATCCCGGCAGGCAGGCTTGGCAATTGGACACACCACATAGCACGAGGCGTATCACAAAATATAGAGCAACTGGACAAGAGAAGTTCGAAAGGAGAGAAAAAGCTGATAACGATCATCTCCAAAAGGTTGGGGGTGATTTATTTGAGGATCTCGAAAGTTTGCAATGCTCAATTGAAACCGACTGATATTCAGAGTGTATCCAGTTACAGGAGAAAGAGTCCGAACCAGCTCCAAACACCGCCATTTCTGCTCTTGGTATCCGTTTGTTTGTTATCCAGAATCTTGGTGCCGTTACGCCAGCCAGTCTATTGTCGTCATGCAAGTAGGATGGGTTCCTTGCCAGTTGAGCACTGCGTCCACTCGCAATCTTTAGGAAGCAATGTAAGGAGCATCTCCAAGAGGACGACCCACGTTATCTGCATACTCGCCATCGTAGTTTCCTGCGAGTGTCACATATTAGATAAAGAAGAGAGATGATGGCATTGTTTGCTGTCACTGCTTACCTGGAGGACCGTAGTTGCAGACAGTGAAGGGCAATGCCATGGAGGAATCAACATTGCCAAGACTGTTGCAAGTAACGGTGGCACAGCCAACTTTGGTGGTTCCCTTCCACACAATTTGAGAAAAGTGGCCCCATTTCTCAAAATCGGTCATATCAGGGTTGGCCTCGCCGTAAAGGCTGGCAAAGTATTCCATCTCATCGTTGTACATCAGGTTGGAAATCATGACAGCGACATCATCCGCAGAGACACCATAACCAATGTTTTGACCGTATCCACCGCCGTTGATGCTCCTATGGATGGATTAGTAAAGGCCCAAGTATTCAATCATGTAAATACATAGATACACTTACGTATCATGCTCGTAGACGCAACGCGCAGCGAGCACTTGGGCACTGGCCTCGAGATCATCGGACCAGGTAAGCGAGGTGGCAGAGTGGTTGCTACGGTGAACGTTGTGGCTGTAAATAACGTTCGACTGGTAAGTGTTGGCAGCGGTAGCAGTAGCGGTAGCAGTAGCAGAGGAAGTGGTAGCAGAGGAAGTGGTAGCAGAGGAAGTGGTAGCAGAGGAAGTGGTAGCAGAGGAAGTGGTAGTGGTGGCGGTTGTGGAAGCGGTGGAGGTGGTTGCTGCTTCAGTAATAACGGAGGTCCAAGAAGAGCTATAGGTGGACTCCCAGGTGGAGGTCGAGGCCGTTTCAGTTGAGGCAGCGACAGTGGCAGCGACAGTTGTAGCGACAGTGGCAGCGGCAGCAGTGGTTGTACTAGTCTCAATAGAGGCAACCTCAGGGATAGGGTCATGGACCTTAACCTGAGACTCCCTGGTGGTGGTAGGCTCGACAGCGGCAGTAGTGCTGGTGCTGGTGCTGGCTGTGGGCTTGATAGTGACCGTAGTGGTGATAGTCACAACAGTCCAGTCAGTTACGGTGGCGGTGGTCCATTCAGTGACATAAGATTTCTCAGCCACGGCACCCAGGGCGCAGAGCGCGCTCAGAAGCATCGAATACCTCATTGTGGTTGTTGGAAGTACTTAAACGCTAGTAGTAAATTGTCGCGAGAGGGCTACCACAGATCAACTGCGTCCGATCGTCCGAACAACTTCTCCAGGAAGTAATCCGCAATTGACTGATTGATTGTCAAAGGGAGCGAGCTTGAATAATCCACCTGAATAAGATGGAAGAATCAAGGTCTGATTGAGGCGGGAAAAGCAGATCGACTGCGAGTTGGGGGTTGGGTTTTAGGGAGCGGGTACGAATTCCAGTCGTGTGTATAAAACAAAGGAATGACAGCCTGAAGGGACACTTTTTTTTGAAAGAGTGAAAAAAAAAAGCGTGCCAAAGAGGCGGAAAGGAATGAGAAAGGTAGAGAGTGGTGAAGAAATGAAGAGAGAGAGAGAGAGAGAGAGAGAGGGAGAGGGAGGAGGGCAGTTGATAATAATGTACCCAGCGGTGCTAAGGAATACCGGAAAGGAGAGACACGAGAGATACTACTAGTTAGTTACCTAGGTAGAGGCTGACAGAGTATAGCAAGCAGTGGGGCACACGTAATCTGGATAGATGGGATAATTAAACATAAATTAATTAATTATAAATGTCAACTGGGGGGAGCTTTGGATTGTTATATTACTCTAATATCAGGGGAGTCTTTAACCCATCTCCAACAGTAATAACAGACTCCTTTATAGATGATGGTATTACTGAAGCCACAAGAAAAAAAAAAAAAAAAAAAGAAATAAACAAGAGAACCATGGAATGAATGCCTTCGACAACTCCTTTTTGTCTCCTGAGCAATTTTAACTGTCCCTAACGGCAGACTGAAGATCATTATCGCCTACGCTATGAAGTAAATCCACAGTCCACTCACAACATTCCAGGCAAAACAAAACACCTCCTAGAGGAATCCCCAACCATCAAGAACATGTTTCCTCCAGGGACTAGAGCCCAAGGGAAAGGAATAGAAATACAGTCACAGTCAGGGTTTCCAAGATCCCTTGATGATAGCTTTTTGTCTGATGCAGGTACGTAGACAGTGGGTGAGTGGTCCCCTCTTTTTCCCCTGACAGCCGCCCAGCTTATCGTTTCAGGCACCCTCTCAGGCAGCCAATTATCTTTCTTTTCTATAAACAAGCCTCGAAGTTCCGACTCCTCAGTTCAGTACTCACGGAAGATTTCCACGTCGTTTCTTTTCCCTTGCGTTCTATTTTCTGTGGAAGTGATTAAATTATTTCTTTCTGACTGATCTTAATGAACCGCTTAGATGAAAACGTCCAAGAAATCCAAGGAACCAACCTCCCAACCTGGAGCGGGAACTGTCTGTCCGTACCCGACTGGGATTCAAGACCCATACATAGCCCCGTGGAACAAATTTCAGGACGGGACGCTCTGACTGGTGATAAATGAACGGGCCACAAGCAGGAGGGATTAACCACCAAAACTTGGCAACTGGGCAGAGGGTCCAACGTTTCATCTTCATTACCGCCAGACCTTTCGCCCTCGGAGATTGGTTCCAGATTTTGCTGCTCATCTGATTTGTCTCCATTTTCGCGCGGGAACTCATTCAACGAGGTCGAGTCTAGAACCGCGCTTTCTTCTCCCATTTGTCCCCCTTTGAAGTCTCTAGACTGACATCTGAAGTGAAGCGTTTTGAGGGATTGGCCCCCTGTCTCCCGACCTCGAGAGTCGAGAGTTGAGACCAGGTACTTCAGCCTTGAGCGTCAAGCTCTACGGCGGCGTATATTACGGGACACGCGGTCATTCAAATGCAATCATCCAATCCAAAGTACCTACTCCGGACTAAGAATAATGAGCGGTGGATCGAAACAACCCTGTTTCTTGGATTGTTTCATAACCCAAACAATGACTGTCCAAGGATTCAGAACCTGAGCAATCACAACTCCAACAAAACAAAGATCAGATGAGATAAAACTCGGAGAGTGAGAAGAGTTTTTTGACTTCTGGTCAAGATGGACTGACCGACTGACCCGACCTTCCAACCCTGAATATTCAATACAGAGTACATCGTAATAAAACCCCGATCTGTTTTAGATCTCAACGCCACCTACCTCCCATATAGTTTAATAACATACGGAGTACGGAGGAGATAGTAATTTCCGTGTAATCCTTACTAGACTCTACTGTACGTTCATCCGCTATTCTCCATTTCTTAGAATCAACTTGATTCTTCTTGATTAGTTTTTTTTTTTTTGTCTTCTTCAGCGGAAGTGGATCTAATGGAAAACTACTAGTAGTAGGTACAGGGTATGATCTCCGTTGGAGGATCCAATATAGAAAGGATCACTCGGTAGTTATAGGTAGCTGTTTGCAAAAAAAGAAAGAAAGAAAAATAGTGTTTTTATACTGTACTCCATAGAGATCGAGGATGCATTTTGAATAAAAATAGAGGCTTGATAAAAAGTCAATTCTGGCCTTCTACCATACTTACATACTTACATAACTATTACACTGTCACTTACAAATGATTCTTGGTATCATGATATGGTATAAAAATAGAGTAAGAACTAGGTAGGTGAAATTGGACTCAGAGAAGACGAAAAAAAAAAAAACCTGCATACTCCGTACTCTACTCCATAGGCCACACCGCTGATATACCTATATATATATGAGTTATTTCATTTCATTGCATGAACTGATCGACAAGTGATAACCCATGCTATATCATACTAAGTGCAATAACTCCATCTATTTATGGCACGGGGGGGGGGGAAGAACAAAAAGAATAAAAAGCCACCGGCAGACTATGTCCATTTTTTTCGGTAAAATTAACATCATCATACATCAACGTTACGACAACGTCCCTCCTCGCAAACCTGGAGATAATTTTTACTTGGTGTGGACGTCTTAATATCCTTGAACAAACGGTTCCTTGTGCGCAGCCAAAACGATTGGTTTCCAACGAAATCTGCTAGATGCGAAGGGCGCATGTCCACCAGAGCTGCGGTTGTTGTTGATGATGTTGACAGCGGCAGGCCTGCCTCTGAACGCATCTTCTTTATTAACAGTTCCCGTGCAGATACTGCCGGTGCGTTGGTGGCCGCTACCTCCGCTGAGGGGGTTGCGCTGGATGAAGGCACCGTCATTGAGCAGTATACGCCTGTAAGATTCCGGGTTCCTGTCTCTAGTCCTACAATCGCGTCCAAAAGACCAACATAGAGGAATGGGTGTTGGAGGATTTCCACTGCAAAAGAATGGCAGGTTTGACGAGCAAGGGTGCGGTATTCTTCGTCTTCAAGCAGACCGGAGAGGCGGAGGAGATTGCGCGCAATAGCTCCGTTGACAGATGGGACAGCGGACTCTGTGCCAGTCTTGAGTCGAAGTAGAGGACCAGGGGAACCTGGTGTCACTGTGGATGGTGTAGTATAGTAACCGGCAGGCGTTGATCCTACGTGGGCAAGGAAATACTTGTTGAGATGCCCTAGAATGAACTTGGTTAGTGACTAGAAAAAGTCTCATTCGGATGCACCAGTGACATACGCTGCAACTGCTCCGCGAACTGCAAATAGTTGTCGTCAAATGTCGCCTCATACATATCCAGCAGTCCACTGGTGAGAAATGCATAATCTTCCGCGAACCCAGGGGTGTTTCCTCGGCTGCCATCGCGATAGATCCGCCACAGTTGGCCGGTGGCCTGGTCGAACAAAGTTTCTTTGATAAAGTTGATCGCCTTGGCAGCAGCTTCCCTGCATTGAACGGCTTTCGAGCTCTCGATTTCTTCAAACAACACGCTGCACTTGGCTAGCGCACCAATCGCCAGCCCGTTCCAGGAAACGATGATCTTGTCATCCAGATCAGGTCTCGCGCGGGTCATTTCTCGATACTCGCGCAACTTTAGTCTGGCAGATTTGATGATTCTCACCACCTCGTCCTCACCCAATCCAAATTCCTTGGCCAGCTTGCTTGGTGTAACCTTAACAGAAAGCACGTTTTGGTTCATAAATTCATCGTGAGGATCGTTCTCTGGCGCAATGTTGCCGTCGGGAAGAACACCCCAATGGCGAGCACAGACTCCAGCATCCCGTTGTCCAAGCACCTGTGTTAGCTCCTTCAAGGTCCAGACATAGAAGGCGCCCTCTCGCTTTTCTGTATCATTATGAGTCGGCAGGCTATCCGCATCTTCAGAAGAATGGAACGCCCCGGTAGGCGATTGAATGGGCGCGGAAGTCAGGTAGGTCGCCAAGTCGTACACTGCACCAAGTAACTCGGGATTATGAGTGATTTTGAAGGCATCAGTGTACACATCAAGGAGTTGGGCCTGGTCGTATAGCATTTTCTCAAAGTGAGGCAATCCCCAATCTGACGTGACGCTATATCGGGCAAACCCATGACCAATATGATCTCGTATACCTCCACGGGCCATGCTGATAAGTGTATTAATGGTCATTGTGGTTGCGTATTCACATTCTTCACGCCCAACAATGTCGGTCACAGCCTTCGGATAGATACCTAGACGGAGCAAAAAGCTTAAATTGGTAGGGGTTGGGAATTTCGGTGCTTTAGAAAATCCACCATGTGCTGGATCATACCGAGAAACGAAGTGTTGGTATGCCTCTTCCAAAAGTTCAATGTCTAGATCCTCGTCGGCTGGCCGATCACCCTGGTAGGAGTGTGTGCCCTCTTCCGCAAATTCTCGCAGTTGTTTTGTGATTTCCTTAGCGCTCTCACAGCAGCGCTGCTGTTGAGTTTGCCAAACATCCCGTAGTTTTTCGAGGATTTCGACGAAGCTTGTAGTCTCTGGTCCGTGTAGTGCCGTGGAGTTCGGGCCAGGCCAGTAGGTGCCGCCGAACACTGGTTCTAAATCGGGGGTTAAGAAAATATTTAAAGGCCAACCACCTGAGCCTGTTGTTGCCTGGACATAGTTCATATAAATGTCGTCGATATCAGGTCTCTCTTCCCTGTCGACTTTGATTGGGACAAAGGATTCGTTGAGGATGGAAGCCACCTCTGGGGACATGAATGATTCTTTTTCCATAACATGGCACCCTATCACAGATCAGGACTTGTTTCTTCTCTTAGCAGTGACCAATAGGGGAAACGTACAGTGACAGGCTGAATAACCGATACTCAAGAAGATTAATCGGTTGTGTCGTCGGGCCAAGTCCATGCTTTCGGCATCCCACAATTGCCAGGCCACGGGGTTATGCCTGTGCGCTCTCACCTGTACTCCACTCAGTGTTGTCCCACTTGAGGTATCAGCTAGGTATCAACTCACATATGGAGATTTACTGGCAGCCAGTCGATTAGCCAGCTTGGGCTCGGTTGCACTATCATGAGTCTGCGGCACCTGCATGTTGGAAGGGGCTGCCATTTTGCAGAAACCACTCTTGCAACGAGCTCTGTTCGATATAAAGAAGAAGATAAGTATTACACGCAAGTAAGCCCGCTGCCCGCACTGCAGTTCACACCAGCTACCAACAGGACGTTGGGGCGCGGGGTTTCGGCGATGGGGAAAATAGAGCCACTAAGCTGAAAACTAGCCAAAATATGACAGAAGAATCGACTCCAAGGCCCAAGGAAGTTCTCTTTTAATGCACAAAAGACAAAAAAGAGTCAAGAGACCCAAACACCAGGTTGGCTGCTGATGTTGGCTGCTTCCGGTTGATCATTGTTGGCCCGCACTTTGCGTCATGGTTGCATGTCCGTGAGTCACGTGCCTGGTGGTTACGAGGAGGTACTTTTACACCACTTGCTACCACTCCAAGATCTTTCAAAACTACAGCTCAGGGAGCTATGACTGGCTTCCTTGGAGTTTCCTTTCGATTCAACCCTTTTCATCCAGCTAATCCTCTTCCAGTAGCTCTGCTAGTTCCCGTTCCTCCTCCTCTGTCAGCATGGATTCTGGGTTCGCAGACTGCTCCTCGGCTGGGGGCTGTGTTGCTTCAGTCACGGCTTTCTGGAGTTCATCGGGCTTCAAAGACCACTGCCGGATGGTCGCATCAATGCTGACACTAACCAGCGTGTATCCTAGAAGAACTAAACCTGTTATCTCCTCGTAATGGCCGGAAAATGTGTGGTAAAGTTGTCCCGTCTAATCGCCATCTAGTCAGTAAAAGAGGTCTAAAAGACGAGAGGGATATAGAAAGACATACTGATCTATTCCATACGCGAACCTCTTCATCTCGACAGGCAGTGACGACCCACCCCCCTCGTTCGTCGACCACCACATCGCGAACATAATCTGGGTGGTTCAACGTCAGATTTGGCTTCCATCCATCTTCCCTCACCAGACATTTGGCAGTTTTATCAGCGGATGCTGTCCAGAGGTCAGCGTCTTGGTCGAAAAAGAGCTTGTAGACGTTTGTTTCGTGGGCCAGGAGAGCCTCTGTGCCAGTGAGATCTTGGCTGCCTTTGGAAATGTCGAAGCGACGGATTTCTCTGTCACTACCAGCGCTGAAAACGACTCGTTCAAGACTATCAGGGTCAAGGGATGCCGGATCAATCGTCAAGTCCTGAATTCCTTTGGTGTGGCCTTTGAGCACATGGAGTCTTTCGCCGCTCGCAATGTCGAATACCAGTATTTGTGCATCAGCACCCCCGGAGATGAGGACATCCTGCCCATTTAGTCTCGTACTAATAACAGCCCTCACAAAATCCGTATGGCCTTCATATCTCAGTGTCGGTTGTCTCGTAGTCACATCCCAGCTCCAAATGGTTTTGTCCCAGCACGCAGCAAATAGTAACTGGCCATTGGGACTGAAGCAGATGCTCGTAACGGGAGCTGTGGGTCCTTTGAAAATCGCAGCAGTTTCACCAGTCTACACAACGACAACGAGGAATAATTTAGTTACGATCCGTACACAGACATCCATCCTGGCTGGACTACATACTTCGAGTATAATGTTTCTGACTGTTCCGCCGCTCTGGGCTACATACACGGCACCTGCTTTCAACGGATCGGGTTGTACAGCTAGAATCTTGCTCTGGAGCCTGATGGGGGAGCCGTGTGTGTTGCTGGATTTAGCGTCCTTTCGCTTCTGTTCATCAAGCGCGGACCTAGAATTATCAGCGAGGGCTCGGGAGGGGAGCTGAGGGTACACACGTCGTTTGAAAGAAATCGTCACGATGGGAGGAGGTTGACATGGCGGCTATATAGAATTAAAGAAACGTATGATAAATCAAGAATCTAGAGGAAGAAAAGTTTAGAAGACGAAATAAAAGAGAAGAAGGACGCCCACGTCGTCACGAACAGCTGGGGAAGTCGATTGTCGAATCCCAACGGAGCGAGAAACTGCCCTCCAAGCTCCTGTCGTCCGCCGTAGTCCACAATCCTTTTTCCACCACAAACTTCGCTCTTCTTTCTTCCTTTTTCTTTCCTCTCTTCTTCCTTCGCCTCCTCCTCCCTCACTCATTCCTCCCTCAAACTGTCCTCTCTTCCTCAACTATCTCCTCCCTTCCCTCCATTCACTTCCCTCTTCTCCCCTCTCTCCTTCTATTTCCTGTTTTTCTAGCGCGTCAACCGCGCAGTCCTGCCCGTCATCATGGATATGAACCATTTAATAGGGTCAGTGGCCTGAACCCAGGGTATGTGCGTGGCTAGGCTAGAATTAACACCTGGCAGTCAACGTTTCAACCTAATTTCCAAGAGTGATATTCGGTACGTCTTCTCTGCTGGACCCCGTGGTAGTTTTTTGGTTGGTGGTTAATTTTCTCGCTTAATCTCGCTAACTTGTCCTAGCTATGTTGGTACTTTACATGAGATCAACCCGGAAGCCTCAACAATAGCCCTGCAGGATGTTGTTTCATTCGGTACTGAAGGCAGACGAGGCAATCCTGCCGAGGAGATCGCCCCTTCCAACAGTATCTACGAATACATTGTCTTCCGTGGGAGTGATGTAAAAGACATCAGTGTTGCCGAGGACAAGAAAGAAAACACACAACCAGAGCCTCCTCAGGTTCCGGATGACCCGGCCATTCTAGGAGTAAGTAAACCATCGCTTTATTTCTCAATTACTCTCTCCTATATCACTCCCCGACTTGACCAATCGTGGTCAAGTAAATGATCATAGTGATGAAATATTTCGGATGTAAACACAGACCTGTTCCGAATTGCGCAAAAACCGTGTGGATATTTCCGTTGCCTTCCTTCTGAATTGATCATGCCCCCTACGTACACTTTGTGTGTTGTTTTGCCGGATGCAGAATGAAGACACCTGGCTAACTTGGCAAATCAGAGTGTATCTCGTCCGGGACCTGGTCCTCAAAGCCTCCCTCAGCCGCAGCCTCAGCAGCAGCCGCCAACCCAGCAACCACAGGGACCTCGTCCTACACCTCCTGGCTATCCTCAGCAACCTCAGTTCCCAGGCTACTACCCGCCTTATGGACAACGCTTTGGTGGGCCCCCCTTCCCACCTGGCCCGGGCTTCCCGAACATGCCATATGGAGCGCCTCCGGGCTGGTATCCTCCTCCCGGCCAAGGCTTCCCCCCGGGGCCAGGACAATTCCCCCCTCAGATGCCGATTGGACATCCTGGTCAGCATCAAACACCACCACCTCAGCGAGCGGGTCCTCCGGGTATGCCTCAGGCTACTTCAGAGCTTCCCGTTAGTGACCATCCCGTGAGCAAACCTGTTAGCCCAGAGATCACGCCGGCTCCTGCTGCCACTGAGGCTGCTCCACCTCCTCCCGTTGCGTCTAAACCCTCTGTGGCAGAGGCCGTCAAGGCTACAACTGGATCAATGGAGCCAGCTGGCCAGAAATTTTCCAAGACTCCTCCATCCGGCCCGAAGGGAGGGCGGGCCCCCCCTGTCATCCCCATCGCAGCTGCAGCCAAACCACCCGTCCCTAATGTTCCCCTTGCTCCAACTTCGGTAAACAATGTGACACAAGGCACTGCTCAAGCTGCCATCACGGAAGCTACTCGTGCAGCTACTGCAGCTGTTGCTGCGGCTATGGCAAAATTGCCTCAGCCTAGCGGCCAGAAGAAGGCGCAGTATCCTGATTCGTCAGTTGAGGGCGTGGCAAAGCAGATGGGTGAAATGAAGCCGTATGAGAGCAACCGCGGTCCCCGAGGTGGTCAACATCCTCGTGGTCGTGGAGCCCACCGTGGTCAATACCAAGGGCCAATGAAGAAAGTCGAAGTTCCTACTACGGATTACGACTTTGAAACTGCCAATGCCAAGTTTAACAAACAAGACTTGGTCAAGGAAGCCATTGCAACCGGCTCTCCTGCCCATGATATTGAAGCTCCAGCTGAGATCGCTGCTCCCGAGACCGCCGATACCGGCTCTGCCAACGCCTACAATAAAGCTAATTCTTTCTTTGACAATATCTCAAGTGAGGCTCGCGACCGCGAAGAAGGCACTGGTGCCCGAACTGGTGGTCGTGAGTGGCGCGGCGAAGAGGAGAAGCGCAACATCGAGACTTTTGGTCAGGGCAGCGTTGACGGCTACCGGGGAGGCTACCGCGGTCGCGGAAGAGGCCGTGGTTATAACCGTGGCAGAGGTGGTTACAGCCGCGGCTATGGCTCCCGGGGTCGGGGTGGTGTTCGCGGAGGACGCACCATGTCGCAGTCCACTGGTGTTCCTACTCCCAACTAATTTTTTTTTTTCTACCTTTTTTCTTTCACGCCCTTTTGTTTTCCTCATGGCTTGGAAACTGTTTGACGGCGCATTTAGCGGTGGAATTGTGTGTTTTCATTATGTCTTGTTACTGGTCTGTTTTGGAAGTGACGAATCCTTCCGACGGTCTCTCTGATATTCCCCTGGCGTCTGCGGTAGCATCCTTTGAAGAACTCGAGTCGAACATGATATCGTGCTCCTCAAGACTTGCGGATTTATATTTGGGATCCACATGGGTTACGATAGGCGGGCTTCGAGAGCAATGAGCTGGGCTGGCTTTGATTTTTACACGGTGTCGCAATGGGGCGTTTGTTTTCTTGCTGCATGGATTGGTCGTGGGCCTCCGTTGCATCACTCAGATATCCGGATAATGATGCTATCTGTCTTTTTATGTTGTACCCGCTGTCGTGGAAGGCTTCTGCAGCACCAGCGATGGTACTCGTGTATCATACATGATAACTTGAATGAAAAAAAATCCCTAAAACGGGGGAAACTCGATCGAGGTCTCTCCCGGGAAAATGAGCTCTTGTCTCTGTGCATTGTTTACTAAATCACGTATTCATCTGTGGAAAAGTTATTCAGTTCACCCTCATTTGAACTCGCCAGTATGGAGTAGAGGATTTTTAACCTAACTTGGCCAGGGCTCAGGAGGTATAACCTGGCAGGATATGTATGGGATAGAGAAAATGATCAAATAGCTATCTATAGTCGTTCCTTTTCCTCCCAATCTATTTCCTATTTCCTATTTTTTTTCCCCCTCTCTTTCAATGAAGGAGGAGGGGAGGGAAGGAACAAACAAACAAGCTAATTCATGTAATGATTTATTATTGAGGTGAGGTGAGTGAGTTCACATCCTATGCAATCAATGAACATGTACATATACTACTACTATGATGCTCAGGTTAAGAAGTCAAAGTGAAAAAAAGGTCATTCATAGTCATAACTCATTACATCGTATCATAACAGACAGAATTGGCACACGCTTGTGTCCTGATCAATCCAATCCAATCTTTCCTCCTAGATCACATTCACATGAAAAGAATCGAACAGGATGAACAACCCGGACGTAAAGGAAAAGCCGAAGGAAGAGAAGAAAGGAAGAAAAGAAAAAAAAAAAAAAAAAAGAGGCTAGAATATATCTTCCGGCCACTGGAAATTCTCATCTCCGCCTGGGTTCCTCACCTGTACTCGTCTCCTACCCATCTCCTTGGCGAGTCGGCGATCAACCTTGGCTGCTGTGGCTGCAAGGTCCTTCGGAAGCGGAGGCACAGGCGGAATGTACTCATATCTAGCCCTTCTGCTTCTAGGCGTGGGAGTCGGGTGATTCTGGTCCGCTTCGGGATCTTCCTGTTGGTTCGTGTGCTGGTCAAGCATCTGGCCGGTTTCGTCCATATCATCCTGGTGGTGCTGGTTCTCCTTGTTCTCGTCGGGTTCGTGGATATGCGATGCAGACCGTAAATCCCCACGCCCCTTTTTCATCCGCAGCACAGGCGTCACCGATCGGTTGCGCAGGTTTGCAGAACGCAGCGGCCGGCTTGCTCGTTCTTCACCGGGTGCACGACCGTTCTCGCTGGCGGCTGGGCTCGGTCTTGACTTTTGTTTACGCTCGACGGAGCCTGGGCTGTCACCGCGGGCGGTCTTGGGTAGTTTGGCTTTGCGGGAGGGTGTCGTTGCTGCTGCTTCGGTTGATGGGGGGATTGGAGGTGGTGGTCTTGTCGGGGGTGCTAGGGTCTCAGACCTTGATGGGTTCGAGGACTGTTGTTGTTCATCGGAGGGTGCTGGTTTTCGGGATTCTGGGTCTGGGGACTTGCGTTTGCGAGACGGGCTGTGTGGGGTTCGAGATCGGGAGTCCGCCCGAAGAAGCCCTGGATTGGAATTGGAACGCCTCGGGGTAACATTTCTGGGTCTGCCGTCATTGGCATCTGCCCGTTCTCGTACTTTCACAGCTATTTCCTGAGTAGTGATAGCACCCTCTGGGAGCGGCGGGTTCAGTGGTGTTGTACACTCCGGTGTTGGCGCACGATCGTTGAGAAGTCGCTCTGATGGCAGCGACGGAAGAGCTCCCGGAACAAACCTCTTCGGGTAGAACTTATCTCCCTGGAGACTGCGCATGAGTAGCTCGTCGTCGCCTGTGAGTTCCCGGAGCTCCCGCTGGGCTCGGTCAAGCTTGTCCTGAAGGTCACTGACCCGCTTAAGCAGCTTAGCCTGGCGCTGCATATCCTTGCGGGACTTTTGGTGTCGCACTTCCTGGTCCTCCCCGTCGACATGCTGCCGGACAGAAGACGTACCATCCGCCCGTTTCATAGACGGAATCCCAAGTGATGACTTGGCCTTTCGCAGATCCGGGAACGATGGACGCAATGAGCTCGAACTGCCCGTGACAGACTCATTGCTAGGACCGTACCCAGAGTGCTGTCGCGAATGCTGTCCGCCTCCACCCCTACTACTACTACTACTGTATTCCATCTTCTCCTGGATAGACTTCCAGGTTTGATCAGGAAGACCGGCCTCCGCGGCTTGCAGACTTTGCATATAGCGACCCTTAACCGTGCCTTTATATCCCGACCGCTTCAACTCCTCATAAGCCCTCTCGGCCTGACTGAGCGGATCATTCGCCGTCTCCTGCCCGCGATGCCCCTCTTGCGGCCCCTTCCAGATCTCAGACATATTACTCCAACTCCCCGCGAACGGGTGAAACGCCGAGGCAATGGCCTTCCCAAACCGGAAGATCCCAGACTGTCTACTCGAACTCCGTGCCGTCTCGTTCTGTATGCCTGCCATTGTTCCGTCGCGTAGGAAGATACTCGGAGGCTTCTCGCTCACAGTATCATTCATATGCCCCTCAACAAACCGAGACCGGCGGCCTGAACGCCCGGGTCTCGGTGATCGCGGCGACCCATGGGCCGAGCCCGAGGGCTTGCCATGATGCTGGAACGGCCAGAGCTGCCGATAAGCGATGGTTTCCCGGCGCGAGGGTGCCTCATCATTTGCTGGGGGTTGTTGATTCGGCCAGTCATTCGATCGGCGTCGCTTAACGGAATACGACGACGGCGAAGCATTCGCACTCGCACCTGTGATCGGGGTAGGCGGCGGAAGTGGAGAATGGGCTTCCTCGGCATCATCAAACTGCCCAGACACTTCCGAAAAAAAATCGGATTCCACACTGAGGCTCCTGGTGATCCGTGAGGGGCGTCCATGCTTTCGCGAATAGGAGGTGGGATCGGGGGAGCTGCAGCTCAATTCAAGCGAACGCTGCAGCTGGCGATCCGCTTCGTGGGGATCGATGTCGACGTCTCGGTCTCCATTGACGTCAACGCCAACAACATCCGGAGACATCTAGGAGGCTATGTCAGGGATGATTCAATTCAATTCCATTCGTTTCTTTTTTTTTTTTTTTCCAGAATGATGACATCAAAATCGCATAGGAGATGAGAGCAGGGTCAGATAAACGAGGGGATCGAGCATACACACCTCCACACCGATTGTGATGGCCTGCTTGCTTTTTTTTTTTTTTCCCCTCTTTATCTGACTTGAATTACAAGGCAACGAGGAGAAGAGGAGGGTAGATAAAATATATGAAGTAGAACCCTGGACGCCGAGCTAGACCAGCGCAGGGTTGTGGGAGAGCAAAAGGAAGCGATTTCTGTGTTGTTTTGGTGTAGTTGGATTGTTGGGATTGTTGTTGTTGTTGTTGTTGTTGTTGTTCAGGCCCAACGCGCTAAGCAACACAACAACCACCGGACATTAATTATATATATATTATTATATCAAGCCGGGGGATCAGCTCAGAACCCACTCCAATCAAAACAATCCCAGGTATTACCTCGTATCTTTCTTTTTTTTCTTTCTTTCTTGGTATTTATACCACTTCGCCTTTGCGTGGCTGGAATGCAGAATGTTGATACCTCTCGGCCAGGCGCATTCTACACTAGAAGATCCCAATCTTAGGACCACGGACAGAGAATGAAGGATACCGAATCCCTTTCTAGCAGCTCATCATCCGAGGGGATTGCAGAGCTCATATCCAATTTTACTACTTGTAGGCAGGAGTGTTGGAAGAATTCAAGACATGGTGGTATTGCACAAATCTATCAGTTCACGTCACAGAACAAGATCGCTCTAAAATCACCCCGTCAGATCATAAAAAAGGTGAAGCCAGTCGGAAATCCAGTATTGGATTAAGTAGGAACGTCTTCAAAAAAAAAAAAAAAAGACACAGAAAAAAACCAGTCGTCCCGATTATAATCGGACAGTAACACCCGGGGAATATAACAGAGATAAAAGGTGGGAGAAAATATAAAAGTCAAAAACACATAATAAGAATCATATACAGGCAGTGAGAAGGTAATGGTATAAGGGTCGAAACTGTTTCTCGGAAACACACACACACACACACACACACCAAAAAGCCCATTGCTCCATGGGCTTCGATTTTGAATTCAGGGTAAGGGAAGACGCAAAATGCAGCGGACGCCGTTCCATACACCGGTAACCAGCCAGAGAGAGGTGGATGCCCATCAACTCCAAAAGCAACGAATCTACTGCATGGCCGGAGAAATTTTAGTAGCCATTCGTCCATTGGCCCGTTTGTAGGCCATCTGATCAGAGCTATCGAACAGTGCCGCTCTACTCCCGAATGAAGGTCTGCGCTGCATTCCGCCGGGATAAGACTCGCTATCTGGCCGCATGCCGTTGTACAGAGACCGCTCTTCGTGACCAAAGGACTCCTCATGGGTCCGTTTGGTCAGGGACTGTCCGGTTTCCCAAAGGAAGCTCTTGCCAGGACCTAAGTCATGGTAAGGGCTGGAGCCCAGGCTGCTGGGCGGGTGTGACGAGGTTGGAGTAAACTCGGTCGAAATGGATTTCAGAGGTGGGAGAGAAGTAACCTTATTGGACGGCGCCTGGGACCGAGGAGCTCCAGGCTGTCCGAGGGAATGAGGCCCGTCACCTCCTGGCATCGCAAGAGTGTTTGGCAGTCGCAGAGGGGGTAAGGCTGGTTTGTAACCAGGACGCTCGTTTGGCAGTCTTGGATGTGGGTAGGGGTAGCTTGAAGATGGTTCGTATTCGGGACCGGATGAAGAGTTCCTTGCGTGCGAAAATGACGGGCGAGGGGAGTATGTATTCGATGGCGCTGCTGCAGGCTGTGGAGTCCGCGACAACTGGGGGGCCGGATACTGGGTTTGAGTGGCCCCAAACGACAGGTGAGATTGATATGATGGAGTATGTGGTGGAGGTGCGGCCGCGGGGGCAGCCGGAGAGGGAGCAGGAGAGGGAGCAGAACCCGGAGAAGGTCCAGCAATGGGAGCAGAGGACATAGAAGCAGGGGCGGGCGCAGGAGGCAGAACAGGCGTACACGATGCCGCTGGAGCGGTAGTAGGAGTATGTGGCATGGGGCGTGAATAGGGTTGTGGGTTCTGATGAGGATATTCGGGACCCGAGGGTCGGCGCTGCGAGCCGTAAGGGTACGAATGGTCGACGGTGCTGATACTTGTCGAGCGCGGACGTTCCGGAGGGTTTGTGGCGTATGTGTCCGGGGTGGAATATCGGTCGGAGTGCCGGCTACTGTAGACTCTTTCTTCCTCGTATTCATAATCCTCGGCCCTTTTGTCTCCCCGACGTCTCATCCGCACATCTCGACGAATACGGACACGACAACCCTGCTCCGCAATCACACGGCTGAGCGACGTACTGGTGGTCAACCCTGGGAACTTCTTCGCGCTAAAGACCGTGAACGGAACCGAAACCACCTCCAGACGGAACTCCAAGAACGATTGAGGGGCCGAGATCTTGGATGGGATTGTGTTGGGAACGATGGACGCGCCCTCCGTTGCATCCTTGCTGTCCTTGGTTTCTTCATACAGGTGGAAGCTCAAGCGATACACACCTTCGTGTCTGACGGAAAGATCGGGGAAGATGAAGTATCCAGCTTGCGATGGTCGGTCCAGATATGCCACGCCAGCCACCGGCACACCAGTCAGAACCGGGCAGTTGGGGGCCGGGGCCAGTCGTCCCTGAGCGATCGGACGGGCAGTGTCCAAAGTGGCAAACAGAAAGAAATTAGCATTGTAGGCAAAGGTGATGTCGGTTTTATGTGAGTCGTCATTGGGGTCGGACTCGAAGATGCGCAATTCGACCACGGGCGGGGGATCAACGGGGCGACGGTCCGCAGATGCTATTTGGGGTTACGCCGTTAGTCTGAAGATAACATGACTTGGGGAGAGACCGATGGGATGCTGCGTGCGTACATTTCGCGCCGGCACCACAGGCTCTCGCGCGTTCAGGCTGTTGCATCACATTTAGTTTGTAGGTAATTTTCTTTCCCTCACGTGTGATCCGGGTGACGGAATGCTCCGTCTCGTTCATGGGCGCTGGGATAGATCTAGTAGCCATTTTTTTTTTTGACTCGGATTTCCCAAGCCTAACTTGACCAACTGATTGAAGTTAGCACGCGCGGGTCACGAAAGATATTCAGGCTGTGGTAACAGCTTCTGCGGGAGGGGAATCAGTCCAACATACTCAATAACTAGATCCATACAACAACAACAACAACAACAACAACAATATAAACTAGCACACTGTGATCCGATTCCCCGAGTCAAGAGGGACAGCTGGGAGAGGAGGGACGATGAGGGTGAAGGAGGAAGGTCAGACGATATATCGAACAGGAGAAATGAAAAGGAACCCGATCGACCCGTTTCGGAGGGACGGATGGAATAGGAAGGAGTCGTCGTAGTGAGTGGTAGGACACAGTCACAAATGGAGAGCCAGAGGGAAGGAGGGAATCTCTAAAGAAGAAGAAATCATGGCAATTCATCTACATATCAGACCAAGGTTCTTTTCACAAAGGTACAGATAATTATACTACGATCATTATTCATCGGATCCGTATCATAATGCTTGCATTACCGGAGTGGTGGGTGACAGAAAAGAAATCCAATAAACCAAGTGATTGGGTTCAGCCTTTGGAGAATTAAGTTTTGACCTCTTTTAGCTGGGAATCTTAAATACCCGGAATAGGAAGGACTTTAAACTAGGTCCGGATCCACTTCTGGGGCGTCATTCAAAGAGGATGAATGCTCATCGCAGTGTTTCGGGATGATTGCCTAAACCCAGCACACTGGATCGAGTGCATCTCCCAATAGCCCGGGAATGGGCAAGGTTGGTCAATGCTTGGGCTATCGGTCCGTCTGGCTGCGTTGCAGAACTCCACACATTTGAACTTGGGATATAATTCCACCAAGGTTTCAGATCCGTCTTTGGAAGTTGAAGACCTTTCATCCTCGGACCCGAGGACGAATATCCACTAACAATACATAACAGGTACACAGTACCACCCCCAAGGTACTCGGTAGTCTGTGCATCACGGAAAACAAATCTGGACCCCCCCCGATCGAAGGGAATCACAAACCCTCGCCGATCCTTACCCAATCCAGTAGGAGACTAAAAACCCGGTCTGCACCCCAACAGCCAGTTGTAACGCAAAGGGAGAGAAAATAAAATTGGACCCAGAGCCCAGGAGCCAGAATTCACTGTGGTGTGACCAGGGCATCCCCATGATTGGGTCATGCCTGTCAAAAGGAGCAGAGTGGGGTCTACATAACCCCGCTATTCCCTTATAGGAAAGATTCTTAGCCGACCGTCCAGGATAACCCTTCTCAGAACCTTCAACCTTCCAACAACCACATTATCGGATCTACCCGCATCCTACCCTACATACATCACTCAACCCAGAGAGACAGAGAGTACCTCCAAAAAGAACGAAATGCCACCGTCCCCAGGCTATCCCAAGGGACTCAGGCCCAGTGGGATGGCAATTGATCCGAATGGACAACAGAGAAGCAAATAAATTACCTACATCTGTAACTAACCTAATCGGGAGCCTTGAATCGAGAATCGAGACTCGAGAACCGGCCGAACCCATGAGTCATTCATGTTCCTTTGCCCCTCGACGATACACAAGGAGACGGACGATCCTCTGCACTTCCCGTGTGGAGTTTGTGTTTCCTGACTATTGAATGGGAACTTGGGAAGCACTGCACAGCTCTGCTCACTAACTGCAAATGCCCTAGTCCACCGTTATTCTTTGCATGACATCCGATGCGTTTCATTGACCATGTGATGCGTCGTAAAAGAAGCTGTCTCATCAAGCACCAGGCTATCACGACTTTTCCCTTGGCGACCGTTCGCCTGAAAGCAATCAATCTACGTACTGACGCCCCGACGCCGGAGGAGCTTAACGGTTTATTGGCACGATCAGCGACGACTCAAATATGATCCTCTGTTAGTGATGCATCTCCTTTCTATGTTCAAATCCCGGGATCCCGGGACCCCCCGGGGTTTAACTTCCCAGCCGTGAGGTCAGAGGCTTTGAGCTCACCGAATCCCATCTTTCTCGTGGCGCCCATTGGCTACGTAAATTGGCGCTGGGAATATCGCCTGGGCATCATCGAGATGGCGAAACCCGAGACTGTACGTACAAGTACATTACCGTACATCAGTCGCACCAGCAAGGGGTCCAAATAAACACCACCTTCCCTATAACCCTTATGGGCCCCATCCTCCCCTTTTGAGGGCCGTGCATCACGAATGAGATAGCAACAAGTCATGGATTCTAACTAATCTTGTAAAGGCTTATATCGAATCTATGTAAGCTAATAGACAGCTCACCAACTCAATTTACATGGTACTCCGCCGTATAAAGCTGTGTAGATGTTGGGTATATAACAACTTCCACTCCATATTATCAGGAATGAACATATCTCCTTGCCTGACACTTGATGGTGGCATGGTACTAGAGAGGAAAAGAAAGATGGTTCATTGCATAACGATAGACTTGCAAAGGTTCGTGATTTAGGTGAGCATCTAAGTCTTTTTTACTCCCAAGTTGGATTCCCTTCCCACAACACACACAGATATGTATATACTATATCTATCTATATATATATATATATATATATACTCCGTACTGAGCGTAGCGGTCAAGTCGCGGATACACCCCGGTTGAATGTGGCACGCTAGAAGTAGCATCTACGATCGATTCTCCACGGTTGTGGGTTGGTGACTGCGGGTTTGATATCCTGTGGAGCACGGGAGGGTTAGAATGTACTCCATGGTTTTTTTTCTTCTTCTCTCTCTCTCTCTCTCTCTTTTTTTTGTTATGTCCTCACTTTGCCTCTCGTAACGGAAGGGAGAGGAGACAAGGGGCAAAGCATATATTGTCCGAGCCTCCATATGGACTGCATGGTTCTTACCGGCTTAGGTGCATGCACCAAGTAGTCGTTCGTCTTGATTCTGGGACGCGATAATAATCACTTCCAGTTCCTCGGTCTGAAATCGCCATGTCAATGTGGGTTCCAAGTTTCCTCCATAGTTAACCCCCCCATCGCTTTGCTTTCGACTGGCTTTGCTCTCATCTTCTCCATCCTTTCGTCCTCCTAAGAGATCGTTCTGTGTCTGACATGCACCCCTTGCACCCGCTAGAGCCCGCGGGCGAGAACATCTGGCTGTACGAGCCTCCCAAAACCAAGGATACCGTTGTGCCCGATGGCGGCGGCCCGGCGCTTATTGTGCTCTGTACCTGGCTCGGAGGTGCGACTCCTCGCCGAATCAGCAAATATGTTGGCTATCATCGACAGACTTTTCCTCACGCTGCCATCCTGCTCATCACCACCAACATCATCGATATCACAGTGCGTCCGTCTCGCATGATCCGGACTCGCTTAGAGCCAGCTCGTCAAGCAATCCGCCGCATCGTGGGGGTGGATACTCGCGAGGATGCGAAAGACCCGAGCGGAGTGCTGCTACACATCTTCTCTCACGGCGGATGCAACATTGCGATTCAATTACTTCTCTCCATGCGGGATCCTGAGCATCGCAGCGGCATCCCCCGACTGCCTCTCCAAGGGATTATCTTTGATAGTTGTCCAGGAGACACGACATTTATGCGCAACTATCAAGCTAGTGTTTACTCCCTCCCTTCCGATGCGCTTCTCCTCCAGCTATTGGGCAGGGCTTTTCTCTTCCCGACGGTTGGGGTGATAACCGGACTTCAGAATCTGGGGATAACAAGCTCCATTGGGGCGATGCAGAAGCAACTGAATGATAGCGCGGTGATTTCCGCCCGCGTGCCCCGACTGTATCTGTTTTCCAAAGCGGACGAGACCATCCGTTGGGAGGAGGTGCAGGCGCATCTGGACGATGCGAAAGTCCGTGGATACCCGGTAGAAAGAGTCGCCTTCCACCAGAGTCCGCACTGCGCACTGATTGTCGAAGATGAGAAACGGTACTGGGGGGCAGTTCGACAGTTCTGGCGGGAGCGAATTTGGAAAGGGAACCCGATGACTGTGGCACGAGAGAGTAAATTATGACCGTGGCAGATTTATATACCTAATATATAATATTGAATTGGAATTTGTATACCCGATCGAGACATTCTGATTGGTCTATATCGGGACCCCACAGAATCTCACCCTGGGAGCTATTTTGGATTTCAATTCTGCTCTCTTTTTCGTCTTCTTCTTCTTCTTCTTCTTCTCCTCCTCCTCTCTTCATTCGCTTGTCCCTCCCTCTTCATGGATCTTTTATCCATCCTACCAGAGTTTGCCATAAAATCATACTCCCACATCCTCCCCCCACTCGAGAGAAGCAATATTAACACCGTCGACTTGATCTCCCTCGATACCCTCGAAATCGCGAAACGCGCTCACGTTCCTCCGGCAGACGTCCGTCGATTGTCCCACCATGTCATCAAAGCTTTACATCACGATGTCGGATTCGAAGAGAGCCCTGTTGCGGAGCAAGACGAACCCAGCGAACCCAGTTCGACCCTCAATTTCGACACCCCATTGATCCCCGGCCCACGGAATAAGCTTGATCTCTCGCAATGGTGTGCCATCAGCACCCTCGATCCCGCATTGGATGCCTTGCTGAATGGAGGAATCCCGGTTGGATATGTGACGGAAGTAACCGGTGAGAGGTATATCTTGCATACTGATTTAAAAAAAAAAAAAAAAAAAAAAAAAAAAAAACCTGCCGATGCTGTGGTTTGGTATGCCTGGGATTAGGTTGATGGTGACTGATGGATCGCTCGTAGCGGGAGTGGCAAGACGCAGTTCCTCCTCAGCTTGCTTTTGGCCGTGCAGCTTCCGGCACCCCGCGGCGCGGGAAAGAGCGCCGTATATATTTCGACGGAAGCGCCGTTGGCTACGACGCGGTTGTCTCAGCTCATTGAGTCTCATCCTTATCTGGCGGGTCTGGAGCGTGATCGTGCTCCGTCCCTGGAGAGGATTCTCTCTATCAATGCGATGGACCTCGAGAGCCAGGACCATATTCTCAACTATCAGCTACCGGTTGCGATTAAGCGGTATAATGTCGGGCTTGTGGTGATGGACTCGATTACGTCCAACTATCGAGCAGAGCATACCGCTCATAATCTTTCGGGCTTGTCGACGCGGTCCGGAGAGCTGGCGAAGCTGGGGCACATGTTACGGAATCTTGCCGTCACCGAGAATCTCGCCATCGTAGTTGCCAACCAAGTCTCCGATCGGTTCGACAGAGAAGAAGGCCCCTCGCTTTTTGCTCGCGTCGTGGACGGGACGCCTTCATCCTCACCTGCGACCCAACCACCACGAGAGTCAGGCGCCGCGTCGCCGCCGCCGCCGTTCCCGCAAGTGCGTCCACCAGACCGGGCCCATCTCGAGCTATCCCAGAGCACGCTGGCCATTCCACCCTTTAACCCTGTCTTTCCATCCTCGTCATCATCGCCCCAGCCCACGCAGGACGACCCGCAGCAGCCATTTGACGGGTCATACTTGGTGGGCAACCCAGTGCGCAATGGGATTCTCAGCCTGCAGCACCAGCAGCGCTTCTTCACCGGATGGGGGGACTCCCCGGAGCCTTTCATCTGTTCCACTCCGTCTCTGGGCTTTCAGAGATCAACAGCCAAGACACCTACCCTGGGTCTCGTCTGGTCGACGCAGATCGCCTGTCGAATTGCCCTCAAGAAGGAAGACTGGCCCGCTAGTCCGGCCCTGCCTGAAAGCGAAGCAGTCCATCCCGGGGGGGGGCGGGGAGGGGGGAACGCCGCACTATCACCGCCCTCGAACAACGCTCCATCCACAACGACAGCGAACTCTTCTTCTCACCTTCACTCCATCCCGCCACCGCCCCAGATGATCGAACGACCAGTTCGACGAACCATGAAGCTAGTCTTTTCGCCGTGGTCTGGAGGGTCTCCGCGCGGGGGGGGGATCCCGGACGAAGTGGACTTTGAGATTTGGAAGGGTGGGCTGAGGAATTGTTTGGATGATGACGGTACTGCTGCTACTGCTGCTACTGATCCTAATGATAATGAATAATAATGAATGTACTACTATACAATTCCTTGACTCTTGATCATGATACCGATAATGATACGATGAAACATGAAACATATACTACCTAAGAGAGAATCCATATAATAATAAATAAAAAAAAAAAAAAAAAAAAAAAAAAACAACTATATATCTATACCGCTATACAGAAACTTTCACTCTGGAAACCCAGTTCCAATACCTATTTAGACTATCATACTTTTTTTCCCTATCTAGATAGGTATGTAGATAGATAGGTAGGTAGGTAGGTACTATCTTTATAAAACTCTAGTGCTTGTCCCAGGTATATGTATGGATTCATCAAGCTCCTCTGTACTCCTCCTACATAGTACCTATTTATTTTATATAAGAAAGAAGAAAGTGGGTTTTGGCTTTCTGCGGATGCTCGGCCCCAGTGAGCCTAACCCCGCAACTTCACTCTCCTTTTTTGTGTATTTTATTTATTTATTCCCTTTTAAATTCTTCCTTTGATTTCTCTTCTTCTTCTTCTTCTTCTTCTTGTCCTCTATTTTTATTGCTCTCTTATTGCATTCTCTTCTCTTCATCACCCAGACATGATAATGCAAGATCTAACCTACATACGAAGTCTAGTCAAGATATCAAACTCAATCCAGAAAACAACAGTAATAACGAAATAAACTAACAAATTCTCTAATAACATAAAACCAGACATAGGCACACACAGATGCAGAAACAACTCCAGTCATCATCGTTTTATCAGGCAAAGAAGTGATCCATTATATCAAGAACAGACACAAAAAGTAACGTCTCTCCCACGTCTCCGTTGTACGCCTTGCACTCAAAAAAAAAAAAAAAACATGGGAACATGCAACTCGCAGCTGCTCTCTGATCTATGACGGGGAAGTATATCGTGGCCGTTTCGTTCCTGCGAGAGCACACCACGGGAGAGGAGAATAAATCATCGAGAAGGTTTAAAAAGCGCAAGAGATGAGAGAAATATTAAAAAAAAGGGGGGAGAGATTTAGAGAAAAAAAGAAAGAAAAGAAAAAAAGGCTCTCAAGCGTTCTATGTACTGATGTGTAAAACAGACATGGTGTACTCTATTTCGAGAGCTTGACGGGGGGGATTCCGATGCCATTGGTGTTGCGATAGAAGAGAACACCGGCGTTCTCGCCCTTGGTTCCCTCGGAAGGCTCGACCCAGTGGCACACCCGGGAGCTGGTCCACATGGCCTTGAAGAAGCCGGTCCATCCGGTGTGCGCCTCGGTGCGGTAGTGGGTGCCCATCACCTTTTGGATGGCCTCGCTGGCCTCATCGGCATGGTAGAAGGGGATGGTGCTAACGTAGTGGTGGAGGACATGGGTTTCAATGATGCCGTGCAAGATGTGGCGGCCAACAAAGCCAAAATCACGGTCGATAGTGGCAGCGGCACCGCGGGCAAAGTTCCAGTACTCGGGTTGGTAGTGAGGGAGAGTGGGGTCAGTGTGCTGCAGGTAAGTGATAGCAACTAGAAACAAGTTAGTTTTCAATCCCGGTGAGAATATCTGATTGAAGATTTGGAACTTACCCAGCCAGTGGTTCACCCAGACGTAAGGAATGCCGTACCACACGAGGAGGTTCATCCAGCCGTACTTGGAGCCAATGAGGTAGAGAATGGAAAGGACAATGGCCAGACCCAGGTCGCTGAGAATGATGAGCTTAGCATCCTTAGCCTCGTACAGAGGGCTGTTAGGGTTGAAATGGTTGACGCCGCCAAAGTAACCGTTGCGCTTTCCTTTTCCACGACCCTCGGGCTGGCGTTCGTGGTTGTTGTGGCCTGTGACGTTGGTTAAAAGGTACATGGGCCAGCCAAACAGCTGCTGGAGAACCAGATGACAGGCAGTGGCAATGGGGGTTTCCTCCATCAACTCGTGCAGCTCATAGATGGTCTTAGAGATACGAGAAGCATACTGGTCGCGAGTCTTGGGCACAAAGACCATGTCGCGGGCAATGTTACCGGTGGCCTTGTGGTGCTTGCCGTGAGAGATCTTCCAGGAGAAATACGGGACTAGCAGGGCAGAGTGACAGATCCAGCCAACGGTATCGTTCAGAACCTTGGAGGTAGAGAAAGCTTGGTGACCGCACTCGTGGGCCAGAACCCAGATTCCGGTAGCGACCAAACCCTGGACGACGGTATACAGAGCCCACAGGGCGACGCGAGCAGGGAACGAAGGCACGGTCTCGGGTGTCACATAGTTGTGAAAGAGGTAGAAAACGGCGGCCAAGATGGCAGCGTCCCGGAAGACATAGTACAAGCCGGTGGCGGCAGAGCGCTCGAAGCAATGGGCAGGAATGGCATCGCGGATCTGCTTGATGGTGAAATCGGGAATCTTGAATTCGTTGCCATAGGTGTCCAGCATCTTTCCGTTATTCTCCGCGTCGTCCGACATGGACGACAGCGAGGTTGAGGAGGGCGATTGGCGAGGAGTGCCCAGAGGCGAGACAGCGACAGAACTGGGAACAGAGCTATCTGTTCCGGGGTTGCGGTGAAGCGCAACCCGCTTGGGGATTGCCGTGGACGACATGATGGGAAAGTCTGACAACGGTAACAACTGCTGGAGAGGAAGGGGTTAGCGACTCTGCGAGAGAACTACTCGAGAGAGACCCAGGGACAAAAGGTCCGAATCACACGCTGAACGGCTGCAAGAGCACTTACCAATGGATTGATTAAGGTTTCAGGGTACACAGAATCTGACTGAGATCCTGATCTTCAGGATTGACTCCTGTCCTTGTTGTGGAAAGAATAAGTCCAAGGGGGGGGGAGAGAAAGGGAGGATGAAGAGGAAGAGGAAGGGAGGAGGAGGAGCGGAAGTGAAGAAAAACCCTGGCTGCCGAATTTGCCAGAAAGGCGTGTATTGGGGTGGTAATTGTTGTATTAGCTGAAATTAAGAAGGAATCGAGATGATTGGTTAAGAAGCTGTCGTTCTACCAGCAAGAATGATTGATATATGTATGTATATACGCCGATACGGAGTAGAAAAGAAAGCCATGTGAATAAAATACTATACCTTTCAATTTCAAGTACAATACAGAGACCAGACCTCACCGCCTCCTCTGGCCAATTAGATTGATCCAAACAGACAGAATGTCAGAAAATTGGTTCGTTCCTCAACAGTCTTGGATGAGAGGTTTATTTATCTGTACATATAGTTTTTTTTTTTTTTCAATCTCAGAGTACTAATCCAATAGCGATAACTATAACTATTATGTGGTTTCATGTGTGTAAATCGAGTACAGTATACAGATAGAAGATACATCAAGTCAATCACGAAAGTGGCTACACCTTCAACTCAATCGCCTCATTATCAACCTTTTTTTACTATAGAGTAAGTTCAAGAGTAACTTTAAGGTACATGGTAGAGGTTTTGTCTGGACCACAGCCACTTGCCACTTCTCCCTGTTTAGAGAGAGAGAGTATTGCAAATACGTCCAGAGTACAATTGTATACTAATACTGTACTGTATCTGTACTGTATCTGTACTGTATCTATACTGTATCTGTACTGTATCTGTACTGTATCTGTGTATCTGAGATTTACATGTGATCCAGAATGCCAACGGCATATTTTCCCTTCTTCTATAGATTTGAGTTTCAAGAATCACAAGTGGATTTTCCCTAGGTAAACTAATTAGTTAAGAATTATCGGAAGATGCCTTTCAACATGGCGTGACTCTGTTGTGTTTTTATCTCTCGAGGTAATTCTGTTGGGGGGTCTGGGATTCTGTTGAGATTTGTTGGGTCTGTTGTGGCGGGGGGTTTGCCCGTGGCCTATTGGGGAACCCAACCTCATATCTAGGTGAAGGGAAACTGGTAACTGAAATACCAATACCTATGATGGATCAATATATTCATCCATTATTATTATATATATTTTCGAATCCAAGAATGGTTTTTATACACGTCGTTCCGAATCAATTAACCACGCCCCCCCGTGTCCTCCCGTCGATAGACTGAGACTTACCGTCGTGCTGCGAAGATCTGGTAATACCTGTATGGTCTCGCCATGATTCCGGTAGTCGACCTCGCACGCAATCGGCCGGCGCTGAACGGGCGCTGACCCTGGTGTTGTCACCGCTGGGACCCCCGCCACCGTGGCCGCGATCGTGGTCGACGGCGACGGCGACTGCGTACTGGTACCCGGGGATACAAAACTTCGGATCTCTAGTCCCGGAAGAAGTAAATGCCCAGCCTTCTGTGGTAGTAACATGATAGCAAATGTTTTGCTTTCGCCTTCGCTGGCCGTAAAGTTCCCGCGCCGTCGACCGCCCACCATCCATAGTTCGGGATTGGCGTGTAGCTCGTACGAGAATTCGAGCGGTCCTCCGGCTTGATCGCGCTGATCGGGTGAGCACCAGCGGCGCGTGTGGGAGAGGCGGAGTTCAGCGGTGATGGTTTGACCCACCGCGGCGTGTCTGGGTTGCGCCTCTGGCAGATTAGTGAGCCGTAGTTCAGCGGTGTGGACTACCTGGATCTCGGGAATGTCCACAGGGATGATGATCATGTGGCGCTGTGCCTGGGAGGGCTCTTTAGGAAGCGTGAGAATCGGATGGTCCTATTCTGCATGTTTAATCCTCTGACTTCAAATACATAGAGAAAGGAGCGGGAAAAGAAAAAAAAAAAACAAAAAAAAAAAAAAAAAACAAAAATCCTTACGCTATGCCACTCCTTGAGCCAGGTTCTTAATCCATCCATGGGCTCCATTAATGCGCTCAGCAGGTTCTCCCACCGAACAGCTGCATAGGACAAGAGTTCGATCTCGCGAACAAGTCCAATGACTTCCATCTCCGATGTCGATAGCTGCGTGCGGAAGGCATCGACAATATGCGAAGTCAGTAAGGTGGTATACTGTGCATATTCACTGGCCGAGATGCTTGCTTTGAACGTCTTCTCCACTGTATCCAAACACTCGTCGTCGATGCACGTAAAATCAACACTAAGGCGGAGAGAACGTCTCGATCCCGGAGAAACGATGCTGTCTTCGCGCGGTTGAATCTTGTAGAGCAGTGAGGCGGGCTGCTTGGGAAATACGCGCATCGCGACTTTCTCCCCGACGTTCGACTGTACCTGGTAGACATCGGAGCTGGGGATACTGCATTTCGACAGCCAAAGCGGGATCATCGTAGCTGGACTGATGGTGAATCGAGAGAAGAGTACATTCTGTTTAAAGACATCCTGCACATTGACACTGATCGGAAGCGCCGAGACAATGGTATGCGCCGAGGAGTAAGCGAACTGTCCTTGATCCGTCTCATAAGTAACTTCTGCCCTTGCAGACAGCGTCGGTGGGTGCTCCTCGACCGTGTACGGAACCCGGAACCGAACACGCGAGTTGCGCCCTAGCTGGTTGAATTCAATATTCCCGGTCTCCCCGTTTGCTTGGATCTTGACCTCACCCTCTACCACCTCTGCTTCTGCAATCCGGAGTCGAAGCCCGGCCGTGGCCGGCCGCACGCGGAGAGTGCCCGCCCTGATGTCGTTCCAACCGCTGTTGAGTTCCAGCTCTAGCGTGCGCATGCCCTCCAGGTTGACTAGGCGAGGCGATTCGATCTTTGCCTGTAGGCCCTCCGGGGGCGGGTAGCAGTAGATGTATGACCGGGTGTCCCCTTCTTCTGCGTCGACAGATTCCCTGAATCCAACTGGTAGAGTTAGATGTTTTCCAACGCTTAAAGTGAAAAGGATGTTGCCTGCTCGCATTTCCACACGATCAACAAAATATTTCCCATGAAGCATTGTCTATCAAGTTTGTTAGATAGCCCGATAAAAGAAAAATCAAAGAAAAGTGATACATACCGATGAATCGACCAAAATTTTGGTTGACGAAGACTTGACAGTCGTTTTGGTTAGTGCTTCAATCCAATGCTCGCTACTTTGGGAGCTATCGCTAACAAGTCGAATTTTGATCGAATCGATATCAATTCGCTTTCCTAGAAGGAATCGTAGATAGAGCTGTAGCTGGAATCCATCCCTGTCTTTATAATGAAGAATCGCGGGCTTCACGTGTAGGTCGGCAAAGAAATCGGTCAAAGAAGCAGAAACCTCCTTCTGCAACGCACTTGAAGCCTGGAATAACTCCTCAACATACTCAGAGACTAGCGCCTCTTCAGCAAAGATCGAAGATGCATCAATGGTTTTCTGGCGGCTTGATAACTGAGACTGCGTATGCGCAGCGTACTTTGCCAGCAGGCGGAGCATCATCCGTACATACTCCTCGGTCCGTTCCAATTCCTTAAGGCACCGTGCGTACATTTCGAGCATTACTCCTTCGAGAACACTCCAGTGCTTGTTGCCGTAGAATGGAGCAATCTGATGGAAATACGAAGCTGCAGCACCGTAATCACTCTGCCGGAATCGTAAAAGAGCCATATCAGCCAGGGCCATCTGCGTCGAATATATGCGGTTGGCTGCGATATGGTGTCGGAACATTCGATCCGTAAGCTCCTCATAATGTGAACGGAAAGACTTCCTGGAAGCAAGAGCAGCCTTGAGAGCAGGCAAGTCGATACCGCGGAGAGAATGGCGGGCTTCCGGCTCTTGTGTTGGCCGTGGGGCCTCATCATCAAGAGAAACTTCGGCCATGTTTCCTGAATCCGAGTTCCTATCGTCGAAGAGAAGACCCATATCCGACCACTTTTCCTGCCATCCGCATCGACCAGCAATTTCTTCAAGGAGTCTTCGGGCCATCAATAGCAATTCACCTCTCCCGGAAGCCAGCTGCTCAGAGCCCGTTTTAGGGGTAAGTTTCGGCCCTTCGTAGCCGGGTCGCGCATGAACAGAAGAGAGGCCGTCGGTGGATATCATCTCCGAAGTCATTGGACGAGATTGTCGAGATGTAGGCGTGGTAATAAGCGAACTTGTGCGTTTCGGGATGTCCTGTGGTTTTGTATCTGCGCCGGCTTCCCCAGCATGTAAAGAAGACTCGGGCAGCGTCAGAGCTGGGGTAAAGGTTTGGGCTAGAATCTGGGATGCAGCGGCATACGCCCAAGATGACACAAGATTGCTGATAATCTCCGACTTTGCAGCATTGTCCTCCTTAACCAGACCGATTTCCAAGTCAGATCTAAGCGTTCGCGCGGCGAGACCGATGAACTCAGTCGCCCGCTCACAGACTTCGCCGAGCAGCATCAAGTCTTCCGGTTTCTTGTCACTCTTAGCCAACCTCCGGCTTGTTTCTGTCTCGTCCCCAGCCAGCGAGGGTGCCCTTGAAGCCCTGAGGAGCAGGGTTAGCTGTCGAGAGAAGACATAGGTTCGGAAATCAAAAATGGATATATTGCTGGCCAGAATCATCTCCCGGTAGGACTTCCGTGCCGGGTCTATGGGGAAGTCCACTGCATCAATTTCCGGGACTGGGACCAGCTCTCCATCCCCACCCTCCGTTTGCGTCGGTTCTACCGGAGTATCAAGTGCAGCTTTAGCCTTCTCCTGCCAGTCCCGACTGTGCATTAAGAAAGCATTCCCATGCTGTTCACTAGAGCCCTCCAACTGCTCGTGAATAGCGGTATCCAGTCCCACAGCCAGCTCGTCATACCCTAGCAGCGCGTCTTCAAAGAGTCCAACATTCTCAAAGCCCCTCGCGAGACCCTCCTTGAGTATGAAGAACGTGCAGAAGTTCCAACCCGGCAAACTCCGCTGAGAATCCTTTTCCTTGATATCCTCCTCGTACTGAGCCACACGGAGATCGAACGATGCCAAAATCCCATTTTTCATCTTCTCCACAAAATCCTCAATCTGATCCGCCATATCAGGAGAAGGTCTCTGGGGGGGACTCTCCGGCTTCGGAAGCCGCAGCTGCGCAACCCGATCCACAGCAGACTTCGAAGATCCGTTAAAATCTGCCTTTACCTTCTCCAGCACCGTTGTGGTTGTGCGACCCCATTTCGAAGTCGGTGCTGCCTTCTCCGTCCCATCTCCGTCCTGGACTACATGCAGAATGAGCCACTCGAACGCGTCGTGCTTCTCCTGGCTACTGATAGCCGTGGTAGTAGTAGTAGCAGCAGTGTTAGATGTTGACGACGAGCCATGTGACTTGATCCAATCCCGGAGTGCCTTGCGCGCTGTGTTCTTGTAGGTGTCATTATCGTCGCACCGGAGGATGTAGATCTTAAGGTATGGGGTTTGCCGCAAGCCTGGGATTTGGTGGCGACGATGCGTTACGGCGCCTCGAGCGGTGTCGCTGGAGGATTTGCGCTCGTCTGCATCCTGTTTGGCGGGGATGAACCCGATGCGGAGCGACTCGATAGATCGAACGGGGCGGGTGGGAGATTTCCAGTGGAGATTCTTGAGCGGTAGTTTGTTTGCGATGGCAGGCTGGACGGACGAAAAGAGCCCCGAGGGATCAGTATATTCAACTAGAGAGAAGAGACAATCTAGCTGTGAGCAAAAGGTGTCCTGTGTTGTATGGGGTCGGGTGGATTACCGGTGACACTGTTTGAGCCAGCCTGGGGTGAAGGGTCCATCATTCCCGGGCACTATTCAGGGGGGAACTGGCTGCTCCTTGAGAGCATGCCTCTACAGCAGTCTGGAATAGAATTGTCTATTCTGATGTGCTGTGAAAGGGGGAGGAAGAGGAAGAGGAAGAGTCAAAGTCCCCAGTGACGATCGTATGGGCGAACTGTTTGGTGGACGACGACCGCCTTCTCCGCGTTGTCTCTTGGCAGGGGACTTCCATCATCAAAGGTAAAAAACTACTGAGAAAAAAACTACACCAAAGCACTCGATAGATAATAATATTAAAAGGCACATCAACTATTCCTAAAGCTCTATCTAAAAAAAAAAAAAAAATATCGTGGCATTATGTACAATGACCGCCCTCTCAATCTCAATCGAAATGTCCCCTACGCATGGTTGCGTTCATAAAGAAAGAGGGAGAAACCCGCTGAAGCACGCACAGGGAAGCTCTCTCTGTACAAGTATCCCGGAAACACATAACCCTCCTCGGGAAAAAAAAAAAAAGAAAAGAAAAAAGAAACAGGGGACAGAAATTGAAGGTAGAATAGATGTGTGAATAAATGGTCGTATGCCGTCATTATACGCAAGAGAAAATTCCGAACAAACGAAAGACACATGCCTTGTGTGTATAGCCACTTCCGAAGACGCACAACGCCCCAGCTGAAAAGCAAGTCAAACAAGATCAGATGCAAATGGGGCTAAGTGCCGATATCCAACGCGCGCTGCGCATAACGGGTTTTAACCAACTCGTAGACATTAGAGAACTCCTGCGATATCCCTGGAATGTAGCTTCGAACCCATGCAAAAATCACCAGAAGCAAGAGAGGAATCTGGACTTGGTTAGCAATAAACCTAAAACAACTAAACCATACCGGTACTTACCCAAATGAAATACAGATTCCGATCACTAGCGAGACCTTTCATTCGGCGCGCCTGTTGCTCTCGAAGATGCTTTTGTTGCTCACGAGAGATGGCGTTTCGACCGATTCGGATGTCCTTGAGGTCTTCGCTCTCCCGAGTAGACACGGCTCTAGAAGAGCTGGCCTGTGCCTCAAAATGGTGGTCAACAACCGCCTCAGCCGCAGCTTGCAGCATGCTGGATTTCTTGACCCGTCTCGCCTCCTCGTTTTCCTGATGTGGATATAGCTCCTCGTAAGAAGGAAGTTCGGTAGTGTTGGGGGCTAAATTTCCTGTTAGCATATCCCACCAGCCATCCTTGTTACCACGGGAGGATGCTGGGCGGTGTGGAACGAGGTTGGTAATGCGACGCATCATGGGATGTGCTTGGTAATCTGGCAAAGCCGGCATAGGCGGCAAGGCTGGGAGGTTGGGGAGATTAGGGAATGCATTCGCGACACTCTGCTGGAATTGATTGATTTGAGCTTGGAGTTGGTTTCGCCAGGCGACGAGAGCGACAGGAGGGGAAAACGGGCGTGTGTCGTCCGCCGGCGCAGTTGGCTCGGGTGTCGCAAGCGGTGCGGGTGCATCGTGGTGGATGCTGGATCTGCGTGACACGGTATAAACCAGTTCATCCTGGTCATCCTCGCTGTCGTCCGAATCATCTACAGCGTGGTCGAAAGAGCCCGATGCTGAGGAAGACTCCCACATGGAGTGAAGCGACGCGGAGCTGCTATGCCGGCGTCGGGAGGAGGTCAATGACCCAACGCTGCGCGAGCGGTAGTGACGTGCGGGAACCAAGGCTGCCTGGTGAGCAGAGAGTGTAGTGGCAAGGTCCGCTGGAGTAAAGCCCCGGATGCTCCGGGCATTGGGACTTGCTCCTGCAAGACGGAGCCTGTGGACAATGTGGGCATGACCATTCAAAGCAGCATGGTGCATCGGCGTGTTTCCGGTGCTATCTTGCACATCGGGATTCGCACCTCGAGCAAGAAGCCCGGCCACAAATCGTGTCAAACCTAGAGAAGATGCAAAGTGAAGGAGGGTCTGGCCGGTGACGGAACGAGTATTATACCTCGGCGGTCGTGGGTTATCGTCCAGGTCGATAAATTCCAGGTAAGTTAACATCCTTGAGTCCATATCACTCAATTTGCCTTGCGACTCCAGTCCAGGAACCTGCCTTTGGTGGCCGCCAGAAGACCCTTGAAAGTCCTTCTGGAGACCGAAGGCCCCTTTGAGGTCACTGCCCATGATTTGTTGAGCGGTTTGGAACGCATCCGCCTGGCTCCCAAGTTTCTGCCCCAGAATCCCAAGGGCCAGACGGTACATTTGCAGCTCGCGATCGTCCACATATCGAAAATACTGCCGCTGCTTCGGTACCAATGGCTGGGCCTGCTGTAGGGAATTAAAAGTGGGGTGCTCGTGCTTGAAAACCACAGCCACCAACCCAGGTTGGATGGCTGGCGGAGTTAAACAGTTCAGACACTTGTCGCCCCAGAAGGTCGTCGTTGTAGCGAGGGTGTCGCCAAAGACAACCTCCATGCCAGGGTAAAAGCCACTGCCCAAGAGAGTGACCTCTGTTCCGCCAGTGATAGAGCCCTCAGCGGGAACTAGTTTGTGGATCACCGACGGTAGCCGGTTTCCTGCATTAGTGAGAGGCGGCCACATCGGTGTTGTCGGCTGAGGGCCAATAGAAAGGCTTATATTCTGCTCTTGGAGGCTGTTCCTGGCAGATCCACCTGGTGTTCCGGGGCGACTGGGCTGTGCCGAGTTAGGCGCAGACATTAATTGCTGCTGAATAAAATGATCCAAGTTCTGTTGCTGCAAACTTGTGAAGAATGGATTGGAATCCCCGCTAGTGGGAGTTGGCGGACCCTTCGTAAACTGACCGGCCATGGCGGACGAGGTCACAAAAGGTCTCTCGGCTGGCGACGTAAAGCCCCGGCCACCAGGGAACGGAGCTTCGCCGTTGGTGGCCCCAGCAGATGGCTGTCCAGGCTCCAGTTTGGTCATGGTTAGCTCCGAAGGCAGTCTGCCCGAGTTACTATGCTTTCGTCGTTTGCTGGTGGGACCTTGGAAGTCGTTTGGGGACGCCTGTCGCGACAGGCTGCGCGAAGTCTGTGAGGTTGATGAGACAGTCACCGAATTGGCAGAAGAGCTGGAGGGGTGCTGGTATTGTGAATTGAATCTTTGCTGTAGGCCTTGCAAGTCGGTTGCTGAGGGTGACTGGATCGACTGTTGTGGTGAGCCGGCCATTTTCCCAGTATCAAGACTCGGACCTGATGGGAATACACCAACACCCGGAAGTTCGGTACCATCAGGTAAAGACGGAGAGGGGCCAGGGGCAGGAGGAGCGGGGGGTACGTGGGTTTTGTGATCATCTGTAATCATAATGGAGTTTGTAATTGCTTGGGCGATCACATTGTCCTTGTAATCCTTGACAGTGAATATGACCCTACAAGCCGAGGGGGTATGCCGTTAGTGATATCTCCAGGAGGGTCTACGCTAGTCAATTCAGGGGTATACATACTGGAACCCAAGTTTCTCATTCTGGTGCCTACAATAGCAGGCGATCCGCATCGGTAGCTCCACCTGCATTGCCCCTGCGGGAAGAACAGGCACCTGTGCTTCACTCTGTCCAGGAGTCGCGGTTTTGGACGGCTCGGTCCAATCCTTGATCTCGTTGGTATTAAAGACGATCACACGCTTGTCTTCATCCTTTTGAAACAACTCATCCTCTTCCGGCTTCCGCTGTTTCTTTCGAAATGCGCGCTTCCGCTCCCGCTGTATGCAACCAGTGCAGATCTTCACTTCTGCGCCGTCCAAAGGTTTTTCGTCTTCCTGCGACTCATCCTGAGCATGTGGGGAAGCGCTAGGAGAGCGGTATCGGCCCCCCCCTCTCGCCTTCGCGAAAGCTTTTTGTAGCTTTTCCTGGTCCTGCATTGCACTTGTGCAGAAGAGACTGGTATACAGTTCGGCCGTGTCGGGGGAACGTTCCGTAGCCGGTGGAGCGAGAAATTTAGGTTTCGAAATGGTGTGGCTGGGCAAACGTAACTTTTTCACTCCAGGAGGTAACGGATATAGCGTCAACCTAATAGGGATCTGGGTTTCCACACGCGATTTGAGGGAGGTGGGGTGAACGGTTAAAATGTGACGTTTGGATGATTCCGGTTCGATGTGACTCGGGACAGGAGAAAGCGCGAAGTTGATATTAAAAGGAAGGCCATTGGGTCTGAGGTTCAGGTTAGAGTTTAGAGGAGAACCGCCGTTCATGTTGATACCACCAAAACTTTCTTCGAGGAAGGCCGACGGGGATTGCCCACCCCATGGACTCAAAGGGGACTTCACTTGAGTAGGCATTTTGGCGACCGAGAATGGGGAAGGAGCATCCTTGGGGTTATGGGAGAAGAACGGAGCTGCGGTTTGGGAGATTCGCTTTTCGGGTAGTCAGTAAAATGGGGTCAAATTATCAAGCGAAGGGCCTGCCCTGCAACTCACCGGGGAAGCAGATTTTCGTTTCATAGAGCCGTGCGCGCCCCGCAACTGCGGCCTCGAACTTTTCTGGGCCCTTGGCTGTGGCAGCGGGGTCGAAGCGGCCATTAGAGGGCTCGGACTGCTGGCAGCACTTTCAAAGTCAAAGGCAGCATCCATGGCCTTGTTACTCGATTCGAGGTCGGTGTCTGCGGGATAGGCGCTTTCCATGTTCGGCAGTGAAGGGTCAAAGCCAAATAGAGACTCTTCCTTCACATGTCCAAATTCGGGGTTCATCCAATCATCGGAGGTATATCCAAAAGGGATAACTGTATTTTCGCTGTGAACAGCAGAGGCAGAGGAGGCGACGGATGAGTCCCGAAGATGGTTTCGAGGCGATTCAGAACTTGAGCTCGGGCTAGAGTTATCTGAGGATTCCGCTGGGGAATCGGAGGCTAACACCTCGGGGCGTCGTAAGGTGTCTTGTCCCTGATACGAGCGCTTCAGGGACAACTCCGAGGGCGAGAGACACGAGGGTTCTGATTCTGTGACAGTACGGGATGATGCGGCCCGGGTGAACAGATCATCGAAGTCTTGACCAGCATTTTCAGACGATAACTGCAGCCTCGTGGAGTCCAAAAAGTCCATATCGGTATCTTGATAAGGGTTCACCATGTCGTCGTCCACGACGATCGGGTCCAGGGCAGAAAATGTAGGAGATGAGGTTGGTCCCATCCTCATGACTCTCTGGCGGAAGCACGAAGGACCAAGGGAGACAGGCCAGCAACAACTCCCTCAAGAGCCGTTCGACCAACTCCCGAATTTCAAGAAGTGAATCTCCACGATAAAAGATGCCGACCGGTTCGGTTACCTGGGAGGAGAGGGTGGTGAGGGGGGGGGGGGGAGAAACGAAACGAAACCCGTCGAGGTAATCAGATTGGTCAGGAGACGATTTTCACGGGCGCACTGAGTCGGTATCAAACGGTAAACAGTAACAATGGCCTTCGACTACTACCATGAGGCGTCCAGAGTCGACGGGTCGCCGGATCGACGATAATAACGGGGGGGGGGGGAGGAGGAGGAGGAGAGGAGATGTTTCTCGTGGTGTCTGGGGAAGGAGTGAGCTGTTTGTTGGGGAGGGGAGTCTGGTAATGGTAATGGCGGAGAACAGAGGCGCGGCAGAGAGAGGGTGGAATTTGGAAAAGGGAGGAAAAGGAAAACGTAGGGCGGCGAATAATTCCAGGCGCAGAAATTTAAGAAGTACCTCCTAGTAGTAGAGGGAGTCCAATGGATATGAAAAAAACAAGACTCGGTGAATTAGAGAATGATGATACTGTCAGTTCTATCTTCTCAATTTCTACTCTTCTTCTTCTTCTTCTCTTCTCTTCTCTCTCGCTTTTTCCCCTGAGGAATAGAACAAATATGACGGGAAAGCAAGAAGAACGCGGTGAGAACACGCTAGGCCTAATTGGGAGGGTCTCTCTAGTTAGGTTGCTGGATTTTGATTGGTTATTCTCAGTCCATCGCATTTTTGTCCCTACCTGGAGTTGGAAGAAACCTGGAAGACTCCTACCTAAACTATCTATATTCAGTATCTAGGTAAGCAAGATAGTTAAAGGAATCTCATCATTATGCATCTCTCCTGCATACTTCGGTTCCCTATCACCCTTTGGTGACACCTTCCGCGAGTCCATGCCAGGATATCCTCTTCTACAACGAATCATGGACCACCTCAAACCACGAGTCTTGCCGTCCCTGATCGTCACTTCAGGGTACACAGTAGATACTTGTGCTTTGGCCGATCAGGATTCAATCCGACTGCAGGATCGTGATTCTGCACCGTGTGGTATTGGGAAATCCGGGATCGTCCACAGCTTATTCTGTCATAGTCATACTCTTCGATAAAGCTCAGGGCTTCAGCGCATACCGAACAAGTGAAGAGCCTCTTAGATCGCCCCTTTCGCAATCATTCCAAGTTTCGATGATAATTGGGTCTCCAATCCCTTGGGCCTTCACCGTAATCTGGCCGCTGCTCGGGATCTACATTCCTCCAACTGTCATACGAGAGTGGACCATTCTTGTTCCAATGCGACCAAGGGTTTTCTTTGGCTCGAATCCACTCATCTGGCGTCTATGCTCGTACATAGGAAACTAGCCGTCCTTAGGTAAAGCATGAAAGGTTTGGGTGACCAGCAAATCCCAGCCTCGGAGGCGCAAATTCTCAGTCAAGACCTTCATATTTAACAAATTGTGCATCCCACTGTCCAGTAATCCGCCCCTGAAGCATTAAGCGAATATGTGCGAGGCGCATGTACTTAGGGTACATCCAGAGATCTAATAGATACACTAGGTAGTACTACCTACGGAGTAGTACTAGACTGTGCTGTACATTCATACAACCTTCCAAGTTACCAATATTAACTACCCGGTAAAGTCTCTGGCTACTTCATATCAACGTCTTGCGTTGGTCTTGCTGTTGCTACATAGGTTGCTCAATTGGGCGGCAGACTGCTATAGTATAATATACCTTGGATAACTTACATTTATCACCCCTCCAGATCATGATGGGCTGGTTGACATTCATTTCCCCTGGGGGAATTTGGGCCCAATAGCAGATTAGAGCGTTCCTCCAGCATGCCATGAAAACTATGAAAGGGTCTAGCCGAAGATACTGGGATTCAGTGGATTTGGACCGATTCAGCGTTTGTGGAAGCATTCGAGGTAGAGACAGGCGAGCGTTCGCGGTAATTTCGTGATGAGGAAAAGACAGAGAGCATAGTTGAAGTAAGGGCGACTGTACCACCTACCTCATAGATCTGCGCCCCTATTCAACTATTGTGTCGAATATTGGGCGACTCGGACTCTTACCTTGTATGATATAATATCTTATACGAGACATAATTGAGTCGATGGCTCGGCACAGCGCTTTGACCCGGGTGTTTCAGTATGATACCAGTCTGCCTCCATTCAACTAGTCCGTAGAAACACCAAAGCGACGATACATATGTCGGTGCTCAGAAGGCTCAGCTTCCTGACTTGTCACAATCAATATGAAATGCCTCCAATTCAGGTACGGGTGTATGTAGTAGTAAACAAGGTTCGAGCTGCAACATCAATCACAGTCCCACCTGTGTTGGCGCCGACTTTATTAAGAGTCTACCTACTCCGTACTCCGGAATTAGATTCCCCTCATCGACTAACAGGTAAGGGTCAATTAAATGACTTGTTCTATGTCGGACGACGGCGCTTCCTAGAATCACTAGAAATACCCAACTGCGTTAGCTTCATCCGTACCCGCATGAATCATTTTCTAGATATGATGAGACCTTGCGACTCGAGACAGTAAAGGGCTTTGAATCAGGGGAAAAAATCAAAATCAAGAAGGAACAAACGTAGATCGAAACACCAACCACCGGCTGATCAATGCCATCATTATTAATAGCTGCGTTTGAGAACCATGTATAGTTAGATATTCCTAGGTATGTATAAGCGGATCCCATCCCCGCCTTGCATTATTGCTGGGCTTCCTGCAATTTAACCGGATTTTCTGGAAGTGGAGTATCCGTAAGGGCTTGATGTAGAATTGTAGATACTCCGTAGTCCGTAAGAGAGGAGGTTAATAAATTGTAAAAATTGATGACAATATCGGAAGTGGTTGGTGGATGAAACACCCGGCACGTGGCAGAGACACTGAATTATTGGACTGAGCAATTTTACTTCCAAGGTTCCTCCTCCACCAACAACTTCCATCATCCTAACACTTCCTCCCAGACAGCAGCTTCCGTGCAGACCAAGCTCTCAGGAATGGTGGCATCTATGCTATGCCGTCAGTAAATCCTGCAGGAAACGCAAATCTAGACAGCGTTTAATAATCTCTGAACTTGGTAGGGAAGAACAGCTCTACCTAAGTTGAAACTCGGACTGTCACAGATAACCGCCCAAGGGACTATGGGACCCTTGGCACCCCTGCACTGACTTCGTCTTATTGAGCGGTGCTAACTCCAGAATAGTATATGCTCCCACTGGGATGCCTTGCGCCAGGGGCCCAGCATATGTCGGCGTCTCACACTTGGGCCGAGTGCTTGTATTTCATTTACTTCAGACTCTTGCACTCGCCTCGACCTATCAACGTGGTTCCCAGCCCATTGATGAACAATACCGGTAGTAAGAGCCTAGGCGACAAGGCAATTTACATGCGGCTGGTCTACTGTCAAGGAACTTCTCATTTGTGGGTATAGGGATGGATCCTTTATGGCTGATCCGAGCTTGGGAGATTGATAGAGCTTGAAGGATATGAAGTGGCAGTATATAAAGTTGCCAGGTTGGAGATGATGGACGAAATTTTTTTCCCTCTTCCTCTCCATCAGCCTTGCATTCTTTTCTTAGGTCTCAGAACCATTCATTCTCTTCTCTAGCTTCATTGATTGAAGTCCACTCTTTTTCAAACTCCTCAATTCATTCACTCAGGGAAAAAAAATATAACGCTGTGCGTTAATCCAAATCTCTACAAACCTCAAAAATGTCTATCTCTAGGATTGCTGGTGTTGTCCTCGGCTCTGCCGCACTTGTTGCTGGCCACGGCTACGTGACTGGTGCTGTTGTTGACGGTACCTACTATGGAGGATACCTTGTCACCCAGTACCCTTACGAGAGTTCTCCTCCCGAGACCATTGGATGGTCCACAACCGCTACCGACTTGGGCTTCGTCGATGGCTCTGAATACTCCAACGCTGATATTATCTGCCACAAGAGCGCTAAGCCTGGCGCTATCGAGGCCACAGTTGCTGCCGGCGGCGATGTTGAGCTGCAATGGACTGAATGGCCTGAGAGTCACCACGGTCCCGTTATTACCTACCTCGCCAACTGTAATGGTGATTGCGCTAAGGTCGACAAGACTACTCTGGAGTTCTTCAAGATCAACGAGGGCGGTCTCGTTAGCGACAGCTCCGTCCCTGGAACTTGGGCCTCCGACCAGATGATTTCCAACAACAACAGCTGGTCCGTGACCATCCCCAGCAGCATTGTCGCCGGTAACTACGTCCTCCGTCACGAGATCATCGCCCTGCATTCTGCTGGCAACGAGAACGGTGCCCAGAACTACCCTCAATGTATCAACCTGAAGGTCACCGGTGGCGGTAGCGCCAGCCCATCTGGCACCCTCGGTACCAAGCTCTACACCAACACCGACCCCGGTATCCTCGTCAACATCTACCAGAGCCTGTCCTCTTATACCATCCCCGGCCCTGCTCTGTGGTCCGGCAGCTCCTCCGGTAGCTCCTCCACTACTTCCAGTGCGGCAGCCACCTCTGCTGCTTCCACCTCTGCCGCTGCTTCCACCCCTGCTGCTGCTTCCACCTCTGCCGCTGCTTATTCCACCTCCACTGCTGCTGCTTATTCCACCTCCACTGCTGCTGCTTCCATCTCTACTGCTGATGCTTACACTTCTACTGCTGCCGCGACCACAACCACCACTACCTCGGTCACCATCACCTCCACTCCTTCTGCTCAGACCCAGGCCCAGGATCCCACTTCCAGCTCTGCTGCCCCTACCTCCAGCAGCACCGCTAGCGTCTCTACTCCTGATGGCAGCAGCAGTCTAACCCAATATTTCGACTCCCTCAGCGCTGACCAGTTCCTCAGCTTGTTGAAAGAGACCTTCTCTTGGCTGGTCACCGACAAGGTCCATGCTCGGGATACTTCCGCGTAAATTGACAAATGAGTTAATAATTAGGATAGACTTGTGTTTTCATCTGTATTCAATGGTCGCGTTTACTCGCTGAACTGTTGAATGCTTTTGTTTTGGAGGTCGTGGATTGTCCGTGTATCTATAGTTACATTATAGCGAATTGTTTTGGAGCTTTATGCGTTTTACTCTTTTCTGTAGCTGTATTTTATTTGAAATCCTCACCTCCCAATCTCAATCTAAGTATGACATCCCCTTCCCATGGTCAATACCAACGTAGCTTGTAAGGGTCACTACCTAAATGAATCGTTTCCGGATCTTGTTGACTACTTCTAAAGTACCGGGTAGTTGGAGGCCTGGCATGATTATAGCCAACGCTAAATCCAGATATGAGTTTCGCATTATTGCTGGGTAGGTATGGCTTCTCACTGGTATTACTGTAGATGCAGTTTCAGGCTGAGTGCAGGTCTGAAGAGACGGGGGGGGGAAGAGAGGTAATGTCTTGCCCTATGCCAATTCTATGTACTGTATCTATATAAAGAGCACTTTCCTGGTTTCCTAAGGCATCGCCCGACGGTTTCTTCAAGGACTCGTGTTTTCAACTCTGCGCTGGGTACTATGGAGGAGATCTTATGATCAAGTTCCACTGCTCAACCTTGTGCTGGTAGGTAGCATCCGATTAAATAGTCGGCTAAATGCGTTTTAAATTGCCTGTTAATGCAATCTATCGGGCCATTTCAATGCTAGTGTCGCTGGGGAATATAAACCCAGAGGATCCATCCCCCGCGTCCAACAGGACAGTAGTTATTGTGGTAAGGCGTTTTGTCGTTGTCTCTTCAGTGAGTATAAAACCCTTGGACATGAAATTCTGGCGGATTGTCTCCCTTGTAGCAGCTTTCGCCATGTCTGCGAATGGGTTGTCTGCGAACTCAACATATACGAACCCGATTCTGCCAGGGTGGCATTCGGATCCCAGCTGCATCTTCGTCCCTGAAGAAGACAATACCTTCTTTTGTGCTGTTTCCTCTTTCCTCACATTTCCTGGTATCCCGATCTATGCCAGCAGGGATTTAATCCACTGGAAACTCGCGAGTAATGTCGTTTCGCGACCAACTCAGGTACCGGAAATCGCCAGTAGTACCTCACAGACCCAGCAGGATGGCCTTTGGGCATCAACTCTCCGGTACAGGAAGGGGAAATTCTATCTTCTCAGCTCTTACGTTTCGATGTATCCAGGTTTCAAATTCAAGGGCCTACTGTTTACCTCCACGAAGATATTTTCGGACGAGGCATGGAGTGACCCCATTTGGTTCAATGTCGGAGATATTGACCCTGATCTGTTCTGGGGTGACCTCCCAGAGGGCCCGCACATCTATAGAAAGGACGGCTATTACTATCTCTCTATTGCTGAGAGAGGCACAGAACTCGGCCACCGACAGAGCATTGCCCGAGCAAGGAATATCACAGGCCCCTACGAAGGGTACAGGGGGAACCCTATCCTAACGAATGCCAATACAACAGAGTACTTTCAGACTGTCGGGCATGCAGACCTCTTCCAGGATGCCAGCGGGAATTGGTGGGGAAGCGCACTAGCTACGCGCTCAGGTCCCGCATGGAAGGTCTATCCCATGGGCCGTGAGACTGTGCTTTTCCCCGTAGCCTGGAAGGAAGGCGAATGGCCAGTTCTGGAGCCTGTGCGCGGGGAGATGAGCGGATGGGCTCTCCCTCATCCGCACAATAAGGAGATCCCTGGTGATGGGGCATATGTGGATGCAGCGGATAGCATTGATTTTCCTCCTCGCAGTACAATTCCTCGACACTTTGTCTTTTGGAGGCTTCCCAAAGTTGGCTCCTTTACGGTGTCACCCCCCGAGCGTCCTTTCTCTCTGCGTCTCCTTCCTTCGCGGCACAATTTAACCGGCAGCACCGGTGTGGCGGGGGAAACGGTCGAGGAAACAGGCATCACATTGATTACACGTCGTCAAAGCCATACCTATTTCACTTACAGCGTGGACGTCTCCTTTGCTCCCACCGAAGAAGGAGAAGAAGTTGGCGTGACAGTCTTCCTGACACAGTATCAGCATATCGACCTAGGCGTTGTATTTCTCCCATCACCATCTGGGAAGTTGACGCCTCATATTCGATTCCGAACAACGTTGTTGGATGATTTGAACCAGTCAAAACCTCAAAATGTGACCGATCCAGAGACTATAACAACGGTCTTGCCGTGCTTTTCGAAAGAAATCAAGGCTAAGTTACAAATCAAGGCCGCGAATGATACTCACTATGTGTTTTCTGCTTCACTACCGGGATTTCCCGACTTTAGCTTCTCTCCACTTGCAGAAGCTGCTCTTGTAAGTGGTGGCACTGGCAGATTTACTGGTAAGTTGCCCATGTTATTACCGGGACAGTTCCAAACTGCTCCATAACGCAATTCAATCAAATATAGGTACTCACCATTCCAGGGGCCCTTCTTGGAGCATATGCCACAAGCAACGGAGGGTCGGGCTCGAGTCCGGCATACATCAGTCAATGGAGATATGAGAGCCAGGGTCAAAGAATCGAATAGGAATAACCATTGAAATATAAATTTTTAAGATCACCTTAACTCATTTGCCATCTTGTTCTGTAACTTTTTGTCTCCACAAAACACACTCTTCTGTGTACGGCAAGCTAATCCTGTCACTCCGCAACAATCAAAATTGTCTCTTTTCAGTGTTGAGAGGCTGCGGTCTTTCTATTTCTACACACTTCTGCTGCTTTTTACCCAACACATTGTTTCTTTCCCAAGAAGTCACAGTAAGTTCTATGGTTTTTTATTGTGCTTAGACAAGGAGAAATTGCCGATCGAGTCCGGTTGATTCATTGAGCCACTCTTACCAATTTACAGTACCTTTGAATTGTCCCCTCTCAAAAATCACCATGCCTACTCAGTCTAATGTTAATCCTTCCGATATTCAGCCCAACCAAAAAAGCCAGCGTCGTTGGCTAAAGGACGCTGGATACTCTGATTTCAACCACTTCATGTTATCCTACGGGCTGAAAATGTATAACGATGATGACGTGGAAGAGGCCCACGCTATTTTAAGCTGCTTGCGACAGGCTGATCAGGCGAGTTGGGAAGAGGAACATGGAAGAAATACTAGGGACTAGCTTAAGATCCTGTATGTTAAGGCTCTTTGGTTCTCTCTCCCATGGGTATTTGATATGGTCGCTCTATCTTGCATTAGCTGTCTGGGCCAGAGGAGTTACTATTGCGCGAGGAACAGGGGTTGTGAGGGAAACAATCAACCAGTGCTATCATTATTTTCTTTTTTGTATACTGGTACTCCATAGTACCTATATATATAAAGGGATTATTAACTTTGTTCAGGCTAGGCAATAAGTCAAGGTGATAGAGACAAGGAGCCTGGCCTATAACAGATGTACTAACTACTACATAGTTGCCCCTTACACTTACAGGTATCCTCAACCTTAGGCCTTAGAATACTTATTCAAGTTTCTATTCTGAAATTATCAGGAAGTTTTCATGTATTAAGAATAGATCTGAAAGTTAATAAAGCAATAGCACTGTTCTTTAGTACTCTGTAGGTTATGTGAAAAAGAATCATGTGATATAATTTATGTGATATAAAGCTGTTCAAACTTCGCGCCCCTTTGGCTCATGTCTTTTACTTTCCCCATCCTTCGACATGTTTTCATACATAGTTGATTGGTTGTTGTACCTACAACAATCAGTTCTACGCTTGAAATTACAGTCGTTCGGCCTTTTCTCTCGCCTAACCTCCCCTTTCAGAGAAAAACTCCCATTTCTAAGCAAACGTCCGAACGATCTCGAGTCCAAAATCCAATTGGACATATCAGAAGGCACTTCAACATGCGAAACCTACGCTGTGCGTTTACAACCTCAGCATGATCTGGTAGTCTTGGGTGTCGGAGCTGCTGGCCAGGTCTACAATGTTAGCGACAAAATTGTTCTCAAGACTTGTCGAATTTTCGCATTACCTAGTAGTGATGCCTCTCGAAGCGAGCTTTGGCATTATGCTTCGGATACACTATTTCATTTTAATTTATTAAGAGATGAACGAACTGTCTTGCAGCTGCTACAAAATAGACCACATCCCCACATTATACAAGCCATCGATACCGATCAGCCGGAGGGACTATATCTTCACAGATATCAACAACTACCTGTAGATGTGAAATCAACACAGGCTCGCCGGATTAGATTATACCGTGATATTGCCGATGCTCTGTGTCACCTCCACAGCCTTGGTATCATACACGCCGATATAAGGGTTGATAATGTACTTTTTGATGATCAGTCTTTAGCTATTCTTTGTGATTTCAGCGCTGCCAGCCCTTGCGGTCAACCCAACCCAGTCTTTCCAGATCTCCCGCTTCCGGTTAACGGCCCCTCGCCGATTTTATCTGAGGCATCCGACATGTTTGCACTAGCTTCGCTCATATTTCACCTGGAGCACGGATTCGCCCCTAAACTGTCACTTGAGAATGGGAGACTAGCTTTGCCTGAATTGAAATCAGGGGACCCATGCATTGATGAAATCATACAGACAGCCTGGCTTGGAAATTACAGCCGCACGTCAGATATGGTATATCATCTAGCTTTAATTGATGCCCAGACGAATCATTACGCTGAAAGCCTTGAGGAACTCCCTGATTTCGAAGATTTGAAGAAGCAGGTCACAGATTGGAAAAACTACCGAAAACAAAAATTTGGTATTGCAGCCCTTTACCAGTTTCTTTTTTTAAAAAAAAAAAGCCAATTATACCCGCTAACTTTTTCTAAGGATGCGTCCTCGAAGGGATTCTTTCAGAGGAGCAATTAAAAGTACTGGCTGCACGATATGATATGGATCCAAATGCAGATCTACGATTTCCTCATGACAGCTTGCTCTTGTAATTGAAGGGTGTGATATATAACCAGGGCTTGAGTATAGGTAGGCTCTACATGATTCTCAGAGCATGGATGCGGCTCTCATCTCACTTCTCGGGTGTCCACAGGGAATATAGTGGTAGTAACCCAGATTTGACACATTATTAACTTCCCTGAAAGAATTAGCTACAGAAATGGCTTGGTTCCTGGAGATCGGTCGGTATCGCATTCTTATAGTTGTGTCATCACTGCTTAGGGGGCAAATAACCAGCTATGAGGTTATAGTGACCCCGCCTTCTCTTTACTGTTGCAACACGTACTGCGAGACTACTGGATCTTAGTTATTATCGTATTCTTTTCAAGTTCTTTACCCAAAACTGCTATCGTTATTTTCTTTTTCGTATACTGGAGTAAAGTTGAGGAACCGAAAAGAGAGCTTAAAGTGGAAGCGTGGACAGGCGGCCGATTATGTATTATTGCGGGGTTGAAAAATCCCAGACACAATCTCTCGTCCCATTTTTGTCTTTCTTACTTCAACCTCACCGGCGCCCCCCCCCCCCCCCCCCCTCTTCTTTGCGTGCGCGCGCTAGCAGGGGATATTGAGCTGATCCAGGGCTAGATTCCTTTTCTACTGCTACGACGTCATCCATTGTGGCCATCATCATGTTCAAAAAGAAGCCTACTGTAAGATACTTCCACCCCGCACCACCCCTCCTTCAACCCGCATCTACAACAACATCGCGTTGTTCGTTCAAAAGATATGTTTATCATACTTACAAATCATAGATCAAGAATCTCTCCCCCCTCCGGTCCTCAGACCGCCGCAAGATCGCCGACCAGATCATCAGTGACTACAAGATTGAGATCCCTTCCCACCCGCCAGCCGAGCCCAGCGGAGATGATTCCTCCACGGCAAACCCAGCACTACCCACTCTCTCAACGATCCGAAATAGCCTAATTCCGGAAAACTGTTTGTCTGCTCGCTTCACAACTACCGCCGGCCCAGAGCTTCGAGAAGTGCAAGGCACCGTGTATGTCGGTACGCACAGCGATGGAGAAGAACGGGTGCTATGGTTCAAGATTGAGCACGGTCCTGGCGCCGATGGACGCCTGTACCCTACAGTATACACGCTCTGGCACAACCCGAAGCTAGTCCCGCTCCTTCATACCCCGGAGTTAGTCATGCGAAAACTCCACGGAGGCGCAGACTTGATGACCCCCGGACTGGCGAACGAGCCTCCGTTTCCGGAGCGCGCCGTGAAGGATGCAGTCGTTGCGGTCGCCAGTCTGGATCGCGAGACGGTACCGCTTTTTGTTGGAATTTGCGAAATCGATATCTCAGCTTTGACGGAAGTTCGGGGAACAAAGGGACATGCTGTTCGAGGTCTCCATTGGGAAGGTGATGAGCTGTGGGCATGGAGCCCGTCTTCTCGGCCTGGCCAACCTGCTCCGGAATATATCCAGGGGTGGTCTGATGAGGAAGAGGACGGCGAGGGCGAAGCTGGTGAAATTCAAGAAGGAGTTGAGGGGCTGGCATTGGGAGACAGGGAGACTGCCCTGGCAGTTAGTAGTGCGGAGCAGGTCGGAGAACCGTCCGACGAACAAGCCGAGGAAGCACCAGAGATTGAAGAAAAAGAACCTACAACAAAGGGTTTGTATGCTCCATTTGGTGAGAGGTTCCCGCGTGACTGACCAGAAGCAGAAATCGATGAGGCCTTTGAGAAGGCATTTATCTACTCTCTGTATAAGCTGAAGCAGGATAATCCCTCGGCTCCGAACCACGGATTGTCTCTCCCTATCTCGCCATCCGCTCTGATATCAAACATGATCACACCTTACCTTCCGATATATTCTGCACAGCAAGCCCAGTATTACCAGATCAAGAAAACCAGCTGGAAAAACGTGAAAAAGTTCATCAAATACCTTGATAAGCAGGCTCTGGTGAAGTCAAAGGATCGCAGTGGCCAAGAGACGGTGATTTTGGATGTGGATTTTGATGACCGCCGCGTCGGAGAATTCGTCCCGTATAGAATACCCTCGAGGAGTGCCCTCGAATGGCCAGGGAAATCTTCGACGGCAGCGGGCAAAAAGCCAGCGACTAGCAGTGCTGATGGCGACCCCTCCGTTGGCCAAACGCTCACTGTGCAGAACCTCTACCGACCAACATCGAAGCTCACTCCTACTATTTTCCCATCCCTAGGCAGCTCCAACCCAAGCAACTACTATAAATACTCGGATGTCTCTACGCATTTGGACCAATACATTCAGTCCCAGAATCCGCCAATTGTCGATCCCGCGAACAAGCGCATACTCTCCCTCAACCCTTTTCTCGCGAACACCATCTTTACTTCCTCGTCGGCCGAAGACAAGACCACCATTTCTCGTGGCAAAACCACGCGCGATTTCCTGCTGAGGCGGTTAGTGGAAGACTCCAGTATGATGGCACCGCACTACGTCATCCTCAAGCCAGGCCAGGCCCTAGCCGACGTGAAGCCGAAAGCCGGCGCAGCACCGAAGGCGACCATTACTCTTGAGCGTCGGACAGGCTCCAAAACCGTCACAAGGGTATCCAACCTGGAGGTCTTTGGGATCATTCCGAATTTATTGGCTGAGGAGCTGCAGAAGAAGTGCGCCAGCAGTACCAGCGTCTCCCAGGCCACCGGGGCACCTAAGGGAGTCATGGAGGTTCTTATCCAAGGAGATCAGCGAAAGGCACTGGAAACCGCACTGACCAGAAGAGGACTCAAATCGCAGTGGGTGGAAGTGGTGGACAAGACGAAAAAAAAAAAGTAGCGCATCATTTAAGTCTCGGTACTGGATATGAACCAACACTGAATATATTCATTCATTCATGATTGGAACATGACTATTATTATAATCATCATCAAACATGTAAATACATTGTTGTATATATACACAACAGTAGTAGGTAGTAGATGGCTCGCTGAGGAACCGCCCTGTATACCTCCGGATCGAATTCACCCGATATAGTTAACCAACCTAGTTAGTTAGTTAGTTTAGCCATGGAGATCGGACTTGATGCCGATTAACTAACTACGTAGTAGTTAGTAAGTAACTTAACTACCCCTCTACCACATAGTGATAACAAGTGAACTCTCTCTCTCTCTCTCCACAGCTCTCATTCCTACTCAATCCCATCCATTAATCAACCAACTAACCAACTATATAGCAGCAATGCCCGTCTACCACATCGGTACGTCTCCTGCAGGAATCCCCTAGCAATCTCAATCCTGCATACATACATACATACATACATACATACATACATACATACATACATACTCATCAGAACCAGTTCTCTTCCGCCTCAAGCAAGGCGTCACCCCCGCCCAGCTCGAAACATGGTCCCAGCTTGCCCAGGGAATGGTCGGGAACGTCCCCGGCTTGGTTTCGCTGAAAACCGGCCAGCCCTTACCCATCTGTGTGCCGCGCGCAAGGGGCTTCGACATGGGGATTGTAGCGGTCATGGAGAGGCCGGAGGATGTCGCAGAGTATGCAGTGCATCCGGCGCATTTGGAGTAACCCCCCCCCCCCCCCCCCTTTCCTTTTCCCTTCTCTGGTGCCTTTTTTCGGTAGTGGTTGCAGAGGCCCCGCTGACTTGGTGGTCGTTGGTTGGTTGGTTGGTGTTGATTAGGGTGCAGAAAATGAGAGAGGAATTGTGTGAGGATACACTTGCGTTTGATATGGAGTTTTGAATGGGTATGTAGATTTGTTGGTTGATGATGATCTACTCTGTGTTATTATTATTTATATGTATATGTGTGTGTGTGTATACTACATACATACATACATACCACGACACTAGTGGAGAGTGGACTCGAAAAAAAAAAAGGAGAGAAAAAAAATGACAAGGGTGGGATTCGAACCCACGCCAAATTAATGACGCGGAAACTTGTAATACAAGAAGGGGATCCGAGTTAGGAAACCTTAACCGCGCGCCTTAGACCGCTCGGCCACCTTGCCTCTTGATGGAGAAAGCGTCTGAAATTATACATTATATCCGTTTGATATCTTTCTACTGCCGATAAAAAATATGAAACCATTTCATGACAATAAATAATACTGCCACTCACTGCCTAATGGTTACTACAGAAAATGTTTAATCTTCCTGTTATAGAAGTATGGGTGATTTTCCGGTACATGGCGTTGGGATTAATACTTTGAAGGTCGAGAACTTAGGCCAGGGTTTGTACGTATATATATGTACTTAGGTATATATAACTAGTTGCAATTGTTGGACTCTGTCAGCAACGGAACAAGAGTCCAATGCGAGGAAAAGAAATTGGACATGACCCCGTGTCTCCAACTACGCTGATCTCGCCAATACCAAATACATTGACATCGGAACGTTGTCCACCATGTTCTTACTTACGTCTTTCCCTCGCTAAGGAGACATTCCAAGTCCAAGTCAATGTCTCGAACGAGAGGAATTACGAGGGACAGTGACCATCTATTCTGTATTTTGACAGACAAATTTTGTTCACAGTATCCCTGCTTCCCGAGGAAGAGCAGCCGGAGAACCTCCACCCCCCTTGGAAGCAGCTTCGTCACAGGCGTCTAAACACTACAAAGGAATACGCCCGAGAAGCATCGAATAACATAACTGGATACCTCAAATCTGATTACACCAATGAAATACAAAACCAAGACAATCACCAACACAGCCCTAGGCGCCAGGATGCGAATACTCCGAAGAAAACCGACTCGAGACATCCTTAGGTGGTTGAACCGGAACTTTCTCTTCAATCCTTGGCCTAAAAGTATCTATATCAACGTTCAACTCGTCCCCCTGGGCCTCAGCCTGTGCTGCAGCTTGGCGAGGTGTAGTGCGCTCATCTGCCATAGCCGCATCGGCCCTGGGACCTCCCCAGGTGCGCTGGCCTGCCGTGAAGATGCCATAAACCATATAAAGCCAGTTGAAGAAAGGGTTCAAGAAAAACATCAACGGGTAAAGCCATGCCTTGAATCTCCTGAGCTTCGCACCAAAATAAACCATAAGCGTGTAGTTAAGTCCCAGCGATATCACGATAAAGCCCACTGGGAGGTCATCCACTCGACTTGAAGTGGTGATGATCGAGATTACTAGAATAAAAAACAGGAGTGCCGTGGTACGTATAGTATTTTGCAAAAAGCGGACCAGACAAAGTAAAGGATATCGTCTCCAAAGCCTTGCGTCGGTCAGCATACAAACCTCATTGGTAATATAGCCGAGAAACCAACGCCTGCGCTGCTTTAGGAGACTACTGAATGTTTGAACTGCCTCCGTTTTGCAGAACGCACTCGTACACATCTGAATCTGATATCGTTCCCTTGCACCTATCATGAAAAGATGCGTCAACCAGCGATCTTCGCCCAGATAACACTTGCCGTAGTCAAAGAGATCCTCGCACTGCTCAGCCTTATCAGCGAAGTAGTATTTGGCCATTTTGCGAAATGCAGAGAAGCGCAGGATTGTCAGCGCTCCCGGAAGGCAGGTCACGGCGCCGCAGCCGGATTCGACAGAACGCTCGAAAAGCTGTCCATGGATGTACTCCATATCCTGTAGAACTGTGATAAGAGAGTTCCTCTCCGTCGTGGATGTTATGATGCCTGCCATGGCTAACATATTGTGCTTGCTTCCAGGTTTCAATTCCATGTCATACATGAAATTCTGGAGGCAAAACCTGTCAAGCATGCAGTCGGAGTCCACGAACAGGATGAAGAGGTTATCATGCCGCCTAAGGTATTCGGCGTACACCTTGTCGATGAGTTTGAAGGTTTGTTTCTGACAATGCCGCTTGCCCCCGTGCTTAAAGCGGGAAACGGTGATTCTGGTCCTTCTATATGTCACGTCCATGCTTTGCGGATAGCTTTCGAGAGAAATTGGAATCCCAAGGTGGCTGATGACACGGAGATAGTGTTCGTCAATGAGGCCCCCATCGTATGAAAGAAAAACATGAACACATTGCGCTGGGTACTCGCTTTCAACGATGGAATCGACTGCCTTGATTAACACCTCAGGGTCTTCCTTGTATACCGGAATAATAATGACAATCTTTGGCGCCCTATGATCGTCGAGAACTTCTTTTATCCTCTGCGTTCTTCCTACTGAGTTTGTAACCAACCTGTAGATGCAGAACAGCCACGGTACGGTGAGAAGCGCAGCAAAGGCCCAAAATGCGAACCACTGGAGGAGGTAAACTAGTTCCCTAGGAAAATGCTGTCTCACGTGTGCAGGGAGTGGAAGCGTGGTAATCATGACTGGAAGGAAGATTCCTCTATGAAGCATGAGATTGAGCCAACATAAATTCGCGGGAGATATGCATACCGGAGTAGCGAGAAGAAGATGATAATTAATACGGCAAGGGCTCTAATGCTCCAATGATCCGCCTTCTGGTAGACCTTGACAAGGCAGTAGATGAATGCGGCAAGAAAGAGGATCCACTCGACGAATGCTGCTAGCATAACAGGACTGACGATAGAAATGTATACAATCTGCTTTGGTTAGGCTCGCTTCTGATATGCCGTGTAGGGATACTGGTACACGTACGTCTTTGACAGGCCACGGTGGTGGTATATCTGGGCTGTTGGTGTTTGCCATGACAAACGTCCAGACACCCAAACTCTCAGAAGCGCCCAAAGATTCTCCAATGGGATATATTGACCTGAGATGTTACAATCTCCTTGCTCTTATCCGGATTCCATATAAGAGAACTAATGTGGCTTAATCGATGCTGGACAAATAAATAGCCAAACTATTAGCGCAGTAGGAAAAAATGCATAGCAATGGAGGATCAGAATGAGACTCTGCTTAAGCACAAAAGAATATGTCTGCAAGCACCGATTAGGGGACGCAGCATAAGGCAGGCGCTATGGGTAGCCTGGGCCAATTGATATGCTACAAGAACGATCGAGGTTCATGTTGAGTTGAGTTGTGCTGCAGTAATGTTGCAAGACTTCGAGGTATTCCATCGCCATTGAAGCTAAATAATGCATCAGTTTTCTTCAGGATGATCATTTTCAGCCAAAGTCAGGGATAGTGGTCAAATAATATTTCGTGGATGACTCCATCATGAAAAATCAAGCATTGTTGAGCCTGTTAGGTAGATAGACGAATCGACGAACTTGGAAGGTATAGATGGATGGAGCCTGAGGCCTGTCTCATCATCCCAAACAGGTTAGCGTGATGAATTTCCTACTTAGGACTAGCTGATAAATGACTAAGCTATTGGCCTCAGGCTGCATGCGAAAAATTCCAGGCCACCAAAAAAGTTGAGCTCCGCAGCTCAAGAAAATTTCCCCCGCCCGCGCTTCAGTCCTGCGATTTTCTCTCGAGATCTGAAGCAAGGTTGAACCAAGTCTCCCTACAGACCATTATCTTGGGCGAATCAATCATTTAATCCTAGGTAAGAATCGCCCATCCTGCCCGAGCCCAGTTGCTTGCTTTCTCCGCCGCGCCTCTTCAATGCGGACCTCAAATTATTGGATCGGTGGACCATCTCGCGATACTCCGTTCTCCTACAGGTTTTCTGCATTTGCTTATCTCCCGTGAATCATTTTACGTCAATATCATAAACAAGGCAACGAGTGCCCCTTTTGCTGACTGACTCACTATATTAGGACGATTGGTGCCTGGCTTTCTTTCTTATTTCCCCCTTCCCTTTCTCATTTCCCTCACCCCCCTCTCTTTGACCCCATCTTCCTCTCCTCTCGCGATTTCTTCTTGTCGCAAAGCAAAATTTCACAATGTCCGACGAACAGAAGCCTGCTACCACCCAGGCGGTCAACGCTGAGGCAGAGAAGGACGTCCAGAATGTCCTCGCGGAGCTGAAGGGCGAGGCTGAGGCTGAGGCTCCCGCCAACGGTGCGGAGAAGAAGGACGAAGATGCTGAGGAGGCCCGAATTGTTGCTGCCGCTGCTAAGCTTGGAGAACAATCGGCAAAGGCCGAGGAGACTAGTGCACAAGAACACGACAACCGAGGCCGCCGTCCCTACCGCAACAACAGCAAGTTCGATCCTTCCAACCAGAAGGAGACCGATGACCCTGTCGAGATCCGCAAGCAGGTGGAGTTTTACTTCTCCGATTCCAACCTCCCCATGGACAAGTTCCTGTTCTCCAAGGTCGGCGGCAGCAAGAATAACGCTGTTCCCCTCGATCTTCTGCACTCTTTCAAGCGCATGCGTCGATTCCAACCCTTTAGCGCTATTGTCGAGGCTCTCAAGTCCTCCGAGACTTTGGAGCTGACAGAGAACGATACCTGTGTGCGCCGTAAGACTCCTCTCCCTGAATCCGTGAGCGAGAACCACGATCCTACGGTCGCCAAGGTCTTCGAGGACAAGGCTATGAGCCGTAGCATCTACGCCAAGGGATTTGGAGAGGAGCAACCCAGCACACAGCTCGATATCGAGGCCTTCTTTGCTCCATATGGACCCGTCAACGCGATCCGCCTCCGCCGCACACACGACAAGCTGTTCAAGGGCAGCGTCTTTGTTGAGTTCGCATCCGAGGAGAAGCAGAAGGCCTTTCTGGAGTTGGACCCCAAGCCTCAGTGGAAGAGCGAGGACCTGCTCATCAAGAGCAAGAAGGACTACTGTGAAGAGAAAGTCCGAGAAATTGAAGCCGGCCGTATTAGGCCCAGCGGTTCTCGGGGCCGGGGTGGCCCCAGGGGAGGCCGTGGAGGAAACCGACGTGGTGACCGACGTGGCGGACGTGGTGGTGACAACCGCGACTGGCGAGAGCGCCGCACGGAGGATCAGAAAAAGGGATTCAGCAACGGACGTCCTCGTGACATCCAGAAAGACTCTCGGTATGTTTTGTCTTCACCTTACATGTTTCACAGTATATACTAACGGCTGGTAGTGGTGTCCCTGTTGTGCAGAGCACAGCTGAAGCTGGACAGAAGCGCGGCCGTGAGGATGAATCCAACGGGGATCACCCGGCCAAGAAGGTGGATGTCAAGGAGTGATGATTTCTTTTCTTTCTTCTTCTTCTTCTTCTTCTTCTTCTTCTTTTTTTTTTTTTTTCCTTTCGTGATTTTTCTTCGGCTTGTTCAAGTATTGCTGGTCCGGACGGGATAAAAGTATACCATTCATAGCTCGAGAGTATTACCGTGATAAGATGATAAATAGGTAGTAAGAGAAGTTATAGACCATAGCTTGCCTCACCATTTGCAACGTAATCTCAACCTTCTAATGAACTCCCGGTCAAAGTTGGTTAGTACAATCAGCCATAGGCCGATCGAAGACCCCCGAAAGGCCTCCCATTCAACCAGCTACAGTTACCTGAGATTGAACTTCTGGTAAGCCCATTAGCGCCCAGGGGGGTTGTTATAGGAATTCTGCAGCCTTTCGCATCCATAGGTATTCACCACTAGTCCCCAGCATTCCAGGCTTGACAGGGAGATCCAACCTTGACAAGAATGAAAGAATGATCCAGGGGGGACTTATTATCGATAAGATGAACCCCGCCATCGTAGAAAAGATTCTGCCGCACCAGCCAAGGCGGTGAAAGAGGGGTGAGTTTCGAGCAGCAACCAGAAGATTCGATGGACACCAGAAGGCTGGATAAAAGGATCATTAATGAATACTCGGGCATTGCTCTTGGGGGGTTTATTATACCTTTCTTTTCCATCCGGTTCTAATCTTTCTCTATACTAGATTCTCTGTATCCTCTTCAGTGTGAACCAGAAACTCTTTGTAAAAAAAAAAAAAAAAAAAATCTTGACCGCTTGACGACCCAGAGCAGCCCACGTTTGGCCGCCCGATACTTGGTGGTTCCCCGTTTCCCAGTGGCGCCGGTTGCTGCAAATTATTCTCCCCTCTCGCTCTCGCTCTCTCTCTCTTCTCTCTTCTTCTTTCTTTGCTCTCACTTTCCCTTCATTCATCTCTCCCTCTCCTCTTTTTCATCCATTTTTCCTCCCCCCTCTCCTCCCTCCATCCTCACCCCGCAGATTCTCCTTCACAATGTCTGTCGTTGGCATTGATTTCGGTGCCCAGAGCACCAAGGTTGGTGTTGCTCGGAATAAGGGTATCGACATTGTGCGTATTACTTGCCCCTCTGCCTAATTTTCCCCCTCCCCCTCCAAAGCTTCGGAATATATGAGCTGACTTGATATCTACATTTTAGATCACCAACGAAGTTTCTAACAGAGCTACTCCGTAAGTCTTTGAGAAACATTCTTCTTTTTTTCTCCATTTTTTTCCATTTGTTTTTTTTTGTTTTTTTTTTTTTTTTTCAAATCGATATATCTTGATCCCTTCCCTAATAATATTCTCGTCATACAGTTCCCTTGTGGGTTTTAGCGCCAGGAGCAGACAAATTGGTGAAGCCGCCAAAACACAAGAGACTTCCAACCTCAAAAACACCATCAGCAACATTAAGCGTTTGATCGGCCGTTCTTTTAACGACCCCGATGTTCAGATTGAGCAAGAATATAACACCGCCGCCATCTGTGACGTCAATGGCCAGGCTGGTGTCGAGGTTAACTACCTGGGCAAGAAGGAGAAATTCTCTGCCATTCAGTTGGTCGCCATGTACCTGACCAAGATCAGAGATATCGCCGCTAAGGAGCTGAAGACTCCCGTCACCGATGTTACAATCAGTGTTCCCGCCTGGTTCACCGATGTTCAGCGCCGCGCCATGCTGGATGCTGGCGAGATTGCTGGTCTTAAGGTTCTCAGGCTTATCAACGACACTACCGCTACTGCCCTTGGCTACGGTATCACCAAACTTGATCTCCCTGGCCCCGAGGAGAAGCCTAGGAGAGTCATGTTTGTCGATATCGGTCACAGCGATTACACCGCCTCCATTGTCGAGTTCCGCAAGGGTGAGCTCAGCGTGAAGGCTACTGCCTACGACCGTCACTTTGGTGGCCGTAATTTCGACCGCGCCCTGACTGAGCACTTCGCCGATGAATTCAAGGAGAAATTCAAGATTGATGTCCGCTCCAACCCCAAGGCCTGGGCCCGTACCCTGGCCGCCGCTGAGAAGATGAAGAAGGTTCTTTCCGCCAACCCTACTGCTCCCATGAGCATTGAGTCGCTCATGGAGGACGTCGATGTCCGTGCCCTCGTCAAACGCGAGGAACTCGAAGTCATGGTCAAGTCTCTGCTGGACCGCATCACCGTCCCTCTGGAGCAGGTGCTTGCTGAGGCTAAGATGAAGCCTGAGGATATTGACCATATTGAGATGGTTGGTGGCTGTACTCGTGTGCCTGCTATCAAGGAGGCCATCTCCAACTACTTCGGCAAGCCCCTGTCCTTCACCCTCAACCAGGATGAGGCTATTGCCCGTGGATGCGCTTTCAGCTGCGCTATCCTCTCCCCCGTTTTCCGTGTCCGTGACTTTTCCGTGCACGACATTGTTACCTACCCCATTGAATTCACCTGGGAGCAGTCCCCCGATATCCCGGATGAGGATACCAGCCTCACCGTCTTCAACAAGGGCAATGTCATGCCCTCCACCAAGATCCTCACTTTCTACCGCAAGCAGCCCTTTGATCTCGAGGCTCGCTACGCTAAGCCCGAGACTCTCCCTGGCAAGATCAACCCTTGGGTTGGCCGCTTCTCCGTCAAGGGTGTCAAGGCTGATGCCAACGATGATTTCATGATTTGCAAGCTCAAGGCTAGGCTGAACCTGCACGGTATCCTGAACCTCGAGTCTGGATACTTTGTCGAGGATATGGAGGTTGAGGAGCCTGTTGATGATGAAAAGAAGGACGGCGATGTAAGTTACTGCCATTTTGGGGGGTTGGCGTACTTTCTAACTTTCTTAGGCCATGGACACCGACGCCGCCAACGGTGACGAGCAGTCCAAGAAGACCCGTAAGGTCAAGAAGCAGGTTCGCAAGGGCGACCTCCCCATCTCTTCTGGCACCGGAGCTCTGGAGCAAACCGTGAAGGACAGCTTCATTGAGCGCGAGAACTCCATGTACATGGAGGACAAGCTGATTGCCGAGACCGACGAGAAGAAGAACGAGTTGGAGTCTACCATCTATGAGCTCCGTGACAAACTCGACGGCATCTACTCCGAGTTCGCCAGCGAAGAGGAGAAGGACAAGCTGAGGGCTAAGCTGACCGATACTGAGGTAAGACAATTTTTGTCACTGTTCCTTTTTTTTTTTTTGGCTATCGTTGCTAACTTGTATTGTAGGATTGGCTGTACGAGGAGGGTGAGGACACTACCAAGTCTGTGTACGTGGCTAAGCTGGATGATATCCGCTTTGTTGCTGGCCCTATTATCCAGCGCTACAAGGACAAGGTTGAGGCTGAGCGCCAGGCAGTGCAGAAGGTACAGGAGGAGGCGATTGCCAAGAAGCGCGCTGAGGAGGAGGCCAAGCGCAAGGCCGAAGAGGAGGCTAAGAAGGCCGACGAGAAGCCTGATGCAGAGATGAAGGATGTCTCTGCTGAGGGTGAGGCGACCCCCGAGGAGGCTGACAAGCAGTAAACGACTTTGCGATGAACAAACTACCGAATTTCGTCGTTTCATTTGTCTCTCTTACTGAGCTCGGCTCTCCACATATACAGCTTGATGACAATGGCCATGAATAAAGTCTCCCAAGTACCAACCAATTATGCGGAACGCTTTTACTTATTTTTTTTCCCCTTGCTATTTTTATTCTTATTTCCCCCGCCCGCCCTTTTCCCTGTCGCGATGAATCGACGGCCTGATGTAGAACGAGTTTTTTATTTCTGACAGAATTATATGAAGGGCCGCAGATATGCGACATTTGATGAGACAAGAGAAGGAATTTTAGATACAATCAGTGGATAGACAGAGAGGAAAAGTAATATAAGTTGTTAATATTAGACAAGACTGCGGTGGAGTATGTGTGGCATATATAACAATGATGATGATGCTATAGTTGAACACCCCGCTATCAAACAATGAATGCCAGTTCATGTACCGCTCTTGACCAATAACCCCTCAGCGCTGATCATCTATTGAGGGGCCGCATTTAATCGAGGGATATTGTACCCAACGTGCATGCTTGCCTATCTCGCTTGCTAGGCCTGACTTGAAATACACATTCAACTCTCATAGTGGTCTTTTGTCCTGTACAGACCAGCGCGTTATGCTGTACTGTCGATACATGCAACCAAAAGAAATGATAAAATGCCTCGCGAAACATGAATACATCAAACAATCAAAACGCAACGACCCTTCATTCGTTGCACGGTCGCACAATTGTCCGAATCGACAACAATCTAGTCATCAAATCCGGAGATCTCAGGTCTCACGAAGCCCAAACCCTTCGCTTCATCGCAAACAATACGACGATTCCTGTACCTAAAGTTCATGATGTCCGTTGGGAGGACGGCCGCGTGATGTCCATTACAATGGATTACATGCCGGGCAAGCGACTGGACGAAGCCTGGGATACACTGGACTCTGACCAGAAACTCTCCATTGCCGATGAACTCCATTCCTATGTGGCGCAACTTCGTCGTTTGAAAGGTGAATACATCGGGGCTATTGATCGAGGGAAAAGCCCTCATTGGACAGCTTTCATCAATCGAAGGCGGCCCCTTTGATTCAGAGCGGCATTTCAACGAGTTCATCCTAGGGGATATTGTGAAATCAGCACCAGATCTACTGCGGCATTACGCGAAATTCGCCCTGATGGATATCAAGAATCACCATCCTTGCTTGGAATTATCTAGGACAAGCAGCTGCGGGTCTAGCAGTTTTGGTCGATGCCCTGCTTTAATACCTACTTCTATGCGTGGTTACGGACCAAAAAGCAGGGAATAGAACCACGGGTGGATGCAGAGGACAGCCCATGTAAAATAATAATAGCGAGGGCTAGGTGTAGGAGCAGTATAACTCGGTACTCCGGAAAGTCATGACGTCCAGAGAATGCGGAGAAAGACCAATTGGGAAGGATAGCACGCGATCTTTTTGCTCTCCGGACCAAGCCGGGGTTGTGGTGCGAGCAAAGAGGTGCGTGTCCGGAGGATCCGGATTATGGCCTTTCCGTGGTTGGGCACGTGCTGGTCAGTGACTTGAATAAAAAGCCACCCTTCTACTCTTATGAGCTCTAACAGTATAACTACTGTATATACCCGTTGCGCGACCCCGGAGACTTAGTCGGAGGGTTCGGTTATAGCATACGCATCCAATAAAAACAGCATTGAAGAAAATCAATAAGAAAATTAAGATATCTTAAAAAACAGTCGCAGTATTGCAAATAAAATTAGAAAATCTTTGCCAAAACCCTCGTCGCATCTTTCTGAAGATCCCCCCGATCCCCCTTTGCCCTTATCACATCATTCTGGACAAACGTCCTCCTCATAGCTTGCGGTACCTTTGCTGGTATATCCACATCCCCGTCGGTATCCTTGGCTAACCGCCTCCTCTTCTCCTCATTCTTCCTGGCCATCCCATCAGCAACCCGTCCAGCCTCAACGCCTTCCAAAAACACCTTCTCTTCCTTCCGAGCACGGGTATCCTCGATCCGCCTCTTCGCCTCACGCTCTGACCGCTCCCGCTGCACTTGCTCCATCAAATCCGCCCACTTAAACCCGCGTAGGTACTTCATATTCCAGATATCATCGTGGTACCAGCCGCCCTTGCGGCCGCCGATAATAGTTGCGTTCAGTGTCTCCGCGCAGATCTTGGCTGTCTTCTTCGATGCAAACTCAACCCACCCGTCCGTGTACATTTTGCGCTTGTTGCTCCGCTTGCGCGTGTCTCTCAGGACTAGTGGAGTGAGGAAGGCTCGTGTGATAGGCTTGAAGCCGCGAGCCTCCAGGAACGATTTGAGAGCACCGCATTTAAGGTAGGGTGGCAGAGAGGACAGGTAGATCACGCCTGTTTTGTTCTTTTTGGGCGCTTTAAGTGGTTTGTTGGTGGAGAGGGGTTTTATCTTGGGGGCCGTTTTCTTTTCGGAGGGGTTGGCCGTTGCGTCGAGGAGCATGTCGCCTTCCTTGTCATTGTCATTGCCGTCGTCGTCGTCGTCGTCATCGTCGTCATTATCTTCCTCGTCCGCGACAGGCTCGGGCTTTGTCTTTGCAGACTTGCGGCCCTTGCCTTGAATATCACTCGGAGACTCCTTGTCCTCGTCTTCACTATCGGAATCCTCCTCGTCTGATTGCAGACCGAAAAAGTCTTGCGTATCTACCGTCCGCCGCCGCTTTACCGCGCGGCCTTTGCTCTCTGTCACCTTCTCTTCGGAGTCATAGCCACGGTCAGTGGCCTCGTCATCGTCGCTGGGTGCAATTTCTAAAAATTCGTTATGGGTGCGTGTTGTCATTTTGAATGGTTCCCTAAAATTGGAGGGAGGCGAGGTTTGCTTGGGAACTGAGCGGCGGGATACAAAAATCGGAGACTGGATTTTTACGGCGGACTTAGGTTGCTCCGGGATCCGAATATGTATGTCCAATTAACTTTAGTCTATACACCGTTTAGAGGCCTCCGTTCGGTCACATGATATCTCCTCTCTGGCTGGTGCGTGGTCAGAAAGGAATCAGTGAGTACTGTATAGTATCAGGCAAGTAGACAGAAACTTGCAGAAAACCCCCTTAGTTTAGTTCTTTTTTACTGATACTACTGTAACTACTGCTACTTAGTATACTAGATTGATAATAACGAGTTCGTTCAAATCTCGGATTAGGTAGGTATTATCTGGATCCTCTTAGTCCCTACCTACGTCCTTTTTCCTCCTCTTCTCGGACTATAAAATTACCTTCCTCGTTTGATGCTTCATTGCTTAATTATTCGTCTTGTCGTTGTATTATTCTTTTCGGACACGAATTGCTGGGAGATGCTTTTAGCCGGCCCAACGTTCTGATTCGATTAACTTTCTACATTCTGATATACCCCCCGAATAAGCCTCTGCGGCTATACTGGTCAGATTCGTATTTCATATGAGTTATATATATACCTTTGTCATCGCAACTTCACAATGCAAATCCTACACGGGTGAATTTTATACCTGACAGCCTAAAATGACCCCGCGAGGCTTGCTAGCCTGCATCAGTACCATCTGCTCCGTAACGGCCGCCGCAATCCCTAACCCCAATCCCAATCCCAATCCCAATTCGAATCCCACCTCCTTCACCTCTTCCCCCGAGCATAGCGCATACGGCTCCGTCATCAGTCACAGCCGATCAGACCCCCTATGGAGTAAGTACGGTCTCAACCGATCCGAGGAGTTCAAGTACTTCCAGGAGCCCGGGAATGATCACATTCTGGCCCATTACGATTCGCGATACTTTCGCCACCCGGTGTCAGAGGAGGAACGGGCTAAGACGTTGACCCAAATTATCCATGCGTACTTCGACTATTTTCGGGAAAATGATTTGGAGACTTGGTTGGCGCATGGGACCTTGCTGGGTTGGTGGTGGAATGGACGGGTAGTCCTCCTTCCTCTTCCTCCATGATGTGTTTTTAGGGACAAATGGGGAAAAGCTGATCATGATATGATTGATAACTTTTATCTAGATTATGCCATGGGATTGGGACATCGACACCCAAGTATCCGAAGCCACGCTCTTCCGGCTCGCCGACGAATTCAATAATACAATCGTCCGAATCCCCACGAGCGACCCAAATGTTCAACAGTCGTATCTTCTGGACGTTAACCCGTGGGCTCGACAGCGCGATCACCACGAGGGCCTGAACATCATTGACGCCCGCTGGATCGATATGCAAACGGGTCTCTATATCGACATCACTGGGCTGAGCAAGTTAGACCCGGAGAAGCACCCGAATCAGTTGCAGTGTAAGCACGACCATAAGTACCAAATCAACGATATCTATCCGCTGCGCATGACGAGCTTTGAGGGGGTCGCTGCAAAGGTCCCGTTTCGGTATGAAGCGGTCTTAACCGATGAGTATCAGGAAACAGCGTTAACAAACATGCATTATAATGAGTAAGTTTTTGGGGGGTTTTTTTTTGTCTCCCTTCAGTAAAACTGGGTTGAGAGAGCTAATTGTGGCTAGTCATACGTGGATTCCAGAACTCGAGGAATGGGTTTCCGATCAGGAGTTGGAAGAGCTGGCGAAGGACAAGGCCAACGGGGGAATTGACGGCTTCGTCCAGGAAGATACTGATGGGGAGAATCTCGATGACGATGACCGACAGTATGAGTAGATCTTGCTATCTACTGTTAGTCTTGTATAACTATTTGCGGATCTAGATCGCCTCTGCATTTCTGTATGATATAGGAGTTGAATCTGGTGGAGTGAGGAGTTGGATATTATTGCATATTGTTTTTTCCCAAGTTATCTCCGGCTGACTAACTAAGCATGGAAGATGATCGAAAGCTGTATTATTCAAGCTCCATCTTCACCACTTAAAAAGCATCATGTCGTCTCCGCTCCTATTCATTTGCATTTTCTTCTCATGGTATCCTTCCAACCGCCCAAATGGATGAAATGAAGAATGAGCACGACGAGCCCCAAATCCTCGCCTTTACAATCCACCACCATGGCAAAACACACCCCATCGAGCTCCCCATCACAGCTACCCTTCAAGACCTCACCTCTACCCTCGCGACAACCTTCCAAATCCCCCTCGAGAACCAAAAGCTCCTGATCGCCCCGAAACCAGGCATGCTCAAGTCCCCATTCCCCCCAACACCCCTACTCGAGCTCCTCCCCCTCGATTCCCCCAAGCTCAAACTCACCCTGCTCGGAACCCCCTCCCAAGAAATCACCACCCTCAACACCCAAGCCGCCGAAACCCGCCGACGAGACTCTGCGCGGGCCCATGCCCTCGCCGCAGCCCGTCAGCAAACCTCCTCCTCCTCCTCCTCCTCCTCATCCCGCCGCACAACCCCGCACCCGGGAATCCACACCCTCTCCTCCTCCTCCTCTGAAAACTACACCTTCCACACCCTCAAACCCCTCCCTTACCTCCCCAACCCCTCCCGCTCACTACACTTCCTCACGCGCCTCCGCGATGACCCGGGCATCCGCTTCGCAATGCACAAACACCGATTCTCCGTGCCCCTCCTCACAGAAATGAACCCCGCAGAACACACAACCACGGAATCGCGCACGCTAGGTCTAAACCGCAACAAGGGCGAAGTGATCGAGCTGCGCCTCCGCACAGACGCTTACGACGGGTACCGCGATTACCGCACGATCCGGAAAACGCTCTGCCATGAGCTAGCGCACTGCGTGCATAGCGAGCATGACCGGGATTTCTGGGATCTGACGGCGCAGATCGAGCGGGAGGTGGAGAGGGCGGATTGGAAGGGTGCGGGCGGGAGGAGGGTGAGTGCGGAGGAGTTTTATAACCCCGGGGATTGGGAGAGAGAGGAGATGGAGGGGCATGTGGTGGATGAGAGGGGGTGGGTTGGGGGGAGCCAGGTTCTGGGGTCGTGGAATTCTACTCCTAGTAGTAGTTCTGGTATGGGTGGGATGAGGGAGGCTATGGCCAGAGCTGCAGAGGAGAGAGTGAGAAAAGCGAGGGAGGAGAAACGGCGGGAGCATGAGCGGGAAAGGGATTCTGCATAGCCTTATTCTCTCTCTCTCTCTCTCTCTCTCTCTCTATATATAATATAATATGAATATGATGATATGTATACGCCGTGCCCAGTTCTAAGTATACTCTACCTGAATTAAAACGCAAGTATAATAACAACCCAATACCATACCTAGTAATAACTTTAAACATGTATCCATTTGAAAAAAAAAAAAAAAAAAAACTATTTACACCTGCTCATTAACTAACAAACCCGCCATACCCTGCCCAGTACCAATACACATACTCGTCACCAAAACCTTCTTCTGTGTGCGTCTCGCCTCACTGAGAATCGTACAGATCTGGCGCGCCCCCGTCGCTCCCAACGGATGACCTAGCGCAATCGCACCGCCGCGCGGGTTCACCTTGGCATGCTCCAGTCCTAGATTCTCAAGGCAGTACACGGCCATCGAGGCAAAGGCCTCGTTGATCTCGTAGATGTCGATGTCGGTTTTCTCGAGGTTGAACTTGGACAGAAGCTTAGGGATTGCTGCGGTAGGTCCGATGCCCATTACGCGCGGAGGTACACCGGCGACAGTGGCGCCGCAGAATTTAGCCAGGATGGGTTGACCCAGTTCAATGGCTTTCGAACGGCGCATGAGGAGGATAGCAGCGGCTATATTCGTTCGTTTATTAGCAAATCTTTGTTTTGTTTTTTTTTTTTTTTTTTTTTTTTTCTCGGGAAAGGGGGAGATGCATACCTCCATCAGTAACCTGACTGGAATTACCTCCAGTACTCCGGGTTCCAAACTGCGGAAACGCAGGTCTAATCTTCGATAATCCCTCTGCAGTAGTGCCATATCGGATCCCTTCATCCCTGGTTAAAGTAACCTCCTTGACCTCGCCGGTCTTGGGATCCTTCACCTTCGTCGTAATCGGGACGATCTCGTCATCAAACCAACCGGCTTTCTGGGCTGCCTCGGCGCGCCGATAAGACTCCGCCGCATAGATATCTTGCTGCTCACGACTGATATTAAAGTCTGCGCCGACATTCTCGGATGTCTGGCCCATAGGCTGCATGCAGTCCACAGCTTCTTGGCTCTTCAGCACCTCCTCGTTAAAGGGGCGGTCGAGCCTGTCCCCCGAAGCGGACATCATCTCTGCGCCGACGGCAATACCAACGTCGATGGCACCTAGCTGGATCTGATTCGCGATATCCTGGACGGCTTTCAGACCGGATGAGCAGAACCGGTTCACGGAGGAGCCGCCAGCTGTGTGGGGGATTCCCGCTGCAAGAGAGGCAGCGCGGACGAGGTAGGCGGCTTTACCGTCGTTGACCTAGTGTTATATTAGTTTAAAATTCTTTCTTTCTTTCCTTTCCCCCCTCTTAAGTGTGAATCTAGACAGGGGGGTTACATTTCCAAGGCAAACGTCTTCCACAAGAGCAGGATCCAGCTTCGACTTGGCCAGAACCTCCTTCAACAGAGCGTAGATGATGTAATCGAGGTCCGTATCCTTGAAGCCGCCCTTCATGGCCTTGGTGAGGGGTGTGCGCAGAGCAAGTGTAATGACGACATCATCGGGGGTTTTCTGGGTGCTATTCACAAATTAATCCTGTCTATTCAATACCTGGCTTCCTCGTGCGTCTTGTAGTCTGATATTATGCACCTAGATGGAGCTTGACATACATAGCAGCGACACCCTTGCTTCCCGAAGGCCTGAGGTGGCTCAGGATGGAGGTCAAACGTTCTGCGGCCATGGCGGATGTGAACCTGATCAACTGTCTAACAATATATTAGTTTTTTTTTTTTTTTTTTTTCCCCTCGTCATAACCAGCTGAGACATGATATGTAGTACATTGCTACGCTGGTGATCGTAGCACAGTTGGAGAAGAGAGTGCAGCTCCTTAGGTATGCGGGGAATGATAGGCAAGAATCGTAACAGGCAACGAAACAAGACAGTCACATAAATAGAGGATGAACTTACTTTGCCTCAGTAGAAATGGACAAGATGACTGAGGAGAGAGAGAGAGGGAGAGAGGAAAAGAAGAAGAACAGGACTAGGAATAGTGAAGTGAAGGAATTCTTGATGCGCTTATGTATGTGTTTTGACCCCAACCGAGAGCGAGCCGAGGTACTTGCACTCGCTGCGTTATCCGACAAAGTCTCAGGTTAGTTACCAGAACAGAACATTAGCATTTGCTCATTGGTTAAAACATGTGTGGCTAATTGTTGGAAGGATCTAGAGCTCGTTTCTATTCCATACCTAGGTACGATTTGGAGATTTTGTGCCAATTGTATTGAGTGAACTAACTACCTACTTCGCAAAACAAAAGCAAGCGTCTCACGCCTCAACGCCAGATATTATCATAGTACACGCGATTATTCCCTCCCGAAAACGGATTTATCACTAGATTCCAGTTCTAAAGGTCCTGGTATTTTGTTAGAATCCATGATGATTGTACTCGTCGCTGCTGACTTCGCTTCCAACCTCCGACCAACTGGCCGGGGTCATAATTCCATGCACAGAGCCCTCCATATCACTTAGGGTACCATCCGACGACGCATCCATGGCGATATGACTATAACCATCAGCTGTGGATGGCGTGGCTGGCGTTGCAGGGCGCTCCTGGGCAAAACTCAAGCCTTCTAGATCTGAAAAGGGGGACCGTGCCTCCTGGATGCTTCCGTTAGCTATCGACTCGGGATGCGCATAGATTACTTCAGAGAATCCGCCTTCAGTGTGGCTAGATGACGATGCGGACCTGGGTCGATGTTCATCGCCGGACGGCTGAGAAATGACAGAAGCTGATAAGTTGTTTGAAATCTCAGAGACAGGCGTGAAGTCGCCAGCAGTAACAGACGGTGCCCGGCTTTGTGGGGCCGGAATAGAAAGCTGCAATCTATCATGCTCATAAATAGGTTTATCCTCATTCGTTAGGGTTGATGCTGAGGCTGAGAACCCTGATTGCTTCCCTCGCTGGAGGGCTTGGGCGGCGCCTAGGTCCACCGCTGTGGAATTCGCCATAGAGGTTTCCGGTTGGTCTCTAGAATCCAGAAGATTACCGTGTTCGTCTACAAGTGTATCAAAGGTGCCGATGGACGCATTTGACCGCCATTTCTGGCGTTCCTCAAGTATGCTTCGTCGTAGCTGGAGCTCCTCCCGTGCAATTCGTCTTCGCTCCTCAGCCGCCACGCCGGGTTCTTCCACCATGGAAATATCCCGAAGTGGCGAGTCCATCTCTCCAGGGCTAATCTCATCGCCAAGGTTGTGCAAGGCCATAGCAAGCTTCCGTCGTGAATTGTTCACCCATCGTCGGAACTGGGGGGACTCGTAGACTGCAATGCCGGCGGCAACCAGTGCCGCCACGCCAATAATGATTCCTGTATCCTGTCAGAACAGAACATCTCTCTCGAGATATATTCGACAGTATATTAAACATCCTTCTTGCTTATAAAGAAGCAAGAAATACAAATTCCTCTATAGATGACAGTTGGAAATCCCCTTAAGGAGTAATAACATCACCATCACCATCACTGATAAGCACACCGCCTAGAGTGACGCTCTATAGTCCAGAATGAAGAGAAAAGAAATGCTAGAGCACATCAAGAAGGAAAACCAGAGACATACCCTTCGCGACCGGCGTAGGCATCTTGACTTTGACAGCTTCTTGGAGATCTTGGATGTGTCGGAGTCCTTCTCTGGTCCGCGATACTCCGGAGTTGAAGGCAGCAGCCAAACTTATGTCATCCGACCATCAATCAGCCCCACTGCGCCTCCACGTGACTCTTATCAACCCTTATCTGCCTGCCCTAACTTGGGTCCGCTTTAGGTATCCCGTGTTTCCCCCCTCCCGCGACGTCAACATCTGTCTTGTCAATCTCGACGACCACATTCTACAGCTTGATACCGTCCACCACCCCGTCTCTGGTGATTCGTTGGCAATAATGTCCCGTCCGTCATCTATGGCTCAGCGTCCATTGACGCTCACAGAGGAATTAGAGAAACTCGAGCAGTCTATCACACTGACGCTCCAAGGTAAACAAGCCATGCCCCGATAGTTCCCAACTTAACGAGACCGCTGATTCCTTCTCTTCCGCGCTCAGAGATCGACCACAATTTCAGTCGAGCCCACCGCATTGTGACGACAAGCATTCTCCCCGTTGTCGAGCAGTACGCCGAAAGCTCACGAGATGTTTGGGAGGGCGCAAAAGTTGGTTCCCCTGGCGTTTACCCCCACCGGAACACGCCTTCTAACTAAGCCGTAGTTTTGGAAACAATTCTTCGAAGCCAGTGCCAATGTCTCCCTATCCGGATATGAGGAGACCCCTGAACAGGATACGACCGCTGAGGAGCAGACCATCACGACCGAAGACGATTCCGCCAGCATCTCCCAAAGCCATCTTACTGAGACCGAATCCTACCAAACTCCGTCCTCTGAGCACCTAGATCTCAACCGCAGACCCGACGATCTGGATCTCACCTCCCTTAGTTTGTCGTCCCACAGCACCCCGCGCGTAGTACACCAGGAAAGATCTCACGACGATACCACCGTGACCTCATCCACTGCGTATCCCTCACTTTACCAAGGTATGCACCAGGACATCGACCAAGACCACGACCACGACCACGACACTGCCCTCTATAAATATGAAGACGAAGATGAAGACTCTTATCTCCCCACCACCCCCGGAAAGCCCTCCTCCACCAGACACCAACGGCACCAGCAACCCTACCGGAACACAGACAACCTGATGTCATCCTCCCCGTTCGTCCCTCCCGTCTCCACTACTAAAACCCTCGACCAAGAGGGCCCTATCATGCACCGTCTCCACGACAAAACCTACCGCGTGCAAGCCACCCCCCTTGGAAAAGGAAAAGGAGCAGGCTACTACGACCCCACCAGATCCAAATTCACCATCACCACACCCAAATCAACTACTACAACAAACCCCAAATACGCATTCGAGGACTCTCCTCTCTCCAGCCCCGAACCCGAAGCGCCGCAGCTCAACTCCGAACTCTTTTCGTCTCCACTTAAACCCCAAACCCCGAATACAGGGCGAAAGCGCCGACCAAGTAAGAATAACCGACTTCATATTACCCCCAAGCCAGGAACTAGTGTTCTCACACCGGCAAAGGGTGGATACGGCAAGCGGTCTGAGTGGGATAGTGACGACGATGATGATAATGATGCCGGATTCGGTGACTATGATGATGAAGACGAGGACGAGCTGGGTCCTAGTCCGCCGAAAACAATGCAGTTTCATATTCCGCAGAGTCGGCTAATGAAGACTCCAGGTTAGTCCCCTTTTTCTTCCCATTCCTTTTCTTTTCCTCTTTGATTCTAGTGGTGCATGGAGTAAAATACATTCTAACCTCGTAATAGCCAAGGAGGCTTCTAGGCGGATTGTGGAGCAACTCCTCTACACGGCTGGTGCGAACGATACAACGGAAGATTTCGAGGATGAGCAGAGTCCGAGTGTTATTCGACGGGTGGAACAGCTTGAAGATGATACGTTCTAAAAGAGTTAAAAAGTTGCATCTAGACCAGAACAAGCATGAATTAGCATAATAGGAAAAAAGAAAAAGAAAAAGAAAAAGAAAAAGAAAAAGAAAAAGAAATAGTATCTATAGGTACAATTGCATCACACCCTCCTAATAGATTCTTCGAATACGGAGTCCATTGCTTGTTCATTCACAGACAGAGACACCCATTCGCTAGTAACACGGGCGCTGGGGGCTCTCTTGCGTAGCAAACAGCAAGAGATAAGCTACTCAAACAACACGAATAAGAGCATACACAAGATCAAAAAGGGAGATACGAAGACGAAGAGCTGGGTATTCCAGACATCCGCATACCCAGAAAGGGATATAGAGAAAGAGAAAAAGAAAACATCTAGAATTTTTGGGGAGAAACAAGCAAGCATGCGCATACACCACGGATAAGAAACTAGCTTCGAACCTGCGGGATCAAGTAGAGCAAAGGAGAAACGAGACTGCATGCAAGTAGCAAGTATAGGAAAGATACATGAAGGGTATCGAGACTGAGGTGCTGGTCATCAGAGGGGGTGAGCGGGGGGGGGGAAGGGGAGTGATGCAACAGCAAACTCCATTTGGGGTATATACAGATCGTTGTAGTGACATGAGTTCCATAGGAGTTGTGTAGGTAGAGCCGCCTGGGAGAGATATCGAGCGAGGAATGGATATAACTTAAAAGAAAAAGTAACACATGAAAAGAAAACTGGGGCCTCCGTCCTCTATGCTGGATCAAGTCAGGGACTGTTCAATAGGGTCCCAGAAAAAATTAGTTCTGATTCTGCATGCCCATAAACACCTCTTGGCAGTTGTCCACTAAGAATTTAAGGACCTCATTCTTTTTCTGCACATCCGTCATTTCCCGTGCGAGACTCTCCGGCCGCATGATGGTGGGCGCAAAGACAACAGCAATGTTCTGGCTAGTCATAAGGTTCTCCTTCTCACGTTCAACCACACGCTTCAAGTGGAACACGAGAAATTCCAGCACGTCTTGGTGAGCACGGGGCAACTCCCCAAGGCTCTTCTGCAACGCATCGATTCGCGCAGACTGCGAAGTGATCTCGCCGGTTTCAATAATCTTCTCGTAAACGTCGTAAGTAATCAGGGGCATGGGCAGCTTGCGGAAATACTGCTTCAGCGCGGAGGTCACCGCGTGGATATCCAAATCCGGATCCGAAATATCATAATCTTGAGGGGATCGTTCAAAGCCTTCGCGAATAGTTTGGATCGCTGAGCTTGCGCCTGATTTACGGTAGATTCCCTCCATATCCATGCCTGGATTGAAAGCCCATTGTTAGTGTATGGAAATCTAATCATGGCAAAATTGAATCATACCTCGTAGCTCAACTTCCTGAATACAACGAGTAACAATCGCCGGAATGATACTTTTCTCATGCTCCATACGTTGTTCCAAATCAGTTCCGAATAATCCTGGAGGGGTGTCAGTCATCATGTGGATCAAAAGGGCGCGCGCGATAAAAGCGTGAAAAAACATACCTGTTGGTGCCGTATCAGCAAGAGCTGGAACACTGTCAGTCTGTGGCATTCTGGTTCCAGCTTGCTTATTTCTCTGGTTGCCAAAGAACCCAAAGCCTTGTCGACTAGGGTCTTGAGTCTGGGAACGTGGGAGACTAGTGGAACTCTCCGTTGTACTAGCGTTTTCACTCGACATGAAAGCACCCTTGAGACCTTTCGTAACACCCTTCGCCACGTTTTGTCCTCCCTTCTTCCAGTTGAACTTGCGAGGCTGTCCTTTGCGGATGTTAACAACCTGAGGACCAGGGACCACTGTAGCAGGCTCGGCCTCTTCAGACATATTAGCTGTCGAGATCGAGGTTGCCAGGTCGTTACTTGCTGCCTTCAAAGCCTCGATAGAGGACAGAGACTTCTCCTTTCCATGTGAGTAAATGCCGAGGCCGTTCGGACCGCGGTTTCCATCTGTAATATTTGCCTTGTAGAGCTCCTGGATTTGATGTACTAGTTGGTTATTCAATTCCGCCAGCTGCGCATTCTTCGACGAAAGCTGCTCGAATTCCTGGAAGCTCTTATCCTTCATACGCGTCAGGTTGGATAATTCTTCGGTTGTCTCGTTGCGTTTTTGGACAAGTTCTTCGATTTGTGGGGCGAAGGACTCCTTTAGCTTCTGAATAGACTCGACGAAGTCCCTCAAGACCTTGTTGGTGAGTTTGCTGAGATCCAAAGGACCGCTGCTGCCACCCCTCTTTTCAGATTCGAGGTGTTCAGTAAGTACCGAAAGCTCCCGCATGACAATCTCTTTCTGAGCATCCAACACTACCATAGTTGAACGCTTCTCGTTTAGTTCTGTGTTGACTTGCTTCACATCAGCAGTCGCCTTCAAAACGGCCTCCATTTCTACAATCTTCCGGTCTCGTTCAAATACTCGTTGGCGCTCTTTGCGTAACTCGCTCCGAAGCCAGATGATTTCGTCGGCTACCTGTTCTGGAGAACCGACTGGGGCATTAGCAATGTTGGCCATTGGTGAAGATCCGTTAACAGGCGATTTGGGCCACTTGGGGTCCTTTAACAACCGAGAGCCTTTATCGCTAAAGCTCCTTCCATGACGCACTGAGTTGGATACACGGCGTAAGAACGACTCACTTGACTGTGAAGGGGCAGCATCGTCAGAGCCCATAATTCGTGCCATATCTTCGTCCATCGAAAAGTCACCACCACCACCACCACCATACCGCAAGGGAGAGGAAGACACCGGATGATCCATAGATCGATACATGTCTGAATGCTGAGGGGTGCTTATAGAATTAGGGCGCGCCCGGGGCTTCGTTTGTTCGTAAGAGTCGTTGCGCTGACTCCGGGGAGACTCTCCACTTCGAGATGTGCTTTTGGTCATTGTATCCCCAGATCGTTCACTCCACTGGTCAGTGGAACTTATCGAGTCGCCGCGAGGAGATTGCCTAAACTCTTTTCGAGGGAATTGATGATGTTTGCTCTCCAGAGAGTCGCCTCGTTTGGGGTGAGCGGGGACTCCTGTGAATGCTGGAGACGAGTCCAGAGATCCGCTATTCTCGTGCAGTCGACGTAACTCATGAGACGGACGAGTGGGTAGGGTGGCTGTACTCTCCGCAGCCGTTGATCTCTGCGAGTCAGCTGTCAAGCCATCCCTTACCACAGTGGCTGACGATTTAGTACTATCAGTAGCAGCAGACGAGCAAGAGCTCGTTTCCTTATAACCCACAGGCAGGTCGGATCTCGAGCTCCGAACCGAGTTTGACCTTGCAGTTCTATTTCCAGACGCACCGTTGGCAGCGTCCTCTTGACGCCAACGAGTGGACTCGGGATCTGGGCGCTCCCGGCCTTTCTCTTGGTAGGCAATGTGAGGGGATTGACTCTCGGGCGGAAGGCTCTCGGGGGACTTCTGGCCCGACACAGGGGACTTAGCGTGGCTGGTCGACTGATCGCGAGCGGATCGTGGTTCCTCAGATGGGTCAAACGCAAGAGGGATGAGAAATTCACCGCCATCTGCATCGGATTCAGTAGGAACGACCGATTGCCGATTACTACGATAAGTGCTCGAGGGTAGAATCAAATTATCTATACGAACGCAGTCCAATTAGTATCCCGCGATTCGCGATCCCTTCGCTGGGAGACACTCACCTTGATTATCTGCAGCCTGACGAGTTCCTTGAGATCTTCCCACGTCCAGCGCAGGCGCTGCTCTTCGAGAAACCAGGTCTGTTGCCACATCCGCAAAGTCTATAGAAGGATCATCTGCAGCCTGCATCATCTCTGCCTCATCGGGAGGCAGAGAGGGCAGAGACTTGTCCAACTTCATGCCGGGACTTGCATTCTTCTTCGAGGCAATACCGCGATTCTTCTTTCTTCGCCGCTGCATCAGGGATTCGTGACAGTCCATACAAAATATTCCCTGGGACGTCCTGGCATAGCGTAAATTCTCGATCTTCCTTTTACAATTGCGACAACGAAAGCATTGAGCACAGAAGGCTTGCTCGCCCGTCAGGATAGCCAAGTCCTCAATCTTATTCCCACACGAACTGCAGCTGTAGGTACAATTGCTACAGATCAATGATCCATCTCCAAGGAGGAGAAGGTGCGCATCGGAGTCGAGGAGGGTGCCACAGGAGCTGCAGCAAAAGCAGTCGATATGCCATCGGTTACCAGCTACAAGGGGAGGGAAAACAGTTAGCAGGAGTGTTAAAATAAACCAGGCTGCACGCAGAACCCACCTAGCTCAAAAGCCTTGCCCTCTTCCAAGATCTATCCAAGTCAGTACTTGTGCGGTTCCTTATAATTTTTTTCCTTCCCCCCCCAGCGGGCACTCCATGCATACCTCACCACAACCCTTGCAAGGGAATGGAACATCGTCCTGCTCCATCGGCGACTCTGGGTACGGGGCGGGGGACTCCATGCTGAGTTCCACCTGAAAGGGGCGCTCGACGACGAGTATATGGAAGCGACAGTGGATAGATCACTCTAGCACCTCCAGATGAAAAAAACGACTGAAGGCACCGAGGACAGAGCCCGGTGTGCAGAGGCAATGGCGTAGCCAAGACCCTTATTCGTTGATGTTAAAAGCGAGGGGGGGATCGGGGTCCAGCCACACAACCGACAGCGGATATCAAGTCCACAATTGGAGCAATAAAGAAGGTCCGAAAGAATTATAATGGTGTAATAGGGTCGAGATCGATAGACGCGGCAGAGGATGAGTTTCGCGGACGGAAAGGACACGAAGCCCGCGCCTGGAAAATGGGCTTAATTCCCAAACCAAACGGTCGGTAGCAAGGAGAGAGGAGTTTATGAGATTAGAGAGCCTAGCGAGATTAAAGATGAGCTAGGATTAGGAGTCGATGGAATCGCGACATGGCGAGCCAAGAGGGAGAGGAGGGAAGATGAAGAAGAAGAAGAAGAAGAAGAAGAAGGGGGGACGTGGTGATGAGTTGAGGATGGCGAAAGCGAGAGATGTCGGTATGGAGAGTAGGTAGGTATCTTCAGAACCAGATCCAAAACAGGGGGGCCAGACACTCGGCAAGCAAGAGAAAGTGAGGGGGGAAGGATAGGCTGGACTGTACCATGCAGGAGACAGGTGTCGATCGGAAACAGGGGGGAGGGGGGTCGTAGAGATTAGTTTGTGGAGGGGAATGAGTCTAGAGGATCTCGAAAGTAGCTCCGATATGAAAAAAGAAAGAAATAGATAGTAATAATAACTATGGGGGATGATGGGAATTAATTATGCTTAAGGAGAGAGAAAGGAGGAGGAGAGAAGAGGCCGGCGAGGGACAGATTGGTGTGTTTCAAAAGATGGGAGAGAGAGGGTCGTTTCAGATAGAGTCGACGAGGGCGGGAAGGAGACCCCTCGCCAGCTTGGTGGCCAACACTGTGGAATCGTTCGTTCTAGGGAAGACGAGTCGTAATCAAAGACGGGAGAAATGAGAGATTAGGATGGACCCATCTTGAGTAAAAGAGAAACGAAACAGAAGTATTCCGTATAGACTAACTATAGTTAACTAGTTATTCACTAATTTCTGACTAATCCCTCGAGGTTGCTATACTTCGGAAAACCCACGACAATAGATAAGACCTTCCATTCGCATACTGAAAAGACAACAAAGTGGTATAATGATAAACGGTAAAGTACAGATATAACAAACAGTGTATAACAATAACCTAACAATATGACCCTGTTCTTCTCCTGTTCAAAAACACGGGTCTCGCTGGCCTGCCCCTCAGTAAGAATATGAGATCAAGCTTCAAAGAATAGTCGCTCTACCTATCCTATCCCCCCCCCCCCCTGTAGCAGACCGACGTCTACTGCTTCGAAAGCTTAGCATTGTAATAAGTCAACAGGTTCCGGGTGCCATCCCCAGGCCGCCCAAGAATCGTCCAGAAATGATCATCGCTGGTGGCCATGGAACGTAATTGCACACAGACTTCGATAGATTGTCGCCTGAGATCGAGGTGACTGGCCATAAGATTACCAGCGGCATAGGTCCCGATGCGCTCCATAGTGGAATCGGGAAGGCTAGTCTTGTTTTCGTTCAGAAGAGATAGGGCTTTGGCTAACACACCAATACCCTTTTCGATTACGCGGTATTCTTGATCATTCTTCTCCATGGTTGTAATCATGTTAATCACGGCATCAATAATCTCGATTGGTTCGGCTTCGGAAATAATGTCATCCGTTGTCTCATCCAGCCCGGTGACAATGTGGTTCATAGGATCGTAATGCTGTCGAGCGTGGAGGAGAGCCACCACCGCCTGGGGGTAATAGGCGGCAAAGTATTTGTTATTATGAGTGAACATGTATCGAACAGTCAGAAGAACTTGCGTCTTCAAATCCATGGGACGGCCAAGTGGTTGTTTTCTGTCATCTGGTGGGCTCTCCAACTCCTCAAGCAGGGCCAGCAACATCGCATCATACTGCTCCTCATCGGTGAAAATAGCATCATGAAATTCAATCAGTCCTTGCAACTTGCGGTATCCTAGGATGTCCATATTCTTCATCTGAATTCGCTTTATACCCTTCGCAAGCATCTCCTTCGCCTGGACAGGGTCCTGGGACCGCGGACTGATACTCCTCCGTCGGTGTAGAGACTCAAGTCTCTTCCAACGGCGGTTAGACGGCTCGTCAACGGTAACCAAAGCGTTACTAGGCTGGCGTGAGCGCTCAACATGCGCAACTGGTGTGTTATCACGGTGTGCTGGTTCATTCGTATGTAGTTCCTCCAAAACGTTATGTTTCGCTGAAATGCGGGTTGCATAAGATAAGGTAATTTTTCTAGGGTTCGGTGTACTGTTTTCATTGTTCTTTGAACGGGATTTGGGCAAGGTCCCATACGGACCAAATATATCCATGATGTTTGCGGAGTTGATCATTGTTGAAGGACCTGCCGCTGGAGCTTGTGGTTCCAGGTCTGAGGGTTGTGGAGTTGTTTGAATATTAGCAGGGCTGGCACTAGCAGTCCTTTCCTGTTCTGGGAGGGGTTCAATGGGGTGGTATTCCTGTTCGGCTACCTGCAGAGGTGAAGTAGAAGGTTTCTCCGGGCGTCCTTCAACGGTTTCGTGTGGCATTTCTATGCCGTGAGATTCGATAGAAGAATTATGTGCGTAGTGGTCCCCTTGTTCCACAGCAGGTACAATGGGATCCTCGTAAATACGCACAGGTTCAGGCTGCTTACTTGTCATGCCGGGCGTAGGTCTAGAAATATCGACAGGTTCTACGAACTCTGCCGGAGAATGATGTGGTGGCTCGCTCGGGGTGTAATCTTCGAGAGATATCGTCGGATGATCCGAGGTCAAGATGTTGGAGTTGCCAGAAGCATGATCTCCCGAACCGTGATCCTCGGGGTGGATCACAAACGCGGGAGGGCTTTCTAAACGAATAGAAGCCTGGAAAGCCGGGTGATCGGGGCTACTCAGAGTGATTGGTGGATGGGTTGGGTCGAAAGGCTGAGAGGCTGTACTATCGTGAGAATCATTCCTTTGGTGGTGACCTGCAGTCACAGAATGGTCTTTCGACCTCGTCGACTTAGAAATGTCAAGCCGTTTTGGCTTGCTCTTGGTAGTACTGGCTGTGTGGGGGGGCTCGGTTTTCTGTCTGAGGCGAGTGGAGCTAGCTGATTTCGATAAAGGTGTGGATGGTTTGGATCGAGAAACCTTTGGAGAGCTGTCCATTCTGCTGGACGCTTTCGAATGCAGGTCGCTCGCCGCAGCCTTGCGAGAAGCATATGGGTCTGCAGTTGCAGGGCGCGTTATTTCAGGGCGGCGTGGTTTCGTCGCAGGGCGCATGGGGGCGGATGATAGAGATGAATGGGCGCCCGTGGGAACAGTTCTCACCGCAGAGGGCTTTGTATGGTGATCAGATGAGATTGTTTCAGACAAGGCGGATTGAGCCGATCCGGGTCGAGGAGGTAAGCTCCTAGCTGGAGCAAGACGAGCCCTCTTCTGCGCCGCAATAGCTTCTTTAAGAGCTGAGCGACTTGAGATGGCAGAAGTGCTACTGGCAAGTCCTCGCTTAGACGCAGAATCCCTCAGGCTAGAGTGATCTACATTGGGATTGGATGGGTCTTTCTCCAACAAGGATCGTGACTTATTGTCAAGGTTGGAAAGGATACTATGTTCTGTTAGTGAATGTTCATCTATAGAACAGATGTTTAAAGGACTGAGACTCACTCGTTGGCTCTTTCAGGCCAAATACGGAAGAAAACCCAAAAGGTAGAGCGAATTACTTCTCTGACGCCAGGATTAGCGTCGGAGAGGCCTTTTTTAATACATTTTTCGAGAATGTCCAGGCCGCCTCCATGCTCAATTGAGCTCTTGTGTCGCGCTTGTTTGTTCATCAATGTTTTGAGCCATCCTGCAGCATAAAGACGCAGCTGGACGTTCTTGTCCATTGAGGCACTGGAAACATGATGTAAAAGGCGCGGGGTATATGTCACATTCTCAAGCACTACATCAAGAGTGACATTACCATTCTGTGCAGTGATTTTCTTCATACCCGCACACAGCTTGACCAAGTTCTGCATGATAATTTCAACCATGGGGTCGGCCTTCGGGCCGCATGTACGAGCAAGATCTTGAACCATGAGACAGCCGTTTGTGGCTAAAGTGGTTCTGAGAGAGTTTACAACCTTAAAGATGCCATCAAGGAGGGTTTTGACGGCAGCAAGGTACGTTTGAGAAAAAGTGTGGGGAGCGTTTCCGTGGGTGAGCCTCCGGAGAGTAATGACGCTCTTTTCACGATGCATCCAATTTTCCTCCGACTCTCTTCCCTCGAAGACGGGAAGCATGTCACGTACCAAGTCTTCGATATCGCGGGATGAGGCGACGACAAGCGGTTCGACCCTATCGCCATCCTGGGAACTCGGTCGCGAAGTAGACGCATCGGAATGTCCAGCGGAGACAGGTGCAGAGCCAAATGCCCTGTCTTGCTCACTCCTTGAGGAGCCCGGGCCCACTTTTGCGCTCTCACTATGCAATACGATAGCTGGATCTGGGCATTATTAGAACGTGAATTATAGAAACACACTATACTAAGAACACAGGCTCACCTTCTCTGAGCTCTTCAGCTAGGTGCTGATGCAGGGCTTCGCCTCTAGATGGAGGGCGGGCTGGCTGGCTGCCAATGACAGACATTGGTCGCTGGCGCAAGGCATCGCCACGGGAGGGAGGTCGAGCAGGTTGAGACTCAATGAAGGAAACGGGCCGCTGGTGCAAGGCATCACCCCGAGAAGGAGGACGAGCAGGGTGGCCTTCAACACGGGAAATAGGCCGCTGGTGAAGCGCATCGCCGCGAGAAGGGGGGCGAGGGGGTTGACTGTCAGCACGAGAGCGAGAAAGATCTGTATCGCTGATTCCCAAACCGATACTAGTCAAAATCGCGTTTGCAATCGATTTTCTCACGTTATGCGTGGCCAATTGTCGTTTTAGATCAGACTTGGCCCGCGGAGGTGCATTCCTAGGTACTGTTAGGATTGAAAACTGCAAGGTCAGTCGATAAAAACATACTGGAACAGTTCCACAACTGTCAATTTCGCCGTGTCTCGCACTGCGCTATCTGCGTCTTCAAGGCAGGCAACAAGACTCGGAACATACGACCGGAAAAGCAGTCCATGGCTTTTGGTCATCTATAATTGACAGTGGTTAGAATAATGTAAATAAAAAAGAGAAAGTGGAATTTACGCTTGAGAGCCAAATCATGCTCATTTCCTTGGCTTTGGGGTTTTTACCCACGAGTGCGACTTCGAGTACGTAATGTTCGACTTCCGCATTTGCGGCAGGCCATAGGTCAGTGAATGCTTGGGCAGCCTGAGCCCTAACGCGCTCCTTATGGTCCCCCAAACGCTCGAGAAGGATGGGATATATATCACGGGCTTGAGTAGACACTAAGCTATGTTGCTCTTGAATAAACAGCCTCTTCAAGAAATGAGCAAGGGTCGAGAAACCCGCGGCAAGAAGAGAGAAATGCTGTGACGCTATTGACTGCCGCAAACATTCGAAGATCAGCAGGACAGCTCCCTCGGGAACATTCTTTTGCTTAATATCAGATTTCAGGCCCAGTAAGTGGGTCACTTTTGCGTCAATAGACAGGTTGTTGTTCTTCAACACCGCCAGTACCTCGGCGGCTTTTGACTCCATCCTTGCCGCAAAATATTTGGCCTCAGACTGGGTCACAATGACCAGAACATAGATGAAGCAGAATTTAGAGAAGTAGTAGAAAAGCTGGAAAGGGTTCACGGAAGATATGAGAAGGAGGAAAATGGCAATCTGTGCCAGAGAAACAGAACCTTGGGCACTGTTGGAGTCCATTGCGAGAGATCAGCACAACTCATTCAATGGAACGCAAGTATAAAATGTGAATGACCAAAAGACAAGCAGAATAAACCAACGAGTACTCCAAAAAAAGGCAGTAACAAAACCAAAAAACCAATGTACAACTGGTAAGCTCGACAAAAATTTTTTGTAGTGTTTTATGTTTTTTATGTTTTTTTTCTCTCCTTGTTTTACAGGGCTCAGAGATAAATAAGAGTAGCAGCTAAAGCCGAACTCCACGAAGCAGCAGACAGAACACAAAGGTGCTGTAGTCCGTCGAAAAGCACAGAAACACAGCAAAACAAGAAGTGGCAACAAGAAACCAAAATAGCAAAAGACCAACGAAACAGGATCGAGAATTGGGGGAATTGAGAGCACAGCAACGGTATAAGCCGAAATTGCTTGGAGCACAGCAAAAAGCGCCGTAAAGCAGATATAGAGAATTGGTATAGGAACGAGATGGGACGAGAGAATTGTAGAGGAGAAACGAAGAGGACGAGGGCAAAGGAAACGGGGGGTATAAACAACAGGAAACACGGCGACGAGGAAGGAAGCCATACCTGAGTCCTGTTGCGGCAATCGCAGGTCAAAATCGCAAGTTGAGTTGATCGAGAAGGAGCTCGAATTGGGGGGGGGGGGGAAGGAAGTGGTACGGAAGGTGCGAAGGTAACGGATATGGCGCAACGACGATGATTGTTTATACGGTGACAGGAGATACGTTAGGAAGCGATGATGGTGCGAATCAGAGTGGCGACGAAGCTGGAGATGGTGAGGAAGTCGAGAGTCACTGAGTGAGGGACAAAGGACAACTTGGGACGTGACGCTGCAGGAGAGGGGATGCCGATAAGCGAAATAAACGCGGCGATAAGCGCTCCTGTCGGCTCTAGGCAAATCGCAATTTCAGGGACGACCACAATTAAATTAAGATGAATTTGAGAAAATTTGCCTAGGGAAGGGAATCTGTGATAATGAATGGAAGCAAGAGGAAGGAACGTTATATTATTATTGACCCTGAGTTTTTTTTTTTTTTTTTCCCCTTGGGTTTGTTTACCCGCAGGGCCGCAACAAAATACAAAAAGAGCAGATCCACGGTTGGTCCGCTTTTGGGCATGATTACTAGCCTGATTACTATCATCCGCACTAGTATAACTACAGTAAAACCCGTTATTAAACTAAATATTAGTAGTGCTCTATATTGCTATGGCAGCGGCAAGATGTATCATTCAGAGGGGTCAATTCAAATGCATTAATATTGGTCTGTTAAAGCGACCTGGACCTGTGGATTCCCCGCATCTGGTTAGTTTTACTGTTTTAGATATGGTCGCCCTCATCGTGAGCTCGAAGTATTTAAGAGCCGTCCCCTCGCAGTTCTAAACCTTTCTAATCGCTTTTGAAGGGTTTCTAGATCGGCTTTGTGAGTTTCAAATCTGTGCATGGCTTCCTCATAATCGTCGTGCGAAACCCAACCATCTTTACCTGCAAGTTGTACTCGCAGGCTTTCAAACTCGTTGTATGCATCTGCCCATTCTTGTGCCTGCTGTCGTCCTTTTGTAATTTCTTCTTTCGTGAATGAAATATATAAGCAGTAGGATCATTATCATCCATCATAGCATCCATGGCCCTAACGAGAAGAGGGTTGAATTTCCTCGAGGCCAGCTCGTAGAACTTTTTTAATCTAAGTCTGGCAAGCGCTTCTTTGGCAGTCTCTCTTTCTTCCAATGAAAGACTCTGAAAATTGTTAGGAAGTTGAGGTTGGACCGCACCCCAAGGGTAAGGATCATCACATTCAAATATCGAAGGGAACCTAGCCTGCAAGAAGAGCGGAGCAGCGTACACTGCCTGCCAATCAATGATACTGGATATTGCCGTAGGATCTGCCGCATCAACAAATATATTATCGAAATGGAGGTCATGGTGCATTAAGCAGGTTGGGAAATCTCTGCTGACGGCAGAATATGAGGCAGAATGGCTAATTGGGATGGCCAGCGTTTGGATTCGGGATTCTTGCTAAGATTTCCCTGCCATCCTCCATTTTTAAAGAAAACACTTTGTTATAGAGCCCTTCCGGTAGCTTGGTTATCTGAATACATCGAGTGCCGAGTAATCGAGAGGCAGAGCACTCAAGAGCTTGAATGTTGAACTCAGTATATCGTTTCCTCAATTGAATCTGTTCATTGTATAACCAGCGGCCGGAAGTATACCCGAACAGGTCGTTGCTTGGTTCGTGAGGTTGAGAAAGGGCTCGGGAAATCCAATGACTCGGCGTAGACATGTTTAAATTTCTTCGCCCTTTTGAAGGCTGGCTGAATAACCCAAGAGGCTTATTGATGCCTCTCATTGTGACGTGGTGGAGCGGACCGTCGTGAGGATAGAGTAAGTAGCCTAAGAAGGCACCTCACTAGCTCCCCAGCCATGCAGACGTCAAACCAGCCCCTCATCTCATGCATTTCCTCCACGCCACCAACTTTTAATCTTCCTTCCGCATAGACAAGTCTTACATAACTAAGGTCCTACCTAGTTAACAGCAATGACAGCCCCAGATCAAGAACCAGATCGCGGAGCGTCCTCCAACCTCCCCAAACCCAAGTTCCGCCTCCAGATCCACGACCTCCGCCATCCTGCCTCCCAATACTTCCTAACCCTGATTCCCGACCTCGCATCTACCCTCGAAACCGCCTTGGAGGCCATCATCCAGAACCTCTACACCCCTCCCCCCCTTCTCCCCAGCCCAAACAACAACACCAACACCAACACCAAACACACTCCAAACCCTCCTCCAACATTCACTCCATGGTTCCCCCCAACCCGCTCCGTGACAGTCCTGCTCCGGGATATCGGCGGCGTCGCCTACACAACAGGCACCGAGCTCGACAATGACCATAAAGAAATCCACATCTCCCTCTCCTACATTGATAAGCACTGCCGTAGCAAATCCGATCCTCTAGCCGAACTAGTTGGCGTGATCACCCACGAACTCGTCCACTGCTACCAATATGCGGCTCCACGCGTCCCCTCTACCGCGGCGGAGAAAGAGATCCCCCAAGCGCCGGGGGGTCTCGTCGAGGGCGTGGCGGATTTTGTGCGTCTCAAGGCTGGACTGGACCCGCCGCATTGGAACCGCCCCTCCTCTGCGAAAGAGAGGGGGGGAAAGTGGGACCAGGGGTATCAGCACACGGCCTATTTCTTAGCCTGGCTTGAGGATGTGTGGATTGGGAAAGGAGCGGTGGGGATGTTGAATGATCGGTTAGCGCGGGTTGGGTATGTGGGTGAGGAGAAACCGAGGGATGACGATGAGGATGATGGGAAGGAAGATGGTCAGGGGGTTGGAGGTGGTAAGAAGGGAGGCTTTTGGAAGGGGTTGTACGGGGCGGGGATTGATGAGCTTTGGGAGGAGTATGGGAAGTATCTAGATGGTAAGTCGGTTGGTAACGGAACTGGGAAGAGGGGATTGTAAACCCGGTTGATTCGTAGTCGGCTTACCAGTAATTTGGATGTATGTACATACCTACCTACCTTCTCGATAGATACCTATGAATCTGCTCGTTCTTTCAACTTCGTAGGTTATCCAAGTAATGCGGTACAAGAAAGCGCACCTTTGAGATCATATGTTATACATTTATCCAGCACATCTATGTACTTATCTATCTAGAAACGTATCACCTCTGTTAATAGTTTTATTCCGAGGACCGTCTCTCGCCTGATGGGGTAACAGGAAAGGAACAAGGGAGAAGGCAAAATAAATAAATAAATGGAAAACAGAAGACACCAGAAGAATAGAATAAATTTCCCATACTGTACAAGGCCCAAATTTGTGATTGTTAAAACATAGTAGTGTGCAATAGCGCCCCGCTGCCAACTGCCTCGTCGACGACCGAGCCGCCTTCTAAATGTGACCGACACTTTTTCTTCCTGGTCCATCTTACACAATCACCTCGCCCAGATCCACATGGACTGGTTTCCAAGGAGCGGCGCCTTCTTCCTCCATTGAGCTAGGTACGCGTACATCCAGAGGGCTGTAAAGGTACCAGCCCTTGAGAGCTGCAACTGCAGCCCTCGAACGAGCTTCAAGCAGACTGGCGCCAGCGCCCTCGCCCAATTTATCCTGACCGGAATAGATGCCGACGACAAAGACAGGGTGTCTGCTCTTGCGACCGGTTTCACTGATAATTCGAGCGACAGGGGGTTCGTAGTTTTCCCGAGCGCATAGTCGGGAGAGATCACGGGCTGGCTGGGAGAAGTTGAACAGGCCGGAGATGTCGAGGTGTCGCGACAGAATGTGCTGTTCAAAGAAGCGCTTGGCCGCAGGTCGGCCGGCGTGGAGGTAGATGGCACCCATAACAGCCCGCACAAACGTCGCGCTGGCCTGTTCAGCGGTGGCAGGGGTTGCGTCCTTCACATCTGGGATAGCGTGCGGAGCTACACCCTCCAGGGCTGGATCCCCAAACTCATTGTCGTAAACAATACTAGAAGTGATGGATTTCCTCCATGTCTTCTGCTCTTCGTAGGGCCTCGCAGCACCAACAAGGGGCTCTGCATTGACATCCGCCCCTGGGGCATACCTTTTAAACTGAAGGTAGCCGGGATCAACTTCACCGCCCGGGGAAGCTGCTTGTTCTACACCCCACTCCCTTGCCATTGCCGCGAGGGTCTTAGGTCCAACATATGCGTACATAGCCGCAAAAATAACTGTCAAGGGGAGTCGAGGATAGGTGCAAATAAGGTGTTCGGAGGTGTAATGGGACAACAGGTCGTGGCCAAGTGTGGCTAACGATTCGTTATTGAAACTAGGATCAGGGTCTGCCGAAGCATCCACGAGTGATCGTGCTAGTGTCTCAAGAGGTAGTCGTGAAGGAAGGTATAGCCGTGCATGGAGCGCCGCAAGTTTTGCAGACTCGCGTGCGGCCTGGACCGGCGGCGAAGGAAGACGGTGTTTTGGATTTTGAAAGGAGGGTTGGGCAATGGGGGAAGCAAATGACTGCTCTTCAATAGCCAATTGATTGTTCTCGGGCTGTAAAGGAGAGGAGGTAGTCGACTGATACCGCTGACTAGAGTAGAATTGTTGCTGGAGTCGGCTACCAGTTCGGGCCCGCGAGAGGACCGAATTGCTCCATCTTTGGAGCTGCAGCCTCTTCATCTGGGCAACTGTACGGCTTGAAAACGTGTAAGCCAAAAAGTGAGATACGGAGAATGGAAGAAGCCGAGACTTCAAAAGGCGAGGCGTGGGAATCAAGGAAGGGGGTTCTCGTTCGATTCCATCCAAACTTTTGGACCACCGAAGAAAAGTTGAGCTTCGGCGGAAGTCACGGGATTCGCGATCGTGTGGAAAGGGCTTAAAGGGCGCTAAACCGTGTGTGGAAACAGAGTCACGTGTTACCCGCGGACGACGGCCCTTTCGGCTTCGACGCATCAGAACATCATCTCTCCAGCCAGTTTATTGCCCGCCTTTATCTCCTACAATTAAAATATCTCCTCTCAGTCACAATGGGTGGAGGCGGAAAGATCCCGTATGAAAAATTTCTACCGACCACGCTAATCAATTGGATGGATACTAACGAGTCTTCTCTCAGATACCCCAAGGAAGTCTGGTCTCCCGCGGGAGGCTGGTACGCTCAGCCAGCGAACTGGAGAGCTAACACCGCTATTATCGGTGCGGCCATGATTGGAATCGTTGCTGCCACATGGAGCCTCAGTGCCGAACGAGAACACCGAGATAAGATGCCAGAGCCCGGTCGATTCTTCCCCAGCCGATAGTCAGTCCATCCCTGTGTGATGCCTCACCAAGTGAGCCCATATTTTCAGAGCTGACTAGAGATTTTGTCGATGTAGCTGGAGCAAGCAAATTATCGAGCATGAGAGAGAGCAAGCTGCGAAGAAGGATTCATAAAGTGGGGTTGTTCAGAAAAACAACCGAAATATACGGAGGGTATATGGAGGATGCAATGGCATTGCTAAGTTTCTGTTCTATAATATTGCGGGCTGTACGACAATAGATTGGCGTTTTCGATCGGTCAGTTGATCTGGTAGTGCTTTTGGGGAGACTCTTCAAGTGTTCGATACAATCGCTGTGTGTACAGACGGACTCGTTCCGTGAATTCAGTTCCGTTCCAGAGTTCCTTGCCATCGGTAGATGTAGAAAGGCGTGGCACACCGATTTGTTCTACGACGAAACTTGCAGCGACAGTGGCAAAGATCAGAGCGACTAGGACGTTCTGGTAAGGCTCCCAATCTGCCATTGCCTTCTGCCAACCTGTCGATCCCGCAAGCACTGAATTGATGACCTTGGCCGGATCTCTTCCCTCGCTGACCATACCTTGAGTCAGCGCCCCCAAGAAAGAGTTGCCTGCACCTGTTGGATCAACGACCGGGGAATGGCCCGAGCCGCTTGGTTGGTGGTAAGCGGGCATCCAGATCCTCTCGTTTCTAGAGAATGTGTAGCTACCATCCTTCCCTGCCCTGATAACTAAATGCCCATTTCCCTCGGGCCCAATTCCCGAGGAAAGAATTTTGTCCACTATTTCCTTGCCATGCCTTTCCCCTTCAACCCAGGGCGGTTGCCCAAACATCATTCCCAACTCCAAGTCATTAGGGCTCACAACATCCACCATCTTGCACGCAGCAAAGAACTTCTCCTGCTCCTCAGGAGAACACATATCGGGCACTGGCTCCCAAACGAAGATAGTTCTATGCTTGGACCTAGACGAGGGACCCTTTCCTTCCTTTTTAAATACTTCCTGGCGGCGCAGAATATCCTGCACAATGGATGCACATCGGGATGAGGAGCAGACCATGTGGATTGTCTTGGAGAAGATCTGAGACTCAGAAAGCATATATGGCTCCAATCGTAACTTTGGAGTTAGATATCGAAAGTCTACAATTTGTTACGACTCCACCCGCCAGTGAGTAAGAGATATGTACGAACCTCGTTTCTCGTTGGGCCCGTAGCCATTCCACGCCCTCGTAGTCAGCCTACCAAAGTCTTCACGAAACATAGTGTCTGTATTCCATGCTTTCAGCACTTCAATGATTTCGGGCGGAAAGTCCGAGCCAACATCGACAATCCAGCTCACGGACTGTGAATATTCTCGTCCAGCGACGAGACGTGCTCCAACGACCGCAAACGATGCAGCACCACCAAGCACATTCTTCACACTCGGCTGGGTTCCTTCGAAATCAATATCATCTGTGCGCTCCGTTAGCTCTGTAAATAAGCAAAGCTCTATACCTCTCTGTGGGCTGATTGACGCATACCAAGAATGAACATGCCTAGAGTGCAAAACTCAACATTGAGATTTCCCCTTCCTCCAAGGGAGCCACTTGAATGTGCCATTCCGAAGCGAATTACGCAACAATGGACCTAAAAAGACTGCAGGCCCCAGCTTTCAACTGGCGGGGTCTCTGGGGATTCTTATCTGAGTTGGAGAAGAATGCATGGAACATTCATGGTATTACCACAAGATACACAGAATGCCACGGGAAATCGGCAAATTGCCATATATTGTGGCGTATCGTACGGTAAGACCCACCTTCTGGAGCACTCGGCCTCAGGCACCGGCGTTTAAGGAGCATCGCAGCCTTAAGGATCCCGACACCGTTGCAACTGCTTTGACCTTTTGGATATCTCCAGCTTGTCCTAGTTTCTTGTTTGGACACTGCTGTTTATTGTCTCTGTCTATCTTGCGATCAGTGTGCCTGGTGCCCTCTGCGCACTGCCATTTTCGTTTCCTCTTGGCCCATTGTTTTCACGAGGGGCCCTCCTTGCTTCTGACGACCGGCAAGATGGCAACTGGCAGCCATATGCATAATTTAACCACCCTTATCAAGCGGTAAATTTCCCTATTCATTCGTTATGATTTCTTTCTATACCCCAAGTCCATGCAGCCATGGACTGGCATTCCCTTTAAACTATCCTTCTCCTGACATGGGTTCACTGGTGGACTAATGACGTGTGTATCTAAACAGGCTGGAAGCCGCGACCTCCCGCCTGGAGGATATGGCCATGTCCGTCGATGACCATAATGTGCACAAGGGCCTAGATAGCCCAGCTACGCTGGAGCCACAGTCTCCTGAGCGACCTACACCGGCGCCCGCCACAGCTCCCGCAGCTCCTGCAGCTCCTCCCCTTCCAACCCAGATTGCGGACTTCGACACATTGATCAACGAGGATGTTGGAAATTTCGTGGACTTGGGAAAGAAGATTGGAGGTCTCGTTGAAGAACAGGTATCCCACCGTGAATACAAGGCTCCAATTTAGTGTCTTGCTCATATTTGCCATAGTCTCAAGCTGTTCTCCAAGCTTTCAAGGCCGAGCGCACCTACCTTTACGTTTCCACAAAGGCGAAGAAACCGGACATGCAGCCCCCCGAGCTTATGACTGAACTTCATAATGCGTCCGATTCTATCAACAATATCCGCGAATCCAACAGGGATTCTCCTCTCTTCAACCACCTCAGCGCGGTCGCTGAAGGCATCGTTACCCTCGGCTGGTTTTTTGAGCCCACTCCCGCCGATTTCGTCAGCGACGTCGTTGGAGGCATTCAATACTACGGCAATAAGGTGTTGAAGGAATACAAGGAGAAGTATGCTCGACCGGCAAACCCCGGGCTGCAAGCTGGATACTAACAAGTATACAGGGATCGTACGCATCTCCAGTATATCCAAGCATACTATCAGATCTTCAAGTCGCTTGCCGCATATCTCCGGAAGCATTACCCCAAGGGTCTGACCTGGAATGATAAAGACGGGATCGATGCACAGGAGGCCCTGCGACAGGTTAAAAGTAGCTCTGGCACTCCCGGTGCAGTTGCTGCTCCACCTCTACCCCCAGTGCCAACTCTGAATGTACCTGGCGGTGCTCCTCCTCCGCCACCACCACCACCACCACCTCCTCCCCCCCCAATGATCCCTGAGCAAGAAAGCTCATCCTCGGACATGTCCGCTGTGTTTGCCCAGCTGAACCAAGGGGACGCCGTTACCTCGGGCCTCCGCAAGGTCGACAAGTCCGAGATGACACACAAGAACCCCAACCTGCGCGCCAGCTCCATCGTCCCCGGGAGCCCAAGCACGCGGTCCAAGTCTCCCGCACCAAGCAAAAAGCCCAAGCCAGAGAACATGCGCGTGCGCAAGCCCCCCCGTAAGGACCTCGAGGGCACCAAGTGGCTCGTCGAGAACTTTGAAAACCCAGGAGGGATTGTCGAGATCCCCGCGAAACAGAACCAATCCATCCTCATCTCGCGGTGCAACAAGACCATCATCAAGGTCTCCAGCAAGGCTAATGCAATTGCCATCGACAACTGTAGCGGCCTTTCCATCATCGTAGACTCCCTTGTCAGCAGTCTCGACGTCGTCAAGTGTACCAAGTTCGCCCTGCAGATCGACGGCATGGTCCCTACTCTGCTGCTCGACCAGGTCGATGGCGCAACCATCTACCTCGGCCAGCAAAGTCTGGGCACCGAGGTCTTCTCGAGCAAGTGCACCGCCGTCAACATCATGCTGCTCCCCAAGGAAGGAACCGACGAAGACACCAAGGAGTGCCCTGTTCCCGAACAGATCAAGACTTACATCAAGGACGGTGTTCTCTGCAACGAAATTGTCGAGCACGCGGGTTAGTTTGGAGCTCGTCCATTTTGGGATGTATTTTGCCCGTGAGTTGAGTTGCGCCGGGCAATCAATTTATTAACTCAATACTTAATCATTGCTGGCTTAGGCGAAGTACCAAGCGTTTTCGTTGGCTAGTCCTATGTCTCCTACAGCGGTATGCAGATAGATAGATCTACCCTAGTTCGAATTCATATATAAACCTCTCCGCATTTTTATTTCTTTCTTTCTTTCTTTCTTTCTTTCTTTTTGAAGGCTTATTCTTGCCAGCTGCTGTACATACATACCTATAAACTTAGTACGTATTCCTAGAAACTCTAGGAAAGGTGGTTGGTTACACACACACACACACATATATATATAACTATATGCATATAGGTTTTTACTTGAATAATAATTTAATTATTTTTGTATTGTTTTCTTTACTTTGAATATAATTAAAATGAATGCTAAATGGATTTGACGAAGCCAATTATTATTCCAATTCCAACAAGCAATCGCCCAATAAATCAAGACCACCTTGCTAGGAGATATCCAAGCCCAAAACACCAACAAAAGGTAAATAACTGAAGGTAAATACCGGAAAGAGAGGAGAAGAAAGAAAACAAACAAGGATGTTTTCAAAAGCTCCCGAAACCCGCAATAGTTGTCTGGGAATGAATGCTCAAATATTCCCAACCTGCGAAATAGGTATTATTATATTAGAATTGGGGATTTCCTGTGCGCCTGGTCCTTTTAACCTTCAAACGATGCTTGATGTCAGAAGGTCAAAAAAAAACAAGGGTAAATAAATCTGAAAGATGAACCTGCATCTTGTGGAGGGGTAATAATACTGTGTGGATGTTGTTAGTCCGGTCAAAAGCATTGTGCTCTGATTTAGTAGACACCGCGAATGAAATGATATAAAGATGAAAAAAAAAAAAATTTACAAAAGTTATGAAACTGTAAGCAGTTTTACCAGTTGCTGTGGCATGAAGATGAATGTCAAAAGTATTGGGAGAGAGAGGGTGGCTCTGCCCACGTCAGGAGGGATTATCTGTATAATCTTGATTATGGACATCGAGTCCCCGAAGTCGTTTGGCGAGCAGGCTTTCTCCTACTTCAGAACTGCCAGAGGATCCGAACTGGTAACCACCGTACCCAAGGTCCCCTTTACTAAGCTTATTATATAGCTCGGGTTCGGTAGGCCGCCCGTCAGTGGGCTCGCTGTCATGTAATCTAAAAAGATCGTTCCGGATGGACGGAATCGGTTGAAAGGGGTGGTGGGCCGGCCGTTCGGCCGGAGAAAGATTTTCCTGTGCAGGAGACATTCTTCTTTGTATAGGGCTAGGGATTGCGAACAGTTTTCTGGAGATGGCATTGGAATCCCCAAAAGGTAGGCCATTCGAAGGGTTCTCACTCGGGGATGTGCCAGTCATAATAAGGTCTTGCCTGATGTCTGGTCTTCGGGATCCTTGGTCTGCTCCGCACTTTGTGCTCACATGGAGAGGGTGTTGCTCTCGAGACGGCTTATAGGATGAGTATCGTGGCTCCGGGAGCTGGATTTCATTACGGAGCTTTTCCTTTCCGTCTGGTACGCGGTTCGCAAATACAACGCGGATGCTCGAATGGAGATAATAGCGGCCCTTGGAAGGGCAGCAGATATTCAAATGAATTAAATATCGAAGAACCGGTTTGTCTTGAGGGTCTTCGGAGTTGGTTAAAGAGGCTTCTGGACGATCGGTTCCATAATTGGTTCGTGCAGACAGTGGCATGTCGATGGTTGGACCTGCCGAGTAACTTCTTTGTCGGATGAATGTCTTGCTTCCAGGTTCCATATCACTTAGATCGTAAGGAACGAGGAATAATTTTACGGCCGTCTTGTTCGGGTTTTTGATCATAACCTGCAGCTGGCCTTGTTGCGGTATGCGGTAAGATCCACCGGGAGGGCATTTGGGTGACTCTGCCCGTCTCTGCCTCTTCTCCCGTCTGCGCAGAGCATCTTGATCGTTTGCCTTAGAATGGATGTTGTCTGTAGGTTGATCAGAACGAGGTCCCACCGGGCTTTGATGGCGCCTGCGACGTCGACTGTGGCTCGAGGTGTCCCGAGGAAGGGAGTTTTCAAGATCGATCAAACCAACATACGGGCTAGGGCTGTCATCTGAGATGGAACGTCCCGGCCCGGAGGTAGGGTAGCTGTAGAAGACCGCAGGAAATGGAACGGTGGCATGTGGGGGACACTTGAGACTGGCTTTGCATTTGCCTTTCCCCAGCACCCCGATTTGGGCTGTGAAGTCTAGCGGCTTCGAGGGATTCATTGACATCCTTCCGCGAAGGATTGACTCCTCGTATGGACCAACCATCGGTGCATGGGCTCTGGAAGACAAATCGGAGGCGAACGAGGGTCTTCGCGGGCGAGGTAACGAGGTTTGGAAGGACGACGCAAGCTGGAGGGTGTACGCCGACGTTAACGATCGTCGAGGGTGACGAGGTTGACAAGCAATAGGGGCGTTCCAGTGCACCGAATGAGATTCTGGCGCCTGGGCTTGGGAGGAAAATGATTGCAGGTTTCTGAAGGTTTCCGGAGGCAAAGTGCGCCGACGATTAGCCTTGTCTAAGAAGTTGGGGTGATTGTTGGAGTCTGTTCTGGGGGAGAAGTCCAAGTCGGTATTATTTGCTTGGTGGACTAAAGGACTCGTGGGAGCCTTCAAGACATAACTGGAGGAAAATGAACTGATTGATGGAGATCGGGGGCTGTTTGCCTCGGCGACTTGGTGACCTAAAGTCCGTCCTGGTGCTGTCTGGGTCCGTAAAGGAAAAGACGGGGCAGTGAACCATGGCGTGGTTGGGGAGGATCCTAGCAGAGAAAACCGGGGGGTATCATTGGACCGAGGGATGGGCGATTGTGGTAGGGGAGGTGGTTGTTGGAGTTGAGGAGTCCCTTCTCGAAAATCACCAGAATGGAGGGCGGAGCGAGGACGCTCTATTTCCGCTGGCGATGCGAGCTCCTGTTCAGCGTGATGGCGGTCTTCCGAGGGGCTTCCTTTGGGGTTCTGTTCTCTCGTTCCTGGACTTTCTTCTCGTGGATTGGGTTCGCAGTAGTGACCGGCACTGTCTCCAAACTAGACATTGTTCACATTAGATTAGGGTCATTTCCTCGAAGAATGGGAGTTGGGGGGGGGGGGGGGGGGAACAACTAGTACACCCACGCCATCTCTTGCCTCGACTTACCGAACGTTGGGAGGAGCGTTTGGAGGGTTCTGCACTCTTGATATAATGGATTAATTCCTCCCGATCATGTGCACGCAATCGTGTTAGGTCCAGATCTAACGGAGGACGGTCGTCAAGAAGATTGCCACTCTGCTCGGGCGGTTCCAGGCCGCTATGCACTTCATGATAATCTACCCAGCAGCAGGGGTCATTTCGACGTTCATGAAGCGTTATCGGCCGGTCATCCGACCACAAGTCATAGAACTGTTGACGATCGGGATCTTGAAAAATAGGCATGGTGACCCAAGAGGTCAAACATCGCAACCGAAACGGTTTAGTTAGACAAGAGAGCGGGCGGCAGTGCGATAAGGTGAGGAGGGGCTCAAGAATGAGGAGGGGGTGGATAAAGAGAGCCCGAGGAAGTGGGAGATTATAGATGAAGATGAGGATAAAGGATTAGAGATGAGAGAGCTGGATGGTTAGCAGAGAAGAAGGTGAAATCGAGGAAGAAAGGAAGATTTTATGAATCATTCTTTGGGCGGGAGGACGGATTCGACATCAAGAGTCACACACTCACCTCCACTTTTTCTTGGGTTGGTACATACGGGACAGAGTACAACGGCAGGAATACCTGAACAGCTCATCTTACAGCATGAATGACTTTCCTCTTCCGACCTTCCGAGGTTCCATCTCTCTAGTTATAGAAGAGAATATACAGGAAAGCAAAAGATCTTTAGACCCTTCCCTACCTAGGTACCTAATCTAATGCCTCAGGTACCTAGGTTAACCCACGCTAACCCAATCCGGACTTTCCGATGGAAATTCTTATCGTCAGTTTTTCACCTGGAAAGAAATCTTCACTTTCCTCCCCCCCCCCCCCAAACCACCATTCATTCCATTTGAAAAAGTAAAATGGCACCCAAACGCTCCCGAGACGCCGATGGCGAATCTCCAGCAAAACAACCCCACCCCGAAGAAGCCCAAGCAAAGAAGCGCAACAAGGGCTTTAGTGTCGGTCCTGCCAATCTACCTGATGGAACCTATCGCCGAAAAGGTACCACCCCACCATCTATCTATCTATCTATATGGATGTATGGATATGCTAACGAATTCCCCGTCCAGCCCAAAAAATCAAAGCAGACCTCATCCAAAAAGCCAAAGTGAAAAAGGCCTACGCAAAAGTCAAAGCCGAACTTGCCACGGTCCCATCCAACCCTGCCTATCTTACCCGAGAAGACGACGACGAGAACAACAGGAACAACCCCCCAGGTCTAGAACTCCATCCGGATCGATTGGCGATGCTCAACGACCCCCCCGCGGAGCAAGCACCGAGACCGGAGCGGTTGCGGTCCAGAGGGCGCGATAGAGAAGGACAAGGACGCGGAAACCGGAAACCCAAACCATCTGCGTTTTCGAGGGAGATGGAGATGGCAGAGAAACGGAAGCAAGAGGTGGAGAAGAGGAGAGAGGCCCGCGAGTTCCGGGAGAAGGATAGAGAGGCGATGGCGAGGGCGAAACGGCCCGATCAGTTTGGGAAGAGGAGGCTCGGCCGGGAGAGTAAAGTGTTGCTGGATCGGGTTCAGCGGTTGGTTGGGAATGGTGCGAATGTGTAAAAAAAAAAAAAAAAAAAAAAAGTGTACTAGTATAACGTGATACCCACTGAGAACGGTTAACTATTGTTTGTTTGCTTACTTTACTTCTTTTGGGAATGGTGCACACGGAAGAATAGATTGGGTTCATAGACTCATAATGATAATGATGATATATATATATATATATTAGGTATGTTGAGAATCATAGCTACGATGATGATGATGATGACGGTGCAGCTGTTTTTTGGCTCGCGCCGCTTCTGGGCCTCCTAAAGCAAGCAAATTCACCCCGCGTGCGCTCTCGCAGTCGCTTCAAGATGCCTCTCATTTCCCCCAGTTCCGCCTGAAGGCGGGCACGCGCTTCATGCGTGGTTCGACGGTCTAATTCTACATAGATCTGGCTTTGGATGGCAGCGGCTTCGGTCGAAGAGTACTGGGACATCGTCTGCGCGATAAATTCCGTGTCGAGGGTGGCCTGGATCAGAGCGCCAAGGGAATACGTAGACCGTTGGTTGAAAGCATTGAGGAGCGACGTAGAGATCTGCGTCAACAGGTGCGTCAAGATGATCGATAGCAGTGGTGACTGCCCCGCGGAAGACGCCCGGCTGGACGGCGAGGATAATGTCGAAGGGATAGTAGTGGAGATCTCCGTGTGGACAAGCACCAGCGTCAGCATGGTGTTATAAACATAAGGACGAACCTGCTCCGGTCGACTGTTTGAGGGTTCCCAATCGGCCGCAGAAACCCCCTCGGAGATCATTTGGCTGAGTGCGCTAACGGTTGGTTTCGTGTATAACTGGAAGAGACGGGATTCAATCTTTTCAAGCACTTGACGGATAGCATTGGCCTCATCAGTCAGCTTCACCGAGAATGATGTTTCGAAATTGGCCACAAGCTGGGGAACAAGGTCGGCTTGGAGAGCCTTGATATTCGAAAGCTTAAGAAGGATTCGGACATTCTATATAGTTCAGTTGAGGTACTAGTATTTAAACCAGGCATATAGGGAGAAAAAATCGTCACTTACTCTGTTTCGAGAATCCACAGTGTCTGCCGCAAGGAGGGCCGATGGTCCATCAGCCCTGTTACGGCTTGACGCGGACACGGTCCACCCATCACTTTCCTCCGGGGCTGCCGGGTTTTCGGCGTTCTCCACGAGATCGCTGAGGGCTTTGTCCACACTGGATACGAACTCGTGCCGCACCATTTGAAGCAGCTTGGTGGGGGGTTGGGTGACCACCGCCACTGCGCCAGGTTTTGCCATTGCCTCCGAGATATAGAGAATCTTTTGTACGCCAGCCAGCATGGCGTTTTGGAAATTGACGAAAAGGCCAGGCATCCTTGTCAGGTCCCTGCGCCTTGGGTCCCGAGTCCAATCTTCTAGCAGCTTACAGACTTCTGCGTCTTTCGCCCAAGCGGAACAGGTAATACGCACAGCACGGTCACGTACAACACTGACCAGGGTTTTGAGAAGATCACGAGTATTACCGCCGCTCGCGACTGGCTCCAGAGCCGCCATTTCCCCCGCTGCTGCACCGATTATGACGAGGAATTGGCCCAAATAGTGAACCCCACTCAGAGAATTAGAGAAAGGCGGCCAAAACGCATATCCCTCCCATAATTCACCGCGTTTAGGAATGGGGAACGGCATGTTCTTCGGATCGAGTTTGAACCGAGACTCTGTGGGAGTGACCCCTAAGCTGATCGGGCTACTAGGGCTGGGAGGCGAGATAGGGGAGGTAAGGAGAGAAACATCGTCCACGGGCGGGTCACCAAACAACGACAATACGCTTTCACGAATCAAGTTGACCAGCTCAACCACACCCTGTTGCAGATCCCTTGTGTCAGCGGATGAGAATTTGTGATGCCTTCGGCTTTCGCCCTCGAATCCGGTTGGGAGAAGCTTTTGCTTGGACCCATCAATGAAGGCCTGGGCTACCTCCCAGAAATCCAAGACTTCGCCGAGCAGACCTCCTTGGGACGATAGCAGCTTGTTCAAATATGCATTGACACATTCCCAGAGCTCAATGACTTGGTCAGTATCAAGCATCGGCGGAAGGCCCGCTTGGCCGTCATAAGGCGTCCGCCGTAGGAACGATGCCACATCCTGAGGGTTCGGTTGCTCCCCACTGGCAAGACGGCGCCTGAGAATTTCAATTTCGCCCTTGCAGCGCTCACAGAAAGAGGTGATCTTTGTTCTCAGGAAATCGTAGCGACTGAGTAGCCAAACCCAGATGGGGTTGTCCTCCACCCCCAACTCCAGCAGGGCCCCAATCAATTCCATGTGCTCCTCGACAGATCCCGATGCGGTGACCCTGGTCGATGTCGTGGGCGCTTCGCTGAGGCGCCTCCAAAGATCACGCTTGAACGTTTGGATCTGTTGATCTACGTCAATCCACATCCTTCCTAGGGCTAGGATGATGTGGGTTTCGTCATCCGTCAATGGCTGGCGCTCGCTTGTCGCCATGTCCGCAATATTTTTGGCATTCTGGGTCAGAGCCCGCGCCTTGCGATACTGTTCAAATACCGACTCATAGTCTCTTTGTTTGATAGATTTCGAAAGAAGCCCTCCTATCTCGTAGACCTCTCGGTGCTTTTCCATGCTGTCCACGACGGACTTGAGTACTTGTTCGCGTTCCCGACCACCTAGAGCCGGGCCCCAGACTTCCTCCGCCTTCACAGAAGCTTCTACCAGAGGCACTCGAATACCCTTCAGGCCATAGTCGCTCTCCTTCACCAGTGCATTCTTCCGCGGACCGACGTCTCCGCCGGAAGCTTGAGAGATGCTCGGCTTCGCTCCCGATATGTTCCGGAAGTGTCCCGACCTACGGTGAGCTTGCTGACTTACTAACTCTTGCTCCTTGCCCTGGTTCCTCATTTCCGTGTACACGCTGTCAATTGTGGCCTTGGCGCGAACGAACCGCTCGAAATTCGCTTCGACGAGCACTTTCAGGGAGGCAGATTTTTGGTCGATTGATTGCGAGAGACAGTCGAGTCCATCAAGAAGGGATTGGATGGACGCATCCGAGTGGACTTGCGATAGAAACAGGGCGGGGGAGAACGCAGTGGAGGACAGAAGGAATCGGTTTCGCAGACGGGTGTCGTCGTCGACAGGTAACCCTCGTTTTCGAAGAGTATCGAGAACACTGCCACTCGTCCCTAGAGGATCGGGTTCATCAACTTTGAGGTTATCCCTTCCACTACTTCCTTTCAGAGATCCCAGGCTAAGACCCCTCCGCGAGCTGTTGCTCCGCTCCAGCACCAGGTAGCCGGATTTCGAACCCCGGCGCTGCAGGGTCTTTTCCTCCTCCTGCTGCTCGCCCTCCTCCTCCAAATCACTTTCATCAAGCTCCGCGGGCCATTCTTCTGGATATGCCGATGGCAAGTTATAGAAATGCGCGACATCGGCGTCAGTCATTCTGCGGAGAGCAACGGCTAGGAGTGAGCTCCACCAAGGGTGCCGGGAAGGGGGGATAGGAAGCAACGGCGAAGTCGCATACAGGACACACAAGAAAGGGGAAATTCAACGATAAAGAAAACCACAAGAGAGCAGAAAAGAACACACACTCGGTAGTCAGAATAAAACTGAAGAATAGTAGCGTGAAAACCACGCAAGTAGTCAAGATAACTTATCTGATCAAAACCCAGATACTGTCTGTCCACAGTGGCTCTTTTAAAGTGGACACTCCACTCTCTTTTCTATCCCGGTCGGATCGGCTGCTGCGGTACCGATTGAAACCTTCAACCCTCTCTCTCTCTCTCTCTCTTCTTCCTCTCCTCTCTACTCACTCCTCTCTTTACATCCCATTCTCTTTTCCCTTTTCAGCTCTTCCAGGGACCCCGTCACAATGATTGCTACCAGGAATTTCGCTGCTCCTGCCCGCCAATACTTGCGGTCAACCCGTGTGGCCCCCAGTCTTGCGTCGCCTCGATTCCAGGTAATAAAAGTCCATTTCGCGGTATGGTGAAGTCTCTGTATGAGCTAACTTGCGATCTAGCTCCGCCGTGGCTACGCTTCGACTGCTGATGATGATCGAGTCGCCAAATTCAAGGGTCAGAAGGGTCCTGATGTATGTTGCGCTGAATATTTAATTTATTGCTTTCTCTTTTCTTCTTTTCTTCTTGTTCCTTTGGTCCGGTGCGGTGGTATCCGTCGCTCGCAAAGAGCCAAAAAAAAAAAAAAATGAACATCGTTTCTTTTCAACCAAATGGATCAAGGGAATAATTAGAAGAATTACAAGGATTTTCCATCTTTTTTTTTTTTTTTTTTTTACAATTCAAAGCGATTCTAACTTGTTCGTGTTGACAGGGCAAATACACTGTGACTTTGATCGAGGGTGATGGTATTGGTCCTGAGATCGCCCAATCCGTTAAGGATATCTTCGCTGCTGCTAATGTAATGCTTCCCACTTTTTCGTGATTTTTTACGGGTTGTGCTAATTCACCTACAGGCGCCTATCAAGTGGGAGCCCGTTGATGTCACTCCCATCCTGAAGGACGGAAAGACCGCCATTCCCGACGACGCCATCGCCAGCGTGCGCAAAAACTATGTCGCTCTCAAGGGCCCCCTTGCTGTATGTCGTGTGAATTCTTGCATCTGTTGTGAAGCGCATTACTAAAGCGACCTTTTAGACCCCCGTTGGAAAGGGTCACGTTTCTCTGAACCTTACTCTTCGCCGTACCTTCAACCTCTTCGCCAACCTGCGTCCCTGCCGCTCTGTTGCTGGTTACAAGACTCCCTACGACAACGTTGACACTGTGCTGATCCGTGAGAACACTGAGGGTGAATACTCTGGCATTGAGCACGTCGTCGTCGATGGTGTCGTGCAGAGCATTAAGCTTATCACCAAGGAGGCCTCCGAGAGAGTGCTGCGCTTCGCCTTCCAGTATGCTCGCTCCATCAACAAGAAGAAGGTCCGCGTTGTGCACAAGGCCACTATCATGAAGATGTCCGACGGTCTGTTCCTCAACACCGCCCGCGAAATCGCCAAGGACTTCCCCGATATTGAGTTCGATGCTGAGCTGCTGGACAACTCCTGCCTGAAGATCGTTACCGACCCCACTCCTTACAATGACAAGGTCCTTGTCATGCCTAACCTGTACGGCGACATTCTGTCCGATATGTGCGCTGGCCTGATCGGTGGTCTTGGTTTGACCCCCTCTGGTAACATTGGTGACGAGTGCTCCATCTTCGAGGCTGTCCACGGTTCCGCTCCCGACATTGCCGGCAAGGGTCTTGCCAACCCCACTGCCCTGCTTCTCAGCAGTATCATGATGCTGCAGCATATGGGTCTCACTGAGCACGCTTCTCGTATCCAGAAGGCCATTTTCGATACCCTGGCCGAGGGCAAGGTAAGCTTCTTATTTTCTTTTTCTTTTTCTTTTCTTCGGCAGCTAACGTATGCTTTACAGTCCCTCACCGGTGACCTTGGTGGCAAGGCCAAGACTCACGAATATGCCGGCGCTATTATCCAGCGCCTGTAAGGGATGCGGTCCATGTCTGTACTATTATCCCTCTCTTGTCTCTTTTTAGCCTGTGAATGAATTTAGACTAAATGTAGTGATCTACTATACGTACCGAAATATACTTAGATTCGATTTGTTTTGAGTTACTTGTTCTTTGCCCTTGGCGGGTAAAAACCCTTTGCCAACGTTGTAGGTCCCGAAATTTAGGGGAGTAAATAAATTAAAGTCATATCTCTATGTTAGAGACGAGGTCATAAAATTTGTACTTCGAGGTATTGCACAAGATAATCCCCGCGAAAACGCCTGCGCCTTATATTCCAAGGTATCAAAGTTGTAAACCCGCATTCAAAACATACTAGTACAAGGTCGCGGTGAGTAGGTCAGTTTTGACGTCGTCGACCAGTCCTCCTTATGGCCCCGGCTCCCCTCCTATCCCCTCGTTTTGATCGGGATGTCTTAGCCCGTGTACTGCGGCCTGTTGGGGAGCCACCAGTCTCTTCTTCGTCGTCGTCGTCGTCGTCGTCGTCGTCTTCTTCTTCTTCTTCTTCTTCTTCGCTCTCTTCTTTCGCACCGTCACTGCCCTCTTCATCGCCATCTTCCTCTTCTGACTCGCCATCCTCATCGCCCGTTGCCGAACCTTTGCGACGAGGCTCAACCTCGAGCTGAAGGCGTGAAGACCGCGTGCCCCGAGTAGCTGCACGACCGCCACGACCCGGTTTTCTTCCTCGTGATGGCGCCGGTGAGGAGCGGGGTTCTGTGTGTTAGTATCCAGAGTCAGTATGTCAGCCATAACCAAAAAATGTGAAACCGAGCCATTGAGGGAATACAAACCATCTGTGTCGGCCACTGTGCTCCCCCTCCTTGACTCTGCTAGTCCACTTGGTGAGGGAGACGGCGATCCCTCCATTGCTAGTCTCCTTTCAAACATCATCTCACCGTACTCATCTTCGGGAAGTTCGAAGGGACAGTAGATGTCTTTCGGGGCTTCGACGTCATCGGAGGCGTCTGTGATGAGCGAGTCTTCCTACAAAGGGACCCAGGATCAGTGGCGGCGCAAGGAAGATAACAGCAGGACATCACATAGCGGACGTACCCTTTCGTCCAGCGCTGGTAAATTGTACAAGGTCCCTAGCTTTTTCCAGATCCCAGGTATCCGCGTATGCTCTGCGTGGGAAGGCGCATAGCCTTGGCTCTTCATGAACTCGGAGATTGCGACCATTCGAAAGTGTTTATGCATACCTAGATGGCAAGGAACCTGTTAGCATACTCCACCCTATGCCGGGGATTTAAACCCCGCAATAGACGCGTACGCACCCACAGGCTTCCATTTAATGATTCCTTTCAGCAAGGCCGTCTCCTGCTCGTCTGTCCAAGGGTCCGCTACTGGGTCATAGCTCGGGGTGCGCTGGGGGGCATTGTCACCCATCGGAGTGTGCACGGGAGACTGCGCATTCTCCGCCTGCGCAGTAAGCTTGGGTTTCTTTCTTGGCGGCATTGAGGATTGGATTCCCTTGTTGAACTTTTGAGCTTCTAGAACCGGAGACAGAGATAGGACGACGTAATTCCGGGCACTGCAGACAGCGAATTCCCTTCAGGTTCCCGAATCAGAAGCGGTGAGCCAGGCGGAAGCCCGGGGAGTATCACGCTAGCCCTGTTGTGGTTAGCGCATCATGACCTCGCGCTCTCCCCACGCGTCGTCGTGAATCTTAACGCAATTGGGAAAGCGATAAGGATTCAGGAATTGTCCATGACTTGTTCCTGTTTATTGTGCTGGCAACCCGCGCTCGACATGAGTCGCTAACAATGGATCATGAGGACCAAATCATCGATCCATTCTCGAGCGATGCGCTATGGCGCATCTCCCAGTTTACTCTCCAGTCATTACTACCGTTAGAGGCTTTCCCTTGGAACGAGGACCTACCTGGTACGTGGTAAATGCTAATGCTAACGTTGTTCGTGAGCTGACTATTTTTTATTTTTATTTTTTTCATCTAGAAATTTCAAGTGGGCTCTTTAAGAATCCCCTGGATTTGTTTGATCAAAATGGATCGAAATTACATGACCTAGATATTTTCGGAGCTGGTTTCTTAGAGCCGAGCCTCCCTCCGGAATCAACAACGGACGCAGCAAGTGAATGCCAACCCGAAGCTAACAGCGACACGCGAGATACCGATGACGAGCTCGAAGACATATGGGCATTCGAAAATTGGAGTTTAGAAACCGACCCTCAAAAATCAGCCAAGTCATGGGAGAATTACCAAGACCGCTCGTTTCGCGAGCCTTCATCGGCGTACTTTAGTGAATCGGGGGCAAAGGGCTTCGATGCGGCCCTCGCCCTCCGGGAAAAAGACCAAATGAACGGCCCGGGGAACGCAAGATCTATCGTACGGAACGACGTATTTTTCCAATCCTTGTTTCGACTTGGGCTGGGTTGGAGCTCTATGCTTTTCCGCTACAATGAGCGACGCCAGAAGTTCGAGAATATCCTTAAGCATACCCGTATCTCGGGAATCAGCTTGGTAACGCTCGATGGGTTGATTAATGAGATTTCGCTATGTGGAAACAATATGCAAAAAGTGCGAGCCTTTGTTGAGAAAGCCCCGACCAAGTCAGTTGAAGCTTCTTCTCTCCCAGCCTTCTCCACTGCTGCGTCTGTGGTTATCTTCACGCTTGAAAGGCAGTTGGTCAAGGTCTCCAAGCATTTAACATCTCTTCTCCAGATCAAGGCTTTGTTTCAACGCTGTGGTGAGTTGGTCTTAGTGCTAGCAAACATGGTCGAGGCTGTCGAAAAGGCCAGATCGGAAGCTCATATAATTTCGTCTATTCTCAAACTGGCAGCTCATTATTCCCAAATATATGGTCATATGGAAGCTCTATTTCGGGAAATAGTCTTCAGGGTTGTCGGCCCGTGGCTCACGCACGTCGAATTCTGGGTCGGCTTTCGGCCAGAAACATCCACATCGGTCGAGTTAGTAACAAGCGGGAGAAGCTTTGTTTTCTCTGAGAAGCACGAAGACAAGGGCAAGCTTTTGTCTCAAGAAAGGCTTGAATATTCCTCCTACCTTCCCGATCAGATGCCTTCTTTCGTCCCACCAGACCAGGCGCAGCTGATTTTCGAGAGTGGCAGAAGTTTGCGACTCCTCACACGCTCCCATCCGCACCACCCCCTTGCTGGTGACAGGATACCCAGCTTGAATCTGCCTAGCCTACGCTGTGCAAGCACCTGGGCCGACTTGGAGAGGATACAAGCGAAGGCTCGCGAGTATGAGACGCGGCTCCGCGCAGAAATTCTCAAATATAACCGGAAAGAGCTCCTGGAAGAGAAGAAGGATTCCAAAGTTTCCGATAAGGTTGATCGTGAGAAGTTCCCGGACTCCTTCGCCTTGTTTGACATTGACGATGAGCGTAATGTAACCGGGTTACTTGCGAACAACTCCTCCTTTGAGCGCGACACACTTGGTAGTATACTGGGAAGATCGGAAAATCCGGCTACTGAGCAAGCGGAGGAATCTAAAATGGAATTTTCCCCAGAGTTAACATCTTCCCTTTATCTTTCTCTTGCACCTCTCTTATCGTCCCAGGCTTTACTGATCGACTTCTCGTGTCTCCACCTTTTGTTTAAAGAACATAAATTGAGAGACCATCTGACTCTCCAATGGCGATTCCAACTCCTGGGGGACGGATATTTTACCTCTCGACTCTCTCACTCACTCTTCAATCCTGAGATGGAAAGCGGCGAGCGTAAATCCGGCGTTGTACGTAGTGGAGTTCACACCGGATTACGTTTGGGGAGTCGAGACAGTTGGCCTCCGGCAAGCTCAGAGCTGCGCCTGGTGCTGATAGGAATCCTCAACGAATGCTATGGTGCCGAGTATGCGGATGGAACCGGAAATCCTGAATTTGACAAGGAAAAGGAACTACCGGGTGGTCTGAGTTTCTCCATTCGTGAATTGACGGAAGAGGAAATAGTCAAGTGCAAGAACCCAAACGCGATCGAAGCACTGGATTTCCTTCGACTACAGTATAAGCCATCCAATGTCATTGAATCCATCATTACTCGACGGGCTCTCAATAAATACGACCGCCTTTTCAAGCAATTGCTTCGTCTCCTGCGTATGGTGTCAGTCGTCCAAGGTCTCGTCCGTGACTCAACAAACAGAAACTCACTGTCAGGGGATACTCGAAACATTTTACAAAAATTCCGAGTCGACTGCCAGCACTTCATCCTCGCCATCAGCGACTACTGTTTCCACATTGGCATCGGCTCCACATGGCAACGATTCCAGGAAACGCTCTCCAAAATCGAATCCAGCCTTGACCGTGGCGATGTCGATGGGACAATCGAAGCGGCCCATTCCATCCCCAGGCTCCGAGCCTACCACGAAGACACGTTAGATCATATGCTCTTCTCCGTCTTCCTCGGGAAACGGCATGCAGAAGTCGCGAAATTACTCGACGGCATCTTTGACACGATTCTCAAATTTGCGCCGCTGTCGAGAATGGACGGGAGGATCGGCGTGCGTCACGAGAGTGAGACTGCTATCAATCGCTTATATGCTATTTTCCGGAAACAGACTTCCGCCTTTGTGGGATACCTGCGCAGTCTCGATGGTGCGAGGGTGTCGTCGGCCAAGTCGCGAGGCAGATCGGGGATGGCATTTGCGACGAGAGAGGCGCCCACGAGCATATTTGATCACCTTTTGGTGCGCTTGGATATGAAGAGATATTATTAACTGCTGACGCCTAACTCTATCTTCATTGTCCATAATCTAGTTAAATTTAACATAGAGATGGCTGTTTGGACCGCCAACTGCTCTATGCAGCAATGTACAGTACAAATCCAAAGACTTCATAAATACCTGGATCAAGAAAGCGCGATCTATACACATCTTCCCCCAGTTTCACAGAGTTTAGCGTCGGGATTGTTTGTATATATACAGACCAGGTCGAAAGAAAATCTCATGCCCTAACAAAGGAATGCACTGTATACCAGTCCAGTCCAGTGCTGCTGCTATATTTCCATCCCCATGAGCCTTAGAAATAATGAAGGTTTGATTCCGTCCACCCAATCGACAACAGGATCTTCTTGGACGACTTCTCCATCGCCTCCGGACCACAAACCAACACCATCGACTCGTCGTCAGGAACTGCATACTCTCTAATCAGAGCTTCATCTACGCGTCCTCGCCGCCCAGTCCAATGCTCCGAAGCCTTGCTGAGCGTATGCACCGTCCGACATTTCTTGTGCGCCCCCGTCGTCGCCAACACCGCGTCGAAAGCATCCAGCTCATCCCGGCACAATATATCCCGCTCCTGGCGATTCCCATTGAGTAAAACACACCTAGTCTCGTCTTCTGGGTCTTGCATCACGGCCCGCAGAACCTGGAATACAGGCGTGATTCCCGTCCCGCCGCAGATCATCACGAGCGTCCGCACCACGCGCTCCTTCCCGCTCACTAGCACTCGGCCCTTGCCGAGATACTCGAATCGGCCCGTGGGCCCTTTGCATTCGATCAGCGCGCCCAGCGGCAGTTTGTCCAGCGCGGTGGTCATTCTGCCTCCCGGCGCCGAGGGAGTGTCGAAGTAGATTTTTATCAGGATGTCCACGACGCCGCGTTGCGATGTCGCCGAGATAGGTGTGTAGGAGCGGATGATGGCGTCGTTGGTGCTGGGGTCGCGGATCTTTAGCATTACGTGTTGGCCCGTGGGGAGGCCCAGCTTTTGCTCGGCGTGTTCTAGGGAGATGCTGAAGATGCGCGTGTCCCATGATACGGTGGTTTTCTTGCTCAGCGTCGCTTTTGTCCAGGAACGAGGGGCGAGGAAGGTAGCTCGGGGTTCGTTGTTGCTGTTGCTGTTGCTGTTGCTGTTGCTGTTGCTGTTGCTGTTGCTGTTGCTGTTGCTGGTATCCGACCCGGCTTGGAGGGCTAACAGGGATGCTTTGTCCATGGTGCCAATGTGATAGTCTGGCATCATTTTTTTGGCCGTTTCGCTGTCTGATTTCCCACCCCCCACCTCCCGGGGCTTACGGTTAGGGCTGCTTGCTTTTGTATCTAGGTGGTAGATGAAGGAGGAAAGAAGGGGGGGGGCTTACGAATGGCGAGAAATTCTTCAGATACGTCTGTCCCTGTTGATGAAATAATACTCTGGGCTCCGCCAGGATGGCCCTCGAGGAAGCCCGTGCCGTCATAGACCTCGCCGTTGATTATGAACCAGGGCGTCTCGTTTGTAGAGTTGGTCTTGAATTCCTGGAGGTCAATCGTCCGGTTCACGCCCTCTTTCTTCATGTTGATTTCTTGCACCGGCTCAGGCTCTACAGGCTCCTCGCCCGCGTGTCTCTCGCCCCAGTTACCGTTCGCCAGATCCCCTCCGGCCTTCTTGACCCGTTCCATCCATCCTCCGGGACCTGTAGGATCAGTCGGGTGTTCGAAAAGGAGCGTCCCGTTTTCTTTGGTGATTGTGACCCGGAACCAGGGGTTGTTCATCATTCCCAAGACGGACCAGTACATATCTCTTGGCTGGACACTCAGTGCTTCATCCATTGCTCGGACAAGAAGAGCGTCACTGTTTTCAAGTTCGGGGAGGGGGATCTCAAGGGACCAGAAGCACCAGCAGAAGCAAGTTTCACGCCAGGACAGGTCGACTCGGCCGCCGTATAAGGAACCTTCAAAATCTCGGTACTTGTCCTCGGCGTAGTCGATGTGTGCTAAGCGCCATGCTGGACGAGAGATCATTAGCTTAATGTGTAGTGAACGAGAAAGTGTATGGTATGGTTGTGTACATTTGCCTTTGTCTAGGGAGATCTCAACTCGGGTGATTCTCCGACCACCTCCGGCATAGGCGTATCCTTTGGCATGGTAAACGGGTCCGGCAGAGGCAAGCTCAAGCACTTCTTTATGTTGGGGGTAGGCAGCGGCGGAGTTGACGTTCAAATCATAGATGGCATATCGTTCGTCCCGCCACCAGCCAGGTTCCTGTGAAGACATATCGGGCGTGACCATTGTTCTGCCCGCCAGCCGTTAGTCACAAAAACACCAGCCAGTGAGGTTAAGCAAACATTACGGTAGAACTCGGTTATCGTAAATATGGTACCAGTTATCGCTGGGTGCATCGGTAACAATGAGCTTTTTTAACCACTTCACACTCCGACCTCCGATCTGACCAGGGACAACGGCCCTTAGAGGACGGCCATGGTCTGGTCGTAAGGATTCCCCGTTCATCTTATGAGCCAGCATAATTCCCCTGTTGGGATCCATTACCCAGTTCAGTTTGACAGACGTCCCGTAGTAACCATTGGGCTTTAGAAGTCAGCCAGCCAGTCATTGCAATCATCCACTCCCCCCCCTAACAGGTCTCACATACCAACTTATCCGCTCCCTCCATACAGACATACTTAGCGTTTCTTAGGGGTTTAGCACTCCTTATTACATCTGCCATCATGGGACCTGTCCAGAGAGCAGTTGACAATCCAGCTGGACCCCATGAGAACCCCTTTGATTTCCGTAGGGTGTTTTGTTCTTTGCGTCGATTGCCTGCACAAACCAATGTAATGGGTGCGGTTATTTGATCATAGTTCTGTAGGATTTGCTTGAAGCTGAGCACGAGGGGTTTCTCAACTAGTCTAATATCCGGGTTAGTCTGCACTGAGTGTATGTGGTCGAGGTAATCAGACCCTTCAATACTAATCTCCCATGTAGGAATATCTTCGTCTCTGACATGGGGTACAGGTCCATGATTCCTGACATAGAAGAGCTCGGGTGAGGTGAGAAAGCCTATGGAGCGTGAGCCTCAGTTGGTCCCCAAAGCAGATCGGAGGGAAACAGGGCGAGGAACCTTCTTGATAAAGAGCTGTTAGAGGAGCCTCGACGTTGAACGGATGAACGCCAGTTAGTCTGATCAGTCGAGGATCGCGGGGAACGTGGTTATCAGGTGTTGCTTGATCGAGCTTGAGAACTTCGGTCGGTTCTTTCGAGGGAGGGGGCAGAGGGATATCTGCGAGATCGAGTATTGGAGTCTCTTCTTGTTCTTCGAGCTTGATCAGAGGGGATTTGAGAGAGTGAGATTTGGAGAGTGTTCTTCCCTTCCGAACCTGAATGATGGTTGTTGACATTGTGTGAAGACGGAGGATTGAAGAGAGGGTTAGAGAAGTCCAACCAGTATGGACTGAGGTATACAAAGTAGGACCTGCTAGTAAGCAACCAATCAAAATGACAAAATTGGTTATCTTTGCACATGATGGCCGCGGAGATTCTTCATTTTCAAAATATCCGAGTAAACAAGCAATGATAACTTCAATTAATAGTTGGTATAAGTAATACCAACTACAGGAGTGGAGTCGTGGAAATACTGTTGGTGCGTGTTCCTATACTCAGCATCTTATCTTGTACTCCGCGGAAATCCTCAGTTTTCAACACCAGAAATAGAGATACCTAATAACAATTCTTTATCAGTCATCCATGATGAGTCTGCAGATTTCTTTGCTAGCAGGAGTATTGAATTCCAAAATACCGAGTTAGCCATTCAGAGCCTCGGAGAAATGAGCTTCCAGAATGCAGTCCTTGTTCAGGTAGATATATGGAGATCTTGTACAATGTCCTCCCTGAAACATCTCCGAATCTCCCCATCTGCCCAGCAAAATGCCCTTGTTGGACAGCTCCAGAAGCGGTGACACTGTCACTGGCAGCATTCGTCCTGGTGCTTCTCGTCTACAAGAACTCGATTCCTTCACACAGATAGATACTCCACAACATGATGTGAATAGACGACAAAGACTTGTAGTTGTGGGACTGGGTATGGTCGCAGTTGCATTCATGTAGGCTGAAGAAATCATCAATTCCAACCCCCCAAATCCCACGCACTAACGTCTAGTCAGTGAGAAACTCATCAAGTTAGATTCAGAGAAGCGCAAGTACGACATTGTGGTGATCGGAGAAGAGCCTCACGTTGCTTACAACCGTGTGGGCCTTTCCTCCTTCTTCGAACACCGCAAGATCGAAGACTTGTACCTCAATCCAAAGGAGTGGGCAAGTATTATCTCATCCTCGCAAAAAGATGAACCTCAAGCTAATATCGATGCTATTCAGTACGGCTCATTCAAAGACCGATCCCTTGATTATCACCTCAATACTAGAGTCACCGATATCTTTCCCCAACACAAAACAGTCAAAACCTCCGCCGGTGACATTATCTCGTACGATACGCTTGTCCTCGCTACAGGTTCAGATGCAGTTCTCCCAACAAACACCCCAGGCTACGATGCCAAGGGGATCTTCGTCTACCGTACAATCTCGGATCTGGAACGGCTCATGGAATTCGCTTCTGCTCATAAAGGCGTAACAGGAGTCACAGTTGGAGGAGGACTGTTGGGCTTGGAAGCTGCCAAGGCGATGACGGATTTGGGCGACTTTGGAAGCGTCAAGCTAATCGACCGTAACAAATGGGTGTTGGCTCGGCAACTTGACGGTGATGCAGGCACTCTTGTCACTAAAAAGATCAGAGATCTTGGCCTACAAGTGCTACATGAGAAACGGGTAGCAAAAATTCACACTGACGACGACAACAATGTCACGGGTCTTCTCTTTGAGGATGGTGAAGAACTCGCCTGTTCCTGTATCTGTTTTGCTGTACGCCTAATCATACCTTTGAAAAAGTAACTTGCTGACCAGGACAGATCGGAGTTCGACCACGAGATGAATTGGGGGCAATGGCGGGGATTCAATGTGCGAAACGGGGTGGCTTTGTTATCGACAAACGGTAATAATTATCATTCATACAGCAGATCTTTACTAATCCATATATTCCTGCAGTTTACAAACCTCTGTTGATGACATTTATGCTATCGGCGAATGCGCCAGTTGGGAGAATCAAACCTTTGGTATCATTGCTCCTGGTATCGAGATGGCGGATATCCTTTCTTTCAACCTAACAAACATGGACAAAGAGCCCAGAAGCTTTAAACGACCCGATCTAAGCACAAAGTTAAAACTTTTGGGCGTTGATGTTGCTAGCTTTGGTGACTTCTTTGCTGATAGAGATGGGCCGAAGTTCCTTCCTGGCCGACGGCCTTCCCTCTCGGATGCGCGAGCACCAGATGCCGTTGTTGAGAAAGAACCTCTAGTGAAAGCCCTCACATACAGAGACCCCTTTGGGGGTGTTTACAAAAAGTATCTGTTCACTATGGATGGGAAATACTTGCTTGGTGGTATGATGATTGGTGATACCAAAGACTATGTGAAATTGAACCAGATGGTCAAGACACAGAAGCCGCTAGAGGTACCACCAAGTGAGTTTATCCTTGGTGCCCAGAGTCGCGGGGAGGAGAATGCAGATGACCTGTAAGCTACCATCACACCTTAAATCTAGGCATTTACTAACCCTGGATTCCCCCCGACAGTGATGACAGCACTCAGATCTGCTCATGCCACAATGTAACAAAGGGTGACGTAGTCGAAAGCGTCAAGAGCGGTGCCTGCAAAACAATGGCAGATGTCAAGTCATGCACTAAGGCAGGTACCGGTTGTGGTGGCTGTATACCACTCGTGCAGTCAATTTTCAACAAGACCATGCTGGACATGGGTCAAGAGGTCTCGAACCACTGTATGTGCACCGAAATTCTGACCATCTATTCTGGCTAATACAAGCACAGTGTGTATGCATATTCCATATTCGCGAGCCGATCTCTATAACGTCGTCGCAATCAAACAACTGAAGACCTTTGGCGATGTAATGAAAGGAGTCGGGAAATGTCCGGATTCCCTTGGATGTGAGGTCTGTAAACCGGCCATTGCATCGATCCTTGCCAGTCTTTTCAACCAGCACGTCATGGATAAGGAATATCATGAGTTGCAAGACACGAACGATAGGTTCCTTGCAAATATTCAGAGAAACGGCACATTTTCCGTTGTTCCTCGTGTGCCAGGTGGTGAAATTACCGCGGACAAATTGATCGCCATTGGCCAAGTGGCAAAGAAGTACGGCCTGTACTGCAAAATTACCGGTGGTCAGCGTATAGATATGTTTGGGGCGAAGAAACAAGATTTACTCGATATCTGGTCCGAACTCGTCGATGCTGGTCTGGAGAGTGGCCATGCATATGCCAAGTCACTGCGAACAATCAAGGTAAGATTTTTTTTTTTTTTCAATTATCTCTTAAGGGTATTCTAACGGACTTCAGAGTTGCGTGGGAACCACCTGGTGTCGTTTTGGGGTAGGAGACAGTGTTGGGATGGCTATTCGACTAGAGCAACGTTACAAGAGTATCCGAGCTCCTCATAAGATGAAAGGAGCCGTTTCTGGCTGTGTACGAGAATGTGCGGAGGCACAAAACAAGGAGTGAGTAGCAAGCCAATCCAGAGGCCCGTGGTTAATGTTAACACCTTACAGCTTTGGTTTGATTTCCACTGAAAAGGGCTACAATATCTTTGTTGGAGGCAACGGTGGTGCCAAACCCCGACACTCAGAACTACTTGCAAAGGATGTGCCTCCGGAGCAAGTGATTCCCATTCTTGATCGGTACCTCATATTCTACATCCGAACTGCAGACAAGCTCCAGCGTACTGCCAGGTGGCTCGAAACCCTTCCGGGTGGGGTTGATTACCTTCGAGACGTGGTTATCAATGACAAACTCGGAATCGGGGCGGAGATGGAACAGCAGATGGAGGACCTCGTAAGCAGTTACTTCTGTGAGTGGACAGAAACGGTCAAGGACCCCAAACGCCGCAAGTACTTCCAGCAATTTGCCAATACCGATGAGACTCTTGAAACTGTCGAAATTGTTCGAGAACGTGACCAACAGCGTCCAACCTACTGGCCCAAGGATGGAGCAAAGGAGGATTTCAAAAACCATCAGTGGACCAGCCTTTCATGGCAACCTGTCATCAAAGCAGACTACTTCTCGGATGGCCCTCCCGCAATTTCATCCGCAAATATCAAGCGTGGAGACACGCAACTAGCCATCTTCAAGATCAAGGGCAAGTACTACGCCACACAGCAGATGTGCCCCCACAAAAGGGCTTTCGCCCTGTCCGACGGGCTAGTCGGTGACGACGACGCGGGCAAGTACTGGGTGTCGTGCCCGTACCACAAGCGCAACTTTGAACTCAACGGCGAGCAGGCGGGTCGGTGCTCGAATGACGAAGCCATGACCATTGCGACGTTCCCAGTTGAACCCCGGGACGATGGATGGATCTACATGAAGCTCCCTCCGGTCGACGAGCTGGACTCCGTTTTGGGCACGGAGAAATGGAAAGTGAAGAAGGGGGAAGCTGCGGATCCATTCGAGGCGTATGACAGGCGATCCAAGGGGATGAGGGGGAAGAAGGCAGGTGAGAAGGGATCGGTGCGTGCCACGAACCGGATTGACTGGTAGTGGAATCGAGATCAATGACTTGATTTGTTTTATGATAAGTAGACACTGTTTACTAGACTAGAATTATACCTAAGAATCTACACTTGATATCAAATTCCATTCGGGAGTCGTAAATACTGTAAGTACTTAGTACATTCGGTACCTTAGGTACTTAAGGCAGGTACCTAGGTAGTAAATACCTACTAAAGTAAGGCTGATTGGCTGCCACAACCCCTTATCAGCGTATCAGGGGAAGTTCCTGAGGCTCCCGTTGTGTGTCTGTTTGATATTTCCGCGGAATACCTCACTTGCTCACTCTCTACACCTCCACCAGAAACCTCATTCTGCAGGAATAACATCAACAATTCCCAACAGGAACTCTGTGGAGCAGTTCACACTAAAACGAGGAGTTCAATCCTCCGAGGAGACCCTGAACGCTTATTCACATCGATCAATCACATATCCCTTGCTTGGTGCATCCTCTCGAGAGTTCATGGCTCGATCCCTCGATAGATAGGGGTCAAGTTAGAGTCGCTCTAGGCCAACTCCCAAGCCTGTTCCGCGGAGTTCGAGTCTCACAAGCTGCGTTCTTATCAGTTTCCTCCCCCCGTTATTTACAGTTTGAGCTTTTTCTTTGGCACTCGAGATGCGCCTCCCCCACCAGATAGGCCGTATGCTTTGCTTATCACCCGTGGCAGCTGAACCTAAACCACATTACTCCTATGTCCTCCGCTGTCGAAAAAGCTATTACGCCTATTTCCACGGGTACACGGGAAAATAACGCTGATCGACGAAACACCAGCTTGGCTGGCTAAAGCTGCAGGCACTGAGACTTGACCTCATGAATGGGCTGCATTTCATTTCAGAAACCCTTACCGATATCCAGGAGACACCAATCGTGTTCCACTTCTAATAGTCTAGATGCTCTGGCTCCCTGGTCTTTCTCCTCGCACCGTAACGGCGGTCGTGACGTTGCTTTTCTATCTCGGGGAGATACCCTGATATTCTCTTTTTCTATCAGATGTGATTCGCAACTCCTATCTCTCTGGATATCTTTTTTTTTTTTACCTTTCTTTAGGGTTATATATGAGCTGGCCTCTTGATTTCATGTCCACTTCCAAATCCACAACAGAGGAGCAGAGGGGACTAGTCTATCTAATTTCCCCGAGACTCTTCAACAGGCTACAATTCTCCTTTCAATTCTTGTATATTTTTGGACTTCTTTTTGTAATCGGATATCCCTGTTGGCGTAGGATATCTGACAGCCCAAGATGAGCTTCATCAAACTTCTCATTGTCCCTCCAGAGATCAACCCTAACAACCGGAAAGCACTTACCATCCCGCTTCTAAACCCAGTTGATAAGTATGGACGGGTCTTCTTCTTCTCATGGTTCGGGTTCATGCTTGCATTCCTTTCATGGTATGCTTTTCCACCTCTGGTAAGCATTGGCCTGAAAAGTGATGGAATTCTTGTGGGACTAACAGCATCGTAGTTGACGGTCACTATCAAGGAGGACCTACATATGACGCAAGCCCAAGTCGCAAATTCCAACATTATTGCCCTTCTCTCTACGTAAGTCTTCATCTTCCTGAGCTCTTGAGACATAAACTAAGTTCTCAGGCTACTGGTTCGATTTATCAGCGGTCCGCTTTGCGATCGCTATGGCCCTCGACTCGTCTTCATCGGGTTACTCCTTGCTGGCTCTATTCCCACCGCCATGGCCGGCCTAGTTACTACCCCTCAAGGCCTCACTGCCCTCCGCTTCTTTATCGGTATTCTAGGGGGCACCTTTGTCCCTTGTCAGGTCTGGTGTACAGGGTTCTTCGACAAGAAGGTCGTGGGAGCAGCTAACTCTCTAGCTGCGGGACTGGGGAATGCTGGCGGTGGTATCACCTAGTAAGTAGCAATGCCCTTTTTTACCTCTTCCACTGGGTTTTGACGTGTTTTCGACGCTAGCTTCGTTATGCCTGCTATTTTCGACTCCCTCGTGCATAACCAAGGTCTAACCCCACACAAGGCATGGCGCGTTGCCTACATCGTCCCATTCATCCTCATTGTCGCCGTTGCCCTAGGAATGCTGCTTACCTGCGATGACACCCCCACGGGCAAGTGGTCAGAGCGTCATAACTGGGCGAAGCAAGACAACCAGTCTGAAGCCAACATCATCGATCTCAGTTCGGGCAACCAGTCCACCCGACCTTCGAGGCCGCCCTCGATCACAGATATTATGACATCGGACGTGGAGGAGAAGAAAGACGGCGCCCAGACACCACTCGCTTTCGATTCTGAGGGCACTCAAGTCATGGAGCAGCTCGAAGCCCTCCAAACAGACACGGTGGTGGCGCCCTCACGCAAAGAATCCCTCGGCGTGATTTTCAGTCTGGCGAGTGTCGCCATTGCCATTCCGTATGCTTGCTCTTTTGGCTCGGAGCTAGCTATCAACTCCATCTTGGGCGAGTACTATCTAGAGAACTTCCCCTACATGGGCCAGACTCAGTCGGGCAAATGGGCTGCCATGTTCGGGTTACTCAACATCATCTGTCGCCCTGCTGGTGGCTTCCTGGCCGATATTCTCTACCACTACACAAAAACTCCATGGTCCAAGAAACTCCTCCTCTCCTTCCTCGGCGTGGGCATGGGGGCCTTTGAGCTTGCGATCGGCTTATCAAACCCCAAGTCCGAAGCCACCATGTTCGGACTTTTTGCTGGTCTTGCCTTCTTCCTCGAGGCTTGTAATGGTGCTGTCTTCGCCCTTGTACCGCACGTCCATCCTTTCGCCAACGGTGAGCTTTTACAACCCTTTACCCGAGCTCTCCCCAATACTGATCTTTTTTTTTGCTTTTTTTTAGGGATTGTCTCTGGAATGGTAGGTGGTTTTGGAAACTTGGGAGGCATAATCTTTGCCGTTGTCTTCCGATACAACCACACCAACTATGCCCGGGGCATCTGGATTCTCGGTGCGGTGTCCATTGCAGTACATGTACTAACAGCATGGATCCGACCTGTACCGAAGAACCAGAAACGGTAGTTCTTATATATACTCTTTTAACTAGACTATTTTTTTTTCTATCTGTATGTATATATAACTCTCTCTCTCTCTATGTATATATGTAAGCGACTATATACCAACCAGCAAACAGACATATACTATCCCTCTACAGTTCAGTCATTTCCACGCAATCGCCACGGAAGCAGGCCAAAAATCGATTCCGATCGGATGATCCATCCCCTCACTTGTTAAATCTCGGGCTAATACCCACCGAAGAGGGGGCCCCGCAATCACTACTCCGTCCATATATTAACTATTATGTATATACATACAGTACCTATCCAAAACCAACCCCATTAATTGAGTATCCTTTTCAAACTTATCTACAAAGTACCCTTTCTTCTTCCTTCCACCCCTTCAATTTCCCCTCTCCGATTCCCACAGCGAAAAAAAAAAGTGCAGCAAAAGAAGAAGGGAAAATGCGCCGCATCGCCCAAATCGTCCACCTGAAACCCTCCGCCATAGCAGCCTACAAAGAATGCCATGCAAACGTCTGGCCTGAAGTCTTGGAACAGATCAAAGACTGCAATATTTGCGATTGTATGCTTATCTATCTATCTATCTATATCTAATACTACCTGAATGTTGAATATGCTGTCCTGTTTCTCTACTCGATTCTACATACATATATATGTGTGTGTGTGTGTGGGTGTGTGTATATGTATATGCATATAGTATTCAGTTGACCACTCCAGCAGGAGGCACCAAATACCCTGAAGAAATTACTTATCAAGGTGATAGATTCGATCTTCTTCGACAACGAACGCACTCTCTTCGCGACATTTAAGTATGTCGGGGATGACTATGAGGCGGATATGTTGAAGATGCGCGCGAACCCTAAAGTTCGGGAGTGGTGGGCTATGACAGATGGGATGCAGGTGAAATTTTTTTTTTCTTTCTTTCTTTCTTTCTTATTCTTATTCGAGGGATATTTATGTGTGTGTGTGAGTGTGTGAGTGTGTGCTGATTACTCGGTAGGAGAGTCCTGTTTCTGGAGCTGTGGGGAGTGCAGAAGGACCGGGGTGGTGGAAGGCCCTTGATGAGGTGTTTTATACTGATTGATGTCTCCCAAGTAGGGTACTGACCATGTAAAAGAAGAGGAAAGAAGGGTATTTACTGCCGCTAGGCGTAAAAGTATTCAAGTTCGGATTAATCGAGCACAAGTAACGCTGAATCAGGCAGCTTCGAGTCTCCTAGATGACCAGCATACCTGGAGTCCTCGAACTCCTGTCAATATTATTATGTCTCCCTGCAGGTAAATGCAGATACTGTAGAATACAGAATTTTATGCAAAGATGGGTATATCCTTCACCAGGAAAAATCCGTCGTCGCTCAAAGTGCTACTATCTACCCAAAACGCCTGACCCACAGAACAAAAATCGACTACACAAACCATCATTAGCTCATACCAAATCTCCAGCTCATTTCGTCATTCAGAGCCTCCTGGAACATGCTTCAGGATTTCCCAGCCGTACTCTTCCTCGAGCTTCTCTGGTTCCATGCCAAGCGCATTGCGGTAGGCGCGAACCTCGTTCTGAAGACCGGCAACAATACGAATGGGGAGCTCGTCTTCCTCGCAGCGAAGACGGTAAGCAGTTCGAATCATCTCAGCGCACTTCAGGGTCTGGGCATGCCAGTGGTCACGGTCCAGACGGCTTTCCAGATGAGCGTCGCGTTCTGCCTGGAGGAGGTTGTTGTAATGGCGTTTCTGAGACAGGTAGTGCATGTTATTGTTGTGGCAATAGTTGCGGATTTGTTCCACCATAATTCCGACGGCTGCCTCATAGTCACCGATCAATCTGGTATTTTCAACCTGTTCATTCTTTAGGGTTTCGACCAGGCGTCTTTCCTTGGCCAGCGCGCGTTCAAGTTCAGCAATACGAGCGCCTAATTTCATTAGCGACATCCAGGACTTTCGAGTTAACGGAACGTACTGCTAATTTCGCCGTTCACCTGCTGAATACTGGGGCTGGTTCCGTCGGAAGAAGAGCGTTTCTATAGCTGTCAGCTGGTTCGGGATAAATAAAAATGAGAGCCATACCATAATTTCCTCCGCACTCGAAACAATACTCTTAGTCACCTCACGGTTGTTCTTCAAAACGTCACTCAGCTCAAGCACCATATCATAAAGATGACGGAGATCCATCTGGTGGCCCGCATTCGTCGGGACTCCGCCATTCATACCAGCCATACCAGCACCGTTGACTTGAGTCGGGGTGTGAGGGATGGGAGCGGAGATGGGCTGGCGAGGGACCGCAGCCAAATTGGAGGGACTGGGGGAGCTATCGGTATAGCTTGGAAACATACCCGCACCGGGGTTATTACCACTGTTGTTGAGAGACATGGTCGCGGCGGCAAAAGCCTGGTTCAATTCCTCGAATTGCGGCTCTGTGGCAGGATTGAGGCTTGCGGCGGGCGCAAAGTCGTCGTCAAACCCAAACCCAGGGGACTCAACACCCAGGACCTCCTTTCTGAATTTCTCAAGGTCGCGACGAGTTACGTGGGTGGAGCGACGACGGTGTCCACGCACAAACGGTGCCCTGGAAGCACAGGAAGGAGTAGGCGCAGCGATGGTGTCGGATGGACGAGAGCCCTCGCTCTTTGACTTAGGAAAATGATGAGGAAGAGATACAGAAATGGGAAGAATAGGCCGGAAAGGAGACTTCTCCCACTGGATGTGGTGTTCATGTCCCAGCGAAGCATCTTCTGGGGGAGGAGGACCGCCATCACCAAAACAGTCAAGCGCCGGAGATTCGGAGGCTGTCTTCCGGTTACCAGCCTTACAAGAGCCACAGATTGAGGCGGTATCCTGGCCTGCTATATCCATAACTGAAAAGTGAAAGGCCAAGTACCGGTTGAGACTGACAGAGTAAAAAGGACAGAAGAGGATTGTTTAGTAGCAGGGGGAGAAGAGATTGTTTGTCTAGTGTGGACTGGAGATTTTCAACAGGTAAACAGGACTGCCTGGAGTTTCTTTTTCTTTTTCTATTTCACCTTGTTTTCACACTCCTGTCACTGGCACCTGCTGTGTGTGTGTGTGTGTGTGTGTGTGTGCGGCTGCAGTCAACTCCTACAGTTCCCCCCCTTGCACTGTTCTTCGAGAAAATAGGCAATTATTACTTTTTACCATCGGGTGGTGGGAAAAGTAAAGGACGGATATTAATGGGTCAAGAATTTTGCTACTGCGAGGGTGTTGCTGAGCTGTACTGGTGTCGATTTATCAATCTAATTGTAAAGTATTGGGATTCTACGACACATTTTAGTATAGTCATTTCATTCCCGTCATTATACCCCCAGGGCACTAGCAGTGTTTCAACTCAGATCAAGGAGCGCTGCAAGCTTCTGGTCAGGCCCCAGCGGATAAGAAGCATCACTTGCATCGGTATTTCCTTTGCTCTGTTTCTGCGCCATCCGACCGCTGACCCGCGCAACTAACATCCTCATTTTTTCCAGCTCTTGGACCAATTCTCCATCTCTTGTGACGAGATTAGGTTGGATGTTACTCTGCGGTTCCTGAAAAGGCTCGAGGAGATGCTGTAGGTGCCGCAGCTGATCCAAGCGCCGCTGTCTTTGTTGCCGCAGGTTGTCGAGGCCAACCAGCCGTTCTTGGAGGCGCTTGTATCTATACAACGATGAGCAGAGTAAAACCAAAATTTATTACACAGGGGTTCAAACCTGGCACGCTCCTCTTCGCTCGCAGATTGCTCATAAAGCTCTGCAGGGAGCTGAGTAATATTCCTGGAACAGTCAGGCCAGGGTATCTCAAGGACCTAACCTGGGAAGGCTCACTGGTGACTGGACAAGTCCACGGTTCGATCAATGCCCCTCTCTAGTGAGGTCACATCGCGCGTAATCTGGCTAACAGAGGACCAGTACAAGCTTGTAATTTGCTGTGCAACATGCTGGACCGCTTGCGAGGAGTAAACAATGCGACTGTGTTGTTTCAAGGCGGCGTTCACTAAATATACCAGGCTGGTTAACTTTCGCCCACAGCATGCAGAAGGTGAAGAAAACGGATGTAAACACGGCCGCAGTGGCCATGTTAATAAGATGCATAGGGAGAAATTATTCAGTCGGAACAGCAAGGAGGGGGGCTACATTTCTGCAATACATCCCCAACCACCTTATCATTCAGCTCCTCCTCTGTTGACTCGGCTGCATAACTTCTCCAATCTTCAGGCGCTTCGAGGCTCTCCGATAGGATGCGAACTTGCGTCCTGATAAACGATGATTTGAGCTCAGAGATGGAACGAGAGGATTCCATGGCCCCATAGTGCCCGCAATGTGGTATTTGGGAGGAATCAACCAAATTTCACCTTGTCTCGAACGCGTTTGATGTTATCGATAACGGTCACGTGGTTGGATAGTCGATTAGAGCGGATTCCATCCTCAGCATTCCACGATTGATACATGATGAATTATTCTTTGTTCTTGATTTACGGGTCAATATATATATATCTCTCTCGTGTTTCTATATTATTAAAGGAAATTTATTGATATTGTTAAGTTTCTGATGTGATTGTCTTCCTCGGTCTGACACCGTTAAAAAACCCCGATATATACCTCGGCAACATTAATCCTACAGTCTTGTTCTTACTCCGCAAAAGGCGCAACAAATGCAGGCAATTACCCCCCAAAAGAGTGACCTTTCGTCTGGACCATTTCAAACTCCAATCACTCCCCCCCCCCCAGAAGTGACTATCCCATAATACAAGCCTATATTACAGAGCTCATAATGGCGGAGAGTCAACGGCCAGTGGGCCTCCTGTTCGATATCGGCGGAGTCTGCGTAAGTCCGCTGCAACAGAATTACCTCAACTACAAGCCCTCATCTTCTCATAGGTTGTATCGCCTTTCCAGGCTATCCTGGATTACGAAATCGAGCATAACATCCCCGAAGGATGGGTGAATTTCAGCATCTCACGCACATCCCCCAACGGCAGCTGGCACCGACTGGAGCGCGGGGAGATGAAGATGGATGCAGAGTTCTTCGCCGAATTCAACAAAGATCTACGGAAGCCCGATCTATGGGAGCAATTCAACGCGAATCTTCAAAAAAAGAAGGGGCCCAATGCCGTTGGTTCCACCCCACCCTTGCCTGAGATTGATGCAGAATGGCTATTCTGGGAGATGATGAGAATATCCAGAACACCTGACCCCTTCATGTTCCCGGCGCTGAAGAAATTGAAGGAATCAGGGAAGTTCATCCTGGGGGCTCTCTCGAACACGGTCATTTTCCCGGACGGACATGAATACAACAAAGATACCTTTGGCCGCACGACGGTATTTGACTTTTTCATTTCGTCTGCCCATTCGGGGCTGAGAAAGCCGGATCTAAAGATATATCAGGCTGCTTTGGAGGAAATGAATGCTGCTGCTAAGAAGAAGGGGTTGGAGCAGCCTGTGCGCGCATCTGACGTTGTCTTCCTGGATGACATTGGGCAGAACTTGAAGCCTGCGAAGACTATTGGAATGAGGACCGTCAAAGTAAATCTCGGACATATAGAGGATGCCGTCAAAGAGTTGGAGAAGATTACTGGTCTTCAACTGTTGGAAGGCCAGGATAAGGCACGGCTATAGAATAGGGTATGTAACTAGATGGCTAAGAGAATGTGGGGTGACCGTATTTTTGTCTTTTGATCCATAGTATAGATATCCAACGAGGTAGAAATCTTCAGTCAATATAGAATTATTCGAGTCGGTAAGAATATTACAATTTCCATTATTCCTTTTTTTTTCTTTGGTTGGCTATCATATTATTTCTCGGGTCTGGGTCTTAAAGTCGTCCATATAATCTGGGGTGGTGTACCTCGTCGCCGACCGCACTTCTGCGCCGGGATGCAACCACGCTAAGCGAACTCGTCCACAAATTCATCCCACGAAATTTCTCAATTCTTTCTTCTTCAGCCAACGTCGACAACTCAGTCCCCAGTCCGCCACAACAGTCAAAATGGTGAGTCTCTACTGTCATTCCTGGTGAATGCCTATAGACGTTGTGTTTTTCTTTCCCTTCCTGTGGAAAAATTTGAATATTCTTCATGGTTTCTGGTTAGACTGGAAACGGGTCTTTGCAAGATGCTTCGGACACTTGATTTCTGAAGCGCAAATTGCTGACTCGGGTTCTTTTGGTAGGCCTTCCACAAGCTTGTCAAGAGCAGCGCGTACTTCAGGTAAGGAATCCCACCCTCTAGATCTCAACCAGATCTCAAGCTGGCGAAATGTCAATCTGACTGTTTTTGCCTGTACAGCCGCTACCAGACCAAGTACCGCCGTCGCAGAGAGGGAAAGACCGACTACTATGCTCGTAAGCGCCTGATCACCCAGGCCAAGAACAAGTACAATGCTCCCAAGTACCGTATGGTCGTCCGCTTCACCAACCGCGACATCATCACCCAGATCGTCTCCTCTGAGATCACCGGTGACAAGGTCCTCGCTAGCGCCTACTCCCATGAGCTCAAGCGCTATGGAATCACCAACGGTCTGACCAACTGGGCTGCTGCCTACGCCACTGGTCTCCTCCTCGCTCGCCGTGTCCTCAAGAAGCTCGGCCTGGACGAAGACTTCGCCGGTGTTGAGGAGGCTGACGGTGAGTTCACTCTCACTGAGGCCGCTGAGACCGACGACGGTACCCGCCGCCCCTTCAAGGCCTTCCTTGACGTTGGTCTCGCCCGTACCTCTACTGGTGCCCGTGTTTTCGGTGCCATGAAGGGTGCTTCCGATGGTGGTATCTTCATCCCCCACTCCGAGAACCGCTTCCCCGGTTTCGACCTTGAGTCCGAGGCTCTCGATGCCGAGACTCTCCGCACCTACATCTTCGGTGGCCACGTCGCTGAGTACATGGAGGGTCTTGCCGACGACGATGAGGAGCGCTTCCGTGGCCAGTTCCACAAGTACACCGACAACGGTGTTGAGGCTGGCGATATTGAGGACCTCTACACCGAGGCCCACAAGGCCATCCGTGAGGACCCCTTCAAGAAGGATGAGGAGGAGAAGAAGTCCAAGGAGGAGTGGAAGGCTGAGAGCAAGAAGTACAAGAAGGCCAAGCTGACCCGCGAGGAGAAGAAGGCTCGTGTTGAGGCCAAGATCCGTGAGCTCTCCGGTTAAATGGATTACCAGACCTGAAGGCGGAATGGATTATTCGTGCTTTTTAACGCATAACTAAGTGCGATAGTCAAAAAAACAAAAGCAAACTAAGAAAAAGTTTTCTATACTTCTCTGCAAACAGTTGGCGTTTCCCCTTCTCAGATATCCTGTAGCTTGATGATGTTCTCACGACCATGACCTTTTCTTCTTTTTCTTCATAATTATTTTTTTTTTTTAATCTCTTTTTATGACTGGGAGGATATGTTTGTTTGTTTGTTTTTTTTTCTTATATCGGAGCAATTCTTGGGTGCACTCAATGGGAATTTTCTTTCTTATTAACATGTTCAACAAATGCTCCGGTAAATAGCATCATATCATGTATGTATTGTAGGTCAGTCCGAGTGGGGGTTTCGCCTAACTTTGTCAGAAATATAGAATATTGTTTCTATCCATAATCCCAGTCTCATGCGGGATTTAGTCCTACCCCACCATGTCCTATGACAGTGGTACTATTTGTCTAGTACTAATAACTACTAAGTAAGTACGGAGTAATAAGCTATGCACGATGGACGGGGGGCAAAATTTTGTCCGAGAAGCGGACCTGGAAAGATCTGGTGGCCGTCGAGACATATTTCCCGAAATGGCATGTTTCCTTGTGATCAAAAGGGGAAATAATAAATCTTTGATTTCAAGAGTGTCTGTCTGGGTCCACCACTTTTTATCGGGATGGTATCGCCAGAGAGATCCTGTGGGTAGACAGAGCATTAACCAAGTACGGAGTAGTCAAGTCGTCATCATGTACTTCGAGGTATGTGACATTGTGATGTGTTGTGTTGTGTTGTGTAGGAAAATTTAAAAACGGCCGAACTTTTCTCCAGCGATCATTCAGTCCAGCGCTAGTAATTTATCTGGTTTGGTACTAGTGGTACTAAACCAATACTGATACCAACTGGACATGAAGGTGCTCCCACCCGTTGTTCTGGAACCGGGGATGTCTTACTACTAACTAGAACGTACTTGGGAGTCAGTCGTGACGATCAGTAGAAATGATGGAGTACTCCGTACTTTAGTAGGACAACTTGTTTGACAACTCTTTGTCAACTAGGCTTATGGGGGAAATTTATTCAATCATCCCTGTTTAAAAGGGGGGGGGGAGAGAGCAGGCTGGCCACCCCCCCTTCAGCTGGTATTTAACATGCAACAAGCGAGAGGGTCTACCGTGCAGTAGGTAATCGTCCTCGCATGCATCGAGTCACATTTAGCAGAATTGCTTGAGTTTCTTGGTGGTTCTACTACTGTGCAAGATGTCCTGGTAGAGAGATCGTACAGAAGCCAAATTCTGACAACACGCCGCCGCCCCCTCCCAGACGAAGCGTTGTACTATCACTTTAGGGTTTGGGTTGATGTCCCTGGTAAACCAAATAATCTATGGGATGCCACGCCCGGTTGGGTTAGTGGGGAAATGTGGTCTGCGGTGATTCCGGGATGCTATTTTGATCTTGAAGAAATTCACGCACGCACTTCCCTATTTTAATTCGGGGGTATACCCCGGCATAATGGACAGAGTTCCGGTCCGCTAAGCTCGAAGGGATGGGTGCAGTACTTGCTCGGGAGACCTTTTTGTCAACTAATATCAGCAGGTCAAGAAAAAGGGAAGGTTTCAGGGTTTGCGAATCATTGGTCGTGGACCATGATTATGCAGCTGTATCCATGCCTTTCTGCCCACCTAAACCGCTACCCGCTTTAGGTGCGCCACACATTCTTCGCGATCACACATTCTTCGCGATTTTTTAATATTTGAAGCTATACAACAACAATAATACTAGTAATCAAAATAAAAAAACTCTCCAGCTTCTTCAGCATGTCTTGCATTATCAATTCCTCTTTGAATTGACTCCTGCGAGCGTGGAGGGGGTGGAGAACCATATACTTTCTTTTTCTGCTTTGCCAACCTCCTCTGCTCACGTTCAGCATCCTTTGCCTTCCTATCTTTAATTGATCGAATAGCATCACGAACTCTTAGAACCCCGTCACTAGATAGACCTTTAATCTGGCGCTTAGTATAAACCCGGCGTTGAGGCTCTTGCACGGCCCTAATCCTTTGAATTGCTTCCTGGGTCATTTTTAGCTCCTCGAGCTTCTCTGCCTGATATTGAAAGAGTTTTGATATATTCCGCCTTGCCCGGTCAGATACCTTATCAAGTTCCTTTGTAACCTTTGCCTGATTCTTTAGAAGAGCCTCTATTGTTGCTGGAGGACTGTTTTCAACGCTGGAGGATAGTAATGGTGGTGGAGATGGGGTTCGACAAAGATCAATTGATATATCTGGTATATCCATCTGATTCGCTAGTTTTTTAATAATTTCAGTGCCATCAACTGGCCAGATACCGCGTTCTTTAAAGGCATCTCGAATAATTCGCTGGCGAAAGGTCTGGTTGCGGATTGGCTGGATAATCTTCAAGAACTCTGCCTTCCCATATGGCTTACCCCCCCATTGAGATAGCTCATTATTCTTGAGGTAAAAATTGGTCTTATAAGCAAGAAAAGGTTTTCCATCAAGAGGTTGGCAGAGATGTGTTGAATGAGCTATAAAACCAAAGGGAATAATATTATTTTCCTCGCAGTATTGTAGAAATTCGAGCGTAAGGTGCGAGCCATGGCCATCAAATATTAGATATCGCTTCTCGCCTTGCTTAGTACGATCAGGATGCTTCGTTTCAGTATTAAATCGATGTAGCCAGGCAAGCGCAAGCTCATCAGTTATCCAACCATTTGAGGATATTGCTGTTGTTGTTTTAGGTGGTAGTTGTTCTGCATCATGATACCAGACCTCCATATAGTTGCCCGTTGCTTTGAAAATAAAAAATGGGTCCATTACCCAACCATCTGCAGCAATACATTCAACTGCAGTAATATTTTCACCTCGCTCACTTTCTGCAAGATCAGGGCATTTAGGACCCCCAAAAACCTTCCTATCACGACCTTTGCCTGGTTGGAAACCACATTCATCAAAGTTGTAGACAAGGCGAGCCGGGACCCCGCGAAGAAGTGATTTCAAAAGGTTATACCAGTGTTGAAGCAAGCCAGCATCCTCTGCTTGTATCCGCCTTAATTCCTTAGTCTTCTGCTTTACTGGAGCAAGTCCTAGATCTGCTGGTACACGCGATTCGAATCGATATGGCCACATCTTACTAACTTGCTTATCTGACCCCGCGCGAGCAAGTGTCTGATTTGCCCATGCTGCAATGACCGCAGGAGTTGGTGGGATGTTCCATTTCCGCATTTGTATGATCCAGTTGATTAAGGCCTTCTCCTGATATGGCTGTAGAAGGTTCTTATTCGTTGTTGTTGGTGTTACTAGTATCTTTGGTTTTTTGAGGCGTGTTCGGAGCGTAGAGTCAGGCACATTGAATTCTCGTGCAATCTTCGCGATATTTGGTTTTTTTTGCTTTTGAACCGTGGCAATAGCTTCAAGCAAGCGAGATTCATTAAAATCTGGAGATTTAGGCATGTTGTGTTGTAATAATAATAAAAATAAGTTGAAATATCAAAAATCGCGAAGAATGTGTGATCGCGAAGAATGTGTGGCGCACCTAAAGCGGGTAGCGGTTTAGGTGGGCAGAAAGGCATGGATAAAGATGGACACTCAGAAACTGCGGAGAGCGGCCACCGTGTCCGAGTCCGGCGGCCGGAGTTACAAATGGCAGTGGAGGTGGATGATGGATACTTGGATATTTCCAGCATCCGTATCCACTACCCAAAGACTAACAGAGTTCGCCAGAGCCCGCTAGTCTGGAGCATCAGATCGATATTGGATGGACGATTTTCACTCCCCAACGGCGAATTGTGGGTGTCTTGGTGCGAGGTATCCCACGCCATCTTGACGGAGGTCTTCCGGAAAAATAGCACAGAGTTTGCTGGAATGGGAGATACCATGCTGAGTTATAGTACCGCCACATTGGGTACTAAAAAAAAAAACCTTATGCTTCTGAATCTTAAAGCAAGAACTTGATCATTTGGAGAGTTTCGAGTACATGATGATGCTTGGATCAAAGAATTCGAGGTCAATAGTAAGCCAAAACAGTACAAACTAGTAAATACCGTACGATACGATGCGGGTCACCTGCTCCACTGTTACGGAGTATTATTATTTTGAGTATCGTCGAGACGTCGACCCTTACCCACTCCACTCACTCACTGCTACTTGAGTCTTGACTATTTCCTCATCGCTTGCTCTCTCGAATCCTTGACCTTCCTTCTGTTTTCTTTTTCTTCCCCCTTTCCCTCCATCCCCTGACTTTGGTAATTTGCGACCCCTTCCACGTCATACCATCTTGCCCGCATTGCTCCGCCGCTCTGCCACCATGGAACTTCGTCACCGTCGCCGCAAGTAAATCAACTGGAGGAGATCTCCCGTTCTTTTTCAGGGAATAATAATTTCGCTGGAATAGTACCGATATTTGTTCTTTGGCCTATAGCAGGATTCATTTCGTCTTTTTTGCTTTCTTGAATGGACCGCTGGATTATGCTCTCGGATCCGATAGTCCTGGAACTGCGATAGCCTGCTTTCGTGATCGAATCGTTAAATCGCTCACTTGCAAGTGTACTTTCGATAAACAACTAATTCAAAATGGAGAGTGTCGAGGCCGTGGACGTTAGCTGGCTACACCACTCTCAGAAAGGTAACCTCCCCGGTCGCCTTAAATCGCCAACTTGCCTCTCTAACAATCTTAAAGCGGACAATCTCTCCCGGTGCAGGTCCGTCTCGTCTTTGTCCAGCGACAAGCCCACCAGCGAGGTGGAAGCTACACCAGCTCCGTCGTCAAAACCCGCGAAATCCCTCTCTCCCGATAAACTCTTGCCATCACTTCCACCTCATGCCTCTCCTGAACCTGACGTACTTAGCTCTCAAACAAATGGCGATACGACGACTGGAGCTGGAACTGCCCCGATACAAGTACCCGCCCCAAAGAGCGCACCGAAACAAGTGCTGGGAAGGAGAAATTCATGGATTTCAAGTCTGAGCTCGAAGTTTTCTTCTGGCTCCACTCCGCCGTCGCAATCCCACATGAAGGCCCAGGCATCCCCTAAAGCAAGCTCACCTGTAACCAAGCTCGATTTGCATAACCCCTTTGGAGCAGCCTATTCCCCAAAAGATAAGGAAGAGGAGAAAAGGGATGAGAACGTTCCGCTCACCTCTACTTCTCCGAGAGGCCATTCTTTCCTTCAGAATGCCTTTAGAAAACTCTCTTCGTCGGCTTCCGGAGGGAGCAAAGTGGCTCACCATGGTTTTATTTGTGAGCGCCGTGTGCTGAACATAGATCGTGATCGAGACAGGTGCAAAGTTTCGGATCTCAATCAGGCAAAGCTGCACCGTGTTGCCTTTTGTGTTGATGTCGAGATTGCAGGCATATCTCGCAGGGAGTCTGACGAGGAAAGCCCTCCTGGAAACACAGCCCGACGTCATGTGCCGGATACGAATGGCCACAAGCCAAGACGAACCAACTCTAAATCTAAGAACAAGGAAGATCCGGCTTCAGCGAAGAACCCGCAGCCCGTTGCCGCGAATACAGAAGGCGAGAATGAAACCCCTACCGCAAAACCTAGCTCCCCAGAGACCTCGCCGAATGAAGCTAAGTCCAATGGTGAAAGCAGGGAGCCAACAAGGAAGCAGGAAAAGAAAAAGCGATCAGAAGAAGAAAGACGCGAACGAAGAGAAAGAAAGCGGAGATTGGCCGAAGCAAACGGCTCCATTCCTATGCAATTAACCGCTGATGATGACGAAGGTGAGCCTCGACCAACTGCACCTGGGGCCAGTCGCCCTGGAGCACAGAGTCATCCAACGACAGACCCGATCCGAATCTATCGACGCTGTTGTCAGTTGCGCGAAACACCGGTGCTCAAGCGGATAGTGGACGAGATTTCCTCGCCATCTTCTACACTTGCAGAGTCTCCCGGAACCGTTGCCGTTCTCAACCTTGCTAATTTCCCCATGACCCCTGAGGATACCGCCACATTCTGTGACTGGTTGGCTGTTGTACCAGTCCGGAAATTGATTTTGGAGAAATGTGCCCTGACAGACGATTCAGTTCGCGCTATCTTGTCTGGCTTGCTTTCTACCAAGACCGTAGAGCAAATGAGGCGGAGGCGCGGGAAAACTAGAAAGTCCAACACTGAACCTCTGGAAAAGGTGGAGAGATACAGTGTGATAGAAAGGCTGTCCTTGAAGGATAATCCTAAGATTGGCCCTGAAGGCTGGTGCCACATAAGCCTTTTCATTCATCTTTCAAAGTCATTGAAGGCAATCGATCTTTCAGGGATTCCACTCCCCAGGAACCCCACCTCACCGAACTGTTCAGGCCCCTCCGATTTGGATGTGAACACTGTTTTCGCAAATTCCCTTGCGCAGCGATTTGGTGGCGATCATCTCGAGGAACTTTTGCTCAGTGAATGCAAGCCTATTGCTGAGGACGTCAGAAAGATTTGCGATGCTGCTTCAACAGTTGGCTTGAGAAGGTTGGGCTTTGCCAACAATGACCTGACTCGAGAAGGGTTTGAGCATGTTGTTCATTACCTGGAGTCCGGCAAATGCGAAGGCCTTGATTTAGGCGGTAACCCTATCCGAGATGATTTGGATTTGATCACAGCTGCTATTGAGGGTGATCTTCCCCTTCAGGCACTGAGCCTGGCAGACTGCTTCCTGACGCCCTCTGCTATCTACCCACTGCTCCAGTCGTTAACACGCCTGCCTAACCTCCGGTTCATTGATGTTTCCCATAACCCAGCGTTGTTTTCGACTCAGCCAGATGCGTTGGCAACCTTCAGACGATTTCTGCCTAAAATGCCGTTGCTGAAACGTATCCATTTGGCTGATGTTAACCTCTCTCCTGACCATGCAATCGCCCTGGCTGAAATTCTTCCGGAATGCCCTAGTTTAAACCATCTCAACATACTAGAAAACCCTGCTATTGCTGCTCTTGCTTCTGCAAAGGACCCGGAAGCCCAGGAAGAGGCATGTGCTGTTTATGCATCTCTGATGGCAGCGGTGCGTGTATCCAAGACAATAATCGCCGTGGACATCGAAGATCCAAGTTCCAAAAACAACGAAGTTGTTAAAGCGTTGGCATCCCAGATAGTTGCCTACTCTCTTCAAAACCTCGAACGAGGTGCCTTGGAAGCCGAGCTTTCCGACAGCACTGATTCGTCACTCTCACGGTCAGGTGTCCCGGTTCCTGAGATTTTGCAGCATATTGTGGGCCATAGCTTTGGCGATCCAGGAGGTGACGACGACGATGATCCTGCCCCTGATGAGGATTACGTTATTGGAGGCACTGGTGTAGTCAAAGCTTTGGGGGTGTGTCTTGGAAATTTGGACCACAATATGCCAGGGGATGTGTCTGGGCCCCCCAGCGGTACCACAACCCCAAAACGTCGGAAGTCTCGGTCATATGTTGCGAAGCGGCCACGCGACATGTCGAGAAACCTTCTGGAATCGGCCCGCAATATTCGGACTCGAATCCAGTCTGCACTTGTGCGCGAGGACCGGGCCGGAAATGATAATAACTACAGTAAGCATTTTTCTGTGTTTCACCCTAAATTTCACTAACGTGTTGATTTCATCCTATCAGGGCGCCTTCTTTTCCTGGATTTTACATTACAGAAGATGATTCAGCGATTTGAGGATGAGTACCCGGAAACTCGAATTGCACCTCAACCTATCAAATCCAATCCCGAGACAAGTTCGCAGAACTCTGGAGACGATGGAGGTCTTGCACATAGTTTCAGTAACATGCAGTCGAGCGGCTTCAATGCTGATAATGAAGTTGCTGTCGACGACGATGATGTTGATCATTATGCTCTTCGTCTCTCACGGACCAGCTCTATTACATCTCTCCATTCTCGTGCGATGACATCCGAAGAAGGTCATGTTCACCGTCTTGGGCAAAACATTCGCCGGGACTTTCTTAACCCTCCCCGGGACCACCAGGATGAAGACCTACCACCTGATTTTGTGGAAGAGTCTCACGTTACAGCTTTACGTGAGAAGCTCGATCGCTTACACGAAGAGCAAACTCGATCTCACTTTGAAAGCGTGGGAGCAGACAAAGCATTTGAAGAGTTAGGGTCAACTGTGGAGGAGCTATGGGCGATTCAACGGCAGGATTCAGAAGCCTTTGAAAGATTTAAGCAGAGCCAAATCGCTGCACAGATCAACAGCGGTAAAAGAACCTCCTCTTTACCTGCTCGTAGCAAGTCGTGAACTCCCACCCACTTGGCCCCTATATCTGTTTGTCTGGATGCGCCATTGCGCCTAATGCGATATATTACCCTCAACCGGTATTGCTGGTCGATAGCACTCATATTTTACCATTCCTGTGCGTCAGTATCATGTGCTTACTTCTCTGCCTTGCTGGGGAGTTTTAACCTGTACATATCTACCGGTCATATCGACCACGGTTACGGTCTATGTTATATACTGGATCTTATGTCTGACGGACACCTGATACTATACCTACAACTTATTTTTATTTCGGCCTGATCGGAACTTTCGGACGAATACCAAGGGGCTTCCATGTGTTTTGGTTCTGTGCATCCAGGGAATCGTGAGAATGGAGGACCTTCGGGTGTATTTGGGATGGGATACTCAAATTCGTCAACTATAGAAATAGCGACGGGCGTAAGATGGGCATGTCCTTTGGTTCTTATTATCGACCACCTGGTAGTAGTATATAAGTGTAACTTGCGTGTCAGATGATCTGCACGTGCTGCGATGTTGATTTTAGTTCGAATTGTTCTCGAGAATGCTGCTTGTCTCTTGAATGCAAAAAAGGAAGAAGATCACTTAACGCTCTAAAAACGCCTTTATTTATCGCTGAAATCATCTTATTCATCCCTGCTGTACGCTGTACGAGATAACTAACTAGTTATTGGGCGACTTCGACCTTAGTCACTCATCCTCGGTTCGCTGTGCATCCCCCAGAAAGCTGGGGAGCCGCCCCGTTCACATGCCATTTCCTCCTGCAACTTGTCAACCGTCATGTCATGATCCTCAACTTTCCTCTTCTTCATACACCCACAACCTGTTTGTCACTCTGAATCGGACCTTGGCGGTCCTTTTGCTCTCCAGACCAAGGTTCCCCAACGGCCATGTTGGCTTACGTCGACTCTGGGTAAACTCCGTTTTCTATCCCTTCTGTGAGCGGCCGCCCTCATCCTCCCTCCGGCGCGATGGCTGCTCAATCGAAACTGCTCCTCCCCGAACGCTCTGTACGGCAGCTCTTCTCTAGCATAGCATCACTATACCTCCGTAACCGGACCAAGATCTCTCGCACAGTTTATCTTGCTCTCTTCGCAGCCCTTGTCAAACGCATCCATAATGCCATCTCTGAGCAGAAGGCGGCCTCGCAACATCAGGTGGAGCTGCGCCGAAGACCTGGAACCAGCAGTCTCGGTGGCGGCGGCGATAAACCACGGATAAAAGTTGGCGTGAATCGAGAGTTCTTTCGGAATTTGGCTCGTCTGCTGAAGATTGTCATCCCCAGTTGGCGCAGTAAAGAGCTTCGCCTGCTGGTTAGCCACAGTGTCTTCTTGGTGCTGCGGACTTTGCTTAGTCTCTACGTGGCCGAGCTGGATGGTAGATTGGTCAGTAATTTGGTCCGGGGGAAGGGAAAGCACTTCTTGCTAGGGCTAGTTTGGTGGATGATTGTTGCGGTACCTGCAACATTTACGAATTCTATGGTGAGTTATGCAGTGCTTTCTTCTTCTTCTTTTTCCTTTGGCTGGACTGCGAGACTGTCTGATGGGCAGGCCGTTGAACTAACGTATCTTGATTTGCTGGCTAGCTTTCTTATCACCAATGCAAGCTCGCTCTCAGCTACCGAAAGCGCCTCACCGATCACATTCATGAGAAATACCTGAAGAACATGACTTTCTATGCGATTTCCGCTTTGGACGACCGGGTTAAGAATCCTGACCAGTTAATCACAGTGGATGTGTCTCGATTCTCCGATAGCTTGGCGGAACTATATTCCAACCTTGCCAAGCCGATTTTGGACATGGTTATCTACAACTACTCACTTTCCAAGAGTGTGGGCGGCGAAGGCCTCTTCATTATGAGTCTCTTGGTTCAATTATCCGCTAACGTCATGCGCGCCTTAACACCGCCATTTGGCAAATATGTCGCGGACGAGGCCCGTCTGGAAGGTGAATTCAGATTCCTACATTCGAGATTGATCGACTACAGCGAAGAGATCGCGCTATACCATGGCCACGAGGCGGAGAAGGATACTCTAGATAAAGGCTATTTCACACTGATTAGACATGTGAATCGCATTCTGCGGAGGCGTTTATACCATGGCTTTATGGAGGATTTTGTTATAAAATATTTCTGGGGCGCTTTGGGTTTGATTCTATGCAGTATTCCTGTCTTCTTTAAGGTTCCTGGTCAAATCACCCAGACTATGGGAGACCGTACAGAGAGTGAGTGTCAGCGTTCCAAGGCAACTGCTCTATTTTAAACTAACTAGCTCCTACAGGTTTTGTCACGAACCGACGAATGCTACTATCTTCCTCGGACGCCTTTGGTCGTTTGATGTTCTCCTACAAGGAGATTTCAGAGCTGGCAGGCCATACGGCCCGTGTTTCCTCATTACTGGAGGTCATGGATGACCTGCTGGCCGGGCGCTTCGAGAAAAAGCTGGTCTCCTCCGCTTCAACAGAGGAAAACGCGGCCGTCTTGTCTGGCCGCGGAGTCGTCGAGGAAAGCGACTCCATCGAGTTCACCGAAGTCCCCATCGTGTCGCCCAACGGCGACGTACTCATCCGGAAGCTAACCTTCACCGTCCATCCTGGCGACCATCTCTTAATCGTTGGTCCCAACGGATGCGGCAAATCATCCCTTTTCCGAATCCTCGGCGGCCTGTGGCCCGTCTACGGCGGTAGAGTAAAGAAACCCCGCTTCGACGAGATCTTCTACATCCCTCAACGCCCTTACCTCTCCCGGGGCACTCTCCGCCAGCAGGTCATCTACCCGGACGGCCTGCGTGAGATGCGCGCAAGAAACATCACCGACGAAGACCTATATGAAATCCTTTCCATCGTTGAAATCGCGTCTGTCGTTGATCGCCCCGGCGGCTGGGACGCCGAAGAAGAATGGCGCGATGTGCTCTCCATCGGTCTCCAGCAGCGCATAGCAATGGCCCGGCTCTTCTACCACCGCCCGAAATTCGCGATTCTCGACGAGTGCACCTCCTCCGTAACCCTGGACATCGAACGAGTCATGTACGAGACGGCCAAGAAACTAGGCACAACCCTCATGACGGTCTCCCATCGTAGAAGTCTCTGGAAGTACCATAGGAAGATTCTCCAGTTTGACGGGCAAGGCGGGTATGTCTTTACAGCGCTGGACTGGGAAAGAAGAATGAAGCTCGAGGAGTACGTCCGTCCCCTTCCTTTCCTTTCTCTCTCTCTCTCTCTCTCTGGATAGTCTCTATTCCTGAGCTCATTATCCAATGCTAACTTATATGATTGCAGTGAGAAAGAAGAACTAGATCTCCACCTTCGTGCTGTCCCAGAGCTTCGGAAACGTATGGCCGAGCTAACATCTTTTTAACTACGTTTGTCAGTTAGCCACTCTTCTACTATACTACTATATTATTATGCTTATGTGGTTATGTGGTTATGCTATCTTCCAGAGGCGAAATCGTATACGTTCTCTTATGTTTTGTGTATTTGAGCATGTACATGGAGTTGCAAATTGCGTGCCTGAATGGCTGGTCTAGTTGACCTAACTAGACTTTTGTGCAATGCTGCCATCAAGATTTGGGTCTTTGTGTTTTTTTTGGCAGTGTTTATTTGTTTGCTACATAGATACCAATCGAGTACTTCTTTGATTTGTTTGGACTTCACGTACTTGGTAAGATACAGAATTATCCAAGTGTGGACAGCCGTAACTCGTCACGTACCTAGGTATCTCATGATAACCTAGGTCTTAGGCATAAAAATAAACGAGTCATCAAAACACATATCAAAGTCACAACATTCAGGCAGGAAAAAAGACTTCTCAAGCATAGTAAAGAACAGCAAAGCAGCCAAGGTAAACAAACCAACTAATCCTCCACCGGAAGTGGTTCGACATTCCAAATACTATCTGCATACTCATTAATCACTCGATCAGTCGAGAAGAAGCCCATGCGTGCAACACTCGTAATTGACTTCGAAACCCACTCTTCCTGGTTCGCGAAGGCTTCATCGACCAGTTTCTGCGCTTCGATATAAGAGTTGAAATCATCCGAGACGAGGTAGTAGTCGCCCTGATCGGTGATCGAGGCGACCAGCGCGGAGAAATCGTTGGCGTCGCCGAATACACCGCTGCGAATAGCGTCGAACACTTTGGCTAGTTTTGGGTCGAGGGTAAAACTGCCACCGTAGTAGTGGCTGTGGCGGATCTTTTCAACGTCTTCGGCGAGATTTCCGAAAAGGAAGATGTTGTTTTCGCTGATTTCGCGGGTGATTTCGATCTGTATAATTGAATTTAGCAAGCAAACAAGCACGACTGGATAGTATATATAGGATTTGGGAGGCGAAAGAGGAGGACCTACATTGGCACCATCACAGGTCCCGATAATTAAGCCACCATTGAGGACGAATTTCATATTACTGGTCCCGCTGGCTTCGGTTCCCGCTGTGGAGATGTGTTCGCTGATATCGGAGGCCGGACAAATAATCTCGGCCTTGCTGACGTTGTAATCTTCGATGAAAATCACTTTGAGGAGGTCTCCAACGTCCGGGTCATTGTTTACCACAGAAGATACTTTGTTGATAAGGTGAATGATTGTTTTGGCCATCCAGTAGCCTGGTGCGGCTTTACCGCCAAAGATAGAGACTCGGGGCTGGGTTTTTTTCTTTTCCTCGGGGGTCATGGACTTGATTGTGAGGTATCGGTGGATGACGCCAAAGATGTTGAGCTGCTGGCGCTTATACTCATGGATACGCTTCACTTGAATATCGAATAGCGCTTCTGGGTTCACTTGGTACCCGGTAGTGTCTTTGATGTGTTTGGCAAGCCGCAGCTTGTTGAATTTCTTGATTTCTGCCCATTCACGCTGGAAATTCTTGTCATCGGCAAATTGCTCAATTTGTTCCAGAAGGGTCAAATCTGTCAGGAATTGGTATCCTCCAAGCTTGGATGCAATCAACTCGGACAAGCGAGGGTTGGCCTGGTGTAACCACCGGCGGGGGGTGATGCCATTTGTGACGTTCGTGAACTTGTCTGGGCCATAGATTGTGACAAAGTCGCTAAAGATGGTCGTCTGAATCAGATCTGAGTGCAACTCCGCCACACCATTGACCTTGTGCGAGCCAATGATAGCCAAATAGGCCATTCTGATCATCTTTGGGTGCGACTCTTCAATTATTGAGACACGTGAGAGAATATCCCTGTCATTCGGGAATTTCCTTTCCACCTGTTGCAGGAAGAACAGGTTGATGTCGTAGATGATCTGCAAGTGTCGAGGGAGAAGATGTGACACCAAGGGAACAGACCACTTCTCCAAAGCTTCCGGTAAAACAGTATGGTTGGTATATCCAAATGTATTGGTTACAATATACCATGCTTCATCCCAGTCAAGGCCTTCCTGATCAATGAGAATGCGCTGTAGCTCAACAATTGCCAGGGTTGGATGGGTGTCATTAAGTTGAATAGCGATCTGTTCTGGAAATTCTTTCCATGCACGCTTGGTCTTCTTGAATCTGCGGACAATATCATATAATGAGGCAGCGCACCAAAAGTATTGCTGCTTCAGCCTGAGCTCCTTTCCTCTATCCAAATTATCGTTTGGATAGAGGACCGCAGAAATCGTTTCAGCACGCTGCTGATCCGCCACTGCACTCTCGTAGTCACCAGCGTTAAACTTCTGGAAATCGAATTCTCCACTAGCTGCTTTGCTTGACCAAAGTCGGAGATTGTTCGTTGTGCGAGTTCCGTAACCCGGGACTGGGACATCATAGGCCAGAGCCTGAACTGTTTCGCCACCCTCCCAGATAGAAACGGTCCTGCCATCACCATCTTGAGTCTTTGAAACATGGCCATAGAACTGGATGTCGACTGTGATTTCGTGCCGGGGGAACTCCCAGGGGTTAAAATCAAGCCAATAATCAGGGACCTCGACCTGGTACCCGTTCACTATTTCCTGCTTAAAGATGCCATAGCGATAACGTAACCCATAGCCCCACGCAGGGTAGTTCAAAGTTGCAAGACTATCCAACAGACAAGCTGCCAGGCGTCCAAGTCCACCATTGCCAAGAGCAGCGTCATGTTCTTGGCTGATAACATCTTCAATCCGGAAACCCAAATCATTCAGACCCTCTAGGTATTGATAGTTAGCCTCCGTGACCTGTCTTGAATCAAGCTTTCTTCTTACCTTTTGCAACGTCTTTCATTCCGACATTGAGCATGGCATTGTCAAGGGCTCTGCCCATCAGAAACTCGAGGGAGAGATCTAGAGAAAGCAATCAGTCTGTGGCAGCTCGGAATCAATTGACGACAATGTGATAATGTCTCACAGTAAACTCTCTTTTGATCAGCAAAGGTCTGTCTCTGCTGTGTTTTGTTCCATTCAATAATCAAACGGTCCCGGAAAGCCAGCGCAGTCCCAGAATATGCAGCCCTAGGATGATTATTATTAGGGGGTTGGCCCTAGGTAAAACAAGACGAAACCCAAGAAAAAAGGGAGTAGTCAAAGACACACAATTCATCGCAATTATATAGAGAGCGTGCTAGGGTTGTTTCCACATGGCGAATCAATTCGTGCTGTCTCGAGGATAAGCAAAATATCCCAACTTATCCAAAGTGGCTCAGATGTTGCATACTTCAAACTCATCTTTGTTCGCAAAGCCATTCGCAGACTAGTTGGGATCAATGATTTAGCAGGGAGCACTAGAACGAGGAAATCTGCCTTTGTTCCCTCACATGTTTCAACCATCTAGTGATAGTATCCAATTAGTAAGAATAATAAGGTCAATTGGATGGAATTGAACACAAAGAGACCCATCGTTTGGGGGATTCAAGTTGCACAAGAAAAGAAGGAGCCACTCACGCCTCCCTCAGCGCCTCGGGAATGCTGGCCTCGACATTTTTGATCTCTGCCCTTCCAAACCCAGTATAGTTGCGCTTGTGTTTTGGACGACTGAACCCAGGGCCAATTGGACCTTGAAGACTGGAGACTGGAGCTCCCACGGAAGGTCTTCTTTCGCGACGGCTTTCAGACATGATGGGGATAGTGGCGGAGTGGCACGGATGGAGATGTCTAGAGCTAGGATTCTAAGGTTCTCAAGTTAGGGGAGGAAATACAGAAACAGCAGGGGGGAAGATAAGAAAAAGGAAATTCACTGTATGATTGAATAATTAAAGAACAGGATCGAAGGGAAGAGCAGTACAGCTCGTTGGGGAAAGAGGGAGAGAGAGTGGAGAGAGAGAGAGAGAGAAAGACGAGATGAGAAGAAGAAAAAGCCTCCTCCACCCAAGAATCCCGTGACAAGGATGCGAGGATAAAAGCATGGAAAGATGGGAAGATTGCAGGAGGGGTACTCAGCATGGGGGGTGCATGGAGTAGAGGACCAAGATGGTTTGATGTTCTGGCTACCAATCCGGATGGGGTTTCAAGAATGGAGGAGCTGCCTAGACTCTGGTCGACTACGAATTGTTCAGAATTCAGATAGGTAAATGAATGTTACGCTAACTAGTCAGGAGTAGAGTAAGCCATGGATGGGTGACTCTATAACGCATGCTCTCGGACCTAGGGAAATTATAGGTAATTAGTATCGCGTTCTTAGCGGGATCTTCCTCGTATTATTCTCATCTCATGTACATATTTCATAACCAAGGACCCGGCCTGACTAAAGATTCACTAGTTATAGTTAACTATGGCTTGATCTTTGCTCAGTAACCCCGCTTGCCTCTGGGATTAAAATTCACAGCACATACTATACTACCTAGGTATCGTCATGTAGAGTCTGAGTTTATTGAAATTATTAAATATGGCGGTGGATCAATAGAAAATATAATAACAGATGTGTAGCACAGATAATGTAGATTGTATGGTATAATTCGGGGATTCCCACATCAAGTACAACATAAGCACCCAGATCACGGGAAACAAATCATGTTAAAGAAAGCACAAACTGAAAGACGCAATGAGGAAGGAAATCTCGGAGGACATGAGACAGGATATCAGAAGCCCTCATGCAGAATATGTGCAAGGTGGTGCCGAGGCTCGCAACTTTTTTTTAGATCAAAATACGAGGCATGCTCACGAATCCTAAGCCAGTAAGGAGATCCTCGAGGAAACGGAGAGAGAAAAGAAAATATCATGCCAAAAATAGAACAATGCAGGTAGAGCTGCTTCAAAGCACTTGTCCACCCAGACTCAGGATGGAGCAATAGGAGAGAGAGAGAGAGAGAGAGAGAGAGAAAATAAATATAATTATGAGGAGAAAGCTGCAAGCTTCATGCCAGAAATATCCAAGAAAACAAATCCAATCCAGCGCCAAACAGATTAAGAAGTAGAAGTGATATCGATGCCGGTGCGCCAAACACTCCCCGCCGAAGACATAAAAAGGGGAATATAATTAGAAAGGAAAATCAGAAAAGAACGTCAGAGCCGTCAAGAGAGCTAAAGGGGGCTAAGGAGGAGATGTGATGTGATCATGAAAGCTCAGATTATGGGTCGCGTGAAAGACGTACGTCGGATTCAGGGAATAAAGTAAATCTCGACGATAGGGTTGTATAGGTGACTGGAAAGGCTATTTAATAGCCTTATAAATACCGGTCATGAGAAATTCGCTTTGGGTACGTCTGATGACCAGAGGTGTTTTGCTCTACAGAATACCCGAATCTTTGAGGGCATTTTGCAAGATGGTCTCTTTCACCGCAGCAAATACTAGCCGAATATTCGTTGTGTCGGTGGCTTGTGTTAGGCTTTTGCGTAGCAAGATTTGTTAGTCCTCCAAGAGCAACAAAAGGTGGGGATGAGTCAGGACTCACTGAGGATAAAGATTCAGGTGTGCTCTATTGACCTGGTTAAACCTCCAGAGAAGGTATTTCGCTGCGCGATTCACATCATTACCACCGGAATAGTCGGGGAAGTAGTTGCTCAAGGGCGAGCGAGGGAGCTTTTGCCGGAAAAGATCGACCTTGTTCAGGAAAAGAATAATGCTCGTTCGTATGAACCATCTAGAATTGACAACAGAATCAAAGAGCACCAAACTCTCCATCATTCGGTTCTAGAGCATGTTAGAGGCGAGATAAAGAGGAACAAGTGATAAAAATGTTACATACTTGGTTACCTTCCTCCAACAACACCTGGTCATACTCACTCAGTGCGACACAGAAGATAATTGAAGTGACATTTTCAAAACAATGAATCCACTTCTTTCGTTCACTACGCTGTCCACCGACATCGAACATACTATTTGGATGTTAGTTTCGAGGGTGAGATAGTCATAGAAATAAGACGATTCCGTACTGGATACTCAGTTGGCCCATTGTGAACCGGGTTTCGTAAATACCCGTCGTCTTGGTTCTGGCGCGAAGAACATCATTGACATTCGGGATGTAATCTGGTGCTGTGATGCGCTTTGCCTCTTCAAAAAAGCTAAGAAAAAAGGAGGTTGTTCAGTATGCGTAGTCTCAGAAAAAAAGCTTAGAAGCGCCGATCCTTACTAAGGTGCCGAATCCATCAAGTAGAATTCATTCTGTCGTTCTAACGCGGTGGATGTGCAGGGGTCATTCCAAAGATATGTTATTGCATCTCCTACCCCAGAGTCTAGAGGTATATTGGGATCTGGGTCGATATTATAGTCGGAAAGAAATTGAATATGGTCGCGGACCTTTTGGCTTGATGGTTCGAGGCTAAATTGGTGGTAGGCCCCAATAAGAGCTTTTGTGCATTCGAGAAGATTCTTATAAACTGTTAGACGGTATAGCGCCAACTCCTCAACAGTGTAACCGTTCTGGTGGATAATTTTCATCTGCTTGACGATTGTTGATTTACCACTTTCGCCAGAGCCTTGAATCAGAGGATGCGCATTAGCTCAACGGTATGATAAAAAAAAAAAGGCCACGGACCAGGCAAAGAAAGTGAAACAAAAAAAAAAGAAAGAAAGAAAAAAAGGAAAGGAAAGGAAATGGATATGACACACCAAGCAGCAAGATCTTGCATTCTCGTCGTAGTCGCCTAGAGTCTTCTTCTAATCTGCGATCGATTGCTTGACTTCTCTTCTTTTGCTCCACGTCCCCTGTTGACTCCGAACTGAAACAAGAACCCATTTTTTGTTTCGAAACTGTCTCCCCGACGGTGTGGAACTAAACCATTAGCTGCTTGCTGAAGTGAACCGCATCAGCCGGTTAAGACAGCAAGACCCGTAACTCCCGCAGGGGAGTGCTGGACAAGCAGGCGGTGCCCCTACGATCCCGAAGGGTCGATTCCCCAACGACGGATAGTAAGTGGTGCGATAGGGCAGGGGAGGGGCGCTGCTGGGTTGCTGGGAAAGAACGATAGCTTTGCGATAGACGACGAAGTTCGATGAGAGATCGAGGCCAGAGGGTTGAAGCCAGAAATAGGAACCACAGGAAAAGGATTAGGTGTCGGGCGAAGGCCTAAGCGACGATTGCAAGCTTCCGGATCGGAGATGATGGCTTGTGGCGCGGGACAATGAAACCAGGCAGACGAAGAGACGAGATGCAAGACAGAGTACCAATGTGTAGGAGAAGTTGTCTCGCCTGGCAGGTTGATTGGAGTGAGGGGTGACCGGATTCAACTGCGGAGGAGAAAGGCGTGTGAGAATGACGAGCCGACGCTAAAAGGGTACCAGAGGTCGATCGGGGGATGATGTGGGAGAGTGGATGGGGGCGCGGATCTCCAGTCAGATAATGTAAGCAACGAGGACCAGATTATTACAATTAGTTGACTACCTAATTATTATTATTATTATTATTATTATTATTATTATAGAATGTAATATCGAACCATTAGGGAAAATAGGGTGGAGGGGAGGTTCTTTTAACACAACCTACGACTAGGTGAAAATTGCGAGTAAAATGATGGGAATGCAAGGTGAGAGTCTTCAACGTCAGACAGTCGATTACCTGGTGGTATTGTTATTACGGCCTCCATCTTCTTACTGGCCCTTTGGTTCTTTGACATTCTAGGTACTCCGTACTCTCAGCTAGGACTGACTACATCCACCATCAGCACGGATGCCGGTTCCCATCATATCGATGGGTTTGATAGGTGCAAGTGGAGTTGGGCAGAGAAAAGAGGATTTGTTCTGTACGTAACTCACACCTCATCTCGATCGCAGGGGCAAAAGTGGAAATTTGAAGTGGACTTGGCTGGTGGACGGTGGACCGGCAAAGCTAACCGCTGATGACAGTCAGTCTGTGATATAGTTACGTCGTACAAGTTCGATCTCACTTAATATGGGTAAAGAATTAAAACTGAATAATAGTCAGTTAACTAGGTAGTTTACCCTTTTTTTCTCTGTGTTTTATCCTCTGTCAGATGTCAGTGTTTTTAGGACCAAGTTTAGTACATGTAATACCAAGTACCTAACTCACTAGTAGTTTTGGGGCCTTACTTGATCTTTATCGACTTGCATATCTACCTCCCTAGTGAACAAATAATAGCTTAACATGCACCTGCCAGCCAGATCTAGAGGTGAAAATTTCCCATAGGCAGTAATCCACGATATGATCCAATACCTTCAAATGACAATCAGGCGGAGCACAAACCACCTTTTCCCGTCCAACCAGACCACTTCACTCACTTCCTGCTTTTCCGTCCCGTCCTAACTGCTCGTCCGAGCGCTTCAGCCTCCGATTAGTCCACGAAACACGTGATGTCAACTTGAATCACATGACGTCCGATGGGGCACGGAGGACTCTGTTCCAGCCTCGGGGGTGGTGGCGCAGCTTGATCTTGGCAATTCAAGCCTCCTATTCTTCCTCGGAAGTGCCTCAGCATAAACCTCTCCTCTTGCAGTCGACTCAAGTTCATCTCAGACCTCGAGAACCTCATCTCATAGAAAGTTACCCATAATTGCCGTGAACCCATCATGGAGTATGAATATGGACACAGCTTTTAACTATTTGTTGCTTTGAGTTTGCAACTCCCCTGATCATCGGAGATTTTACTAGTTACTAGCTTCTGTGATTAGTGCTTCCTGCATATCTTGCAATATTCAATGTTAATCCCCTCATAGATATCCTGTTTGTGTCTTGTGGCTGGTCAATGGATGTTGAATTGAATTGCTGCTTTAGGATACAGTCAAGCGAGATTGATTCGATAGTAATTCTCTATCACCCCCGGGAGGTCTCTTCAGTCAAACCGAGAAAACAAACGTACGCTTCCACAACATTTGGAAAGCAGGTAACTAAGAAGTAAGAACTTACTGTAGATCCACTTCGGCTCCTGATCGTCCGAACATCGACAGGAGAAATTTCCACATGGTCGATCATCCTTCTATTTCTTGTCCGCGAGAGATTTAGAACCCCGTCCGTCCTTTATTTCCCAATTACATCGCCATCACAATATTCCGTACGTGGTGGTGTCTATATTTCGGAGGAGTGGCGTGGTAAACTGCATTAAGTTGATATCGGCTGCAGCGACCTGAGGCTCAAGCTGCTAGGCAGGCTTGCATCCTGCAGGTAGGTGGGCTAACTGGTAATGTTATATGCCAGTAACAAATATCTTTTCAGCCCGATTAAGCGGGTACTATGCTGGACAAGTCAACAAGGCATTGGGGAGGGAGAATTGAAGTTAATGCTGCCTCTCATGAACTCCAAACCCCCTCAGTTCTTGCAGTCCATCTGAGATGTATACTTCCCTAGATACTCCGGAGTAGACTCGGCTTATGACTCCTTAAGGTAGTACTGGTACACATAATTTGGAGAGAAGTACAATTACTTTAATAAAGGTTATTTCCTTTGTTTCTCCCGGGATATTATTAAACAAGAAAACATTCCATGATTATTGAGGACAAATCGTATTTTTTTTTTTATATAGAAAGGCTTATGAACGTAGTAAAAGGGTAACTGATGGGATCCTCACCAGGAGGATGTCAGTGCGCTGGGCACTGGGCACTGGGCACTGAGCACTGAGTATTGGGAACTGTGTTGGTTCCCTTCTCTTCTAAACATCCTGTAGATGTTGTACTAGTTATAGGACAATCTATCTCTCAAAGCCCGCTTGTGCTACTAAGTAGAGAGTAAGTAGTAAGTAGTAGTTGTCAGATCTGTAACTAATATAATACTCCTATTATAATAACATACTGACTACCTACAATACATTTATTCTACAACTATACTACTTGCTACTACTATCTCTCTAGGTAGTAAAGTAGTGGCCGGACAGGGTTTGAAATCAAACTCAAATATGAAAGATCTGGATACAGGGTACTTTTGTCGTTCAATATGGATTAATTAACTGATACTTTATTGGATAATAGAATAAATTCAGGCTGAGGAGACCTCTAATATAAAGAATATATATGTATGGGTGGAAGGGGTATATCTTGCCTTACGGAAGCTGAAAATCCTCTATAACAAGGGCAAGCAATATTGGGGAGTATGACTTGACCGCCTGGGAATCTGTTCCCTGAACCAAAATAGTAACTCGATTTAGTTATTCGGATGAAGATGAACTGACTCTTTGTCTGATCGATAAATGATATTGTATGGACATACATTGGAGCAGAGGACTAGATCTGCTGAATCTATATGTATGCGTACTACAATGGTGGTTGTTGGGTTAACAAAACATCCGTGTCGACTTAATACATAGTAGCAATCAATTAATTGCATAGGAACTTCAGGTACTGCGATCCGAGAACCACCCGGAAATCAAGGACTAGACCAGACCACATTATAGGTCTCGAAAATCCTATTAAACTACCCCTCCGTTCATTGATGTTCATTGATAGTTAGTTAGTGAAGAACTACCGTATCGTTATGTAAGCATGATGGGATTTTTCCTGATCTTGGAGTAATATTCCGGCCAATGCTTGACCGGATCCCAACCAGGCCGTGTGGGTGAATTACTTTGCCAACGTTTCCCAACTTCAGGTGCGAAGTGTTCTGTTTCTTTTTTCAATCGTCTGCTATCTTGTGTTGCGAACGTCATCGGGCTTCTTTTTTGGCGTGGCAGCGAGTTGGAAACTTGAATGCAACGAACTAGGACTCGGAGTTGTTTCCCCACACAGACTGCTGGGCGCGCCACCACGGCTTTGGCTGCCCTCTCGTCATTTCATCACCTTCGATAAAACAGCATCTCAGTAGTAGGCCTGGTCTCGTTCCTCTCGTTTCCCTCCCTGTTCTTCCATCTCGAAATCTCTGCTGCAAGTACGATCCGTCGAGTTTCAATCACCGCAAGGCCATCTCCACGCTCTCTATTCCACCTGGATCTGGTGTCCCTCCCCCTCGTTCCAAAATGGCGGAATTCGTGCGTGCCCAGATCTTCGGCACCACCTTTGAGATCACCAGCAGGTTCGTCTTCTTCTCTCGAGAGCCTTAGATCGAATGCGAATTCGTTTGTAACCTTGACTACGTTATAGATACACAGATTTGCAGCCTGTGGGAATGGGTGCTTTTGGACTGGTCTGGTATGGTTTAAACCCCTCTCTGGCCTCCCCCGCCCCGCCGACGCCTCCCCTCTGTTCGCATCTATACGGAGCTGACATACTTTTTTTTTTTTTTTTCTGGGAGATAGTTCGGCAAGGGATCAATTGACTGGACAGCCGGTTGCCGTTAAGAAGATTATGAAGCCTTTTAGTACCCCAGTTTTGTCCAAGAGGACATATCGCGAACTAAAGCTTTTGAAGCACCTACGGCATGAAAATGTTGGTTAACGCCCAATCATTTCCTTATTGCGCTGCAGCAGTAAGAGATGCTAAGAGTGAAATAGATCATTAGCTTAAGCGATATCTTTATTTCCCCGCTTGAAGATATGTACGTCGCAGACTCCTCTTGAATCTGACCCCGAGCATTCTTGAAGGATTCTAACAAAAGTGTTGCAGCTACTTTGTGACAGAACTTCTTGGAACTGATCTTCACCGGCTTCTTACTTCACGACCGTTGGAGAAGCAGTTTATTCAGTATTTCCTCTACCAGATTTTGGTATGTGTTCGCGACCGAGAAGAGTGAGGTTTCGATCTGGACATCTCGCGCTAACGAGCTGCAGCGAGGACTGAAATACGTCCATTCGGCAGGTGTTGTCCATCGTGACCTGAAGCCCAGCAACATTCTTATCAACGAAAACTGCGACCTCAAGATTTGCGATTTCGGCCTCGCCCGTATTCAAGACCCTCAGATGACAGGATACGTATCGACTAGATACTACCGAGCACCAGAAATTATGCTCACGTGGCAAAAATACGACGTGGAAGTAGACATTTGGAGTGCGGCTTGTATTTTCGCCGAAATGTTGGAGGGAAAGCCATTGTTCCCCGGAAAGGATCATGTCAATCAGTTTTCCATCATCACAGAGCTCCTTGGAACTCCCCCAGATGATGTTATACAGACAATTTGCAGTGAGAACGTAAGTCTGCGCGTGTTTTACTACCAACCAAATTTTCGAACTGAAAGCTGATTTCTTCGCCACAGACGTTGCGGTTCGTCAAGTCATTGCCCAAGCGCGAGCGCCAACCCCTGGCCAATAAATTCCGAAATGCAGATGCGGATGGTATGTGGCTCAATAATGAAATCTCTGAAATGTGTAGACCGAGGCACTAATTCGTTCCAGCCGTCGATCTTCTCGAGCGTATGCTTGTTTTCGACCCTAAGAAGAGAATTCGCGCTGGTGAGGCGCTTGCGCACGAATATCTCGCACCTTACCACGACCCCACCGACGAGCCCGAGGCAGAGGAGAAATTCGACTGGTCGTTTAATGATGCAGACTTGCCCGTAGACACCTGGAAAATTATGATGTGGGTTTTTCGGGCCCCATGTACCCCCATGTACACATCTTGGCACTATACTGACTTTTTGCGCATAGGTATTCGGAGATTTTGGACTTCCACAACATTGACCAAGGCACCGACGGAAACCAAGCTCTTGTCGAAGGAGCTGGAGATGGCCAGACGAGTTTTCAATGAACCTAACTCTATTTGATGGTGTGGATGCGGCGCAGGTAGCAACAAGAGCATGACGCCGAGAGCGTATTTCCCGCCTTTATTTTTATTTTTATTTTTTATTTTTTTATTTTTTCGTTCTTATATCGGTATGTATGTAGACTGGGTATTCATGATGAGAGCTGTGATATTGTTGATTTACGACCGTTTATTCCCAACACCTGCCTCTCCCCCGATTTTGCCTCTCCTTGTTTTTTTATCTATTCCCCCCATCCCAGTGTTCCTTCGTGATATCTTCCCTTTGTCATTTCCTAGGCGTATATACAAGCAGTGTCTCTGGGGTTGACCGATTTGGGGTCGGGGGGGTTGAATGCTCTGTAACACGAATTACTTCTTCCTTGCTGCTGACCATCTACCGCCATATGAAAAAATAAAAAGATATTAAACCTGGGTTTTACTATGCCGAAGATGTTGAGACAGATGGATATCCTCTGATAATACACTTACAGTTTTGAAATCTGTTGACCATCATCTCCCCGTGCTTTACATCAAGGCAAGAAAATCCTAATATTACCCCGATTAGCCAGAGCATGCTTAGAATATATACCAGCAATCCCCTTGCTAGTAGATTGGAAAGAGATCCGTTATTTCGAAGTTCAGCTTGAAGGCCGGAGGAGCAGCGAAGGTGGGGGAGGTCTTTCTTTCTTCATGGGGAACCGAACAGCATCGAGCTAATACATATGTAATCCCCCGGTCACCGCCCACTGAAGGAGCCAACCGACTTGGTGCTTGCTCCTCTCCATAACCCTCCAGTTCTTGCTTGAATTCACTGCTTTTCTCTTTTCATACGTGAGGAGACCCCTGTTTTACAATTTTGATCTTTGGGAGGGTCTCCCCCCCTTCTCTAGGGAGGAAATCAGCTTAGAACGCTCTTTCACTTTACTCACGGCCTCTAGTTACAGCAGTGTTTTTGCCCAACACAATGGCGCGTGTTCGGATGCACCAAGATCCAATTGTTATGGTTATTGACTTTCACCATGCTAGGTAAGCACCCACAGAGGATGAGGGCTGGAATTCGAATGGGAAACAACACAGAAGGCTGGGAGGGGGGAGGTGGCTTCAACGGCCATGCGGAACGTGTATCCCGCAACCACATTCCTAGGCTTGCGCTCTATTCTGTGGGGTTAACCCCAGTCCCCAACTCTGGAACATGCACCTTTGGGAGGCTGGATATATTCTCAGGCAATGATGTTTACTGACAGATGATCCTCACATAGGGGCCCTGAAATTGAACTATGCTTTGGTCCAGAAGGAACCGACCCAGCAGCCGAGAATGACTGGTCTCTGTTGCCATTCATGGCCCTTTCAGATGGAGCGCACTTGTACGAATCAGAATATACTTCCCCCGAGGATGGACAAATTACTGATGCGACTGTGGCGATTAGATCGACTGAGGAGTTCTCCTATTTCACCCTCCGGCGCAAAGCTACCGACACCGAGCCTGAGACCTCCCTTTTCGGTATCTCCTGCTCTCGACAAATTGATTCGAAGTCTCTTATCTATCGACCTGCGGATGTGACGCGGTCGACAGTACAAAAAGCGGTTGTTGTTGTGACGGATAATCCCAAGGACCTGGGGCAGCTTAGGGAGAAGCTATCCGTGGTGACGTCTGCATGGTTCGCGCAGCGGTATGTCTGTCAATTAGGATCATCTTGGCTCTGGATTGGTGGTGTTTGTGCTGGAGGAGGCATTTCGCTCGGGTTCCTGGCTGATGCACACGAAATGTAATAGGGACTTCTCGGACTTTGATATTTTGAAGGTTTGTGGGGTTGCTGGAGCTCCATTCGATACTCTTGCTAATCATGGTCTAGAAATTTCGCGAAGGGTTGGTTATCAGCCTGGAGAAAGGTGAAGCATCTAAAGATCAAACTCTCGGTAAGACTGGCCTCCCCTGTCCCTCATGAAAGGTAACATTCGGATATTGACCGGTGCGAAGGCCTCTCTTTACGCGAGATGATTCATGAGTTCAAATACCAGACTCTTGTTTTGTTCAAAGCCCTACTGCTACAACCAAAGGTACCACTGCTTGACGCCTTTCTGCTGCCCACGTTTATTGACGTTGCGTCTAGATGCTATTCTTCGGCACGAGATGCGAGCGCCTGTGCATGATTCAGTTTTCTCTTATTTCTCTTATCCCGGGCCTCATGAACCATCTTCAGGATTGCGCCGACCCAGCATTTGACACCTATGCCCAGACTGTTGAGAAGCCTACATCTCTTAGGACAAGTGATAGAAACTCCCGTAGGGTCATGAACATACGACTGTTAATTTGCGAGAACATGTGCTGATAATTGCTAGTGCTGGCCTACATGGGGCTGCCGCTGCAGATTTTTGGAAAGGTTTGCGCATACTGTTCATCTGTATCAATCTTTTCTGACCTCATCTAGGGCAGCATGTTTGGGCCGTACACACCTCTACAGCAGCTGGATCTGCTGGCGGATTACGGAACAAAGTCATATGTGGTTGGTTCTACGAATCCATTACTTTTACAACAGAAAGATCGTTACAGTGATATCTTAATAAATGTGAGTGAACTTCCCATTTAGCGCTTAGTTTTATCTAATATGGCCTCTTATCCTAGCTTGACGAAGATACAATCAATATTACATCCCCATCTCTACGAGCCGCGCTGGCTTTATCTGTTGCGGATCGCCGCTGGATTGACCTCATCACCCAAATTGTTAACGAAACATGGGACGAGGCTCATCCCCAACAGCCAAAGACACATGGATTCATGGGGTCTGAAGAGTTTATCAGGCTGCAGTTCGAAGAGTACCTTCTTGCATTACTATCGAGCATGAAATACCACGAGGAACTCGTCTCTTGCAACAATGGTGACCCGGCCCGGAGAAGTCGCTCACAACTGGAAGCTTATAACATCGAGGGTGATCCGGCGCTTGAGTTCAACACGGAGTTCCTGATGCAGTGGAAAAACGCTTCCAACTACTCCCTCTTCCAGCGCCTGACCTCCGATGCGCTCTTATTCTCTATCGCTGAACCTCGACACCCATCTGCCGGCGGCCTGACAATCGACGATGTCCAACGGCGAATTTCGCAACAAGTCGCTGACCTACACCTCGACGAAAGAGTACGCGAGGGTCGCGAGGCACTGAACAGACATTTATCTACAAGCCAAAAGAAATTTACTGCCGCCTTTAACAGCTTCTGGGCCGATATCGAATCCATGCGGGAAGCGCAGCGGAAACGCAACGAAGAGAAAGCAACCCAATCGCGGCGCTCATCGATAGACAAGACCTCTTCTGTAGGCTCACCTCCATTCTCACCTTCCGACTCAACATCGGTAGCTTCAACGACCACTGGTGCGGGTGGATCCTCTTGGTTCGCAAGCCGCAAAGGCCCCGCAGTGGATATGGTCCAGGCCCAGGCCTCCGTCAACGCAGTTGGCCAAAAGGCAGGTGCCTATTTCAGCTCGTGGAGCTCGTGGGCGACCGAGAAGCGAAAGGAATGGCAGAAACCTGCGCCATCCGCATCAGAATCTCAAAGCCCAACAAATGCCACCGCTTCTCCGACAACTCCGACCTTAACGAGTATCGGCGAAGCCAGCATCAAGGCCAACGCCAATGGCAATTCTAATGGCAACGACACAGACAGAGGCAGGAGATGCTCCATGCAATCCCACCGCAGTGAAGACTCAACCACCCTTTCCCGTAGCGGAAGCAGAAGAAAGCGCTGGAGTAACCTCTTTCTAAAACGCGATAGTGTTGACTTTGGTTCTCAAGGGATAGGAGGAATAGGGGCAGTCGAAAGCAACGAACAAGAAACCGTTTATTCCAAATCTCCTTTATCTAGAGAAGCCCCAGCCTCACTCAACACCTCTGAACAACAAGAGACTGAGTTCAAGCTCGTTGCTCCTGAACCCGAACCTGAGCTTGATGTGTCAAAGCCGCCGGAGCAGCAACAGCAAGAACAGCAAGAACAGCAAGATTCAACCAGTACAACAGATGCCTCTGCTTCAACTCACACTCAACCAGAGGCCTCCACAGAGAAACCAACCAAGATAGTCTTGGATGATGCAAGCCAACTCTCGTCTTAACCGACACTGATATGTTCCCACATAATGAATGCATTTCTGTATAAAACCACTTCAGAAACTTACCCGGATGGTTTTCCATGTACGCCTCATTGGCTGATTCATAGAGATTTATACTTCGATTACATACCCCCCCCCCCCCCCCCCTTCCGACAACCTTGTTTTTGTTGTTCTTTCTTGGCTGTCTCACGCACAGGTGCAAATGTTTTTTTTAAGTTTTTGATACCACACTCCTACATTGGCATAGTACAATTCTTTTAAATTACTGGTCTCATATATATATTCCATGATAGTGACTCGGGGCAATGCTTTTCTTTGGCCCATACTTGGGAGCTGGCGGTATAGATAAACTTACAACCTAGAAGAGAAGAAGAAGAAGCTTTACTTGGATTTGCTATCAATTTAGAGAAGGAGAAAAATCTAAATATACCTAAATAGAAGGAGGGGGGGAGGAGAAGACGCTAATTTATAACGATAAATTTAATTATGACCTGCCGTACCAGCGCTATATGACAAACAACGCGTAAAAAAAAATCATTCTCCATGTCTAGTTGAATATGGTGCGGGTAGAGGTCAAGCTAGGGGAAGGAGGAAAACCAGGTGGTGAAGGGGGGGGTTGCGTGATAGTAGGCTCCCCTTATTCTTGCGTGTAATAATGCTTTAGGAGGACGTGTATAAAAATAGGGCAAAGAAGTGATCACGCAATATAAGCGATTTCATCACCATCTAGACGCTCGATGTAATCCTTCTCCATCAAGGCTTCAATGTTCTTCTTGATGTCCGGTACTTGGGGAGGGAAACGAGACTTGACTTGATGGATTACTTCCTGGACAAGCTGGACGTGCTTCATCTTCTTGCGAGACTTCATGATTCGGACAATAGCGGACTGGTTTAGATGTAAGTAAGATGTTGGGAAAACAGATCTCGGAATGGCATTAAACATACCTGAAGCAGGAGCTTGCGGTCCTCCTCAATTGTCTTGTGTGTATCATCCGTCTCCACCTTCTGCTCGGATTTGATCTGGATGTTGAGATTAACCTTGATCTTCTTGTTCTTGAAGTTATAGTTCAATGTGAACGATGTTCCCGGCCCAGGCTTGGATCCCTCGGGGCCAATAAGAAGCACCTTCGCCTTCAGAAAAATGCTCAAATTTGGATCCAGGATCTCAGGGGTAAGAGATGTAGCCTTTTGAATATCTTCATAAGACAAGGTGTCATTCTCATTGAACAGCAGAAGAATACCCATTTGGAATGTGGATACTTGGAAGGTAAACGGGACCTTGGTGTTTTTAATGTAGTTGGCCTTGATTTCACCCTTGCAGAGCTGCCAAAGCCAGGTCAACTTGCGACCGCTATGCTTATCGAAGTAGAAGGTCTGGAATCGCTCAGCGGTCTTGACAATCTCTGGGGGTGCAAGGAAGTCTGTTGACGGGGCATTGAGGGGCCAGAATCCGGTTCCCAGAATTTGGAAGTGCGAGTCCATCAGCTTCTTGCGGTCTTCGTCATCCAAGGCCCTGCCCTCCCAATCTTTGTAGCTGGCGTTAAGATCCTTTGAAATCTGGATATCCTGGAACATTCGTTGTAGCTTGTTGGTGTATTCAAACCCACACGCCTCTTTCAGCTTGCTGATCATGCTAGTCTCTGCATCATCGGATACAGAGCTAACATGCACCAAACGCTTGGCAAGCATCTTCGAATAGAACTTTTGGAAGACATCCTTATCTTCGATATATTTGAAGACAGTCATGATCTGGACTAGCATCTCCTCCAACTCCGACTCCTCTGCAGCCTTGGAACCCTTCTTTAATAGCGAATCTGTGTACCGAGCCAGCAGCTCTGGGGTTTTTGTAGACCCAGACTTACAGATCTTGTTGCGGTTCACAAACTCACGACAAGCATTATCGAGCGAGCGAACAAATTCTGATTCCCCGTTGAACGCTTCCTTGACTAGGCTATGGTATCTGGTATGTACCTGTAGTAGCGCATTCACATACAACCTAGGCTCGAACGACTCGCCTTCAGCAGCAACTTTCTCAACTGCGGCCAAACCGGCCTTTCGTACATGCGCTTCGAATTTTGTTCGGAGAGGGTCCAGCCCGTCTTTAATCCGTGACAAAAGTAGATACATGCGGGCTAGGTCGTCCTGACGCTCGTTATCGAGGAGAGGCTGGAATTCGTCTCGGAGAAGCTCTGAATGGGCGGTCACAAGAACATCCAAGCATGTGTCGGTGAGATGCTTGGAGATATCTGGGTGTAAGTATAGGCCAACACGGGCCTTCTCTTCATCAAGGCGAGCTTCTGCTTTCTTCATGTACTCAACAACGCTATTTTCCGCAACAAATTGGCGGGACTCATCCTCGTAGTAGACTCGGGTAGCGGCAATGAAGGGTTTTTCAAAGTAGTACCGGTAAACTTCGAGGGTTGACTTCCTGCTATCGCTCTCATCAAGCCCGAGAGATACAAAAGAGTCGACGACACTCTTGATCTGCGACTGTTCAATAGTTTCACCATTTCGTTGCTTCTCAACAAGGTTCAGGACTGCATCCATGACCTTCCCATGCACCTTGAGGAAGAAGTCATCCTTCCACTTGACTAGATGCAACGTATACACATCGTACACATTCTTCTTCCCTTCATCGATTTCTCGTTTCACCCAGTGACGGTTCAGATATTGGAAGAGATGGTTGATGTACTTTGCGGCCGTCGTGTAACGAGTCCATTCCCGGATATAGAACCCTAGTAAAGCTTCTTCGACATGGCTTTGGGACTCTGTGTTTACGGCTTCTAGGTGACGCGAAAGGTATTCCCCGAGTAACTTATACAGCTCTTCTCCGAGCAAGTGTGCTAGAAAAAGGGTCAGCTTTTTTTCACTCTCGGAGAGCAGCCATGGGATCAGCATAGCGGAGAAATGAGAACTAACCACCACGATGTGCGTGTAGACTCTGACTATTGACCGCTTTTTGTGACGTGCAAAAGTTGTGTACCGCTCTGTAATCCGCAGGTTAGTACCTGATATATGTATTTCGCAGAGTTCTGGGGAGGATGGATGCACGTGTATAAGGCCATGTACTAGAGGGGAGCAAGGCCAGGTGTTAGCATGATCAGACTTTGAATGATGCGAAATAAGCGACGGTCGAAAACAAAAACGTACAGTCTTCATATCAACACCTTCTTCCAGCTTCAGCATCACATTATTGATCCCCTTCTCCAGAAAGGCCCATCTACACAAGTTAGTCGAGTTCCGTGTGACGCCATCGAATAGTGTCGGAGAAAGCGGTAGTTGACCATCCCGATATACTTACGTTTCTTCCAGGTCATCTTTATGAGGTGTTTGCGGGATTAAGGGAGGCATGCTGTGTTTCGGAAACAGGGTCTGGGAGAGGAGATGGGGACACGAGCTGGACACGATAGAGAAGAGCGTTAGCATGGGAGTTCACGCTCAGAGATGGGGGCGGGGGGATTCCAGGACTTCTGCGAAAACAGTGTAGGGGGATGAGTTAGGGGAGAAGGAAAAGAAGGGCGCTTGAATATCATGACGCTGGGAGCCTGGAGACTTCCGCGCTCCTACTCAGGGTGTTGTTCTCTCACCTTTAAAGCGATGGGCGGCTGAGACACAGTCCTACCAACTAGGTAAAAGGAGGACTGTGCTGTGCTCAAAAATAAGGAGCAGAAACGAGAAGAAGCGAGAGAATATCAACCAGGAGAGCTACCGGATAACAAAGCGGGAAAGAAGAGCAAAGGGAGCCAAGGGACGAGCTTTGTCTAGGTAGGATAAGAGGTGATCGCGGGAAAGGCGTGGCGGCGTTGGGCGATGGTGAGAGAGGAACAAATTGTGGGGATGATCGAGGAGTATTTTCGGCAGGCGGTCAGAGAACGGCTGTCGTTGCTGGAGGCGGTAAACCCGAAATCTGAGGCGATTCTTTTTTTGGATTTTGGTTGTTCTTTCAGAAAGAGAGTTCCAACTTCCCGGGGGGGTTGACTGAGAGAAGATATTTGAGTCTGGATACATACCTAATGAAGAATGCCTGGACTTTCCCTAATGCAGTTCCCTGATGGCTATGCGGCTCTTTGGCTGCCCCCCCCCCCCCCCCTCCTCCGAACGCGATCCTGTTGCCTGACTCAAACATCCTGGGTTCTTGATGCCTAGAGACTTTCTGATTAGAATTCTCCTGAGTAAGCATGAATCAAGTAACTAACTAGTTAACTATAGTTAGTCCTGCATATGGACTCTTTGTACTATCAACAATTCAGTACTCTAGGTTTAGGAGACAAAGATGACGTCATTGGTGGCTAGTTCATTTTTTCCAAAAGTCGGTCACTGTTTGCCAACAACAAACCAGCAAGATCTATCATACTTTCTCATACTCATCATGTTCATCAGGCCACCGTTAGAGATCCAAGTGACATCCAGGCAGATTCCCCAGTGGAACTGTATCCCCAATACCTCCATCCAATCCAAGCCCCTCATGATATACCACCAGGCATTTGAAGCATCTCCAGAGGAACTCAAACAGCATTTCCGGATGGTTGGTGAAGTCACACCCGGCTGGGTCTATACTATGTATAGCCAGACACACTTCCATTCCACTACCCATGAAGTTCTTGGAGTCGTCTCTGGCTCTGCGTATCTTTGTTTCGGGGGAGAGGGGAACCCTGGCCGGTTTGAGACCAGAGTTGAGAAAGGGGACATGATCATAATTCCCGCCGGTGTGGGTCACCGGCTCCTTCATGAGCCTGATCTAGACAAGGGCTCGTTCAAAATGGTTGGCGCCTACCCGCAGAATAAAACCTGGGACATGTGTTACGGGCAGTCGGGAGACGAAGAGAAATGTAGAAACATTGAGAGTTTGGGGTGGTTTCAAGCGGATCCACTATATGGGACGGATGGGCCTGCCCTGCGGGTTTGAAGCATGTTAGCTTACTAGGAATGTTGGAATAAACACGCTTTGGATGTTCACACCGAAACTGGTCAAGTGAGAAACGGGCCTTCTTAGGGACTATTTGGACTGGAAGACCTTGGAACGCATATCTCGTGCGTGGTTGGCTCTTCGCTGGCAAGAATCGCAGTGCTATCATTCTAATATGGAACAAAATTTCATTATCTTACATCATCAACCGTATATACAGCGTAATTGGGTATTTCAAGATTCCAGCCCAATGCCAGGAGCCAATTTCCTCATTCATTGATTGGTATCCAAAAGTAGATGATAGATGGCCGTTAATGAAATAAAAAAAAAGGAGAGACAATCGGAATCCAGTATCAGGCGGAAAGGGGACATCAAATAATATCTAGTAGTAGATGGTACCTGCCACCACAGGTACTAGATATCGAGGAGCGATAATAACGTGATTGGAGCAAGAGACAAAGGCAGTTCTTCCTTGCCTTTGCACTTATTTCGTTTTCACCCGCTCAACAAGTCTGAGGACACTGATGGAAAATGTGATAAGCCATGCAATGAGTGCAACCAGCAGAACACATGCAAGGGCTATTTGTCGGTCGCAGATGGAGTCGTTCTTGGGAGCGACAGTTTGGTTGATTTCTGTGAGTGTACAGGCACCTTCCGCACTCGACAGAGACTCAAAAGCCAAACTTAAATTGGCAGAGTCAAAGACAATAAAAAAGATATCTAAGAGAATGAGTCGTGCTTTGGCGGAGGGTGAACGAAGTCCTAGTGGTTTGGAGGTGTATTCGTCCCAGGTGATGTAAACGAGGTACACTAGAGCGACGGCATCGACGATGATTGCCATCAAGGCCGAAGGGCCTTGAGGGTGGTTAAAACTCTCGGAAAGATTTTGTATAGAGCCCCCCAGAGCCAGAGCCGTGAGGGAGAAGCACCACACGGTGAGGCGGAATATCAGCGGTACGATGGGACTCTTCAAGAGGGTAGAGTGGAAGCGTTTAAGCCACATTTCACGACGCCGTTTCCTTTTCAGAGGATCTTCTGTGTCCTCGTCCGGTTCAATCTGGCCACGCCATGGTAGTGAGTAGTCACCATGGTTTTGGTTTAGCCATTCTGATGTCACGAGCTTTTCCTCTGCACCGTGCTCACGCGGATAGGCGGTGGTCTTGGAGAAGTCTTTCCATCGCGACTCACGAGCTTGTGATATCTCCCCACGCGCTTCCCGCCCCTCCCCGCGACCTGATTTTGATGTCGAGTAGGGCGAGTGGTTATGCTGGGCAACAACGGCATCACCGGGATGAGCGGGAAGAAGCCGGGAGGTAGCGGTAGCTTCGATATCGTCTTCCTGGTACTCCACTGATTGAATCCATGCTGAATAGACGTTGTTATTAGCAAAAGTTACCTTCTACCGCTTCATTTGAAGGGTAGGAACCGATTACCTGGTAAAGTGCGCAGTTTCCTCTCCGGATTTTGACTCGGTCCCTGCATCTCATTCTCCCCTCCCTCAATAACTTGTGAAAGTCTAGCTGTGAGATCTGTTATATCATTGCGAAGGGGTCCCACGAATGGGGTATTGCCGTTTTGCCCAATGGGGGAAATATTGGAAGGCCCCGACGTCCATTCTGAGACGGGCGACGTTTCCATCAAGTGATCACCGGAAAATAGGCTGAGGTCGGAAGACTTGGCTCGTGCTTCGCGCACATCCTGTGCCATTGCCTTGCAGTTTTAATGATCGGACCAGGCGATAAGACGTTGAGCGGTCAGGAGTTTTGGTTGCATTGCCTCATATCATATCCCTTCTGGATAAGGAGTTAAAAGGCCTGTTTGGCAGCAAAGCCAACAAGGAAGCTTACACAGATTCACCCTTAAAAGTCTTAACACAAGGAGGGGTACGGAGGAAGGACGGAGGCTCTAGGAAGCATGAGAATGTAAGACGATCGCTGGGGCCTGAGGATGAGGAACAGGCTGAGGGAACTAGCCCGTAATTGGAATGTACTTAATTCGTAGACGCGAACTGTTGATTTGCACCGCCTGCGGAATGACGTCTCTCCAACCACCGCTTACCATGGCAACTTCCAAGCTCCAACATCGCTAAAATTAACCTTCACTGCGACAGAGGAGCAAAAGGTGAAGGGGATACGGCATCTGCGAAGACCTCAGGAACAAAAACAAAGGCATGAAACTTCCCGAGGCTCCCTTTCATCGGTTGTTTTCCCTACTGGATCGATAGTTTTGCTTTCTTTGGTTGTTTCTGGGCTCTACCTTGGCCATTGATATCGATAATCCTCCTGGAAGGGGTCGAAAATTGATCGAATAAATCGAAGAGGAGGTGTTCCCGTTATCATGCGACTGTTCGTCATCCCTATCTCGACCAGAAGATCCTTGATCTATGCGCGACCCGTGGGCAACCACCTTTCTAAGGAACGCTCGATAATTGATCGGATCACTAACAAGGCCGCTGAGACCTGGGCCAAATGGGAGGAAGTTGATAAGGGTTGGAAAAAGCATCTAGTATCATGGGGAAACCGAGTGCAACAGCGGATACCGTACGAAGAATGGGGTCTTAAAAGTATACCTTCTCTCAAGGCTCAAAAGCGGATGGATGAATCCTATGGGTCTAAAAAGGTGGACGTTTTGTTTCCGGGCAATGCGATCAAGCGGGAGAGACTTACCCCTATCTTGCATAAAATTGCGACGGAGAGACAGGATCTTCATCGCCGAAAAATGTGGTGGAGTTTCATCGCGGCTCCTTTCACTGCCCCAATCGCGCTCATTCCTATGTATGTGCTGCAAAACGGCGTGCGGAACAATTGTCGATTGGAGATAGTAAGCTAATTATCCACATCACTGATTTTTATAGCGTCCCTAATATCCCCTTCTTCTACTTGGTATACCGAGGCTGGTCGCATTGGAGAGGTTTGTTTCCCCGTCGCCCTTTGAATGGCTTCGTACTTACAAAATCGAAGCCCTGAACGGCTCTAGACATCTGGAATTCCTCGTTAAACAGGATCTCTTGAATCCAATTTCATATCCTGGCTTAGAGAAGCTTTACGCCAAGCGTGTTTTGGCGGTTCTGGCCGAGACAGATGCCGAAGACTCTCCCTCGGAGATGGTGGGGGACGTCGAAAAAAGCGATGACCAAATACTCCTTCATATGGAAGATGCAAAAAAGCTCGCGTCGATTCTCGATGCACCAGGACTTGCCTTGGAAGCCGAACGAGCTATTGTTCAGATCACAGAAAAGCTCACGCCTCCGGATTCATCTATCAAGCGAGACGACGGAGCCCGGACATCTGAAAAGAAAAAGCAATGATGCGATGAAGAAGTGGCCATGATTAAAATGGAATAATCCTTGAATATTGTAAAATTTACATAGTGGATTGCTGATATGGTTGTTTACTTACATTTATAGATCCTGTATCCGGGTGTGTGTTAATTTACGGGCGAATTGAAGCTGTATTTAGAACATCATCACTCTACCGTATAAAAAAAAAAAACTTTGGTCATTATATTTAAATGAATTAACTGTCTATTTAAATCCTAGAAGATCAGTTTAATGCACTGATGTAGGATAGATAGATACTCTTGTGGATATACATACTATATCAACCGGATCTATCTTAATCCGAATGCCCATTAGAGCCGCTGCGGGACGCCCAAGGAAGCTCACTCCCATCACTATCAACAACCGCGGGAGACAGCTACGGAGACAGATTTCCACTACTAATCCTCGTCCCTCACCCACATCCGTACGTCGCACGATACGCTGAATCCCCAATCATGTCGACCAAAAAGATTGAGCAATGGGAAATTGAGCGATACTGGGAAATTTTCTCGTCGCTCGCAGCCGGCCAACCCCGTTTAAACAACTCCCAGGCAGCATCGGTACTAAGGAACAGTCGGCTTCGCGATGATCAGCTAGAGAAGATCTGGGATTTAGCCGATGTGGATGGTGATGGCGAGTTGGATTTCGAAGAATTTTGTGTTGCGATGCGATTAGTCTTTGACCTTGTCAATGGAGTATGTCATCATCTTCTATTCCATACGAACCCCCCCCCGGTTGCCCGCATCAATTCCACATACATCTCACGCTCAGTCTCTCTTCATTCTTGCTAAGTGTTTGAAAGGAATTAAAACAAATCCCTCAAGTTCTACCCGACTGGCTCGTCCCTGAATCGAAATCCCATCTCGTTCATGCCACCCGTGCTATAAGCGGGGGTCAGGAGCAGTTTGAGCGCATAGAAGATGAAGACAACACTCCCGGCTTGAAGGATGGTTTCGATTGGTATATGAACCCATCCGATAAATCCAAGTACGAAGATATCTACTCCGCAAACAAAAACCACCGCGGCGAAATCAACTGTATGTCCACCCCTATTTCGTATTGGAGTTGGGTCGCGCGACCATACCTTTCTCTCTTTGCTCCAAGTTAACAGATAACTATCTTTCCAGTCGAGTCACTGCAACCGCTCTATGAATCCCTGGATGTCCCTGACACCGATATTCGCTCCGCGTGGAACTTGGTAAACCCATCCGCTTCGTCTGCAATCAACAAAGATGCCACCCTTGCGTTCCTCCACATCTTGAATTACCGACACGAGGGGTTCCGCATCCCCCGCACCATCCCCGCCTCTTTGCGCGCCTCATTCGAGAACAACAAGATAGATTATCAAGTAGAGAATGCGCGTCCTGTCCAGAAATGGGGCCAAAACGGCGACACAGAGACTCGTTCAGGCCGGAAGGCAAAGTTTGGTGACACCTACCTGAGTCGACTAGGCGTCGCAGGCAAAACATCATACACCCCGAAGGGTACAGATTTCAGCGACACAATCCAGGATGAGGAGTGGGAGAAGGTTCGTTTGAGGCGCGAGCTTGCGGAGATGGAATCCAAGTTGCAAGCTGCGACCAAGGCTTCGGAGGGACGAAGGAATCAAAGAAACGATGGCCGGCCTAACTGGGTGTTAATCAAGAAGGAAGCTCTCCAGCTTCTGGAGTATAAGGAGCGCGAGTTTCGAGAATTGAGAGATGGCACCGGCAGGTCCAAAGATGGCCAGAGCGTCGAGCGTCTGAGTGAGGATGTTAGAGCTGTTGGCGAGCAGGTTGAGGGCCTGAAGAACCATCTCATTCAGCGGAAAGACTTCCTTGCCGACCTGCGAAGTCAGATCGAGGCCGAGCGGTCGTCACGATAGTATTTTTTTTTTTTTCTTTTCTTTTTTGGCTCTTACTTCTTTTTGTCTTCTCTTCTTGTTCAAACATACCATGCATGTCCTACCATAATCTAACCTTGTCCTTTCCTTCCCTTCTTCTTCTTCTTCTTCTTCTTCTTCTTCTTCTTCTTCTTCTGTCTTCCTCGTTCCTGGGGGTTTGAGTTGTTTGTCTAAGTGTATATACAGCCACTTTCTTGGCGAGGAGCTTCAGGCGCTTAATGGATGCTGTTCTTTGGTTTGAAAGATATCATTAGGTGTTTTCGTTGACTCTTGCTAAATCACCTGCTACACTGTCTATGTAGTCTAGTGTAAAGTACAATATCATGCCTCAATACCTCTAAAAAGCAGGGTAGAGAGAAAAGAAAACAAAGACAATGACAAATATACACTTCGCCTGCCTAAATAGCCCCGACCTTCCTCGCGGGTAATACAACCACCCTGCGATAAGCACAAAAACGCGCTCAACACCCAGAACAAAAAAAAAAAAAAAAAAAAAAAAAAAAAAGGAAAGGACCACAGGCAAAATTATTTAGCTGTAATTTGAGCCATCAGACCATCCGCGTCTTTCTTCGTCTCAACTGCCTTGAACGCCCTGCCATCCTGCTCCAACCCCCTTTCAGCCCGGAGATACGCATCCTCACTACGGTCCGTGAGAATGCGCAAATCCCCCTCGGACAGAATCGAAGAGGGGTCCGCATCCGCGCCCGTTTCGAAGCGCTCAAACTCGTCCTCCCCAAGAGCCTTTCGGAGTTCATCCACGTCGTTCTGGTGAACTGCGGAACTAGAGTCCAGGAGACTCTTGAACTTGCCCTTTTGAATGACGAGCCGTTCCAGACGACGCTTGGAGTCGGCCTTCTCGAGGAGGGTTTGCTCGACTGTGCCCTTTGTGGCGAGTCGATACACGATGACGGGCTTTGTTTGGCCGATTCGGTGGGCGCGGTCCTGGGCCTGCAGGTCCTGCTGGGGGTTCCAGTCGGAGTCGAATAGAATGACCGTGTCCGCGGCGACGAGGTTGATGCCTTGTCCGCCTGCACGTGTGCTGAGGAGGAAAATCTTGTAGCTCTTATCAGTGTTGAAGGCCTTGATCTGGGCTTGGCGATCTGCTTGGCCGATTGCGCCGTCGATTCGGCAGCAGTTCCAGGAGCGGAGCTGCGTGGCCCAGTCTTGGAGAATGTCTAGTTGGGTCTTGAATTGGGAGAAGATGAGGATTTTGTGTCCCCTGTCTAGGAGACGGGGGACTAGACGGTCCAGGAGGAGCATCTTTCCGGAGGCACTGACTAGGGTTTCGTCGATTGCCGATGGGTCGTCGGCCCATGGCCAGTAGAAGTTGTGTGGCGAGTTGCACGCCAGCCGCGCTTGCATCACAGGGTTTTGCATTTTCTTCTGAGCTATTTCTCTCTCTGGCATCAGAGTTAGTCTGAATTCGACACGAAAATCATCGGAGAATGTAAGAGGTATACGCACTGGCAAGTCTGATAGTGTTCGCTCTTTCTATTTCTTCCTGCTCCGTCTCATCAATGCTTTCAATGTCCAGGTCATCTTCAATTCCTCTCTCAAGCCTGCGTAGCTTCGTGTTGAATTCACGATCGCTAAGTTCCTTATAGCTCTGGGGTCCTCTGCGCCGACGAGCAGAACCCACTACGCTAGCAGGAGTAGAAGCGCGACTGGATTTCAAGCTCTTATTTGGGGTCGAAACACCAGAGCTCTCTGCACTGCGTTTCCGACTTCCTGACCGCAGGATTTTCTCGTTCTTGGCCAATAGCCGTTCTGTTGCTTTCTCCTCGAGATACTGGCGTCCAGTACCGTTGAGAATTTCCCGATAGAGGTCTTTTTGTTCAGCCGTCAATGGCGCGTAAAGAATGTACTCCCGTTTCTTTGGGAGGGAGGTTTCAACATCAGTCTTGACACGTCTGAGGAGGAACGGCTTCAGAATTGAGTGCATCGTGGAAACTAGATTGCGTTTTCGACGTTCAATGACATCCGTCTGACCGCTGTTGTCCAACATTGACGAGAAATCAAACCAATTCTGGAAGCTATTGAGGTCGTTGAATATCTCAGGTAAGAGAAAATGCAAAAGCGACCACAGCTCAGTCATATTATTCTGCAGAGGGGTACCCGTAATAAGCAATCGATTTGCAGAGTTGTATGAGAGCAGTTCTTTGATTAGTCGACAATTCATGTTCTTTAGACGATGTCCTTCATCCTACAATATTTTAGCAATCCATATTCCACGGGGGGGGCATCTAAGAATGTTAAGAGGAACGTACGACAATGATATATCGCCACTGGTACTGGGCAAGGAATTTTCGGTCATTCATGCATATCTCGTAAGAGGTGCAGACAACAGGAAAGTCCATCTTCTTTTGATCCTTGAGGCTCATGAACTTGCTTCTGAGAGCTGCTCTTTCGTCCTTGGTGCCATGATAGAGCACTGTCTTGATCCCGGGGGTCCACTTCCCAAACTCATCCACCCAGTTACTTACGGTACTCAACGGGGCAGATATCAAAAACGGCCCAGATATATTTTTCTCCTTGAAGAATGCAATTAGGGATATCGCCTGCACGGTCTTCCCAAGGCCCATTTCGTCCGCCAATATTCCACACAAACCATTCATCCACAGGGACTTAAGCCACTCTAGCCCCTCCAACTGATACTTCCTCATTTTCCCGCCTGTCACTGGGGCGGGCTGCTGGGTTGCAACAAGCTCCTGCTCACCAAGAGCAGTGGGTTTGGCTTCAAATTGATCTGCCGCATGCTCCAGTGCTTCCTGAACAGTGGGGTTCGTCTCGTCAACCTTCACATCGGCCTTCTTGAAATAGCTGGATATAGTATTGCCCTTATCGGATGGCGCTGCCTTTTTGCCCCTTCCTCTCTTTGACCTTGTTGACTCATCCTTCTTCTCACCCTCAGCAGCTGGCTCTTTTGTCCCATCCTGCTTGGTACTTGCTCGAGTCTCCCGCTTCGCAGCTGGTTGCGCGGAATCATTATTCTCTTTTCCACCCGCATCATCTTGTTGCTGCTGTTTCTGCTGGTGCTTTTGCGCTTCGAGTTTCGCATCTTCTTGCTGTTTCTTCATCTTCTCGGCCATGATTGCAACAAAGACCTTGAGCAAACCAAAAAAAAAAAAGAAAAAAGGTTAGAATTTTAATCTTGATCAAGATAATAACCATAGCAATGATATCATAGAAAGGAAGGGGCTTCGTGGCCATGGTCATACTTCACTAGTATTCAGCAGGTGCATAAGAGCTTTCGCCTTAACGTCCATGTCCTCCTCACTTTCCATAGAGTCCCCTTGTTCCTGCTTTCCATTTGATACCGCATCATTACTGGTATCAGTTAACATATTCACGTCTCGATCAGTTGCGTCTGTCATCGGCGAGGAGGGTTGCGTGGACCCATGTCGCGTCGCATTATCCCCATGGGAAAAGGTAGGAGTAAGTGGTGTTCCTGGGTTTGACATTATTTCTATGATTACGCGATGATCTGCTATCCAGAGAGAAATATCATCGAGAGATATCCGGCATAGTAATGGGGAGGTTGTAAGGTTGCGTGTTGCCAATGATCAAATAGGACGGGAGAGACGCGCCGTTGCTAAGAAAACAAGATGAAAGAGGATAAAATTCTCTGCAATAACTATTGAGAGAGAAAGGTGAAGAAAGAAGCTAATAATAAAGAAAACAGTGTTGAGTTTCAGAGCAATCGCAGATGACAAGTATAAGCAGTAGTTGGCTGGACTCTTTTGACGCCTCTCAGGAATCTGGAGGAAGACGCGGATTTTCGCGTCAGTGCACGGACCAATTTTAGATGGTTTCCCGTTTCGGGAACATACCTAGCACTCCAGTATAACCGGAGGTATATCTTTGATGTCTATGAAGGCCCTATTCAAGTGGGCCCAGTACTCATAAATATCCAGATTTGAAACCAGCATTGATCTCTCACTGTTTGCTATTGGGGCAGCGTTGATGATTGCAAGATCTGTAAAGTACAAATCACATTGTAGAAATCCATAATCTTACATGAAGCAGAAAGAACCCATAAAGGACGAAGCAGAAGGAATTTCGTAAATAAGGTTGAAAATAAAAACAGCTCTCGTTCACCAACGAATGCAGAAGCCGGATACCCTCAAGCACGTTGAGAAGTACGGGCCCCGCACGGTATCAGCACCATTTCGTCCTCTTCATAATCATCATCTTTATCCTCATCGCAATTCTCTGTATTCTTATCATCATAAGTGATTTCAGGACTATGCTGGACTGCCATCGGCGTAGAAGGATTTCCCCCAGCAGACTCTACCCGCACATTTTTCGGGCTGCGAAGGACTGATTCGAGTACGGGGGCACTAGGTGGCAGTGCGTCATGATCTCCTATTGTCAACGGTGTTCCCGGATTTGAAAAGGCAAATAGTGCAATTTCAGAGACTGTGGGGGATAAAATCCGTCCGGGAGTTGTAGACGGTGATCGGCTGGCAGCTATTGGAGTTCTTGGTAGGCAAGTAAGGTCAGCATATATGTCATGTGTGTCATCGTTATTGAAAGTTGCTCTTCGATGGTTTGGTCTCCGAGCATATTGCCTAGCTTCTTCTATTCTCTCGTGTAACTCTGTCGGGGAAATATGTCTAGATGTCCAGTCGGCAGAACCCGATTCACGTGGGAGACTTCTCTCCTTTGTCACTTGGGAATGCTGCTGCGACTTGGATATTGATGTTGGTGGATAAGGACTAGGATTTGCAGCTGAACTCCTATTAAGCTGTCCTGTTCCAAAGGACTCATCTAAATAGAAGCAATCGATCGGTGGTAGCATCCAGTGCATTTTCTGCGGTTGAATGTATTGCTTTTCAGCTTCTCCAACTTTGGTGACATGTTCTGTGCTACATTGTGCGTGTACCTGCCAGGCAGGTTCCATCCAACCCCTATGAAGAAGTGTCATCCACCTTGGCGGAGCATTTAGGTCACCTCTTCGTTGTAGTAGATCTCTTGTGCTTGCTGTGGTCTCCTCCGCAATCGAGTTAATAAGTTGCTCTTTGACAGAGAAGGTCGGACTGAGCATTACAAGAGACAGATTTTCATCCAAGTCACTATCCCTTGGGTTCGCTTCCGAGACTGAATATTCATCAGTTTGTACAAGATCCATGTTGTTGCTCCAATTTCCAGCAAACTTGATATCAATTCCGCGTCTGCGCAAGAACCTCCTTGCGCTCAAGAGCTCCTGGGCTTCGCAAAGAAGATAGTCTGTTTTTACGGCTTCCTTCAACTTGTGTGCAAACTGTCGGGATATCTTTCGAAATACTAGCTGATGTGGTACCCTGGTGCACTTCCAAGAACTATTATCGACCTTTAGGAGCGCTCTCAGTTGTTTAGCTCTCATCGCCTTCAGCTGCGAATCTTCCAAATGGATCTGTTCCATGCGAGCTCTCAATAGTCCCTGAATTGCCTCGCGTTCCTCCGTTGTCAGACCAAGCATATGGCACGCACTGGGCCAGCTGTGGCATTCCAGGATATTATCAAAAATTTCTACCTGCATCCGTTCCGAAAGATTGTTCCAGTTAGGGTTCCGAATTGAAGTAGACTGGAGTAAAGTCAGTAAAGCCTCTTGGAGAAACAAAATACATCTCCGAACCACCTTACCTCTCCCAACTGGAGATGATGACTCTTCACCATCACCTCCTCTGGGTCACTGTCTTCCATATCTTTATGAGGTGTTGCCGCCATTCCTGCTGTCTTTATCACGTAAATTGAGTTCGAATCGGCATTGTTTGCAGCATAATTCTCAATCAAATCCATTGGTATCTCGTCCAAGTCAAGCTTGGATTCTCTTTGCGTCTGTGTCTTTGCACAACTGTTGTTTTGATTATTATTTGAGCGCCTTTGTTTATTTCTGGTCGTATACCGGTCAACCTGAGCCTGTTCAAGTTGTTGATGACTCGACTCGGATGCGCGAGGCCTCTCTAGAGTGGGAAATGCAGCCGGGGGTAAGTTGGGATTGAAATCAATATGCCGGAGGGAAGACTCCTCTCTATTTTCACGTAATGGTCTTTTCGATAATGGAGTGTAGAATAAATCTGAATTGAGACGCTGCGGCAGATGCACTGTTGAACGAAGTTCCATACTGGCAGTAGCATCAGATCCCCATGGATAAAGGGCCACAGTAAGAATACAGGGGCTGTATGAAAAAAGATAGGATATAAAGTGGCTAGGAAAAGATGATCAGGGAATTGAAAATAATATCAGATTCAGACACTAAGTGATGGGAGAGAGTGTGTTGTCTCTAGTGATTGTATTAAATTCGGCGGGGGGGAATATGCAGTGAATGAGAGTGTTTGATTAGGGAACGAGCAGCCAAAACGTGATAGACCCCAGTAAGCGAGAAAGAGGGAAAAAGTGAGCATAGGTTTGATTTGATCATATAAGAGGATTCAAGCTGTCTATAATGGGCGAAAGATAGTCTGGTGGATATCTAAGCAAGTATACAATGACAGTTAAATCCTCGAATCAGTACCATGCCACCAGCAGTACATTGTCACAATCAAGGTGCATCAATGCCCGCAAAGACCTCCGCGACGACCTTCACGGTGGTCCCCACGATGATGTCGATTTCCTCCTTCGTCACATTATAAGGAGGGGCCAAGATGGCATGGTCACCCCGCGTCCCGTCCACTGTTCCTGACGAGCCATATAAACAAATGCAATATGCTGGTTTCATACCAGTCTCCTGGATGCGGAAAGCTACAAACTTTTCAGGACTGAAAGGCTCCTTAGTGGCTTTGTCTTTGACGAACTCAATCTACAGCATTCAAGGTTAGCCCTCATATCTGATTTTGGACGAGGCAGAGAATCTTACACCCCAAAACAGGCCTTTGCCTCGAATATCGCCGATATGGGGGTGTGAGCCCAGGTGGATTTTAAGTTGACTTTCCAAATATGCACCCATGTTTCGCACATTTTCCAGCAAATTTTCCTCCTTGATGACCTTTTGCACGGCTAACGCAGCGGCACAGGAAACAGGGTGTCCTTGGTACGTGTGGCCATGACGGAAAGCTCCAGTTCCTTTTTCAAGCGCATCTACAACCTTTTCTCCAATTAAGAGACCGGAGACCGGAGCATATCCACCTCCCAAGCCCTTTCCGATTGTTTGAAGGTCAGGAACTACGCCCTCTTGTTCCCATGCGTGGAGTGTGCCGGAACGACCCATACCACTCATAATCTCGTCGAGAATGAAAAGCGCGCCATATTTTTCACACACGGCTTTCATCGCAGGGAAATAACCCGGTACGGCTGGGACACATCCCAGTGCCTAATGTGTGTTAGGTAGGGAGATGGAAGTAAAACGTCATAACCCAGTTGGGAGGGGATGGAGGAAACCTACCGCACCAACAACAGGCTCGGCAATGAAAGCGCAAACAGTATCGGGTCCAACACGTTGAAACTCAGCATCTAGTTCCTCTGCGAGCCGGGCGACATAGTCCGCATCCGATTCGCCATCTTTCTTCCCACGGTACGCATAGCAGGGAGAAACGTGGGAAATGTTTTGGGAAAGAAGAGGTTCAAACGGCTGGCGTCGAATGACGTGCCCACCAACACCCAGTGCACCTAATGTAGTGCCATGATAAGATGGCTTGCGGGCGATAAATCTAGTCCGCTGTGGTTGAGAGGTTGGTAGCTCGAGGAAGTATTGGCGAGAGAGTTTCAATGCGGCTTCGACAGCTTCGGAGCCTATTTAACACCGCGGGTAATTAATATGTACAATTCTCCCTTGCTATCGCTGAGAAACATTGTGGTTGGAAATATCATACCCGAACTCACGACGTACAGTTTGGACAGTTTCCCGCCTGTGGAATCGACGAGGAAATTGGCGAGTTCTTCTGACACTTCAGTTCCAAAGAACGCAGTATGGCAGTACGATATCTGATTAGTCTGGTCGACGATGGCCTGTTTGACTTTGTCGTGTCCGTGGCCCAAGCAAGATACAGCGGCACCGCCTGTCGAGTCAAGAAGTTTGGTGCCGTCTTCCAGAAAAAGGTAGCTGCCTTTTCCACCGACGGCTTTTCTAGGGACAAAGCGGGTATCGCGATGTAGAACCGCACTGTGGGCGGTGGGCTCTATTCATTTCTTAGCCTTTGGTGGCAGATTTATAGTTTCCATGTCTTTCGGTACCTGATCCGGCCTTGGGTTGGGTGTTCATACTGATTTCTCTAAAAGAGGGTACTATTCGAAAGTATTATTTCAAACCGATACGATATGTATAGAAAATACCAATCATCCAAATGCCCTAGGGGAAATGTATCTACTTATAGTCTAGGCGCAACTCACCGTTCAGCGGAAGTGCGCAGTCGCTGCTGGCAGCTGCCCCTCATAGTACATACACCAAAGGTGGAGAATAGCGGGTCCGGGATGCCCAAAACCAGCGTCATTCCATGGCTCCACAGGTTATCGTGGGACTGTGAGTCACTAGGGCAGCAACTGTTATACGATTAGATACCTAGGCCGATCCAGATGACGAGGAGTTACTATATTATTATTAATATTTAACTTTAAAAACTTAATATCTAGTATAAAATTACTAGAATCTAGTAATCTAGTATTTAATAATACTATAGTAATAGGTAGTTATGTATGTCGAGAAAATACCCCCCAAGCCCAGTGAATGCCAGCCAGACAACAACCATCGCGTCTAACGCGTCTCCCATTGGTCCTTGTCTCTCCTACGCGACAAAGTGGATTTTCGCGATTGTTTGGACATTCAGGGTCGTTCGCAGGTTCTTATTGGCTGCTCAGGGATACAGAAGATCCGGAACCGTTCTGGGCCGATATAGACTTTTTATATAGTTTGAATCCAGGGAAGGAGGTAGGTAGCGTTGTTTTTGAGTGCTGCGTCTTTAGCCGGTGCTTTCGGTGGTATTCTCGCTTGGGTTAGTTGCTTATGAGGAACGCGAATAGCAAACAGTCTATTGATCATCGTCTAGGGAATTACACATATGCGAGGGGTTGGAGACTTTATCCAATTTCGGAAACATGACAATGACGCTACACACGACGAAAGGTTTACAGGGACGGCATATTGGATGCATCCAAGGATCCCAAGGCTTGGCTATATGGTCTTGTCTTTCATACAATGTTTCTTCCTCTATACCCTCTCGCGTTTCCTGGTGAGCTACGTCTTTCAATCTGGTATCATCTCTACCCCGGGCCGGTGACCAGCATATACAACCGAGAAATCAAGGAACTTGGCCACAGCTCCTCACCGTCCCCATATGCCCTAGGACTCGTTATGACGATTAGCGTAGCGATTCTCTCTGAAAGTACCCGGCGAAGAGCTCCCTTCATCATGGGCTCCTCAGCAATTGCCTGGGGCTTCATATACGAGGACATTTTTTTTTGCACTGCGGTGTCTGTAGCTATTGTTCTGTTCTCTCCTAGACTACCAATAATGAACAATATTTCCAGTCAAACAAAGCAATGTATTGCGAACGCCATGCAGTTCTTGGGACTCAACCATACCACATAAAGACCAGTCTATGGTATTTTCTGGGCCACAGGATTGCACTAGGGCATCTTGTAGGAAATATTATTGTTGTATTCATTCTCTGGCAGGTCCGCAGGTCCGCAGGTGAGAAAATATCATAAAGGCTGAGATTAGAGAATAGAAAGGTCTTTAAGTACTGGTAGATATAGAAGGGAATTTCCAAGCAATAAAGATCCTTGTTAGATTTTCTAGAGCTGAAAGATATTCAAAGGGCTTTTCTTGAAGTATTGATGGGTGGGTTCTCATATAGATTTAGCTCTATGCTCTAAGAATATCTACAGGGTTTGATAGGAATAAGTAGGTTAGTAGCTAGATAAATACTGGATATTTCTAACTGGTTTCATAATACCCCTCCTTCTTTCTAGAAAGTGAGCAGTTCATTGACTTGGTGAAACTTTGGTGAATTACACAGGAGATCATTAACAATGACTGCAATATTAATTGCGCAGTCCCCAGGCAGCCATACCAAATTGGGTAAAGCCTGCCCCATTGTTCCTCGATTTTAAGGAAGACACTCCGGAGTACTGACCTTCCAACTACATATATCGACAGCAAGAAGCGTTGGCCGCAAAATGATGCCCTCACCTCACCCTTCGGAGGTTCCCATGTCACAAAATATGGAATCTCAATATATTCGAACCCACCAGTACACGCCAGGGACCGGCCGACTTCAACAACCCACCTATCCAGATCCGAAATATGATGGATACAACAACAATAACATAGAGTCTGTCGGGCCCCATACACATCGTTTCCCAGTGGGGGAATTTATCAGCCCTGGATTCTTTCAAAATGTGGACCCGTGCCTTTTCTCCATACCTAAAGCTGAGCTCGAATGGAAATACAATATGCGCAGAGACGCCCAGCGCATACTGCCATTTCTCTATCTAGGACCATGGAGTTGTCTTGGGAACAGGGCCTGGCTTAAAGAAGAGGGGTTTGGCTTACTCTTCGCGATTCGCGACAGCAGGTTAGCCCAGGCTCGCCTGGTTTCGGGACAGAGGGCCGCCACAGAGTTGGGAATTGAAGCCGACTCGATGGATATTTCGAATAACCAAGAGCTTATCTCCTCGTTACCAAATGTAATCCGACGTATCAACGACCACTTGGCCGGCCAAAACAGAGCAGGACCCAACTCTCCAGTGAAGAAGATTCTCTTATTCTGCGAAACTGGCAATGGACTATCCGCCCTTGTCGTGATCTCGTATCTGATGGTGATGTTGAACTTGGATCTGGGCCATGCGCTGTATTTGGTCCACTCGCAACGGTTTTGCATCGATATGGACGATCTTTTGAAGCCACTGTTGTTTTCGTTCGAGTCGATTCTTGCGGCTAAGCGCGACGTCGAAAGTGCCAAGAAGGCTTCCATTGGAAGTTCCAGCCTAGCTGCTCCAACGACGGTGCTAGCTAAGAAAAGAAGTTTTGCAGATCGGGCGGAGAGCGAGAACATGGCGGAGGGTAGTATGGATATAGAGACTTCCACGCCCGCGCGAAAGCCTTTGGCGCCCTTCCGGGACCGTTGGGGATGATTTTCAACAGCACCGGAACGCCAGGACGACACTCGAGCCGCGCTGCGTCTACACAAACGGATATGTCAATGACACTACCTTGACTCTCTTCAGATCTTATCTATGTTATGCGGAAGGTCTTCCCGACCACGCCTTCTACATCGCAACTAGGCTTCACGGCGCATCCAATGGTTTTATGGCCTTTAATTCTGTTCATTATTGTACTTTATTTTCTAAACATCTTCAGTCCCGGAGTCAATATTCTGGCTCTCGGGATGCATGAGCTTTATGAGGTTTATGAGAATCCAATTACAGTCTAATCCTAGATTAAGTGTAATGTGTGTGCGGAACATATAATTCATCTAAAGTAGTGCGGCCACAACCTAGAGACCATCTTGTGAGAACATACTATCAATGGGGTGTTGGTAACCCAACTCCGGCTGGGTTTGAATGTAATGGAAGATCCGCTTCAATTAGCTGGAATCAAGCGGCTAGTAAAGAAGAATACAAAGGAATAAAGGAAACATCCTGGTATTTCCTTTGTTGTTATTAGAAGGTGGTCAATCTTCTAGTTTCTAGCAAGTGACCTCAGGAGTGCCAACTATACTGGGTATCTTAAACATGTTTTATGTCTGTTGATTCTTTGATTCCTGCATAATCAATACTTTCTATTAAAGAAAATGGCACCGGCAGTAGTTACAATAAAGAACACAGACAACCAGGAAAGTACAAGCGATTGCTTTCATTCATTCTCGGTGGTCTCACTGGGTGTTTGGCTTTAATGGAACTTGTAAAGGACTTTGTTAGTTATAATGATGCCATACCACAGACCAATTTCAATGCCTCCTCACCCGTCTAGATTTCTCTCACTCCAATCTCTTCTCATCTTTCTCCCAATCATCCAAGCCAGCCCCGGCTTCCCAAAGCAACTCACCCCAGACACCCATCCCAGCAGACCAAGTAAGCAAGCCCTGTCTGTATACCAACCCACCCTCATCCAAGAAGATGTCTTCCAACCAGAACACCCGCAGCAACGCAGCCACGGACACGGACCCGGACACGGACACGGACCCGGACACGGACACGAACGCCTACTCCCGCAAGCGCCACCTCCAAAAGAACGGCCTCTTCCTCGACCACGCCGATCCCGCCGTGGCCTCCAACAAAATCACCATCCACCTCGACATCCCCAACGACCACCCGCGCGACCTCGGCCAGGTGCTCCGCTACGCGCTGCACGAGCTCCACGCCCGCCGGGACACCGCCGAGTTCGCCAACCCCCTGCTCGGCCCCCGGGGCGCGCACCTCGCCCGGCTCCGCGTCGCCTTCGACACCGAGGCAGACACCGCCGCGGGCGTTTTCGCGGAGGCCCAGACTTTCCTGGAGGAGTTCCTGGCTAGGTGCTTGGCCATGGAGCATGCCGGTGCCGGTGCCGGTGACTTTGCTGGGCCTGTCAGTGAGGGACTGCTCACTCTCTCCTGGGTTTCCGGGGGGAGGGGGGGTTCTTCTGTTGTTGTAAGACCTTGCATTGTCTAGTTGTTTGGTGTTTTTTTTTTTTCTTTTCTTCTCTGTTGGATATGAGGTGGGGTGTAGATGTCAGAGTCAACTGAATCATGGAGCATGGAGAGAGCATATATATGGTAATGTTTTCATGATGTACAGTTGAGCATCCCTGATTCGACCAACATACATACCGTAACATAACTTACAACAGAGCAGACAAACCTGAAAGCCACGGAAACTTGAAAATCACAGAAACAAAAAAAAAAAAAAAAAGATTGATGTGGGTTGAAGATAGGCATGCTAACTTGAACAGGGAATAACGGGGGATGATTCTTGAGTTTGTTGATTGTTTTCTTCTTACTTACTGCTAAACTTCCATGAAATACCTGAGTAGAGTAACTAGTAGTATTGACTCAAGTATGTATCCTAATAAGAAAAAGGTTAATAATACCTAATCTAGAGTATGTTGAATACAAGGAAGATGATGGTGAATCATTGTCATAATTCTCGGTGAGTCCTATTATTCTAGCCTTGTTCTACCATGTTAAAGTACAAGTGTTTCTCATGTCGTCATGCAGTCATGAATCCAAAGCAAAAAGAAAAAAAAAAACAGCTATCGACTATTGGTCAGGTTGCGCAGCCAGTATCCCAAACTCCTCATGCATGAAACATGGCGTGTTGAAAGTGTTGCTAAGCAGTACTCCGTAGTGCCAGGCTAATCAATCCCCCATCCGGTTGCGCACCGCAAGGAGACCCATTGGCTGCGTACCGTGCGCTTCCCAAGCCGACCGGATAGTCTGCACCATTCCCCAGACTGCTTTACGGGCTTCGTCTCGCCCTTTGCCGGATTTGAGGAGCGATTCGTACGGGGTATGCGCGTGTCGAATATGTGCTTCCACAGCGAGCACCGCTTTGCGCCCATCGGTCTTGGTCGAGGTCCGTCCCACGCGGCCCGAGCCTTTGAGAAATGCATGGTTGAGAACCTTGTCCAGCGATTCGGCTGGCATCAAAGGGAACTGGGTACGGAGGAGCTGGCGTGAGCGAGCTAGGTCTTTCTCGTCACGAACCTTGACCGCGTTCGCCCGGGAGTCGGCTGTCTCTGCAGCGGACTGTACGACGGCATTGTAGATATCGGATGGAACCCGGATTCCCAGAGGGGTCTTCCCTGCGTTATCCTGGACAGAGCGAATAGTCAGTCTTATCCGAATCAAGGGATAGATAGATGGTCCTCACGTAAACCTTGTATACTAGCCGGCGAGTCTCCTTGGTCTTACTTCGGCAGTTGCGAGTAATGTAGACGTCTCCCCTGGGAACAAAGACATAAGTGTCTGGTATTGGTTCGCGTTGGAGGCAGTTCTGTTGATATCGATCTCTGCACGTTAGTGATATGCGTCTGCAATCGCGGCAGGGGCGGGGGGGGGGCTTGAACAAGCAAGGGTCAAGCAGTAGTGAGATCTCAATCGAGTCGACCAACCCTACTACACACGCACCTTTTCATATGGCTCCGTGGAGATCAGATTCATAGTCCTTTTAGAGTATTTCCAGGACCGGGGACTAGTTCTACGTTGGTCAAACTTGGTTCGGTTGTGGCCAGCGGCCCTAACGAGCTTGCTTCGACCGCTTGTCGTTCCCACCCCCGTTCCTCCTCCGTCAGCTCTTCTTTTTCCGGTTCTACCGGATGTTGTTCTGCGGGCTTGGGCTAGAGTCGACCGTGGGGACTTCGGAGAGGATATCTTTCTTATGCGATGCTTCCTATCGCGCGAGATGTTCTTGCGCCCCTTTTTGCGGGCAGATCTAGGTGTAGAAGGCGTCATGATTCAGGCAGGGAAGCAGGAAACCCACATCGGGTGAAATGCATCAATTGGGTGTCTAGGACTGGGTTAAGAAGTAAAGAAAGGTGGGAGGCGGATTTGGGAGAGGATCAACAGCTCCAAACACAATATAATATGTACATCAGGAAGGGGGGGGATGGAGAAACAAATCAACACGGAGGGGATAAAGAAGCCAGGCCCCGAATGAAAATAATCCAGAAGAAAAAGGAAAGAAAGTGGTTTTGTTGGGGATTCTTTCAGTCTTTCATCGTGATGCAGATGAGGTGCAACTGTGAATTCTTTTCCTGCCCAATCTTTGATTACGTACCTGAGTCTATGGATTGTGGCTCGATTGTGGCACAGCCATCTCTGTAATGAACAAGTCAGGATCAGGAAGCATCTAACCTCCAACCATCTCGAATAAAGGGTGATTGATGAAGCAAATATTCCACAGATGGTTTCTGGAGGAACACAAGGACATGATGTCCCGAAAATCTTTGTAAGGGAGTCTTAATCAAGGGATCAACTATATCTACTTCGAGAAAGGGGCAGATTCAGTCGTTTCATCTCCGATTCGAAGAGTAATTAGGCAGATCTAGAATTAGTAGTAGTATGATTATTATCCTCACAAAGAGGCTCCAGTGGATCGGCGGATGGAAAAAGAAGGGAGAAAAAACCTGTCCAATTATTACCAAATTTTACAACCAGAGGAAAACGAAAACATAAAATTTTTCTCTTCCTTTTCTCCCTCACCTTCTTCTCTTCTCGACTCCTCAACTCCTCTTCATTCGAAGTCCTGCCGGTTGATACGCATTCCTCCCTTTGTCCACACGAGCTTTGAACCTTTTCCCGTTCATTGTTCCTGGCGCCTTTCCTGCCAGCCTCGATCCTCCTCCCCTCTCCCTCTCCCTCTCTCTCTTCCCCTTCCTCCCCTCGACTTCTTTTCTTCTCCAATCATAGGACTATGCAATAGTTTTCTAGTTTTCGTCGACTTTTTGGTTTCCCCCTTTCTTTCTTTCTTTCTTTCTTTCTTTCTTTCTTTCTTTCCCCGCCTCTAATCATCAGCCTTTAATCAATGACCCTGCCTGAGGCGTACATTCATCGGCTCATTGATTCCTCCTACCGAACCGCCCCTCGAAACATTCCTAACGACTTCCGGGTATCTGGACGTCGAGTTGAATGGTTGCTAGGATCATATCGTTGCTGACATGAGTTGGGATCAGCCGGTTCACAGGTATGTCCGTGGAACTTACGACACATGCCAGGTTCTCTGAGACCGGGGTGGGGGGGACGTTTTGTCGACTTTTTCTTTCCTCACTCTTCCCTGCTCTTTCTTCCTGCATTTTTTCAGGACATACATCCAATTCTCCAGATAGCCTGGGTGGCAATTGTTCTGCTTGCGGCGCTCCTACGCTCCGTGCCCCATTTCCCGTACAAGATGATGCTGACAGTGCCCTCCGTTCTGTTCAGCTTCAGCTATCCAAACGGTGAACCTCAAACCCCGACGAGGACTCCTCCGACCACCTTTTTCGGCGACGCTGCCTTCCAGACCCCGAAACTCGAATCCAGTTTCTTCGACCCCCGTGTGACCTGGGATACCTCCGATCCGTATGCGTCGAGCCCTGAGTTTCTCCGGACTCCCCAAAAGTTCGGCTTGAGTACGCCCCGGATCCCGGACGACAGGTCGAACCAAACAGTGGACGACCCCGAGACATCAGTCACTCAAAGTGCAAAAGCATTGGACCAGCAGACCGACACGGCCAAAAGACGTCGTCCCTCCAGGCTTCATGGGCTCAGCGAAGATGGCTCCAGGACCGTGGAGTCGACCAAGTCCGCTGCCTCGATGCAGACCCCTCCGCCGAGCAGTGCTTCCCGGACAAAGGTGACGGAGTTTGGGGGGCTGGCTGTTGCAGGCCGTCGGCCCTCAGCTTCCAGCGTCGTTGGTGGCCATTTGGAAACCCCCAGTCGATTGATGGGTGCGTCGCCTCGGCTATTTGGAGACCTACAGTCATCTCCGGACCCTTTCCAACTGGGGTCCATCGGTCCATCGGCGTCACCTTTCTTTCCGCAGCAACGGCTGTTCTGGGATCATGGACTCGATCACCATGCGCGCGACATGGGCCTGCCGGGACGTCCTCTCGATTTGTTCGAGTCTGCAGGCACAGATGCCTTTCACGTCCACTCGACGACTGCCCCTCAAGAACCTCCCATTCCGCAACTGCCTCAAATTGAAGGGAGCTTGGAGCTTCCCGAGTTTAACAGTAACATCTACCGCCTCTCTGCTGCTCCCACCGATGCGGCCCTTTTCCCGGCCCCATTTTCTACTTCTCCTCGGCGCCATATCCCCAAAGCAGATGACCCGGCCCTGTTCCTAAGCTCCCCTGCCCGCAGATTTGGAGGACCTCAGCCTACTCCCGAGAAACGGCTATTCTCCCGACAACACCGTCAGCCTTATCACCATCAGACGGAGGAGTTCAGGCGGGAAGAGCTCCGCCGTGCTCAGGGCATCAGCCATCACTTCCCGGAGTATGATGATGAAGATGACGCTGATGACTACACGCCTCGTCAACCCCGGCCTGGTCTAACTCGCAGTGTCACTCACACGGTCCTTACTTCAACTTCTTCCCGTCCAGGCTCGAGTGGAATGATGTCGTCGGCCAGTGGGGTGCGGAAAAGTCCATCCAAAGGACGATCTTCCCCGATTAAGCCATTTCGTGCTCAGCTTCCCAAATCTACCTCAGTCGCCAGTGGGTTGCCCAGACGGTCTCAGTCAGTGGTTCTGAGGATTGGCAAGGATGGCAGAGCAAAGACCGAAATGCAGCCCGTGGTAGAATCCTCGACGGGTTTGACAGATCCGGTTTCTCAAATGGACTTGGATAGCTCCGCAACGGAGAGTGAGTATGATTCTGCGGAGTTCTCGGAATATCCAACTGTCACCAGCCGCAAGTCTTCCTATGCTTTCTCCGATGCTGGCAGGTCCGTGATTGCTCGCAGCGACTCCGGATCCCGGCCACACTCGAAAGGCTCCTACACATCAACCGCTACATCCCACTCGGGACGGGTATCCCCTTGGGCCACAGCCCCCCGAGTCTCCACGAGAAGAGCGCCATTAAACGCCAGCATGGATGAGTGGAGGAGAACAACACCAAAGCGGCAATCCTCCATTCTTCATGCAGATCTGTCTTACACCAGCGCTGCTTCCATTTCGCAAAGCTTTGCCGACCCTGAAGAAGACACCGGAGATGCCCAACACGCCCTTCGAAAAGTGCTGCAAGACAAAGGACGCATTCCTCGATCTCATAGTGTTGCCGGTTATTGTTCCCGGTCCAACCGCTCCTTGCAGTCCCTTGCCCACCTTCGTTCGTCACCTCCCCGCTTTGGAGCAGAGCTTGATCTTGATGCGCGAGAAGCAAACACCTCTCCTACCACCGTCACAGATCCCGACCTCGCCACCCCCAGCACCGACCGATATAGTAACCCGAGCAATGGCACCCGATGCATTTGTAATTCCATGGATAATGGCGGGCATTTGATGATCCAATGGTAAGTGAGGCTACAAACACCCTTTTGCAAGGTCTCGGCAATGAAATTAACAAGGTGCAGTGAATCATGTAGTCACTGGCTGCATACCAAATGTGTCGGTTTGGAACGATCCAACTTACCCTCGGTCTATGTCTGTATCTTCTGCGCGCAAACCCCTACTCGCAAAACCCGCATTCGCGTTCCTGTCAGTGGCGTTGGACATGCCCCAACTTCGCCGCTCGCCCATAAATCGTACCGATTCCGATGAATATGATGATGATGATGACTCCGGCCTGTGACATGGGCGGATTATTCGAACTATACCTGTACCTTTCTATGGAGAGAGCCGATGCTTCGACTCGCGTCGACACCCTTTTGACTGTCTCCCTGAATTTGGCGAGATCTGTCCTTCATTCCCATATTTGGGGTCTCCTTTGTTAACCTGTGCAACCACCATGTTAGACATACCCATTTCCTTTTACGGCATCATACGTGTATTCCAGTTTCGGCGTGGTGGTTTATGTTTTGCATCACACTGAGACTTGTCAACATCTTTTCCTACCTAATTGTTTTAGTAATATTGCCAGGGCCTGCCGGATCCCTGCATCTGTATCTACTGTCTCCGGGACAAAATGATATTATCTGTATCCACTATGACTAGTAGGGACTCCCTGTATGGAATTTAGAGATCACAGAGTAAGAAAAAAAAAACATATCTGACTGACTGGCCAGTCAACTCGATATCACGTGTTTCCTCTTTCCAGAAGCACCCAGCTAGTAATTTGTGCAGAATCTCATAGAGTATTTATTCGTCGTAGAATAAGCTATCTTCGAGATAAACATAACATAGGAAATAAGTAAACTTACTCAACATGACCCGTCCACCCCCCGTACTGGGCCACTCCGCCCTCTCACCCGCTCTAAAAGGGTACAATTTGAATCCCGGTGACTCATCGACTCATTACTTTACTTTACTTTACTTTACTTTACTATATAGAGCAAATCAGCACCGGAACCAGAAGCTCAATTGGACCTTTTCTTGGGTATACACACACACACACACACACATACATACATGATAAGTACAGAGTACAGAGTACAGAGTACATCAAACACAATGACTCAGTTCCAAACCAACCGACTCAGATTCACCCTGCTCGATCCCGGCGACGTGGACGGGATGTACGCGCTGCGCAGCGAGAACGAGGTGATGAAGTGGAGGTTTGTCTTTCTTTCCCTCTCTCTCTCTATATATATGTAAATATATATATACTTTCTCAACATGCATATGCATGGCATGGCTTTATATCCCCCCCCCTACCCCCAAGTCACTTTACTTTACTTTACTATACCGTCCTACATACATACATACATACATACATACATACATAACATGCCATACAAGAAAGACAGAAAAAGCTAACGCTACCGCTACCGCTACCGCTACCGTTTCAACAGCCGGCAGAAAGCCCCCGATGCAGACATCGAAGCCACGCAGACGTGGCTATGCAGCGCCACGGCACAGGAGCCCTGCTTGCTCTTCTGCGTGAGGGAGCTGGACCTCCCCGCCGCGGGGAAGGTATGCGGCGAACCGCAGTCCCAGGCGCAAGCGGACAAAGTTGTCGGGTTGGTGGGGCTGCGTGAAGAGCACTCGATCGTCACGGGGGGCCACGAGCGCTACGAAATCGGGTACATGTTTGTGCCTTGGAGCTGGGGGAAGGGGTACGCGAGCGAGGCTGTGCGGGGGGTGATGGCGGAGTGGTTTGAGGGGCGCTTGGGGGAGGCCGTGATGCGGGGGGAGGCGCGGAGGGCGCATGGGATTTACTCGGTTGTGGCGAGGGGGAATGTCGCGAGTTTTCGGGTGCTGGAGAAGTGTGGATTCGAGGTTGTGGGTGAGGGGGGGGAGGAGGATGGGACGCAGTTGGTGGAGTTGAGGGTAGGGTATAAGGGGTGTAAATCTGGGGGGCAGGCATTGAATTAGATTGTGGAAACTTCTTTTAACTCTTTTTAAAACTAGGTCTAAACTTGCATAGAGAGAGAGAGAGAGAGAGAGATACTATAGAACAATGATAATGTAGGATGGATATGCATTGAAAGAAAAACAAAAGTGGTATATATATATATATATATATATATACACATCGTAAACACTGGTGCCCTACGCGCGTAGAATGGCAGTCCAGTGTGGTAGTCATGACTAGATGTGGTGCTGCGAAGCACTCACTACCAGGGAACCAGGCAATGTGACCGGAGATGAAACTATGCAAGATATAACGCAAGATATCGAAGCCTGTATCATATCGCCAGCGCCTATAAAGATAAAAGAGGAATGTTCCGAGGCAAGAACACTCCACAAAGTAATGCTGAAGAAGAGAAGATAACAAGTGCAAACAGACAGAACATCCCACAAACCGTTAAATAACCCAGGCCAACCGGTGCCATATAATCCAGTAGAAATAAAGCAGTATGTCCTTTCCTCGCCATGATAACAGTGAAAAAAAAAAAAAAAAATGAAAGAAAAAAAAAATGAGCGGCCTTGCTTGTCAATATTAGGGCTAGCAACATGCCCGTTTGCTGGTCCTCAACTTCGAAATCCCGGAGAGCTGGCCAGTGGCCTCCGCTAGATTCCCAGTGATCGTCGATCGGGCAGCATGCCGAATGGTATTATCCAAGAAATAACGGCCCATCCATCGTAAATGTAGTTGTACCCATACACAATAAGAGACTGGTAGCTGTGGTGCTACCGGTGTTATATCCAAATGCAAGAAAGAAAGACGAAAGAAAAAAAAAAAAATATCCTTTTCAATCAGCACCACAGTATGCTTTCAACAATTGAGTGGAGGCAATTAGACGTTAGCGGCCTTGAAGATTGCGCTGTAACTGTTCCCCGATCCGCAGGGCTTCGGTGCCGTCGTCCATAATGGACTCTTTGAACCACGCATGTTTCAAAGCGTCCTTAGCAGTTATACGGGCCTTAGGGTCGTATACGAAGATCCGCTGCAAGAGATCAAGGAAAAGGCGATAGAACTTGGTATTAGTCGGCATAAACTCCTAAGCTTAGTTAGTATTGACAAAGCTTTTAGCCAAGATGAACCCGAAGACATACCGTGAGCTGCTTCATTGCCCTTACGTACTTCCGAGAGGCTCGGGTGGTTTCTTCATTCGGGTAATCAAGCTTGTTTCGGACAAAATATCTATGGCAGTCAGCATGAGTCCCTGACACCCAAAAAGAAAATGAGCACATACTTGGACGCCTGGTTCTGGTTACCGTTTCTACCACCTTGCATCACTTGCCGGACAAGCTTCGCATCGATTCGGTCCCCGATGACAGCTTCCATCATTGCAAGGTGCTCCAGGTTGTCATGAGTTTGGAAGAGGGCATCTCCCGTGAAGAATTCAACGAGGATACAGCCAATGCTCCAAATATCACAGGGGAAACTCCATCCTAGGTTGAGAATGATCTCGGGGGCTCTGTAATGCCGCGTGGAAACGACCGAGGAATGGTACTCATCGTCAAAGGTGGCAGACCCAAAGTCAATCAAGCGAATTTCGCTGTCGAGCAGGACCCGTCGTTGACGGGCGTTTCGCGAGATTGCGTGGGAGGAGGATGGAATAGTGCGGTTGTAGGTGAAAGTTTGGTAGGCATTTTTGACCAGGAGAATATTTTCCGGTTTCAGGTCTGTATGGATGAGATTAAGGTCATGGAGGACTGTAGCATTGAAAATTAGTCGAGGTCAGGGTTTGGCAGGGAAATGGAGGGTACTCACAGGCTACGCTGGTAAACAGCTGTCGGGCAAAGTTCTGGATCTGACTGCTGGGGAAGGGGACAAATCCATTGCCTTTGAGGAAATCGAACACACTTTGACCCAGCAGATCTGTGACAATACATATGTGATTCCGAAAATCAAAGCAGTCTCTCAGATGGATGCATTTGTTCCGGTTATGCTTGTCATTCGATGCTAGGGTCGAAAGAACCCGAAGCTCAATCCGTGACGCGTCGCGGTATTTTTGGATAGAACGGATGATTTTCACCGCACAACGGGTCTTGCGCTGTTTGTCATACGCTTCGACCACCTTGCCAAACGTTCCTTGTCCGAGAAGTTTGATTATCGAGTCTTCAGGCATGTTAGCATGTTATTCAACGTATGGGGCCGGGTACCGATGAGGTTCAGAAGCATTGGGGTTCGGGCTTACATCGGTCTGTCAACGGCGTGTTTGGCGTGACAATATAGTGACCGTCATCGTCATCGAATTTTTCACCCCTGTTCGAGACCTGTATCAAATAGTCAGATATTAGAACTCCTGGGGGGGGGTGTACGAAGGAACTTACAGAACGAATCACAGGAACTGGCACATCCTTTGCCTTGATGGGAGGATTCGGAGGTGGTATGTAATTCAAAAAGGCATCGCCCGCTGTTTCTTGTTCTCGTCGTTTCTGTTCATCTCGAACAGACTTTCGAGTCGCAACTCGCTTCCTCTTTTGGCCGACGTTGGCATCCTCATAGTATATACCATTGCTCGCGCCTGAGCTACCCTGCGAGAGGGAGGTGGGCGCAGTAGTATGCAAAGACGTGGTCCGGTCCGTGGAAAGTGAACCATCAGATGACCCTTCCCCAAACTGCTGCGGATTGATTGAATAAGACGGACGATCATAGTATCCTAGATCGTAGGCGGTTTCGATACCGGTCCGCCGCCTCTTGCCAGCGGGTTGGGCCACACTCCCGTTAGGAGTCGCGACAGTGGCTGTGGCCGCCAAGTTGCGCGAGGCGGCCGTTGACTGCTCGGGAGGAGGTGTGTCATCGATGACAATGACCTCCTTAGGGATACCATTTTTGTAGAACTCGCCCCAATCCGGATTTTTCCGCCGTCCCTTCTGTGTAGAAGGCCCCGTACTGACGGGTGTCTGGGCTAAAGGCATTGCGGAGGTGGTTGTCGGCGTGGAAGCAGCAGGACCAGTTTTCGGGGATTGAGTGAAGGGGAGAGTAGTCGTTGATGAGCTAACAGAGTAAGGGTATGTAGAGGTGGCTAGGCGAGCGGCGGTGGTAGCGGACGCGGTCGGATAGGATGTGTTGGGTTGGTAGGGCTGGTGGTGAGGATATACGTAGTGTTGTTGGTGATGCGAAGGATGTGTCGCGGTAGCTGTAGAAGGAGTAGACATGGTGAACAAAGGGAGCCAGCTGGTTGCACGAACAACGGATGCTGGAGAAAGAAAGCCCACACCAACAGTCGACGGAGGAAGAGGAGGAGGAGGTTCAGCGTCGCTCGCTGGACGGATCGTAGTCAACCGGGCTCAGTCAATGAGCAGGGGACTCGAGAGACCAGGCTGGACAGCCGGGAATTCTCGCGAGGATCCCGGGGTCTTTGAAAAGAACAAAGTCTGATCAATACAGTCAAGGAAGTCCTGGAAGAACACCGCCGGGTGAGGATGAATGAAAAGGACGTGAAGAGAAAGGAGGGAGAAACGTGAGAAAGGCGTGGGGATTGATGGCGAGGCGGTCGGTCGGGGCAAAGAAAGCATGCGCTCGCTCAGTATGGTACACTATGGACGGCCTTTTACATCTTCACTTAGAAGGTGTTATTTTTTAATTTTGAAAGGATCAGGGATTGGACAAATGAAGGGAGCTGAGGATAAAATTAAGAGATGAAACAAATAGAGGAAATTGAGTGAAAGAATTGTACTTGGGCAGAAGGGAGTCAACAACGGGATCATAATAATAATGAGCAGCCAGGCGAAGTCTGACTGAGACTTTCAACTTGCTGATGGCGTTTCGCGCACGAGCACCAGGACAAAAAAAAAAAAAAGAAAAAAGGGATGGTTTGGTTATGGCTACGACAATACTCATTTTCACCCCCCCCTTGAGGTCAGAATAGCTACATGGTGTGAGGGAGGAGTAGAAGTAATACAAGAAGAAGGCCGTGAGGGAGTATTTGAGAGGATAATTAATTCAAGTCGGAATGCAAAATAAGTCCCTTTTTTTTTTCTCCTGCTCATTTTTGGCTGGAGATCATCCGGCTAATAATACTACCAGAATAATGAGAATAATAACAATGCCACTCAGTACGGAGTAGATGCGAGCCATACTCCGTGCAAACTCGCTAGCCATCAATAATCAGAATTCTTAGACCTATAGCTTTTGAGGAGGAAAAGCAGTGCTGAAGCTTTCGCAATGCTTTCGCTGTTGGGTGTACGAAGTAGATCCGCAAGGCTCATCCCATCCGGCTCCAGAGGCGAAAGTAATTCTGAGTTGAGGAGCCAGGACTATTGAGCCTGGGCGAGTTGAGCGAGATGACGCTCACACACGGGTCCACGGTAACGGCGAGCCTTGCCTAAAGAAAAACACCCTTTCCCTTTCTCTATTTCACGATAGGTCATCACAGTAGACTAACTCAACCAGAGGCTATAATTCGGAGTGCGTACGTACATGCGTGGCTCCCTCGTCCTCGCTCCCACTCGGTGAGCTACCTCGAAAGCGGCCTATCATTCTTCTGAAGGGGAAAGAATTCTCCTTGGTGGTTGGTGGCGAGGACAGCGAGGATAGACGAGAACGACATATAGTTAGTCCAAATCGTCGCACCTTCGCTCAGGGTGCATTCCGGTCGCCGCAATGGCCGTATGTCATGCGTTTTCACATCTGTTGCGCCGCGTGGAAACAGTGTTTTGATTTGTAGGATGATGGTTATTAGTGAGTTTTACTCAGAACCGTCTGTCTGGGCAATCGCGCCGCTGCAGAGAATGATTGGATTGAAACGGTGGAAGCCCCTCCGCTTTTTTGGTACATCCCCCTTTGGATTTTGGGGCTTCTCTGACATCATCTCCGGCGATGTTTCGGTTGCCCTCATGGTAAAATAGAGAAAAGGGGACTGTATTTTCCGGGTTTTCTCTCAAATTTCCGGTAATTGACTTGTCGTGCAGGGTGTGGAACCTCCTCCAGGGAAACAAAAATGAGCTGGTCCCATTGTGCCTTGCAGGATCGATGGAGGTTTTGCAGTCACTTCGCTTTTGGTACTTTTAGACCGCCGGAATTAGGCTCGTGTTCCAGCCCTAACCCTATCAGGAAATAGCAACGTCACAGATTTGGCCTTCTGCCTGAGGCCGATAGAGTAGTATACTTTATACTTGAAAGTATGCACATCTACCATAACCAACACGCGAAATAACAGAATAATTTGACCATGGCAACCATGACACTCATATTTGTGGGAATGTATGTATGCACTGAGTGAGCAAATATCAATGGTATATTCAGAACCCAATTCCCTGGAGGTGATCGGCACATGTACCTCCTCTCCTGCTTCTACCACCGAGGAAGTGAGGATACACTGTGATGGAGGCAGGTAGTATCTGTATAGCTTCTCTGCATGAATATATCTTTGCTCTAAACTCCAATATCATTACTGCAGGGTGTAAACCTCTTTATCTGTGGTGGATAATATTTCACATCTGTAATAAAAGGTATGGGCTGGGTCTTCTGTCAAGAATAAGCATGGTAAATTCATAAAAGCTTGAAGCCATCAGTTAGTTAATATATATTATGCAGCTTCTATCATGCTTCATGTTAGGTCTGATATCTAGTAGAAGTTAATTCATCTACCTGTAAAGCAGGTTATACTCCTGTGAACATATTGAATCATCACCCTCTAGACGTTAACCGTAACCTCCTTTAAATCTGGTAGCAGTGAGATCTCCAACATCTATCAAAATCTATCTTAGCCCAGTTTACAGTGAAGAAATTGGTGAAGATTTTTTTTTTTTCAGTTTTTTCCCCTTGCCTTATGTAACGGGTATAAGTAAGGTAGGTAGTACATCTGGTTGGTGCAAGAAAGATCCTGGCTAGACCCCGTGCAAAATAATTAAACGAAAAATAAGGGTTAACAAAGGGTAAAAGAACAGCCTAAAAATAATGCAAGTAGCCCAAAAGCACCCTAATTGAATAGTAAAGTGATGCACACAGCGTGTAATTAAAAGTAGAAACACATGGCCTGAAACCCCGAATGAGTATGCCGCAACGCCAAAAACCACGGTCATGTGCAGTGTCCATGCGAAACTCGAAATGGATACATCGTGGAGAACCGACGATGAAGATGAGGAAATAAAATGCGCAGTCGATGAACATGTAATCGGGATCAGTCTATCCGATCCTCCTTCAGATCTTTCGAGTACGCCTTTTGGATATGTCTGGACCCTCTTCCATCAAGTTCGAGCATGAACAGAATATCTCGGACCTGGATGCCAGCGCCCTTCTCTTTGTCTTCCCGCCAAACTCCGAGACGTTTGGTTGGTACATTTGTCGGCTCACCAGGGCGGCTGGGCTTTTCTGTAGTGGTGCTTGGGGCGGCGGTGTTAACGCGTGTTGGGGTGGAAAAACCGCTTCCAGCAGCTGGGCCACGATTGAGCCAAGAATACGTCTTTTTGCTTCCGAATCTGCTGCCTGATAGCATGCTGTTTGTAGCCATTCTTGCTGTTTCCACAGACTGTTGGTGTTGCTGCGCTTCGTTCGCTTTTGCGTCAATAAGTTTTCTGGCTTCTTTCTTGGAAAGCCCTTTTTTATCCATGCTAGGAGCTCTTTCCCCAATAGGTGTCGAAGCACCAGATCCCGGAATATCTACCGATTCTGATCTTGTTGTCCCGCCTTCTCCCAAGATGGCACTGGCGCTCCGCTTGGCTCGTTTCGCGGCGCGAGCCTCCTCGTTGGAAACGTCTTTATCCACTAGGAGACGGTATTTTTCGGAGATAGATCTGGCTATCGACTGCTGTGTCTCTGGGTGGGGCCCTAAATTCCGGTTAATTTCTGTTTGAAAGAAAAGAAATGGAGGGTTTACGTTTGAGGGATGGTGTTTGAGGACCATCGACTTTGCCATTCACTTCATCAGCCGATGATGCAAGGTCCTTCCATTCAATAGGCACCGTTCCATGTGAGTGCGCGCGCCTGCTTTGGGCAAGCGTTGAAGAGTAATCAATCACGGTTCGGAGTCGCTCCTCGCATGATATTGACATCAGATTCAAAATATCGACTAATGGAGCACCCTCTTGATTTAGAATAGTTTGGCCCGTACGCACAACGGATGAGCCGTCGGGTCCAGTAACCTCAATAGGCTGTGGGCGACCGGGCACTGGATGAAACAAACCCTCTGCAGGTATCCGAACACCAAGCTCAAAACCACGTCGCTGGAGCCGTTGTTCTAACACCTTGGTCAATAGGAACGGCTCCTGTAAATGATATTGCGCGCGTCTGGCCGCTTCACTGTCTTCCCGAGTCGGCTCATTAGGGTCCTTGAAGGGTGCTGGGGGTTGAGTGGAAGGTTCGGTATAGATGGATTCCTGGGTCCCCGATGGCTTGAACTGCGAGGGCTCACTGAAGCTAGGAGTTGATGAGATTGTCCCAGTATTAGATGTTTGAGATGTAAAAGAGGTGTTTAGGGGAGGAGGTTGCTGCTGTGGAGGCTGTTGTTGGGGCCTTGGTGGCTGCTGTGCCTGAACCCCTGGAGCGGAGTAACTGCTGGTGAGATAAGCTTCTTCTTCCCTCACATCGATTCCAGATGAGGCCAGAACATCGGTTAGTTCAGCGGCATCTGTAGCTTTCTCCACCGGACGAGATGGGGGCCCCATGGTTCCTGGAGGCGGGGGTGCTGGTGTTTGGGGTATCCCGTTCACGTTTGTTCCATTCATGACAACAGGCTGAGTCTGTGGTAACTGTAAGGTTCCAAAGCTTGGGGAGACGTATGGCGACTGTGAGGATTGCGGGAGAGGAGAGAGATGTTGTCGCTTTGGAGGAACGCCACTCCCATTCACTGGTGACGGGCCGGGTGATGGAGAGGGTCCTGGAGGTGAGAAGGACTGGGAAAACTGTTGGGGTTGTGTTTGCGCCATATTGAATATGACCGCTGGGCCGGGGCCAATTATTCACGTTTATGCGATGGGAATCCGTCAGATTTGCTCTGTTTATCAAAGGCAGAGATGTTGCTTCGCGCGTGATTTGAAAAAGTGAGCGGACTGTTGAAACCGCCGCCGCCACCACCTGTAACCATCTCAAGACATCGGGTCCGACATAAAGTCGCTATGTCCGTTTGCAATAACACCCAAGCGAATTTAAACCCTTGTGCGCGGTGAAGAAACTGGCCTTGATCGGGATACCTCGCGATCAAAAAGGGAGCTCTGGCTTGACGAGGTTTTGCTGCGGCGAGAAACGCCCGGCGGCGGTACGTCACGTGGTGATTAGGTAAGTACTTCCCTCTTCCAAGCGCTTCTTGTCTTCACGGAAACTCATCAGGACGGGGATGTGCCAAAAAAACAAGTGAGGTTATTTGAATGTGAGAATTCCTCGGGATATACCGAATTGAAGGTTCCTACACATAAAGCCTGTTCGTTCAGCCACACCAAGAGTCCTGGTCATTGCCATGGCGCGCGGACTTTGCGCTCATTGAGATCGGTCACCCATTGCACACGACACACATTTGTGGAGGAGCTGTCTCAAGTTGGCGCTTTTTCATCTGATATTCTTTCCCAACAGTCTTACTTGTATTGTTCAATTGTTGGATTTTGACAATACCCCTTTCACGCCCACTCCTGAAACCTTCATACGCGTTAGACCATGGCGACAAAGCGAAAGGCTTCGGCGCTGAATGCCGCCGTCGAGGAGCTTGTCGACCCCTCAGATGAGCTGGCTTTTTACTGTTTGGGAGGCGGGAATGAGGTCGGACGGTCATGCCATATTATTCAGTATAAAGGGAAGACGGTTATGGTATGTACTCTTTCTGCGTGCGCTGTAATATCCGCTGATTTAGATTTGTTTATAGCTTGATGCTGGTATGCATCCGGCCAAGGAGGGATTCTCTGCGCTCCCCTTTTTTGATGAATTTGACTTGAGTACGGTGGATATCCTCTTGATCAGCCAGTATGTGAGATACCTGCCTGCTTCCTGCCTGCCATTTCCATTCCCGGGGCGCCAAAGGGTATATCCACACCTTGCATGCGACGGCACAACTAAGCCACTCGTTTGCCTTAGTGGTATACCATTTTTGGCAAACCGGGCCTTAATTTCCTACTCATGTATACCAGAAACGCAATGCAATACATGTTACTTTGTATTTCGTGGACAATCTTTGTATTTTTGTACTATTGCTGCGTTACGGACTCTTTTATGGGCCCCCCTCGATCTACAGTTGGCTGATAGCTTCTCTTCTCGGACTTAGTTTTCACGTCGACCACTCCTCTGCGCTCCCTTATGTGCTCAGCAAGACTAATTTTAAGGGTCGCGTGTTTATGACACATGCGACGAAGGCCATTTACAAGTGGCTGATCCAAGATAATGTGCGCGTCAACAATACAGCCTCATCGTCGGACCAACGTACCACATTATATACTGAACATGACCACTTATCCACACTTCCGTTAATCGAAACCATCGATTTCAATACAACACACACTATCAACAGCATCCGCATTACCCCTTTCCCCGCCGGCCACGTTCTTGGCGCAGCTATGTTTTTGGTTTCCATAGCTGGATTGAACATTCTCTTCACCGGGGACTATTCTCGTGAGGAGGACCGACATTTGATTCCTGCTGAGGTACCTCGAGGAATAAAAATAGATGTCCTGATCACTGAGTCTACGTTTGGAATTTCCTCTAATCCCCCTCGACTGGAACGTGAAGCGGCTCTGATGAAGTCAATAACTGGTGTGTTGAACCGTGGAGGGCGAGTCTTGATGCCTGTATTTGCCCTCGGTCGAGCTCAGGAGCTGCTCCTCATTCTTGATGAGTATTGGGAAACGCACCCTGAGTTACAAAAGGTGCCGATTTACTATATAGGAAATACGGCTCGAAGATGCATGGTTGTTTATCAAACGTACATTGGAGCGATGAACGATAATATTAAAAGATTGTTCCGTCAGCGGATGGCAGAAGCAGAAGCTAGCGGCGACAAAAGTGTCAGCGTGGGACCCTGGGATTTCAGGTTTGTTCGAAGTCTACGCAGCCTCGAACGCTTTGACGATGTTGGAGGCTGTGTTATGCTTGCGTCGCCTGGCATGTTGCAGACAGGAACAAGTAGGGAGCTGCTTGAAAGGTGGGCTCCAAACGAACGCAATGGCGTTGTTATGACAGGTTACAGTGTCGAGGGCACAATGGCGAAACAGCTGCTGAACGAACCTGATCAAATTCCTGCGGTAATGTCAAGAACAACCACCGGAATCGGCCGTAGCCGTATGGGAGCCAATGACGAGGAGCAAAAGATTATGATTCCCCGACGATGTACTGTGGACGAGATCTCCTTCGCAGCTCACGTGGATGGTGTTGAGAACCGAACCTTTATTGAGGAAGTTGCAGCACCTGTTGTGGTATGTACTTAATCTCTTTCTGCTTTATTGTCCCACACTGATTTTTGGCAGATCCTCGTTCATGGAGAGAAACATCAAATGATGCGACTCAAATCAAAGCTACTCAGTCTGAACGTCGATAAGACCGTTAAGGTCAAAGTCTACACTCCAGCTAATTGTGAAGAAGTCCGTATTCCTTTCAAGAAAGACAAGATTGCCAAAGTTGTTGGTAGGTTGGCGCAAATGGAAGCACCTCTCGACGAAGATGACGGCTCTCTCATGGCTGGTGTTTTGGTTCAAAACGGATTCGATCTCTCACTAATGGCTCCTGATGACCTGCGCGAGTATGCTGGCCTAGCTACCACGACTATCACATGTAAACAGCATATCACCTTAAGTTCAGCAAGCATGGACTTGATTAAATGGGCCCTTGAAGGTACATTTGGCGCTATTGAAGAAATTGGCAATTCTCAGGAAAGCAAAGTCAAAAAGGAACTCTCAGAAGACACCTCATCAGAGCCTAACGGAGATAAGCAACAACTGAAAGATGAACATGCGGATGAGGAGATCCCCATGGAAGAGTCGCAAGCATACCTGATTATGGGCTGTGTTATCATTCGATACCACCCTCGTACCCGAGAGGTAGAGCTTCAGTGGGAAGGCAATATGATGAATGATGGTGTGGCAGATGCAGTTATGGCAGTTCTTCTTACTGTTGAGAGCAGTCCTGCCTCTGTGAAGCGTATGTTGGCCCCAGTTCCTCAATCTCAATTGGCTCATATAGTGTGCTGAGTGATATAATCATAGAATCTGCCAAGTTAAAGCACTGTCATCACCACCATGACGGTGGCCTAGAGCTTGCCAATCCACATAGTCAACAAGATGCAGAGGAGCGCTTCGCTCGTCTTCTCATGATGCTTGAAGCGCAATTCGGATCCGATATCGCTCCTATTGAACGCCCACGATTGCTCCCGAAAAGTCTTACGAATGGCTCCGCAAAGAGTGAGACCGACACCCTAGAGCAAACCCCTTCAAAAGACGGCAAGGACGCCCAAGATGAAGCAGCGACTGCGAAGCTTGAAGCGGCCGAACTGGCTCGCCTGCAAGCTCAAGGTATTCCAGTCCCTGGTATTGAGATCAAGGTTGATAAGCACATCGCAAGGATATGGCTGGAAGATCTTGAGGTTGAGTGCGCCAACGCTGTGCTGAGGGATAGAGTGCGAGTGGTGGTCGAAAGGGCTGTTGAAACAGTTGCAGGCATGTGGTCAACGGGGTCTTCTTCAACTACGGTTACGAATGGGGGAGGGAGAGAGCCCACTAAAGAAGGAGTTCTCTCTTCGAAGTTACTAGAAGGAGAAGTCCAAGGTTAGATATTTACACTACCATGTATAATATGATCACACATTTTTCATTGTTTGGCTATATTCTATAGCCAAATTTGTGTACAATTTTCTGGGAAATGTCCCTGTATGTGGTAGCATAATTCACACAGTGTTCAAGAGCCTAATTATATAGAGTACCTGTACTCCGTAGAGGTAGATTAACTATCCTACACTCAGGATAGAATACAAAGGACTAAAGTCCGTTGAGGGTCTATGCTTCCCAATGAGGAAATAGGGCTAACCCTACCAACTTTTTTCTGGACATTCTGGAGCTCCGCATTTTCTGGACGATCATTGATGAGCTTAGAGCTTGAACTCCATTCAACAGCGACAGTGTATTGTTCCTACTCTCTGTCGCTATGGATATCGCCGATCTAATTGAGTCGCCGCGAAAACGACTCAAGACTGAGGATGTTACTAGCACGGAAGAAGCTGTACTCCCTGCGTCAGTCGGAGCTTTGCCGCCGCAGGCTGAAGCCGATGAGCAGATCTTGAGGGAGCTTGAAGTTGGAATTACCGAGTTTGTTAGCGCTGGCAATGAAGGGTTTGTAGGGATATTGAAGAAACGGTAATTATTCCCAAGAGAGATTAAAGGAGTATAAGCTAATAAAGCGGGAGTTCCCAGGTATACAGATTTTCTAGTCAATGAGATCCTACCCTCGGGAAAAGTCTTGCATTTGGAAAGTCCCGCGTCGTCGGACAAGGGAAAGAGCGAAAAGCCTGCCGAAAAACCCATAGAGAAGTCAGTGGAGGAGAAAAAGGAACCTGAACCGGTGCCGCAGCCTGAGACCTCCACGGAGAAGAAAACGCCCGCTGCTGCCACAGAGATCCAGGTTTCGGAGGAGGACAAAACGACTCTAGAGTCCTTTTTTGGCCCGCAATCCACTCCCAAAATAATATCCCTTTATCAACGTGCCCATGCGAACCCGAAAGCCAGACCTAGTGAACTACCGAAATTGAGTACTGTGGTGGTAAATGATCGTGATGAGCGCATCAAGATTCACCAGGCAGTCCGCCGTATCTTCAATTCGCAGCTAGAATCTTCAACAGAAAGTGATGGGACTATGGTTATCTCTGCCGCTACAAACCGCCATAAACGTAACCCGCCCAGTGGACGCGGCAATGGACGCGAACGGGTGCGTGTTGACTGGGATGAACTGGGAGGACCGTACTTGCATTTTACTGTCTACAAGGAAAATAAGGATACCATGGAGGTCATAACCTTCATCGCACGCCAACTAAAGATGAACCCAAAGAGTTTCCAGTTTGCTGGCACAAAAGACCGCCGTGGAGTGACTGTTCAACGGGCTTGCGCACTCCGCCTTCACGCGGATCGACTCGCAAAGCTCAACCAGTCCCTGCGTAACGCAGTTGTCGGAGACTTTGAGTACCGCCCGTACGGTCTTGAGCTTGGTGATCTCTCCGGAAACGAGTTCGTCATTACCCTTCGTGAATGCGACATCCCCGGCATTGACCTCCAGGATCGCCAAACCGCAGAAACGAGGGGCACAGAGCTCGTCAGCTCAGCACTCAAAAACCTCTATCAACGTGGTTACTTCAACTACTACGGTCTCCAGCGCTTCGGTAGTTTTGCAACCCGCACGGACACGATTGGCGTGAAGATCCTCCAAGACGATTTCAAAGGTGCCTGTGACGCAATCCTCGACTACAGCCCACATATCCTCGCAGCCGCACAAGAAGGCGACGCCTCCACACTCCAAATCAGCTCCGATGACAAGGCGCGCGCAGAAGCCATTCACAACTTCCAAACCACAGGCCGCGTTGGCGAGGTCCTCGAGAAAATGCCTCGCAAGTTTTCGGCAGAAACAAACATAATCCGACACCTAGGACGCACTAAGAACGACTACCTTGGAGCGCTGCAAACCATCCCCCGAAACCTGCGGTTGATGTACGTCCATGCTTACCAGTCGTTAGTCTGGAACCTGGCCGCTGGCGAACGCTGGCGATTATACGGCGACCGCGTTGTGGAGGGCGATCTTGTCCTCATCCACGAACACCGCGACAAGGACGGCAGCGAGGCCAACAACAATAGCAATGGCCCAGCGCCTGTCGCGCCTGGCGCCGTTGACGCAGATGGCGAAGTCATCGTCGTCCCCGCGGAAGGAGACAGCGCATACACCGCAGAAGACACATTTACGCGCGCGCGAGCTCTGACGGCTGAAGAAGCCTCCAGCGGTAAATACACGATTTTCGATATTGTGCTGCCCCTCCCGGGCTTTGACGTGCTTTACCCCGCCAACAAAATGACAGAGTTCTACAAGAACTTTATGGGTAGCCCCCGAGGCGGAGGTCTAGACCCGTTCAATATGCGTCGGAAATGGAAAGACGCCAGTCTTAGCGGGAGCTATCGGAAGTTATTGAGTCGGATGGGCCCAGATTACTCTGTCTCGGTGAAGGTTTATTCGAGAGACGATGAGCAGTTTGTGCAAACAGACTTGGAAGCTCTCAGGAGTAAGACTTCAAACGAAGAGCAGCAGCAGGAGCAGCAAGTGGGATCTGAGGAAGGCGGCGATAAGCTTGCTGTAATCCTGAAGTTCCAGCTCGGCTCGAGCCAATATGCTACTATGGCCCTAAGAGAATTGATGAGAGGAAAGGTTAAGGCGTATAAGCCTGATTTCGGGGGTGGACGGTAACCACGCTCGTCCTCCCATGTCTTGCCCTCAAAGCCAAGCCTTATGTGTATATTTAAAATCCCATCCATTGGGATTATTTATTATACCTTTGCGTATATTATTATATTTTCAAAGCCCCCCACCCCCCCGCAAAAAAGTTCAAGATCATTTCCCAAAATTTTTTTTTTTTTCATTCTGTAGGGTAAACTAGAGTATCCTTGAAAACACTAGTATATACAGTAGCAGTAAACATATCATTATTGATCCATTCAAGGGTATATACATGGAAATATAATTCGCAGGACATTTAGCGAAGAAGCCCAGGCTGTCTCCTATCATCATCATCTTCAAACGACGAAACAGACGACAAATCATCTTCTAGGCCGCGAACATGTATCGGATCCTCACGATCACTTAGACACGAAACAATAGACGCCGCATCGTCCAGCGGATGCTCGAATGGCGAGCGCGGACGGCTCCCGAGCTCCTCTGAGGTTCTCCATTCCAGGGTGTCACGATGATCTCGAACCACCACTGCAGGAGCCAGAGCCGGAGCCGCAGCCGGAGCCGGAGCAGCATGTGCAGGCGATAGCGTCGATGGATCTTGCTGGTCGGTGGAATCTCTCCGCGGCACGGGACGACGGGGGATGATGGTTGGTGTGGGGATTGGGGGAATGGGGTCGAAGGGACGAGACAGATTCTGGGTTGTCGGGTGGTTCTTCTGTGCTTGGGAATATGGCGGGGGGAGATCAGAGGTCGCCACGGCCATGTTGGGAGGCGGCGTTGGAATTCCAGGCTGGGATTGGAGCTGGCGTTGTCGTCGGCGTCTGCGAATGAAGAAAAAGAGCAGCGCCACGATGATGGCTGCCCCGACTACGGCGACAGGGACTGCGATTGCAATCTTGGTGGTGTTGCTGAGCCCGCTACCTCCTCCTTCTACTACTCCGCTGGTGGTGGTTGCGGTTGCGTGAGTAGAAAGTGAGAGTGATTCTGTTGTGGTTGACATTGTCACTGTTGTTGGCATGTTTGGGTCTATGCTGTTGCCAATCTCACTGTAAGTAGTGGTTGTAGAGACCTGGCTCTCGTTGTTGTTGTTGTTGTTGTTGTTGTTGTTGTTGTTGTTGCTGCTGCTGCTTGCTGCAGAGCCATCCTCTTCGTCGGACGGTGTATTAGCAGAACTGTATGGGAAACCCCTCTCTTCTTCTTTTCTGCTCTTGTCGGAAGACATTTTAGGTGTGGATATGAGGCTCCACGGGTCATTAAGTCTTTCCATCATAGTTGAGGCGGGGTTAAGCGTTAGGTATAAACGTTGTTGTGAAGATCGCAAGAACTATACAAAGTCCCATAGATTAAGCCGGGTATAGATCTATGTTGGACTCAGTAAGCTGCATACCTTCAGCCCCCACAACTTCGAGGCAAACCAAGGATTTAAGGGTATTTCGACTGACTATGCTTTCTCAAGTGGGAAGAAGGCATGTAATTATGTCACACAGAGCGATCTCCTTCGTATGCAGGCTTATCCAAAGCTACTTGGGACCCGCGCCAGCACGAGAGTAGAAGAGACTGCTTTGGAAAGGTGAGGCGGGAAGGGAGAGATTGCGGGTAGGAAGAGAAGGGGAAGAAGAAGAAGAAGAAGAAGTAAGTGGGAGTTCAAGAAAAGGAAAAGCTGACATGGCGCAGCTCTCTCCCATCTGAGCAGTACACAGTACGTACTCACAGTTAAAGAGTAACCAGTAGGTTACGACTGCCAATCAGCACCACCACAAAGACTGAACACGAAGCGCCAGATGGTGAGCAGGAGGGGTCATTTCGAATCAGAAATGAGAGCTATGTAAGATAAACTGGCGGTAAGAGTCTTTTTCTTCTCTCTTTCTTTCTTTTTCTTGCTTCTCGTTCTTTATTCCGTGGTGCTAAACTTCCTTGGCCTCTGCTGCATCAGTAGCCGCCCACGTCTGGATGAAACAAATGATGTGCGTATTCGCAGAGGCTCTTGAGGAATTCTCTTTGTTTCAACCCATCCTCAACGAGGCTGTGCACCCTGTGGATCGACACGAATATAACGTGTCGCCCACCGCAGGAATTGGGTATGTTTTTTTAGGGTGGAGGAGGTCTCCGGCGGGTTCTCAGCCTTGCACTTGCGCGGCCTTTCGCATTATCTCTGTTTGGGGGCCATTCCGTTTTGCTCAATAAATAGCATTTATCTTCATCATGAAATAGAGAAGACGGTTCATAGAACTTCAACAGGGGATTACCTCTTCAGGGTGTTGGGTTTTTTGGATGATTGACAAGGATATTGTGGTCGATCTCTTCGGCAAAACTTGAATCTATTTAAAGCGCACTCGGCAATGGGGATATCTCAAACCTACATAGTACCAACTTGGAGATTTTCTCTTCTCCATAAATAATATAACATCTCACCTCAATAGTATACGTTCTTACCTATCGCAAACCCTCAGGGAAAACACGCAATCCTTCCCAACTTCCCGAGCTTCTTCTAGATTTACGCCAACAGGCAACGTAATGCAACCGAAAAGAGGTAAGCTCTCTAGGAAATCGGCCGAAGGTATCGAAAAAGGTAAATGACCACGGTACTAAACCAACATAACATCGCGTTCTCCCTGCACGGGCGACCTTACTTCAGTAACAGCTGTCTCGCACCTGGTAAATGTATTCGTCCGCGTCTAACACACCAAAAGTGCCAATATAGAACAGAGACCGTTCGTGTTGGAGTCTTGGAAATGCTTCGGTAGCAATAGAATAGGCATGAGTCCATCCAGAGCCCATGTTCTTCAGTTTTGTGAACTACCGGTTCTCCTATAGTTGGTACGGCCGTAAACATAGATCTTTTGTGGGAGATACAGACCCAGCTCTCTGAATAGCAAGCACTGCCTGTACATGCAGCTTCGGGTTATGAATAGATATCATGGCCTGATCACTTTATACGGCCTATCTGACGTGCTGCTTGCCATGTTTCAGACCAAACAAAAGAAGATGCACCTTACATGAACCATCCTGTGGCATGAAGGATTTTCCCTATGAATTGAGAATACTAAAGGGTTGCATCATTCCTTGTTATTTATCAGGGTTGCGAGAGTATAGCTCACCTTGTCGAAGGCCAGCCAATCTTTAGAATGGGAACTGATGCAAGCTACGATGCAAGAACCCCAAACAGGGTAACCACAAAACAGCTTATCTCAGAGCCAGCACAAGACTCCATAGAAATAGGATCATCGCTCATGGCCACACTTCATACATCGAATCAGCCCCAAACGAATCCTGTGTTATGTAGAGGTGCTTGCCTGGGTAGCGTTGCCGTCATAACACTTGGGGGAACAATCCATTGAAACTGGACCCTGTTCAATACATCACGTACTAAGTCAGGTTCATTCTTAGAGCCAAGTGAGCCTTGGATAATTTTTATCTCAACAGGTTCTGTGAAGGTTGTTGAATGGTTCCAATTGACACTGCCACGATTAAATTTGGATCTGATCTTAGAGTATCGTCCAACATAACGTGTTTCCGGTGGACTCCATTGGGAGTATGCGCAACATCTTTTAATTTCGCCTTTCTATATTCCTGTTTAGTGCTCGATGCAACTCTGTTGTTGCTATTATAAGTGCCTTGTTCATTGTATGAGTGTCAGTTTTCGTAGGTGCCAATTAGTAGGTGCCAATTGAGTTTGCTCATGAAGGATCGTTTCACATACAATACAATCATCCAAAATGCCTCAGTAAGGATAAACCCATTACTAGTTTACCAGGGTGTTGCAGCCTCTGAAGATGAGCTATTCTTGGACATTGTTCGCTGATTTGTGTCAAGGCACGGTCCTAAGAGAAGAGATTCCCAAATAGGAAAAAGAAAATAAGCATGTGATCAGACGGAGATTGGAGATAACCATTTACAGACTAAACCCTTTTAGACAGGAGATGATGACATCTCGTCGCTGACTAACGACTTGTCCTGATCTCCCCCAAACCGAGTCTCGCGCATAAGACTCTGGTATTCCCCCCCTGATTTCCGCGATAGAAATAATGAGTGGGCTTAAAGGGGTTATGAAAGAGGGCTGGCATCCCAAGGGTCGTGATGGAAAGAAAGAGAGTTGGCGAAACGACTTCAAAGGAATCAATCAAGTGGTGAGTTCTTCGTCGGGCCTATGCTGATCTCTGTGTGCTTGGACTGATATTCTGCGAAATATAGGCGGGATGGGTAGGAAAAGGAAAGGATAATGATACCGATAGGGAGAATCATGTATCCCGGCCACTCTCGTCACTCAAGGACCCAGCATCCTTTGGCCCGCCACCCAAACACATCAAATACCATGGTGCGGGGGCTCTCCCAAACGAAACTACCCCGGATCGCAGCGGATTCGGTACTCCCTTATCCCAGGAACAGGCCAGTCGCCAGAATGTAGAGCAGCAGGGAGCAGAGGAAGCGGCAAGATGGGACGAGGGAAAGGCGGCTGAGAAGCCGCGGCCCCCTGTGCCGTATCGTACGAACCGAACAGGCTTCGACCCAAGCCGTCTCCCACCACCTCCGGTTCGACGGACAGCTACTCCCGACGACTCTACGACTGTTGTGAGCCCCAGGCCCAGACCGGCTGTTCCGCCTCGAGTTCCCCCCCGGACAGCAACGCCATCTTCGCACCCACCTACCCCGCCTCCTGCATACTCTCCCCATGTACCTGCGGCAGAACAATCCCAACCCTTAGAAGGGCACTTAAACCAAGATGCTACATTGCGACTCTCCCAGGCTGGTGTATCTGTTCCTGCGCTCGGGATTGGGAGCAACAACCGGTCTGCACCTACAGCTTCGCCATCGACAGCAGGTTTAGTTGGCCAGGCCCCGGTGAATGAGCTGCAAAGCCGCTTCTCGCAGCTGAGAACCAACTCCTCCCCCTCTCCGCCAGTTCCTCCCCCGCCGCCACGGGGAAACCAGTCGTCACCTATCTCTGCGTCCAACGTTTCCAGCGCCAGGTCCGCGTTCAACGACTTCCGCTCGCAGCACAGTGACAAAATCGAGTCCGGGAAGCAGAAGCTTAATGGACTAGATCAGAAATATGGGATCACGCAGCGTGTCAGTAAGGCTTTTGATAGTAACTCAGAAAATACTACCAATGCGGCTCCACCAGTCCCTCCACATCCCAATCTGAGTCGTTCCTCGACCTCTAGCACTGATACAGAAGCTTTGGCTCGGAGAAAGGCACCTCCCCCACCGCCGCCTCAGAAGAAAGCCGAGCTACGGTCAGCGCCAACTGGAGCTGCTTCTCCAGCACCACCTCCACTTCCCCTTAACACCAAACCCCGCTGAGCGGGTCTTGATCTCTATAATTGATCTGTTCGGAATTTATGCAGGAGTAAGGCTTGGGTCGTTTCGCATGTATCACTAGGTAGCTACTAAGTATCACAACTGGTTTACATTCTTCTCAAAAATTTCACGGATATCCACAACTACCTTGCCCCGCAGCATTGGCCCGAGGTTCAAACTGCGCATCGTTCATCGCATTGGTTAGCGTTCCCCATCCCAGAACAAAAAGACAGACAAAAGGAGGAGAGAAATCTACCAACCACCCCTAGCCCTAAATCCATACACTCTCTATGAAGCTTTCCCATTCTCATATCTCGTATGAACCCCAAGTGCATACCGCAGCCTGGTCCCCTGAAATAAACGAGGAGTCCCGTATGCCTGATAATCTCCGCATCCCTGGCCCAGGAAGCCACCGACCACTGCCCCGTCTGCAAGGGGGCGTTGGAATTTGTACCCATGCTTCTTCAGGGGTGTTGGTGATCGGTTAATACTACAGTATTCCTCTAGTAGTATATGTGCTAAATTCATCTTCAGAAGAGGACAGGGAGTCAAATGTCCTCAGGTCGTTATTTTTCCATTTATATACACCTCCCCTCTCTCTCTCTCTCTCCCTCTTTCTCTTTCCGCCTAGTATTATAGCTTCGCCCGAGATGTCTGCAACTCTGCGTGTTTTACAATGTAGTATTGATATGCGGGGGTCACAAGCGAATATCCTCCCTAGTAGGTAGCGCATGCATGGAATAGCTCTACGATCTTATTTGGCGAACAGTGAATACATTGTAAGTTATCTACGGAGTACTACTAGTAGTACTAACTTGAAGTACGTAGTACAGGTAAGTTAGTAATATTGCATTACTTGCTCAGCGTCAGCCTCAATGCTTAATCCCTTTAATTCAGCATGATGCATGATTTATCATCAGTGCTATACAGGCTTTCTGATAAATCGATCCCCTAAATCCCATATGTTTGTTGGGTCTTTTTGGATGTAATTCATATGTCAATAGACTACTAGCAAAAAGACCGAAACCGAAACTAAGTGGTTGGGTTGATTCCTCTTTGTATAACTTACGTAATCAACTAGGTACTGATGACGTTGGGGACTGGCACTGCTTAGTCATACGGATAAGGCTGAGAATCCCTACCGGATAAACCCGTAAATCCGACATTTCCGGATGTACACGTGACCGCGCGGACATTTTTTCCCCAGGCAATGGGCAAAGCTTCAAGAGTCCTATGTAATAAATAGCTAACCATGAGAACAAATCCCAACTACGCGTCATGATTGACCAACTTAAAGCGGCAGTCCCTTGCGTGAGAGTTACCCCCATTTAATTCTGAGTTAAGTTCTGATGGAGCAGTGAGGATTCAAATCCCGCCGCCAAAGCCGGATTGGACTCCCTTCACAAGTACTTACTAGGAGGTAGCCGGGGACAAACCCGTCGAATCGATGTCGAACATGATCAATGACGAGTCAGGGCTAAGGTTCCCTTGCCCCCAAATCGCTGCTGTGAATGGTAGACAAACCCCCCCCAGTCACGGGCCCTGGGATATCTTTGTGCACTTCGAGTTGTTGGGCCGAGGTCTGGCCATTGTATCTTCCCAACAAAACACATCGCGGATCCACTTAGCATCAGAATCCGCCTCTTATTTGGTCATGCAATCAGATCAATGAGAATTTCTATCATTCTCTGTAATTCTTCTGGAAAATCTTGAAGCCGTATTTTCTTTTCTGCTCAGTTCAATTCATCCTCATATCATTCCCATCTCCTCCATTGTGCGCAGGGCGCGACTGCATTGTTGGAGTTCTTGCTTTGTTGCCCACAGGATTTTTCTTAACTCGCGTGTCTCGTATCTCTCTATATCATCGGCAAGGTACTTGCTTTACTTTTCTTTTCCCTTTGGTGTGACAGAAAATTTCAATCTTCTACTATAGTTCGTGGCTAATCAGAAAATTCTCCAGAGTATTCTCCTTCAGCACTACCATGTACGACCTCACCCTAAATACAGGGTCAGGCCCGGCAATTGTTCGAGTTGGCCTACCCCCAGCTTCCTTGCTTAAATTCCCTCCCGATGAGCTCCCGACAACCCTGTCCGCTCCCCAGCTTGTGGAGCCCACATGGTATCAGCCATTCAACATCCCTCCAGCTCTCTACAACGAGCTGCTCGATGTGCGCGTCCCTGTTACGATTGCTAGTGTTTATGCCGCCACTGTTGTCCTCCTCAACCGCGTGAACAAGAGTCGTGGATACAAGCCCTACGCCTTTAGCCAAACCAAGCTGTTCAAACTCTTCGTCATTCTTCACAATGTTTTCCTGGCTGTCTACTCGATGTGGACTTTTGCAGGCATGGTCCGGGCGTTTCGCAACTCTTGGCCTGATTGGAATGATCCCAGCGGCCTAGTGGGTGTGGTGGATTCCCTGTGCAAGTGCAATGGTCCTCGGGGTTACGGAAACGCCGCAACTTACAATTCGACCATGAACCAATGGACCATGCAGAATCCGGAGCTCAAGCTGGCTGAGGGAGGTGTGCCAGACCCTACTGATGTTGGCCGTATGTGGAACCAGGGACTGGCATACCTGGGATGGATTTTCTACCTCTCCAAGTTTTACGAGGTGTTAGATACCGCCATCATTCTGGCTAAGGGCAAGAAGAGCTCCACCTTACAGACCTACCACCACGCGGGCGCCATGATGTGCATGTGGGCTGGTATTCGTTTCGTGGCACCACCAATCTGGATCTTTTCCCTGGTTAACTCCGGAATTCATGCGCTTATGGTATGACCCGCACTACCTTGAAATTTATTACCTAATTTCAGCTAACGGACCATCTAGTACACTTACTACACCATCACTGCCTTCCGCATTCGTGTTCCCACCGTTGTGAAGCGCACTTTGACTACCATGCAAATCACCCAGTTTGTTATTGGATCATCAATGGCAGCCTCCTACCTGTTTGTTAGCTATACCCTTCCGGCTGGCCAGTCTATGTCTGCGACCGTTACTGCTACTACCGGCGCCACAGCCGTTGCTAGCGCCTCTGGACTCGCATGGATCAAGCAGGTCGCTTTCCGTGCAGCGGGTGCGGAGGGGATCGCAGAAAATGTGGGACAGGGTGAGGGTAACGCTGCTGTTCCCCAGGAGGTCCATGTCGGTCCCATGATTACATGCATGGATACTACTGGCCAGGGGTTCGCTATCTGGCTCAACGTTGCCTATCTCCTGCCTCTGACTTATCTCTTTGCCCGCTTCTTCGTCCGCTCCTACCTGTACCGTAAGGAGCCTTCTCAGCCGACTCACATGAACGCCGCCGAGAAGGCCGGTTTGGATGCTTTGAAGGAGGTGAGTCGTGAGATCCAAAAGGCCGTCGAAATGAGCGGCGAGGCAAGCGAGACCACCGAGGACGAGGCTGTTTCCCAAGCCCAGACCAGCCGCGCTCAGGGCGCCCAACAGGTGGTTGCAGAGAACTCCCCTATCCGAACCCGTGCCGCTCAGAGTGACCTACAATCTGAACACAATTTCTCCACTGTTCCAACCAAGCAGTCTGGGGTCCAAACCTCAAACCCCTTTGGAGTTCTAGGCAGCACAGCCTAAACATTTTCCTTGGCTAGTCTATTCCTATGATGTCGGAAAGCTGCTTGTAGTCTTGCGAGCATTTGGAGAAAAGAAAAAGAAATTACGGGTTTGGACTAGCAAGGGTTTCAAACACATATTATTACCGGCTTAATCCCCAACGACAGCCGTTCCAATATTTCTTCTCAATGCGATGCTCTTCTGAGCGTCGGATTGATTCAAAAATGCATTGGAAGTCCCCTTCGGGGGTTGAGTTGGGTGCTCTCCCCCCAATCCATCGCGTCCTTGCCGATGTGCAGGGGCCTTGCCACAGCCACAATTGCTGCTTTAATGTGTATTATTTGGTTGTCTTGTTCTGGTTATTGGATTACGGGGTATTTGGTTATAAATCTGGGCTTTTTCTGACTTGGTGGGGGTTCTAATGCACCTTTGGTGTCCAATGGGCCTGGGTTTTTAGCATTTGGGATACGACCATTAAATTGCATGACAATAAAAAGGATTTTTTTTTTTCTCTCTTTTTTTTTCTTTTACTTATTTTTCACCGGACTGGTCTTCCCTCGAGTAATGAATGAAGAAGAAATTCTTTCAAAAGAAGGGTAATGTTCTATGCCGAATTCTTATCCTATCCATAAGTACCTCCGAGTAAACAGGATCTTACTACTCCATACGTTATGGATCAAGTGCGCCATTCCATTCCCCAGAATTCTTCCGCAGAGAAAAGCTCCGTATTTTAAACTCCGAACTAGTCAATCCCCCTGAATAACGCTGCCAAAATTATCTTTCTTCATTTCAGGCTATACAATCACAAGCAGAGTTCCGACCATCCGTCAACCTATGATAAACCAGACTTGATAAGTCGGTCAGAACAAAATGAGGTATATAATTACGAACAAGCGAACCCAGTTGGATTGTACTGACTGAGTGGGAACTGTAGATGCACACTGTGAGCTACTTCCAGCAAGACCGCTGTGCCCCTCTTCCTCCATCGGATAATCTCCCGATTCAAATAGCTTTCGTTTTCTGATCCCTGCTCTGATGCCAGTCGGCGGAAAAATGCCCCCAGGTCTGCCTGGTGAATGGAGGAAAATCCTCATCTCATCTTCCCCACATGCACGATCGATTCCATCTACTACAGACCACCGCGGAATGACAGTCGTCCATTGCCAATATTCCATGCGGCATTTGGAGCTGACGATCTTCTTATGTTGTGCTCTAGAGTCTAGGCTGTGGGGATGTTGAACCCGGATTTGGAAGAAGCGCTTTGGTTCGTTATGCCAGCATGCTCCCAGCTTCCTCTGCAAGGGCGGCCAGACATAAATTCGGTCCTCAAGACCCTTGATGGAGAAATCATATTGTCCACAATCGGTCGCTTACCATTGTAGGCTGACACCACGGCCCGAAAATGGCCCGTATCTTCCAATTGCTTGTTTGTGCGCTGGGGAGCTTACAAGCTCTCACAGCTGCTCAGAACAGCAGCGGATCGGATTGGCCCGTCCACGACAATGGACTGAATAAAGTGGTGCAATGGGACCATTACAGTTTCTACGTCCACGGCCAGCGGATTTTCATCTTCTCCGGAGAATTTCATTACTGGCGTATCCCAGTGCCGGGTCTCTGGAGGGATATTTTGGAGAAGATTAAAGCCATCGGGTTTACGGGGTTTGCCTTTTATTCTAGCTGGGCTTATCATGCACCAAATAATCACACAGTCGACTTTTCTACTGGTGCTCACGATATCACGCCTATCTTCGATCTTGCGAAAGAGCTTGGGATGTACATTATAGTACGTCCTGGCCCTTACGTTAATGCAGAGTCCAGTGCTGGTGGCTTTCCGCTTTGGCTTACGACTGGGGCATACGGCCCGACGCGAGACGATGACCCACGGTATACTGCTGCGTGGACCCCATACTTCTCTATGATGTCTGAGATAACGAGCAAGTATCAGATCACGGATGGCCACAATGCATTCGTTTACCAGATTGAGAATGAGTACGGAGAGCAATGGATTGGAGACCCGAGCGAGCGAGTTCCAAACGAGACTGCAATCGCTTACATGGAACTGCTCAAATCTACCGCACGAGATAAAGGGATCAATCTACCATTGTCAGGAAACGACCCCAATATGAACAGTAAGTCTTGGGGAAGCGACTGGTCGAATGCTGGAGGGAATCTCGATGTTGTTGGACTGGACTCGTATCCTTCTGTAAGTTTTTTTTTTTTTTCTTAAAGGGGTTCGACTCTCGATGCCACTAACTGTGTTAGTGCTGGAGCTGCGATGTCAGTGAGTGCACAGACACAAACGGGGACTATGTTCCTTACAAGGTGATGCAGTACTATGATTACTTCCAGAGTGTGCAACCCACAACGCCGTCTTTCATGCCTGAATTCCAAGGCGGATCTTACAACCCTTGGAGTGGCCCTGAAGGAGGCTGCACACAGGATACCGGCGCCGACTTTGCCAATATGTTTTATAGGTGGAATATCGCTCAACGCGTGACCGCAATGAGTCTTTACATGATGTACGGCGGTACAAACTGGGGTGGAATCGCGGCTCCTGTCACTGCAAGCAGCTATGACTACTCGGCTCCTATCTCCGAGGATCGGTCGATCGGCTCCAAGTACCACGAGACCAAGTTACTGGCGTTGTTTACACGATGCGCAAGGGACTTGACAATGACCAATCGTATCGGATATGGAACACAGTATACAACCAACACGGCCATCAGTGCGAACGAATTGAGAAATCCTGAGACTAATGCTGCGTTTTATGTCACAATTCACAACGACACTACCCTTGGCACAGACGAGTCGTTCAAACTGCACGTTGATACCTCCGAGGGGGCCTTCACGATTCCAAGGCACGGGGGTACAATCAGACTCAATGGGCACCAATCTAAGATCATCGTGACTGACTTTAAATTTGGATCTGAAACCCTTTTGTATTCTACGGCAGAAGTACTGACGTATGCGGTATTCGATCAGAAGCCAATCCTGGTCCTCTGGTTGCCCACGGGCGAGTCGGGAGAATTCTCCATCAAAGGCGCGAAATCAGCGAAGTCCAGTACCTGCTCCGGATGTTCTGTGGAATTTTTCCATGACAAGGGAGCCTTGACTGTTGGGTTCACTCAAGCCAAGGGCATAAGTGTCTTGCAGCTAGACAACGGTCTACGAGTGATTCTCCTTGATAGAACTGCGGCGTATGAATTTTGGGCCCCTGCACTAACGGAAGACCCTCTGGTCCCTGAGACCGAAAGTGGTAAGCTAGGGTTTTCTCTGCATGGTATGATTTTACTGTACTAACGAGCAAACAGTACTTGTCAGTGGTCCCTACCTCGTTCGTTCCGCCAGGGTATCAAGGTCCACTTTAACTCTCCGCGGGGACTCTAAAGATGATACTACCCTGGAGGTTTTCGCTCCTCGAACAGTTAAGAAAGTAACATGGAATGGGAGGAAAGTGAAGGCTTCTGAGACTCCGTACGGCAGTCTCAAAATCCACCTTGCCGCTCCCCCATCCATTAAACTACCGACTATCACCGGATGGAAAACCGCCGACAGCCTTCCAGAGCGTTTCCCTTCCTACGATGATGCTGGTCCAGCTTGGGTTGGTAAGTCTAACCAGCTCCAAATTTCCCACCAGAAACGGAAAGTAACCAAGCACAGAGGCAAACCACACGACAACCCTAAACCCCAACAAGCCCGCTACACTCCCGGTCCTTTACGCAGACGAATACGGTGCGGCGCGCACATCTATACTATTCTTTAAACACCACTGAACTCAATATAGGCTTCCACAACGGTATCCGTCTCTGGCGTGGATACTTCAACGGCACAGCCTCTGGCGTGTATCTTAACGTCCAAGGCGGCAACGCATTGTGAGTCTGAGAACTCACTCTTTAGTCATGTAAAAACCTCTAACCACCAGCAACCCCTAAGCGGCTGGTCTGCCTACCTGAATGGCCACTTTCTAGGCTCTTACCTTGGCTCCGCATCCATGAACCAAGCAAACGGCACCCTAACCTTCCCCAACGGATCCCTGAGCACCAACGACACAAACATCCTCCTAATCATCCATGATGACACAGGACATGATGAAACAACCGGCGTTCTCAATCCCCGCGGAATCCTCGAGGCTCGACTCCTCCCTACCTCGAATACCTCAGGAACCCCGGAGTTTACCGCCTGGCGCGTTGCCGGCGCTGCAGGCGGCGAATCGAACCTCGACCCAGTTCGCAGCGCATATAATGAAGACGGTCTCTATGCCGAGCGCATGGGGTGGCATCTCCCCGGATTCGACGATAGCAAGTGGGCCCAGGCGTCCTCTGCCTCCTCCTCCTCCTCGTCTTCTTCGTCCATTTCGTTTACAGGAGCAACAGTGAAGTTCTTCCGAACTGTTCTTCCATCGCTGTCCATCCCTACAGGACTAGATGTATCCATCTCCTTCGTTTTCTCAACCGCCACGAACGCGAGCGCAAGTGCATCTAATGCATTCCGCGCCCAACTCTTCGTAAACGGATACCAGTACGGCCGGTTTAACCCCTACATCGGGAACCAGGTGATTTATCCCGTTCCTCCGGGAATTCTAGACTACAGGGGGGACAATACCATCGGCGTGGCGGTGTGGGCACAGACGGAGGCCGGAGCGAGCCTGGATCTGGACTGGCGTGTGAATTATGTGGTTGAAAGTTCGTTGGACGTGGCGGGGTCTCTGAATGCGGATGGGTTGAGGCCTGGATGGACAGAGCAACGGTTGAAGTTTGCTTAGTTGTTGGGATTATGGGCATTCATTATTACCTCGTTTCGAAATTCTGGTGTTGAAGAAGATCTGATCTGGATGGCACGGAAAGGTGAGAAGTAACTACTTCTCAAATTGATAGGTACAGCTATTCATAAGCCAATCATAACTAGCCCTGGTAGCTGTCAGTTGATACTTGATAGGTACCATACCTAGGTAGTATCATCATCTATACACCACCTACCAGAACCTGGTAGGGATCTGAAAACAAACCCTAAAGTGTCATTCAGTGCTCCACAAAACTAAGAAACAGCTCGGACTACCCCCGAGACACTACCAGCTAGGGGAAAGCGGATTTCCCTCAAGTTCCCGGACAATTGTCAGCAAGGAGGAGTTGGGGATCCTGCACGGGGGTCACGATACTCTGCAGGTCTGTTCTGGATCCTGAGGGATTGGATATCACGCATTCTACCCGAAGCCATCCCGGCGATATTCGCCACATGGAGCCTTGGGACTGCAGGATGGATTATCCTCTTTCGATACCTTTTAGTGGAAGGAATGTTAGCTTGCAGAGTTCAGGAAGGGATCATCCTGGGGAGGGGGTTGAAAACTTAGCACAGGCGCAAGGAAAGGTTTCCAGGTTTCTTCGGCCTGGAATAGACTCGACGACATTGGCTTGGAGGAAGTTATTGCTTGGGAAGCTTGTGATTCTGTGATTCTTAGTCTTGGTGATGGAATGGAATGGAATCAATGAGGGAAGAAGATAAATCAAAGTGAGGAGGAGTCAACACTCTCCCTGTCCATCATCACGGGACTTTCTTGATTTCATTTTGATCTTCATCTTCATCATCTTCTTCTTCCCACCCATCTCGTTCCCTTGTCTTTGCAAACCCCCACGCCATTCATCATCCCTCCACCTTCCCCCACATTCATCCCCGTCGAATCCACCACTGGCTTCATTCTATTGATCCTGCTTACTTCCATTTGCCAACTGCTGGCTCCAGCCCTCCATCTTTTCCCCTCCTTACCCCGGTGTCCCCGCTGCCGACTCTGCTATTGGGGGACTTCTCTCCGTCTTACTATCCAATATTCCCGTTCCCGTCCCCGTTCCCCCAGAAATTACTGCTCCTACGTCTCATTCCTCTGGCAAGGATTCATACATCGGGAAAGTCTTACGGTTGGTGTTCCATGCGCCATCGCCTCCTTGTTCCCAGAGTTTCCCACAAAAAGCTCCCTGACCTCAAATCTACGGACCGCTATGACCGTGGTACCGTTTTTTATACTCTTCTTTCCCCGGCCACCCTTGCCTTCTATTCCTCCTCAATCTCCCCTCCCCGTTCTCTCATCCATCTCACAAAACTATGTCCCCCCGAAACTCTCAGGACCCCGAAGGGGACCTCAACAAAGGCCATATTGACAACATTGAGAGCGTTCAAGAGGTTACAGATTTCACCAAGCCAAACCCTCGCAATGTAGCACCCCCATATGTGGCAAGCCTTTCTCCAGAGGAGCGTGCAATGGCAGAGAAGGCTCTCGTCCGCAAGATTGACATCCGACTTCTTCCCATGATCATCATCATGTACATTCTCAACTATCTGGACCGGAACAACATTGTAAGGGATACCTCATTCCATACCTCGTGTTGATATATCTTATGCTTATTATCTTTCTAGGCTGCTGCTCGACTGGCTGGGCTGGAAACGGACCTGAAATTAGAAGGTGTGCAGTACCAAACCTGCGTCAGTATCCTGTTTGTCGGTTATCTTTTGATGCAAAGTGAGGAGCTTAACCCCTTCACATACCCTAATTCTTTCTAACCATAATACTAGTTCCCTCCAACTTGATGCTGAACAAGTTCGGAAAGCCGGCTATCTACCTTCCCTGTGCTATGATGCTTTGGGGCGTTATTTCTACTTGCACAACTGCTGCCCAAAGCTATGCTAGCCTTGTTGTCATTCGATTCTTTCTTGGTTTTGTTGAGGCTGCCTACTTTGTAAGTTCACGTTTCTTTTTTTTTCACCAATGAAAACATGAATGGATACTAACAGCTGTTTTCCCCCAGCCTGGGTGCCTTTACTTCCTGAGTGCCTGGTACACTAGAAAGGAGCTTGGATTCCGCACTGCTGCCCTTTACTCGGGATCTTTAATCTCGGGAGCCTTTTCTGGCTTGATCGCTGCAGGTATTACTGGTAACATGGACCACAAGGGGGGCCTCCGAGCTTGGTATATATCGAAAATTTCCGGGAGAGAAAGACGAACTGGCTGACGCTTTCCATTTAGGCGCTGGTTGTTCATTATTGAGGGCGCTATCACTATTGTTGTTGCCGTCGGTGCTATCTTCATCCTGCCCAACTTCCCTCGTACCACTGGATGGCTCTCGGAGGAGGAGAAAGAGCTGGCGGTTTGGCGTCTGGAGGAGGATATCGGTGAAGATGACTGGGTTGATAGCGAACAGCAGTCCTTCATGCACGGCGCACAGCTTGCCTTCACTGATATCAAGACCTGGGTTCTGGTAAGCCACTCTAGTCTTGACCCTTTCAAACAGCTACTCAGCAATATAGATGCTCCTCATTCTATGCATTGTTTCTTCTGCGTCCGTAACGAACTTCTTCCCGACCGTCGTGGAAACCCTGAACTACGGAAACATCGAGACCCTCCTCCTCACTGCTCCTCCCTACGTGTTGGCAGTCATCTGTGCCTTTGCTAATGCCTGGCACGCTGACCGTACCGGGGAGCGGTACTTCCACATTACCCTTCCTTTATATATTTCCGTGGCCGCTTTCATCATCGCGGCTACCACGACTAGCACCGCTCCGCGCTACGTCTCGATGATGCTGATGGTCCCGTCCTTGTACACTAGTTATGTCGTTGCTCTGGGCTGGATTTCGAACACTCTGCCTCGTCCTGCATCTAAACGTGCTGCTGCTTTGGCAGGCATCAACTGCGTCAGTAACGCTAGCAGTATTTATGCTAGTTACATGTATCCTAACAGCGATGCCCCACGATTTGGTAATGCTTTCCTGTTTCCTTTTCTTTTTCTAATGTGGCCTTTTTGCTAATGAAAATCAGTTACGGCCATGTCTGTGAACTGCGTCACTGCATTCGTGGCTATTATATCCGCCACTGTCCTCCGCATCATGCTCGTCCGCCTCAACAAGAAGCTCGACTGTAGCGAGGGAATCGCTGCTGGGGTGCCAGGCGAGGCCTCGCGTGGTTTCCGGTTCTTGGTCTAATTTTTTTTTTTTTCTTTTCCTACAACCTTACGGCGTCATTCATTTAGTTAAGTTCGATTCTACTGATCAGCATAGACATGTAATGAGTATATGATTCACTGCACCAGGGTATGGGCGTCGTAATGGATCTTGTGGAGATTAAGCTATATGACACAACTCCAAATAAACAGACAGTCCATCAAAATTGCAAGGCTGGTCCTGGCTGACGAGCTGTTTTTCTTCTTGACGTTTCTCGTTACTACTTGAGCACCAGCTATAGCAAGAGCCATCAAGTCCTTGAAACAGGGGACCAGAAGTGTGGGTGCAAACTCGTAACCTTTCGACTTCCATTTGCCCCAAGGGGGGCGAGCGATTCCCAGCAGCAACAGTAGTAGTAGCATGGAAAAGGAAAAAGCCATGCATGATGATGCCCTAGAAAGGGATTTCCCCTTTTTCTATCAAACCCCCCCCCCCCCCCAGCTCCAGGTCCCACACTCAGGCATCTTTAGTACCCCGTTCTTTCCGAATGCGGGCCAACTGATCTCGTTCAAAGCTCTTCCGGTTGGCGTGCCTGATCGCAGCAACCATATTAAAGAAGAAGATGGAACTATACAGGGCGGCAAGCAAGGCGAGAAAGAAGGCCACGATGAAGATCGAAAAGACCACAAACCCATACGAGGCCCGCTGAAACAGCACGCTGGTACTCAGGGGATCCAGGGCGGTGCCGACCTGCATGGCAGACAGCACGAGCGAGAAATAGACAAAGACCACGAGGATCCAGGCGAAGTTGCGCTGGAAGAAGACCACGTAGCGATTATAGCCGTAGAGATAGCCGCGGACGAAATGCGAGAAGAAGAAGCGCACGCGATAGATGGAGTTGACGCGGCCGAGGCGCAGCTCACCGAAATGGTAGCGCCGGTTGACCTGGTCGAGGGCGTTGAGGTCGACGTGGCGGGCGAAATCGGCGACGAGCGTCTTCCACGCGGGCCACGAGACGGAGCCCGGGAGGAGGTCCAGCTGGTGCGCCATTTTCAGGTCGAGCGGCGAGCAAACCAGCCACACGTAGGAGAGGAGCAGGCCGCAAGCGCAGGCGTGCAGCTCGCGCGACCCGCACAGGTATGTCGCCCAGAAGTCGTGCGCCAGGATGTACTCCGGCAGCGGCTTCAGCAGGAGCTTGTTGGAGAATTTCAGCAGGTGCAGGTCGGCTTGCTCGGTTAGCACGACGTCCAGGCCCATCATCTTCTGGCGCTGCAGGGGGCGGGCGTTCAGCGGCCGCCCGGCCATCCAGAGGTACCGGTGGATTCGGTTCAGGCGGGAAACGTCCAGATCCATCTTGACGAAGGTCGCGACGTCGTCTTCGACCAGGAAGACGTGGTGGTGCCCTGGGACGCGTGAGATGGTCGGGAGCGATCTCAGCGTTTCTGTGGAGACTTTTGTCGTGCTGGTGGTGGTGGTGGTGGTGGTGCTGGTGTTTGCGCCCGACTTGGTCGCAGCCTCGACTGAGGAGGGTGTTTCTCCGCCATGTGCTGCTGGGCTCGCTTTGTCGGGAGGGGAGAATGGCGGAGAAAGATGGGTTGTCGAAGGTGACGCCATCATTGACGCGTCATGTTGGGGGAATGATTAAATAGATGTCTGGGAAGAGAGCCTCCTGTCCTCTCCCTCTCCCTTTCCCCTCTCTCTCTCTCTCTCTCTCTCTCTCTCTCTCCGTCAGCCGTTAGTGTACGATTGTTGACACGACGGTCTAGTCACCTGAGCAGCTAAACCCTAAACATTCCAATGTACTTCTGACAAGTCTTAACTATAAATAAACTTGATAGGGCAGAGTCGCTCTTCCTGGACGAAATTCTGATTTGATCTGATTACCTACAGCCCTAAGAAGAATTTTGGGAGGTATACTATGCTATAGTTTGGAGCTGGGTTGGGGCAGACTATGTATAGATATATGGAGTACATGAACTTGAAATGAGTGAAGAACTAAATATAGACTCAATATCTGATAGAAACAAAGGTCCTTATTGAAAGACTGCCCTGTTCATGTACCTGAGCTGAGCATCCAACAACATTATGAGAGAGAGAGAGAAGAATATACATATAATACTTCTACCCTCTCCTAGGCCCACCCCTGTCCTGCCGTGTTCCCAATATATATCAGAAGCAAATGAATACCTCATAGCCACAATGCGAAGATCGATCAGCGAAGAGAAAAGAAAGAGTAACCACTGCAAAGGTTAGGAAATCTAATTCCCTAGCTAACTAGCTCAAGTAACGGCGTATAAGTTTCGTTTTTTTGTATCTCATTATATGTGCGTTCTCCGAGGTTTGGCGTCTCACTTGGAATAGACATCTGATGAGACTGTGAACAGGAAAACGATGATGCATCCTCAGTACAATACGAGTAGGAAAGAGCTCAACAGAAATCATTTGAATTTGCATACGATCCAACCAGAGATAATACCAGCAATGGCACTTATGGAGTAAGAGAGCGTGTACGTAATATAGAGGTAGAGAAAAGTTTGGGATGCGCAGTTTCAAATGCCGGATAACAACAAGAGGCAGAAAACAGCAAGCCATGCATATGCTGCAATTAGACGGATCAGTAAGAGATGAATTAAAAAAAAAAAAAAAAAAAAAAAAAAAACTGGTTGAGACATGCCAGTGCATCGATTTCCAGAACGCGGACACACAAAAAGACGTGGCGAGCGCAAGCCTGATAAAACAAGAAGAAAAACTATGATACTATGAGATAATGATCAATGGTACTGCCCAGTGCCACGCTTGCAAAAAAGACGAAATTAAAGATCGAAAGAATCGAACGTAGGGTGAGAAGAAATAGGTCGGATGATCCATAAACATAACTGGATCGGAGAGAGAATAGAGCACAATAGATCGAAGCCCAAAAGCCTGAGCAAGAGATAGACCAACGCCGAGCAAGCTGAAGGGGGGGGGGGGGGGGGAGGGCCAAGGTCGTCTCCAACCTCAATCGACTCTGTTTTTTTTTTTTAACCTTTCCGTCCCCTGATGATTCCGCATAAACGGAGCGTATGCACAAAGAAAACCTTCCCCATGCCAGAGCCAAAGTAATTGTTGTCAACATAACACCAGAACACGTGTAAGAGACCAAAGAGGTCGGTGGCCGCTACCCGCCAGCTGGGAACGATGAGTGATGCCACGAATGACCGGGAAGGTCAGGACAGCAAGCTGGATCCGATTGCGTAACCCAAAATGTTGCTCGAGGAAAGTAAAGCAGGTCTACAAGACGCCAAATGTGGATACCACACCGTGCAGAGATCCAACAGCCGTCCACAGATTAAATAACACAAGAGAAACGGAAAAAAAGAGGAAAACGCCGTGTGAAATGCTGCATTCAGAGGAAGTGGGTGTAAATCTTTGATGTTTCATGAACTTGCATCTCCTACGGGAAAAAGTTAGCAATTCGATTATAATATCACCGGGAGTGTAATTCCAACGAACCATTTTGAAATTGTTCAACTCCTCCTTGATCTGCTGGGCTAGCAGTGGTGTTAATCGGTTACAGGTTGCAATATCTCCCCGTCGATCATATTCGCCACTGGGCCATGTCTCGTGGAACTGGATCCGGGGGCTGAATACGAGGGACTTGGGGACTACAGGGGCCGCAGAGAGAGAAACCGTCCTTGCACCGGCCCCATCCGATATATCGTCTTCCCCAGCGATCTTCACTGCATCAGTACGTCGAAGGCCCGTTCGACTCTGATCCTCAGGAGTGCTCGGGGCGCTGGAATGGGGCGAATCGGTGCCATTATCAACTGGCGCAATTTTCAGAGTGGTTGAGTTGACGAGCTCGGGATTGGCCTCTGTTACAAAACCAAACAAAAAGAGTACGAAGTTAGCCAAGCACCTTGCATTAAGTAGGTGGTGTGCGTTGCGACTTACTTTTAAGAATACCCTTCCTGACTGCCGCAAGAACCTCTGCACGTTCCCTGTCTCCCCCAACAATGCTTTTACGCGATTGAGGTGCCTCCACATTATCTTCATGATTTGGGGCAGGAGAGACGTCAGTTTCCATCCTGGGAAGTACAGTACCACTGTGAGGAAGTTCTTGGGGATCAGGATTCTCTGCAACGTTCTTTCTCTCGGCTTCAATGTTCACCACAGAGACCTGGGGTGCCATCGGTTGAACCGCGATGCCATCTGTCGTGGACGTGCTTATGACGGACTTCGGCCGGAATAAACCAACAAGAGACCGCGTGGATCGTTTCATTCCTTTGCCCATCTTCCGGAGCATGATTGAAGCGGAGGAGGCTGTGGAAGAGACCGACAAGTTGTCTGTAGATGTATTGAAGAAACGGCCCTGGTGATGGGAATAAATGCTCTCGCCCAAACCACTAGCCTCCTGCTGTTCCGCGATGGCGGCTTGCTCAGGACCCAATTCTTCCTGGAGTAGCTCCCGACGGGCCTTCTCCAGGGCGGCTCCATCCTTGCGGTGAACATTATTTTGCGGAGATGCCTTCAGAAGCTCCGAGGCACTTCCGAACGAAAAGGCTCTTCTCAAGCGAGATTTGGCCGGACGATGGGCGTCGTTCCGTGTAATTTCAGCTAGGCGCTGGGAAGCGGGGCTGCTTGTTTGTGGTTGATTTTGGGTCGGCTGTGAAGGTTTCGCGAAAGATGTAGGTTCTGCAGATACAGGGTTGGACAATGGTGACGGCTTGGCTGGCCGTGTTGTTGCATCATCTGGTTTTGTCGTAGATTTAGATTGGGAACTAGAATCAGCCGGTCTCTCATGTACCTATGAAAATATTAGTTCGCATCAAAGACGAATAGCTGTTGCCAAAAAAAAAAAAAAAAAAAAAAAAAAACATTCTTACAGAGGACGTAGAGGAACGAGCAGAGTGGGTGCTTCCTGATACATCACGGTGGGATTGGGCGGATCTGGGTCGGCTCTGGTCAAAATAGTCTTGACCGCTGGATATCAGACCCGGGGATGATGAGGGTAAATGAAGCTGTAGATTGATAAGAGCTGTGTTATCCATATTTCCCCAGCTCCTCCGCCTGTACCTCTTCGCCAGTTCCGGTTGTGGTTTCTCTGTGCGGGATACGTCATCCGCACTAGGAGCTCTGTTATGGCCCACGTTACGAGCGGCCTCTGGAGCAAGACTTTTGCCTGATTGTGGTAGGTTCTCATCCAGAATCGGAGGAGATACACGGGCTGAGCCCGGCCCATTTACTGGTGCGGCGGCGGACTGGGTGTTTCCGGTACCGTCTGGTCGTCGGGCGCCGCGCCGATAACGATCGGGCGAAGGGCGAGCGACGGTAGGGGAGGAAATATTCATGAATGGAGGTGTGGGGGAAGGCAGATTTGCGGTGGATAAGGGGCGAAGAGGAGGGTCACCACGGAGCTGGCGGGAAGGGACGGCGGAGTCGTCTTTAGACATATGGGATTGAATGGAAGAGTTTGAGGAGGAAGTGGATACAGAACCAGCTGCAGGGTGATTGACGAAACGCGAAGTGACTCCGGGGTGGGCCGTGGTGACCGAGCCTTGGGGGAGGGAGGGGGCAGAGGAAGTTCGAAGCTCGGGCCTCATATGAGGAGAGGATGATTGACGGTTTTGCATATTCGTTGAATTGGAGAGGTTGGGGGTGCTGGTAAAGGCGTATGGCGCCACAACCTGATGACCTGCCCTATAGCCCCCCGAATTGCCCGTGGTGTTGTATGTATTCCAGGACATGGTGGGATTCCGCGAATTTTGCTGCTGTAAAGACTGAGAAGATGTGAAGACACCCGAGGAGGAAGAAGGGCGAGTTTGAAGCACAGTAACCGCGCTAGTTTGCTGGGGAATTGTCTGTACCAACGCTGCCATGGTGTCCTCCTCCAGCGATGGGAAAGTAACGTGAGTGGACGCGTAGATTACGACGTCTTTAAAGATGAGAGAGTATCTCTTGCCAATCGAGGTGAAAATGAATCCTCCCGCGTCCGAAGCAGACGAAGCAAATGTAGCGTCTCAAGAGGAACTCGAGTGGGGGGAATGGTAGGGGGAAACAGGGGAGAATCTGTACCACGTAATCGTTAGTTAGGATTGTACAACCAAAGCAATCGAGTTCGAAGATTGGGCAAAGTTTGGCAAATGGTGGGTTATCTAGGCAAATGATATTCCTCCTTTCTCTAGACTGGTGTGGGAGAGGGGACGGGGGGGCCTTGGTTTTTTTTTTCCCAACTGGACAACCGCACCTGTTCTAGGAAATGCCCGATGTGAATTATACTGGTACAACGACAAAGACACGCGCTGTGATGAATATGGAAATAAATGCTGTTGAAGGACGAGATAATGAAACGAAAGGCTTGGATCAAACGAGGACCGAAGAGGGAGGAGCCGGTGATGAGGTAGGATGTAAGGAACACAAGGGTCAAGGGTGGCAGATGCTGTCTAGAGCGGTCGAGCCATATGCGAAATAAAAGAGGGAGCAAAAAAAAAAAGATAATAAAAAAAAAAAGAGGAACAGAGGAAATGAATTTAATAAATGCAAATGACAACTAACAAAGTCGACCGAGACAGAGAAGAGAGGGAAGAGAAATAAAAAAAGAAACGGAGCCAGATCCTTGAAAAGACACCTAATCTTCTGAATCAAGCAGAAGATGCGTCGCGGGACTGGTAGAAAGGAGGATGGAGAGAAGAGGAGAGAGAGAGAGAGAGAGAGAGAGAGAGGAAAGAAAAGAAGGTGGAAAGGGAAGAGGAGTGAGAGGGGCTGAGAGGAGGATGAGGATGAGGGAGAGAAAGGAATAGGGAGATAATGGGAGGAGGAGGAGAGGAATTTACTATTCTCACTTAGGGGAGGGACGCCGGACTGACAGGCGGAGACACACGGGCGGGATTTTCCAAAGAACGCGAACAACGCCAGGCACAAGTTATGTGCAACCACTTCTACTTCGTTTTAATAATTCAATGGATATTGATTAGAAACCGGTACTCGTGGGTCGTGGCGTTTCTTTTTCTTCGTCGTTTCTTCTTTTCTTTTTTCTCTTACACAGGGAAAGGGGAGAGGAAGATAATCATAGTAAAAAAAGGAGGGAGGGAGAGTTTTTTGAGTACGGATTGGAAGCCCACGAGGGGAAGAAGGAATGGGATCGAATGTAAATTCCTCATAATCAGCCCAAATAATAATAATAATAATAATAATAATAAGATAGGCAGTGCCAAAGGGACGATTACTGTGGTTGCAGCTGCAAGTCATAGTTATAGGTGTACTCTGTATGTACTAGTAGTAGTATAGGTACCTAGGAGGTAAGTAAGTAGTATTTAGGAAATCCTAACCCGAATCACTCTATGCTATTACTATCTATAAAGAGACTCTACTGTGTATGAAGCAAAAGTTTCAGTCATAGGATTCTCCTCTTTGAAATCCTGGGAATCCAATATAAAAGAATGAGATTATCATGATCAGGAAGCCTGATTCCTCACCCCGTAGATTAATACCTACCTAGGTACCTAATTAATTCTCCTGAATCTCGTCTCTTCTATCAACCAACCAGCGTTATGGAGAAAACGAAAGGGGTAAGACATGGTTGGGGCTATACGGTAAGTTCGGTTCTTTGTGGCTAACTGACCTCAGTTACTTTTGATCCACCTGGTTCTTACTAGTATTAAGTATTACCAAGTGCCTTATACTACCTACTAGTAATAGCTTCAAGGTAAGAGGAGGAAGAATGGACACATGCATGACCATAGCCAGCAAGAATGCTTCTCCAAGTTCCAGTCCCAAACAACATACTAGTAAGTAGTAGTAAGTACTAACTATACTAATCCCATCTTCTGTGGGGTACTAGTACTCCCCTAATTCATACAGAGTACCAAGTACCAAGGTTGTAACCGTATTGATGATCAATCCGTGCAGCCAATTACTAGTCCTCTAGAAAGCGGCCTGCCTCCTTTTTATTTACTTTTTATTTTTAACCTTGGTAAATGCGGTAAAAAGAGGGGGAGCGGGAAAGAACACTTTGAAGGTGAAAAAGAACGTGCTGTTGGCTTGACTTGACGCTATAAAAAAAACTTTGGAACAGTTACCCAGATTTCATTTGAGCTGTCAAAGTTATTTATCTCCCCTATAACCATACATACAATCTGACCACAGAGACTCTCTAGAAAGAGTGCCAAAGCTTGCCAGTCGCCATGTAGCAGCCCAGACTTTGGAACACCCCCTAACTGGTCCCCAGATCTTGTAACTCTCGTAACCTCTCACAACCCCTGGAAAATTCCCGCAACTCGGTTCCATGGTTCCTCAAAAGAACCCTAATCGATATCTAGATAACTATAACCCCCGGCTTAGCCAGCGTTTGACCGGAATGATGAATCTTTGTGTCAAACTCCTACGCTTCACGCGGGTCCGTAGAACCCAGCTAGTTACCTGCCAGATGTCTCAGGTGTCTCAGTTCTAACTTTGGTAACTTCGGCATTACCGAGTCATACTAACTCCTAGTCCGGAGCATAGAACAGAGAACTTACTAGTAGTTATGCGTAAATAATGTTAGCCGGCCTAGGGATATTTTCCTCGCAACCGATTCTAAAATATCCAGGGAATTGACGTTGGAAAAAAAAAAAAAAAAACGTGGCTCAATGGGAAATGCGGAATTCTTCTAGTTGGGAACGTGGCTATTGTCAGCAAGAGTCAGTTAACTATCCAATCCGCTGTCCATTTTGGGAGATTTTTATGATATGCATTAGTTAGGTAGAGAGAGATGGATTTTGTAATTCGGGTTTCTCTTGAAATTCCATCTTCCCATTCATCCCTACAGCCCTGTAGGTCCATCCAGAACACGCGGAATACGATCCCACCTGCAGAATGATGAAGCGAGGGGGGGGGGGGGGGGCTGAAAAGATTCAATAGCCTAGCCACCTCGAATCGAAATCTTTTCTTCTCATTTTCTCTCTCTCTTCTCTTCTTCCATCTCACCAGACCGATACACGACCCCGATATCAGTGCACATCCACTATACCATTCATTTCGACGCGTACTCTATGGAGAGTCTAGATTGTTTAGGTACAAATTCCAGTACCTGCTCTGCACATACTCCGGGGTTCGATATCGAGCCTTGGCTGGGCTGACGCACGCATGCGGCTGGGGCCCAGGACTCGCAAGTCGCAAATCATGACCTCCCGCTCGCTTCCGAATAACGAGACGAGAGATGATTATTTTAAGCCTCAACTTCGGTAAGAAATAAAATAAAATACAATATTTTTCTGAGAGTAGCCACACGATGTTTCATCGAGTTTTCAGTCTTGACCTATACTATACGTTCTATACAGGTCAATTCTGTTGAAATCTCGAACTACTCCTCCTCCGCCACGGTAATCCATCCCAGCGTTCAAAGTTAGTGCCGAAATCCAATGCAGATCCATGTAAGGAGCTCCCGCGTGATCGACAGGCGACATCACCGTTTTCAATAACTTTTCTGCGGGCCATTTGGTATCCTGATTCCTGACAGTGTGGTGGTGGGTAGTGGGTACATAATCAATCCACCTCGCCTTCGTCACTTGGGAGTTGGGACAAGACTCATAGGTGTGATTTCACAACTTGGAAAATCTTATTCTCCACAAAGGAAACTTGGCCATCGAGAGAAGGAAGACCTGGTTGTAGTGGTTGCAACACCTTACATTTACGAGATAGCCAGCCTTTTCGCTGTGGTAAATAGCTCTCAAAAAAGGGAGGATTGAAAACTTGATTGATATTGAGAGTACGGAGTACATCGTGCGGAACTGTCATTCAATCGTACTAGTAGAGGCAAGCAAGAAGAAGATCTCAGGAATATGTAACTAGAATATCCATCCCTACTCTGTACCATAGTTTCAAGTTATGCACAAAAAATAACCTCAGTATCCACATGGGAGTACGTACTATGTAGTAGAGCCCACCACCCACTATCATATTTATATTATCATCAGCAAAGATGATTGACATCCGAGCAATCCCACCCATGTCTTGTATTACCTTGTTATTTGCGGGTTTTCCAACGACTCAACAACAATCCCTGATGAATCGTCACAGTGCGTCGAATTCACCTTCACTGCAGCACTGTAAATGTCAATCAAGTCGATCATCCACCACTCCCAATTGGGGCTATTTTTTTTTTTACGATACCTATCATGGATTGAATAACCGAAGAATTGCTCTCCTCATCCCCATTCTTAATTCAAGGGAAGATGCTGAATCTCTAAGCAATGATAAACCGAATCCCTCCCGAACATCAGTTAGTACGTACCACGCAACATTCGTCTCATCCTTGGCCTGGGGATTCATGAGGATTCTTTAATATGCTTTTTTTTTATCTTTCCCTCTAAAAAAAGAATAGCAATACCAGCTATAACCATTATTGGATGGATCTCCGAAACCAATCCACGTGTTTTGACCACCCAGAGCCGTTCGCTGATCGGACATCTGCCAATTACACATTATGCCGCTTTAGGCAGGAGAAAAGGGCACTTGTCTGCAGTTGTATGGGATTGAAGCGCTCGGGGGGGGCAGTTTTGGACCAGGCCAGAATGTGGCCAGTGGTGATCTTAATACTGGTTACCGTTAGACGGTTAGAGCACCTGGAAGTTGTTGTTATCCGGGGAAGTGAAAGAGAAAATGTGGAGTCCTGTCAGTGAACTATCTATCTACTTGCTGCTCTCTGGGCACTTGAGATATTACCGGAGCAGAGAATTTAAGAGTGCTAAGAACGCTGTCATCAGTGGAGATAAGGAGGCGGATCATACGATTTAATTCTTGCACGTCAAGCGAGAGCACTAATTATTATTATGTATTAGCCTCCGCAGAGTCACGTCGCCACTCTTGACGGCCGGACTCGATCCTAACGCTTGCGAGGTCGGAGGGCATCTCTGCACCATAGCCAGGCTTGCTGGCTGTTAATCTGCTCGCATTTTGATTGAGACTACTCCGTACCAGGCATTCGTATCCCTGCATATAGTATCCTGTCTTTTAGCACGCCACTCCCAAGATTCCGGATGAAAACTGGCTCTTCATGACTCGGGGTTACAAATGCAACCCAGGCCCACGCCTGTTGGCCTTCATCAGGGTCCATCTGCTCAGGAAACCAAACTGTCTTTATTTATAAGCGTTACCCGGAATCTTTTTAAACAAGCTGCTGTCCACGTATATGTACCCTATAATATGCTCCAACCGGGTTCTTTGCATATTAACCAACTACCCGTGGTTTCATCTCTGAATAAGAGCCATACACAACTCTGCATATGATAGGCACAGGACTAATCCAGATAACCACCGACTAACTCAAGAAATAACTCGGAATAATCATGAAATCCACTCGAAAAGTCAATTCCTCCAAGACAGCACACATTATTTGGGTTTCAACTGACCCCAATGGAACCCCAATCATAATAACGAAGCCCTATAGCCTCCTATTTAACATTCTACTGTTAAAATTGCAGATGAGACTAATACTACCTTCCCTACTATTAGTGCCAACTATGCATGCATGCAAGTTCCTATCTACTTGGGTACTTGGGTACCTAGCAGCAGAACAACACACAATCTATCACTCTATACAGATCACCAGATCCAAAACATGAAACACTAATAAAGTAGCACTTGACTCTATTACAAGTACCTGCCTGGATCAAGATCTGGAATTTCCATTCTACTCTCAAAGCCTATGCAATCTATAATCTATAATGCAAATTTTTCCACGAAGAGGATAATAATAAACTCTTCTTCTTCCGATTATAGTGTTCTTATCTACTTCAGCGTAGCCAGGAACGAGCGAGAGAGAGAGAGAGAGAGAGAGGTAAATAAAACAACCTACAGAAATGAATTACACCTCAGTAGGTAGGCAGGTAGTGCAGTTCTTACAGAACGAGCACCATTCCTCGTAAATGCACAGAGTACCTACCTACCTACCTAAGATTTTAGCTCGACCCAATAATAACTCCCACATAGTGCAAATAACCATTCGTCGCTGTCGCTTCTGCTACCTCAAGCCTTTGTCCTAAGAAGTCAAGTCTCGTCTAGGCTAGATATGGGGGCTCTGCTTCGTCTGATCATTCTACTAGAATATATGTACCGTGTTCAAACTTCAAAACTTCATTTCATTCAGCTCCTCCTCCCGTCAGTGGTCAGTCGGCCAGTCGGCCAGTCGATCGACCGACCGACCGACCGAACAGCTAGTTAGCTAGCACGGAGTACTTACATACTTACTGCCTAGGTACACATCCTCCTCCCCACCCCAAGCAAAGAAAAGAAAGAATCAACTCGGAGTTAGTGCATGCGTATGCATGGCCTTGTGTCCATCCGGGTGGCACTTTTAGTCTCTGTATGTCGCTGGAACCGGAAAGCCACTGGGGCAGGGCGATACACTGCTAGTGGTTTATGTCCCTCCCCTCTCTACTCTGTACTGATCTCTATCTATGTCAGTCAATACTTAGCTTTCATTAACTAACTAGTATGTAGGTTAGGTAGTTGACGGTGATATTATTTGTTAGATTATCATGATTGATTGCAGCTAGGAAATAGAGCAGTGTATACATTCCATCAGGACATGTTTGGCCCACCCTACTGCTTGGGTTGTTATTTGATCTTCGGTAATTCATTTACAAGTAATACCTGTCTTGGACTCGGGAATAATAACTAACAGAACATTTTTTTTTTCTTCTTCTTCTTCTTCTTCTTCTTCAATCAGGGGTCATTAGATACCAAGACATAAAATCCTAGCCTAGCTCCTAGCAATAGACCGGAATCCCCAGAAGAGAGAATCAGAATCCCAGGTCGTCGCCGTCATTATCGAAATCTTCAGACACATCCATGCCCTCGCCATCTTCATCCAATCCCTCAAAGACCATGAATTTCTCGTTCTTCGCGTCCGTCTCGTCCGGCACAACGTTGCCGTCCTGAATCTCGCAGTCCTTGAGTACACTCTCACGGCCGATCTTGCTGCGCCGCCCGACAATACACCCGGTCAATTGGCACCGTTCGCCAATGACGGCGCCCGACATGACGAGACACCGGGTCAGTCGGGCGCCGCTGGCAATGTGGCAGTTCGCTCCGATGACGGTCTCTTTAATGACACACTTCTCTTCCACGGTCACGTTTTCGCCGAGCACGCAGTCGGCCTTGGTGACTGTGCAGCGCTGGGCTACTCCGGCGGGGTACGCGATCTTCTGTTGGTGGGCAAACGGAGACGCCGCGCGGCCGGCTTCTTCGATAGACTCGAGCTTGGCAAGGCGCAGCGAGACGGAGAGTAGGAGGGCTGATGTGTCCACGCGCCGGATCAAAGGTGCAGAAGGTAAGGATGAATGCATGTAAGCCAGTATCGGCGGAATGGTGAGTTTTTCCTTCTTTGGAGACTCCAGGCCTGAGTCCGTACCGAAGCTCTTGACTCGCGAGGCGAATTGAAATTCACCCGGTGTGTCGACTAGGGATACATCGCGGGACTCTCCAGTGCCGGCTTTGGTCGTGCTCATGGCTTTAATATCGATCTCCTCCTCCACCGACTCGCCATCCTGGCTCCCGTTATCTCCCCCCTTACTGCTTTCGGGGTGGAAGATTTCTCGTAATCGTAGCTTTTCGCCCAGCCCGGTTTGCCATTCTGCTTTGGCCCACCAACCCACAAGATCTTCGCTGACGCTCTCGAATTTCTCGTTCAGCAGCAGCGCCATTTTGACCCAGTAGGGAAATATATAAATGTGTGCGTCCCTGTAGCTAGTCAACAATTTGACCCGTGCGTGCCTTTTCACTAGCGAATGGCGAATGAGAAGTCCCTTGTCCTCCTCCATCTTCTCCTTGAGGGTATCCATTGGCATAGTCAGGACCAGTTTAGATAGCCCAAATCTTAGCGAAGCAGGCCCATCGGCGGGATGGGAAACCGCCGGTGCTTCATCTTGGTCAAGAGGTGCGGTGGCCACGAAGTCAGCCACCTCTCCCTTGACGCTCTCTTCTCGTCCTTTTGTTTCATAGAACACTGCCAAACCACCGCGACGACCCCCCGCCTCACCGCCCATGCCAACAGTCTTCGGACCATTTGCATTCCACCCTCCGCTCATTGTTGACCCTCCCAACGCGCTTTGAGTTACCATCCATGCTTCGAGGAGGGATTCTCCAGGGATATCGCAAATAAGATCGCAAGGTAGGAGGACGAAATCGGACTTGATGCAAGCTTGAACTTCTGGAAGGCGTAGCAGTTCTGCGGTACCGGTTGTCAAGGTTAAACCTGTGGGGGCTATGACTGACGGAGATGGCGACGGCAGAGAAGTAAGGTGGGGGTTTTGTGATAGGGCAGCTTCAAGAGCAGCTTGGCTGGAAGGAGGTGTAATGAGGGTAATATCTGAGCATGTTAGCCCTGTGGTAGCCAGCTACTAGGAGGGTGAGGTGCCTACTTGTAATCCCCATGCGATATAGCCAATCTAAACTATACCACACCATGGGACGATTTAGGACGGGAATAAGTGCCTTTGAAGCATCGGTACTGGACGTGAAAGTAGACAGAGAAATGCCAGGTCCACAGAGCACCAGGCCCTGGAACCCCGACGCAGGAACTGCTTGTGGCATTGTAACCAAGAAACTTTATGAATGTTTATGCTCTTGAGAAATAGCGACAGGTCTGGTGGCCGCGGGGTTGAGGGGGGAAATATCCAGATCGGGAGGACGCTTTCTGCTGGAAATATTGATGCAAACCCATAAACACGTGTCACAAGGTAGGCTAGCACATAATTCTCGTGCCTCAAATGCTCGAATGAATGTAATTGGGATGCAAGCAGTCCAAAGGGTGCCGTCGTCTCTTTTGCGCTCTCTGAGTCAACCCTCGAACCAAATCGCATAGTATTATTTTTTGCTCTAGTGATGAGACCCACTTGGCACGTGCCGATAGCAGGTGTCTGACTAAGCAGGACTAGCTCGTAGAAAAACAAACAGTACAAACAGTCATTAGTGTTGGTGCCTTAGGCCGTGTAAACAACCCGTCACCAGCCACATGTTTCTCGGCTGCCCCGAGGCCCCAGCCTTCCATAGTTCCTCCCTCCTTTCTCACCCTTCTCCTGCAACCTGCTTTTCGGACTGACTTGAGATGTGAATTCGACTTGTTGCGACCGACTTGATTCTATGCGCCACCTTTAATCGCTATCGTTGACCGCAATGTCTTACTCCCAGGACGCCCGTCATCGGCGGGTGGGTACTGGCTTCAGCTCGACTGGCCGCCGTACTGTCATGGGGTACTGGGTACCACTGGCCATGACCGTCGGTATCGCGGCAATTGGTGTTGCAGCCTGGGTCTGGAGCGAACGCAATGAGGCAGATGACGATGATGAACATGATCACCATCACCCTCAAGATAGTGGTCAGGTCCCTCAAGGCCCTCCTGGTGGCGTGTCGTTCCCTCCGGGAGAGTTCCAAGGGGAATACGCGCGATCAACAGGTGCAGATATTCCCGGCCATCCTCAGGATGATGTTAGTATGGTGGCTCGAATGCAGGAAGCATTACGACGCACACCTAGTCCCCAACAAATCTTCGATGGAGCTAGTAAGAGGGTCGCAGCTGGTATGGCAGCGGCCGGCGCTTTCGTAGGAGGCGCTCTGACATCAATACGAGAAGAAAATAGAGGTGACTTCGAAGACCATTCCCGATGGTCCGAGGAAGTGGAATCGAGAGCCCAACAAAGGGACCTTTCCAATCCAAACGCCGTCCCCTCTGCCGTTGGCGCTCCGCCCGCCCGGGGACCTGTTGGTGGACCGGCTGCAGTTGACAAGAAGAAAACGGTGGTGATAGTGGTTTCATCAGAATCTTCTCATCTTCATACCGAAGAACTGACCTCTGACCATGTGGTAAGTTGTCGCGTGACCCCCTGACGATTTTGTTTGTGGCTCAATGCGCTAACTAAACTTGTGTGTAGTCTATCCTTTCGCATCTTCCCGAGCACATCAACCCGGATACTGCTGAAATTTTTGTCTTGATCTACGCCCCAGGCTTGAAACATGCTACCAATCAGGGTAGCCCCTCCCATCCGCTTTCCGTCACCTCCTCCTACTCAAATATTGCGCCCGAAGACGCTACGCCCTCCGTTGAAGCAACTACTGGCGACCTATCTACCTTACAACCTCGTCCGACTGATGAGCCGGAGGGCGCGACTCCCCTCTTCAACACCCTATATACTCAGGCGCAAGCTATTGTTGACAAGGAAAATACAATTATGCCCTTCAGTACCCTCACGGGTTATGTGCATCTTGTTCGCCACCTCTCCGCGGATACTGTTTATGTCCAAGAGTCCTTGGCTGGCCAGGATGGAAGCGCAGTGCACCATATCGCCGGTTGGGTCAGACAAGTTGTAGTTGTGGTCGGTGATGATGGCGGGCGGGGCGGCCTGATTGACAGCGACGACGAATCTGCGCTCGCAGGCCAGGAAGATAAATGGTGGCAAAAGGAGGGCATCACTGGTATTGGTAAGCGTATTGATGTTGTTGATGTACTTCGTGTAGGAGACGACTGGCGACGAAGGATCAGCGGTCATGACTAGAAAGTCAGTGATCACATGTTCCCAAGGGCTGCTAGACGCTCTCCAGGTATTATTGTTAATCCTTTGACTGTTCATATTGTACTTCTTTCTTCCTGACTCTTTTTTTTTTCTTTGTCTTGCATGATTGTGATTTGATTCCCTAGCTTGATGACTTGTTCTTTCAACCCTTTGATATCATGTCTCTGTGGATATTCCATGATGACAAAGGCTTATCTAAATACACGAGAATATAAATTAGAAGCAAACCAACAACATCCTTTAAGCTGTCATCCTTGTAGAAAAGCAAATCTCCCCTAACCAGGTTTCTGTATAGTCATACCTTTATGAGTAGCACATCCAGTCATAAGTAGAAGTCACGTTATACTAACCCAATGCAGGCATCACCTGACCAGCCTCCCTTCAGGTCGTCCGTGGCTTGGCATCACCAAACTCCTTCTCGCAGAGCCATCATCGCCATATCAACGACCTCCTTGGACTCTCTGCAGATTTAGCAGGCGTTCTGTTCGATGGGTCGCAGCATACCATTCCTCTAGCGGCTTCGGGCTCTGTGCAACTTTCCGCATCGATTCCCGCCAGCTCCTCGTCGCCCTCCCCGTCCGCCGCTCCCCACATGTCTCGTCCCCGGTTATATCATCAGCTTATGATTTTCGGCGCGCGGCTTTCCTCTTTTTGTCCCGGATTTATATCCCGAGAAGTCGCACGTACCAGTCTTCTACTCCATTCGCATTAGGAAATCGATTCCGACAATATGGCAACAGCGATCTCCAAAACGACCTCTCATCCCCCTAAGATGAAGCGGCCGCCCCCGCCTTTCGTTCAGACTGGAGTCAACGGCGTCAAGCCTCAGCCTTCATCTTTCTCCCCCCCCAGTGTGTCAAAGCGCCTTCCCGGTTCGGGTCAGCAGACATCAGCAAGTTCTACCAGCAATCCGGTCTTGAATGGCGTCAATGGCGCGGCAAGCTCGAGTAACGCCCCCGGCAAGGGCCTGTTAGGTCGGCCTAAGAAAGAAGCGCAACGGCCAGGTGATCAGGGTATGAAGGTGCAAAGGGCATTACCGAAGACCTCATCCCTTGACACTGATCGTCGGGCGGGTAAAACGTTCCCTGAGCCATATGGTGCGTATCGCGGCGGGCTTACTACAACACAAACCCTGTCTTGCTAATTCTGGATATTCTTGCAGTTAAAACCACGTCATATATCTTGAAGAAATTCGGCAAATACGCTCCATCCCTAATCCTTCACCTCCACCCTACACACTTCCGCTTTGAACAGCAAGACGGAAGCTTCCCATACAACTCTGAAATGAAAGTGATCATCGAACATATCCGTGCTGGAACCGTTCCGCATGATATGATAGAGGAACTCCTGCGCGCAAATGTTCGCTTTTACGAGGGTATGGCCTCATTGATACCATGCCACATTTTACGTGGTTACTGACTTTGATGCGTTAATTCAGGTTGTCTCATTGTGCGCGTGGTCGATCATAAGTCAGTATCTGCGCAAACCAGGAAGTCTACAGCGCCGTCGTCTAATGAAAATAACACGCCATTTTCCATTCACAATTACAATGAACATATTACGCCGTCGGCATATGTACCGTACCCAAAACAAAACCAGCTGACGTCTGAGAAGGCCGTTAGCAAGGAGGCCTCCGCAGCAGGTCAATCGGATTCTAAAGATAGCGGAGAGCACCCTAGCCAATCCGAGGATACTTCTGGCGAAAAAGGGACAACGTCTACTCAACAGAAACAAGCTTCCCATAGACCCCGTGTGTTTACAACTGTCCTTCATCCCACTCCGCGTTCACTTCAGGCAGAGCTCACTCTCCTTGCGACCACCCCCGACCCCAGAACTGCAAAACAGGCAGCGGCTACTTCCCGTCCCCAAGCGTCATCGTCCGCCGCTCCTTCATCCCCAGGTGCATCGACAGCTCAGCCTGAGCGAGGACATGTCGCAAAGCGACAGAAGATGCTGGTTGAGCCACAGGAACTCTTGGAATGCGAGTCTAAATTGACAAGAGCCCTAGCACCCCCACTCTTTTTGGACCCTGTGGATAGTTTGGATGGAGTACACGAGCTATTGAAGTACATGGAGAGCCCGCTTCACCATGATCCTCCGCCTTCGCCCAAGAGAAGGAAGCGTACAGTTGCGGAACTGGCCGCCGACGAAGCACTGGCGGCGGAAGAGGAAAGATTTATGCTCATCATGGACGAGCGTTTGGAGCCCACTACGTCGGGAGGCGCTGGAGGCCCGAAATCTGCTGCTGTGGATGACACAGGTGGTGGTGTATCTTTTGAACCTCGTTTCTCACGGTTCAAGACACTCGAGAACATTCGCATGCAGCACGAGGAGAAGGCTAAACGTGAGCATGAGATTAAATTGAAGCAAGAATTAGCCAAGAGACAGCAGCAAGAGCAGGAGAGAGAAAGGCGTAGGCAAATGGAGCAACGACAAGCTGAAGAGCATGCGAAGGAAGAAGCACGACGACAACATATTGCTGCTCAGCAAGCCCAAGCGCAGCTTGCAGCACAGCAACATAATCGCCATGTCATGGCTCAGGCCAACGGAGTCAGTCAAGCACCTCAGTCGTCCCCCGTTGTCCGTAACCAAACACCTCACAATATCTCCTCGCCGCTTGTCGGAAGTACGATGGTCACTCAAGCTGGTGTCCCTATGGCTATGACTTCTTCTATGCAGGGCGCTGGTAGCCCGCCAAGACCTCCATCAGCTTTACAGCACGCCCATCCGAATGTAATGAGCCACCCCATGGCACCATCCAGAAGTCAACAAGGACAAAGCAGACACGGTACGCCACAAATGACACAGGGAACGCCCGCCATGTCCCAAGCAACTCCAATCATGCGCAATGTTACACCTACTCAACGCATGAGCCACGCAAGTCCGCCGCGGTCCTCAATGGCTCCAACTCCAGTGATGAATCAAGCTATGATGGCAACCCCACAAATGGGCGGAGTGACGCTCACGCCACAGCAACAACAGCAGATGCTGATGCAACAAAGACAGCAACTCCTTGCTCAACAAGGGCATCTAAACCACAGCCAACTGACCCCACAGCAATTTGCTCAGTTACAAGCAAACATGCACGCACAGCAAAACATTCAGGCTCACCAACAGCAGATGATGCAGCAACAGCAGCAGGAGAACCCTCAGGCCCAGCAACAAAAGTTCCAAAACCCTCAGGCTTACCAGGCCCAGCTTATGCGAGCCCAGCTTGCGCAGATGCAGATGGCGCAACAGCAGCAACAGCAACAGCAACAGCAACAGCAACAACAACAACAACAACAACAACAACAACAGCAACAGCAGCAGCAGCAGCAACAACAACAACAAGGCCAGCAGGCTCAAATGCACCAGGGCAGTCCACAGATGAACCCGCAACAACAACAACAGCAGCAGCAGCAGCAGATGTTGATGGCAGCGGCGCAAGCAAATGGTGGCCACCTCCCGCAAAACATGCAAGGCATGGCTATACAACCTGGGGCAAATATGGCGCAGCGCTACAATCAAATATATCAACAACGTTTGTTGCGATTACGACAGGAGATGGCTAGTCGTTTGATGCCTCAATATGGACCACCTACACAATATCCACCCCAAATTGCCCAGCAATACACTCTTGGGCTCGAACGAAATGCTAAAGCCTATGTCCAAGAGATCATACGACGGGAACGAGATGCTGCTCAACAGCACCGTCAAGCTGCAGCTGCAGCACACGCCCAAGCAGTTCAGCAACAGCAACACAACATGATGCAAAACGGAATGGGGAAGTAACTTTTTCACTTTGATGTTGATGACTAACGGTTTGGAGGTAGCAATATTTTTTTTTTTTTTTCGATTCACCCTTTTAACCTGAACTGAAAACATTTATGCCTTTCTCTTGGTGACTTTGGCGACCCCATGGTCTAATTTGGAGCGGACATGTTGTGTTAACTTTTCCACATCTTTTGTTCTTATTCGTTTGGAAGCTGTATACAGGACACCCCCAGGATTTGAGATAAAAAGAGGCCGGCGTTTTTTTTTATCATGGTTGCCGTTTCATTCTTCTCTCACACCTTTTTTCCCATTTATATTACCTTACCTTATCTTTACACTTTTTGTTCTGTTTTTCATTCTCATTTATGCTACGTTTTGGCGATTGTATTATTGGGAACGGATTGGAAGGGAGCAAGAACCAGACTTGATACCATTTTTGTACAGGTGTCCCTTGGTGCGTTATGGCAGTTTGTTTTCAATATCAGACGTTATTCGAATCAATTTCCTGTAGTTCGGTGTGAGGTCAATACTGGGTGTGTGGTGAGTACATGGTTATGCAGAAGCGACTTCCGTAGGTTGTCTAGGAAGTTGTCCAGTAACTTGGAAGTAGGTAGGCGGGCCTAGGATGAATTAAAAACCTTCCTCAAGGCCTACGCGTTGGGTATCTTGTAGATGATGTTTATATATATATATATATATACTCCGTATACTAAACGATAATCTAGCTGGTAAGCAATCATGTCACAACCACAAGACAGGCTAGGAAATGAATATAGAAAATTAGACCCAATCTATTCACTAGGATATTTTTTATCTATCTGGTGTGTTTTTAAATAGTATTCCCTGGATTAACTACAACATGAAGCTTGAATTCCCCCCCCCCCCCCCACACACACACACATACACATATATATATATATATATATATACATACTAGGAGAAAGGGTTCAGAAAGAATGCACTGTAGAATAGAAATAGATATACCATACTACAGGTTAATATACCAATATACATCGACCAATGAAGACTCTAGAGCTACTACTCCGTACCAGGGTATGATTTGATTTGATAGGTGATGGAAACCTGCTTAGTTCAGTGCATCTCCTTCTCTCCCGAATATCTGGATAGTACTTGATGACCTTGTTATTATTAGTAGTAGTAGTAGTAGTAGTAGTAGTAGTAGCATTTTCAGCCGGTGTGTGCTATCTAGAGTGAACATAGTCCTATTACAGACAGACCATTTGCTCTCGGACCGACAGTAGGTTACCTCACCTACCTCGTCATACCCTTGGAGATGCTCTCGCTCAAGGGATGATGCATACCACCTAACCTACCCACATTAGTTAAAAGCGTACTAGGTTAAAACGCCGCAGGGACATACGTTAACTACGTACGTATGCCAATTCCGGCTTGGGTTCGAGTTCAGTTCACACGACTCGAATCAACGCCCTGCTCCTCGTTAGGTATGTGGTTATTTATGTTATCATATATATGTAGTACGACCTCGGGGGGCGAAAGTTGTGCAACCTGCTAGGCTAGACCTCAATGGAGGAATAGGATGAGCGGATGGGCTGGACTGTATGTACTAAATATACACATAACGAGAGTGGGAATGAGGGTGGCAAAGTCGGGTTAAAAGGGTATATATATATATATATACTCTACACTCTTAACATACTTGTACAAAATACTACCTAGTATCAGTATCTACAGAACAAACCAACAACCAACTAATCATTAAGGTGAAAGCACAGGGAAAATAGAATAAACATAGTTAATAATAAAACAAAAGAAAGAAAGAAAAAGAGCTACAAAATGGAAATCCAAGACAAAAAAAGATCTACAGATCGACATTGATCTTCTTCTGTGCATACAGATGTGCAATATCTGTGGACTACTGGGTCCGCCTGAGTCGGATGATGAGAGTGGGTGTTAGAACCCGGCCTATAAGATAGATGGATTTTGGTTTTTTTTTTGGTTTCTTCTAGGGTTTAATATTGGTGGGAAAAAGGTTTAATTTTATTTTTGTTCTACTGTTTTGCTGTTCTGCAGTGGACTGTTGCACGGTGGAAAAAGTGTATGTGCATACGTGCATACACCTCTCTCTCTCTCTCTCTCTGAACTTTGTGGCCCTGGTACTTTAGTCATAGGCAGGAAACGGGGTGAGGAAGTAGGTGAGTGAGTAAGTGGGTAAGTAAAGGAAGACAATACTAGTTATGTACACATACATCGAGGTATGTATTCTGTCGCCCTGGGTCCTGTACATTCCAGTCATTTGTTAGCAGGTATGAAGACGCAAGAAAAACTTGGCCAGAGTTTAATGGATTGCTGGCAGCTAGCACCAGCCTTGGGTATTCTGGCTGTAACGGTAAGTCGCGGATCTGGATCGGGATTCACATCAATTCGATCCGGCAACTAGAAGACCAGGAAGCGGTCTGAGAGCAACTCAACGTATTGCCTATTCTGTACCTGCTCCTGTACCTGTGCTCATCGGGGAAGCTTCCACGGAGATATCTTGGATCGTCGGCAACCTGATTCCTAGAAGCTTAATGGTAACTTCTCGGTGATACCGTGCTAGAGGGGAAATCAATAAAGTGACGTCGTTGGGAATGAGAGGTAAGCATAGATTTGATAAGCAAATTCAGCAAGGAGATGGTGCATACAGCGCCAACTCTTCAGCCCTTGATAGGCTGAAATAAAGGAGGGGAGGGAAGGGAAAGAACCGCCGTTTATTGTTTTATCCCCCAGAAATCAAGAAACGTTAGGCAATAACGGAAGAGAGGGGAATCAAAATTTGTGGTGCACGAGTATGGGAAGGTGGAGATGATCATTATTACCAGGACTGACCGTTTTTCACAGGCTAGATCCAGCAATGAAACACAATATCAATGTAATGCAATGCAACTCAAATCAATGTTATTGATCGATGAGACGGTTGCAAGCTGGAAAGAGCCTACATCGGCTGATCCAGTTATTAGACACTTGGATTTGGGGCGAAGAAAAAGGAAAAAGAGGGAGAAGGGGCAGGATGCAAGGGGGCTAAATAAGAGGCTAGATCGTCCACCTTTAATGCTCCTCTTCCAGGGCCTGTCCACTCACTGATCACCGTAAAGGAGAAACATGCAGGCGATAACTATTGACCGTGCTTTGCATGGAACCTGATGAGACAAGGCGCAAAACGAGGCGTGGGAGGGGTAAGACATAGGGTAGCTCTCCTCTATGGATCCGGAACAGATATTGATTCAAACCACCCGGGAGGAATTTTCCCTGTTATTTTCGGGTTAGGAAAAAACAACGCTCCTTGACTGACAAATGAAGGAACGAGGACGAGAAAAAAAAAATATGAAAATATTGAGGGAAAACTGGCAATATTGATTAAATCTCCGGCACCCAAACGTACCTGTTCTTCCAATAACAAGGTTCAGGTTTGTTTGAGATTGGGCATCATTATTATGCCTTGGGCGCACATAACCTCGAAGAGAGTATATGGTTCTAATACTCGGTCAAAATGTAGATCATTGGTATCTTTGAGGATCACAATTCCCATTGTAGAACTTGTATGGTACCTGCGTGCCTTCGAGACTGATTTAGCTTTCGAACCCCAAGTTTTATTGACTCACCTGATTGACGGCAATTACGTTAACAAGCTTCTCCCACCAAGCGGCGGCCAAAGGGCGCCTGTGGGACGACGATGACATTGTTTTTCATCTGCATAGAATAGAGCCTCTACAATCGGAAATGATCACTAAAGCGATTATTGGGGCGTCTTGATTGACTGGGCATGCAGCAAGTCATTTTCAACGAGGGGGTTAGCTTTCACTAGCCCTTCTGAATATTCCTTTGAGAAACTGCGGCGCCAAATTCAAGGATGTCATCAAGGAGAGAATTCTCTCATAGCGAGGTCGCTAGTAGTGCGTGTTTCTGGCACTTGGAGGAGGCGCACTGGCCTAGGCCAATGACCGGAATGTTAGCCATATGTTCAAGCATTAATCCGGGTTGAGGCCGGAGAAGGAAAATGCATCTATGGTAGTTTTATATTCGGAGCGATCAGCTACCATTGAACACTGTCCCGAATCATGTTTTGAGACTCCCGATTACGATCGAATTGGAACCAAGTAGATATAATTAAGAACAAACCTCGAAGATCTTGGTTGGAAAGAAGTGAGAACTAGCACGCCATGGCTAATTTCTGTGGAGGAGGGAGCATCGCACATGTTGGAAGTGGTATCGAGATCTGGTGTTGGTCCATATCTAATCTGAAGCAGCCGATTCAACAATCTCCGTTCGCAAATTGCCTTGGATAGATCAAGGTTAAACATCAATAGTTTCGTCAATAACGTTCGCATATGATTCTCTCTCGCGCAGATACAGAGGAACCTTTTCGGGATGGCTGCAGGCTGAGGCTGGCTTATTTCCTTCTAAATCCAATATATTGATGGGAAAATCAAGGTAAGCAAAGTTCAACACAGGGAAGACGATCTCCTCCAGCGGACTTGGCAGCATCATAGTGGGGAAAACATAATCAGCCCCATCGCAGGAACCCTGGGCGACAATCTGGGGACGGGCTCAAAATCATAAAATGTCCGGGTAACTCCTTACTGCGCACTCGCCCGTGCTGCAGGGGTCTGGATTCGAGGAACGGGCATTCTGATCGTCTTGCTTCTAATTGATTGGTAGTAAGTTGGAGGGGTATCCTTGCGATTGATTCATGCGGGTTCAAGAAGTGTTCCAGGAGCGATTTATATGACCAAGGAGGTGTGGTTCGCTATCTGTCAAGTCTGGTGGCTGGCTCGGCAAAACGGTAGGGCGTGTAACCGAGCAGCTGTTAATTTTCAGGAGAACGGGGGACTGAGTAAGACACATCTGTGCACCAGCCCGACTGCGTTAAATTTTAGTTCGAGGGTTAGCTTCAAAGCGTCCTCGCTCACGCAGGAACTAGGTATGTACCTACACGGTAGCTCGTAGGATAAACTTCACATTGGCATCATATCCAAATGGTTAGTGAACCCTTTCTCAAATCGGTTGGGCCCCTCTTTCCCGAATATGACAATGGGGTAAATGACCAGCGTTCGATGGAAGATGAACGGTCGGCGTGGAAATCTGTACCCAAGATTACGCGGGGACTCTTGGGTACTTTGGCGATTGCTCATCGTCAGCAGGGCATCGATCTCCTCAGAGAAGATGAAGGAGCGAAATAACCCACCAACCAGTACAGTACTTTATGAACTCTTGCTGGCGGGATTGATATATCACCAACGCCATGACTCGCGAGACTTTTCCTGTACGTACTCCGTAAGTGGCCATCCGCCTTTCGAAACGAAAGGGACGAGCTGGGCATTTCAGTGAACGAGTGAAGATAGTCGGGAAATGGCTATAGAGTAGAATAATTGCTGGATGAACATGGATCGATTCTAGAAAAAGATAGAGAATTATCGAAATTCCACGCAGGTGACGGATGGTGGCTTTGTTTGCAATGTGGCTGGGAATATTGTGGCGAAGCCTTTAACAAGCCATACCCTCAAAAGTGCTCTGTTCTACGGCTCTGGATTAATCTGTTCAGGCATGATTTGCAACCGGAGATTCTCTTTCTACTCTAGGAGACTTTGACATCGCCACACTTGGAAAGGCGGCGTATTTCATCCCACGGTTCCTCGCTCAATATATTAGTTAGTATGTACAACTTCAACATATGACTGAGAAGACCTAGAAAGCCCCCTTTACCCTGGTCCACAAACTTGCGATTTATTGAATGATGCGCAGAGTTGTCAGTAAGGGTTTTGGATTACTTAGGCTATTACT